ACTGCACTTGTGGGGGAGTCTGCCCCATGTTGTTGGCCGGTGCGGCCTGCGTGGAAGCGGTAGGTACCCCCGGGGCACCTACCTCCGGTTGCTGGTGGGCAAAGACGCACTGGTCGTTTACCAGCGTCTCCCCAGTTGGGTTCCTCCACATGAACCTTCCTTGTCCATCCATCATCTGCATGCTCCCGTCTTCGCTCAAGACCGGGATCGCATCCGCAGGGATGGGGTGGACAGCCCTATCCGGTCCGTAACACTGCGTGAACGTATTCATCGTATACGGGGTCTCCTAGTCGGGGTGTTTGGGTGATCCGTTATTCTATAAGGTTTGCCAGCAAACCTGAATAGTAACACACGGGACTAGAAGGTACGGGTAGGGTAATGACTGTAATAACGGATGTCTAACTACTACAAGGTGCTAGTTAGACATCTTCGAACACATCTCCTAATAGGTCTCCGAGAGAGTCTCCGAGAGAGTCTCCGAACGGACCTCCGTACGAGGTGAAAACCTACATCCCGCGTGTGTACGACATGCGTACCGCGGATGCCTATAATAGCTGCTCTCCGTTCTGCCTCGCAAGCTCGGCTTCCCAACCTCCCTCCGGGACGGTCTCGACGGGTTGCACCCGGGCACCAGAGACGTTCATCCGACCGTTGTTCCTACCCTTGAACTAGGGGCAGGGACCCTCTGGTTGGGGCAGTTGACGGCCACATGGCCGTGTTGGAAACACCGGTAGCAGGGGTCGTTCCGCCTCATCCTGCCCGCGTCGAGTTCCATGGGAGCAGCGGTGGAAGCATTGGCGGCGGGAGTAGGAGTCGCAACGGTGGTATTGACCACAACGGGGTTACGAGGCGCGGAGTGGTTGCTCGCTTGTCGATTACCGCCCAAGTGGTAGCGGTTTCCCGAGGACGCATGCCTCCTGACATCCGCCTGATCTTCGTACCGGCGGCATTCCATTTGGAATTCCGCCAAGGTCATTGTTTCTTGGCCCGGCATAGGGACGATAGCGTCTTGGAACGCTTGGTTCAGGTTGGACCTGAACAGCGTCCGGCGAACGTATTCGCAGACATTGGGGAGGAGGGCCAAGAGGTCGTTGTACTCGGTGATGTACGTCGCGAGGCTCTTGGTGCCCTGCCTTAGGTGATAAAGTTCTTTTTCGGTCGCGGCGATGTTTCGTCCTCCACCATAAGTGGAGATGAGCAGTTGCTCGAACTGCTCCCAGGTAGCCGGCACTCGGCCCGTGGAGTACTCCCGAGCCCAGTCGGCGGCCTGTCCTTCCATGTACAACTCTGCGTACATCATCTTCAGGCGGTCGGTAACGTAGACGCCCGGTTTGACCTCGAATTCCTGGTTGCATTGGTCCAGGAACCCTCGGACCTTCTCCTTCTTGCTGCCATCGAACTTGTCCCGCGTTCCAAACTTAAACAGTTTGGCCCGGGCCTCGTCCGAAGACGACCGCGACTCTCTTGCCCTCGCCAATTCCAGCACCTGGGCTTGCATGTTGGCCATCAATTGAAAGAGGCCATTCAAGTCCGGCGTGGCGGCGGCGGGAGCCAAGGTGGCTGCGGGGTTGCCCGCATGAGAAGTTGGTACCACTTGTGGGGGGACCGTTCCCATGTTGTTGGCCGGCGTGGCCTGCGTTGGAGGTTGCTGGTTGGCAAACACCCGCAACTCGTTTGCGGTGGTCTCCGTTCCGGAGTCCGTCGTTCGCAACCACAAGAACCTTCCCTCCCCATCTACCTGCTGGCTTTGTCCATCCTCGGACAGCACAGGCGAGATCCCTGGCGGGATTCCTTGGGGGGTCCCATCGGGACGAAAACACTGGGTGAACGAAGTGTTCATCGCGTAGGGATTTCTAGTCGGGGTGAAGTTTGTAGATCCGTTATTCTATTAGGCTTGCCTGCAAGCCTGAAATAGTATCACACGGGACTAGAAGGTAAGGGTAAGGTAATGAATGTAATAACGGATGTAGTACAACTAGTACTACATTACAGTAAACACATAGGGGGTGTTCTAGATATACTCCGTACGGGAACTCCCCTCGGAGGTCCCTGTAAAACTACCCGACGCGGGTGTGCGATACGCGTACCGCGGATGCTATAACACTTGGTGTAGATCTTCGCCCCCTTAAGACGATCCAACGTCTCCGATATAAGGGGCAAGGGGGTGCGGTCCTTGACCGTGATGTCGTTTAATCTCCGGTAATCAATACAGAGTCGCAACGACTCATCCTTCTTCGGAACAAACAGCACGGGGCTTGCCGCCGGAGATGTTGACATCCGGATAAAGCCCTTCTCCGTCTGCTCCTTAATCCACTCCGACAACGCCGCTCCTTCTTTCGCGGAGTGCACATAGCACTTGCCAAATGGCGGGGTTGTCCCGGGGAGTAGATCGATGGCGTGGTCGAAGGACCTCGCCGGCGGCAGTGTATCTGCCTTTGTTTTTGAAAACGCGCCTAGCCAGGCGTGATATTTCTTCGGGACCCTCTCCCGGAGTGTCTCCATGTACTCCGGAGGGTCCAAGTCATTCGGGAACGAGTCCATTGGTTGGACGTCCCAATCCCACAGGTCCGGCCGTTTGGCAGGGGGCGGTTGTTCCACCACCGCGTCCAGGCGTGCTGCGTACAGCGTGTAGGACCCCTCCATTGCGGCCCTGTCGATCTCCTCCAACGCTGTGCTCCGCCGGACTCTCTCTCGGGTAGACTCCTTGGGGGAGAACACCACCTCTTTCCTGTCTCGTAGACATCCGAGACCCAGGCATTCATCCCCCAACTCCACTCCATTCGACGTCCAGTCGATGATCGGGTTATGGCGCCGGAACCACGGCGCTCCCAAAACAACGTCGTACGACCCTAGATCCGTCAACATGAACGCGACCGACTCGGTGTGTCGGCCAATCCTCAGCCTAGTACTTTTCCGGTGGGTCACTGCACCGGAGTTGATCGGTCTCCCGTCGATCACCCTAAGCATCCTCGGCTTCTCGAGCTTCTCTTCCACGAACCCATGCTCCGCAGCGAACCCCTTGTCCATGAACAGGTTCGTCGCCCCGCAATCCAACAGCAGGACTGTTTCTACGGCCCTCCCCTCGGGATACACCGTACCCAACAAGGTAAGGTGTTCCTCCGGATCCGCTGGAGAGCCCAACATCCCGATTGTACACTCACGACCTGCATCTTCCGCAGGTACCTGCCTCCTCGGGCTCACGGGTTGATCCGTTATTCTGTTACGGCGACGAGTCCGCCGGGCTGGTGCCCCGGGTCGGTCCGCCGGACAAGTGAGCGGGAGAGAGGCGAGGGTAGGAGTATACATCTATATAGTAATAACGGATGCCCAGCATCCGGTCTTTAGTGATAGTACAATGTTCGAATGTAAACAACAAATACGGCGGAGTCCGCCCTCGGGGTGGCCCGCCGGAGCGCGTCTCGGCGTGCCCCGCGTCTCGACCGCGTCGATCTCTAACATTTGGTCACAAAATCTCTATCATTGATCGTAAGGTCTTGCTCATTGATCACGGTGGATTTCGTCGAGTTGTCTCGTTTGTTAATCTGCAGCTTCAGGTCCTTAATTTCGTTCTTGTACTTGGTATCCTTTACGGTCCTGGGCTTGATGATGTTATCTTGCTCTAATAACCGGTGCTTGAGTTGGCTAATCTGCAACTGGTACTTGGAATCCTGAAGGTTGACGGTAGACCCAGCAAGATCGAGGTCCTTGATCTTGGACCTGAGCTCGAGCAGTTCAATCTTATTGGCGTTTTTGACATTCTCGATCTCCTGCTTATGCGTCTTCTCCTTTTCGGCAAGGGTGTTTTCCTGAAGCTCGACTTTGGTAGCGGCGAGCTCGAGGTCCTTGATCTTCAGCTCGAGCAATTCGACTCCGTTGGTGTTTTTAATACTCTCGAGCTCGAGCTTATGAGGGCTTTCCTTTTCAGTGAGCTCAAGTTTATGAGCGCCGTCTTTGTTTGTGATCTGCGTTAAACATCAAAGCGATTTCTGAGGTTCATCTGAACCGAGACGGATGCGGCTGGGACAGATACACGTTGGGTCTTTCAGTGGGTGTGTTTGTGATGGAAAGCTTCTAAATTATACAAGACTCTCGATAACAATGTCCCAGATCTTGGCAGACGCTTTGAACGACGCAATACTCGAATGTATCGTGATCGTGCGATATTATTGACAAATACATGCACGATGATTTGAGCACATTGAGGTGATGAAGGGATAGCCAGTATGTGATGATATATAGCAGTACCGCATATGACATGCTAGAGTAAGATGCTTAGCCCGCACCGATAGCCCGCAGCATGCAGCCGTCCGGCTCTGGGTGATGTCAGCTACTTGAATGATCCGAATGCGACAGTAGCCAGGGCAGATTAGACAAAAAGACCAGGGAAACACCAGCATGTAATTGTGATGTAGTCGCCAGCTGCCCCGGAACCCATCCCGGCTTTGGTCTTCTCGTGCCTCACCTGATCCAATAGCTCTCAATCCCTGTCGTCGTCGAACAACGACCAGCCTTACAAAGGTGACCAGTCTCGACAGACCGTCTCGAGATGGTCGTAGCGTTTTCGCAATCATGGAACAGGGTCACATTGATCGTCAGACGTTATCATCAGCGAGGACCCGATCATCAGACACACGTCGTAGTGCTCCTAGTCGGTCGTACATAAGAGTCTCGAGTCGACCTCATTCAAACCGGACAGCCGGGTCTGTAACGGTCTTCAGCGAAAACTGCTCACCTTCCGTTGGCGCGCTGTTTCAGCCGCGCGCGCGTAGAAATTGCTCGTTTCCCTCAAAGCGAGCGACAAAGAAGGTTTGATGGACATCCGCCATTGGGTCGATGGGTTGGTGACCTCGCCAAGGATCTCAGAGGTGGATCCCTTTCAAACGGTTAGGGTTGCACTTCGGAGTATCTCGTATCGTAGCTTGCAGCATATATTAGTGAGACTCCCGGCCGAGGTATGGTTGGCTCTCTATCATCACGATTAAATCTCATCATCAAGGCGATAGTGAGCCTAGCACGTCATTGATCTGTCCATTACACTCATCCATCATGACGACCGACAAAGCTTTACACACATCGTCCCCCGAGGTCACGCCGACCATGACTTACGATTCGAACAAGCCCGACCGCGCCTGCGACAAAGACCTGGATGACGACAAGGCCCTATCAGGGCATCACTTTACGGTCCAAGGCAACGCCGCTAGCAACGTTCCGCCCATCCATGATCCTCTCATCGCGGGAGTCGCCAAGATATCCACCTTTCGTCAAGTCTTCTCCACCAAGAAGCTGGTCTGGTCGTTCTGGATCGCGTTTGCCTTTTGGGCGTTTGCGATCGCCCTCAGTCAGGATACTACCTTTGTGTGTAAGTCTCAAAATGCTAATCGGTAGGACTCAGATGCGTCTCATCAAAACTAATTCTATCCGGGCTTTTTGACTTGACAGACCTCGCCTTTGCAACCTCCTCCTTCACATCCAACTCCCTGCTTTCCACCATCGCCCTCCTCTGCTCCATCATGACGGGCGTGATCAACCCCTTCTGGGCAAAACTAGCCGACTTGAGCGCCCGCTCGTATTGTCTTCTAGCCAGCGTCTTGTTGTACGCTATCGGATACGCTTGTAGCGCCGGAGCGCCCAATGTGGAGACGCTTGCTGCGGGCCAGGTCATCTATACTATCGGTAAGCCGAACTCCTACAAGTTTACTCAATGACGAACATGGAATCGGAGCTCATACTCACATCTTGGTCTTAATTCATCGTTTTCCAGGTAACTCGGGCTTGGGGTTCCTTCAGACACTGATCGTCTCGGACATTACCAGTCTACAATACCGCGGACTCGTCCTGGGCGGTATATCCCTCGTCTATGTCCCTTTCGCCTTTGTGACTGGTGATATCACTACCGCGGTCGGGTTGACCAATTGGAGATGGGGTGTGAGTCGATCGATCACCTCACTTAGTCATTCGGGGTGGATATAGTTACTGACCTCGATATTGTGAACGCTTCGTTTCGCCTATCTGCAGTACGGGATGTTTTGCATCATCATGCCCGTCTGCCTTACACCCATCCTTATCATGCTGTTCTGGGCTGATCATAAGGCTAAAGGTAAGCCAGAGTATCGATCAGCATTCTGGTGCAGAGTTGACTGATGCAGTTTGTCGCCCGCTCCAGGGATCTCAAAGGTAGCGCACACAGCTACGGCCGAGCCTCATCTCGCCCGTCCCTCACTTGTTCAACGCATCGTCCGCTTCTTTCTGGTCATCGATGCTGTCGGGTTGATCCTCCTCGGCACGACCTTTGCCCTCCTACTCAGTCCGCCTACCTTGGTCTACGGTGCTGATAATGGCTGGAAGAACCCATCGATGATCGCCATGATCGTCGTCGGAGGCTGTCTCCTGCCCGTCTTTTGCGCTTGGGAATGGTTCGGCGCAAAGCACCCTATCATGCCACGCAGCATGTGGAACAAGACCTTTCTCATCAGCGTCTTCATCAATTTCGTCAACTTTATCGTCTCCACCCTACACAACACGTACTGGAACAGCTGGGTTTGGGTCATTCAGGATTACAACACGCGCAATTACACCTATATGACCCAGATCGAGACGGTGACGCTTTGCACGTTTGCCATCGTCGGAGGCGCCATCCAGCGATACACCCACCGCTACAAGTACTTGCAGATCTTTGCACTCTGCTTGCGAATCCTCGGAGCCGGGATCACCTACTACTCGAGTCTAGGGCATACGAGCACCGTCTGCCTGTTCTTTGGCAAATTCCTCATCACGGTCGGCAACTCGTGGTCGATCATCGGATCTACCGTCGCTGCCCACGCTTCGGTCAAGCACAAAGATCTCGGTATCGCCATCGCCGTCTTATCCCTCTGGAGCTCGATCGGGGGAAGTATCGGCTCATCGATCGCGGGCGCCATCTGGCCTTATCGCCTGGTCGACTACCTCACCCAGACAACCCAGTTGGACCCTCTCAGCATCGCCACGGTCGCTGGGGACATCTACTCTGCTCGATACGAAGGAGTCGACCCCGCTCCTGGAGTGCGCGAGGCTTACAACCTCAGCTACAAGCGACTCTGCCTTATCGCGCTTCCCCTTACCTTCATTCCTCTCTTCGCGGCTTTCTTCAGCGAAGATTACGTGCTCGACGATCGACACAACACGATGGAGGACGAAAAGCACGGTCATGCGGCTGAGGGAGCCGAACAGAAGGAGGATTATGGGATCGCGGAGGGACGTCGAGGGAGGAGCGACAAGGTCTGATTTCTGACATTGCTTGGGGCGGTCACGCCTTGAGCGCTCTGCTACATGTTCGTCATCATCATATAGATTTTCAGTGTCGTTTGGCTACTTGGTTCAAGAGGTTGGGAGTTTGATAAACAATCTATCGATTCTTGATGTTGAAACACGTTGAAGCGGTCCGTACCACTTGTATCGGGGACCGCGTTATCATCAAGTAACGTCTAAACCAGAAAGTCGTCGAGGGAGAATCTAAAAGTCCGTTTGCACGCCCCCGGCTCTACCGCTCGAATCGCATGCTATACCCCCCACCTTCTTGCTTGTCAAACTTGAAATTGTTGGTGCTGAGCCCGAATCGCCCGAGCAAGCCGTCACCGAGATCTTTCAGCTTGGAGAGCATCTCGTCCTTTTCCTTTTCTTGCTGCGTACGAATACGCGTTGGGAGGGTGGACAAAGATCGCTGTGCTTGTTGATATAGTGGAGATGATTTCGGCAGGATCTGGGTCAGAGCGGTGTAGTCTGGTCGCGGCACAAAGACATGAGCTTAGTGCGACGTGTGAACACAAGCTAGTCTTTCACGACAGGTCGACCAACCTTCTTGTGCAGTGGTCAAGCTGGACCACGAACCGATCCTCTCGCTAGCCAACGCTCGGCGTTGCAATACCTTGACATAGTGAGGATCCAATTTTAATGCTATATAGACCGGCTTCCTTCGTCAGCATTTGTCTCCTATTCAAAGGGGTAAACTCGGCCCAACCTCACCTTCTGTACATGCCGTCACCGCCTCCTTGTCATCCCCCTTTTTCACCCAAACAGCTCCCAGATTCCCCCAGACCGCCTTTTTCGTCTCTTCAATCTCCCTTTCAACGCCCCGCTTCAGCTTGACCTCGGGATCCTTTTCCTCTTCTTCCCTGCGCCTCGACTCGGCTTCTCTCGCTTCGTCCGCCAGTCTGATCGCCTCTGCCTGTTCGTCAGTCAACTCCATCACACCCGATTGCTCCGGCTCCGGTACTTGACGCGATGGCGGGGGTGTAGGCTCGGGTTGTGGTGTGAACGAGGTGATGGGTAAGAGATTCAACGCTTCCTTGTATGCCCCGATGGCGCCATCGAGGTCCGGCTCGGCGTGTTGAAACAGCGAGTTGCCCTCTGCCTTTTGCTCCTGAGCTCTCCGTAGTAGATCCTGTAAAACAGCAACGTTTCGTCAGATACTTGTCATCTACCACGGTGCTACCTCAACCCACCTTCAACTCGTCCACCGTCAAATCGAGCTTGACCTCCTCTTCCTCCTTCTTTGCATCCTTCACTTTCACTCCCGCAGCTTCCTCTTGAGCCAACTTCTCACCTAGCGCTCTCAACGCATCATCCGTCCCCTTGACCTCGTCCTTCCCTGCATCTTCAAACTGCGCTTTGAAATCCACCGGCTCCCATTCTCCCAGATGTACGCTCGGCTCGCCTTGTTTCCCCTTGATCGGCTCGAATCCCATCTTCTTTTCCTGCTCTTCTTCCGGTATCCCACTTGCATTCTGAATATCGTTCCTGGTAGCGTGCACTACGGGCGCTTTCGACCCCGTCCATCCGGCCAAAGCATCGTCCGCCAGATCACCCGTATAACCTCCATCTTGCTTGCCGACTATATCATCAGCCATCGCGTCGATGCCATATCGCGCATCCGTATCCAACTCGTCCCCCAGCGTCGGTGCAGGGGAGACCGCATTCCTGGGATTCATACTCGCGATCGGAGCACCGAGGTTGATGTTCGCTTCAGGTTCTTCCGTCAAAGCTTGCCCGGCTCGGATCAAGTTGGCCTGAGCTACATCCCCACGGACAGCTTCCTGTCCATGTTCAAGTCCTTTCCCGACGTCGCCTTCGGTAGGCGTCGGCGGTCTGACCAGAACAGACTCTTCTCCTTCCGCTTCATCCTCAATCGTACTGCGGACATCCAGTCCTAAACCCAACCCTGACGCCGAATCCAACCTTCCCTTCCCTTCCACATCCTCTCTTCCCCCATCCGCCTTATCCTGTCCGTCTCGTCGTTCCTCCTCCTGAAGCCCCACCGAATGCAATACCTTCTTCATCACCACAGGCGATAACTCTCCCTCAGATACGTTCGGCAACAACAACTCGCTAGCTCCGCCTGGGGAAGCCTTGCCATCAAGATCTTTCAAGGTAGAAGCTGGAGATCCGGGGACTCGCATGTTGAGGGGTCTTAGGTGGAGCGTCCTTGCGATCACTTTGATGTCCACGTATTTTCAACCACGAGCATCAACGCGATGTGTAAAGTCAGCTTCCATTCAAGGGTTTGAGATATTGCAATCGAATCGATTTGCATCTGCCATGATCGAGATCGGAATCACACATAAGAGTAGGGAAAAGAGCGGCGACTTACGGTAAGCGACGATATCCAGCAAGATGATCACCAAAAACGGGACCGCTATGAACACTGCCATCCAGCGACAAACCACCGGGACCTGTTATTGTCGTCGTATTATATCCATTCCACCACATTTTTGCATTGCATTGCATTCCGAGCAAGCGGGACAGCGCGATACCGCACACCGTCGACAATATATCAGAATCGAATCGAGTGGTCAGTATTCACGACTCGTAATACACCACACCACAACACACCACAACACAAGACAACGTGATGGGAATGTAAGATGGGGATGAGGATGTGGCAGGTCTAGGCTTACCCAAGCGATAAACCTCGGAAGAGGCGGATCTACCAACAACGTGTACATCTCGTTCGACGTCAATGGAGGAGCTGAAGAAGGGGGTATCCCGATGCCCTTTAAGGGTAAAGATGAGGATTGGAATCGAGGTGTGGTAGCCATATTTGATATTCGTGTTCGTCCGGGGCGGGTACTGTAGGTTGAAAGAGGTTGACGAAGAAGCCTCGATGTAGTAGTGGTTGCTTGGGTTGTTCGGAGGATCGTTCGGGTGGATCTGACTAGAAACTCTGGTAGACCGAGTTGAGGTATATAGGGGTATTTATTGTATCAGCTTACTTCGTCAAAGGAGAAGACTCGTCCCTCCCGTTTTTTAGTCTTCAACTTACCTCTACCTCTACCTCTAGCTCGGAGTCACCACCGATTTCCTATCGTATATCGTATATCGTATGTCAATCGTCGTATGCACCTCGACCAAAAGCCGATGCGCAATCCGTCTCCTGAATCTCCCCGATTCCGATTTCAGATCCAGATCAGACGAGCCTAGAGTTTGTTTCTCGTTCTTGCTCGTCTACCACGGTGCCATCCCAATGTCTGAGAGTTTTTCGTCAAGAACTGCTGCTAAGATGAGCCACAGAACGGATAGGATGAGATGAGATTGAGATTTGTCTGTATGTTCGGGTCTGTCCCGCTCGGCTCGATACCAACTCGGATACTCACCGACGATCCCAGAAGACCGTAGGAAGAAGACCAAGCTTTATCCCACTGAGTTCTGGTCGAAGATATCGTGGTGAAAGGTCCTCTCTGTGCCTTTATCGCAGACGGTGCTGTTTATCGTCGTACTATCGATGTCCCCCGGAATGACCTTTGCACCGAGCTATACCGTAGCTGCAGGGTCCGGGCTCCGGTAAAGTCCGTCTGACCGTCGTTTCTGTCCTCTGGGTTGTTATATCTCTCGTGTTCTTTTCCCACAATCTGACAGAGGATAGTATGGAGTATATGGGTGATGTTATCGGAAGGTATAGAGAGGAATGTGAGTGGAATGATCCGCCAAGCTGGGAATCGTCAGCAGCAGCAGCTCGAGGCGGCCGGGCTTGACCGAGCAGAGGGAGACAAGGTCGATAGCATCATCCAACCACCTATACACCTACACACCTACTACTATCTATACCACACTCACTTGCTTCTACATAGCAGCATCTTACGCTCGACACCATGTCCATTCCCGCAATCTCCCGCAAGACCGCCTCCCTAAGCCTCTCCAACGACCGTCAAAATCAAATACACGTCGACCCTACACCCGCCAAGATCCAACCTCTCCCCCTCTCCTCCTCCCACCTTCCCATCCCCACGTTCACTCTCACCAGAACGCTGGCCGGGGTACAGACGGACCTCTTGATACAGAGTTATGAAGATAGGGTGTTTGTGATGATAACTCAGTTGGGGAGGATGGGGTTCTTGGTGAGTCTCTCCACGTTCTACTTCCAGCTCGGGGACGAGAGGAATGTACCTACCTCTTCTATTACTTTTCTTCGTCTATCAACCTCTGTTCCACATCCATGTGCCATGTGTCATCTAAACAGACTCAAGCGACCCTCTCCCCACTCCTGCCTCTCCTAAACCCACCTTCCCAACCCCCTTCTACCACCACCACCACAACCGCCACTACCTCTTCTTCCTCCTCCTCCTGCTCGACCACCACCCCCTCCTCTCAACCAGACTCGAACTCGATAACCAAAATCCTCCCCCTCCTCCCTCCCCCACACCCCTCAACCCTCCTCACACCCCTCCTCGGAACCCCTCAAAGTCCGGGTGACCAGACGCGGGACGAACTGTACGTCGGGCAGGTGGCTACTCTTGTTTGGTGGTTGGGCGAGAATCCCAATTTGCCTTCAAATTCCGGTATGGGAGGAGGAGGTGGGAGGGTTGGAGGAGGAAGGAGACCGGTCATCGTCAGCCTAGCTCTCGCTCGGGCTCGGGATACGACATCCGATAGGTCCTCCGGCAAAAGCGCCGCCGAACGGGAACAAGAGGAAGGAGAGGACCACGAGGAGGAAGAGGAAGAGAGCGAAAGGGAAAGAGAACGGTTCGCTGGGATCATGGGCATGATCGCCGAATGGTCCGGCGAGTGAAGTATAGATGGGGACCTTAGCAGATCTCTCACCTTGTCTAGATGCTAGTGTGGGAGAGGAGGAAGAGACAGTACTAAACACAGACATGGAGCTGAAGATGAAGATGATGGAGATGGAAACGATCCGGGAAGCGCGTCTTCACGCTCATGCATTACGCTACGTCTAGAACGTTAGAACTCGACTTGAGTATGCTACTCAACTTTACGACTGGGTTCAAACAGAACCTACGACTCTGTTCTTGTCCATGACGCATGGTCGTCATCATGATTACATGTTATAGTTCCGACTTAATCGACGGGTACAGATCCTCATGCTCTCCAAGTCACATGTACCGCGTCCGTCCGGTACCTACAACACAACAGAATCCACAAGGTGATCGAGTGAACAAGAAACGATCAGGTTCCTTCCTCACACGAGAGCGAAGTTGAAGAAGGCCTCGAGTACTCACCGTTGCGTGACCGTGCTCTTCTCGATGGGCGTCCGTTGACCCATCCTGTACGCCAATAATCCGGCCTGGGCGATCATGATCCCGTTATCGATGCAGAAGCTGCGAAACGCACAGCCAGAAAAGAAATTGCGTTTGAGTTTGCAATGCAGTGGGGTGATCGAAAGGGGGAAAGGCTGGGCTTACCTCTCATCCGTTGCGAATACCCTGCCGCCTCGTTCGGATGCCATGATGCCCATCATCTGTTGTAGCCGCTCGTTGCCTGTCGCCCGGAGGAAAAAACAGACCCGGAATGGTTGTTTGACCTTGTCAGCATCGTTGCCGCACCACATCCCGCAAGCAGACGACACCCCAAGATCCGAACTCACACCCAACTCCACCGACGATCAAAACATCCGCACTCCCTACATGTGCCATCGCCCTCTCCGTAATCTCTACCAACATCGCAAATGCCGTCTCTTGCAGCGTAAAACACAGGTCCTCTGTCGTTATCACGTCCTCTCCTTCCTCCTTGTACTTCTGCTGCTCCTCCAGGGTCTTGCTAGCGAGCGGTCCGATGAAGCGTTTGTCGTGCGTGTAACCTTCGGTTGCGGAGAGCAGGCCTGTTAGGGAGATGTCCATCCCTTTTGTCGCATAGGGGAGGGGTAGTAATCGTGTACCCCTGTTCCCACACAAGAATAGGACAGTCACAATCAGTCCGACGAACTTCTAGTGCAACCGTCTCCTCCCGACTCACCCTTTAGCGCTCTGTTCGATGTTATACCCCGGAGCAGGATCGTTCGGCAGCCCTACGACCCTCGCAAACCGGTCCAAACAGTTCCCCACGGCGATATCCAGCGTCTCCCCGAAGATCCTATACTTTTGCTGAGAGTAGGCGATGACCTGGGTGTTTCCTCCGGAGACGTAGAGGATGATAGGATTGTGGGATGCGGTGATGTGGCGGCCCATCTCGATGTCTGGCAGATAAGAGGGTCTTGTACCGGATCAGTCTGTGAGTTGGGTGGAAGGAGATAGAGGTAAGGGCGGAGCTTACGGCCGACACAGTGGTTGACGCCAACAAGCGGGATGTTGTAGAGCATACTGATGGTTCGTGCTACCAGTGCAACTGATTGCAGCGGTCCCCCCATACCGGGGCCTGCGATGATTACGAATGTCACTCTGATGTCAGCTCAAAAAGAACCGGTACCTCGTTGAGCCCCTCTTGACCCACCCTTGGTATATGCCACCACATCCACATCCTTCATCTCAATCCCAGCATCCTCTACAGCCTTCCGTATGACCGTCAAAGCCCACTGCTGATGATGCCTAGCCGTATCCGCGGGCAAGAACCCCTGTCCAGGCGGGGTCACGTAGGTGTGTCGAACGTTCGATAGGACCTTGACGACGTCCGCTGTCGATCCGTTCGGGCCGGGAGAGTGAGAGATGATCCCCGCACCGAACTTGTTGGCTGAACCTTCCAGGCCAAGACAGATGTATGGGCGGTCTGAACATAGGATAATAACGGGGATCGTCAGCTGAGTTTTTGTATAAGATTCGGTGGGTAAACCTACCGGCAGGCGGTAGAGGTGCCACCTTGCGTCGTTTCGTTTCGGCTACCATATTTCACGAGGGAGTGTATTTCTAAAGTTTACAAAGTTTGTTCCGAGAGCCGAAACGGGTTTCGATGTCGAGGTCGTGCATTCCTTACAAGGATCGATCGACTTTCCAGTCTCCGACCTATCTTGCCAATGTTCTGGAAATGTCAGGCTCGGGGCCCAAACCTTATTTTCACATATCGCTTTATGCATCACCCCACCGACAATCAATATCAGATCCTATTTTGGCTCTTAGCAGCATCCAAGAAAGAGAGAGTATGGGTATTACTGTTCTGTCACTACTAACAAGAGATTATCCGGTCATTTTCTGGTCTTCGTCAAGCGAAAATACGAAAACTGGGCAGCAAGCCGATCGACCCTGAATGCCTTGGAGAGCGACGTGGAGATAATACGAAATCAGCGCTTCGTAGATATCACCGTACCAACCTACAGGGAATCGGGATGGTAATATAGTCTTGCTAATCTCCTGAACGATATGTCGCGTCCAACAATCAGTACACGTGCAGCGTCACGTCCGAGATTGTGCCTCTCCGTCAAGCCATGAATACTACTGGTCCGTACTACGATAAGCGCGTATCTGGAATAGCATTCTCCCGTGGGTACTTCTTTGCCGATCGAAGCAAGCAGGGCTGACGCATGACTGGCCCCTGATTCTATTCGACAGGAAAGAGGCACGACGACCGATAGCGACTGTGAGATAGGAGCATATCCTTGAGCCTGGCTTGAAAAAAAAAACAGGTATGGGTCGTTCGGGCTGTCGACTTCGTCGCGACGATAATGAAGGTTATAGCCTCAGATACGTAATCAACAAGGTCGCATTACATTGTTCTATTGTTCCTCGTCTATGACCACCCCTTTGGTCATTTCGTACAGTTTGCAGAACGCGCGCAAAACTTTTGGTTTCCACATGAACAACTATCTCGAAGTCTGCCCAGAATGAGCAACACCGGCTTGAGTACAGGCTACCGCCAAGATACTCAGATCCTGTTGCTCCAAGCAGATCTCAGGGTCCATCGAAGCCAAGTGCTTGTTCAACTCATTCAAGTCTTTCCTCATGAGGTTCAAGTCATGGCTGTAGTTGGCACTAGTTGTTTCTCGAGTGCCCTTTCCACATCTCAAGAAGATGTAGAGGACCAGCGGAAGTTCACTGTACGGATAGGCTGCTTCGGCCTTAGCCTTGGCAAGTTCGAACTCAGCTTTGGCGCGTTCGGCTTTCTCTTCAGCAAGACGTGTGGCGGCCTCGTCGGATCGGCCTTCCGTCGCCTCAGGTTGTACTTCAGTGACGGTGGGCTGTGTCAAGGCTGAGTTCATGGCGTTGCAACACTCTGCATAAATCGCGTCGTTCTGTGTCTTTGCGTACTCAATAAGGTAGCTCAGAGCTCGATACCGGTTGTCGTCCACCTCAGTTGGAGCTATCGAGTAAGTATCCTGGAATTCCTCAACAGTGATGTCAGGAGCTTGAGAGGTTGCAATGAACATGATATCGTAACGCTGAGGGATGAGAACGACTTAAAAGGCGCGGGAGGTATGGTTGGGCCTCGCCTGACGTTCTGACTAGATTCTTGATGCCGCGTGGGCTAGCGCTTTATAGACGCATCAGTGGGAGGATATGAGAAGTTTCACTCGAGATGACGAGCGATGGTCTGGCGACTGTCCTTTCACGGTTTCATCTCCCGGATGCAGCAGATAGGGAGCTCGAGGATGACGTTCTACTTGACAACGCATATTGTTACTTTTATGGTAGGATGTGGCGCGGGCGTCCAAAGCTATGATCTGCTAGTACTCTTTGTGGGAGTCCTCGCCCAGCCGCTCGTATTCCCTCGAACAAGTGGCTATATGCGAAAGCCAATAACTACTGCGTCACTAAGCATAATCGAGACTGTTACCAGCTGTGCATCGCAGAGATCAATTGCTGTTTCATAGTCTCACAAGCCTAACTGGTTCGGTACCGGCCATGCCCCTGGGTCTCCATAATCGCGAAGTCCACATAATCTACTGCGACACAATCACTCATGGACAAAGGAGTCATCGTATCCCAGGGAACTCTAGCTCGGGACATTTTGGCAGATCGAGTAAATCGTTTCTCAGCCTGTTGTGCAGTACGGCACGATGCCGCCCGTATTCAGACTTATCTACATCTATCTGTTCGGATGCTATGCTGGCTACAAAGACCCTTCATCAAAGGTGAAGGGAGCATGCGAAATCCGATCTTCCTCTAGCTGTTCCTCTAGCCCTTCGTTCGAGTATTTAACTCTTCTCCACAGCTCGCAAAGGGCTTTATGTATTTCCAATGTCCAAATATAACCCTTGCTGATCTGCTTGGGATCGGCAACGCCCAGATGCAACCATGCATGAGCGATGAGTATCAACTCTGTCGCCTCCAACCGGATCCTTTCGGGCCGAATCTTGTCATTCAGGCCATACAGGAATTTGAAGACCGCATTCAGGCCATACAGGAATTTGAAGACCGCATTGTAGTTTGCTTTTGTGTTGGGAACCGATTTGATGCCTTGTGGAGTCTGTTTGCGCAGCGTCGTTTCCAAGATGAAGTAGATCGCCTTGTAAGGAGCTGTGTTTTCTGGAGACTGTTCTTCTGCGGAGGCCAAGCTTTTCGTAACAGCGTCTTCGGGAAGCCTTGAATCCCCATTTGCAGACATGATCATGCTGCTCAGGAATTCTGTCAATGGGGTGCTGAAGTTGAAGGGGTCTCTGTCGAAGACTTCCTCGAATTCATAACGAGAGATCGAAGATTCAGCTGAAGAGAACATGGACATATCGTGATGAGCTGTGTGGCGGTGTCGGTCTGAAATCGTCCTGATAGGCGGGGTCGATGCAAGGAGGATTGTGAGTCATATGTTGTGTGGTGGCCGATGCTCAATTTTTCTCGCCCCTCGATCCGCCACATTCCTCCTGCATGACTTCTGGGTCTTATACGTAGACAAGCAATAGTAGCAATTGCGAATGTCGGTATTCGCCACGGTACGAATCTCGCGCTCCTTTCAGGATCTTTGGCGCCATACTCATACAGGGAGTGCCGTGCTCTATGTCTCGCATCATATGACCAAGATTATCACACCATGATTGCGCGCATTGCGCGTGACTTAAGTAACCCTCGTCAAGACAATTATTGCAGTGAAACTTCTAATAGACTAGATGCATACGGAAAATCGTCTGATCACATGTTCGTGTCTAGCACGCTGACGTGCAAGTAAACGAAAACCTTCGCTTGATACAGACAAAGCTATAGACTTATCGTATCTAGCGGAATTGATTTGTGGTTCCTACCAAGGCGAGAACTGCCCGACCATGCATCATACTAACCTACTGGTATTTGTTTGCGTAGCAACGGGTCATGTAGTCTCCAACGACAGCGACGTTTCAAATTATCAGCAACAGATCTATCGGATTAGGGTTTGTTCATCTGGACTTGGTGGCACGAGGTCCGCTTCACCGTCCATCAGCCTGACCAGGTAAAGTACCCTTTATAATTCAACTGTTGTTTCTGCCACCTTGATAGAAGTCCCGTGAATGGCGGGTCTGCAGTGATGGCATCACTGAGCTCGAACAAGTATGCCTGCAGCCCACAGTCGCGACACATGATCTTGTACAGACAGTCAGGATGTAACTTGTTCACCTGAAACTGCTGGATGCTGTCAGTGACACAGTCGATCGCCTCCTTGAGATGCGACTGCTTGTTTTCACTGAACCTCAAGTGGGATATCCTGAATATTCTATGCGCCGCTTCAACTTGACAAGTTCCAGCCAGTTGCTGGTGCATGAGCTAAAGAGTGGCTAGACGTCAATCATTTGATATCGGCCATGCCAGGTTTTACTTATCTTCTTGTCTCGAGTACTTGCAGCCGCACTTGCATTGACACTGAAACCGATCCCAGTTCTCTTGGGCGCTTTGAGCAGGATGCTGAACCACTCTTTACAATCGGCTCTGCACACACAAGCGCTTTGTTAGCGATTTGCTAGGGCGCGTGTTCCGTCCAAGGCCGAATGTACCTGCAGATTCCCTCTTGGCATTTCTGGCCTCCAGAGTATGACCGCTACTAGCCCAGGTTGCGTCAGGATAGGCTGCGATTTCATCCAGCAGCTTGATGACGCGGTTACTGGGTATCGCGTGGGGGTTCCAAGGTAATTGCGCAGCGATCAGCCGCTCTTGTACTCTCTTCTCGCCGAAATTTCACTGTACAGTCAAGACCAGGCTTCACGATCCCCTCCCATAAATGTGGCCTCTTCATGACAAGTCGGGTCGATACGAGACAGACAATCACGCAATCAGATCGTGAAATCGCGTCACGCCATCGTTGACACTAGCTTTTTGGTCTTCGCCATCTTGACACCGCAAACCTATGGCTAGAGTTACAGTCGCGACCAGAATTACATGCGTAGAAACAGAACTGTCCTTGCGGGAAACCAGACCGAGTAGTTCTGAGCTCTCAAGCCGACATCTTCGTATACATTGTCGTCCCATGGACGTTTCAAGATATCGGACAAAGGATTAGAGTTTTGGTGACGTCATTTGCGTTTTGCATCCGCCATCCCTGTCTCCTTTGACCGGCCTCACTGCTCGTGACCTCGACAACACAACAAAGCAACCCTCGACCCTTTGCTTCTTCATCAACATCGACCTTAAAACCTCTTCAAGGTCTTCGACGAAGTCACCTTGACAATCTCACAACAACCGACAACTACTACATCAACCATGGCTGTCACCGACGGTCTCGCCATCAAGATCGTCAACATCGTCGTGTAAGCCCCTCATATCATCTCTCGTCGCGTCGAAAGCGTCGCGTTCTCTTCTTCTCTTTCTATGCTTTCGTAATGATGCTGATCAACTTGCTCCTCTTGTCTGTATGACTACTGCCTACAACTACGATCGCTGGATGATAGCTTCGCGGCCTTGTTGGGATCCAACATCTACTCGGTCGCCGGACCCGAAGACATCTACCGTTCAGGAAGGGAGACCTGGGTCACCCCGTCTTACTATGCCAACTATGTCTGGTCGCTCGTGAGTCATGCTCGGTTCCAGATCTCCAAGCCGGAGGTTCTGTGTACCATACTGATGCATCTGCTATCATCGCCACTGTCCGGCTCTTCGTCCACCTGTTTCCCCTCTGACACCGCACTACCTCACCTCACCCCATCTTGACGGCCTGATCCTACGGAAACGCGACCGGAACCACAAACAGATCCACCTCCTCCTCCTCTTCCTGATGTTCTACCAATTCACCGAACGGGGCAAACAGATGTTCGTGGATACCGTCCAATGGAGGTTCGCCCTCCTCGCGGTACTGAACCAGGCGTTCGTTTGGTTGTGGTACAAGCACTGTGAGTCCAGGTTCCTTTACAGATCATCCGTCTAGCTGGGGCCACAGTTTCCTTTATCCCGCCTGTCCAAGTATACTGAAATGACGTATCGTATCGTCTTCGCGTCCTACCCCTTTTTCTCCGGACATCGTCTTTTTCTGGCGAGCAGGGTACATCACCGCCTTCATCCTCTCCCTCCTCGTCAGCGCCACCGTCTCCCAAATCTACTACACCATCAAATCCTCTGAATCCCGTGGCCAAGAGACGATCGCCGACGAACTGCTCGTCCACACTCCCTTTTCGCTGTGGCACGGATGGAGTTTGGTCTTGGTCGTCTTGAGCGGGTTCGAGGCGTTCGGGAGGTCGGTGCACGTGAGTGCACCTTTTACTTTGAATTTCGACGATTCTGTGGACTGCGATACTGACAGTTTGACCGGCATCCTCTTTGCAATCCGTTGTCTTTTGTTTGGCAGTCTCACGGGGGACACACGGGCGCTTGGACGAAAGTATTCGTTTTCTTCGCTTTCCGTACGTCCGCTAGCATTCGAACGGCATTTGAGGTCTTGATGTCATAGTTACAGAAGACTGACCTACTGTCCTGTCTTTTTCATCTCATCTCGCACACCCTATCCTCATCTCTCTCCGGCTTGAAACCAACTTCTTCTGCAAATAACAACCGGACCCACCCCTTAGTCTTCCTCGAATCCACCGCTGCCGCCTACGCCTTCTCCTCTAGGGAAGGAGACCCCGCCGGAGCCGCCGTCATCGCGTTCTACCTCTTTGCCGTGTTTATGCACCAGACGGGTTCGGGGATCCACCACGACAAGTTTGTCAAATGGACCGCTTTGGTGTTCTTCATCCTCAGCTTGTTTGCAATCCTGAAGAGCGTCTAGTAAGTCGGTTCACCACGTCTTCGCGATCATCTCGGGCTCTGCTGGAATGTTCAGAAGGGATGGATACAGGTGACTAACTTGCGTTCTCGCTATCTGCGATTCTTTTTGACCTTCTCGCAGCGGGACGTTCAGGAAGGGAGGATCCTTGTTGCACGACGAGGAGAGGGCTCCTCTTATTCAGGGTTCTTCCGACTAAGTTCCCGTCGGATCCCCGGGGATCTAGGCCAATCGACCCTTTGTGTCTCGGGAAATCAGATTGATTTCGAATCGATCCTGGCTCTTCGGACATAGGGGTCGGAAGTTTGGTACCCTTGGATTTCATCTTGAACTACCACCTACATACATACACGACGACTCTTTTTCTCATGTCTACTTGCAACCTTCTCACTTGCCCTTCGAACGGAAACGGACTTCACCCGCATGGGTCCCGACTTTGCTTTTACTTTTTCTCTACCGCTATCTGCTCGGCAAGGATTTCAATGTAAACGACTCGTCCACGATGATGATGATGTACGACACGATAGGCGTGATTGCTTGTTACTTTTAGTAGGATAGTCTTATCTATTTATTTGATGCTTGTCTGGTCGATGTTCGAGATCACGATCGTTCATACTGTAACGGACCTGATACGGTCTGGCGTCTTCAATTTGTTTGTTTGCTCATCATACTAGTACTCTCCGCTTGGCTGCCTGCATTTCCGCGTTCTCGCCACTCGCTGCATTGTCAAGATAAAAAGTCTTGCCCTTGACCCAGACCGGTCATGAGCATTGAAAATCTACAATACGAGTACTAGGAGGGAATATTTCCAGCGCGCGCTTGACTCAAATTTGCAGAGGTTTGGATCGTCGCTGTGGCGTTATCGCACGCAGAGTTGATCCTTTCATGAAACTTAATTATGAGATGAGACGATCAGGAGGATGGGAGGGGAGATCATGGAGGCTCAAACGACCTCAGGGATTCCACAGGCTTGAGTGGGATCGTACGAAACACCCAGACAAGGTTTAATACGAACTTCAATCAAGCAGTAGCATGATCAGGGTATGATCTCTCGAAAGAAGTCGATTGGGTATACGAAAGCGATCAACTGACTGATCGACAAAGTTCCAGAAGCACGGAATAGGGGTGGTCCGAAGTATTGCGCCATCATGACACCGACGCATGCTGGCCAGAGTCTGCTCCCTATTATCCCTCTGTGGAATGTAGCGTGATTGACCCACACAAAGGAGTAGCTATTATATGAGGTGATTCGATGATTACATGGCTCGTCATCTTGCTTCCTGGATATCCTCTCTGGCGCGTACTAGTATATAGCAAGGCATCTCGAGATTGATCTTGAGGCTAATTTGAGGGGCAAGAGAAAGCTCACGCACAAACCAATACACTCTTCCTCTGTTGCCCCTCCTTTGGTGTCTTATCCAGCACATTCACCTACGCCGCTCCAACCAAATCAACGCAGCATGTCTTCTGAGACTTATCGACCATCCAGTTCCTTTTCTATGGGAGAAATCTCAGAACTCTTTTCCGAAGATGAGGATTACATGGAATCAAGCGTTTATGAGCTTTGTGCCTCCATGATGCTCTCTGCAGACGGAAAGGTCTCCGATGACCGGGTGATGAGCTACTACAATGCTGTTCCCAAAGAGCATCAAGAAGCAGCCCGCCCATATCAGTCAATCTACAGCATCTTACGAGCCATCAAGACTGGGAAGCGCTCAATCTTACCTGACTCAACACGCATCCCCGACACAACCGAGAACTTCGAGGCGGTCTTGGACTTTTTGACGAAGCTAAACACAAGGGTCACCCCGACTGAGGTCCAACTCACAACACAAGAGTTGAAAGTCGTGACCCGCAAGTGGTTAGCTGTAGGTGCTGTAGAGCCCGTACACCTATACATTGAGGGTTCCTCTTGGACTTTGAAACACTTCACAGCCTTTTGCAGGTTAGGGAGACGGTGGGATCTCGGCGCGGGTGAGCTTGAGCAACAAGCGAAGATGCAGGCGGAGGTATTTGCTGCTCTAGGATAGTACAGATTCGTGTAGTTGATCTGACGTTTGTATTTTTCGGTACCACGTCCTTGAGCATACTATGATTGTGCTCAAAGCAAGATCACATTTTCACGACTCGAATCCAGAGACGGCGTGGAACTGCGGGCCCCTACCAATATAAGGGGGTGACTGGCATACTCGATCTGTCTGTCCCTCGAGAAGAACGTGATCGCAGATCCCTCCTTTGCGGAACGAGAGTGTCAAAGAATTCTCGCTTATGGGGAGGGAGTAGATTCACGTCCTTTTTCTCTGAGAAAGTCAATCTCTCGCCGTGCCCTTATGTAGGTTTCCATCAAACGATACGATACCAATGACCTTAGCGCCGCGTTTTGTGACGGAGATGTTGCCACCCAACTTGCGACTGGTCTGACGCGATGTCCTAATCCAGCAGAATGTCGACATACAGGGGTCGCCGAATTGTCTTTGCCCCCTCGATTGGGGATCCATTTCATCTGAGTGCCTTTCCGAGAGTCTGGACTGAGGCCGCAATATAGTTACTCCTGTGACCGATTCCATAGAAGGCCACGCCTACGAGCTGAGATTTCCCAAATATGACTGCACCATACAGTATGAATTCCTATGCTATGCTATCAATTTACAAATCGTATTTTACAAGAAATTGTTCCTTGCTAGGTGGAGAAGGGTTCTTTTTCGTTCAAAGCCAGCTGAGCGACGTTACTAGAGGCTGGGTACACTTACTTGCCCATCATCAACATCAGCAAGACATAACAATTCGCGACCTGTAAAAGAGCGTCACATGAGTCAGCGCCTAAGGCCCGGAAAATTCCAGCGGAGTGCCTGCCAACTCACTGTTACGACAGCAAATAGCGCATAACCTAGGACCGTAACGATCCAATGAGACGTAAACGATTTGCTCTTGGGCGGTTGACCATCTGAAACGGAAGCCGCCTGGACTTCGCCTATCGACCGCTGCACGTCCTGCGTCTCTTGCAAGCCAGCCGCAGCTGCATCATCGATGGCCAACGCCGACGACTCGGGATCGACATCGTCGTTCCGGCCCAGACCCAATTGCCGACTTCGAGTCGACCTGCTTTCATGCTCCGAAGCGTCGGTGGGCGAGTTTCGGACCGTCATGACGTTCTTGTCCGCGCATATCCAAACGAGCGGGAAGACGACGAATGGCAAGACGACACTGAGGCAGACTTGAGATGCGACCAAGAGTTGATTGACTCCGGATCGGCCGACCGCCACCGCAACGATAACACTGGGAATGATCGAGATCGCTCTTGTGATAATTCGTCGGACGATGGGCTAAGAAGCGGACCAAGTCAGTGTCAAGTCGTTTTAGGCAGTAATCGAAGCCGACTCACGCTGGTTTTCCATTCAATGAATCCCTCACTGACGACGACACCAGCAAGAGTAGCGGTAATCGATGCGCTTTGACCAGACTAGGTGAAGAGAGTTTTATGTCAGTCCATAGATTCCTGGAGAGGCTTGCAGCATTCCATCGACATACGCAAAGTAGAGCCAACGCGAAGATGAAAGCGGCAGCTATACAGTACTTGAGATAATCAGCAATCTATAATGACCGTCTGGTCAAGGCCAAGATTCACCTTTACTGATCTGCTGTTTAATCAGATCATGAGCGGAGAACAGATCGGCATCCGCTCCAGCTTGTCGGATCGCTTCATTTCCGCCGTAGAAGAAGGCTGCCGAGGCGAGGATCAAGATGGCGCTGTTGATAGTCACAGCGAATCCGAGAAGCGAAAGCGTCGTGTCGATCTACCGTGACAAGAAGAACAACCGAGTCAGGGGACGGCTTCCATGCAGGATCGACCTCGTTGCTTACCGTAGAATGCGCGATCGATACCGTGACGTATTTGACCCGGTCAAACGCCTTGATTTCGGCTTCATACCGCACCCTCTCATTCTCCCACTTGGCTTCGGCTTCTTGTTCCTCCTTAGTCAGCTCCCTGTCATCCGTATCAGTCTCGGCCTCCATGGGCGGAGTCGAGTTGACCTGACGTTGCATCCATTTCGCAGGCAAAACAGAAGACCAGTCTTGTTTAGGAAGGCCGTTGGCGCGAATCCGGTTGAATACGGTGATAAGGCCTTCTTTTTCGGCTCGATCTTGAGGAGGAACCGGAGCTGTATCCAGCCGATCTACCGTAGCGAGATGCGAGCCAAGGAAGAGCCCGTGTGGCATGACCGTGGCTGCTCAAGAGGGAGTACGTTTCAGTTGACCAGGCGCAACGCGAAGGAGTTGTTCGACAATTACCTCCGATGATCCCAACCGCCACATACAAGGCGTCCGATTGTACGATCGTCTGTTTAACAGATACACCAACCCGTCAGTCTCCAGCACATATTATCAGGACGTGAAGACTCACGCTCGACGGGACGTAACCGTAAAACACATCGCCCCACTGTGGTTTTATCTGGACCAACAAGATGATAAAGCAGACAAACACACACAAGACCTGTAAATGCACTTATCAGCACCGATCGGATCAACCTAAAGAGGATTTAGCGGGAGGACTCACGAGGCAGACGATCAGGATCTCAAAAGCCATCATTCCCTTTCTACCTCTTTCGGGCCTTTGGAAGAAGGCCAGTACGACGAGGACGTCCACAGCCGTCAAGAGCACTATGATCAGGCCAGCAAGATCAGCGGTCATCCGTACACTCGAACACCCCGGGGAAGCAGGCTCACCTCCTGCATACAGAGGCAATTTCGGGAAGATACTTTATTTGAAAGGCCAGCAAAATATTATCAGTAACATCTATCATACAAGCTTCCATATCGCCCTCGGACTTACAGATTCAGCGCAATAGCGCTCCCCAACAACTCCGCCAGATCCGTAGCGATAATAGCCACCTCTGCCAATCCATAAAGGACATAGAGTCCTCCCATGACCAAATTCCTCCTCCACTTGTACGGGGAAACCTTCGGATGATCCCTCATACGGAGAAAGAGTGCTCTTATTTGCGCTGGGAGGGATTTCGAGGTGGCTATCCCCAGGCGGAGGGAGAGGACTTGGAGGACTGTTTGTCGTTACCGGCACATAAGGGAGAGTGAGCTTTGGTCGATGTATTGTTTGAGCTTTGAGAATGACTCACGAGCTGCGCCGAGTCCAGCTAGGAGGATGACGAATAGGAGCTTATACCCGAATTCGGATCCTGCTTGTAAATCGACTGTCCAATTTCCTCTACGAAGCGAGATAAGCGAGGCATATCATAATCCGGTCAGTCCCGACTTATCCCTCTTCCCGCCCAGGCTTTGAAGTGTATCCTCAGTTAGACTCACGGATCGAAATAAGCTACGCTACTGACCAATCCCGGTCCGACAAACTTGAGGTGCCGGACGAGTACGAACCCGACCTTCCTAATCCCCGTCGGGGCACGCGGGACTACAGGCGCATTCACGCTCGACTCGAGATTTCTGCTCGAGAACGAGGTACTGGTAACCCCAGACCCGTTGGTAGGTCGTCTCGATAACGTCGGTACCGGGTGAGCCGAGAGGGAGGCCTTGATATCTTGTTCCGTCTCTAGATGGGTGGTGTTGTTGATAGCTTCGCGAGGTATAGCCGGTAAGATGGAAAGCTCGTGGTCCTCCTCTTGTGGGAGAGTCTTGTTCGACATATTGGAAATAGGGATCTGTTCTTTGATCCCTATCTTGTAATGACTGTTTACTTTCTTGTTAATGTTGTTATATTCCTGATTATGTTGTTATAGAGCTTGAACTTCCGGTTACTAATCACTATCGATGTTGTTGTATTATTGTTGTCGATTTCCAGTCGGACGGTCAAGAAGGCTATTTGAAGCTGACAGTGATTGCCAGAAAGAGGTATATCAAACCTATCCTCTGAGGTTATAAGTGACGTGCAACCAGACTGGGCTCCTGGGGGTACGACGATGGGAGGCTATGTCTATTCAGGTTACTGACACCAAAGAGTCCTCAGTCATTTATAAGGTTGTTTGCGTTTGCCCGCAGCGAGTGAGACCACCCCTCCCCGAATAGCTCGATGGTCCTTCAAATTGCCTCCGCGTCTTCGGTCGATCCCGCTTCCTCTCTGAAATGCTTCCGCCGAGCATCCCCGATCTGGCCTAATGATAATTCTTCTGATCTGTTGATCTCTTGCTCGTGCTCGACTAACTATGGTGTATGGCATGTATGGGCTCTACAAAGACATTAGTACATCGGTTGTGAAACATTGCGAATACGTTCGATATGATCGTGAAAAGTTACATTTTCTCGACTGCAGGCACCATAGGCAGAGCGTGCATTCGAGAACCGCCTCTGAGGCTGATTGGTCGCATTGGTCGGCTCCTGCCTCCTATCGTATGTATAATTCTGGTTCGTAAAGTGTTTGTATATGGGTTCCGCCTTCACGCGGCAGATTTGATGCTACGACGAATAACGTCCAGCTGAGCGGAAAGGTCCGCGAGTTTCATATTATCCTCCTGAAGCGCCTTGTTTTTGGGATCGCACACGTTGACGAGGAAAGCGAAGTCTACATCCGAGCCACAAAAAATCTCTTAGCAAGTGAAAACCCTTGGGAGGGTCAACGTCAACGTCAACATCGTGAACGCACCTGCTTGAGCGATCGAGGAGAGTTTCGATCTCCTCCTCCTAGCCAGCTTTTCCTGCAAGTCCGCAAAGAACTCCTTTGATACAGATTCTGCCCTGGTGACGATCGAATCTGGTACGCCGGCCAGATGGGCGACATCTAGGACGAACAGAACTCGATGTTCAGCATCTCCTTCGAAATTTCCACAGATGGCAAGACAAGGCATCGACACTCACGGGTACCGAAACTGCTCTCCGCCACCCCATCGATCAACTTGTACATGGGTATCACCTCCCGCTTCTCATCATTGACCTGGGTTTGCATGTGTTGACATCTCACATTGGGATGAGGTTCCGGGTAAAGATAAGCCTCGGTCAACATGTGGTAATGGGTGCTGAAAAAGCCGATGGGTAGGGTGTGCGTGGCGAGTTGATGGAGGATGGCTTCGGCCAAGCTTTGTCCGTCGAAAGTAGCGGTCCCTCGACCGAGTTCTAATCGGGAAACAGGATGTTAGATGGGCAAGCAGGTCTGCATACTAGGTTTACGTGCTCACCATCGAGGATGGTCATGGCTTTCGGACCAGCTTCGGTGAGAATTTTCTTTGCCTGATAATGGATGGGAAAAATCAGTCAGCCATTTGAGTTTCCGGTAAGTCAGGCCACGATCTCACCTCATCCATCTCTACGGCAAAAGTAGATCGGCCGGAAAAGATGGCGTCGTATGCACCCATTCGGGTCGCGATTCGGTCGACGGGAGAGATTCTGTATCGCATCCAGAGCAAACCGATTGAGTTCGAGGATCACTTGAAGAGAAACCGTAGATAGCTTACACGGCTTTCGCTGCGGGTACGAAGCATCCAAGTTGACAGAGAATGATTCCCATCGCGGTCGATCGCATCAAAGTAGATTTACCAGCGGTATCTGACGGCAACATGTGTCAGAAAAAGTGATCTCGCGCAGAAACGACGCAACTTACTAGGGCCTGTAAGGAGCACTTGCCGCGCAACATCCCCGCCCAGCTTGATATCATTGGCGATAAAGTCGGTTCTCAATGACATGCAAGGGTGTCGGAGATCTTCAAAGTCGATGTAAGCGCTATCTGAAGCGACGATTTCAGGTCGGACCTTGGGCTCGTCCATGTCGGCGGACGACTTCGCGAGTGACAATAAGCAGTCGGTCTCGGCAAAGATACTGCAACATGGATAGATCAGTCTTTCGAAAGTCGAGCGTCGAGTCGAGTACCACGACGCTCACCGGACGGCTTTAAGCCAGGTATCCCGGTCTTTGTCAAACTCCGCCATCAGGGTACCGTAAAATTCCGCAAAGGCGATCTTTCTAGTTTCTCTAGCTTCTTGAACCTCACGAATGAGGGGCAAGGTTTTAGGGGTGACATAGCGCGAGAAGGCCTACAGGAAAATCCTCTAAGTATGCGCAGGGTCTCCTTTGAATTTGTGCTGAGCTCACCTTGGTGCCAGAAGTTTTTGTCCAATTGGCAGGGGCGGAAAACCCGTTGGCAGGTGCCTGGATGTGGTAGATTTCCTGAGATACGCAGACAGATACTCTCAGTCTGCATGTCATCCACACATGGGAAAGAACGCGCCGACTAAACTGACCTTCTGACCCTGAGCCGAATGCCAATACGTCAAAGATTTACACTTCGTCTGAGACTTGTAAGCTTCAAGCGCTTCATCAAGAGCTTCCTCCGCAGCGTCGACCGCGTCTGCGGCCTCGTCACAGACAGAACTCGCTCCCCTAGAAGGAATGATGACTGGGAAGGCCGGACGATAAGCCAACGCCTATCTCACGGTATGGTTTCCTCGACTCACCGCCGTCCGTCAGGGTATACATCGCTTGAATATGTCCCATGTATTGGGCCAGATCGGGAGACGATCTGATCAGCTGACCGGTACTGCTGCCATCGAAACCATCGGTCATTTCTGCAAGCCGCGCGAAACCGGTCGAGATGCGTTTGAAGGCGTCCAGCACTTTCAGGAAATCGCCCTGCTTGCATCGTCCAGCGTGTATCCGCGAGATCAGTCGCTCGAGATCAGGGACGCCGCTCGCCATCTTGCTGAATCGTTCGCTGAATTGGGGGTTGTTCATGAGGTCTTGTACCGCATCCAGCCTATAGAAGCGTTGTTGAGCCCTGGTCCATCGCTTAGCGATCCATACGTGGTATGCTTACCTGGCGTTGATGGCGTCCACCTCCCGGAGCGGCACTGTCAGCCACAAGCGGAACAATCGTTTGCCGAACGGAGTGATACACCTCTGCAATAGTTGCAAAAGGGTACCGTCGCTCCCTCCCTCGTTATTGAGCAAAATCTAATGGCATCATGGTGCTATTAGCGATGAACATCAGGGCCGACGGTCTGTCGCGAGCGAACTCACCTCGAGATGGCTCAATGTTTGCCCATCCAACACCATACCCTCCCCCTTTCGAATCGGATCATAGATGTTGAAGCTCTTCTGACTGAGCAAGTCGTTGGCCATGTTGAGACTCTGGAGGTAGAACATCATTCCGCCAAGCGCTTCGATCGCCAAGTCCTGACGTTGTTCCACCATCTCGGTGATGGCGGTCGGGACTTCGGCGTTTTCGGCGTTTTCTGATATGCTACTGAAAAAGTCGCTCAATTTGATGACAGTCGCGTCGAAGGATAGGAACTCAGTCTCCGGCCGGAGCGAGACCCAGGTCGTATTCATAGGTAAGGAGTTGCGCAAAAGCCGAGATGTCGAGGTGGTGAGGTTGCCCTGATACAGGATAAAAACGACAAGTTTAGCTGATATAGGAGTGAATCACCTGATTTTGCGACCCGAGACCCACCTTTTCGTGCAGCAATTCCTTGATCCTCAACTGCCTCGTAAGCGTCTCCAACCTCGTCGCCACATTGTCATCCTCCCACGAGCTGAGTTCGAATTGTCCTGTCGCAGCGTCCAGTACGCAAACGCCATACGTCGCCCTGAGACCGTCTTCCGATCTGCCTTCCTTGATGGCAACACAGTGGGACGCTTCCTCCTCTGTCAAAAAGGCCTCGTCCACCACGGTTCCATTCGTAAGGACGCTGGCCAGTTCTCTTCGTACGATCCCATCTCCTTTCGCCGGTTTGCCCGCTTTCGCCTTGTTTCGCATCTCCATCCTGATTATAGCAAATATGATTAGTATGACATCAGTACCGCGACTTCGCATGTTCACGCCTGCAAGCTCGACTCACCCGATAGCCGTCTCTGCCTGTTCCACCTTGCCGACCTTGTACCCGGCAGCGAGGAACTTGGCAGCCCAGAAATCAAAGCTGGCTTCCGGTACACCGACCTAGCAGAGCCGCAACGCCGTCAGCAAGCGTTCTTACATCGGGAAAGGGATGGACTGACCATCTTCATCTTCACCCGATCCGTAAGTTTCAGGTCAAACTCGGCATGTCCAATCTCTGCGTCATTCTCGTACAACTCGTAAAATTTTCCCTGCGTTCGCGAAAACAAACGAACGTTTCACCTCATCAGCTTGTTAATTTGATGTAATACTTCGGCGCGACGCAAAGCCTGAGCGTACCTTTTGGAAGAACAACACCGTATCAAAGTGATTCTGCTTGATCTCCCAAAATTGCTTTTCAAACGGCGAAAACGTCGCCCAGGCCTTGCTAGGGATGAACACCGTCCTCGGGTCATACTCGGGATCGCCCGGGCGATTCTTCTCTTTCTGCAAAGTATACCATTGTCGGCCTCATCAGCGTCGAGTCGTGAATGTCAACAATGGCCAAAGAGCTGAACTATCGTGACTCACGTCCCGCAGATCCTTCAAAAACTCGAAACAGTCCTCCTCGGCCCTCTTCTTCTCCTTGGCCTCCAACCGACTCCTCTCTGCTTGCGTCAAGAACCCTCCCGATCCACCTCCTCCAGCCGAATTCAATCCGGACCTTTTACCCGCAGACTTGTTACTGCCGTTCCCGAGCGGTCGTACGGGAGGCCGGGTCGGAGTCTTTTGCGTGTTTGTGGAAGAAGAGGAGGGGTCGTAAGTGAATTGCGAAGCCCGGGAAGATTCCCCCGCTTTGGTAATGAGACGGGAGGTAGAGGGAGGAGGTTTCTTGGTCGTCTTGCTCGAAACGGGCGTCTTCTCGAACTCGTCCATCGCCGCGGCTAAAACGTCCCTCCAGATCAAAAGCATGAATCAGCTCAAAAGGTTCAGATTTCCGAAAGGGAGACAACCTGTCCGGTCCCAAAACCGCCGACTTACCGAGCGCCTCGTCCCCAAAATCAAAGCCATCATCCATCATCTCAAACTCGTCCTCATCTTCCTCCCCACCCGGCCCCGCACCTTCACTGATATCCATCTCGAACTCATCATCATCACCCCCTTTCCCCTTTTTGGTTTTCTGCTTCTTGGCTTGTTGTAGTTTCCCCTTTGCTCTGGATCTTCCTACCACGGATCCCGAAGAATCAGAACCTGCATCTTCGGGTTCGGAATCCGTCTCCGCGTAGACGACTTTGCGTTTCGTCGATTGTCTTCGAGCCTACGATAATGGTGATCCGTGATCGCGATCGGTGATCAGGACGCGAACACGACATATATGAGCCTCGACGTCAGCATAACCGGAAGACATGACCTAACGTCGACCGGTATCGACTATACAAGGCGAAATACGGAATGAGAAAAAGACTTACAGTCACCTTGATCGGAGAATCTTCCTCTTCACCACCCATCATATCCATCTCCACATCATCCGTCTTCACAACCTTCTCACTTGAAGTGGTAGCACCTTTGGACGTCGGCTTCGAAATCGACTTCGAACTCTCCGTCTCCGGCAGGTCCTCCAACTCGCTCAACGGGCTCGACGATCCAGCTCCGACTGATGTTTTGCTAGCACTACTACTAGGCCCGGATGTGATCGAGGGTTTGGCTTTGAATTGAGGGACTAGTGGTGTAAAGCCTTTGGGTTTCGAAGCTGTTGGTGTCGATGTCGGTGTCAAACCGGATGCTGAGCCTGCTGGTTTCGTAGGCCCAGCCATAAGAGTCGTGCTGGCCTTAGGGGTCGCGGCGAAAACGTCCTCCTCCTCCTCTTTGTTGTCGTTATCATGATCATGATCGAAGGTGTCGAGATCGAGATCGACGTCCATGCTCGTATCCATAGTCAAATCCATACTGAGATCCACACTGGTATCCGGGTCGATCTCGATCGGTTCTCCTTCAACCCTGATCGACTGCGAAGAACCGAGCTTCTTCTCCTTCGTCTCATCGCTCGGAGTCCGGACGAGACCTCTGCTCTTTCCCTTGTTCCCCAAGGGCGACTCCTGTGCTTGTGCTTGTGCTTGTTGTTGGAGGACGTCCGAATTGGATCCGGTCCTAGAGACGCTCTGTTTAGTCTTAGATCCAGCTACTGTTCTGCTGGAAGTGCCCAACGTAGGTGTCTTCGGAGCGGGACGGGAGCTGGAGCTGGGGGTATTAGGTTTAGATTGAGATCCTCCCGGAGTGGGCTTGTTGAAGAACCCTAACAAGGTGGTCTGACGGCCCGCCGAAGTGGGCGTCGAGCTGGGTGGCATGGTGGTTCGGAGGCTTTATGTAGCTATGTGAGGTTCAGCTACTGAAGGCGATGTATATAGGAAATGAGGGGAGCGAAGGACTATAGTAGTTCTGATATTTTGATCACGGTTCATCAACCTATCTGATCATCCCGCAACCTCAGTCGAGGTCGCGTTCGAATCGCGTCGACGCGTTCAGACGCGCTAAAGCTAAATGAGAAGAGGATATGGGATGGGATGTGGATGACGGCCTCCGACCGAGATACCAGCAAGCCGACATTTCTCCTCCTGGATATCTGCATCAAACAGAGCAGCAGGTCAACAGCCAACAGGGTCTATCGTATGAGAGCGCTCGGTGGACGACCGGATTTGATTCGAGGTATCGAGCGGTAAATCGCATGACATACAGCTGACGGCTCGGTCACGTGACCTCGATAACCCTAGCGACGAGATGCCGTCACCCTGATTTGACGGGGCCGAGCGGATGTTCTGACGGATATTTCCATGAATTCATAAGTTCTGAATATATTTCGATCGAGTGCGACTGTCCTGGCATCTCATCACCTCGAGCAAGTAAACTGGGATATAAGGATATAAATCAGCGAAGTAAACATCAGCTGCAGCATCCATAGACCGTCTTTAACAGCGTCAAGAACAAGTAGTTGCTTGGTGAACAAATATAGAGATCGAGCCGCTTCAGGCATCTTCGCACAACCACAAAGGCAGCACAACCAGCACGGGATCACGCTTCATCGATTACCATGCCATCTTCAAACTCAACAAGAGCTACAGCGAGTAACGAGACAAATGCCGGTACCACCTCCTCATCAACCACGGCGGTCCCTACCCGACCGCCTAACATCCAATACCCCGCCTTGTTCGGTGACGCATCGATCGTAAGCCCTGACATGGACCCCTGGGCCGACACTTTAACACTACACTCAAGCTGAACCCCGCATCTCATCCTAACTTTTCCTTACATTACACGCTCATCTCTCAAACTCACTGGTATATACTTCTGGTAGGACCACGCCGTAGCGGGTTTAGGAGCCGGGACGATAGCCACCCTAGTTATGCATCCTCTCGACCTAGTCAAGGTTAGGTTTCAGTTGGCGACTACGCCTTTGGCGAGCACGAGCACGAGCATGAGCTCCGGGATGGGATCTTCTTCGTCAGGATCGGCATCGGCATCGACATCGACCTCAGCATCGTCAATACGTACCAGCACAAACCCTTTTCCTGCATCAACATCAACATCAATACCTTCGACATCATCATCATCAACAATATCAACACCCTCAACCTCAACCTCAACCTCAACCTCAACCTCAATCTTGAACTCAAGAGCAAACCCCAGCTCGAAACCTCGACTAGGAACAGCCGTCTACTCAGCCCTCAGGGATGCAGTGAAACAAGACGGTCCGTCCGGCCTATACCGCGGTTTGGTACCGAACTTGGTCGGGGGAGCGAGTAGCTGGGGGTTATATTTCCTCTTGTAAGTCCAGGGTTGGGTTCTTCTTTCTTTCTTTTTTCGACCTAGACAGCGAGGAAGACAAAGATAAAGTAAAGAGCATGGGTTTGCGAAGGGAGTGGGGGCTGACGAAGATGTTATCGGTATGGGTCGTCGGATGGAACAGCTACAACATCCTGAAAAAACAGATGCAAGGCGGAGATCCGAACTACGTAACCTCGCCTTCCCAGCACCTGCTCGCCGCAGCGGAAGCCAGTCAGTCCAAAGCATCTCCCCCACATCACGATCTTAGCTTGTACTGTTCGCTGACGAGAACCTGCTGGGGATCGGGATCTAGGCGCGATCACGGCCATGTTGACGAACCCGATTTGGGTGGTCAAGACGAGGGTGTTTGCCAGTAGCAAGAATTCAGAGGCGGGTCGGGCTTATCGGGGATTATGGCGTACGTCCCTGGTTATCTTACGGAGTCGACTTTGAGAGGAATGACAAGCTCACAGCGATTCGAATCCGATCTCGATTTCTTTTGTTTTGGGTTTCTATCTGGTAGACGGCCTGACCTCGATATACCGCACCGAAGGTATCCGAGGACTGTACCGAGGATCCCTCTTGGCGCTCGTCGGCGTATCAAACGGGTCGATCCAATTTGCTACGTACGAGGAGATCAAGACGAGACGGGCTGCGATCAAGCGGAGAGCGATCGAGCGGGAAGGGAGGGTTTGGGGGAGGGGGGATGAGAAGTTGGTGAGTCCGCGATCGGCTATATTACGGTCGTGACGTGCAATATGTGCTGATCATTACTGTGGGTGCTGGTAGTCGAATATGGAGTACATCTTGGCTAGTGGGAGTTCGAAATTGGTCGCCATCGCCTTGACCTACCCTTACCAGGTCGTACGAGCGCGAATACAGGCAAGTCCCCTTCGCTTCTCCCCTCTCACAAAGTCGACGATGATCTAATTCCCATGCCTACCATCCGCCTCGATAGAACGCCGCCACTTCGGACCTCTACCCAAACATCCCAAAGACCATCTCTCGGACGTTCCGACAAGAAGGTCTCCGAGCGTTTTACAAGGGTCTGGGAACGAACGCGTTGAGGATCTTGCCGGGGACGTGTACGACGTTTGTGGTGTACGAGAACCTGGTGTGGGGATTCCGAGGGATAGCGGATTGGAGGCAGCAGGGAGCTGACGGGGGTACGGCGGATGGGGAGGTCTTGGTCGGAGGTGTTGGGACGGACGGGGCGATTGTAAAGAGTTGATGTGGGGGGTCAATCGGGATGACGTCACGCCTCATTGTTATCGTCACGTGATATGAGGGATGGTTGCTTGATCGATCTACTCTTGGCTGGGGTCGATCAGTAGAACATGACTACCTATTCTCATGCTCGATCGTTGACACATATCACGTCTACCTCGATACCAACAAGCACCATGTCTAAACGGACTCTGGATGCATTCTTTGCGGCACCCAAGCCGAAAAAGCAGAAGAAGAGCGGGCTCTACAAAGAGGACAGCAAGGGCGTGATCGAACTCGAGCCGTCCCCATCGCCATCGCCATCGCCATCCCCATTACCGGTTGTGGTGACGAGCAAGGAGACCATCGAGATCGTCTCGGACGATGACGAGATTGCCGTGGTGTCAGAGACGAAGGCCGTCAAATCTACGTCGGTGGCAGCTCCTGTCATCCTGACGAACACCGGCTTTGCCATCGCCGCTCCTGACCGGGACACCTCGCCGAGCGGACCTCCTTCGATTCATCCGACATACCCCTTTCCCATCCCTTCACTACCTCGGCACCTCCTGGAAAGCATGCAACCTTCTAAAGAGCCTCGCGCTATTAACGATGGAATCGACCTGGACTTGCTCTGTTACGAGCCGTATATGGCATCGAGCTTGGCGAGGGATTACGGAGAGTTCTTAAGGCGGGAACTGCCTTTCTACCGTGTTCAGTACAAGATCAACCGGTTTGGCAAGGAAACAGAGATCAACACCCCTCGATACACTGTGAGTTCTCCATCTCTCACCGAGCATAAAGTCGATGCTCATAACGGACCCGGTTCATAGACCGTCTTCGGGATCGACGATACGTCCCGTTTCTCACCTGACGGTCAGATCCTCGACGCTCGAACCGGAAAACCATCCCCAGCCAACAAATACAAGACCTGCCGCCCTCGCCCCATCCCCCAATGTCTCCAATCCCTACTGGACGCCACCTCGGAATGCACCAACACCTCGTACAACTTCGCCCTCGTAAACTACTACGCCTCGGGGCAAGACTCGATCTCGTTCCATTCGGACGACGAACACTTCTTGGAAAAAGAGCCCGCAATCGCTAGTTTCAGCTTCTTAGGGGCGAGGGATTTCTTGCTCAAACATAAACCTATGAAAGAACAAGGACAGCCGGTGGAAGGTGCCAAGAAGGGGGAGGACAAGCCGATGAAGTTCAACTTGACGAGCGGGACATTGATCCTCATGCGGTAAGCCGCTTTTGGTGTCTTAGTGAGAGCCACCGAGCGAAGCTGATTGAAATTGTGGACGATGTTGTTGCAGCGGAAAGACCCAATCGAATTGGCTCCACTCGATCCCTAAGCGAGCGTCGAACGGGGTCCGAGCACCAGCCATCCAAGGGAGAATCAACATCACCTTTAGGAAGAACATGACGGCGGCAGGGACTGAGAACTATTATCGGTATAATGTTGGGACGGGTCCGGTTTGGAAGTGGGACGAAAAGAAGAAGGAGATGAAGCTGCATGTAGCCGATACGTCCGACATTTGACAAGATTTACATCGCGAGAGATACATTGCACCGAATTTACATTGCCAGTATTCAGGTCGGTGTAGCTGCAATTGAAGACGGTTCCCCGGACTGCGGATCATTTAAGTGATATCCAGATTTACCATTTCGCAGGGTATCTGAATACGGAGATAGGCAGTAAAGCGTGGCGTGATGGTTCGTCGTACTTTCGGCAAACATTCCGCCTGACTCAACACTGATCTTGCACATAGCACGCGGTGCGGCGAGGACGAAAAGAGGCTACACATAGCACAAGGCGCTGCTGCGGGTGTTTTCTACTTGCTGGCTACCGGCTGTGGGAGAATGTTTCCATGGTTGAGGTCAACGAGATTGTCGACCGATATATACTCCGCGTCCGATCGAATGCGTACTCGCAGTGGCAAAAGGCTCACAAGCGAATAGCTTGACGAATGTTGAAGCACTAGGAGCCGAATTGTTATAAGATAGCCTTGTGTCCTAGCGAGAGGCAGTTGCCCCTCCCTCCGCTCCCCCCGGCTTAAGACACTTTGTCGTCACCACCGTAATCGTTTTCATTCTTCGTCTTCGTTATCGACGCAGAGATCGTCGATGACGTACCCAAGTCGCTTTCTGCATCTGGCCTTGGTCCGTCTCTTGTCCCTCTTTGCAGGTCCCGGCCCTCCTTTGTCAGAGTCATTAATGTTGGAATCCATGTCGATCTCGGAATCCATGACAGGCCCGACCATCTCGGTCGCATTTTGAAGATGACTCCGTTAGGGGTGACATTATGCGATTTGGTACAGAGCTTTAGAGCAGGAGATGATGGCGGACGGCAACGGCCCGCTGCCCATGGTCATGATAGCGTACCAGGTGAACCAGTACTTTCTCAGGATCTTGCTGCTTGGTGAGTCGATTTTGGTGAAATCCAAGGTCGCACATGTTGAAACAACCGTAAAAGTACGTCCGCGCTCGGACGGAACAGGAAAGCAAAGCGTCCCCACGGTCTTCGAACTGAGTCGTGCCGCTTGGCGTGTAATCATGCCGTTTGGGTATCGCAAGTGTGTATCGATACATCTCTAACATTATAAGTACATTTTGTTACGAATGGACTAGCCGAGAAGGGCCGTTGAAGGTGTATATTTCCCGCCGACAACTGCAATGGTCGGGGTTTGTTAGGTTATACAACGTTTAGAACCCATTGTCGCTACAACTGAACGGGCTCTTGATGCTACCAGTAGCATAAGAGTTAATGATGGACTGAACAGAGGCGTAGGTGCCGACTCCGAGGATGAAGATACCTAAGATGACCAATGATGTCAGTGACGAAACAAAATGGAGGCGTTTGGCGAATGGGGGGACTTACCGACACCGATCAGGATGACCGCGATGATGGACTCGATCGCATGCAATCCCCTGAAAGGCTTGCCCCGGTTCATTTTGAGGTAGGCAGATCCCCAGAAGATGAATCCGAACCAGCTTCCGAAAAGGGACGAGACTGGCGATAGGGGTAACAGGTTAGCTTGTCCTGTTACTTCTGTTTGATTGTGCTGATCAGAATCTCTACTTACTGACACTCAGCAGATCGCTGAAGAAAGGAACTGTCAGATTTGGAAAACAGAAATTGCGTCAGCCTGCTGCCGTCTCAATTGCTTGCTGCGCTCGCGATGACTTACTGGCCTCTCCGATGATGTATGCGAGGACCCAGATCGCGGTCACGATTCCAACCCAGGTACCCCAACCCTTCACGGTATGCGTCCTTCGATGGATCGACTTCTCGGAAAAGATCTGGAAGAACAGCGCTCGCGAGGTGACCAAGGAGTACAACATCCCGACGATGATCTGCAGTGCAGAGATACATCAGTACCGCCGCTAGTCGCGCAAAAAGGGGCTGTCCCGACGTACGATGGTGGGAAGGGTCAAAGCGGCGGCGACGTAACGGAACCAGCCGGTCAAGGAGCCGTATCCGGGAGTCGTAGCAAGGGGCCCTGAGTATTGTCGATCGAGATCAGCTGTCAACCTTCTCGCCTCAGTCGCCGCTGAAAGGCTTACCAGTAGTCGAGTAAACGACAGCTCCACAGATGGTGAACAGCAAGACCTCGACAGACATCGAAATGTAGAGCGCAGTAGGGAACTCTTCGGGGTTCTTCATGTCTCCGACAAAGGACGGGATCAAGGCTTGTCCGGTAAAAGTGTAGATGATGTTGAGCAGGGCGCTGATGCCTTGAACAAAGGTCGTGCCCTCGGGGGCCCAGACGGTCCATTTAGTGGGCGTCTGCATCTCGTTGATGAAGCCGTTAGGGTGATCCTGGATTCCGTGGCCTGCAGGTCACAAGGAACGCTTGTGAGTGTCATACTTTGCTGTCTGAAAGATTTCCTGAGCGATGCTTACCGATGACGACAAAGAAGAAGCACAGAAGCATAGTACCAGCGGAAATCGCAGCGGCAAACTCGGCCTTGCTGAATCCTCGGACCAAGGACCCGGCATACATGATCACACCGATGATCAATCCCCACAGAGCCGAACAGAAGGTGTATCCGAGTGTGTTGATGGCGACAGTCCCGGCGTTGACGTGCAGACCCATGATGAAGATGTTGTTCAGGGCGAGTCCGATGAAACTGCAACAAGCGGACGTGATCAGCGCGAATCCTTCGATGCAAGCGCGTATCAGCGGGAAAGCCAGGTGGAAACTTACGCCGCGGTCCAGGCGATCCTGCTCTTTCCACAAAGTTCGTATGCGACGTCGGCGATATCACTGTCATATGTCCAGGATCTTGTTCAGTAATCCGTGTGATGGATTCAATGCGGCCATGGGCCGTGTTCTTTGCCTTACCGAATGTGCGGGTGACGCATGCAGTACCTCCAGAGAATCAAAGAGGTATACAGAGTGCACGCGGCAACGATCATCGTGGTGATGATACCTCCAGCCATTCCCAAGATGCTGTACGACCAGGGGAAGGCAAGAATAGCCAGGACGACATATTCGACTACAAGGAGTCGACGTCAGCCTAGAGCGAATCGAGCTGTTTTATGATGGTGTCTCCTTACCTAACAATAGCGAAGTCGCTTGAACAAGGGTCAAGGACCTCTCGCGGATCTCGACCATCTCGGAAGACTCGTCATCACCGGTGACTTTGGTCACTTGAAAGACCCTCGAGTCGGTCTTGACCATCGTGGGTGCAGCGCCGTTCCGAGAAGCGTTCAAGGTCGAGTGTTCCGACTCGCTTTCGGTGAGTGGGACCCTGATGGGCTTCTCGCTAGCAAAGCCCTCTGCAGGGCTGGCACCGGGTAGACCATGATCGATGTTGGCTATGGAAATGATGAGATTAGGGGAAATCTCGAGGATGGAAACGCGTCACATCCGGGAGAAACCCTCACTCTCGTATTTGGCGAACTCTCTCGGCTTGGTGTGGGTAGACATGTTGAAGGAGATTCTCTGAAGTAGGTCGTGGTGGGCAGGATAGAAGGCGTTGTATCACAGATCAATGGTAGATAGGGGTCAAACGGAGAATCAAATCAATGTAACGGGGGCGAGCGAGGTAATCGTGATTGCATAGTCAGGATGGGGTCTCTTGATATTAAAGGGTGCCAACGGGACCGGTCGTTGCCAGGGTGTTGGCAGCCCGTAGCCAGAGAACTTTTCGCGCCCATCTCGATTGGCGATCCCTAGGGTACTCAATGCGACACACATTCGATCGCCGGTGACATTGATAAGATGTGATATCACGCCAAACCCCTCTCCGCACTCTTCCCCGAGGACGAGCCAACGTGCTCCTCGTCTAGGACTTCCAAATCTGCGTCATTCATCTCGGGCGCCACCGAACGAGCACCTGGGAGCTGGAAAGGGGAAGTCCTAAAAAAAAAAACCTCCCGTAACACGCGGATGCGTGACTTCCCGCCCTGCCCCCACACCTCCGTATGCCTCGGTCATATCATTGCGTTTGTTCGGGGACCGCGAGATCTTCTCTTGTTGTGTTTTGCATGCGCAGGACAGAGCGGAAACGCGAGGGGCTCCAGCACAAGGCTCGGGTATCGATAGTCAAATCTTCCGTTGGCGTGATTTCATGATAGGGGGCGTCATGCGTCATTACAAGGATTTGAATTCGGTCGGCGACAAGTCTCATGGCCTGAAGATGGCTCCAGGTTTGACGGGTCCTGACGAACCTCCCGCGGAGCGTTTCTTCGTGTGGCCCGGGTAGTGTCTCGTCTCGACGGCGGAAGAGGCGCCTTGCCAGTCCGAGACTGGCGGATTTTGGGTAGGAACCGGCGGGTAGCCGTTATATCGGGTCTGTTGGGGGTATTGGCGTGGCGGTGTATCGTGTCGTCGTGAAGATTTGTGTTTGCTAGAAGATATATCGTCAAAGCCCTGTTCCAGCATGGCTTGCATTTCGTTCAAACCCATAGTTTCGCCCGGAGTCGCCGGGATCTCATGAGCCAGCATGACCTTGGGTGGTGGGAGATATTGGGGGGCCGTCTCGTCGTACTGCAACAGGATGGGTCAACATCGAGCTTCAGTGCTGTCTGGAAGGTGAGACCTACTCCTCCGACATCTGACCCCCATACGTCGTCCGAAAGACTCGATGTTTCTGATCGGTCGTCCCGATCGACGAACAACATGTTGCGGGACCCTGGTGGTCCGTTAAACTGTTCACGGTGTCGACGTTCGAGCTCTTCTGCTCTCTCACGGCGTTTAGCGACTCGCCGGAGTTTTCGTAACCTCGATCGTTCCCAGTCACTCCATTTGCGCAGAGGAATGCTGGTCCCATCGAATATGGCAGTCTTGTCTTCCCGCACGGGAGCGCCAGCCTTGCCTGCAACTTGTCGTGTGGCTCCCCAGCTCAGGTCTAATCGAGATCTCGTATCAGCGAGGTGCTTTGTCAGGCAGATCGAGGTGCCTGTACTTACCGTCCATCTTGATAAAGCTGTAAGCGGGCAAGACAAAGTTCCAGATGGGCAAGCTCAAGAGATAGATGACCATCCATCCGACATAGACGACCCTGCGCGTCGTGATGAGGACGAGGATGGCCGGCAGTCCGAGCACTCCGACTAGCAAGATGACAGGGATGGCCTCTTGGAAATTTGTAGGAGGTTGCAAGGCGGTATTGATGATCAGGGCGTACGTCAGGCATACCGCGACCGGTAGGACGATCGTTCCAAAGAGCCTTTGATTCGGACGTCAGTCTTCTGGGCTCCGCAGATCAAGACGAGCCGACTCACTCTAGCAGAACGATGAAGGACATCGAACAGCAAAAGACTCCGCACAGGTTGGGCACTTGCAGTAGCTCTATCAGATTATGGATCGAGGAGCAGATCCACCGTCTACGTTGAGACAGCAAAACGGAAAAGGTGTCCGGGACCAGCGTTTTGCATTTGGCCGCGCTGCAAAACATCATTTTCCGTCGAGGAAAGTTTCGAATCATCAGGGTGCTCAGGAAACGGTCCTCGCCTGTAGGGTCCGAATGGATGAGCTTCGCGTGCGAAAAGGCATGGAAGGAAAGATCTTCATTTCCGACGTACCAAGTTCCAGCAAGGATTTCTCATGCAAGCTGGCTGGATTGCTCTGACTATACTCTTGGCATACAGACGGCTGGGCCAGAATAGGCACCCAATCGTCTCCTTCTGTCTTTCGGACCTGAAACACCGACGTCATCAGCTACGGCGACAGCCCGCACCAGATTCGCCTAGTCAACGTACTTTTAGTCGATAGATACTGAAGCAACCGGGCAGACAGGAGACGGTATGGATACTCGACTCGAAAGCTTTGGCCTGTATGGACGGAGAAGTTAGCGATCAACAGTCGCTGTTGCAGTCCTTCATGACTGACCTGATGATGGGAAATGAAGTATTCAAAGACCTGATATGCAGTCTGATAAGCTCAGCTTTCACGGTTGATTAAACGTCCGTGGACTCACCTGAATCATCGTGACCCAGGAGGCCTTCTTGTTCGCTATAGTCGTCTCGCCACAGAGACCCATGATTTCGGGATCCTTGTACATGCAATTAACAAGGATTCTGAGTGACGATGGGTATACTCGGGTGTCCGCATCGACCTATCGTGCCGTCAGGTTCAGCCACGGGCATAGTCTAATACCAGGCTGACTCACCATCAGACACTTTCGAAAGAACAGCTTCAAGGGTCAGAATCATCCAAGGCAACGTGAAGAAAGTAGATCGACTCACTAGCTCGAAATAATCTGCCGTGACCCCACAAAGAACCTGGATTTTCCTGAACATGTCATAATCCAGCGGACTGAACGGATCATTGTAGTTGACCCGAGAGATAAAGTTCATCAGGATCATCTGAGAATCCCGTTTGCCTCGATTCCCAGGTTTCCTTTCTCCAGCTTCTCGCGGGTGTCCGGTCTTGACGACGATCAGCATGGGCGTTCGCCTTCCTTTCGTGGACTCTACGAGCAACGAATACAGACACCTTAGCCAGGTTCGCCCCGCTATGTTATCAGCCCAACGTACTATAATGTCCCGCATACACCTTGGCCTGGTTCTCCCGCTTCGCGCCGACGCCGACAGCGATATACCCCATTCCCTCAGGAGTTCCAAACCTCGGATCAGCCTCTAACATCCCGATACAAATATCCGGCGTGCTCTGCTTCTCCCCACTCCCCGTGATCATCCCATCGCAGACGACGAACAACAACTTTCTGCTATCCGGGAAATCGGTATTACTGATCGAATCCAGTGTCCCTCTTATCGAATCGTCTCCCTCGCTATAGCACGTGACCAGACACAGGGTATACAGCTCGGGTCCGATCGCCGACAAGGGGATCATGGGCGCCGGAGCGGTATTGACCATGTCGAGCGCATCGATCTCGTCCTTGGTCTCTTCAAACCGTCCGTTCTGGCTCCTCTGCTTCGTGAGGACGCCCTTCCGTGTGGGGTCGTTCCGTCCCCCGGCCCACGGGGCCATCCCGTTGGTATCGTGAACCGTCCGATTTGCTCCCGCTGGCAAGACCGACGGGCTGATCACCGACTGAGACGACTTGGGAGCCGGGGCGCTCATCCTCGGAGCGAGGAACCAGGCGAAGAAGCATGCCATGCCGAACCTGATCAGGATGATGGCCATGATCACGATCAAGGTCACGTAGAGCAAGATCGCCGCGAAGAAGCAGCCTGCACCGCAAAATGCAACGGAAAACAGTTTTAGCGCTCGCTTCAAGGCGTTTGAGACCCGTTCCCTTCACACATACCCGGTGTCATCTTGTCGAGCGTCCCAGCGGCATACCGTTCCGTCAAACACTTGACCGACCCGACCGTCTTTTGGGTATTCCAGAACAACTTGGTAGCGTCCTTTCCCAACGTCGAATTACTCCCCGCGACATTCCTGATGATGGCATCGACAGGATCATCGGGTATGGCCGAAGGAAAGAGCTTGAGGTACGGTCCCATGTTGAGCACTTGTCCGTTGACGACCATGTACCCGAGGAGCGAGTTGACTTCGTCCCAATCGTAACCGATTTCCAGTGAGGTGTTCTGGATACTCAGGGTATTGAAGGTAGAGTTGTTCGGTTCGGGTAAAGGGCACTTTGAAGCGGGAGTCTTCGAGCCGGCAGGAGCGGTACTACACGGGTCCATCGTCGCATAAGCTGCGGTGAGGCCGGAACATGAGGGAAAGGAAGAAGCAGGTCGCGTGAAGAGGTTGGAAATATCTTGTCCGGAAAGTTGTTTGGCGAGTGCGTAGAAATCGACGGATGCGGTGGGACGTGAAGAAGATACGTTGAATTCCCAGCCCGAGATCCCGAGCGTCACTACATCCGCAGGAGAATCCAAGCCCAATCAGCACGGACCCTTCTTCCTCATAACAAAGAACCATCCTCTGTGCTCACTATCCGTCTTGCCCACCCGACTCAACCGCTTACTCGAATTCGCCGCTTCCTCCGGGCACAAAGTCCTCTGCAACCCCATCGTGATAAACCCTACCAACGCCCCTAAAAGCACCGCGATCCAACAGAACGCCACCTTTTCCCTCCACGCCTGCCGAGTAGCATCGGAATCCAGCTTCATACCCCTTCTGAGAAATACGTCGGGTATCCACCAGGTGAAGAATACCGAGGAGACTTTCCACCAATTGATCCCCCTTCTATCGTCTCCGGGCCCGTTAGGACCGGCTCCAAAGGTGGATACTCCGGCTATAGCGACGTTCCCCCCGCTAGACCCTCCTCGTGACCCGAGTTGCCCTCCAGCAACGGGAGAGCCGGTCAACCCCGGTGTACTCATACGAGGGTTGATCAGCGGTACGGGCGCTACAGCGCGTTCGGGTCGTGTGAGGGTCTTTCCTCTGCGTAAGAGCGAGCCGGATTTGGTACGGGAGGTGACCACCGGCCGGGTCTCATGGGGCTGCGGTTGATGTTGATGGCGAGGTCGAACATGCTGGTGTCGTTGATGCTGGGGGGGTTCGTACTGGATTTGATAAGGCGACGGATCGTGCGACGGGATCCTATGCATCGGAAGGGCTTTATGCATCGTCCTGCCGATGAAGCAGGGCGACTACGATTTCTATATGCTTGATGTCGGGTGCTGTGTCCTATAGCTATGCGGTGAACAGAGATGTCTGTTGACTAGATTGTTGGTGCGTGATACGATGCTTTTTCGTACAAGAGTATGAGCTGTCGGTCGTAAAAGTCGTGAAATGTCTTGTCTCCAAGAGGACCCTGGTAGTTCTCGATGGGTATCTTCTAGTTGCCGACGAGAATCGAGCTCTAGATTGATGAATCGCTCCTGAATCGAGCCTGATGAGAGTCCAGGAGATGCGACAGGTGCCAAGTGACAGGCTCGTAGACTTTTGCAGCCCTGATCCCGAAACTCCGATCAAAAGGTACTCTTGATCGCCAGCTCGCCAGCAAGTGATGGGAACGCTGTTCCGTGTGACCGCGAGTAAAGATGATCGATTATGCCTGTCGTTGCCCCGAGGTTTATGTAGGCATGATTGAAGAGTACGATCCTGATAGAGAAGAGCGTAGAACTACGGAGGTGGGGTCATAAGAGATCATGGATGGTACTGTATATGGTGGTATGTCACTTTGCTAATTAGATCCCGATCCTAGATTAACCCCCGGACCTCCCTTTGTTCCGACGGACAAGGTCAATCATATCCTATACACCTACTACAACAACCTAACCAAGACGAAAACACCACCACCATACACCGCCGAACCGCCATGCCAGCCAGGAAAGACGACCTCCCATGTATCGTCGGCAGGTACATCCGTGATGTCGCCCCGGACGCCTTGCCAACCTACCTGGATCAGACGGGTTTGACCGAACAGTAAGTAGTACACGTCAGACGGTCGACTTTTAGGTCTTCAGTTCGTCGATCCCGAGCATCATGAGAACAGAGACGACAGACTGTCTCGTACTTGAATTACGCATATGCTGATAACATCACTACCTCTGATCTACCTGTGAAAAACAGCCACCTAAACACCCCCCTCCCCGACCTCCGGTCCATCATAGAATCCTACCAATCCTCTCAAATCGCCTCCCGTCTCTCTTCCCTGCACCTCACTCAGACCAACAACAACCTTGTTCGAGATGGTCTTGTGCTTCCAGAAGATCCTTCCAAGGCCAACGCTAAGGCTATGAAGGCTAAAATCCCCGAGACTTTCCGGTTGAAGGAGGTGGAGAAGACTATTGAAGGTGTCAGCGCTGTGAATTTGTTAGGGGTTTGGGTGGAGAGGTTGGCTAGGAGGCGGTTTGATACGTCAAGTGCTAGGTAAGTCGTACGGTCATTGCCTTACCATCATGGCTGTGCAAGCCAAGCAATAAAGGAGATCCTCACGGCCAAAGGTGGTCCTGCTAATTCCTATTCCCCGTCCCTCCGTTCTTCGTTCGATCACAATCACCATCAGCTACCAAGCGGACTACCCCCAAAAGATCCTCATAACCTCAGTAGACAAGACCCTCAAGATAATCTCCCCCGAATCCGGCGAGGTGGACTCGATCCTAGAGCCTCACAAGGCGGCTATTCTTAGCGTCTCCGTACATCCCAGGTTTAGGCGGTACATCTTGACCGGGTCTATGGATGGGTCGTAAGTTCTACTCTACTCGGCCCCATCCGTCTGATACGACTTGGATGAGGGATTGCGATCAGCCGAGCTGATATGACTGTTACATGGCTTTTGATATTACGTGTTTCACAAGAACAGTGCCATACTGAGCGACCTGATCACTACCACCCCGATCCAGACTTTCAAACATAACAAGTTCGTCAACCTGACCGCCTTTTCCTTCTCTGGCGAATACATGGCCACAGCGGGTCACGACCGGATGCTCCATATCTACACTGTAGACACGCCTCACAAGCGGATGGACGAGGACGACTTGGAATTACTGGACGAGACCGACGACGAAGCTTTGGCGGGGGAACCGACGTTGCGGTATAAAAAGGTCAAGACGGTCGGACTGGAGACGAACCCCGAAGGGTTGGTCTTCACCCCGACTCACCTGATTTACACTTTACGATCGTCGCACCTCCTGTACTTCCTCTCCCTCCCTACGGAAACCTCAAATCCAAATCAAAGTAAAAGTCAAGCACAGTCCGCCACACCATGGACGACACGAACGAAGAGCTTCAACCCTTCCCCGTTAGACACCCACGTCTCGTTCAGCGTCCTCTACCTAGCATTACACCCGAATGGGAAGCTCGTAGCGTGTATGACCGGAGATCCGGCGACGACGGGCGCAGGAGAACGGGTGTTGATCTATTCCACCGACATCTCACCTGAAGAAGATGGAGATGAGCAAGGGGGGGAAGGTGATGGTCTCATGATGCAAGGGGTGCAAAGTCAGGTACAGGAGGCCGTCCCCAGGCCGATCATGGGTAGCGAGGGGGAGAGGTTGGCTTGTCTCTGGACGGGGGAGGTTGGGGACGAGTACGTCTTGCCCCGGATGACGTGGTTGCCAGATGGGAGTGGGATCATGTGAGTCCTCTCTCTTCTTTCCTTTCTGAGCGGGTCACAGCGCAAGAGAATCGAAGCTGAAAATCAGTTGGCGATTCAGAACGACGACGACAACGGGATACCTCAACCTGATCGACCTGACAGGCTCGGTCAAGTCCAAACTCCGTGTTCACGGCAGGGTTGCGACTGGCAACGAGTTGTCAGGGATCGTCAGGGACGTCGCCATGCTCGGGTCTGCGGACAGTCCAGAGACGTGGCGGGCGGTCAGTGTAGGGTATGACGGTCGTATTCAGATCTCGAGATGATGTCTATATCAGACGATGTCGGTCGGGCGCGATATAACGTGTCTATACGATACAACAGTCCGGTCGTTCAAGGCTCGGGGTATCGTTTCATATTACGGGTAGAGACGCGGTCTTTCGTCATTCGCATAGCCGGATACCTATACGTAGCCATCCATCGGCGCCTGGGCTGCAACAAGCTAACCAGGCCAATTCTGCGTCTGATGGGAGCTCGACGCCGTGTAGGTAGGGTACCGCTAGCGAGTAAAGGTCGTTGCTGGTCGTGGGGAAAAGTCCGGGAAGAATCCGGTAGAGTAGGTCTTTGACGGTATTTGCTTTGCCTGTAGCAGTGCAGGTATCAGCAATCAGTCCTTGGTGGTACCACGTAGATGATATGTGCGACGAGACGTACCTTCTGTATTCAGAGGCGGGATGACATCCTGGATGACCGGCCCATTATATGGCAAATAGATCTTGAAGGGGATAGCTCGAGCGGCATAGGCAGAGTCGGGCGCGTTCGAAGCCGTGGCGATCGATGCACCTCCCGCACCGCCACCACCACCGGATTGCGAGTGCGTATTGCTCGCTATGCTGCCGGCGTCCGAGTTGGTATGTAGTCCGAAGGGTAGAGGGAGGGTTTTGTTCGCGAATTGCGCTTGTGCATCATAGTCGCCTGGCAGCCATAGGAAGATGTCATATCAGCAACAGCTACTTGAAGCAGTGTGAGAAGCGACTTACCTTCAACAATACTGTTCCAGCCGCTCTCTAGATCCAACCTCCTCAGACTCGTCACCCGTCTCGTATTTCCCCACCTGGCATAATCAGCCTCCTTGATCAGGCTCGTATATCGTATCCGACAAGCTTCGAGGGAGTTGGAAACTTTGGGTTTTGTCGGATCGGTCGAGTTTGGGTGAGGATGTAGATGAAGAATCAGGCGGAGAGTTTGGGAATGTGTAGGTGATGAATTGCTTCGAGGCTGGTTGATCAGGCAGAGGAGGTGGATCAAGTCCAGTGGCCAGTACCTACGCCAAACACAATGTCAGCTTCAACATAAGCATCACCATAGCCGAACAGCCGGTGAAGACTGACCACTTGCACATCTCGCCGTTCCCGTGAGCATCTTCCCCATCGTGACTCGTATCCACCTCGAACCACCAGTCTTCGATCGGAGATGCTAGCGATTCCAGCTCGTCTGGTGCCAGGACCGAGTTGACAAAGTTGTCACGAAGCTCTGGTAATATGATCGGTAGGTATGTATACCGAGGGCATTGCATCTATAGTACAGGAAATCATGAACGACATGAGAGGTCGAGACGATCGAGAACTAAGCAAGAGAGAGGGAATCACATGACTCACATAATACTTGTCCATCCCAGCAGCTACCCCACCTCTAGCTCCGATATCGCTCGAATATCCCTGCCCATCTGCCTTGTCGCCCTTCATTCCCTGTCCTCCTGGTACGGTAGGTCCTACAGCCAGACTGATCTGCACCGGTATCTTCAGGTTCCATGTTAACGCTCGAAACGTCGAAGCGTTGCCTTGAGCTGCTCGGAGGTGGTCCGGGAGCGGAGATGGCGAGGAGATGGACATGATAGGGGACTAGAGGAAGGGCTCAAAAGACGATCACTCTGCCTTGGCTGATGTTGCGGAACTAGCTAGGTCGATGCTTGACAAAGTCCAAGCCGGTGTTCCTACTGTCAACAAAGGATATGACGAGCAGGTCATGCCCTCGATCCCGCCGAGAAGCCGGGCAGAGACTATCGCAACGTGGGCCAAAGTAGCTTTGGAGCTGGCCAGGCAATAAAGTACTTCCTCCTTTGAGATCAGGGCGGGATGAGTTGTCCAAAGGCGGCCTTTAAAGTGGAATCTGAGTCGGTTGGTAGCAGTTGAAAGGGTCGACTTGGATTTAGGTCGAGGTCGCGGACGGCCGCGGGGTCAAGCAACACTACCCTACCTATAGCTTGTATCTGGTACAGTTAATTATCACATCTACCAGCTACCAGACCTGACCTATGCTCTATACTTGCATTCTACAAGATTCTATGGCGCTAGCGTTGGATTCATGATTGTGTCTTCTTGAATCGCCGGCGATACCCAGGCAGAAACGGCAGAAACGTAACGGCTCGCCAATTTGGACATGGCCGAAACCTTGCCAGACCACGATATGGTCGACCTGGATACCCCAACAGCTGTCAAGCTGCCATACCCAGAATTCAGCGTCTTGGAAGATGGAAAAGAAGGAAAATTCTTGCCTCAGATCGGTGGGGATGCTGGAGCTGAGAGGGTATATCGAGGATGGTGAGCTTTTATCAAACCCCTATCTTTCCTCGACTTCTTTCCAGGCTGACCAGTGCTTCGAGATCACGCTCACAGGGCAGCCAAGGCACTCGAGGTAGACCTCAATGGCAAGACCTCGTTGAGCTCTGTGTTCGAGCATCTGCGGTCCACCTTTACACCTCCGCCGGGAATACTTATGATCCAGGACGCATCGGGGCTCTTGCCCTACCTGCCCGGAAACGCCAGCACTCCACGCAAGAAATCGTCTAGCAAGGCGATCAAAGCCGATACCTACATAATCGAAGGTTTCAAGCTCAAGCAGCCGACGTTCGACGATATGAGCGACGTTTGGAAGAGCGTCGGGATGAGCCTCTTGCGATGGGCTCTGGCGACTTTCGAGCGGGATCGAGCGGACTCGATGCAACAGGACGTTGAGGTTCAAGGAGGACGGGCTGGTTCGTCTTCACGAGGAGAAGAGTCGCCCACGGTCTCAGGATCGAACAGCAACAGTAATGGCAATAGCTTGAATGAAGCAGGGGCATCGACCTCGACGGGAAATGGGTCGGCAAATTCTCCTCGGAACGAAGTTGATGGACAGGATGCTTTCGGACTGGCGGTCCTCCCCGATTCTGCGTTTGTGATCACCTCCCCAAACGCACTCCCGTTCCCCGAGATCTGCGTCAGGCGGAATATCGATACGGAGCCTGCTGTACAGCATAAGAGCAGTGATATGAACCTAAAAATGACGGCAATGCCGAAGGACACGGAGATGATGGACGGTGTAGAGACAATGGAGACGACGTGCGAACCGCAGAAAGTACGAAAGAAGGCTCTGTATGCTGAGCAGCGGGTCGGACCGGAAGGGTCCAGGACGGTCGCCCTAGCCTGGTAAGCCTGCCGTAACTCCCACATCACTACACGTCATACTAATCAGAATATACACTACTTCCACTCGCTCCTGTCCTTTGGTGGGCTGTACAGGCTTAACGCAGTGACGATCCCGGATAACGACACCTCGACGGCCCATTATACCCGATTAGACTCGATCTACAATCTCTATCGCGCGTACGCGTACCACCCGTTCCGATGCCCCGTGCTGGATTATCAGGTGTTCGAGGAGGTGCTCATTCAGGCCGTAGGAGCTGAGGGGATCGTGAATGGGTTGCACGATGGTCAGGTCGAGCCGGAAATGGACGATATGATCGGAGATGATGACATGCAGGACAAGAAGGAGATGGACGAGGATGACGCGTCAGGATCGGTAGCTAACGCAACAACGGCATCGGCGGCGGCAACGATACCCCTACCAACAATACCAGCAACAGCAGCTACAGCAGAACCCATTACGATACCATCAACAACCTCAACAAAGCCCTCCAACCCTCAACCCAAACCGAGATCCCGATCTCGGTTGATCCGCCTGACCGTCCGCCCACCCGACAAGGTCATTCAGAAATCACACGAAGCCATCTGGGAATCCGTCGGTATGAATTGGAAAAAAGCCAGAACGTTCGGATGGGACGAGGTAAGGATGGTCGGGACGAGGAAGAGGGAGGTGGGGGGTACGCAAGGGAGGGCGCAGGTGAAGCTGAAGGTCAAAGATGGTTTGGGGTTGGAAGAGGAGCAGCGGAGGAGGAAGAATACCGGTATGAATTCAGATATGAGCATGGGCGCGGTGGCAGGTCGGACTGTGTATCACGGGGCTGGTACTGTTACGGGCCCAGGACCAGGACCAGGGCCTGGACTGGGGATCAGGACGGAAATGGCCTCACATTCAGCATCGATGAGAACACCAGGACCGCTGACGTTGAGACCGGTAGACGTCCGTCCGAGGGTAGCTGTCGGTCTATCAGGGAGGGTCCCAACGGATTTCGTCACCATCTGGTAAGTCCCCCGTGTTTTCTTCTTGCAACCATTAGTCGAACTCGAGATTGAAGCTGAGGCTACGATCCCCTGTTCGTGCTCCTTTTCATGATCATCATCATCGGAATATGACCCGTCGCCGATCCCGCACATCAGGCTCTCCCAGAACTACCGACCCGCCCCTCTCGGCTGTGGCCGGTCCACCCCACAAAAAGAGCTGTGGCAAGACTATACCCGGTTGGTCAGGTACCACAGTGGGCTGTACGAATCGGATCTGAGGCGGTACGGGGCGTTGAAAGAGCGGGTGGACGGTATGGCTAGAGCTATGCCATATGCACTCGATTCAACAACAATAACAACATCAAATTTAACGACCACAGGTTCGAAGGCGGAATCTCAACACCAGCACCTCTACCAGACCCAGATCCTCTCCCAAGAACTCGTCCGGCTGACCCAGCTGCACCGAGCGTTAGGGTATTATATGGACCTCCAACCTGCCGGGCTTTTCGGGCTTGTAAGCGAGATGTTTGGGTGTACGTTAGGAAGGATGGGTGATGGAGGGTATGGGCTGGATGGGTTGGAGAGGGTCTGGAGTGGGGGTGGAGTTAGGAGTAGAGTGGAAAATGGAGGTGGGATTGCAGTGGGTGGGAGAGGTGCCTATAATGGGGATGTTCGGCGAGACGGTATGAGGTGAAAAGAGGTCAGGTGACGTACGGCCGGACGATTGCGGCGAGCCAATCACAGCGGGTCGATTGAGGATCTAGGATGAGAGACGAGACGAGACATGACGATCTGACGAGACAAGTGAGACACGACACGATGAAACGCAACGTAAACGCAACGCGACGACGCTTTCCTTCCCGTGACCGCGATAAGGTATGATCATTCGAACGTGCTACGCTCCCGGTTTCGGATTCGGGAATACCGGTAAGACCCTCTGCTCATGGCGATCCCGAGACCCTCCTTTGAGTGAGATGAGAGCAAGAAAGTAAGGGAGATAAGGGAAAGATCCCCCTTTCGACACCCTTGATCTTGGCCCCCCGATCTGTCCGGGGAGATCGGATCCGCGCGCTCTCTCGGCGTATCAACCAACATCAACCCCGTACAAGTAACTGTATATCATCCTGGATCGCTAGCGATTACTACGATCTCCCTTTCGAGCTCAACAACATTTGCCACCGAACTCACGTCATCACATACAACCGTACACATCATCATATAGTAGTGTCAAGATTGTCTTGGTACCCTGCGTGTGAGCCGTGTGAGATTCGGCGAGCTAGTCGGAAGTCCGAAATCGACCTAATTCGTCAGCTGCCACCTTTGCCTCTCTCGCTCACCACGGACCCAAATTGACTTACTGCCAGAAGATAATCGGCGACCAATCTCGACCTCGACCTCGCATCGTTGTCACTGCCATACCACCTTCAACCATACACAGGTTACAGCCTAGACATTCAGCTAGGGCTCTATCAATCCCCACTCGTCGTCGCCCTCAACGGTACAAAAGAAAGCACATACAAGAGCCAACCTCAGACATGTCGGAATCAACATCCAAAGTCGCGTTGAAGAGAAAGATCTTGGTCATGGGAAGTCGAAGTGTCGGTGAGTCCAGTCCCTCTCCCATATCGTCTTTTAGTTTCGCATTGGGCTCTTTGGTTCTACGATCAAGAGGCTTGGACTTCGGAGCGGTGGGAGGCAGTGGAGGTTGTTGTGAGATGAGGAGAAGGTGGCGATCTTGGATCGGATCGAAGATGATGGACAAGGCAGAGCGGGAGGATCGCACAGTATCGGTCTGGATCCTAGATCTTGTCCCCACCAGATTCTCCACCACCTCTACAACCCACCCTGACTTCCTCCTCATATCCCATTTCCTCAATCCATAATGTACATGAATCATGCTCCAACCATAACACCATGCTGAACCCACCGTCGCCCTCACCCTCACCCTCGCCCTTGCGTTTGCATTCGCATCTACATTTCACAGGCAAATCATCCCTAACCTCCCTCTACATGCAAAACCAATTCAACGACTCGTACTACCCTACGATCGAGAGCACGTATCACAAGGATATCGTACATGATGGGATCACGTACGAGTGCGAGATTATCGATACCGCCGGGCAGGTCAGTCACCCCCCCCTCAACGCATTATGAGCTGAACTAGGAGGAGTTCTGATGTCTTATTACAAAATTCCTCTTCGCCTCTTTTCCAATGTCCGCTTTCACCCTTCGCGATTCCCTATTTGCAGGACGAATACTCCCTCTTCAACCACAAATACGCAGTAGGGATCCACGGGTACATCCTCGTCTACTCGATCGCGAGCCGCCAGTCCTTTGAGATGATCCAGACGCTGCACGACAAGATCTTGGACTTCCAGGGGGTGGAGAAGGTGTGTTGTGTCGTTGTCGGGCAGAAGAGCGATTTGGGCGGGGTGAGGTGAGTGTTTCTTGTTCACGGGCGAGTTTGTGTGGAGTCGAGGTGGAAGCTGATAGATTAAGGCATGATTGATGTTACGGATGCGATACGTAGACAAGTCAAGACGGACGAAGGGAGATCGGTAGCTCAGAAGCTGGGAGCTAGCTTTATCGAGACTTCTGCCAAGGACAACAAGAACGTCCGTGAGTGTTGTCCTACCACCTTGCTCATTTTCTCGATCAGATTCGTCGACGAGTCCGCTGGCTAATATAATATGCTCGAACCTACGCGCTGCAGAACAAGTCTTCGACCTCCTCATGGTCGAGATGCGCAAAGTCTTCAACCCGCCGCAGGAGAAGAAGAATGCCAGCGGGAAGTCATCGGCCGGAGGAGCCGCTTCCTCGTCGGCTTCGGGGGGAAGTACCGGTGGCGGTTGGTTCTCGGGCTGGTTCGGAAGCAAGAAGTAAACGGGCGGGAACTGCAGCGGTATCAAGGCTAGGGACTCGGACCTGGACTTGGTACAGCTTGCCTCAGGGTGGTTCTTGATCTTGGCGAGCCGAGGAGGAGGAGCAGGAGGGCCTCGATCGATCTTTTCTCATACACGGACAATAGTCTTCCCCCCGGATTTCTTCTCTTAGCGATTTCTACTCGACTCGACTACAATCTATCTCTGTTGGCTCCTGGACGGGCACATCTCGGAGGAAAACACTCGGACTCTACTCTGTCTTTCTCTATTCGCTCGGTTTGACCTCCATCCGTACTATCCCGTTCCGTTCGCCCTCGTCTGTACCAACGTCATCTGCTCGCCCTACTTCCTACTGGACAACCGGGAACACCCACCCCAGTTGATTCGACAAGTCGGGCCGCTTTATAATCCGGATAGACAGTCCGGTTCCTCAATTCTCGTTTGTTTGGTTTCCTTCGAGTCGGGTTACCGCTATACTCGGTCTTGTAATATCGCTGTTGTTGTCATCTTTGGGCCGCTCGTCAGGTCTTATACATTATTTCCACCTGATATGTCAAGGATAACCTTTCCATTTGCCATACCTGGAGGCGTCGCGATTGTCGGAAGCCTTCGCAAGGCCCTCGTCGATTCCGTCGAAACCCCTTGCAAGCCGCAAGATCTCCTGGAACACAAGAAGACCCAAAAGAAGAACCTCAAGGCCGAGAAGGACACCCTCCAGACCGAAAAGGAGAACCTTGAGAAGCGAGTGAAAGACTTGGAGACGGCACAAGGGCCAAAAGGCTGCCGAACTTGAGTGTCATTGGCACTGCCTATCACTTGACCTCGAGCCAAAGCCAGCGCTTCCATTACGTTGGCTACTGGACCTGTCATACCAAAGATCACTCCAGCCCAGATCATTGTTGAGGTCGTGCCCAAAACCAAGGTCAGCCACGCTCACATCTGTCTCTGCCAGCTCTGCTCGCTATATGGTGAGATACGTTCGAGGCGGAACGTGATGTCAGCAATTTTCTAGGCTTGCCGTTCCATCTGAGTGTATACCTGTATCGTATCTCCATCACCGTCCCTACAGTTGCCTCTACCGCATCCCTGATAGCTTTGATGCCTTTTTTGACCTTGACGTGAGGAACCCCGGCCATACGAAGCAGACCCAGGAATGGTGCCTAGAGTTGCCTCTACCGCATCTCCAATAGCTTTGACGTTGACATATGCTCGACCTGACTTCGAAAGGTCGGGGCATAATGTCGCGAACCGGCTCACCGCTAGCGTTGTCCGACTCTTTCTACCGTGGACAATGTCAATGGCCCTGCGACATGGCGGAATCGTTTCGCAGCCGCTCCCTCAACTGCCTGGCCGAACTACGCTTTGCTCCAGATGACTGGGTCAGGATAGAAACCCTGTTCGGTTTACCTCGTACCCCAGGAGGACGAGGACGACGCCGATTCGCCTCTGATGGCCCTCGATTAGGCAGGGGGCGATATGACCTACAAGAACTCGCCGTTTTTATGAATGGCCAGACAAGATCTCGAGGGACCTTCCCCTACGTCGTAATAGACGGTGGCGGTAGGTGCCCGGTGATGAATAATTGATGCATAGTTTGCTGAATGTGACATCCAGTTGGAGACCTGAGTACAAGCGGTTTGAGTAAAAGCAGAGAGGGGTATCGCAGCTACCGCTCGTCCAGTTCGAATTCCTCTGCCTGGAGCGGATTCCGTTCTTCCTGTGCGAAAGACTGGGCGCCGAGTCCCTCGCTCATCTCCCTCTTGACGCAGAGCTGTAATTGAGGTTACGGAAGGCGTATGATATCAGCTACGCGTTATATTTTGATCACAGGGAAGGTGGATAACATGAACGTACCTGCTCGGCCCCGACGATCATGATGATCGCCCCGGTTAACATGACCACCCAGAAGAACAAGCTCGTAGGGAATGACCCTGTACTGTATGTCGAGATGAAGACGTGGTTGAAGAGTAGGGTGAGGGAGAAATCGAGGATGTGCGTTGGTTTGCGAATGAGGTAGTAGAGAGGGATGATGCTGGTCAAGGCGTAAAATGACAATCTCGTGAGCTTTATTGGTCCTCAGACATGCGGTGGGACCATGTGGACTCACTCGACGAAACATGCTAGGAGCCATGTTCCTGCTAATATCCAGCCTCTCCGTCGGCTCACACCATAATCCCAAACCTCGAAATCGTCATCCTTTTCGTCCTTGACGGCGTAGTGCGTCCGTTCGTTGTCCCGTCTCGATAGAGAACGTTGTAGGAACGAGACTACGGCAACGTCCACATTCTCCGCTGGTAAAGACTCGTGTGAGCCTCTGAATATCCGTCCAGAAGCTTGTGCTGCTTCCGTTGTCGATAAAGCGATCTGTCGCTTCTCTACAGTCGGCGGTTCACGAGGCAACTTCTTTGCTGTTGTTCTGCTAGCGATCTCTCGCCAATCTAGCACGTAACCCTTGTTATACGGTCCTCCCGCATATGTTAGAGCGTTCCCATCGGTGAGCACGGTGACCAAGGGTGGTATCACCAGACTAAGGAGTAGATAGTGCAGTGTTTGCAGGGATATGATCTGTGCATGGCGATCGTTCGATCAGCTTCCTTTAAATCACGGTCAAGGTCTCAATACGGAACTTGCCTGGCTGATAATCAGTACTGGATCCCATCCTTGTATCCGCCGGACCATAATGAGATTGTCGAGGACTATGGGGTCTTGTCTAGCTAGCTGTATAGAGGATCTGGAGGGTAGGTATACAGGTATATGGCCATATCATCAGATCAAGGTTCTGGGACTCGGTTCCGCTTCCGCCGATCACCTCCATCGCAATGAACTCCGATCCTCGCTGTTATTGGTATGCTATGTACTATCTCTGTACAACGGTTTACACCTGACCCAGTTGATCAGCTACATTCAGCTCGTGTATAGCTTCTAGTTCGTAAGGGAGATCCAGTCATCCTAGGCGTGAAGAGGGTCGTAAAGGGAAAACTCGGTCGTGAGATCATAGGAAACGCAAGAGGACTCGTGGAAGGCAATTATGGTTCGCCCGACCTCGCCCGCTTGTGGACGGGATGGTACGGGGGAGGGGCGTCTTTGGTGTCATGGTGCCACGCTCCATTAGCTGAGAGCATGGGCTCTCCTTCAGGGAGAACGTATTGGCTGGTTGCGGTAATCTCGGGTGGACTAGGCGAGGTGCTGTCGTACCCCGCAAAGGAGACTCGACGGGATTGTCGATCTTCGCTCGAAACCTGGTCGATATTCCCGGTGCCAGGCAAGCCGTCGGAGTTGGATGTCCGAATGGTAGGCCTCTGCCTATCAAATGCGATCCCCAGACCTCCAACCTGTTCGGCCGGCATTTGAGGGACGCAAGGGTTGACCAGCCTCAGCTGTCCAGTCGAGTGCGCAGCCTTCGCGTCTCCGAGCTGTGCGATCAGAGCGCTCATCGGTCGCTGCGATTGAACAGGTCTGTCATATGGCGTGCCATGCGTACTCTCGTCGGCCTGACTCGGATCGCGAGACAAGCTGGACGAAGGCAAGGGCTCATCGGTGGCGCTGGACTCCAAACAGTGAGAGACCAAGGAGCATCGGACCCGGTCGAAGATGTGGTCGATCTGAGGGAGACCAAGCTGCACAATGCGAAGACCGTTAGTAGTGTGCAAGAAAGATAGATCTTTCGGGATCGCCACGACTCACTGTCGACCGAATCTCCTCTAGGAGCCAACCCACTCGCACGGTATCTTGTCGGCTCCAAGCTTGGCCCTGAAGCGAGACTTTTTGTCGTTCCGACTCGATAATCCTCAAAAGCTCAATCTCGAGCATGCCCGGGCTAAGACCTGCAGCGAGATTGCTCGTTCCAGGCTCGAAGAGATTCAAGACTTGCGACAACGTCGAGGGCATCGTTAAAACGAAGCGGCTCGGGTCTGGCGTGGCTGCCGGAGTGCGTTTCAAGATCGATCCGAGAGCAGGTGTAATCGGAGAGTTCGGTTGGGTGGAAGTAGAGGGCATATTTTGCTGCAAGCTAGTGCTTCGATCCGGGATCGGCCGTGGAGGCGAAGTAGCCTTGGGAAACGGCGAAATTTCTCCTTCATCTACGTCGACGTCGAACGATTCCCGTGCCACAGTCTCGCCATCCGACAGTACCTCGTCCGACAAGGGAACACTCTGCAATCTGCTTCTTGCCGGCGAATGCGTTTTGAGACCGTCAATGGGATCGGTTTCAGACGTCAGCCGAGGTGATTCTTCCGCCAGCGTCGACAGCTTAGGGATCGGCTCGGTCTCAGGTTCAGGTGACGTCAATGACCGATGAGACGTGCGGGACGCTGAATCTCGAGTGGCAAAGATTGATGCCATCTCCAATGCTGTTTCGGAAGAAAATACCGACATCTTGCTCATTCCCTTGCGATGTCGGGTGGTTTGCTGGGGCATCTCGAGCGGACTGGGAAGAGCGGCCTCAGATTTGAATTCGCTGGCGAGGTCTCGCACGACAAACGTATCTTGTACCGCTGTACTCGGTTCTGATTCGTTATTCCCCGGCTGTTCAGGATCAGATGCTTCTCTGGTCACCGGTGGAGAAGGACTCGTTTCCGAGCCGTCTTCGCTCGATTGCACTGGTAGCGACTCTGTCAGAGGCGGCAGAGCTGCGCCCAAAGGTAGTGGCGGCGGCATATCGGTTACGAGCTGTAGCGCGGTACCGCTTCGGATAGCCATAGGTCGCATGATAACGAAGCCAGTAGACTTGACAGGTTCATGGACGACGACAGGCTGCTCGTCTGGGACAGCTTTGACTGGAGTTGCCTTCTTTCGTCGCCATCTGTCGTTCTCCTCTTGCGATCTCAGCGCAGCCTGACGAATGGCTTTGATCCTCCTGACCACTCTATCAGATCGTTCAGGTAGCAGGAAAGCTTGACGGACCTGCTCGAATACCGACACAAGGTGAAAGTGATGCTTGTCCATGCAACCAGACTCGATGAGGTTGAGCGCCGCATCGACAACGTCGACTCCGCTTTGCTCTTCGTCCATCGCGACCCACCATCCCGTGGCGTCAACTAGTCGCCGCCTGCGAGTCCGGCGGATCCACTCGATCAGCAGTTCGCGCGTGTTGGGCACAGTCGGAAGAGCCAAGATGTCGAATACGATAGTCTGAATTCGGGCTTCGTCGATGAGTGATCGCTGAGAGGACGGGTTGGAGATGGAACCCGCCGATAGATTCGGAGTCGAGCCTCCCCAAGTGCTGAGCGTGGCCGGCAAGGATGGGCGTCGCGAATCCCAGCTCCGACTCGGCGGAAGCCCGCCCGCCTTGAAGTTGGAAGCGCTCGATCGGAATGGCGGGAATGGCGTTGAAGGTAGAAGTACCGTGCGCATGGCGTTCTGTACCAGGTCCACCAGGTCGTCAGGTATCTGCGCCGGAAAAATGACATCCCACCTTCAGCTCGACTACATATCAGATCGATATGCATCTATACTCACTCTGGCCAACACCTCGTCCTTGACCATTCTGGCCAATTCCCACCGATCGATGATGTCCCATCTGACCCTGAGCCAAGCCTCGATCTTGATCGACACGCGTTGTTTCTCGGCGTCCGACAATCCAAGCTCGACCTCGCGTCCGAGGGCATCACGATGAAACTCTCGATCGAGCGCGTTGAGTCGCTTGACGAGCTGAACTGAGGAGCAGTAGCCCATGTGGAAGCGGACCTTGTGCAGCGCCGACTGGATGGCTGGATGAAAATGTCGACCGCAATTCAGGATCATCTACCGGATTTGCGAGACAAGCACATCTATCAGCGTCGCCGTGACGTTTTGTAGGCGGACGAGAAGGATTTCTTACCTCGAACTCTATCTGCGCGAGTTTCGCGTTGAGGGCTTCGAGCTCCATCATCCCCTTCTTGCTGTTCTTGCCATCGCTCCGTTCATTCTCGCTTCCTCGACTCGGTCGTCTAGACGTCCCAAGCCTACTTCCGGACCTCAAGATCGTGCTCCCACGCTCGCTACCACTTGCGGTCAACCCTTCACCGTCGTCTGCCGGGTCCGCGACAAGCTCTTTCTTCAGGTCCCACGACGTCATACGTTTCGAGATGTAAGCGAGGAGTACTTCCTGGACTTGTTGTTCCCGCAGCTTGCTGGAAGAAGATGGCCCAGAAGCCATGCTTGCGGTCGGAAGGTCGGTTTTCAGTCCGTGCAATGCACGAGGATGAACTGCTGTCGCGGTCGTATTCGAGCGGGTGACGTCGGTACTGACGTTAACGTCATCATCGGCGCTCGCCAAGGCGTCCTTGGGTCTGATAGTCCTGTCCACGCTCCGGACTTGCAACTCCTCGTCGCGACTCTTCCCGCTGCGTCTTTGAGACTTTTCCTTGGACCGGATCTTGCTGCTCGAAGTGCCAAAGATCGAAGTCAACGTCTTGGTGGTCAACACCTCGTCCTGCGCTTCGCCCATCGGAGCCGAATTCAAAGCATTATTGGCTGAATTAGATTCTTGTCTGCCGGACCGGGTCATACGACGCAAAAATCCGAGCTTTTTAGGCTTTTGCTCCTCGGCGCCTACCACGTTCAAGTTCAATCGCGGAGAGGCGGGAACGGGCGGGTTCTGTATGATCGACAGTGGCCGCGATGAGTCTATAGACACTTTAGACCTCGTACCCATTTGCGACTGATCGCGATCGCGATTAGAACGGCTGAGAAACCTGGATAGGCCGGAAGAAGACCCTCCGTTGATGATACTGGTAGCAGGGGTAACTCGACCAGAGTCTTGTCTTTCGTCCCGGTTGTGAAAATCGGAGGTGAGCTGTGCTTCTCGAGTTCGAAGATCAGAACCGCTGTTCGACCTGAAACGTTTCCTTCCCGACCCGACATTTGCGGCAGCGTTCCCTCCATCCTTAGCGCTCTTTCCACTTCCTCCTCCATTCACATTCCCGAGACCTCCCGTAACCTCCCCTTTACTCACTGCACCCCGGTTGAACCGCCTATCCGCAGCGACGAGGCAATCCACGACCGTCTTCTTGTTGATCTCCCAAAACCCTTGCGAGTCGAGCAGAGGCGTCATGGTATGCAGGTTCGGGGGCAGGTGTAGTTGAATCTTGGGGGATTGCGTTATCCGTTGAATGAGGGGGAGGTTCGGGTGGAGCGATAGCTGTACGGGGGAAAGGTACTGTCAACAATTCATTCGTTCAAGGATGCAGGGGATTCTCAGGAATTCGACTCGACTCACAGACCCCTTAACCAGTCCCGCCAAATCCCTCGTCAAATCCCTCACCCTAACCCCCCTCCCGACCCAGAAATCCACCCATTCTTGCAATCCCAGCACGCCTTGCTCCATCTCCAAGTCTGGGGAGGTCAAGAACGTATAGATCGGGGCGAGACGTTTCGAGAGATGTAAGTTGGGTGTATGGGGAGTGGGAGACAGGGGGATGTTTGCGGTCGAAGATGTGGCTGGGATGGGAAGGATCTGAGGCAAGGATGGCGAGGATTGCAATTGAGGGAGAGTGGCCGTAAAAGCGGGCGTGGGGCCGTGTGTATGAGATGGCGGTGGAGTATGCCTGTGCGTCTGACTCTGTCCATGATTGTACGGTCCCGAAAGCGAGTGCGGTTGAGATAAAGGCGACCTCGTCGAAGAAGGTGTTCCCGTAGTCGGAACATCCGTAACGTTCGTATTCGTCGAAGCGACCGTCGAACCGGTCCCGGGCCGTCTGAATTTCTTTCCCCTCGAATTAGAGTGTGAGTGGGGTTGTCCGAATATCGAGCTCGGGTTGGGTAGGGTCTTGTGAGAGCTGGGGATCGAGTAGGAGGGAGAAGGCTGTGCGTAAGGGTAAGAAGTAGTAGTACTGCTAGATGTCTGGCGGGACCGGGAAGATGGGTACAGGTAAGGCGTGATCAGATGGGTACCGGTCGCTGATCCTGGTTCCCGTCCGTCCTTTGCGTATCCGTTCCCAAACGCATAACCATCCCGGTACTCGGCATCATTTCCATCTTCCTCTTCATCCATTCCCTCTTGATCCTGGTCACTCTCATATTCGCCAGGTATGTTCCCAGGGAACGACCTCCCGATCGGTACGCTCTCTCCTCTCGCCCTCAGGATGCTCGGCGCGGACATGGCGAACGACGAGTGGTTGTACATCGCCGTTGACGAATTGGTCGTGTGAATCCGTGATCGTGTGCGGAGATGAGGTGGGGGTGGGGAGAGCATGGTTTCGTCTTCTCTTCGTCAGGGTGGATGGTGTTCGTTCTGATGTTGCGTGGTAGGTGGTCGTTCTAGGTCGTGCTGGCACTGTTATGGCTACTGTATGGCACATCAAAGTGTATGGTCACAAGTGTCAAGTTGGAGAGAGTCGGAATGTTCTCGAGGTGGAAAGTGGTCCTGGAGCGAAAGAGGCTTATGGACGTTTTGCTTTTCCCGGCGAATGAAAATATCTCTCTAATGTTCGTTTGTTGTTGGCCTCGATCTCCGATCTCGATCCTCGTTTCGGCTCCGATCGAGATCAACAATTCATGGCACCTCCCCATCTTTCGGGCCTTGGCAGAAGCATGCTCGCCGGGCATGATACGTCGTTGTTTTTTTTGATCAGCCTCTCCTGTTCGATGTTCGTCGTCTTGGGCGGTTGTCTGCTGTCAGAACGTCCGACTTGGTGATGTGTTTGATGAAGTGAGCCTTGCTCGATCGAGGTCTCAAGTTCAATCGCCGGGGGTCGGGCGAGTGTCTGTGTTTCACGATGGTCTTCGCAACAACCACCGATATCGAGTCCGGCGATTGAAAAACTGAAAGTCGTATCTTCTCGTGCTCTAGGCCCCCTATCATCCGCTCGAACGAAAAGAGAAGGGTTAGAGACCAAAAGCCGAAAGAGGTGGATCCCTGGTTCTCCTGATACATTAAAATCCATCCATGACATTCTTTACGGGGCGCGGTGTGGAGGGCACCAGGTGGATCCGATCCACTTGATGTCCTCGGTTGCGCTTAGAAGGGGCAAAGGACCCGAGGTGGGCCTAACCGATCAAGAAAGAAGCAGGTGGGCATCTGGTGCGACGAGGACTGACAGGCGCGTCGTGTTTCATGGTCATCGCCGTCGTTCTTACACTCGCCATCGCTCGTTCGCTCGTTCGTCAATCTGATACACGATATTACACATCCGTCGAATTCACCGGCTTTATCATAAGTTGCAACTCGCTGGCCTGACCGATTTTACAGCAACAAGACATCCAAAGGACGTCTGTTTCGGATCTCTTCCGCGCCAAACCCAAGCCTTTGAACTCTAATCTCAGCCAAAAGGCATCACGTGATCATTACAATCCGCCGACTGATTGTCCGAGCTGAGGACGAAAGCTCACTGTTGATTGTGAATTCTTAATGTCTTGATGAACATGATCTCGCCGTTTGGACGATAAGGTCATGCAATGCGGGTTTCAGGTTGAAATTGCTGAAACACTACATGCGACACGATGACACGCGGGGACGACGACAACCCAGCTGGATCGATCGGAAGCAAGAACGAGATGGCGATCGGGTCCGAGGCGATCGAATTACATCCTTTGGACTCGTCTCCGAAGGTATCGAAAGAGTCTCGAGACGAGCACATCGTACTCAACGAGTCTCGTAGCCATGACAAAGATACCGACGACCTCTTGTTGGACTATGACGAGACCGAATTGTTCTCGCCCGGAGTAGAGAAACCTAGAGGTAGCGGGGACGGAGGGCTGAGAAGGGCGGTGGAATGGAGATGGATGGGAGCGCTCTTCTGGTTGATGTTCCTCGCAGGTAAGCACGAATACTTGGGCTGGAGAGACTTTGTGTCGCTGGTTGATTTTTCAGTACTACTTGATCGAATGTATCACGGCATCAACGAAACGACCATCATGATTTCGGTCTTTACCATTCGACTGCAACCTCAACCTTGACCCGCAGGCTGGAGCGACGCATCAACAGGACCCCTCCTACTCCGAATTCAGTCACACTACCAACTCTCTTACCCGATTGTCTCCCTCGTCTTTGTCTGCGCGTTCACAGGATTTGCTTTGGCCGCCGGGGTGAACGTCTGGGTAGAGACGAGGTGGGGATTCGGGAAGGCTGTTGGCGTGGCGGCTATCTGTCAGGTCAGTCTTTTCACCTCTTGAGAACGCTGAAGCGAGGCACTATATCTTGTTACAATTTGCTGATACTGTACATCGATATCCGGTCGACCTCGCGGCAGACCCTAGCGTTCTCCATACAAGCGACCAAACCCCCCTTTCCCATGTTCCTCCTCTCTTTCATCCCCAACGGCCTAGGGATGGGTCTCCAAGACGCCAACGCCAACGCTTTTACTACCCGCTTGCCCTCCCCCTCGCAGAAAATGTCTCTCCTCCATGCGGTCTACGGCCTAGGTGCTTTTGTCACGCCTTTGATTGGGACTCAGTTTGCGAGGGAGGGGATGAGGGGGAGGTGGCAAGGGTTTTATCTGTGTTCGGTATTGGTAGGGTAAGTACGTGGCTATACTAGGCCTAGATTGTTTAAGCTTGTACGCTGATCTCCGGCCTATACAGGTTGATCGATGTCGGGTTACTTTGGGGAGTCTTTCGAGGAAAGAGAGAGGAGCGATTATTCGAGGAGCAAGGATATGAGCCGGATGAGAGGGACGAAGGATCGGGTGGGAAGTACGTCTTGGCCGAGCAAGAAGAGATTGAGGACGACGAGTCTCGCCGAAACTTGATCATTACCCCGTCACCACAACCGAAGTCGGATCCTTCCTCATCGGAATCCTCAGCCAAACTCCGCCGGATCCTGACCACCCCATTCGTACACGTAGTCGCCCTGTTCACCTGGATCTACGTCGGTATCGAAGTGACCATCGGCGGATGGGCAGTAACCTACCTCATCCAAGTCCGAGGAGCAGGTGAAGACGCCGGATACGCCTCTTCAGGCTTTTTCGGGGGTTTGATGATTGGGAGGGTAGTACAGATATGGGTATCGACGTGGTTGAGCGAGCAGATGGCGGTGTTGCTTTACACGGGTACAGCAGGGGTTTTGATTATAGTGAGATCGGGTTGATCTTTGGGATGAGGATGAAGTTGGCTGATGCGCCGTTGAGATCGCTTCTTGAGGTCAGGTCATCTGGCACGTACCGAGTGTCATGGTGAACGCCGTCGCCTACGCTATCACAGGGCTCGTCCTCGGTCCCATGTAAGCTGGTTCCGACACTCACTGATTTTCGCATCTACGATACTTATCTTATAGACGTCCCTTCGACCTTTTCCTGCGTGTCAGATACCCCATCATGATGAACGCCACAGCGGCCTCCTTGGACCCAGACTTGGCGGGTGGTGCTATCGGGTACATTGCCGCGCTGGGGCAATGTGGGTCGGCCTTATTTCCTTGGATGACAGGCGCTTTGGCTGGCAGTTATGGGGTCTGGGCGTTGCAGCGTGGGTCACACTTCGATGCTGATTTCTCCTCGGTAGAGAAAGAAAGCTGAGTACCTGCTCCTTCGGGACATTCGGGTAATTCCATTGGGAAACCGGATTGCAGCGCTCTTGTTGGCGATGATCCTCCTCGAAGGTGGATTATGGGCCGTGGTAGTCAGGATGAGCCGGGACAAGTGGAAGAGCCCGCACAATTTCTAAAGACTTGATGCTCGGATCGAGGTTATGAACAAGAACCTGGACACGGACGATATGGCAAACAAACGCAGGGCTTGACGATACGAAAACAACATGCGCATACGAACGAAACGAAATGATGATGGCCGGATGAGAAACATGCTAGACAATACGGATTCAACAAGGAAAGATCACGAGGGACAATAGCGATTATACAGTTGTATACAGGCATTTTTTTCTATATCAGACCACAGACGATAACCAGAAGGGGAACGAGACACAGTGCTAGTTTTGCTACCAATCCTCTCTCTACCGCTCCGTTCTCGGCAGACTCTGACGGCGGTGGCATCGGACTCTCCGTGGCAGCCCCCGTTCCTGTGTCTGTTGTCGCTCCGGTAGGTCGGGCGATAGAGATGGTCGAAGTGATGGCTTCAGATGGATAAGACGAACTCAATTGCGAGCTGGTCGACATCGGGGTGGAGGTTGGGGTGATCGTGCTGGACGGACGAAGGGCCGTACCGAGGGTCGCAGAGGAGAGTAGACAGGTCTGTTTGACGTCCGTCGCTGTAGTATCGCAATATTCCGTTGTTCCCAGGTTATACACAAAATCAGTCGGGTGCGATTCAACTCGACAAGGAGAGTGGAAGAAAGTGAGAAAAGAGGAGAGAGAAGAGGAGATAGGATGAACAGGAGACTGACCGGTATATTCCTCCCCGCCGAGGTACATTATACAGTTCAGACATTGTAAGCTGGCTATCTCGTCGACGCCTTTACAGATACATCCTTGGTCTTCCGAGCCGCAAGTCTGTAGTACAGTAGTATCGATAACAGCATAAGCGAGTCTAGCGTTTTAGAGATGACCAGCATTCAGACTGCACGAACTAGAAGAGCGGGGAGAGCTTACAGAGAGGGTATTGACAGCGGACAGGTCGGAGGAACAGAGCGGTCGACAGGATTCGGCAGTAGGAGGTTTGGGTATCAAACGACATTCTTGATAAAAGTCGAATACTGTCATTCATCACAAAGAGGTGCACAAGAGTCAGTAAGACGGAATGATTCTGGGTTAGAACCGTGCTGCGATATGGCTGAGAGGGTTCGGAGAGGAGAGAGTACTTACTCTCAGTGATACTGCTAAGGTTGCCGTGGCAGCTCAGACAAGAGCTCGAGAGTTGCTGAGACGCTTGACAGACACAGGGTTGATCATCGGCTTTGCATTTCTAGACACATCCCAGATCGACCTTAAGATCAGCTACCGTGCAAAGTGAAAGACGAGGGGGTGAGACGGACTTACTTGTAGAGCACCCAGCCCAGGAGCGTCCAAGCTCGTACAATAATTGTCCGCGCAAAGCTGGGTCGACTGTCGTCGATTTAGAGTCAAGTTGGCTGGAGATGATCTGTCCGCTGTCAGGGCTTTGATTCCGAACAAGACTGCTGATGATTGTGATCGTGCATCGGCGAGGTTGACTGTATTCCGAGAGCGATACCAAGATTGGTCTAAGTTGAACAATGCCGAGGAGATAAGGAGATGTCGGACTGACCAAGGCAGGAGAACAGGACGAGGTTGACGAGGGCGGGAAGAGGGGAGAACATGGCTGTGGGGTCGATGAAGACGGGGACGAGGATGCTAAAACTTGGCTTTGAATCTTTCTACGTGTGTATTCGTGAACATGTCATTGACTTGGCAAGATTGATATCCCATCGAGATCGAGGAAAGTTGATTCTCCGACCTTCTCGATCACAATCTCTTCCCTTTGTTCGCTCAAATCCGACAAAAGGGGGCGACGCGCGTGTGTTCGAGTTTCGCGTTTCAGGTTGGCAGTATGAGATTGCGAACACTCGTCCTTTGTACGGCCATCTGAAAAGGCAAAGGGCTGAGTACAGGATGATTCAGTGAGTAGTTCTGCGTGAGGGAAGGTTGCCTGCGTATAGCTGTAAGAACGAGGGGAATCAGTCCAGTCCCTCTCCAATGGTTCTCGGGGCCAGCAGAGATAGGTTGAGGCAGACAGCTACACCGCTCAAGACGCATGAATCGATCGACATCGAGTTTATTGTCACGAGCGGTAGCCATGTCTATCTTATGGGCCGACATGATATATCTATCCAGATACGATCCAGTGTTCCACCAGGCCATGTTGGAACTCCATGTGGCGGTCCTTCCGACGTGTCGAGTTCTCAGCAGAATCGGGCTCTTATGATTCGATCAATGATCGGTGCAGACTTACTTCTAGCGCGATGCAGTCACGGACTTCCCAGCATTGACACTCTGCAACCTATCACTAGTACTGCTGTACGCTAGCAGACTTCAAGACGCATCCCCACCTCATGCGATATTTGCGGCTCCAGTCGATGACGCGTGTTTGACTTCCTTTGACGGGTCTCGTGATCCCAAACTTGAGAGAGAGATCCGAAACTGTTTCTCCGGTTTCATCCTTGGAACATAGCACTGCCATAGTCTGTAGGCTGCCCGAATCGTTGCGAGCAATAATATACAAGCAAGTCTAGCTAGCGAGCATCTTTCGACTGTCGCATATCGATAAAACGTATCCACAACAACTGCAATAAGAATCATCACCAGTTATGACAAAACGACCACCGATCAAAAGATTCGACTCCATCCTTTCGCATGGGAGTACTGGAGTTGCATCGAGTAACGGGATCGCGCCTTCTCTAGCAAGCGATGGTTCTCACCGGCGATACACTGGTGATTCGGTACCCCATGCGCGGATTCCTCTGCGAAGCCGAGATTCCAGTGATTCTGCCTCTGGGTTGTCGCGCACCAGCACAATCGCAGAATCAATCAGAAGCCAATTCAGTAACGCATGTGACAGGCTCTTCAGTCATCTGAGGAATAGTCGGTCGTCGTCGCATACCATGACGGTGGATGATCCAGATGGGCGACTTGGAAACTCCGAGTACGATCCTAGTTTGTCGACTAGTAACTCTAGTGAAAGATCCTACCGGAAGTCAGTCGCGAGTGATGCTCCGTCCATTAGTCTGAGAAGTCGAATGAAAAAGGTGTTTGGCAGAGAATCAGGCTCAAAACGAAAGCCCGATACCGCAAAAATGTCTTGGAGCGACGGGAGGCCGCATGATCTCGATCGACAGTCAACTGCATCGAGCGGTTCGAGCCATCTAAGTAGGAAAGATCTGGAACAGAACCTGGCAGATTGGGCTGGTGAGTCTCACAAACGATTCGATAAATGCAGAACCATTGCATTGACAGGCTGAGTAACTTGTCGCTGAGTAGTAGTAGCTGAGCCATCTTTACTGAGTCGATCTTCCCATAGGAGGGAATCAGTCACATCTAAGGGACCGGAGGGCGTACCTGCAGCTTACCTTGCTCGAAGGGAAACGGATGAGCTGAACAGAACCAAGGCGAAGGAGAATCCCGGATGGTTGAAGCGCCGCTTCATGAGGCACAAACCTGGTCAACAGGCCGTAGCCCCGGAACCCAGCGCTATGAAGATCAAGTCGAAACCCAGCACGGAGGAGAAAGAACGAAATAAGCTCAGGAAGTTCCAGCGACATGGTCTAATACGGCCGCCATTGCGGAATCCACGTCTAGCGCCATCCATGGACAACGTCAATGAGCCGATACCGGCGTTCTCACCACAGCCACCCGAGCAAAAGTTTCTGCCTCCTGGTCAACGATACTACGCGCAACCTGCCAATCCAAAGCTGTGAGCGCTGTGAAGCGCCTTCAGGTCGCAGAACGCGTGCAGCCTGTTTCACCGTTTCCGCAGCTGTTGTAGATTTGGATGGGAATCTATATACACTTGATGCTATGCACACTGCATGCAAATTCGGATGCAAACCCGTGGCTGGCCTGTAATTCTGTAATGTTACGATGAAAATAAGTATGGATGGTTCGACGATCGATCAAGTCCAACATTGGCGATACTTTCTGGGATCCATCTCGATGGGCAGATAAATAGCGATAATTGTCAGAGATCGATAGAACCTCAAGTCCATGATACTCCTCAGGCTGTGAAATCACGCAGCACAGCCAGAACGCGAATCGCAATCTGAACCCCCTTTCCCCCGGTTTCACCCCTGAAGTCGGCGGCCGAACTTCCTTTTACTTCTCAGGCAGCTGGACTATGATAACTACAAGCACAATACTGGCGTTGGTCCCCAAAAACCTCTCGTGTAAAGTATCATGGTTCAGAGCGACTTACCCTCTCCCGTCCTGCATCAATGACCAGACCACGGCGAAAGTCGAGCAACAACTCGAGCAAGTATAGCTGGGGAGCGGGCTCTTGCTCCAGCGGCGCTTCCACTGTTGTCGACCACTCTGATCGCTACGACTCTGTTTTCTACACCGACCATGCCTCATTCTCCCAGGACTCTTCGTCCAGTAGTACCTTACATCGACTTCTGACCAAGATATCCAGCCTTTTCTCCTCCGATCGATCGGGAACAATCTCGGATATTCCTTCAACGGAAGGCATACCTCTTCCGAAGGGTACTCGAGGCCCTTCACACAACCGCTTGCAAAGACGTTCGACACAGCGCAAACTCATTAGCGAGGCGCTTGATTCTTATGCCGGTGAGGCCCACGTGACCCACCATCTAGCTCTGACCATGCGCACTGAGCTGAAGCTTATTTGTGTGTTGTAGCTTCAAACTTGACCAATACATCACTATCAGGCGAATCGGTTGCGACACGGCGGGCAGACACCTTCGAGGCATACGCCGCTAGTAGAGAGAAGAAATTGACCAAGAAGCAACTTAAAGAGAAGGCCAAGTTGGATAGAGCCGAGTCGAAACGATTGCAACAGGAAGCGCGGAAGAAGGAGAAGGAGTCGGTAAAGAAGGCAAAGAAAGAGACGAAGGAGAGTAAGCGGCGCGAGCGAAGGAGGATTACGAAGGCTGCGCCTACGAGACGGCCGCCAATTAGAAGAGCAGACTTCGCCGTCTCAGCTGAAATCGTTCCTCAGGTGCCAATCTCCTCTGGAGCGCCACTCAAGAAACGATATTATGCCTGATAGCAGCAGATGCTTGCGTAGTAAATGAATGTGTCGTAACAAAAATGCAGATCCAGAAAACATGTAGCAAGAGGAAATTCCTCCCTAAAGCAAGTATAAAAACCCAAAACTCGATCATCCCACCATGAAGCACTTCCCCCCTGCTCGACCCGACAGATCCCCAAAACAGGATTCCGGATCTTCAGGTCAACTTCCTGATCCCATCCTCCCTCTGATCTTCCAACACCTTGGCATCCACCCGTCCCAACCCTTGTTCGGCGGACCGGTCTAGCATGAGTTTCCACCAGGGGAAGAGGAGGTGGTTGCAGATGAGTTTGAACCAGGGTGTGAACAGGTTGGCTGTAGGGTCGAGGGTCGAAAAGGTGTGGTTTGTGATATATTGAGCGGAGACGAGATAGAAATGGTTTAGAGGCAAGTAAGTGAAAGAGAGAAACGTGAGGCGAGGCGGAGTCAGCGTAAAGTCCATCAAGCGACGAAAGTGAATAACCAAAGCAGAGATAGAGAGGACGCACCTTTATCCTCGAACATCTGCCTCAACTCCTTTTCGGTCACGTACCGCGCATCGCTCACCTCGTTCGGGTTCGGGTCGAGCGAGACGTCTTTGGTCGCAAAGAGGATGTAGTCGACTGCGGTACGTGTATAAAGCAGATTGTAAGGCGAGAGAGGAAGAGGGATAGACGGAGGTGAAGAGGAAAGGGTCAGTAGGAACAATGAAATGGACATGGTCGCAGGGGCTCACCTTCGTGTTCCCCCCAAATACCATCCTCGTCATCCTCATCACAAGGCGCCAAATAATGGATCTTTGTCAGATACGTGAAATCCCCCTCTTCCAAAGCTCCCTCCGGTACGCCCAACTCGTGCGGCAACTTCCTAATCGCCGCCCTCCTCACACCCATCTCTCCCTTTTCTTCCCGTTCGAGCGATGTAGAGAGGGGGTGGGAACAACAAGTGTTCGTCCACATGGAGGGGAAGGTGATCTTCTCGTCGGCGCGTTTTTGGAGGAGCAGGGCGCCGTCGGCAGGGCGGAAGAGGAAGACGGAGAATGCGCGATGGAGGAGGCCTTGACGGATGTTGGACATGAGGTGGCCTGTAGCGTGCGAGGTCATTCCAGGCAATGGGGATTGAAGAGGAGGTGAGAAGAGGTCAGGATGACAGACTTCGAACCATGAATGCCAACGCGGAGATGTCAGACTCACATCGCTTCTTGCTGCCCTCGCCGTACGCCACATCCTGATCATCTACCAAGATACACCTCTCTTCCATCAACCTGACTTGCTCTTCATCGTAGGCCTCGAGATCTACGTCTGCCTGCAAAGCACCGGTGACGGTCTTGGTGGCGGTGGTCGCGGCTGTAGCGTCGGCATGGCCGGTTGGAGAGACAGGGGCGTGCGGTTCGGTGATAGTGGTCATCGTTGTATGTCTGTGTTTGTGTAAAAGAGTGTGTGTGTAATAACGATAATAGGATGATGTTGAGTAGAAATGAGCAAGAAAGATGGTTGTGGTGTTGATGAAAGAAGCTCGAGGGTTGATGAGTCCAGATGGTGAACGACGAGTCTCAGGTCAACTAGCAACTAGGGTACAGGGTAGATGTTCATGTCTCGTTGACCATGATATCGACATCCTCAATCGTATCACTCGTGTGGCTCTCATCAAACGCAGCAGCATTAGCGATAGTATCTTCGAGGCATGTCAGGTCCAGCAGAAAGGAAAAAGGCGAGTACGACGATGTTCGATGATTGTACATCTGTACAACGAACAACCCCGTTAACCGCGACTGACCTAACCTGAACTGACCTGCGTCCTGTTCATACTATCGTCTACCAGGGCATCCAAATCCACCGTGGGATCGTTTACGGCTCCCACGCCCGGCTCCTCACCCCTGATGAAGCCAAACTAGCAACCCCAGGTCATACGCACAGATGGACAGTCTTCCTCCAGTCCGCTGCGACCCCTCCGCCGACTATGAGATTGAATTCGAAAGCGACTGGGGGTCGAGGAAAGGGGAAAGGCAAGGCCAAGGTGGAAGAAGGGAATACCAGTACCACGGCTATAGGCGAGGATGGTGGAGTGGAGGATGAGAACGAGGATTTTATCACGGGCGGAGCGGACGATCTGAGTTGGTTGATCAAGCGGGTGACGTTCAGGTTGCACGAGACGTACCCTTCGCCAAATCGACGTGAGTTTAGATGTCGTACCGCGTCTCGAGTATCGAAGTGCTGACACTCAGTTCCTGTCATCTCCCTCCCACACATATTCTGTTCCTTGTCATGCCAAATCCACCTCTGTCACCTCGAAATACATCTGCCTGCCTCTTTCTCGGTATCGTCCGATCTGGCCTAAAAGCGGTCGATAAACCACCCTACAGAGTGACCGAAACGGGCTGGGGAGAATTCCCCCTAAACATCCGGGTCCAGTTTCAACAGGAGACGGGAGAGAAGACGGTAGCCTTTGGACATCAGTTGCGGTTACATCATTGGGGACCGCCTGCGCTTGGGCCTCAGCCGCAGGCAGAGGGATCGGGATCTCAGGAGCAGGGTGCATCAGGACCGGGAGCTCACGAGGAGGGTGGTATCGAGACAGCAAGGGTGAAAGAGGGAGAGAATGGGCAGCAAGATGGGACGGGTACGGGCACGGGTGGGAGTACGAGCAGGATAGGTACGCCAGCTGGAGAAGGAGCCACTCCGAAATCCGGAGGAGGACCTTCGGGGTCGGTCGGTGATCAGGACGCTGAGGGGGAAGACGATCTCGCCCCGACACCAATTGAGGTAGATGGAGAAGGTGGAGCTACGACTGAGGCGGGAGCTCAGGGGGCACCGCAAGGGGATGAGTCGGGGAATATGGATGTGGAGATGAAAGACGCGAATGCGGCCGAGGTAAAACCTGAACCGAAGGACGATGCTCAGATGGTCACCGTCGCCGACTCTGCCGTCAAGGGCGGTAACGAACCCGCCGAACCACCTACGGCATCATCGACGGACTCTTCGACCCCGGTCGTCCAGATCAACCCTCTTCCAGTCCACTCCTGGCAGTACGACCAGTTCGTCTTCACAGACCCCACAACCACTCTATACCAGCTTCTTTTGGACCATCCAGAGACGCCACTCCCACGCCGGTCTCTACGGATGGGTCAGGGAAAACATATGGGAGAAGGAGCGATCTTGGGGGTGGACAGGGGGAGCGCGGGGGTGCCGCTGGAGTTTACGCAGGAGATGGAGGTGGCCGAACGGGAGAGGTTGGAACAGGCTCGGAGGAGTTTGGTAGAGGAGACCGATCGATGGAGGTGAGTTCCTTTGGACCGAAGAAGGGCTGCGTTTTGTTTCTTCGTTGTCGAAGCCCCCGGCTGAGAGTTGCCTCTCCTATGGACAGACAACGCCTGATAGAGCTCGAGCGCGAGGCACAACAGCTGAAAGATCAGATTGCGGCCGTTTGAACTCCGATTTCACACCTGCGGTCATGGCTGCATCTGGCAGAATGAACAAAGGACGGGGATGACTGCTACTATTGACGAATCTCATTAACGACGCTATATTCTCGCACGAAGCGAATGGCAAGCCCTGTATACCAAAGTGGACGGCTTGATTGAACATGGACAATAATGCCAACACAGCTTGCTTTGTCTCGCGGATGATCGATGCAGATTGAAACGAGGTGAGTACGGAGTGGGAAATGATAGTTTGATGCGGTGACTGACCGATATCAAATATTATTGTTGGTTTATTGACCAAAATAGTGAAGGCGCTTTAGTCTAGAGGTACGATGCCTCTTTCGGGTGTTAAAACCCGTCCTGTTTCAGGATTGTAGAACGTAGAGGTGGCCCCGGTTCGAGTCCGGGAAGCGCCCTTTCTTTTTGCCCTTTTTGCGCTTATCCAATATGATCTAGCCTTCCAGAACTCTGTCTGTTTCCTTCCACTTATGCTTTAGCCTTCTAAAACGCCTTGGGAAATGCCGATTCGTGGTGGCGGGTTTCTCCGAATGAGACGCACCATGGCTTTGTCCAAATGCATTTCAGCCCAGTAGACATAAATTGGCAAGGGGGCGAACCTGTCGCTCTTGCTTCGCAACGAAACACTGATGTGCTACGATTGTACCCATGTTGGCAGGAGATTGTACAAGACGAGATCCCTGTGGAAGAGGTCATCCAGACATGTCTGGCGATATGAACCCGGTGGACCTGTCGCTTCCGAATCTCCTTTCATGGGATTCGACCCTTGAACCCTTGAACCCTTGAACCCTGGGAACAATACCGCGAAACCTATCTTGTCTTTCGCTGGGTCATGTCAGACAGCGTTGGCATTTCTCCTTGCAGCGGGACAAGATATGGTTCCTGGTTCTGCGGCATGTGTTCCAGGAATGATCAGCGCCGCTGGCTGGACAGCCTTGTGTAATGACAAAGTGGGTTTCCGAAGATGCTCGCTCATGTATGCATTATCAGGCGCGACTTCTACAATGGTCTCCGGCGCCTTCCGCCACACAAACGTTCCCAGTTCCTTGCTTGCATGCGCACAATCTCCCAACAACACCTTCGTCTACCACAGCGAGTTCATGGCCTGCAAAGACAATTCTACGCCGACAAACGTAGCGGCCTGTTACAACCCGATCGAAACATAATACATCAGCCTCGCCATCCTCGCATATTCTCTCGATGATGTCCCTCTTAGACGCGAAACTCACGTTCGCTGGTACCGCCCTAGCCATGGCCGCCGAGAATCCTTTCCAAAGCGCGCCCACTCCGTCCGCCTTGATCGTCTTTCGCACACAGTCCGCGAACCCGTTGTACGTCCCGTTCGGGGCGGATTGTAATCGAGATTTGATGACCTGTCAGTGCGAGGGTTCGATTCAGTATCAGTTGCGATTGCATTTTGCGCGACGTAAGGTGAGCAGAAGGAGACCGACTCACATCGGGAGGAATGGCGATACTCCACATGGCCACACCGGCAAACGCTCCTGCGGCCATGACAGCGGGCAATGAGAGATCGGTCGATCCGGCCGGGGTGAGTCGTTTCTTCATCACCTCGTAGGCGACAAAGTATCTGCGAACCCGCCAGACAAGAACGAATCAGATCCAACTGAAACGCCAACACGAATTCCAGATTTTGAATCTCAACGGCACTCACGCAGCGCTCCCAGGCCCATCTCTTGCCAAAGTAGCTCCCGTCCCCCTGAAGATGCTCCTCAACCCTCCTTCCTTGTACAACTGCCTGACGACGTCGAGCGGTCCCGAATAGGTCGGACCGGCACCCGCGCCTTGTCCCTGGATCTGGAGGAGGACCTTGATACGCTCAAAGGGACCCGTAGCGAGGGTTGTGGGTACGGCCGAGAGGAAACCTGATGACGTACAGAGGAGTTCGAATTTGAAATTGTAGTCAATGAGTTAGTCTGAGGTCCTATCCTGTCTTGTCGCCCGAGTCCAAGCTGAAGACCTACCGGCCGCGGCGAGTTCGACATTGTTCAAAGCCTGAGTCGTCCGGTTAGGCGTCAACGAGTAGATGACCCGTTTACCCATATCGTAACCCTGTCAAAATCGACGACGAGATCCAGAATCAGCTCAAATCCAAGTTCAAGCTCAGGCTCAAGTTCCAGGTTTCCACAAAGTGAATGGGGTGTGAGGCAGGGAAGGGGAAGACTCTCACCCAGAAAGAAATGGCAAAGATCGGGGTGACTCCGATCAGAGGGGGTCCCATACCTCGGTACATCCTTTTCATACCAACCCACACCGACGCAAGAATACCAAACAACAGACGGACTCGTCAGTATCATCATCATCGTTACTCGAATCGTGTACGAATCAGGTACAGAACGAAGGACATACCCCTTGACCCCGTCCCTCGCCAAAGTCTTTTTCACGACATCGATCGCTCCCGTATAACTCCCCGGAGCGGCGGTCTGTAGTCGGGTCTTTGTCAGGTCAAAAGGATGTCCTACGCATTCCCCAGACATTCAGATCATGTTAGCTTCATGGTTATTGGACCTGGACAGGCTCTGAGAAGCAGCACGTCTCAGCGACAGCAACGCTGAAAGCTGACTTACCGACGAGTACTGCGCTCATCCCCCCGAACCCCCCCGAGAGGAACGACTTGACCGGCGAGACGGTCTGTTTCGTCGTCTCCTCCTTGGTCCTTTGTTCATTCTCGAATTGTGCGTCGGCCATGATGTTCAGTTGTCGTAGATGCGGTGCTGAAAAGGAGTATGTGCTTGTGGTTCTTCTAATGACGTCGTCGTTGTGTGTTGTAAGCGGCCAAAGGTCGGTTAATGAGCCTGGGAGGGTATGAGCTATGTATTATACGGGGAGATGCGACTGACCAAGGCTATGACTTGTGACGAGCTACAGCGATGATGACGATGGACAGGAATGACTTCTGTTGATACGAGGAAGATATATAACGACGACCCTTGATTCATCGACGGCTCCATTCGACCGATCAAGTAACCGGTCACTCGGCCGAGAAGGCGACGAGTGAGTGGCGGGTGGAAATAAGCGATTACGTAATTGATACCGACAGGGTGAGCCTATGCCAGTAATGCCTTGCGCATTTCAGTGGAAGGGCTAGTTAGGCAAGACTTGGTCTCATTCATGCGATGCAATGCGTAGAGGAAGATACAGTATGAGAACAAACTTGGCAACTCGCAGAACCACGACCCAGCGGATCATTCCATCACCGTCGCGCGTTTCCGCAACGGGCACTGAATGGGCCTCGACGTGATCCTGACTTCCGGCTGAGAGCCTCTCCTCCCCGGATCGACAAGCGATACCTTGGTAGGTTCGGTCATGTACCCCGACGCAGTAGAAGTAGCTTGCGCGAGTCGATGCTCAACAGCAACAGTGTGTTCACCATTGGTCCCGTGTTCGTCAGGAGACATCAAAGGGGACCAGGGCGAAGAAGCCCGGCTGTTAAGCGTCTGATGCAACACTTGTTGAGCTGGGGCGGACGACCGACCGGGAGCAGGACCAGCTTTAATCCCTAAAGCGGGGGTCATGTCGATAGCGACCTCGCACGGACGGGGCAACGAAGCCGTGTCCAATCCGAGGGACACGCTTCCGAAGTTGACATTCGCGTCGGGGGAGATGGGCGAGCTGAGGTCTCTTCCACCCATGCCCGTCCCCTCGGTCTTGAAGAACGGCTGGACCGACCCGGAAGCCCGCCTGAGCACGCTGATCATCCCATTGACCATCCTCTCAGAGGCGCTCCGGTAACCTCCTCCCGTCCCGATCGTCCCGCTGAATCCGGTCTGGTCGCTCTCACATGCGCTCTCGTTGCGGGAAGACGAGGCCGAGGTCATCGTCCGGGTCGGTCTCAAGGGACTCGGTGGTGGACCGGGACGACGTCGAGGAGGCTGTGGTTGATGTGCCTGTTGTGCGTCCAACCTGGGTTTGACGGGAAGTTCCCTCTTGACAGTCGGAACGGCGAAGACGGCATCATCGCTCCTCCACCCTCTCAACGCCGACAATTTGGCCAGCGCCGAAGGACCTGGATGAGGACCCGTAGTCGTCTCATTCTCGGTCCCCGTCAATGCCGCCGACATGGCGCTAGGATCCTCTTCAACGATCGAATCGTTGTCGGCTCGCCTCGACCTCTGACCGAGCGCCAAGACGTCGGTCCCATAGCCGACCTCCTTGGCTCGACGCTTTCGAGGTGAATCGCTTACGCCCCGCTTGATCTTGAGCCTCCCTGCACTGGGAGATTGACCGGCGGGAGGAACCATCCAGTTTGACCTTTCCGAAGCGGATCGACCGAGCTGAGCCGGTTTCGTTCGAGCTCGAGGTGGCGGGCTGCGATGTCGTGTACACGAATCGTTTCCAGATTTCCCCGCTGCGACGGCGTTGTGTGATCGAGGAGGCAATGCGTGCTGGATCTGTACGGCACCACGACCACGTTCTACTTCGGCTTGGCCTTCTTGACCACCGATCCGGACGAATGACCCGGGGCTGATCAGGGAAGAAGCCGACCCGCCGATAATCTCTTCGTGGACTTCCGAGACGGGTCGCCGACGACGATAATTGGTAGGGCGAGCGAAAGCGTATCGATGGTGACGGCGGGAGTCTGCAAGTGCTTCTGACATGTCCTCGACGTCGACTTCGAGCTGTTGGGTTCGAGATGAAAGGTGGCGCTCGCGTGGAGGGGCGTGACTATAATACATCGACTTGATCAATATTATGATCATTATGCGGAACAGCCCGTCAAACTCACCTAACATCCCGCTCTTCCATGACGAGCTTGCCCCGCCTGACATGGTACAACCCTCGTCGACCTCGGGGAGACACAAATCTAGTGGTCTTGACATCATCCTCTTCCTTGACCACCTGAGCCTCCCTGGACCTGAACTTGCTGGGACGAGGCGAACGACCGAGCGTCTTTATGAGCCCCGACCGAATCGCCTTCCGCTGGACTGCCGAATCGTCGCTCGAGAACCCGGCTTCCGAGTCCTCCTCGTATCCCGAGGCCGTCCCGTTGACGTTCAGCTCGAGATCGTCCTCGCCATTGTCATCATCGTCCTCTTCTTCCTCGTCACCATCCGTCTCCGACATGGAATCGACGACCTCGCTCATCGGTGTCGGTTGTTCGCTCAAGTTGGCGTCGTACGAGTCCTCTCGAGGGTTGTTCGAAAGATCCTCGTCTTCATCCTCGTCCTCCTCCTCCTCCTCGTCGTATTCGTCGGATACCTCACTGTGTCGATCGTAAGATCCGTGCTTGGCTGTCTCCCCGTCATCCTGCTCCTCTAGCGAGCCGTGACGTCCCCCGGAGCTCTCCCGGGCCAAGGCGTGTTGATCTGCCTCGTCATCCTCTTCACCGTCCATATCATCGCTATGGTGCGAATCCTCGTTATCCTCGTCCTCATCCTCCTCTTCCATCTGATCATCGTCTTTCCCCTCCTCTTCTTCATCGTCATCCTCCATGATGACCTCGTCAGCCAAGACCCGTCTCCCAGTATGCCCCGGATCATCCGATAACGCTTTGAAAGTCACCGACGTCGATCCCTTCTTGCCATCCGAGACCTTTCTTTGCAAGAGACCTCCCTCTGCAGAAGCAGCGGGCGGGACGACGGCGAACGTCAAGCTCGATTTCCTGGGTCCAGCCGGTGTCTGCGGCATCGCAGCTTCCTCATTAGCATGTGGGGCCGCCTGTATAGCCTTGGGACTCGATGGTCTGTCCACCTGAATCGCCGATCCAGGAGCTGCCACGGACCCGCCCAACTCGCTCGGGTACCACTTGTCCGAAGGTTTCCTCAGGATGGAACACCCCGCCAATTTCTTGCTGGGCGACATGGACGGGCTCGTCCGTCGAGCCAGGCTGCTGGCCATCGAGGGGCAAGTCATCGTCGTCGAAGCGCTCGGCCCAGAAGGGCAGACCAAGATCGGTCGGGGTGTGTTAATTCCTAAAGCTGAACAACCTAAAGACTGATCCAAAGCGCCTTGCAACCCCAAGACCGACTCTCTCGAACCCAAGTTCCCAGTCTGCAAGTCGCTCCTCTCTCCCATCCCGCTACTACTTCCCGGGCGCGATTGTTGTTGTCGGTCGATATCCTTCTTCCGTTGCTCCTGCATCATCACCGTCAATAACGACATTGACCCTGGTTCACCTCCAACTCCAGGAGTCTTCTCCTCGTCCTCTCTCGCCTTGACAGGTCGCCCTACTGGGATAGCCTTGACACGGTGGACCTCCTCTTCCCGAGGACTGCTTGGCATCACAGTATCTTGCTTGAGCTTGACCTGTCCACCAACACTAATGCTAACCCCGACGCTGCCGTAAGGCGTGCCTCCAACCTCATCCGAAGTAATCTCCATCAAATCCATCTCCGTCGACGGGGACAACCCAGGCGTCGAACAAGATCCCGATCTCGTCATCTTGATCTTCGTACGCCCCGATCTCTCCTGTTGATGCTGTCCTTGATGCAAGTCTTGAGGCGGGAGGAGCCGTACAACATGTTCGTTGGATCTCATATCCCGATCGTGTTCCTGCTGAGGTACCCCTGCCTGCCCTGGTTCACCTGCCTGGCGTGGCGCAGGGTTCATCCGCATGTACAAAGGCTCCGAGGTGAACAACGGCTGTGTCCTCTTCCTCTCCCTCATGTATGCCGACCCTGATCCTCTTGCCGAGGAAGGAGACGGTGACAAGGAAGCGGAAGATCCCGAAGGAGAGACCGAGGAGGATCGTGATCTCGATCTCGATTGGATGGAGGATGTGGTCGAGAGAGGCGAAGGGGGTTGATGATACCGAGATCGAGGTCCAGGTTGATCCACGTGAGATGTAGAGCCAGACGCACTCGCAGTCGTAGTTCCGGTAGAAGTAGTAACCAAAGCCCGGCCCGATGTCGGTGCAAACGTAGGGTGAAGGACGAGCCTTTCCGGCCGAGGAGAGTTCCTAGGACACGATTCTCCAAACGAAGCGACCCGTCCGAAATTCTTGGTCGAGATCGAGATGGATATCGAGGTCGAAGGTCCTTCTTGCTCTTGCTGATCTACCGCAGGAACCCCGAACCCGCTGACGACCCTCGTCGCCCTCGACCTGTTACACCCGTCCATCCCTACCCGTCCTTGATCGTGTCCTGCAGTGGTGGTAGGTGAAAGTATCTCGATCATCTTGTCTTGTGAGGTTAGATGTTACGTTTAGTGGTAAAATGTCGCTGATGATGTAATTCGTTAGGTGGCTGTTGGGTAATGCGATATTATGGTGTCTATGATGTAGAGGCGAGATGTAAAGGTATCGCTGGAAGTCGAATTAAGAGGGAGGCGGTATCATATGATGTCCAGAGCTATAAAACGATTTGTGAATACCCCGGTAAAGACGAAGAGGTGCATGATCAGCAATGAAACGTCGAGCGTCACGGCTCATGATCAAGCCCCGAGAGACGTCGTCTCAGATCCAGGGGTTCAGGCAGAGAACGTAGGCCATTCGGACTCACGTTGCATCTTTACCCTCGCATCGATGTCGAGGACGACAAGACGAAACGAACTGGAGGACGGTCTATCTTGATCCGAACAGGTGATGGTTTCAGGTCAGGGAGGCGACGACGATGTTTGCCGCTCGCTCCACTTCTGTGATCCTGGAGAGTGCGTCGACCGTCAAACTCTAAGTCCCCTCGAGTTTGAAACGTCGTCGTCTTCAAGACGATCCATCAAGGAGAAGAGAAGACGAGTTGGATGTCCATCGACCTCGACCTCTAACTTGTTGAGCGAAGGTCTGTCCGCCTCTGTGGTTGGCTGGATTGGTTGATGGATGGATGGATGGATGGGGGTGTGTGGGGGTCTTTTGGTACGATCTCGGTCTCGGTCTCGATCAACATTCTTCCCACACAAGGGGGGAGGGAAGGGAGGGAAGGGGGGGGCGGATGCAAAACACCCGACGCGGCAGACTGAGCGAGGAGGCTGTGTGCTTCTATTTGCATCCGGTGTACTGTTTCAACGCCACACCTTCTCTCCGCATCTCACCCGATTCTGCCCCCACGTGAGATGATGACATCCCTCCTCCCCTTCCGCCCGACTCGACTGTAGTTGTAGCGGGAGTTCACCCGAGCTCTCGACGTACGTAATAGAAATCCGCCATCAAAACAGGAACGAGGGACTCGGACGGGATTCTTTCCATATTCCCATCGGCACTTCCAGCTTCGGACGGGCATCGTCGTACCCCTAAAACAAACCGACTCTGGTCCGCAGCCGAAACGCTAGCTCGAGGGTCCGAGTCGCCAATTCCATCATGACGCGCTGGCGACGATCTAAGGGGTCGCACCGTTCCGTGATCTCTCAGTTGTATAGCTACCAGGCAGGGGCGACGGTGTACGGCACCCTCTTTCTCGCACGCCCTTCGACCGATACTTCGGGCTCAAAGCTCGACTCTCCAAAAATATCCGAATAAGCTCACCCGTACACGGGATGTTGTCCTGCGCCACACAAAATTACGATTCCGTAATCCCGTCCTGGCGACGGCCGAAATCTGCTTCTGTTTCAGAGATGGCTTTGTCAAACAGGGCGTCTCGCTGGCGATCAACGAAAAGAATCAGAGACAGCCAAGACTCGTGAAGATCTCTCGCAGATCGGCATCGTCCACCGCGGTACCCTAGAACAAACAACTCTGGTCCGTCAGGAGGAAGAACGACTTCAAAGTCGATTCATCCTCGTCATCATCATCGTCGGCTGCATCGGCGTCAATCACGTCGATACATCAAGACGAAGTGGAAATCGTTTGCACGCCGTACGTCATACGCCGCACGCTTTGTTGGATCATATTCGATTATTGCGTCTGTTCGAACTTTGATTCTTTCTTAAACGAATACAACACCCTTCCGCAAGCAACTCCGACGTATATCCGTCCAATACCACCTTCCGATCTATATTACGGTACCACCATCGACAGAGAGACATTGACCTGTTATGAAGCTCGCTTCCTTTGACAGCAAGAACGCCGCGGCGTTTGCGATATCCTCTGGCTGACCCAACCGGTTCAAGGGAATGCCGAACGTTTTCAGGTCGAAACCCTCATCGAGACTGCCTTGCAGCATGGCCGTCGCCGTGGCACCCGGACAGATCGCGTTGACCCGAATGTTCTTGCTGGCGTACTCCATCGCCGCGGTCTTGGTGATGGCGTTGACGCCGACTTTGGCGGCGCTGTATGCGGACAGGTATGGAAGAGCTCTCAACGATGCGCCAGAGGAGATGTTCAAGATCGCGCCAGGGCGCTCGCCCTTTTCGATGGCTTGGATCTGGTGTTTCATACCGAGAAAGGTCCCTCCCAGGGTGACCTTCATAGTTCTATCCCAAGTCGCATAGTCGAGCTCGGTGATCAAGGCGAGTGGATGCGTGATCGCAGCGTTGTTGACGGCACCATCTAGCCGTCCGTACGTCTTGGTAGCAAGCTCGACCATCGCCTGGACGCTCGCTTCGTCGGCAACATCCACTCTGGTCGAGATGGCCTCTCCACCTCGCGCGGCGATCTCGTCGGCGATGGCCCTGCCGCTCTTCTCATTGAGATCGGCTACGAGCACTTTGGCACCTTCCCTCCCAAGGCGCTTGCTGATCGCGGCTCCGATTCCGCTTCCTCCACCGGTGACGAGGAAGACCTCGTTCTTGAAAAGCTGGAGAGATGTGGCTGTAGGGAACATTGTTGTTGCAAATCGGGAGAGAGGCGACGTGATTAATCATCGATTGCGAGCTGGCATAAGGGATATACCGAAACGACATTATATACCGTATGAGATCATGGGGACAACTGTTTGTCCGGAGAGTGCCGTGTCAAGCGGGATGGGCTTGTGAGACGTGTCCCTTGCTCGAGCCGCGGCTCAACGGCTCCACGGCTCAACAATGCACGTCGCACGTAGCCTTTTCGTCATTGTGCGTTGGGCATATTATTGCTCACCGAAATCCCTCTGTCATCTTTCTACAGTGCGCCATTTCTCCTCTGGCCCCTGACGAACCCAAGTCTACGTCCCGACCGGGTCACATATCACAAGCTAGAGCTGGAGCTGGACAGGATGTACAGGCCGCCGCCTCGTTCGTCGAATTTACATGACGTTGATCACGTAACGAAATCTCGTAGAATGTCACTCGTCTAGCCAGTCTGACATGAATTATCGAAAATTAGTAGTGTTACAACAAGATCGTAAAGATATAGGCGATCAGTTCAAGAAGTGCATAAGAATATGAGTATCCAGCCATCACTTCCTGGCTCGGGTGACACGTTTGGGCACAGCTACTTCTTCCTCCAAAACGACCGGAGCCGTCGCTGCAGCCCTCGTCCTCGTCGCTGGTACTTTCCTGGCGGTCGTGGTCGTACTGGCAGCATTAGAAGCGGCCGACGACGCTGCCCTCGCTTTACTGCTAGCGGTAGGAGCGGTCAAGTCGCTCGCCCCCGTTCTCGCCGTTCGTCGTTTAGGAGCCACAGCAGCAGATTCGTTCTCTTCCGCCGGCGTCTCTTCCACCTTGACCGCCCGAGTCGTTCGCGTAGCTCGAGCTTTAGGTTTCGAACCGGCTTCCTCTGCGACGGCTTCCTCGGGCACCTGAGGAGGAGCCGTGGTGGTCTTCAGGGGAGCGGCCTTCCTCGTCGCTGTAGTCGTCGTCGCGGCAGACCTAGCGGCCGTCGTCCTGCCGACTCGACTAGGAACCGTCGGCTTGACCAGAACGATGGTTTCCTCTTGAGCCGGCTTGACGGGCTCTTCCGGAACCTCGGGTGTTGCGCTTGCCTTCGCTCGAGTCGCACGAGCCGGTACAGCGGTCGACGTCTTGGTCGCACGGGTGGCTCGTGCTGCAGTTACAGGTGCAGGCGTCGGCTCAGCCGAAGCGGCCGCAGTCCTCGTTCGACTCCGCTTGACGGGCTCGACGGACGCAGTTTCTTCAGCCACCGCGGGGGCCCTAGTTCGGGTCGTGCGGGCAGTCGTCGTGGTAGACCGTTTGGTTACTGCAGCGGTACTCGTGCTTGGACCAGCTTCATCTGCCGCGGGTTCCGCAACCTTGCGACGAGTCCTTGTGGTCGTCACTGCTGGAATACTGGCTTTGCTGCTGACCCGCGATGGCTTCGCGACCGAGATAGTCTCCGAAGGCTGCTCATCCGGTGTTTCCTCCTGTTGCTCTTGCTCTTCCTGAACCTCGGTGTCGGCCGGCTCTTCTTGATGCTCCTGCTCGCCAGGATCCTGTTTGTACAAGACGTCCTGTAATCCGTTGAGATCGGGCGTTGACCGTTGAGCCGGTTCGGCCATCATGTGTTTCAGCCCGCTCATGTCCGGGGTGCTAGGGTTGGCTGGTTGAGCGAACATGTTTTTGATCCCGTTCATCAATGGGGTCTGGGCATCCCGGACCTCGGCATACATCTCTCTCAGTCCAGTAAATTTGGGGGTCTGTAGAGTCTTGATATTGAGCATCTCCTTAAGACCTCGATATTCCGGCGTCGCTGGGGCGTTGGAGATATTCAAGTTGGCCATTGATTCGGTTGCTTGGGTCGGCGGCGAGACATCGCGTTCCGGCTGCACTTCCGTCTCTGGCTCGCCTGCTTGTTCCACATCCATTCCGTTGTCAGACTCTGGCTTGGCCGTCGGAACGTCCTCGTCAATTTCGCTCCGCGCGGAGTCTGCCTCGTCATTCGAGCCTTCATCATCCTCGTGGATCTTGTTGGCCTGAGCAGAAGCAGCCCCGGTCGGATTGACATCCCGCATCGACACGGTCGCTTGTTCCTCCATGCCTTGAGTCGCATACTGAGGAGGCGCCAAAACATTTCCGAAACGGGAAGCGGGCGCTGCGGAATAGAACTGTTGAGGTGCTCGAGACGAGGCTCGCGGGGTCGTTGGCTGAGCGAGTCCAACGGTAGCACGCCTATTGTTCATGTCGATCGGTCGGCTCGGTCCTCCTACGCTCTGTCGGTGCAAGCTCTTGCGTCGCAGAGATTTCAAGTGCGATTTGATATCGGACAGCGGGTCCTTTGCCACCACCTCGACCTCGTCTTCATCGCTCGAGACCTCATCGATCTTGTGACCGGCGAGAGCAGGGTGTTGTGCCGTCTCAGGCATCCTCAGCTCGAGCGGTCTGGCGGCCACTTCAGGAGTCTCGAAACCGGCTGGGGGTGCAGGCAGCGTTCGACGACGGCTGTTCGCCTTTTGACTTTGTTCCCACTGCGACGCGCTCAAAGGTTAGACCAATAATGAAATCGATTCCACCACTGACCAATACTCACAGCCTCTTGCTGTTTCTTCAACTCGGCCTGCTCAAATTCTTGTTGATACGAGACCGGCTCCCGCTCCGTCTCCGAGTGGTCGGCTTCGGCTTGAGATTCCTCTTCAGCTTCTTCCTGCTTGACAAATTCGCGGTCGCTCTCTCCGTCCTGCTGGTCCATATCATAGCTCATCCTGTCTACCGCCTCCCTGACAGGCGTCGCCAACATCGCCTGGAACTTGACCGGCGGGCCGAAATTGTCAAGCGACTTTCGAGGCTGAGCACGAGCGGATTTGCGGGCGATGTATTGAGGGGTAAAGAAGCGCTCCCCGAGCGTGCGCTGTAGGTGGCAAGCAGTCAATGGGATCAGCGGATCAGTCAAATACGTGAAGTTGGAAGACCTGCCGCTTACCTGGACGGGAGTCTCGGGTAGCGGAACGAGAGCCGGGTCAATGGGAATCTCCTGCGCCTCTTCGTACTCTTCCTCCTGTTCCATCTCCTCGTCATCTTCTTGCTCGGCCTGACCTTGCTCGTATGCGTATTCTTGCTGTTCATGCTCGTGTCCAGAATCAGAATCATCCATAGCCCCGACGTCTAGGCTTCTATCGACATCGTCGTCAGACGAGTCGCCAGCTGCAGCGATCTCCTCGTTGATAATGCGACGAATCGAGGGGGTGAACGAGGCAGAGCTGACGCTGTTGGCGTGCGCTTGCACAGGAGTAGCAACCTGTATAATGGTTCTTGACGATATCAGCATATCGCACGATAAACTGCGTCATCGCACCGACGTCCGACTCACCTCATCCTGCTCATCTTCGTCATCCTCCTCATCCTCAGCTTCCCCATGAAGCTCCTCGGCATCCGTCTCATACGCCCCGCTGACATCCTCATACTCTTCCTCCTCGTCGAAATGGTCGCTAGCATCCTCGAAAGCCACCTCTTCCCTCTCCTCCTCGTCGCTCTCACTGCTCTCATAGTCGGTAACTCCAGGACTAGGCAGAGCCGTCTTGTAAGGTGTGCTCTGGAATCTCATCGGTGTAGGCGCGATAATCTGACTTTGACCGTTCCTAGCCGAGGCCATTTGTTGCATCATCCTCTGCCTTTGGACGAGCTGAGCTTCCATGACCTTTTGGGAACTGTGCAAGAGGAGATTTCTCCTCAAAGAGTTCCTACCGGTCCTCGGTTTAGGTGTCAAGGGCATGAGAGAGCGAAGGTCAACTTCGTGATCGTCACCGTTACGAACAGGGGAGACGGGAGCAGGAGGCTGGTTCTCGTCGTTGAACGTAAGAGGTGATGTCTCTTCCTGCTCCATCTGGGTCGTCTTGGGCGGGGTCACCGGGGCACCCATCGAGGTGTCCTGTACGCCCTCGACATCCTCCATCTCTACGTCCTGGCTCTCTTCCTCCTCGCCATGGTCAGCCCGTTCGGTCACATAAGGTGTATCCATCGAAGCGGGCAAAGGTACGTTTCTCGGCGTCTGGTACCCAGCAAGTCCACCTTCCTCCTTAGCCAACAAGTCAATAAACTTGTTCTTGGGGGTCGGAGTGCTGTACATTCCTTGTCCGGGAACCAAAGGCGACGGACTTGACGGTCCTTCCGAATCAAAAGAATTGTCCAAGTCCTGATCCAGCTCGTCTAAGGATGGGTATAGGCCGGTTTGGAGCACATATGGGGTGTTTTCCGTAGGCGGTAGAGGGATTTGAGATGGCGTCATCTCCACCTTGCTCTCCTCCTGTACCTGTACGGGCTGATTCAAGAACCCCCACATATCGTCAATGATCGATCCCGATTTGGCTTCTTCTTTTACTTGTTCTTCTTACCTCGATAGCTTCGACGGGAACATCCTCCTCTTGCACGGCCATCCGCACGTTCTTCCTGGTCCTTGGTACCAAGCTCGTCCTAGGCGCCTTCAGGATCTTCTTGCCCGGCTGAGGTGTAGCGAACGACCTTGGCAAGGCGCGTTGAGGCTGCAAGATGATGATAGTGAGATTCAATCAGCGAGACAGCGCGACGAGGAGAAAGAGACATAAATGCCAAATGCAGCACAGCAATAACGCACTTTAACAGGCGAGTTCGCCGCTTCCAGAATCTTTGCCTCGATCCCTACTCCTGTCCCTTGCTCGTCATCCTCATCTACCATCTCCATATAGGCCAGGTCCCTCTTCTTCCCCGCCGCTTCATCCTCTGCCGAAGGGGTCTCGTTCCCCGCCAAAGCGAGGATCGCATCCTTAACTTCCTTGCTAGCGGCGTGCTCAGGGAACAGATGCAGTCGGGTCGAGTTCCTCCGTCGGGAAGACGCTGCGAACCTCGTACTGCCGGTAGCTCTCGTACTCGGTCTCATCGGGGACCCGGGAACTTGATCTTCTTCCCCGAAATTCGCTTGTCCTCCATAACTCCTGGTAGGAGCCGGGGAGTCTGGCAACCAAGGCGCTTCCAACCCGCTTCCTTCCCCAGAGTCTTGGGCGTATTCGAATTTGAACCGCCTGACGGCGACGGAGATGACATCCCCGTCTTGCAAGGTATGTTGCGTGCCGAGGGGTAAGAGGGTCTTGTTGATCTTGAGACCGGCTTTGGAAAGGATCTCGATGACCGCCTATCAGGTGAGACAGAGCAACAAGAAAGAGATCGCAAGGTCATGAATGTAGTATAGTGAATGAGAAAATAGCTCATCATCTCATGCGTTCACGAACTCGGCACGTACTTTACCGGTGATGAGGTCAAAGGTGATCTTGCAGTGCGTCCTCGAGACGTCCAACGCGTGGATCCTGATATCGCTCGACTGATCTCTGCAAGCGTCACATAACACAAATAATTTCCATGAGCTCTTTCCTCCCTCTTGACCCGGGGCTAGATGAAGTGATTGACACCCCGACCCTGCGTCCAGTCGAAACTTCGAGCGCGACTCACCGACCGATGGTGATCACAGGACAATCGATATCACAACTCTGCTTGATCGCCTTGGTCTTGCCTTTCAGATGATGAAGACGACCATAAATCTGAACAGGCTCTGGAGAGACCGAGCGTTCGGGTTCGAACATGACCGGCTGTCGGTGGGTAGTAATGGTCAGCCGAGGTTGAGAGGGTGATTAGGACCGGGGTTGCGCGTTTGTCGGTAGTTGGTGGGTGGTAGGAGGTTGTCGTCCAATGTCGTTCAGAAGCTAATTCTGTCGGTGGTTATTCAGCCATACTATTGGTACTTCCGAGTGCCTCCAAGCGTGTGTTAGGAATGTGGTTACTGTCGGAATACTAGAGACTTGCGATCAAAGACCTCGACGTGATTGAATATGTCGAGTGTTTGTTGTTGATGTCGACGACCTAGGCCGTTTGTTGACAATTCGAGCGATGATCAAAGATACGCGTCGCTCTTTACGTAATGCACATCAAAGGGGGTAGAAACTGCTTGGACCGCATTCCCCGTCCTTGGAAATTGGAGTTATGCCCAGCGACAAATTACGAAGCCCTCCGAATTGATCTCCAGCCACAGCATTCTGCACGTTTGAGGATGTACTGATAAATAATTTCGGCACTATCATACCAGCGATCCGCATTGTTCGATGTTACCAGACGAGGAGAATCCGCCGCAAGCTGTACCGCGGATCCGTTTATGAGCGATGCAAGTGGTACTTTTCGTCTCACGCTTGTCAATTCAATGAGGCCAGACCTATTCCCCAAATGCTGACCTCGTCGATATGGTCACAAAGTCGCAAGAAGACCTCCGGTGAGAGGGGGCTTATGCATCTGATGATCTGATGAAGTGCACACCAACGGACAAACGAGCAGCCTCTCAAATCTCTTATTCCCTCGTGGAATTGCATGCCGCCCGTTGCCGCGTCCGAGCGTCTCCTCGCGCTCTCTCTGGATCTCTAGATGTGAATGCTCAACACAACAACTACACATCATCATTTACACCCACGCCCACCTCATCTCTTCTCACCTCCCTATCCTGCGTATTATCGCTAGGTAAAGCGAAATCATCCACATGAGCCACGGCTCATCACCCCTTGGTCCGAGCTCGACCTCAGCTTCTTCCTCCTTCGCGCAACATATCACTACAAACGCTTCAGCCTCGTCTTCCTCCTCGCCTTACCACCTCGCACCCGGTGGACCCTCTTCAAGACCGGCTAAACGGGTCAAGGTCGAGCATACGAATTCTCAGGATGGCCGGATAGGTGCCAGCTCGGTATCCGGCTCTGGATCGGGGTCGATGGGGAGAATGGGGGAACGGGCGAGGAGTTATAGTATGCGGGAGGAAGAAGAGGAGGAACGAGAGCCGGAATATGTAGGAGATCCTGCCAACCTCGAGGTGGGTCAAATCATACTTGTTCTTCCGAGCGTTATGAATCGCGAGTCGTGCTGACTCCTGACTTGGAATTAAATGGGATTTTGATGTGTTGACAACCTTTCGGCAACTCCTAGCAATACCGCAAAGAAGCCATCTATCTCTCCCTCCTCTCCTCGAAGCGCCATACTTTCCGAACACAAAAACGGGTCAAGGAACTGGAGAACCAATTGAAAGGCCTACAGAGCGGGGTGATCGTCGTCGAGAAAGTATGGGGAGATGTGATGAGGCTTTTGGAGGGTGCTGCGGCAGGAAGCAGTAGGGCTGATGAAGGGAGGGAGGTCGAATTGCGTGAGTATTCTGAAGCTCAGAGCAATTGTTAGTATGCCAAGTCATTTGACTGATGAATCGCTGTTTCGGTGAATCGTAGCATCTATAATAGAATCCCTGAAAGACCCAACGCTTCAAGCTCAACTAGAATCCCGTCTCCCTTCTTTACAAAACCTTCTATCTCGCCTCTTTCCTACATCCACCTCGACACCCACCTTGACGAATTTCTCCCTGAGCGCAACCCTGGAATCTGCTCTAGAATCGCTCCGTATAGAACGGGACGAGCTGGTTCAGAAGTACGAATCCGTCGTGCTAGAGCTGGATGGGGTGAAACACAAGTGTGATCGGTGGAAGCTCGAATATGAACGGGTGCAAAGGGGCGAGGAGACAGCGGGGGAGCAGGGTCGTGGCACGCGGTTAGGAGAGGTTAAGGAGGAGGATATTGCAAAGAAGGGAGAGGGTGCGACAGGGGAGAGCTCGGGTGAAGGGCAGAGATTATTGAAGGAGGAAGGCGACAAGGCTGCTATGGAAGATCGGATAGCAGGGGTGAGTTCACATCTCAACCTTCCAGTAGGCAAGCGAATTCCGCTCACCGATAACACCCGGCGAGTAGACTAACGGGAATCATCACGCCGAGACGAACGGTCAGATCCTGACAGCCGCGAATGACCACGAGAATCTCTTGACCCGCCTGAAATCCAAAGATCTCGAGATCGATCGTCTGAGCGAAGAAAAGACCCGATTACAGTCGGAGATGGATTTCCTCAAAGAGGTCGCTTGGAATCCGACCGAAGACGCTGTGACTGCCAGTGCCATGTTCAAGGCCTTGAAAGCGGAGTTCGAGGAACAGAGGACGGATGCGGATGAGGCCAAGAGGTTGGGAGAGGTTGCGGAGAAGAGGGCGGACGAGTTGGTCGGAAATCAAGAGGGGTTCAAGGCGGCCATGGAGGTGAGCAACTCAGGCTCAGCGTGGAGATCGAAGTTCGGTCGAGCTGAATGTCCCCTCGTCATAATCGTAGTACTCATACAACCAAAAGTTTGAGTCTCTCGACCGACTGATCCGAGCGAAGGATGCGGATATCGCCAGATTGAGAGGTCAACGAGATGCAATTCGAGAAGAAAACGACATGTTGAAGGGAGAGAAACAAGTCGTCTTCAATAGCATCAAGGAGACGGATGAGATGGTAGCCTCTGCCGAGGTTAGTGATGGATCGAACCCGGGAATAAGCCCAAGGAAATCGTGGCTGACGCCAAAGTTTGCAGGAACGACTCAAGGCCGTGCAGTCCGAGTTGAAGCGGCTTCGAAGTAGAAGCGCGGCTGAGGCTGGGGAGCAGAGTTATCTCGGATTCTTGCTGGAAAAAAGCGGACAAGAGCTGGATTACGTCCGGTCGCTGGAGAACAAGATCACGTAAGTTTCGCGCTCCTGACATCTGACGTTGCCCCCAGCTTATAATCGAAGCGACCGTTCCGCAGCGAGGCTGGCGATCGTGAACGCGCTCTGCAGGAGCAGATCAAGAGTTATATGCGAGATCGAGATACGCCTAATATAACCGGCCTGATGCGGGCTGAGGGCAGGGCAAGGGAAGAGGCGGAAAAGTACAAGCGGATGTACCAGGAACGGGAGGCGGCCGCTAAGAATGGACCCAACTCGACACTGCTCGAACAGGTGGCAGAGAAGAGTAAAGAGATTGATAGGCTTGCCGGGATGCTGGAGGAGCGGGAGGCGGTGAGTTCTATGCGATCCGGGCGACAGTCTTCGACTGGTATTGACGTTTTGGATCCTCCAGGCGACCATGACGCTGTACAGTGAGGTGGAGAATCTCTCGAAAGCTTACGAGCAGATGGAGCGGACAGCGACGAAAAAGGTGTACGACCTCAAGTCACTGGAAAATCAAGCCTTGGAAGCCATGACTGTAGTACGTGCGAGTTGATATCGTTTCGAGAAGCTTCTCTTGACTAATATTTCTCGCAGAAAGCCAAAGCGGAACACAAGTACTTTGCCGAATGTCGAAAATCCGCTGCTTTGTTAGACCAGCAGCAAGCCATCACGAAGACCCTGGAAGCGCAGAGAGTCGCGCTAGATAAATCTCGCAAGGTCGAGGATGATCTGCGCTCACAGCTGGTGAGTCCAGTTTCTTGAAGCGTTTGACGTCCGAGGCACGCTAAAGCCCACCGCTGGCAGGCTGGCCAAGAAAAAGAGATCATTGCCCTCAAGAACAAACATCTCCTCGCTTCGAAGCAGGTGCAGCGGCTGGAGACTGACGTTGTACGATACAAGTCTGAGGCAGAGGAATCGTCACATCGCGCCGAGGGACGAGAGAAGATCAACAGCGATCGATTAGAAGAGCTCAAGCAAGCACAAGCAGAGAACCGCTCACTGAAGACCGAGATCGAGGAGACCAAGCACAAGCTCAAGCAGAGTCAGTCGATGCTAAAGAGCACGCAGGGCAAGGGCGTTTCGGTTGGCGAGGTCGCCTTGCAAAAGGAGAGGGACATGTTGTTTGTGAGTAGCGCTCATTAACATCAGCTAAAGGCAGTAAACTGACGTCTGTTCGTCTAACAGGGCATCTTGCGATGCACAGCGTGTCATCTACGCTTCAAGACCAAAATTCTGGCCCCATGCCTACATAGTGAGTCCCGGCTTTGTATTCTTGCAAGAATCTCGTTGTTGACGTCGTTACTCTTGTTAGCCTTCTGTGACGAGTGTATTACCGCTCGACTAACAAACAGGAACCGAAAATGCATCACTTGCATGAAACCGTTCGCTGAGAGCGACGTCAAAAATCTGTTCTGAGGAACAATCACCTATAGTTGTATATACGCATGCATCCTGGAAGGGCGGGGATCGAAGTCGAGTTGTGTAACTATCAAAGCATCTCTTCCCCGATCCTGAGAGCATATAAACCACTTTAGCCCGGATCCAGCCTTCCCGTTGCAACAGGGTGATACATTTCCTTTCACAATAAACTCTTGCGATCGATTTGAATAGAAGGCGGAGCAGGAGCTATCGCCATGGTAAATGCATTCGAAACAAGCTGACCGGAAATTGGAATTGATGATGCGTAACGAGATGATGAGTGATTGCGATCCAAGGATGTGTGTGATCGATTTTGTCGATAAGGAAGGTGTCCACAAAGACGTAAGCGATGATGGACGATAAGCCTATACTGGTATTCTGAGACGTTGATGTAAGACAGGTCGATGTAGTCCACAAAAAGATAATTCAACCACAGCATTCAATGTCGAACCGGGCCAGATGCGGGCGCAAGTCAGATGAAGCTATGCGGCATCGAGGCATAGATGATCCGACGATCAGGGTAATCTTGATATGCGTGTCGCGTCAAACCCCGACTACATCCTTCAACTGACACTGAGTTGATGGAAATGTTGGTCCACTGTAGAGAGCGTGCTCCCACCATTACGGCCTTGAACACTTCTTTGAGGTAGGTGCCTTCTTGAGGGCTGGGATCAGCACGCATTCAGCGCCAAGTTTATGGAGATGAAGGCTGACCTTCTAAAGTGGTATAGGAGGGGAACTCTGCACGCCGTCTCATATCGTCCCAAAAGACCTGGTAACCAAGAGCATATACCTGCTTTTGAAGTTCAGTGACCGAGTGGCGCTGTCGATCCTTACCGCCGTCTCCCCACTGCAGCCCAAACGCTTGACTCCACCATTGAGGTAATCCTGAGCTCTTGATCACCTCCCTATCATCAACTTTGAGCAAGTATAGGTACAATGACGCATGCTCTGGTTGTGACCTTACTTAGGCAATACGGATGTGGTAGATTCCATCTCTTAGATATGCATAATGCTAAAAGGAAGCTGTGGCCCGACTCGCAAGCCCCAAAAGCTCTGCTGTCCCTTTCGTCTTCTCTTTTCTTTTTTGGGTATACAACCGATTATTCCCACTGGGCTCTTCTTCTTCATGCTGATTTGCTTGTCGTGTTTCTTCTGCTTTGCATGTCTCGCACCCTGATGCGGCCTTACATCTCCACCTTGGCCACGACCTCGTCGGCCCGCTCGACAACCTCCAAAAAGACCTCGAAGAACGCCTCGACGTCCAGGTCTTCCAGTACGAGGCTCTCTACGGCCTTTTCGCCCGAGTCCAAATCTAGATTGGAGAACTTTTCCTCCGAAGATGGCGAAAAGGAGGTCTCCCCGTCTTTTTCCGTTTTAGAGATTTCCACGGTGAGTTTGCCTCGACGGCCTTTCAAGAGGTGAGGATGGGTGAGGTGGATGATTGTCAAGGCGTCGTGCAGGGGAGGACCTGCGAAGCAGAAACTCATCAGCTGAGTCTTTCGTGCGGGGTCAGGGCATTTGCGCTTACCGGTCGTGAACCCAAACTGGTTCGCATATGCGTCACGCTACAAAAGGAAAGATTATCATCAAAGCCTTATCAGTCCATAGCTCGATCTCGCTGTGAGGATTTCTTCGAAATCAAGCTCCGCATCATTACGGAGGACTCACGAAAAAGGTCAACATCGTGCTCAAGGATTCTCTCAACTGCGAGACCGGTTTGGGTAGCTCGTCCCCCTCTTTCAGATCCGTCACCGAGCTGTTTGGAATCATTCCCGACGTTCAGAAGGTCAGCTCCAATGCTCACAAAGGCAACTCTCCTACAGCCATCGAGGGTCGCAGGACTTGGACTCACGGATCCAACAACCTCGCATGTGTCTTCCTATCAAAGATCGCCTTGTGCGTCACGTTCAGCGGGACCAACACGACCCCGACGTTCCTACTCTTCAACAACTCGTCCAACGCATCCGGGTCTACGGCAATATTGAACTCGGCGTACGGGGTCCATTGAGGGATATCGAACGCTCCGCCCATGATGACCACCTTGTCGACTTTCGTATCAAACAGTTGAGGGCGGAGGTGCCGCACAGCGGCAATATTGGTACAAGGACCGGTTATGACCACGGTGATCTTTTCTCCTTCAGGTACGGAGTTTTCCAAGTAGGCGATAAGTGCAGGGACGGCCGTCCCGTCACCCTCCTTGGTCTGAGGTTCGTTCTTGTCAAGGTCGGAAGAGTCTGTTGAGGGTTCGAACTGGTCGTACCAATGTCGGACGGAAGGGTGTGCCAGTGGGGGCATGTGGAGGACTCCATCGAGGCCGGAATGACCGTGGATGCTGACTGGAGGGTGGATGTACTGTGATAGTTGAGGAGAGGTCAAGAGAGTCGAGGTGGTCAGCGTATGTTGATTATGAGACATGATTGTGGATATGGTTGTGACAGCCTAGAGTCGGGGCTCCACAAAGCCGGGGAACGTGGAATGGGTGACTTACCTCTTTCTTGAGCGGTTTCGCACTGGAAAGAGCAGATAGAAAGGCATCGTCAGTTCACCGCTCGCTCTACGGCCGAAGTCTCGATTCCTGGACTCACAGGCCTCGATGTAAGGGCAGATCTTTAGGTGCCCGGTAGAGAGCCAACAGTTGTGCGGCGTTGGCGTGCGTGTATACTAATGGAGCGTTCCCATTCACCTAGAAACGATCATAGCGAATCTATCAGCACGCAACAACAACATCAAGCAGAAGACGGGTACACCTTAAACCCACCGAGCTGATCCCAACGAGCTGAATCTGGTCGAGGTAGAGGGCGAGCAAGAGCGCGATAGCATCGTCGTGGCCCGGATCGCAGTCCAGCCAGACTTTACGAGGAGCCTGTCCTTCCTGGGTGAGGAGGGTTGCGGATGTCATGGTAGCGATAGCGCTTGTGGGTACTATGGGGGGATTAAGGTGCATTATGATGCGATGGATGAGTAGAGGTTGTGAGTTGCAGGAAGTGATTGCGTGTCTTAATAGGGGAAGTTGCGAGGTTGTTTGATGAGAAATAGGGGTAAACTAACGTGGAGGAGGTGGTCAACGCGGGGTAACGCCCTCCCTCGGGTGAGCCCGGCCCGCCCGACTCGCCCGACGAGGCAGAATGATTGATCACGTGATTTCGGTCGATCGATCGCGCACCTTCGTCGAGTATTCGTCAGATCTCGTATCATCAGGTCGTCGTAGTTTCCTGATGTGCTGAAGAGTAGCTAGAGCAGTTTATATTGCAGAGTAGAATCACATAGTCACCTATACAAATCCCAAGACGATGGTAACAATGACTCTTACACGCCTGCTCACCCGAACGACGACTCGCTCAAGTACAAGCTCCCCCGCCCGGCTCATCGTTCGAGCCTACTCAACCCCGGTGACAAAGGACGACTCGCACCCTCACCTCTACTTTCACCACCTAGCAGACGGACGTCGGATAGCGCTCTCTTACCTCGAAAGGCCACCAAAGGTGACGAATTCAAAAGGGGTGATCGGATGGCTACCTAATGACGCTTCGGCCGGGGTAGGGGATTTCAAGGAGAATGGCGAATTTAGGTGAGTCTGTTGTCTGTTCAGTCTGTCTGTCTGTTCCGCATCTCACGTCAATATTTACATCTTCCTCTCCTCAACTCCGCTCAACTGCCGGCTTGATTCCCACCTTCGAACCATCAGGACTTTCCTCCATCAATCAATAAAAAAGGCCATCGAGACAGGAGCAGCACAGACGGTCGAAGTGGAAGCGACCACGAGAGGATCAGACGGGTTCATGCACATCTCCGGTGAGCTCTCGTTTCCACCTAACATAGACATCGTGCTCTCCTGCTGTTTCTTCTCTTCTAAGTTCGATACTGATCGTCGTGGATCGCGCTGGGTTCTTATGGTCGAAACCTCTTACGTCCCCATTCACGATCCGGTGTCTGGCCCAATCGTAGACGAACGAAACCTCCCTCCTTCCGGTCGGATCCCGGAACCAGAGGACATCATCGCTTCCATCTACGTACGAGCCGGTAAAGTAGGTCCACAAGTCTTCCCGACCTTTCTGCGTATGAGATTCTCGGTCGATACTGATCTCATCCCAACCTTTTGTTTTCTCTTGTCAACCATTATCCACTCACTCGCGCTCCACCTCTCGATCGTATTACATCATACTGCAGGCCCTGCCAGAGACGTACGAACCTCAACCTATGCACCGTCTCTTGACGCACGACGGGGCCACCATCTTGCCATATGGCATCGATGCGTACGTATTGAGAGAGATGGAAAAGGCCGTCAAGCTTGAAGAGGCGGAAGGGACGGGTGGGGAGTAGTGCAGGTATGCTTAAGAGGTGGGCGGGGAGGCGCTAGATTTCGGATCAGATTTGTGGTTGGACCTGTTCGGCTGCAAGGGGAGAGATCCAATAGCTCGTCGATGATTACTTGTATATAATATACACGACCCAGGTCGAAAACGCTCGGGTATCCATCAGAGCAACTTTTCCAGCTTCACGCATCGGTTCCCCATCGCGGTCGGTGGCCGGGACTACATCCGAATCGAGATTGCCTCTCATTGTCACTCGTCGTATTGACATGCCACACTCAGCAGTATGTATGAGCATGTTATTGCGGACTTCCGCAGTCCTCTGTGATGGCAGTCCCGATGGGAAAGGTTGCGTCCGCCTGACGACAGGGAGACATGCCAAGAGTGAGTGATCACGCTACCATTAGGGAATCAACAGGTACTTGAATCAGAAAAGTACTTAGACTCACACTTCAAGGCGGTAACCCATTCTGTGGATCCATCCATCGACCCCTTGGTAACACAAGGATAGTGAGATCGCGACTCAGACACCGTCAGAAGAATGCCTTCGCTGGAACGCCGCGCCCGGTGAGAATAAGCATCGCCCATTGTCCCTGCAAAGGCTCGAGCCCTGGTCATATCATCGGCCTCTTCCCCTTGGTGTCCTATAGCTTCTTCTCCAATGCCTCTCTCCCCTTCTTTTCGCCATCTTGCTGCCTCTCTGTTGAAATACTGTGCCGGTCTTCCTTGCCTAGCTTCCCCGCCTCCTCGCTCAGCTTTCTCTCAGCCTCCTGCTTCTCTCCCATCAATCAATCACACCGCTGCCCCAGCACAATAATCTCCGCCTTTACGTCCGCAGGCGCCAGGAAAAGTCAGAGCGCGACAGGATCTTCCATGGATCCGATCCAAGACAGCTTGGACGTCCAAAGGGCAATGATTCATATCATCCAAGAAGAAGGTCTTTTTCATTGGCAGCTCGAGGGTGATTGTGCATGACGATATTTTGTCTTGAATCCGACGATATGGGTTCTAGCGCTACCTGTCGAAGTCTCAGCGGCAGCGAGTGCTCAAGCCTGGCATCAGATCAGGCCGACGGGTCTCTTTCTGGCTTTAACTCCCCTCCCCGGATCTCGGACAGCATGTACGTGGCAAAGAAATAAAATAACATGATTATTGGTGGTATTACAAGGTGAGGTTCCGTACGAGATGGAGAGGGAGATTGGTGTAGCCATCGCCAAAGGAACCAGCGATCCGAACAGACGAGTCGCGCCAGTGTTGCCTTTCATGCCATACAATGTCGGCGATATCGGAAGAGAGAAGGAAGGGAATAGGAGAGGAATTGTCCTTGCGTCGAAGGTTGGTGATGAATGGTAATACAGCTCGGCTACGGCGGATGATGCGAGTTCGATGGTGCCGAGGGGTCTTGGGGGTCGTAACAAGGTTTTGTGTTCTTACGAAGGGGTATCCGAAACCTGGCGGATTCCCCGCGTCACCGGTCATCGGTATCGATGCTGACCATTGACGTTTGATTGCGGTGGTTTGACTCGGAAAGTCGTTGCGATGGGAATGTGACTAGAGGGAAAACGAAAAGACAGGTTTTAGTACCTGTTACGACTTTACGCCAGCAAGAACAACTCACTCTGATGGGAAGTGGGCGTTGGGGAACCCGACGACCTTGCTGATATATTCCTTGTCGATCTCTCCCAAAAGGCTCGTTACGCTCAAGTTGGCCTGAGAGAACCAGATGTAGTCGATGGCGCCCGCGAATCCAGGCGTGTGATTGGTCAACGGCAACTCTCCGATGGACACGTACGCGCTTCGGAAACCGAGCCTGTGACTCAATCCTCTCGTAGTGTAGTGTCCGTATTCGTGGCTCATAAAGTCCTCGTGCCCCGCAGGAACTTGTCCTCGAGAGAAAAAGTCGTAGACCGCAGAATGAGGGCTCGAGTTGAAATCTCCGCAGATAATGGTAGGAATATCGGTCCCATCCCGGTAGTTGGGAGGAGGGGGTTTGTTGTCGTCAGGCGACTGGTATTTGGGCGGCAGACGGGCGAATTGCGATGCAATCTTGTCGACCTCGTCGACCAACATCGCGACTTGCACGAGCTTGACGTCTCGGTATGTAGGGTCCCAGTGAATGTGAGCGTTCACCATGACCAGGCGCGAGTCGGTCGCGCGTGACTCCAACAGGCAGACGCTCGAAATGTTGTCAAACGGCATGACTCGGTTGAACATGTCGTCCGTTCGCATGTCGGCCTTGGAAAGCGCGAGTCGGTTGAACTCGATCACGTGCTGTTCGATGAGTTGGTATCTGTGATGATGACATGGTAGACCATGAGCAACTGCGCGACTCTCGAGAGCCTGGATCTCCTCCCCGAACTCACTTTGAGGCTTTCCAGAACGTAGCGCAGCCATCAACATGCCTCCTCTCCTCCTTACTCATGGTCCTCGCTCGCGTCTTCTGACTGAAGACGCCTTCATAGCCAAGCTCGGCCAATCGCGGCTGAAGGAATTCCTGGAACACCTCGTCTTCGACTTCCTGCAAAGAGGTAATGGAAACGATCAGTCAGGCGAATCTTTGTGAGGAGCGTCATTTTGGCGCTCACCTGCAAGCAGATGACATCCAAAGCCACGTCGGTGATCTCGGCGAGGATGGCATCTTTTCGGTAAGACCAGTCCAAAGCCCAGCTCGGGGTGTATCCGTACATGGTTTGCGGTGCGTACCGATCAGCCAAGATGTTGTAAGACATCAGGCTGAACGTCTCGGCGCCGTGTTCGGTCTGTCCATCTACAGTATCATGATCGTCCTCGACCATCTCCCACTTTCGTGCCGGCGGCGGTGCTGGAGGGGGACAGTTATCTCGGAAGTACTGGATGAGCCCGGTCGTCCCTTTTTCCGCCATCGCATGTCGAATGTTGTCTGAGATCGGGTTACCCTCGATCCCCAAAAATTCGAGCTGATGCAGCGTCCCGAGCTCGAGAGGTAGGTCAGAGAGCTGGTTGTCGAAAAGCAAGAGTTCCTTGAGCGAGGCGATTAAACCGAGCTCGGGCGGGATCGATGTTAACAAGTTTCCAGTAGCGTCCAGGTGTGTGAGGTGGGAGAGGTTGCTGATCGCCGGCGACAAGGTGGTGAGCTGGTTGTGATTGATGTACAGAGTTGTGACATGCGAAAAGGCAAACAACGAAGGTGCTAAGACCTTAAGTCTGATACCTCCCAAGTCGATCCCGGTCCATGGTTCACTAGCAGCTTGCGACTGGATCACCGGTGCGGTCGTCGATGTCGGATGCGCCGGTCGCGACGTTGGACTGTCGGTGGGATCGCTCCCGTTCGAATCGTCCTGACCCGCGGAAATGTTCATGCTCGACCCCTTCTTGTGCAGACCGATGACCGAGACCGGCTTGTTCGGGTCGAGAATAGGCACCGCCGTCTTGTTGTTCACCATGCGGCTGGCAAGGGCAGATGCTCTTGCTCGATGATGTGCCGCTGACGATTGTCGACATGCCTAGAACGAAAGAGAACACTGTGAGCTTAACGAATTCGATCGTCAACCGCTAACCAATCGTCCGACTTACCTCGGCTCGCATCATCTGTTGCTGCCAGTATGGCCCACTCGCTGTTGCTCGCGAGACCTCTGGACTGGCATTCAACCCTCCCATCCCGAAATGGCCGTGCGATCCTCCTCCCATCCCCGCACCCATACCCATCCCGTGTCCCATCCCGCCTGGTCCGTTGTTCATGCTTCCCAGACCCGACCCGTTGACGCTTCCCAGTCCGACAGAGCTTCCTCCGGGTCCATGCAATCCTCCGGACGAGGGCAGTCCATGCCCTCCCAGCCCGTTCGAGCCCAAAGAAAAGCTAGGATGTTGACCGTGACTTCCCTGACTGTGACCTGGAAGGCCGTGGTGTCCATGTACGCCCATCCCAGACGAATGACCACCTCCGCCATGTCCTCCAAAGATACCCGCTGCTGCCGCATGGCCACCGAGTCCACCTCCATTCGCACCACCTCCCGCTCCTGATCCTCCTAGTGCATTGTATCCTCCCATGCCGCTCCCGCCCGCTCCTGAACCGAGCCCGCCAGCGTTCGACAGCATGCCTGCGAAACCAGCGGGACTAGGCGGAATGGCGTGCCCTCCATGCCCGCCATGTCCTCCGAGATTCCCATAGCTCGAATGTCGTTGCCAGGAATTCCCCACTCCCGAAGACCCGTTCCCTCCCTGTCCCCCTCCTCCCGACCCGTTCACTGCGGCGTTGCTCTGATTGTTCCCGGACGATATGGGATCGTGCGAGATCTTGTGCGCCAGGCCTGGAGAAGGCGAAGGCGCGTTGTAGAACATCTATATCTATATCGATGGTTCGGTCTCCTTCCTCGTTGCGGAGGTCGATCGTCTGCGTTGGTACAGTGGAGGTTCCTTTGAACCGAGAGCTGTTCGAGTGATGTTCTCGTTGATGTTGTTGCTTGGATCGGTAATGGAAATGATGGTGTTGGTATAGTTCGGCTGATACTGAAGAGGACGGTGCAAGCGTCTCATGAGATGTGGTGGCCGATGAAAGAGGTAAGGAAGGTAATGGTTGATCGAGGTTGTGGGGTCCGGTTGGCGTACGTTCCGCTACACACGTCTACGCGTCTACGCGATGTCACCACCAATCAGCCACGAGTTCCCACAGCTTGATATGGAACGAGGTCAGAGAGCTGAACTGACCCTCGAATGGATCGACGGTGTGATGTAGATTTGATAGTTGACTCGAAGAGAGTGGTCGGCTTTCGATCGATGGTCGAGCTCTGCGGACACGCGTAAATCGCCGCTGCTTTCAATTAGGCAGCGAGTTGGGGGTTTCCGCCGAGAAAATGTGTATCTGATTGACTGTCCCTCCTTAAAAGATCGAAGTTGACGGCGGCTCCTCTAGGACTTGCATGGAATTAGCAAACCTCGACCACCTCGTTCATAATCCATACCTCGATACCCATATCGACCCGTCACTCGCTGCTGGCGCGCGATCTTACCGAAAGGGAAATCGCTTTCTCACGCGTCAGACCGACACACCCATCATGCACTTTTGACGAGATGATATGATTCTCCACTTCGTCCTTTTGCAACATATACAAATACAGTAGAGTGGATATATACCCACGCTTCTCAGCTCGCAATTGTTCCGCTGATCGATCGTCGGAGACGATGTCATCCGATACCCAAAATAGGAAAACGGCTCAGTATCGACGACCTCTACCCTGTCCTGCCATTATGAACCCCGATGAATATGGAAAAAGGAAAAGAACCTGCGCGTCCAGTCCAGTCATCCAGCCGAGCCTCGTCATCGAATCAACCATCCTGTCTCCAGCTCCTCTCATATTACTGATGCCCGTCTTCCCCTCATAGCTTGCCTGCCAATCGATCGTCGATGAGCTGAGCGACCACTTCCCCCTTGACGGTGATTCCTGTGCCCTGGAATCCTTCCGGGTAATCCACCTTGGGCTCGTTGGGCGACGTCGAATACTCGTCGTGCCGGACGGCGAAATGGCGTATGCCCAAGTTTTGCGCAGTCCATTGGTCTGCAGTGGGATTGGTATTGTCGTCAGCGTCAGCGGTCTGAGCCAGATCTTAGCGATGAGCCGACGAGACTCACAATCCCGGGCGAATCCGCCCTTGACGAACATCTCGATTACCGCGCTTCGTGGTGTCGCTGGCATCCACAAGAGATGCGTAAGACCGTTGCCATGTACACCGAGCATGATCTGAGACACCTCTCACGACGTCAGCGCCGCTCCCGTGTCGCAATCCTCGAGCACCACTCACTGTTGTCCTCGCTGCCAGCTGCAACTGTTCCTCCTTGCTCAATTTCTCAGCCTCAACCACCATGAGTTCCCACCCGTTCGCCTTTGAATGCGCTTCCAACGCCTTGACCAAGTCCTTGTGGCTCTCCGGCGTCAACCTCCTCCGACTGCTCTGTCGGCTGATGTAGGTAACGAGGGGCTGCTTGCCCATCTCCTTCAAGCTGGACAACGGCTCTCTGGCAGGCGGGGTGAGCTCCTTGACGAGGTCCGGGTCCACCGATAATTTCGCCGGATCTACCGCTCCGTACCCTTCGAGGGAGATGTCGAGGACGTCCTCTTGAACACCTGCAAAACGCAAGACTTGACGTCTGACGGGTTCCCACCACCACGGACCTGGATCCCCAACCTGCATGGCACTGGCCACGGTCCTGCTCGTGCTGGCCGTGTGTTGACCCCTAAAGGCGGCCGACCGGTCGGCGAGGATGGCACGGGGGAAGATATAGGCCTTCTCAAGTCCCGAACTCGTGCTCCGTTTGATATCTGCCCAGTCGTCCTGGTAAAGCACCGACATCGAGGGAAAGGCCGACCACAGAATGGCAGAGTTGAAACGGGGCTTGTCTCGCCAGGTCTGTTCGGTGTGGCGGATGAACCACGCTCGAGCAGGCGCAGGTAGAGTGGTCGTACCATCCGGTCCGAACGCTCGACCGAGAGAAGCATATGTCCGCCATACTCCCAACAAGAGCTCGGCTGCAAAGTGGTAATAATGGTCGATGACTGCGGCGAACACCAAGCACCATCGATCAATTAGCGAGCGTGTTTGCAAACTAGTTGATCCCCCACCGACTCACACTGCCCGTCGTTGAATAGCCACGTGACACCCTCCATCTCCCACACCCTATCTCCCCATTTCTTCCTAGCCTGTCCAGGTGTGATGAACATCAACTCGTCCCCCTTGGGTTCTCTCGCTGCTTCGTTGCCAGGATCTCCGTTGGCCGGTAAGCCTGTCGAGGTCATTAATCTCATCTCTGGGTAAACCGACGGGTCGTCACTGCAGAATAACCCAGGGATACGATCGCTCATCAGCCTAAGAATACGGCACCGTAAGCAGTTCGGCGAGAAGACTGGACATACGTGACGACCCATAGCGTTCCCCCGCTCAGATACAGGTTCTCAAAGATCGTCCATCCTGGTTGATGCGCGGCGAGCCTGGTCAACCCGGGCGCGTCAGATTCGTCGAACAGGTCGCCGTCGGCATCGACCGTGTCCACTTGAGCGGTGATGATTGGGTGCTATAGGCGGGCGAAGGGATGGAGTCCAGAAGGGATCAAGTCGATTTTGATCAGTCGTCGGTATCAACCAGAACTAGGACAAGTGCGGACTCACCTTGGCCACGCTATCACTATACCCATGAATCTTGACGGTTCCTCCCGAGCCTACCTCGCAGATCGTCTCTATCCCGAAATCACCCTGTCCATGCCCCCTCGTCGTCCCCTTTGAGCCCAACAATCCGCCTAGACCGGGAACGAAGCTTCCCCACTTTCCGAGCCGTGACAAGTATCCCGGTCCATCCGGGTGATCATCGTCGTCGTGGTATTTTTGGCGAGATGACTGGGAGTAACCTCCGTCGATATCGTCTTGTGAACGTCCAGCTTCTGAACGGTACGCGTCCCTCGTATCTGACAATGACCCGCCGTCTCTCCCACCACCACCGAACAGTAACCACGCGAATACCAGCGTCAACCCGCAGAGCAAGACGTCCCTCCTCGTCGGCCGTATATTCCTGCTCGCCCTCGCTCTCAGTGCCGGTGAATACGGGTTGGTAGGTCCCGCATGGAACGGAGCTTCCACTGCCGCTCTCGCTGCCCCTTCTACCGATGACGAGGTGGAGAATGTCGATCCTGTGCTAGATATAGGGCCATTACCTGCCGCGGAGGTACCGCCGAGGGAGGCCATGTACTCTTTGTTGCTGAGGAAAGGGAAGGATGAGGTGACCGGGTTCTCGATGTGTGGTGAACGAGGTGGGGTGGCAGGTCTTGCCAGAGCCGGGATCGATAGTGACGGTAACATGATTGCGAACCAGAAGTTTCCTGTTGATCAAAGTCTGGACTTCTGCGAGACCTCGTCCGGTGCCAAGGGTATATATGAACAGGCGGTTATCGAAATATGCCTCCAGACTCGGATGAATAGGATCGATGGCAGCTGAATCGTTAATCGCGGGACGGGAGAAAGGGTTGGTCCCGACCCGATCACTAGTTTGTCCGGATCGAGCGGTGGAAGAGGGAGTTCAGCCGATGCCCGAGGTGGTGGGAAGGATCCGATGGGAGACCGATGTACTGTGACAACCGGTCCGAGCTCTATGTAGCCACGTAGAACCCAGTGCTGGATCTGGATACCCTTGATCGCTCTCGATGAGCGGAGGTCGACGAGCCAGGTCGCGTCGCCCTTGGCACCTTGTTGTGATCGATCGCGCGCGCCTGATGCGCTCCGACTATCGATTGATCGATTGATGTGTAACGTTCAAGTCTCTGGCAGTGAAGATCCGTTCGGCTGGCGAAATGTTGATCCTGGACTCGTATACGATTTGATTCTCACGTAATTGGGTCTCCTCGAACGCCCACCAGTTCCATAGTAATGAGTATCGCCCCCAACTTCTGATGGCGTACTCGATTGTTACGCACATACTAGTACGTGTGGGTTTTGATTCATAAGAGAAGGTGATTCATAAGAGAAGGTCATGGGTTTGACCACGTAATATCACGCTGCTATCGAAGATTCCTATCGAGGTCGGAATACCAAGTAGGATCTACTGACTGCTACTGACATCTTTAGAGAATGGGGAGCACAGCTGGAAGGCTGAGGAGTGTACAGATCGTTCAGCCACTAGAGGGGGGGGAATCATTTCAGCCTCTGTTTCTTGGCGGGTTTCACATCTTCGGCAGCCGATTCGAAGTGCGCCTGGACGTAATTAATCGCGATGTTAGTGCTCTGAGAGAGAGAGATGCAAAGTTCCCAAGCTTACAGAGATTAATCGTATCCAATCGCCCTTCAATGCCTTGCCTTCTGGCTCGATGCCAACCCTTTTCGCGAATCCCTTGAGATAGGGAACCGTCATCTGCGTCACAAATTGATTTCAGCATGCTGTTCTTCGGGGGGTTTAACATCGTGTGCGCACCTTGCTCATGTTCCCTGTACGCCAACTTTCTTCCATATATGCATCGGTCACGTCAGGTAATTCTTCTTCTGCTTTTGTGCGTTTCATCTTGGTGGTTTCTGATTTCGTCGGGGGAGCCATGGCACGCTCATCGAGATCCAACTGGTGGTTGTAAGCTCTCATAGCCTCGCCCCCGTGCTATACGTGCAGGCGCATTAGTATCCTGCTAGTCCTAAGCGATGCCGCTCTCGCGCTCTTACCGCGTGCATTCCGTCCAACAAGGGTTTCGTTTTATCATACATCTTTTCCGGCTTGAACTCCTCCTCGAAAGCGAGTGCTTGCAGCTGCCCAAAGAAGTAGTTGAGGCCTGAGATGTGCGAAGTCAGGGCTCAATCCAATCATTTCACCGCATAGCACCTTACCGGGGTTCGGATAAGCGCGAGGCTCATAGGTCGACTGTTTCAAACGGAGTTTCTTGAGGATATTGCCCATCGCGTCGACCTGCTCTGGCGTACCTGTTTACAAAGATCGTCAGTCCCATGCCCAGAATCTCACATTTGGCTTGAGATACACTTACAGATCTGCATGGTCTTGGGGATCTTTTCTCGTCGGGCCCTGAGATCGTCCGCGAACGGCAGAGGGACCATGTGGAAGCCAGGCGGAGCTCCAGTCTCCGCTTGTTCGGCCTGTCTCGCAACAAGCACATTGGTAACCTGATGCTCAGCCATGATGATATTCGGCGACTGACCTGAGGAATCATAGCAGCGTAGTAGGGCGTCGAGGTCCTTCGCGTGAAGGCGAATGCAAGCGCACATTTGTTCCGCGATAAACAAGCAGCAAGGAGAGCTGCGAAGGTTCGAGTACTTCCCGAGAACGTCTGTGCACGTACCATGTCCTCAGCATCGTTTGATGAGACACCGAAACCATTGTAGACTCACCCTCTCATCGGGGTAGATGAATATGGAGTTCTTGACATTGAGCTCGAAGCGCACATTCTTCGGGTCCATAAAGCCAACGATCTTGATCTCTGGGTAGCCATGCCGTCGTGAGCCTAGAAGATCAAAGTATGAATCTAAGCTCTACTTACGCGGATCCAAGCCCAATGTCTTGTACTCCTTGATATCCCTAGCCGTCAAAGCGACCTATCATCAGAAGGGTGAGCCTCCTCTGGCTACAATGAAGCTGTCCCGGGTTTGTCTTACACGAGTCTGAATCTTGTGCTCAACATTGCTTTTACCAGCAGGGGATGTCTCATCCTCCTCATCTTCAGTGTCGTCCCCCCCGTCTTCCTGTTCAGGCTCCCCGTGTTCCTCGTAGTAGTCTTTCATGCGTTGTTGCCAAGGTGGGTTTACCAGTGTCGTAGGAGCGTCCGATTTCCCAAAATTGTAGGCAAACCCGATCTCATTGGTATCAAGTCGATCTCCAGTAGCCTGTACGATCGGAGTGTTGAGCTAATTGATAACAATCGCTTCTAACAGCTACGTACCGTCGAAGTGTAAAGAGTGCGGCTTTTCGCTTCTACAGGTTGTCGGCCGGAGAGGTCATACAATCTAGTAGTAGGTTTCTTAGTCGCGGCGATGATCGAATACCTTCAAAGTAGTAGAACACCTGGTCAGTCGACAATAGCAACCAAGCCGGGACATAAGAGGACTAACCCGTTGACGCTAATCATAATATCTCCATCTTTTCCTCCGAACCGCAGTGGGACGTTAAACAGCACACGCTTTGAGCTCGTTCGAAAGACCTGTTCTTGCAGCAATTCTCTCAATTTCATCAATCCATCCCCGCTCCCGACCTTCAGCGTTGGGAGGTTCGTCGGGTCGTCTTGGCTCGCATCTTCCGTCTCAGTCGCTCGATTCAGGATATCCTGCGAGCCATATGATCAGATTGGTATGGATTGAAAAAGGGAGAGACCATCATCAAACTCACGTTCCAGTAAAACTCGTCGTCGAAAGCTTCCTCGGTTGCGCTGATGAAGAAAGGATCGATCATCACTCCCAACGAAAGCAGGTCCTGTCAAGTTCGAGATGCAACGTCAAGCAGTGCAGGCAGATTGAAGAGGCAGCACAAACGTACCATATATCTCGTTCTGGCCGGACCACGAGTATCTATCCGATTCGACGCAGACGACGTGATCTGAGTAGGGATCCGATCCGGATGGTCGTTGTTCGTGACCAGGAAGATTCGCTTGTTTCCCGGGAGCTTGGCACCACTGCGACGATATTTTCATCAGCAATTGTCGTAGCACGGAAGTCGGTTACACTCACGCATCCCTAAACGCATGAAGACACCCCTCAAATGCGTCGGCAATATCGACCTCTTCTCCAGATTGAGCGGGCGGAAACATCTCGGATATCACGCTCGGCTGTTCTCTTGTCTCTTCATCCGCATCTTGTGCCGCAAGTTCAAGGTTGGCCTCTTCATCGAAATCTTGATTAGCTATGAATTGTCTTTGACGGCACTCGCCAACGACTAACCTTCCATGAACTGGTTGAGCGTCTTGATCTCGTCAGCTCCGATCTGTCGAAGCGGGAGGTACAGGATCATGCCATGTTGCCGGGTATCCAAGATCGTTCCTCCCTGTTCTTCTTGAGGAGTGTCAAGTTGCTTCCTCTACCGATCTCGCAGGACTTTCCTCAGCTGACTCATCGCTCTCGATCGAGTAAAGGTACTCACAGCGATATTGTAGATCAGGACCCCGATATAGTCGTTTGGACCGCTTAAGATCTTTCCCCTCATTACTCCCAGAACACTCTCCAACGCAATATGAAGCGGGCTTTTTCCCTTTCCTGTTGTATCTAGAGACCTTCCTTCGGCATCCGTGTTGTCCTCATTGGTCTCGCTTTCTTCCGACGTGGAATCCGGAAGAGGTCGTTGCATCGCCATTGATCCATCGATACAGAAGAGGATGTTGTCACGGGAAGTGTAACCCGCCTGCGAATTTAATCGTTAGGTCTCTTGTCGGGATGTAGAATTTGTTTTCAAAAGACTTGCCTCCTGATTCGCCAGCTCGTCGTCATCCAGCAGATCATCGACCTCGTTCGATAGGTCAATCGCGGACGGACCGCTGACAGGCCCCGCGAAGGCCTGGCTCAGAAAAGGGTAGGCCATATCGAGGTTCTGTCCAACGAGCGATTGATAGATTGATTCGATGCTGGGATGTCGTACGAGGGCCCTGGAGGTTTCAAGGAAAGCCAGAGCAAAGCAGATGAAGGTACATAGATAGATGATGGAATGATTCAGCATGCAAGCTAGCTGCTCGCTGCTCGGAGGCCCGGACAAAGTAAACAAACCATTCGGCGCTAAATAGCAGGCAGGAAGCTTCATCAGGCATCAGGAGCTCTCACCGGTCGCACCGACATGCTACGTGCTACATGTTTACACAGGCCATAGCTCATGATGCATGATGGTTTCAATTCCACCAGACAGATCCAGCTCGCATAAAGATCAACGCACCGAACGTTGTCAAGTGCCAAATCAGGGGATGACCTCTGATTCAACCATAACAACCATGATCATGCTCCTTCCGGTCGATCCACCTTCCTCTCCGCCGTCCCGACGGTCCTTTGCTGACAATGACAAGTTGTATGTAGATGATTTGAGAGAGACGTCTCACTTCCTCCACCAGGGACCCCACCACCTCCTCTACCAGGACCATTGCCTTCTCCGCATGATGAGTGCGTGATGATGATGGAGCTTAAACGGTAAGGGTCCTGACGACGATGATCTTGCAAGATGAGTCTACTGACCTTTTCTTATCGAATGTATTCTGTGGGTAGGTGCATATCATAGTGGCGGACATACGATTCTTGCAAGCCTGTGTTTCACAATGGAAGTTAGTAAACGGGAAAGCCCGTTATCCTTGATGTACGCACCTCCTGGCCTTGCATCTTCAGACACTTTTTCTCAGGATACAACAGGCATGCCGCACCAACTCGCAACGTCCCTCAGCCTGCATGGAGGACGATCACTACCAACGAGGACAACAAGATGCCTGTCGCCTTGATCCTCATTCCTTGAATCCAGCCAATCGGAAGGGAGAGAAGGGTTAAACAGATATGTAGTAGATGCAGCTCTGTTGACTTCGAAACGGCACATGTCGGGCTGCTTTACGACTTTTACACGTGGCCAGCGGGTCAGATACGGATCACCAAAGCGCAACGTGCAGCATCGCAGCGAAAGAACCTCTGTTGTCAGCCATTTGGAATTGTATGCTGAACGGCCAAGCTGAGGATTAAATTTGCCCGTCGTGGCTTTCGATGCTGCGACCACACCCGACACTCTTCAGGCTCTGAAGCTTGAGCATCGGAACGAAGCGGACCAGATTCGCAGGTCCGAAGGCGTCGTGACACATTACTCGGGCAGACAATCGAGCCATCGTCCCCGTCGGGTTCCCCGAGACACTGTAATTGATCATCAGTTCGCGCGGCCTGGATGTCGTAGATCCAACGCCTTTACCGAGTCGGCCTAAACAAGCACATCTCAAATCCCATCGAGCTAGATCCGAGAACCAAAGGAAGATCGCCGAAATGTATCCATCTGCATGGGACTGCATTGCCAAGCGTATAGTCGTACATCACCCGGAACATCCGTCAGGAATGACAGAGAAATCCGTAAAAAAGTGCCAACTCCAGTTCCGATCGTCCACATGTAGTCCGATCCTCCGGCATCCCAGCATCCGGTTCGTCTGAACGTCTTTCTTTTTATCCCTTTCCCGTGTGTAGCCCAGCCCGTAATCCTTCAACTTCTAGATGGGTCATAGCGGGGTGACACCCCGCCATCCCCGTATTTCCACAAGTCCGGATCAAAGCAGCGCCATAGAGAAAGAGTCGAAAGATGGGTCGGATGTCGGGTAGAGGTAGGAGATAGTAAAGCTCGAAATCCAATCGTCGTTCATTTTTTATAGTTTTTTCATATCTTTCCATCAAAGTTGAACAGGGCGAATGTGTTGATTGATAAGGTGAGGAGGAAGGGTAGGCGTAAGAGAGAGGAAGGAGGGGAAGTGACGGGCCGGAAGGACGAGGAGTTTAGTGTCCGGCTTGACGCCTCTGCTCCTGGATGACGGCCTGCAATTCCTCGAGCTTTCGCTTGGATCGGAGGAGAGTTCCGAGCTGCAACATCAAGAGTATCGTCATCTACGTCAGCAACGCACGTCGAGATACGATGACTCGACTTTGGCTGACCCTCTTCTTGGTGAGCTTCCTGGCCTTCTTGTCCTTGGAGTTCCTCAACAACTCCATGATTCGCTTCTCGTAAGGGGCGAAACCGGCAACCTCTCGGATGATGTTCCTAACGAAGACCTTCTTCTCGCTGCGTATAGGACAAAGGCGGTAGGTCCGTTAGCTCATACATTGTGCATGCTCGACTTGATGAGATGATGAGACGTACGTCTGCTTTCCCTTGGTGTTGGAAGGCTTGGCGGCCCTGGGGATGACGGTGGTGGGCCTACCGGAGTTGTGACCGTACCTCATGTCTAGAGAAGCAGGATCGGAACATACGGTCAGCATTTCCCGCAAGGTTATAGATCGTACTGGTGTCGCCGTCCCGTCCTTCTTGTCCCCAGACTATCCTCTTCCCCATCTTATAGCAGGTGGTTCAATTGCGATGCTCCATCGGCGAGTTCGCATTTGGCTTTCTGCTCGCCCAGAGATCCCTTCCTGCAACACCTCCCGCAACCGCTCTTAACGACAAAGAAGAATAGATACCCACTGCTTCGCTCGACGGGGGCCATCTTTGCTGATCTGTCGGTATAGTCGGGTCGTATCGAGTTTTGCGTCAAAGAAAACAAAGAAAAAAAACGTCGAGAGTTTCCCCCTGGAGTCAACAATTCTGTTCCGGTTCGTGTATGATCTTCGTTCGAGAGCAAAGTCCATCTAACCTTTTGCTGAAAGGTCGGTGAGTGCTGGAGTCTAGGTAAGAACTTCGAGGAGGAAAAGGGCCAGGGGGTCGAGGGGTCCGTAATGGCTCTCGTCTGATTTCGAGCTCGACCTTCAGAATCGTCGAGGCGTGTGCTGCTGGGCTGGGCTCGCGCGATTGGCAGGCCGAGCATGAGCGCGCGCAAGAATGAAAAAGACAAGTAAAAGCGCGGTCGCTCCCTTTCCCTGACTTCATCGCGCTTGACAGACAGAACGCCATTCTCTCGTAATTCGCGGACTCGGATCCGGTCGGAGATAGTGGTCGACGATTTAGATGGGGATATCGACCTCGACGTACATGTCGAGCAGATCTCTAGACAGCATGAACGTTTCCGATGTGTCCCGAGAGCACGAATGTGACAAATATGCACGTAGAAGTATTGCAAGGTTCACGAAGGGACCCAATTCGGGACATGTCGAACAGCATGAAACGCAATCAAGTAGCGTGGTGGCTCTGTACTCCGATCGTTTCGAACAGCCACACGATGATACTCTCGAAGCAGACAACCTGATGGCACTCGCTGGTGGATATGATATGACGATTTGAAATAGTATAAATACCGGAACAATGAGGAAAAAACGAGAGAGCCGAGAAAACGAATATGAGACCAGAGAGACGAACAACGGGCGGCGGGAAGGGGGGTTGGGGGGTTTGTAGATTTAGATTTCGTGACTAGGGGCGTGACGGGGTTTCGTATCGACCTCGACGTCGGCGTAACGGCATCGAGGTGACTTTTGAGATGATCGTGTCGCGCTTAGTACTCGGCCTCCTCTTCACCGTCGTTGGTCTCCAAAGCGACCTCCTCGTAATCCTATAGTGACAAGGAAAGGATTGATACAGTTTAGCATCTTGTTCCATGCTGACTCTTTGCGGTATTGCGTTCGACTGACCTTCTCCAGAGCAGCCAAGTCCTCTCGGGCCTCGGACATCTCACCCTCCTCCATACCCTCACCGACGTACTACACAAGCAAAGTCGCGCCAAATTAGCAAACGCGATATCGCAGAAGTGTCAGCAATGTGACTCACCCAGTGAACGAAGGCACGCTTGGAGTAAAGCAAGTCGAACTTGTGGTCGAGACGCGACCAGGCGGTAGCGATGCTGAAAGACGTCATCGAAATTGAAGATCAGTCTTCTGGTCGATCGCCCCGTTACTCAAGCCTGAATCACTCACGCAGTAGTGTTGGACAACATGCAGAGCGATCGCGATACCTTGGCGAGATCTCCACCAGGGACGAGCGCGGGAGGCTCGTTGCAGATACCGAGCTTGAAACCGGTAGGACACCAGTCGACGAACTGGATGGTCCTCTTGGTCTTGACGTTGACGACGGCGGCGTTGACATCCCTGGGCACACAGTCTCCTCGGTAGAGCAGACAGGTGGCCATGTATTTACCCTGACGAGGGTCACACTTGACCATCTGCGACGAGGCCTCGAAACAAGCGTTGGTCATCTCGGCGACCGAGTTGGACTCGTGGAAGGCTGAAAAGGGTGGTCATGCTGTCAGCTTGGCTGTGCTTACTACTCGGTATAGCTAGACTGGCTTACCCTTCTCGGCACCGATGATAGGAGCGTAAGAAGCAAGGGGGAAATGGATTCGGGGGAAGCTGAAGCCCACACAATCGATCGATCAGCACGAATCCTCTGTCGGATATCCGGTTCGTGTGACTGGACTCACGGAACCAAGTTGGTCTGGAACTCGTTCAAGTCGACGTTCAGGGATCCATCGAATCGCAGCGAAGCGGTGATGGAAGAGACGACCTGAGCGATCAACCTGTTCAAGTTGGTGTATCCAGGAGACTGGATTCCGAGGTTCTTTCGGCAGATGTCGTAGATGCTGCAATACAAGGTCGCACATTCGGAGCGCGAGTCAGCCCGAGCTCCATTTGTAGCCTCAGGCGGACGCCCCTACTCACGCCTCGTTGTCGACCATGAACGAACAGTCCGAGTGTTCCAAAGTGGTGTGGGTGGTCAAGACCGAGTTGTAAGGCTCGACGACCGAGGTGGACATCTTGGGAGCGGGGTAGACGGAGAACTCGAGCTTGCTCTTCTTTCCGTAATCCGTGCTCAACCTCTCCAACAACAGACTTCCGAAACCGGAACCGGTACCACCTCCGAACGAGTGGAAGACGAAGAATCCTTGGAGACCGGAACAGTTGTCGGCGAGTCGTCGAACTCGGTCCATGACATTGTCGATGAGCTCCTTTCCGATGGTGTAGTGACCTCGAGCGTAGTTGTTGGCAGCGTCTTCCTTGCCGTTGACGAGGGTCTCGGGGTGGAACAACGACCTGTACTTTCCGGTCCTGACCTCGTCAATGACGTTGGGCTCCAAGTCGACCTGTGCGAGGGAGTTGATGAATCGTTGAGCTCAATCCCGCTCTCACTGTACCAAGAACAATCAATGCTCACGTAAAGCGACCTCGGAACGTGCTTTCCGGCACCGGTCTCGCTGAAGAAGGTGGAGAAACCATCGTCGTGGTTGCCCGAGGGATCGTTCAGTCGACCATCGGGCTACATGGTCCATCGAAAAGATGTCGATCCATTAACTTCTGAACTGGTTCTCAACGCAAGAAAGATAGGGCGGGGACTCACGCTCAGACCGTGCTCGACGGTGTAAAGTTCCCAGCAGGCGTTACCGATCTGGACACCTAATCAATCGCAACGACAAAAGGCTCAGTCAGCATATACAGCTCTGCAAGCGAAATGGAGGGCAGCGTGATCGATTGGCTTACCGGCTTGACCAACGTGAAGCTGTTGATCGCGATAAAAGCAGATGAGAAACGATAACACAATGTCAGCTTACATACGCCACTTCTTCTCCGAAGAGATTCCTGTTCCTAGCCGGCCAAACGTACGGAGATGACTTCTCTCATTGTGTAGGAAAGACGGAACTAGTTGTTCTTGGTAGATGGTAGGTGTAAAGGTGGAAGATTAGCCAAAGGTGGGTATAGGAGGTCGGCGGAATGAGGTTTTGTTTTTGATGAGAACCGGATAGGCGGTAGAGGAATGATAAGACGATTAATCAGCTCTCGCCATCCATGAGAGCTAGCTCTTTTCCTCGACCATCCTTCGTCTTCTTTCCTTCGACAGTTGCTCGCCACTCACCTATCGATCCGAAGAATGATCAGAACAAGGCCGTTGTTGATTGCTGAAAGTTACCCTTTTTGTTGCAAGCCTCGAGAGAAGTTGATATTCCCCCGCCCCAAAAGTGGTCGATAGCTGGTCCCGGAAGGTAAAGTGAGAGTATATGAACGAGAGTGAGATGTGATGGATGTGCTCGGGAGGTGATCGAGGCGACGAGTGGAATGAACGTTGATGATGGAGGTTATGGAATGGGGGGGGAGAACGAGGTGGGGTGGTGGCCCTGGGCGGTTTGTTGTTGTGTTGTCGCTGGCGTCGCGCGGGAACGGCAGAGGCCCTAGCTAGGCTAGCTAGGCTTCTGGGGGCATGGACTCGTGGGGGACCCTGGTCGATCGCCTCTCTCGTAATCGCTTGAAACGCGTCGACGCGTCAAAGCTGTTTCCTCTTGTGTAGCGTGGGAAAAGCACGAGGCAGGCCTAAGCGTCATTTTAAGGTGGAGACCACAAACCTGCCCGCGGACACTGTCTGGTTTATTCATCTCCGTTATCCAAAACCATCGGATCTTCCCAACTTTCATTGCTTTGCGAACTTTGAATGATTATCCCTGACTGCATACGAAACGTGCAGTCTCTCGTCCCGAGACCACAACCCACATACCTTTCAAACCTAGACTTCTATAGACCTCGCAAAAATGGCCAAGGACCCCACCCTCAAGAAGAAAAGAAAGTCAGAGGCCGTCGCGATGGAGGTAGATGCGCCTGCCGAGGGGACCGCCAGTGCCGTAGCGGTCGAGGCCGATGTGAGCCTTTCAGGTAACGACCTGGTCTTGCTGCATCAGCTGATGTACCCTTGAATTCTCTCTCTTGAAACTCTTGCTCGGTGTCTAAATCACACCGACCTTTCGTTGCTCGCTCGGACCCTGGCTGCAAACGCAAACCAGGTCGAAGACGCACATGCCAAGAAGAAGGCCAAGAAGGAGAAGAAGGAGAAAAAGTCCAAGGGTGACGAGACCGTCGACGCTGGGAACGTGACGACGGTCACCGAGGCCGATGTGACCGTAGCTGGGGATGAGAAGAAGAAGGCAAAGAAGGACAAGAAGGAGAAGGACGAGGTGGGTCTCTGCTACTCTTCGCTCGTATCTTGTCCTTCGCGTTCTGATGGAGCTGATGTGTACGGATTTCGTATTGATAGGAAGAGACTGCCGACCTGAACCCCCCTACCCTCACCCCGATCGCCTCTCCGCTCGCACCCAAGAAGCTACACAAAAAGATCCTCAAAACCACCAAGAAATCCTCCAAGGCCCGTCAACTGCGTCGAGGTGTCAAAGAGGTCGTCAAGGCCCTGAGGAAGGGCGAGCAGGGATTGTTGGTTCTGGCCGGGAACATTACGCCGGTGGACGTCTTGAGCCATATGCCGCTTTTGGCCGAGGAGTGTAAGGGGGTGGAATATGTTTGGGTGACTAGCAAGTGAGTCCCCGCCTGTGCATTTGGACAAGAAAGGTTGAAAGTGGTGGGCTTGGGAGCTCATACGGGGTACTGGTTCGTCACACAGGGAGGAGCTCGGAGCTGCCGCAGGGACGAAACGGGCGACCTCGGTCGTCCTCCTCTGGTGAGTTGGACCCGATGAGCGCAATCCGACATTCAACTAAACGTGCTGATTCTATCTTTTCCCATTTGTCCCCGACACCAGCTCGACTCCCCGTAAACGACCCACCCCGAAAGCCGGTGAGGCACCCAAGCCTGCCCCTACACAGGAAGAGATCGACGAGTGGTTGTCCCCCCTGAACGAATGTATCAAGGAGGTCAAGGAGTTGGTAAGTCGATCTCGTCCTTCTGCTGAGCTCAGGCGGTATAGCCTATCAGCATCAGAGGGGCAACGGGATGCTGACCGGTTCTATCATAATGCTTGTCCGTATGTCTACAGCCCGCACAGAACATCGTAATCTAGGTTGGGAGTTGGTGCGAGCGGGGAGACAGGCCGCGTGGCCTTTTGAATTAGCTGGAGGAGGGGAGAGTTACCTGACTCCATTTGTTATTTGTTTTTGGCTCGCTTTATATCAATGACTGTATGTATATGCACACGCGCTCTCAGGCTAGGCAGAGTCAGGTACAGAGCTCGATGGACCTTTGTCTAAGGATCGAAGGACGCTGTGACATCGGATTCTTGAAAGGCTCGGATGACAGATAGGCTTGACGGCCTGGAAGTTTTGAAGATCCACCATGTCTTGAGGAAAGCTGGTATGGCCGATTGAATGGCAAGAAGGTGGGCATTGCAACAGGTTGAAACGCAACAGGTCGAAACGTGGTCTGACCGTAACTTACGGCATGCACGCTTTGCACTTTGTAAACAAATCGCATCTAGCCGAGAGCGAGTGAGAGCGCATCACACGACGACGGACGACCATCAACAAAGTTGAATCAGGCGAATACAACTCGAAATCACTTGTCGCTTGTCGCCATGTTGTCAACAGCTCAGCAGCTCTTTAGGAAAGCGCCATATAGTATACCACGAGCGAAACCAGCCCGACGTACAGCTACATACCACCCGCGACCAGCCATGACCATAAATTGATCGGCATCAACATTTCCCGCCGATCATCACCCGTATTCCACCTTCGGCCTGTCGGCAGCGATAGTACGCGGATCAACCTGACTCTATCATGGATGCTCTTACTTTGAACAAGTGGACTCGATTTGCCGAAAAGGGAGGGATTGGGAAAGCTCGAGGGTTAGTAAAACGGATGTTTTGCCTAGTGCTTGTCGAGTTGCTGAGCCTTGCGATTCTGGGTCATGACAGGCGACATGATGTTCTGGCGACCGTCAAGGGCGACTTGATGTTTATGAAAGACGAAGTCATCGTTGTCCTGAAAGTACTGGTGGAAGATCAAAGCTATTTGGTGAGTTTCCAGGTAGTAACGCTGTCTGATCGCTTAAGCTCTGCTGAATCGACCAGTCTCTGAACTCGTTAGGGAGCATGCGAGGGTGTGATCGGTCGATTCAACCACTCCGATGTGGACTTCTTGCAAAAACAACTCAAGCGACCCGTCTTTATACCACACAACAAGCGGGCAAAGCAGTCAGATACTGGCAAGACGGACCCTGGTCCTATGGTCATCGTCGTCCCGCCTCAACAACACGTCCCAGCTTCAAATTCGAATCAGCAAGCGGGACCATCGAGGCAGAGGACGACTACAGTGGAATCGACGCAAACCGTTTGTCTGCCGTCCATCATACAACCGCTCGGTCGACCGTATGTCGCCGGGACGGATACTCCCACTACGGCGGACACATTTCAGACGGCCTCTTCGGTCACGCCACCGTTCGAAGCCTTTTCTCCCATCTTTCACGCACATCCTCAACATCCTCGACATACACCTCATCCCATCCTTGTACCTTCCGCGTTGCAAGTAGGAAGTCATGTCAGCCTCACAGCCAGTCAGCCGGGAACGGCGAGCTCGATAGGAGGCGGTACGGACTTTTCGTCGTTGTCTTCCCCTGTCCGGTCGGACAGCCAACTCGGAAATGAGAGCCATTCGAGCATGAAATCGGGATGGGAAGTTTCATCGAGCAGGAGCTCGATGGACGTTTATGTCGAGACTCTCCGCAACGACCGAGATTCGGGATCCGATCTAGAGACTCCAACCGTCAAGACAGTCGAAGCGGACCCCTCACGGACGGTGCATTCAGCTACAGACACGCTCGCGACAGCAAAGAGCGCGGAGGTCGAGCTGGAAAGGACTTTGGGATCGTCGACGAGCACGTCTTCGGCTTCGACAAACGCCTCATTTGATTTCAAGGCGCACAGATCTTTTCGCGCTTCTAATCCGTTTGCTTTGGATACGGGCCTGGGCGGGTGGTCAGGGTCGGAAAGGGGAAGTAGCCCGGCGGGTACAAGTATGGACGAGAGGAACGATGACGACGACGAGTCGATGTTGGAACCCTCGTCGAGCGGTAGCAGTCAATCAAGGTCGATCCCGCCTAGATTCGTGTTCGCGCATGATGAGGACGATGAAGATGATGATAGACGGGCTGAATGGGAGTCAAGGATCGAACTGGATGAACCAGAGTTGACGATAGGCTCGTCAGGGACCCCAAGCGTATCGTTCTCAGCATCGAACTCGATGAGCTCGATCAACTCTTACCTGTCTGGAAGTGGCGAGTCGATCAGGGACGTTACATTGACCTCGAACCCCAGCAAGGAAGCTCAGGGGACGTTTGGAAGATCAACGAGTACCGGGTTGGCGAGTCAGTTACGTGCCAGGTTGGTCGTTGCGCCTTCGAACTCGTTGCAAGCCAAGAAGGGATGGGATACTCCGTCACCGACCCCTTCGCCGACGCCATCGGATATGGCGCCGGCGAGACCCCCGATGCGTCGGATTGACAGTGAACGCAAAGCTGCCAAGATCAAACAGGAGATGGCAAAAGAGGTGAAAACCAGCCAGTCGCAACCGGTGCCATTGCGACCAGCAGCCCGAACTTCGCAGCATACGTCGGTACCACTTGACAAGGATCAAGAGAACGTCTATACGTGTCTGTTACCTGCTTCGCAACCGGAGAGCACCAACCATACCTTGTCGGAAATATACAGTAACTACAGGGGCAAGTTAGGAAGCTCGAGATCGGAGCAAGATCATGAACCAAATCGCAAAGGCGAGCAGGTCAATACCAAGAAGCTGTTGGCCAGACGAAGCCAGAGTCTCAGTTATAGCCACCCACAGAGATCTGCACACGATCCTGTCTCGGGAGAGGGGAACGACTTTCCCAGCTTTACGTCTTCACCTTCCGCGGACAGTACTGGCTCACTTCCGCAGAGTCGAAGTCGGATCTTAGAACAAGGCTATCGCGGAGGCGGTGTAAAGGCCCAGGATTCGTCGCTCGGAACCGACCCATCATCTACGAGCGGGAGTCTTCTGTCCTGCCTCTCTAGTAACTCGGAATCCGAACCGGTGCTTATGACACCGCACATATCTGGTCGAGCCTATGCGGCCCAGTGCACATCGGACATTGCGCCTAAGATTCAGACTTCGAGCGATGATCTGTCGGCAAGTCATATGCTCTATGCCCGGAAGGATGAGGACACTCAAACTGTCGGGGTGGAACCGAAACAAGAAGAGACGAGTATCGGGGCTACAGCTATCGCTCGCAGACGACGAGCGTTCACCTTGCGAGGCGAAATGTCGGCCGATCTGAGCAAAGCTAGTAATCCCGTTCCGATCAGGTTCTACATCGGCGATGCCGGAGAGCCCTCTCCATCCCCGCGACATGATCGTGCGGTCACCTCTCCCGAAGTCCGGTCGGCGACGGATAGAGAGAGCTTGCCATCTGTACCCAGCACACCTTTCTTTCCGAAGACGAGCAAGGACGCCCCAGGCACGAGCTTTACCAGGATGGAAGTACCGTTGCCACTACATAACAGTCCTTCTACTCAATCGATGATGCAGGCTTACGACGGTGTAGATGTAGAAATCCCCAACAATGAGCAACAGTTCAGCAACGGGCGGGAGACTATCTCGCCGATGTTGCAAATACGAAACTCCGTGAGGAAGCGTAGCCTGTCGCTCAAGAGGTCGCAGCCCCAGTTACGAGTCGATACGAACGTTGCACCACCTCCTGTACCTCTTGCACGGGTCAAGAGTGAAAGATGCGCTTCTCCATCCGCTGGTCGAGGATCGCTTCCCCTTCCTATACCCACGAGAAACGGAGGCCAGAGTGGCAGGTCGAAGCTCTCCGTTGCCGGGAGCCTCCCAGAGGCATCCCCCATATCCAGTAAAGACTATTTCAAAACGGAACGATACAACGATACGCAGTTTACCATGAACAACGAGACTGACAACCGGAACTGGCAGCAAGTACAAGCGGAGGAGACGGACGAGTGGGGGTTTATTGGTAATAGCCCGGTTCCAGCGATCTATGCTACACAGCGAGCGGATCCCAAACTCACCGCCAAGGTGGAGCAGAATATCGTAAGCGGGTTGGCAGGTGACTGGCATCCGAGCTTCATATACTAAACACGCACTCTCGCCCATAGCTCGCTATCATTACGAAGCCATTGAATTCCGGTTCCGTCAAGAAGATTCGCAAGATCATGTGGGAGCAAAACGTCCCTCCGTCACTGCGATGTCGCGTTTGGAATTGGTTACAGCCCTCGTCTGCCGCAACTCGTGGAGGGCCCGCCACCTATCGAGCGATCGCAGACCAGGTGGTCGTGCCGGTCAGGAAGGACCAAGACCTACCATTGTTCAAGTGAGTTTTGGTGGATCAAGAGAACTCGATCTCCTGCTGATGCGCAACCTATACCCAGGCAATTTGGCACTCACCGTGCTGTCATCAACGGGACCTTTCCCATTCAGGAGATGTCTCATGTTTACGCCTGCCGGCATCCAAAGACTAGCCTGGCCTTTGATACCACCTGGATAGCCGCCATCTTTGCTAGTCAAGCGTTTGACACGGAGCAAGCGTATTGGCTGTACGAATCTCTGATGGACCGACTGGCAGGAGATCTCAAACCCATCGCCATTCGCGTCACATCTGTTGTTTTACCCCAACTCTTGGCACAGCAAGATCAGCAACTTCACGCCGACCTGTCGAGAAAGGGTTTCGATTCGGCCTGTAAGTGGCGAGTGAAGGAGCTTCATCCGGGCACAGGCTGACAACGTGGCGACGCAGCGTATGGTGCCCTATTGGTATCCTGGCTCCCATCTATCTTTGCCTCGGCGCTACCGTTTCCAACCGTATTGCGGCTTATGGACCTTCTCATCCTTGAAGGACCACTTCTATTGCTTCGCGCTGCCCTCGCCATCTTGCTTGTCATGTCGAAACGACTGATCTCCGCAGAGAGCAAGGAAGACATTCTGCGACTTCTTCTGCAACCCAGTGCAGATGAGCTCGTCAGCCCAGAAAGCCTCGTCAAAGTGATGGCAAAGATCTCGCTGTCCGACAAGGTCGTCGAGGGGCTCAAGACTAAGGCTTTAGCGTCACTCGCCAATCAGAGGCGAAATTAAAGACGTATCGATATCAAAGTCAGCATCGATAACGACCATATACCCAGACACGACCTCCTGTAAACAACCATATTAGCATGATGTGACGAATTACACGACGATCGTTTGTAATCGGATCTACCACACATCCTTCTAGTCATATCATCCACGTTTGCAGCGTTATTCCAGCAATCCTTTGGTCTTTGCGCTCAGACCTGTCAGCAGGATGCATTGCGAGTGCAGGGAGACTCGGAACGAGAGCGAATCGTCAGCGAATGTTGAGATGGATCGCTTCAAGATGAGGCGGCAAATAAAACACTTCAACAGTGTGTATACTGCCCTCATGAAAACCCTGATATATTTTCTTCTCGTCATGATTTCACTCTGCGGAATGATGAGTAAAGGTAGCCCTTTCTTCTCGAATGGGCTTTTTGGTATTTGATGTCAACCTCAACTACAAGGGTAGAGAAACAGCAGGCGATGCCATAGTAAAATATGAATGTCACATTCCAACCTTCTTTGACCATATGGCTTGTTGATTCCAAACTTGAATTAAGAACGCAAGCGAACCTACCTGATCACCCATTGCTTAACTCAGGCAGGGTTTGCGGCGTTCATCTGAGCATGATTGCTATGGATCGGTCTCAGAACATGCACCGCATAATTCCGGCGATTCCGACAAGCGCCAACAAATGTATAAAAAGACGGGACACATCCGAGAGGTGTAAGAATATCATTGAGGGCCTTCGAAGATGGCAATGTCTACGCCAATCATGAATCAAACCTCGATGAGTAAGGGGCATTGTCCGTGGTATAGCTGTTATTATACAGTAGTTCGAATTATCGAGCTCAATCATGGCTACACGTCGGCAAGGTCAGATCCTTGAGATTCCTATGCTCATCAAAGACCCCCCAATGAGGCTCGACTCCACCAAATACCTGTTGTGAGATAGCATTAGGTAAGTGAATGTGCCTGATTGAAATAGCTGCAAGACTTCAGACTGACCCTCTTCCAAGGTTCGTCAAACGCCTCGACTAGCAGGTCGATAACCGCATACAAGCAGATGCTGCGTGAGCCTTCGAATTCGTCGACTGATGACGGACGCATCGACTCACAGAAAAAGTAGTGGGTCCCGTTGGCGTTGGCTTGGCAGACAAAAGTGTCCAAGAAGGTCTGTAAGTTGGCAGCGCTAGCTTCGGCACCACCTCCATTGCTCGAGGTGTTTGCCCAGTCGGAACCTGTCAGTGGAATCGTTCGGTCAGCTCGGTCCTTCACAGGACTTCACTGTCTCACGCTTACCGGTTGGCCAACCCGTCTCAGCAATTGCAGTGTCAGGTTTGTTCGATGCCGATTCTGCGACAGCCTGTGCAGATACCCATGTCATTAGCTCTATTCCGTGGTTCACCAGGCATGGAGTAGACAGCCAGACCTACTACATCATTGGTCTGGTAAAAGTCCCATGTCCACGTAGCGGCGTCTGCAATAGACAAGTTTCCGAACCATCTGTAGATACGATATAACCGGGATCAGCGAGGATGTTGATCAAGGCAAACTTTCCGAGCTCATCCGGCTGAGAAACTCACGGATGCACTATCGACGAATTGAATCACGAATCAGCATCGAAATCCTACGCCCAGGGTCGACTAATATCGTTATCTTACCGTTAGCATGGAAATAATCGATCCCCTCGGCCAAAGCCTGCGTAAAGACGCTTCCAGCGTCACTCGTCCCATGAGGCAAAGTCTTGCTCAATCCCAGCGCATCGATCCGGGCTCGCACGGTCGCTACGTCGTTGACGATCTTGGGAATTCCCGCTGCTCCGTTACTAGCAAAATCGATCTTGACGGATTAGAATCTGCTCAAGTACCCCTGCTGAAGCAAAGTGACGGGGCAGCGTGACTGGCTTACAAGAGGATGTATTCGTTTCCTACAGTCACGCCGAGTACGTGGTCGGCGCCATACGTCTTCAATGCATCCTCGATAGCCTCCAATTGGCTGTCGAAGGCGTCCTGATTCGAATCAACGTCTATAGAAAAGCGAACATTAGCATCGAAATCAGAGCCAACACCAAGCGTTATCCTCCAACCGTTATCTACGGTGAGACGGGTCATTTGGACCACTCACAGATGGCGACATAGACGCTCAGATCGACCTTGGTATCCTGAATCGCCTGGAGGACCATGGCAGTCTGGTTACAATTGGCTCCATACAGTCGGATCCGGGTGGTCAACTGGGAGAGGATCTGCACGTCCCGTGTGACGTTGGCTTGGGTCGCTCCGCAACTGATAGGAACACAGAAGCGTATCAGCCGTGGAATGGTCTGTCTGGTGAAGTGATAGATAGACTCGCGTTCCGTATTGTACGTTCTGGCGTGCGAAGTGTCAGATTAGGAATCAGCAATTCAGGCACCGTCGTTCCGTTAAAACATGAGACTTTGACGGCTTACCTGCGGCGTATAAGCAAAAGCCCAGCTAAAGCAACCCCGTCAATCTGTCAACCCTTATCCTAAGACGTACTGCTGACGTACAGTCGCACTCACAAACTGTTGTGTAACCTCGAATCCTTTTCGAACACGCTCGGATCATCCCCAACATCCGCCGACCCATCCTCTGCCGACTTGTTACTGCTACTCCCGCTCCCGCCACCGTTTCGCCCTACGATGACCCCGACGGCGATAGCTACGATCGCAGCTATGGCTAATACGATCCCTCCGATGATCCACCATTTCTTCTTGCTACCCCCCGTTCCACCCGCAGCAGCTGCATACCCCCCTGATGCAGCGCCGGTACCGCCTAGGGTCGCACCTTGTTCTTGCCGAGCGGCGAACCTGGCACCGGATCGGCCTTGTGGGTCGTAGTGCGCATACCCCAGACCCCCGGCACCACCACCGCCTGCTGTTGCGGCTCCATAGGCTGCTCCTGCTCCTGCCGCACCTCCAGCTCCAGCTGCATATCCATACCCGCCCCCACCCACGTGGGCTTCTTTATCGAACGAAGAAGCGTACGAGTCTCGATAATTACCGTCCCCCGAGATGGAAGGACGGTTGAGCTGGGTCGTTGGGTCTGGGCCGGACATGTAGCCGTATTGATTAGGAATGTCGGTGTATGATTGACTTGGGGTTAAATTTTGGGACAGTCGGTGAGGCTGCGAGGGGGATGCAGATCAAAATTGAAATGAAGAGGCGGTTTAGTTGACATTGGAGATACGAAGGGTGGATTGAGCACTGGTCGTAGCCGGGGAAGAGCGGGAGGGACTCACAGCTGGTACAGAAGAACTATCGTAGAAATCGTTGAGCTCTATAATTGCAATTGTAGGTGGCCGGCCAAAGAGTGAAGTAAGAATGATAATTCATGATTCAGCTAGGATCTCTTATTTCATGTTTCCTGTCGGAGCTATCGGAGAGATTCGCGATCGAGGTCGATCCCTCTTCTATGGGGACAACGAACGTCCTTTGTCGGTGTTTCCCCTCGACGACTTTCAACTTAGGGATACCCCTGTCCTTTCCCCTTACGAAGTCGGCCGGACTGCGCAGAGTAGACACTCAACCGAGGGCAGACTTACCGTGTCGCTCAGGTGGTATTGAAGAGTAGGGTGTGCTGTAGTTGTAAGACATGGTTCGATGCTGATGATGGTTGATCGAGGTGGTTGATCGAGGTGCGACAGTTATACTACTCCTGTAGGCAAGGGCTAGGTCAAGAAGCTGCGGAGGCGGTGTCTGATCAGGTGAACAGGTATTCAATCGTTACTCCTGGAAAGGGCTGGGCGATGGCGAGGGCATGAAGGGAAGTATACGAGTTGGACATGTTGGACAATTTGTCCCATCTGATTTAAAAGTCTCTTGGCCAAAGATCATCATCGGTGCGGCATGCGGAACGACCTCCACCCTCATCACTCATCAAGTTCCACCACGAATTGTCAACAAACCCCGTTTCAAGGCCAGCCCGTCTCCCCTCACCTACCCAGCCGACCGATAAGGCATCTATGAATCTATGAAGCTGCCTTGCGCCTTGCCTCGCCTCTACATCCCCTCTCTGTACCCGCCGTGCTAATCGTACGATTGTGCTGTGCTCGATCGCTCTTGGCCCCGCCACTCGCAACAAGAAAGCTGTGCAACGCTAACGCCGGAAACAAATCCCGGAGGCTTATCGTTTCGACTTTTGGGTTGAATGACATTCTACCTTTCAAAGCTCGAGCGAGTGAGTTTGAGCCAAGTTGATTGGAAGGGATACCGCGAGTATAGTATATGTACCAACCTGGTCGATCAGATATATGATGAGAACCTAGAAGTTGTCCTTACGATCCAAATCGAAGTGACCATATCGTCGTTTCTGCCACACTGAACGCTTTGCGGGCTGACGAAGAGGCACGAGCACGAACTGACATCAACCACACACGTTCGTTTGATCGGATCTTCTCGACAGATCTTGTATACCTTATGATATACCTTCTCATCCGGCATTTGATCATGGATGTGGCCCACAGTCTGGTATGTACGATCACCATTCCCTCTTCTCCGACAAAGCAGAGGTCAGCGGCTCCGCGTCCGGCATGATCTCTTCTGTCTAGCGTGCGCGTCGCCCTTGGGTTGAGGCCTCGCTTCGCTTCGATTTTCAGCCCGGGTTTTCTGCACTGTCTGCCTATCCTAGCCGTCTGACGACTGGCACGTTGGATCAAACGATACACAGCAGCTGGACATCGCTCTCGCAACGTATGAAGCTTTCGAGTGTACCCGTCTAGAAAGTACGACTCGCTACGGTACTGCCAGTCTCATTCGAACCGGACTTCGGAACATTCGGCTAGAATTATCAGCAGTCGCCTCTCGCCGATCGGGACGGGCGCACAACACAATTTTGTTCGACCGCACCCGGCCAGACATGAAGAACCCAGCGCATGATTGAGTATGGGAGGCAAGGCAGTGATCAGAAAGCTGCATCCTCGGGTTTCACCATGCACCGAAGAACACCTAATGAAGATCGTCGGTCGTTCTGAGCTGAACCTGGCTTGCAGCGAAAGGTCGAGCAATATACACGCATCGAAGGCGCTACAGGAGATTTTAAGCCAGTGGTGACGCAGTGAGCTCGCCACCAGACGAAACAAACTGATCGTATCGGAGTGTGTTTAACGATGTAGGTAAAGAGACGCTTACCTGCGGACGAAGTCACGGCGTTGTATACGATATCAACTTCATAGAATCAAAACGGAAAAATTCGGCAATCGCGGCCGCCTTATATCAGTCGTTAGATGAGCTCTTTCCGGTTAATTTGCCGTGCCTGGAGCGGGTCGTCGGTTCAAATCCGACAGGCGGCTTTTCTTTTTACCTTCTTTGCGCATCCCCAACGTTGTGAAACCGATGAGAAACAAGGAAACCGAACTTTGACGCGAAAATCGAAGTTTGCGCGAAGAAGTGATAAGGATCGAGCGGGACGGATTCATTCGGGCTCCCGTTCCACATGGTATGCCTGATACTGTGAAGCTATGAAGATCTGAAGTCGTATCCACCCATTGCGGTGCGCTTGAAGTCACCTTGTTACAAGTGCGACAAACAAGAAGTGAAAGGGGTGCATGTTCCGACTTAGGCGCGTCTGACCAGCTTAACACCTGCGCTTAGATGAAAGACCTACTGCGACAGCTGGCACACCATGAAAGACGGTGAAAATATAGAGGCCCGCAGTAAGCAGTCTCTAATTTCCTTCTTGCGCCCCCTCCCTATACTCGCGCACCTTTTCGACCACGAAGCGCGCGAACGCGCCCGGCGGTGTGAGGCGAAGCCAATCAAAGCGATTGAGATTGGCTGTCAAGAACGAGTCGTTGCGATTGTAGATGATCCATCTATCACTTGCTGAACAAGTTCCGTCCACCCGATCCAAGTATATCCTACGTGTACAAAAAGATGGTCCAGGATACAGCGAGTGTACATACCGGACCTCCTCTCTCGGTGCTTCTCCCGGGCGGTCGTCTGTATCTGCTTGATCCCTCAGGTCCAACAGTTACTAGGACTTTCCCTTCTTCTCCGCCAGCTTTTCTCTAAGCATGAGGTTTCTCTTGCCCGAACTTTTTCGTCTTTGACAATCTCGGCAGCCCACATTGTACCACGTCGTTTTGCGATTCTGTTGTGAACCAGGCATCACAACGATCGCCCCGCATAATCCGCCACTCTTCTTTGCAGTGATACAGCGCTTGAAGTACACTTTTTCGCCTTTCCACTCGACCCAACCCGCCGCTTCAATTGCGACGGCGCTCAACAGATCTTCGCGGAGCCGCTGATCATCTATGCTCCCCTTTCGAATGCGCTTCTTCCGGTATAACTTCTCGACCCGTCCCTCCGACCTTTCGTCCATCGCATCCCATCGCAGCATCTTTGACTTGGCAACGCTAATCTGAGGCTCCGCTTCGGATGGCACGGTCAGTTCAGTGTCTTCAAAGATTTCTGGTGCTTCCTGAGATCTGTCGTGACTGTCATGGCTGAGGTCGTTCACCAACCAAACGGGAGCAATCGACTTGTCCTGGACATAATCATGTAATGCCAAGATATTAGATGAATCTAAAAGATCTCCTGTACTAGTTGACGTATTGTCGCGATGGGTGGTTTCATCGGGAAACGAACTTGGAGGGCAATAATCAGCTAGCAGTCTTGGGTCGATATCGGAATCGCGCATAGAAGCGATCGAGTTGAACAGTATGGGTGCTTCCGGGATTTTGTGACAGAGTAAAATAATAGATACGGGGGTTCCGAGACCGCAAGCCATTGGTTGATATATTCCACCATCCCCCTCGCCTCCAGGCAGCGCGAGAGGAAGGTCGTCTTCCTTTCATTCAAACGATGATCATCGGCCTCTTGCGAGCGAGAAGCTAGCGAGGTTGTCTCACCCGAACTTGACCCTTATCGTTAAACAAAAAGCAATCAACTCGAGTCCTTTGTCGATCAAGGCGATACCCTTCACCTGACGAACCCATGCTCGGGCGGACTGACTGAACAACAGCGATCGAACGACAACACACTGTTCACCATGACAGAGTTCGAGTAGATAGGTCAGCCTGCATCGATAACTGGACGGTGTTGTCATAGCTCGCACATCGAATTATCCATGTGACATCTCTGCGAATATGTACATGGCAATTTTCTGAAGCTAGTTACATAACTAAGCGTTGTTTTCTGATTCTACTCCATTATCTTGGTCATCCCTCTCCAAGTGCTCATCTTGATCCTCTTCCGCCCTTCTCTTTTGTTTCATCTTGCGAGTCTTCGAATTAGCCCGGTTTATACATCTATAGCATTTCACCGTATCCCATGATCCACGTCCAGTGCCATTTGGTTGGATAAGAATCGCTGCACATTCTCCCTTGGTAATTATCTTACAGTTACAACGCCTGCAGGGGATTTCCTCTTGAGGGCTCCCGTATACGACGTAGTCGATCTTCCCCTGATGCACAGTATTCCACATGTCCTGTCGGATACGCAAATCGTCCTTTGATCCTATCGCTATGTCCAACATTTCATACCAACGGCAAAGCCTGCTTTTGGAACGCGTATCCATATCAGACCATCCGACTATCTTTTGCTTGGGAGCACTGGTGTCAAGATCGAGCGGTGCGTGAGTGACTTTGCTCGCGAGTCCCTGACCAAATGAGGTGACTGTTCGTAGCTGGCCATCATTCTGCTGACTGTAGGAAGCGCCCCTGTGAAGCGCATTCGTAGCAAGGTCGAAACTGTTTCCTGAATCTAATCCAATATAGCTTGGATCGCCAGTTGTTGAGGGGAGTCCAACGTCGTGGTAATGTCCTGGATCGTTCTGGTAATCGATAGCGCAGGGTAGATAAAGACTATCGTTTCCCGGCAGGCATGGCGAATAGAAACAAGGGTCGAGTGGATAGTTGATTGTAGCGTCAGGCAAGTTCTGATGAAAGCTGTACCGATCCCACTGATTTCCTACGAGACTTGGGGCGAGGGGATCCGTTTGTCCGAAGCTCTGATTGCCATCGTTATGAATTTCAACATGGTCCGATTCTGGTTGATACATGTCGGATATTGTGTCCAAGTCAGCAGTTGGATCCAGGTCATACATGAGGCGTGCGCATATCGAAAGGATGTCGTATGAGGAAAGACTCGGGCAGGTCAATTCAACTTGGAGTTGCTCGGCTTATATAGACCTTTCTTTATTACGGCGACATGCTGATGCGTCAAGAATCACTTCCAGGTCGACTTCCTTTCATGATACTCTCGTCTTCTCGGTCATGGGAGCTGCAGCGTGTAGGATCAAGAAGCAAACGATATAGAGCAGCGTCGCTCCTCACTCGTTAGTAATTAGTAGCTAGTAACTAGTAGTGGTGTAATAGTTAGTGGCATTAGTGGTGCCTGATTTGCGTTGAGCATCCATAGCGGGATTTGGGGTTTCAGATGTTCACGCACCCTGAGCGTGTGTCCGCCGTTATGCCCGTCCCCGCGTGCGCCTCTTACGTCATCCGATTCGATCCGACGATCGTCCAAGTGACTGACCCTCTCGCCCTTGGCCGTGCCGGGCATCGTCGTCGTCGTCGTCGCCCTGACCTGACCTCCTAAGATGGTACTTAAGGGACGTGGACATTGGTACATTGACCTCTTTAATCGTCCTCGAGGTCGATCCTGGACATCCTCGTTAAGTGACATTATCGAAATCGTACACCTTCTCCCATCATGGCCATTTTCAGCTCGTTAAACAGCGTCCCGACCGAGATCGCTTCCCGGCTCGGTGGAATCATCACCTTCAAGTGAGTGATCGTTCACGCAACAAGACCGGTCAGCCAGAGACAAACCGACGAGCTAACAATCTTGGTAAACATGACCCTTTTACAGCTATCTCGTCCAGGCCGCTTTCGCCTCGGTGGCCATTCCCCTTCAGACCGAGAGGTTCTACGATCTCGCCGGTTCCGTCGGCTTCATCTCTACCGCCATCGTCTCCTCCTTTTACCCCAACTTCAGGCTGATGCTGAACAATGTCAAGACGTTCGGACTGACTAGCGGGAGGATAGCAGAGGGCTTGACGAGCGAGATGTGGAACCCGGCCAAGGTGCTCAGTGTAAGGCAGATGGTGGTCGGGGGAATGGTGATCCTCTGGGCCGGACGACTCGGGTCGTTCCTCATCCAGGCAAGTTCAAGCTCGCATCTCGATCTCTCTCAGAGTATGCTTATCAAATCTTGCCCTTTGCATCGATTGATCTGGAATCTGCAGAGGATCACCAAGGCCGGCCACGACTCGCGCTTCGACACGATCAAGACCAACCCGTTCAAGTTTGCCGGAGCCTGGTTCGGTCAAGCAACCTGGATCCTCTGTTCAGGTCTTCCTCTGTGGATGTTGAACTCGATCCCCGCTGCTAGACATCCGAAGTTCGGGACCCCTCTGGACTTGCTCGGTTTGGGTGTTTGGGTTGGAGGGTTGACTCTGGAGGTGGTTGCTGATCGACGTGAGTCGAATCGCAACTAGGCGTCAAGTTGTGGAGACGAAGAGATGGTGATGCTGATCAGAGTCGGTCCTGTGGGGTGTTGATCTCAACAGAGAAATCCGCTTGGAGGGCTGCCAAGGACGACAAGAAACACGACGAGAAATTCATCAAGGACGGAGTCTGGAGCTGGAGTCGACATCCCAAGTGAGCATTCCGTGACATCGTTCGTTCCCGCTCAGAGGTAGCTAACAAGACCGCTTCGCGTTTACAGCTACGCTGGAGAGATCATCCTCTGGGCCGGTCTCCCTCTCATTGCCCTTCCTACTCTCCTTTCCAACGCATCCTCTTCCATCCCCCTTACCTCCCGTCTCCCCGGCTACTTCCCTTACCTCGCCGTTGTCCCGCCTGTCTTCGAGTACCTCTTGCTCAACTACGGCAGTGGGGTGCCCTTGTTGGAGGAATCCGCAGAGAAAAAGTGGGGACAGGACAAGGGACCAGGAAGTTGGGAAGAGTACAAGAGGAAGGTGCCGGTCTTGTTCTCCTTGCCCGGAGCCAAGATCTAAACGAGGCAAGGAGAAGTACAAGGTGTTGATGGGGTTTAGGAAAGGGTCCGGTTTGGATGGCCTCGGAAGCAATTACGTAACGAGGACCTCGGTCGAGGTTGACCGAGTGGACGAGCGATCGGCGAGCTGTAGCAAAATGTTGAATCGTTTGTTAGGACCTGTACTTGTGTTCTTGACACATATATGATATAATCGACTAGCTAGTACACGGATTTCTGTGGACATCATGGCGCACCTTCGAGTACCTGTGGAATTGCCGTTGCCCGATTCTCGCAGCAAGCCTGCTCTTGCAGACGTCCGTCGTTTGAAGGACGCGTTGAAGCTGGCGGATGGGGAAATTTGGTTGGGCAACGGCGCAAACGCGGGTCCCGTCGGCGGCGTGGGAAGGGACGACGACGACGACGATGGCGGTGTGGGTGATGATGAGGACGAGGTCGATGGTCGTGTTGCAAATCGAGTGCTGGTTGTACAACATATGTTATTACATGAGATCAACCTTGATCTACCATAGAATTGACAACTAGACTTCTGACGATTCGACGACCTTCGATTCAACGATCCGTGTTGGTGTGTTGACGACAACAACGAAAAGGACCTGCTTCGCCGTCCAGACCACATTAAGAGGAAGGCTAGCAGGAAGAGGGTCGACAAGCCCTGTCTGCAAATAGCTTCGTGGCTGTTCCGTCGACGTTCTCAGGCGGGTCGAGCTGGGTCTTGGTCTGTACATAGAGGATTCGGACTATATCATCGGGAAGGAGAGGAAGGGCACTTTTATACGACGTCGCTGCTTCCGAGGAGGATCAAGGTGAGTCCAGGTTGCGATCCCTTTGTGGACCGGACGACCATGATGTTCGCACGGTGTGATGACCAGATGGATGTGAAGCTGATATCAGCAATCGGGTTATCTGGTCTGATTTGACAGGTCTGGGCAACGTGTAGCCAAGCAGGTTGGCTACCAAGCAAAGTGGAGTTCTTGTTCGAAGCCTAGCAAGCAGGATCTGAGATTCAGTCTGCCGTGACCCGGAGGTATAGCAAAAGGCTGTCGAGCAGGAAAGAGAGCAAGAGTCAAGAAATATGAGTGATGGGATCGGTAACCGTGAGTAGCTTGAGATACGGTCAGAGCCGGTATAGCCTTTATGAGGCAGTACTCTGTCTAGAGAACGATAAACAAGGGAGATCGTGATGACGAAGAGGAGCTCGAGGTCGAACAGTAAAATAGACTGCTTCAAGGGCATATTGAGCTCGCAATATCTTTTGCGCTTGAAACCCGGAAATCAACCGTCAAATTACTCACTCGATTTATGCTGCTTTCTTCTTCTCGACCGTCATCATATATAGCCAACGGATCGGCAGTCTACCAACATCAACCTGTCTCCCATGCGGTGACCACTGCGGGTCCCGGTTCCTCCACTCCGGTAGCACCGCCTCATCCGCAGCTCGGCGGGAAGACCATCTTCGTAGCGAACGGTGCAAACGGGTTCAAGTCCAAGTCGGATGAGAGCGATTCGGACGACTTGACCGACCCCGATGCTGATGCCGATGGGCAAGCCGACGATGACGCAGATGGTGAAGGCGATGAGGAGAGCGATGCCGAGGGTGTGACGGACGATGAGGATGCGGGTTCGGACGTCTCTATGGGTGCACCTGTGAAGCGCAATGGAGGTGCATCCGGATTGAAGAGGGCGCACGCGCGGGTCGACAGCGATGGTGAGGAGGACTTCGATGAACAGATGTTGAGTTTGCGGCGGAGCGTGAGTAAAGGAGAAGCGATTTGGACATACCGAAGATCATCAGCTCATCTGCCTTGACATTGTAGGGCCGAGCTGAGGAGAAGCGTTATGGAGAATCATCCGGTTCGGAAGGAGAAGCTGCCGAAGCCCCAGAGGAGGAATACGATGACGCCAATATGGACGCATCCGGGGAAGAAGATGATGCGGATATGGAGGAACCTGAGGATGATGACGACGACGATGATGAGGATTTCGGAGTCAAGACGAGCAAAAAGAAGAAAACCGCCAGTACGGTTCCGAAACGGTCGAGCAAGAAGGCTTCGCCGAATCGCTCGAAAGGTGAATTTCCCACATGCCATCAGAGCATCTGTACCAGTCCGCTCACAACGCCTATATCTTTTCCAGCCGAATCGCCTGCTGGTCAATGGAAATCCAAGAGCAACAAGGTCGAAGCGTCCGAGGATGAAGATTTTGGGAAAAAGGTTCATCGAAAACGAAACACTGGAGCCAGCAAGACCAAGCGCGCCTCGCGTGTATCGTCCGTCTTTACCAACGGCTCCGATTCGGAAGCCTTCAAGTTCAGTAGGACCGGCAAACAGGTCAACTACAACGAAAAGGAGGTGGACTACGGGCTCGGGGAAAGCGAAGACGGCGAGGACGAAGTGCGGCCCAAGGCGAATGTCGATTTTGAGGGAGCCGAAGCGGACGAGATCGAGGGAGTGTTCGGGTGGTCGAGGGATGAGAGCAGGATGGATGATCCGGTCGATTTGCCATTCGAGAACATCGTAGGTCCCGCTCTTTGGCCATCTGCCTCGATACACACTTGCTCAAAGGAAACGTCTCCCCTCTTGGTAGCGCTTCCACATCAAGTGGAAGTTCTTCTCTCACTTGCACAACACCGACGAGCTCTATTCATTCTGTAAAGCGGAAAACTACCGCGGTTTCAAGCGACTAGACAACTACATCAAGTCCACGTTTGCCTACGAGCAGCGTATCCTTCATCCCGGACCCAATGATTACCAACCGACGAGAGAGGACATGGAGAACTTCCACATCGAACGGGAACGCAAAAAGGACGAGCTAGAAAGTTGGCGAAACGTCGAACGTGTGGTGGCTACAAAAATCGACAAGAAGTCGGGGTTGAGGCAATATCTTTGCAAATGGACTGGCCTGCAGTATCACGAGTCGACATGGGAAAACGAGCAAGATATCAAGGAGCGGAACCAAACGGAAATCGACGAGTACTATAGCCGTCAGCGCAATAGTCGCAAACCCTGGGAGTCTGCAGTCTACGCTCCTGGACGCAGGCCTGCTTACAAGAAGATACCGGAGATGCCCGAATATCTGAAACCGGGTGGTGAACTGAAAGAATTCCAGCTGACCGGGTTGAACTGGCTGGCGTATTCATGGGCGAACGAGCAGAATGGTATCTTGGCAGACGAGGTGAGTGGTAAATAGGCACAGCGAGTCAAAATCGCGACTGACCGACCTCCTATACTATTCAGATGGGTCTCGGGAAAACCATTCAATCGGTTTCGTTCCTGTCTTACCTTTACCATCAGATGAAACAATACGGTCCATTCCTGGTTGTCGTTCCGCTTTCGACCATCACCGCTTGGCAGATGCAGTTCAAGAAATGGGCTCCATCCCTGAACGTCATCTGCTACATGGGTTCTGGGCCTTCTCGAGAGATCATCCGTCAACACGAATTCGGTCCCGTGAAGAAACTCAACTTCAACGTCTTGCTGACGACCTACGAATTCATATTGAAGGACCGAGCGGATCTTTCCATGATCAAGTGGCAAGCGCTTGAAGTTGACGAAGCCCATCGCCTCAAGAATAGCGAAGCTCAACTTTACGAAGCGCTGATGAGCTTCTCGACCGCTTCGAGACTCCTGATCACGGGGACACCTCTTCAAAACAACGTCAAGGAGCTGCTTGCCCTGATGCACTTTCTTTCGCCGGAAAAGTTCGCGTTGGCCAACGACTTTGAGCTGAACGACGCGGATCAGGAAGCCAAGATTCGAGACCTGCACGGCAAGCTCGCGACCTTGATGTTGCGACGACTCAAGAAGGACGTCGTCAAGGAGATGCCAACCAAGTCGGAGCAGATCCTGCGAGTCGAGCTCTCTCCTCTGCAGGCCCAGTACTACCGAAACATCCTGTCTAGAAACTTTCAGGCTCTGAGTAAAGGCGGAACTCAGCAGGTCAGCCTGATGAACGTGGCAATGGAGCTGAAGAAGGCTTCGAATCACCCCTATCTTTTCGACGGAGCCGAGCCTACGAGCGACGTCAAGGAAGACATCTTGAAAGGGATTGTGATGAATTCGGGCAAGATGGTCTTGCTGGACAAGCTGCTTACCCGATTGAAGGCGGATGGCCACCGTGTTCTCATCTTTTCCCAGATGGTCAGGCTCTTGGACATCATGTCGGACTACATGAGCTTCCGGGGATACATCTTCCAGCGTCTAGATGGAACGGTCCCATCCGATATTCGAAAGAAGTCGATTGAGCACTTCAACTCGCCTGGCTCTCCGGACTTTGCTTTCCTGCTCTCGACCCGAGCAGGAGGTCTCGGTATCAACCTCGAGACGGCGGATACCGTCATCATCTTTGATTCCGACTACAACCCCCAGAACGATCTTCAAGCTATGGCTCGTGCGCACCGAATCGGACAGAAGAACCATGTCAGCATTTACCGATTCGTCACAAAGGGTACCATCGAGGAGGACATTTTGGAGCGGGCTCGTCAGAAAATGATCCTCGAGTACGCCATCATCAATCAAATGGACACCGCTGGATCGCGGTTCGGGGCAAAACCCGTCGCTGCCAAAGCGAATGAACCGTTCTCCAAAGACGAACTTTCCGAGATCCTCAAGTTTGGAGCTCAAAGCATGTACAAGACCGATGATACGCAACAAGCCCAAAAGCTGGAGCAGATGGATCTTGACGATATCCTTGGCAAAGCAGAAAACCACGAGACAGAGGCGACTGCGGAGGCCGTCGGAGCATCTTTAGGTGGTGAAGGTTTCCTTTCACAATTCGCAGCCATCCAAGATGTCAAGAACGACCTTTCTTGGGACGACATCATCCCGCTATCAGAAAGAGAAAAGCTGGAGGCTGAGGACAAGGAACGCGAACGTTTAGCTCAGGAAGCGGAGCAGCAAGTCCGAAAACGCACGGCTGCCCCCGGGCCCGGTGCTTACGAGGGCATGGATCATCAACAAGACGAGGAACCGACGAAGCCGACAACGTCGAGCAAGAAGGCAAAGAAGGAGGCGGCCGTGAAGAAGTCAAAGGAAGAGCAGTCGAAGGAGCTGAAAGGTGAGTTTTCGAGGTTTGCATTAAGTTCTTCTCATACTCACCGGTACATCTCGGTGTTTCAGATCGCGATATCCGTGCCTTGGTGAAGGGAATCCAGAAGTGGGGTGACATTACCGTTCGCTGGAAGGAGATCGTAAGTAATACAACACAATGTGATGCTCCCCTCCCACTCATCGCAGTGTTCGGCTTTGCTACAGATTGAAGAAGGAAAGCTCAAAGAAAAGGACTTCGATGTGCTCGTTGAGGCGTGCAAAGACTTGGTAAAGCAATGTGAAGACAAGATTCTGGAGACCAAGAATCAGCTGGCCGAGATGGCACGAAATGGGGAACCCATCAGCTCGGCTGCCAGGCAGAAGGCGATCTTGATCAACTTCCGAGGGATCTCTGGTATCAACGCGGAAACCACGACCACCCGTTGGCACAACCTCCGCTTCCTGCATCAACACGTTCAGAAGAGCACCACTTTCCAAGAGGATATCGGTGCATGGCGGATTCCCAACGATTCGCTCAAGGCTACTCCTCATTGGCATGTCGAATGGACCCAGGTCGATGACGCTCATCTGTTGGCGGGTGTTTACAAACACGGCTTTGCAAGCTGGGAGGCTATTCAGGCGGTAAGTAGCGCCGGCCACCGGTCCGAGCTCAGGTCAAGGCTCATTTCCCATACACCTCCCAGGACCCGATCTTCGATATGAAAGACAAGTTCTTCCTCGCCGATCCTAAAACCGAGAAGAGAAAGGAGCAACAAGCCGCCAAGGCGGCGGGTGAGGCAGAGTCCGAAGCGACACCAGGAGCAGCCCCGGCGGCGACGAGTCCGGAACCAACCGAGAAGAAGACAAGCAAGAAGACTGTTCCGAATGCCATCCATCTGGTGCGACGGGCAGACTATTTGAGTCAGTATTAAGCAAGTTCCACGTTCTACCTCCAGCTGCTGATGGATTTCATGTCGTACAGGTGGTGTGGTGAAAGAGTACGAGGAAAACTACGAGATCTACATGGCGCAGCAATCTCGAGCGAAGGAGGTATCGCAACAATTTTCCGGAACACCGTCAAACGCAATCGCATCGAGCTCGAAGCCGAGGATCGCTTCGAAGCCCAAACCAACCAAAGGGACGCCCAAGGCGAGGGGAACTACGCCGACGTGGACTGAAAGTGAAGATGATGGCTAGTAAGTGCGAGGACCGCAATTTGACCTTCTAGTACTGATTAGATACCCTTGCATTTTTCAGTGACTCTATGGACGAGAAGCAATGCAAAGAGGAGATGAGACCGGTCAAGACGCAGCTGCGCAAGATGAAGACGGGGACGGATCACTTGCAACGGGAGGAAAAGCTGGCGGCGCTCAAGCTGTGTTTATCGGCCATTGGCCATCGGATAGAACAGGTAGCAAAGGAGAAAACCGAGCAGGGATTGGACGGGGAGAAGTGCCGGAAGCATTTGTGGATGTGAGTTGGGTCGCAGTGCTAGCCCGTTTCCCGCGATCATTGGGCTGATCGCGTTAACATTCGATTTGCAGCTTTGCGGCCTTCTTCTGGCCGAGAGGTCATGTCGATTGGGTCAAACTGCAAGCCATCTACAACAAGCTGACGGTGGTTCCCGTGAGTTCGCTTCTCGTATCATCAGAATGTAAACCGAAGTAGAGTGCTTATTCGACGCCCTTATCCATAGACGTCGAACGATGGCGCAAATGGGTCAACCGCTGGTGCCAGCAGCACAGCTGCCACGTCGTCGAAGAAGAAGAAACCGGCCAAACCTGTCGTCAAAGCCGAACAGCCGGCACAAGAAGGTCCCGCTCCCAAGAAGATCAAACTCATCCATCATCCTTACTCTGCGGTCGCAGCGGCTCAGCCGCAAGTCCCCTCTCAATACACTGCATTCGCCACCAACCTGTCCCCTGGAGTCAAGAAAGAAGCCTCCGAAGTCAAGAAGGAGGTTCCTGAAGTCAAGGAGGCGTCCGACGTCAATATGGAAGACGAGCCGAAATAGATGGCGCAATCGTTACACTTCCTGATGTCCCATCATCATCGCATTGTCTACCATTGATCAGCAGCTGCGGAAATACGCGCTTGTACGATAGAATATGTTACAATCCACCCTTGTTGGCAAGTCTAGTCCGAGCATCGCCTATCGATTCGGACGAACGTGCTCTTCCTCTGCCTCTACTGCCCTCCTTTGCTCAGATTGGCTCACCGAAACGGAGTTCTTTCGATGGAAAGGAGGGGGATCGTCGTTTCGCGCGTGTATCCACCAAGGGAAACAAGGTTTCGAATGCGCCAAGATGAGGTGGATCATGAGACGCCAAAGGGTCCTTTGGCTTGATTGAAGCGAGCGGCAGTGGCGAGAAGTACCTTTGTACCTTTGCATTCGTTGTCTTCGCCACAATGAATCGGAGTTGGCATCTCGAAAATGGGGTTGGATCCACCGTCAACGATTGGTCATTTCGAATCGGAAATCGACTGCGATTGGCCCGGCGAGATCGATTTGGTCACGAGATCATGCAGTGCTATCATCGTACGATCTCTGAGGTGAATCGGGGCGAAAATCAAGCTGATTGCATAGCTCCACAGCTCTTCAGAACATGTATATATACCTGCCCATCTAGAGGAATTCCCCTTTCTACTCATCGTACTCTAGTCTCTCCTTTCTCAATTTATTACACCTTACCAAACTTCCACCCCACCCTCACCAAACCAACCTCCAACCACTTCACGATGCAAGGATCTATCCAACTCGTCAACCAAGCCTGCTCCTGCGCTCAGGTTCGTACCTTTCCCTACGGCGATTCCGCTGTGCCATTCTGCCTCTCGCCCTCGACATCAGTGCTTACATCCGCACGTTCTTCTCGACATAGGGATGCCAAGCCGCCTGCTGCTCCTCCAACGGCGGCGGTAACTGCAACTCTTGCTCCTGCTCCCACTAGACTCGCGATTGGACGGCCGACTCGGAACAGTTTCCAGGTGAGCATTCGAACGATTCTCAATTACCCGTTCGACATTGTTAATTGACTCCACGCGTTTCGTGTCGACTTAGACCACCTCGGAATCCCTGTCTCCCTGAAACGCCTCTCGCATGTCGAAATGATCGGACGCCCTACTCTCTCTTCTCCACTTCAGCACGAAACTCACGATTACTTCACGATGGAAATGAAAGATGAATACGATAGATGGATGAACGTTCGGACGACGGAAACGTAGCTCGGATTGTAAATCTGGATGTCTTGTTCATGCTCTGGGATGACGATTTTGATGTTGTTTTCTTGAAAAAGCCTGACGAATGAGCGACCGGACTGTGTGTCCGGTGCGATACATTATGCTGAGAAAGAACCTATGCGACTGAAACTGGTGACCACCCTCTGCTTCGATACGATCGTGTATCACGATTCTCTCCTCCTCTTTCCTCGTTGAAGTCCCTCGTGCGACGACTCTTACTTGGGCGGCGGACATGCACCAACCGGAGGTGGTGCTTCGCCAGCCGGTCTTGCCAACACCCTAATCGTTTGTACCGACGTGTAAATGGTCGTGATGACACCAAAGGCCAACAGAGCGATGTCGAGGGCCTTTTGTGTTCTGGTTCGAGCCCGTCCCTTCAAGTGCAGCATGGGCGGGTAGATGAAACACAAGGGTACGCTGCGGCGAGGATAGCTCCTATAAGCTGCCTGCGATTATCGCCACGGTTCCTGATTTGACTCACCAAGCGAAAGAGCCGATGAAGCTGACGAAACCGTCCAAGTTGGAGGCACCGGCCCAAGAGATCAAGGAACACAGCAGCACGATACCAGCTCGGAAGATGTTCTTCTCCCACTTGACCTTGGGGTCGTGCTTGCCAGAGCGGACAAAGAGACCGTTCTCCCAGATTCGGACAGCGGGGAACAATTGAAGTGGAAGACTACCATCGATGTTCAAGAATCAGCATTGTGTTTGTTATAGACATTCGCAGGCGAGTGACTGACCTCAAGACGATGGCGATAGTATAGAGGAACTGCACCACCTGCACGAACTTGTCCTCCTGAGGCAGATTGACGATAACAACCGTCTGGATGTTGGATCCGTAAGCTGCATAGCCCATGACACCGAAGCCAGCAAAGAGGGCAGCAACACCGATCATGACGCCTGTCAAAACCTTGGGGAACTTGTGAGGCTCCTTCATGGCTTCGGTGATAGGAATCAGCCTAAGATGTGAGTGTTCGCGTGTCAGCTCTAGATTAAAGTTGATAATGTCTGCCTCATACGAGACTTACAAGCCGATACCTTCGAAGGCGAACACGGCGGTTCCGACCATGAGGGAAAAGTCCTTTGCATTGAACAGCTGGACATCGGCCACGCCATGCTTGGCGATTGTGGCTACTTCGTTCGAACCGATGTAGATGACTGCGAAGGGGAAGCAAGATGAGTCCTCTGTGCAATGCAGGAGCCTTCCCTCAAGCAAGACTTACGTCCGACCAGGATAAAGGCATCGGCGATCAAGGCGGTCGAAGACAAGGCGGCCAAGTTTCGGAACAAGCTCAGAGGCAGAACAACCAGCAGCTGAGCGGCGATGAGGTATTTAATCGGGATATGTTGCTTGCACTTGGTCACTCCAAGGACGAAGGCTTGCAGGTTCTCGGCAACGAAGATGGTATAGGCTGAATACGGGAAAGACAATCAGAAGGAATTTGACAATATAAGGAGAACAGTGAGACTTACCGCAGACGAAACCGATTTGTGACAGGGCGATCGAGGTCAGGATGACCTGGCGGAACCAGTTTCCATAAAGCGTGCCACCCATATCTGGAACACAACTTGATGAGAAACGGGGTATGCTTGAAAGCGCGAAAACCTCTCTGGCTCACCTCCGAAAGAACCGGGAATGACCAGCCGGGTCTTGACCAACAACAGGAAGGACCAGAGCGAAATAGCCGCGATACCGAGCATGACGATCGTCGAGAACAATATTCCTCCATTGAAGAAGCTGGTAAAGGCAGTTGTCAATCAATACAATCAATATCAAGTCACAACCGAAATCTCGTAGAAGAGATGGGTATCAACTTACGCTTTACCCAAGAATAGGACTCCCGTTCCGACGAAACCTTTGAGCAACTATAGCAGACATCCTCTATCAGAACCACTGATCCTATCGGACGATCTTGCCGACACATGGCCACACTCACCATCAAGACAGCTTGCCAAACAGTGGCGTCCCCAGTCTTTCCCACGCTCTTGCCCCTCTTCATCCTAGCCACGCTCCTGCCCCTCGTCTGGTCCCTCAATAGAGGCGCACGTTCCCCCATGGCCTCGGTCTCTTGCCTGGTGAGCTGTCTTTGACGTAGTCCGGCAGAGACCTCCTCAGGATGAGCCTCTTCGTCCAGGTCCATGTCGTCTTCGTCCTCGTCAAGGTCTTCACCCGCCTGGGTGACGGGGGAGAAGGCGAACACGAAAATCAACTCGGTGTCTATGACCTCTGCCAAGCAAATTTTTCTGGCCACTTACGAAATGTCCGTACAAGAACAAGAAATCCACAAAACTCCTCAGGACGACCGGCTGGTCTTCCCCCCTCTCGACAGCTCGATGGATTACATAGTGTCGTCTCATGCCGCCGGGTTCGTGCAACCTCTGGAGGGAAGGGTCGAGGTCCCTCTTCAAACTCGAGTCCCGCTGGACGGCCGAGAGGGAGAGGGAACGTCGGTTGGAAGGGATCCCTCCGTGCGTCTGCTGGTACTTGTAGATGCCGTGCCTGCGAGGTCGTCGGAAGTTGTAATTTTGTGAGTAAGGCCACTTCTGGGAGGTGACAATAGGAGCAAACTTACGTGACATCTCCACCCAGAGCATCATAAGGCATCGGAAACACGTCCTGCGACTCCTCCTCTTGTAACCTCATACTCCCCTTCCTGCTCGACCTCCCCGTCATCGTTCCCGATTGCTGAATCTTCGAAGTTCCCGCCTCGTCCTCGTTCAGGACGACGGTATCATTAGGAACGTTCAATCCAGAAGCGTTCCTGAATTCGGGCAAGAGCGACCCTGATCTGTTGCTCGATTTCCTGCTCTTCGACCCTGCTCCTTCTGCACCCCCCTGAGCTTGAGACTGCATGATCGAGCCCCTGGGCGTCTCGTGATCCACGACGCTCCCTCGTCTAGCTTCCCCAGCTTGTCTCTCTTCGGCACTGACCAGGTGTCGCCTCAAGATCCGTATTTTTTCTTCCTCCGGGATCTCCTCGATCTGGGTCGGGGTGACCACGTGGGAAGAGATTCCACTTTCGCCCGGGTTGTTAGGGTTGGATGCGGTCTGGTTCTGGTTCTTCGTGCTGTTGGAAGAGATTTGACGAGGAAATGGAGGAAGGGGCAGGTCGGCCCGTTTCTTGTCCTGTTTCCCGGTATCGTCTTCTGCCTCGTTAGACCCGGCTGGGGACTTGTCTTTGCCATTGTCTTCCCTAGACCTGATCGACCTGGACCTTCCCGACCTTCCCCTCTGCTCCTCCTGCTTGTCCTGTTCATCCCCCAATCTAGCACTCAATGCAGAGACCTTCCCACCCGCTTCTCCTGCACCTGCCGGGTCCCTCTTCTCCCCCAGACCCAAATCCTTTCCGGTGGAAGAAGAAACTGCCCGATCCTTCTGCCCCTGTGCCGGAGATTCACCGCCTTCCAACCCCTTTCGTCGATTGTACGAAACACCCAGTTCTCCCCTTTCCTGCATGGACCCGACCAAGCTCCTGGGTCTGAACGAAGTTCCGAACGGCGAGTCCTGGTTTCTCAGCGGGATATTAGGTACGGGCGGGCTGGCGATGCCGATCCCGATAGGTCGAGTGGAAGGAGAGGCGTTGGCGGAGGTCGCTCCTGCCTGAGGGGCCATGTTGGAGTTGTTGGGCACGATGGGTTGAGAGGCCGTAGGTGTGGTATTTGATGACGACGACATTATGGAGGATATGCGACCTTGATGATGTGATGGCGAGTCGGACCCTTTGTATGCGGGTTTCGTCCTGGAGAGCGTCGACGCTGATGTATCGTCTAGAGCTGCTCAGATATAGTCCCTAGGTTGACAAGTAAGACGGTAATACCTATCTGGTCTGTCTAGCTGTCGAATACGACCCTGTGATGCAACTGTGATGAACCCAAAACAAACTCTCCGAGCGAGCGAGCGAGCGCTTGCGCCGAGAATACTGCATGACGCACATGGGTCGATTCGACGGATCAACAACCGAATGACGGTCAGATCCGCGGATCACGACGTCCACAACATGATGTCGTTGTCATGGACGACGATGGGAACGATAATGTATACAACCTCAAACCCCCCCTCCCCTCTTCCTCTCCGCCTAGCCGTCTACCGCAACATCCCTCCATCGTAAATCGGCTCGTCCTCGTCCTCATCCGTGCTACTCTCACTAGCCAACATATACCCCCCTCGCGCTTCCTCCTCGGCGTCCAGCTCCATGTCCTCCGATTCATCTTCATCGTCGTTGCTAGACCCTCCGTCTTCCAGCCTAGGCGTACCGGATCCGTTGGGCGAGGTCATCACCGGCGGCGTACCAGGATCAGGGGATAGCCAGCGTGATAGCCTCGACCTTCCCCCTCCTGATCCCGACCTGGATCCCAAACCTAGCCCTAGCGCGTCATCTTCCCCCTGTCGAGGCTGAGGCTGGTGCTCTTCCGTATGGTCTGTAGCTCGACCGAGTTTGAAAGTAGGCAACCTCCCAAGTACGGTCGGAAAGGTACTGCTCCTCTGTCTCGGAGACCCAATGTCCCCTGTGGTCTTCCCGTCATTGCTACCAGCCGTCATCGTGGTCTCTCGGTCGCCCTCTTCCTCCTCTTCCTCCTCGACCGAAGAAGCATAAGCACCTCCCATCCTCGAAGTCAACAGCTCTTTCAACTCTCTCTGCCTCGCCCGACTCCATGAAGCGCTCCGACCGGTAGCGTGAGAGCCGAATTCCATGTCGGGCGAGGTCGTCTTGTTCCTCCGTCGCCGCATCGAGGACGAGGTCGAGGAGATGTGCGGCACGCTCGAGTTGGAGTGACGGGTGGCGTCGGCGTACGAGATGGGCTCCGTCGTTTCCCTCCCTTGTCGACCTCCCAGACCCGTCTCGTTCGAATCTGACTGCTGTTGCTGCTGCTGACCTTGAGCAGTCCGTCGTCTGAACTTGGATCGAGTGGCGAATCCAACCTCGGCATCGCTCTCCAAGGGAATGAACGGTGTCCTGTTCTGGGAAGATCTCTCGGAAAGACCGTCAGGCGGGCTCGTCGATCGGTACGGAGACGTCTGGTCCGCAGCGTCCTTGGCCTTGTCCCGTTTCTTGGAAGCCGTCTGTTCCCGAGCAGCCTTGTGCAACGCGTGTCGGACTTCGGCTCGGCCTTTCAAGACGCTCCGCTGTGATCGTGAATGGTGTTAGCTATGCATGCGACATGTCTGCCTCACGAAAGCCTTAACTCACCTCGACTTTCAGCCGATTCTCAATCATGTGGAGCTACGGTCGTGAGGCGGAAGGCATACAATCAGCGCTGAAAATTCGCAAGCCAGTACCTGGTTGACATTGGACATACCGTAGGCCATGCGACTTGCTGACCGACTCGCATCATTCGATCCAGCTCTTTCCGGTCGGGATCGTTCAGTAAGCGGAACCAGTCCTGGGAAGGTCCATATCGCCATCAGCCTCTCGTTGACTGAGATCGTATACGTCGCAACCTACCAATATTCGGGATTTGGGGAGGATCGTCACACTTCCAGCAAACCGTTGCAAGAATACGGAACTCCAGTCACTACCTAGAAGTTGGGGCATGAGCTCGAGGTCCCGGATGACCTGGAAGAGATGAACAACGGAATGAGCTACGGAACACGTTTGATCGACGGGGTTGACATCCTACCTTGAAGTTCTTGGTCAACTCGAGCTTGAGGTACTGCTCGGCTGCCGACAAGAGGAATCCACCCCGCCAGCCTGTAAAGATATCGCTGGTCAGCTCATGCCGATGTACATCAAGTATAGCGAGCTCATTTTTCACCTTTGCCTTTCCGATGCGAGACGGGCGAACCGACTGAGCCCCTAGGTGCGAAGAAGAATACTGCCGTGCGATTCGTTGTCAGGATACATCGAACGAGCTATAATCTATTGCGACGTACGGTGAACGTGCGGGTTTGCTGTAAAAGACGCACAAGCTCAGCAACATGCTTCAGCCATTATCCCCGACTTTGCGCTTACCCTGAGAAACAATCGCGTAATTGACATTGAAGAGCAAATGCAAGCTCTCCAGGGGAATGTCAACTCGCAGACTCCCGTCCTTGAATTTGCTTCCGAAGTTCATCGGTCGAAGATCCCCAGCTTTGGTTTTTTGCATCAACACGACACCAGGCAAGATTCCCGGTACCGCAGCCGAAGCGACTGCAAGGAACAGAGTCAGCAATCATCAGCAGCCATGAGGGAGAGACCGGCTACTCACTGATAGCGGACCAGATGACGCAATCGGGTGCTGTCAAATGGTTCAAGAGCTTTGTGGGCGAATGCTGATCATGAGGGACAACCGAGATGTTGAGAGCTCTTCCGGTACGTTCGTATGCCTCGCGAAACGTCATGGAACCGCGTGTGAAGAACGTAGCCTGCAGGAACAGTTTAGTATCGATGCGGTGGGGGGATGCGTTGCATCGGACTGACCTTTTTGGCCCATTCGACTGGACTGAAACGAGCTCCAGTCTTCCATACTCGCTTAAGCCAGACACTGTCGTACACAAATGATCAGGACCATACGCGATCATCACGATCATCACGACGGCACTCACAGAAGGCTATCTTCGCAAGCCGTGATACGATCGGCTAGCTCTGGGACGAGCAACTCCCTCAACTCGTCGTCCGTCCTCGTACACACCAGCGCGGCCACGATACCCCCGGCACTCGTTCCGGTGACCACTTTTGGTAACAGGTCGGCTTCGAGGAACGCCTTGACAACTCCAAAGTGGTAATAGCCGAATCCCGCACCGCCAGAGAGACATAAGGCGGAAGCTCCGTAATTCTTGTTGATCGCTCGGTAGAAACGACGTTTGTCGTCAAGGGATAGATCGGGGCTCTCGCGGAGGTAGTCGAGCGAACGCTTGACCTCGTTCACGTATGCTAGATACATCGTCGTTTCAACGGTCTTCTCTGACAGTCATTGTTACAGCCACTTACATTCGATCAGATTTTTGGTGCCGAGAAACGTCTAACAAAGCATGATTCCATCAGAACAAGTTAATCAGAATCAGGCTCCATACTCTGGCTCACCTCGGAATACATCCTCACCCCCTCAACCCCAGCGAAATTGTTCCTCAAACAAATCTCCAACACTCCCATCAACCCCGTCACATCCCCCGCCGACCGCAGGTGGACCAGACTCTTCCTGACCTTCCTGATCAGGGGATAATCGTACTTGGGGTCTTCGTCCGTCTCCTTCCATTCTTGAAACCCGAGTGCGTAGTCCAGCTCGGTCGCCGTGTTCCTCCATTCCTCGTAAGTTGTGGACGCCTTCAGCTTTCGGACGAGTTTGCGTTTACGTCGTTGACCGACGGCTGTGATATATCGACAATCATACGAGATCGGGTGATTCCTTTCATCAGCTGCGGAACGGATTACACTGTGAAGAAAGCGGAAGGCAAAGCTTACATGCAACTGTCCATTCGACACCAGTAACGATTTGTCTAAGAAAGACGTAGAGACCGAACTCGAGGTAGATGAAGAGGAAGATGAGACCCTTGTAGTCGTTGTCGGTATGCAATGGGGGAATGAGCGTAAGCGGTATGAATTTCAAATACAGCGACGTACTAGTAATGGCCACCGAAAGAGATGGTATGAGAAACCAATCTTGGACTGATGCGCAGCAGCCTTGTTACGTCTGTGAGACAGTCATGGTGGCAGTCGGAATATGCAACCAAGCGATGATCCGTGATGTCAGCTTCTGATGATGATTGTCCTTTCGCCACGACCGTGCATACGAATCACATACCGGCTGACCCGCTGATGTACTGGTGCGAAATCGCTCAGACTCTTGATGCTCTCCACCTTTTCCCATCCGTATATGCTCGCCATACTACCTCTCCGTCTTCCAGGTCCCGGACGGTCCAAGCCGGGGCTCATCGTCCCATTCGATTCCTGCTGAGGTACCGGTGCCGGATCTGGGATGAGGTCATTGAGTGCAAGAGCTTCTTGGAACGCCTCGATGTGCTCTTCATTCAGGAAGGTCTCTCGCAGTAGCTCGCCCGCTCTTGAGCTACGTTCCGAGCAGAGCGGCTCGTCGGTGCGTGCCATGATGTCGCACGAAGATGACGCCTGTAGGTCGTAGGGTATCCGCGTCCTTACCGTACCACGATCGGAGTCAACGTCTTTCGAGGTGAAGCATGGAACGTTGTACGCTATCGCCTGTCAGCTTTCTCGCTGTATATCATGTAGTGTCGCATCGTATAGAGTAAACAGGGGGTATGCGATACTGGTGATGATGGTGTCAACGTCATATCGATGCCAAGTCACGTGCGAGGTGGAAATAAGCAAGTATCAATAATAGCTAATAGGTTATTACAAGGACGTTTCACAAATAGCGTCGACCTTTTTTTTTTTTGGGATTTTCGAGTGTCTATCATATCTGTAAATACGTAAAGGAGTCTTGCAGGCATAGAGTGTATAGAGTACCGTATAGGATCGTATCGGGGCGGAATCGTATCTGATTGTTGAGCAGTATGTTCGTATCTGAAAGGTGCGATATCTCCATCTCCGCGCCTGTTCTAAGTTGGTTGTTAATTGTACACCAGACGCCCGTAGGGCAGCCTAAGCGTTGGCTCGATGCTTTGTTGGCGTCGGACCGATCACGATTCGACATCCGAGGTGGAGCCGACGTCGATCATATCGATATCGATAGGATCGTCCGGGGACCCCATATCGAGCATGTCGACAACGATGGGCGCTTCCTGAGATCCAGGTTGCGCCATGTCGACATCAAAGGGGGCTTCCGGAGAACCAGGTTTCGGCATATCGACACCAAAAGCGACTCCCTGATTTCCAGAGTTGTCCTTGGTCTTCAAGGCGCCCTCGACTTGAGCATGAATGGGATCCTCATCGATCTCGATGGGCCTGTTCTGGGATTCAGAGTCCCCCTTCTCGACCTTGATGTCATCGTCAATGGTAACGGTCGGCTTGTTCTCCTTTCCATTGACGGAACTCGGCATCTGCAAAGCGATGACTTGGTGTTGCTGAGGCAGATTGTTCGGGTTACGGAAGCGCTGGAACCAATCTTTCTGGTTGGCCTTCAGTTCGCTGCCTCCAACCTGGTTCGAGAGGACTCTGGCAACGGACCCAGGGTCACGATCGTAAACCTCGCGCTTTGGATCTTCCTCGCCCCAGGCCAGAAGCTCGGCGACAAGCCTGGGAGCGATCACCTCGATCGTTCCGTTTGCTACGGCAACGATGATCTCATGACCTTTAATTACGGCGAAGAAATACTTCTCGTCGTAAGAGAAATCGCGACGAATCTGTCAGGGAGTTGCCAGTAAGAGAAGAGAAAGTCAGTATGTATCGGTGACAAGCTGTAAGCGGACGGAGGGGCGCCCGTACGTACGTTAGTCGCTTGCAGTATCTTCGCTTCCACCTTTTCAAGGGTGAGTTCACGACCGCGACCTTCAGTGAATTTCTTCTTGATGGCGTTCGCAGTCTTGGTCATCGCTGGACAACCTTGCGACTTGGCCTTACGGTCCATCTTATCTTCAAGCTTTTTCCAGCGCTTATTCTGAACGTCCTTCCACTTGTCTCGCATACTGTCCTCGTTCGGTACGACACGGCACCTTTGTTCAGATCCGGTAGATCATTCAAGCCGAACTCGAGCACTCACATAATCCAATGCCATTGGCTCCAGAGTCGTACGCGCTTGTACACCGGCATACTGAAGGTATAGCCAGGCTCTATATCAAACATATCCCTTGAAGACGATAAGAACAGGGACCTCGAACCATACAACCACGAAGGTCACTTACCAAAGCGCGCCGGCAAGGTGTGAGCATTCACTGGCATGATGCTAGACATTTTGGATGGTCTAGTCGTTCAGCTTGTCGTAAGGCAGAAGCTTGCTTTACGCCTGTCGTTGCGATTATGTGATATATGAATGATTAAATGACTATTCTGGTTTTACTAGTATCGAATACCGGTTCGGTTTCTGCATTTCCATGCTCTCTATATATGATTTGGCTGGCCTGACTGGTTAGCATCATGCTTGCCTTTTGAGCTTCTCAATACGTCAGCCATGGGTAGATCGGCGTCGGTGTCGAGATCTGCAGTAGTGTCAATATCTTTTGTGCTTTCGTAGGGATCATAAAGCATGACGACAGCGACAGACGGCTGTTGCCGTAGAGCAACTGGGAGCAACAAGCAACAGGCAACAAGCGACAGGCGACAAGCAACAAGCGCGTTCGGTGATCGCTTAAAACTTCTCGGGGACAATAGCACAAAGGAGGGGTCGGGATCGCCGGTCGTCTACGACTTCTGCTCCCACCTCGAGAGATCGGAGAGAAGCTGAAGAAGACGTCAATTAAGTGAGACAAGATAGATCTTGGGCAACAATCTACTACTAGAAGCTAGAAATAGGATGAAAGATTCGAAGCTGCAAGAAAGTGGCAACGATCGCGCAATAAGTCGCTGCGATCCAGTATAGATGGCGATGTGGTATAGGACATAGGCACATGTCATATATCGGCAGACTGTTCAGTTGGACCGCAAACCCGTCTTCTCTGCTTCTGTAAGCAGGATTTGATCCGTAACGCTAAAAGCAGAATGATCTTACGATCTTTTTCTATTCGACTATTCTGAGTTTGCGCATGCTAAACAATTCCAAACAGTTTCCTTTCGATCGAGCTTCTCCGTTCCCAGAGTGGATCAAAATGATCATCAGACCCATCACTGTTGTCCTGGTTCCGCATTGGGATGACGCTGATGGTTTCTATGCCTGGAAATTCACAATCTGACGACAGCGAAACCGGTAAAACCAGTAGCCTCGTCGCAGATCGCAGAGGTGCAAGCATCTGCTTTGTCTTCTATCGATTGGAAGCTCAGAAGCTAGCAGAGATACAGAGTATCACCCAACGCGCGATTTGAGGCTTTCGTTTCCGGGAATCTCTCCCGACAGGCGCACCGTTTGGTCGGGAACAGTCGGATGGTCATGTATCGATGCGCATATCATATATCAGACTGGTACAACAACACCACCCTTCTTCAGTAATGGCGATATTTATGAATCCCTGCGTATATATGGTTAGCCTAGTGCCCGATCTCCTATATCATTATGCCGCTGTAAGAAACCGTCGTAACGGAAAGTTATGTATCCCTTTATCGAACTTGGCTGATTAAAACTGCTGCGACAATATTCAGTTCGTATTCACCAGGTTCCGACATATTCCTTGTCTTGGATCTTCCTTTTGTCAATCGCGTCGAGGCACTCCTCGTGCTTGACAATCTCCTGACGATGGAATTCAGGGTTTTCTTGCTTGCTAAACCAGTCTTTGGGATCGTTTCTTGCGAGGATGTTTGACAAGACTTTGAAGATTTTGTCAGGGGTGCGGGGATGAACGACCCTGGTTGAGTCTTCTGCGGCCCAGTCTTCAAGATCCTCGGAGAGTTTAAGGCAACACGCAGAGAGAGTACCGGCCTTGTATGCCCGGCGGACGTATTGACCCTTGATCGCGGCAAAAAAACGCTGTTCGTCCTCGGTGAAGGAGCTAGGGCCCTGCGTAACATTGAAACAACGTCTCGGTAAATGAATGATAAGGCAAGAAGTCAGCCCACTCACTCGGCCGGTCAAGACAGCTAGTTGAGCGACCTGGTTGAACTTCATACGGTTGTCTCCGCTTCCGACTCTCCTAGCGATATCGCCGGCGGTTTTGGTCTGCTTCGTATCACCGAGCTCCGCAGCTTTAGCGTCGAATAAGTCTTCAAGTTCGGCCCATTTTGCTGGGACGACTAGCGAGTGATAACGATCTTTGACACTGATGAGTAAAGGGATAGAAGCGAAGTTTCGTATGAGATGCGTTCCTTCGAAATGCGAAAGAGAGGACTTGCATTCGCCAATGCCACAGCTTCCACCCCGGCGTTCTTTGGACTGACCAGTCCAGGTCCGACCGAGCTACGCACAACCCGATTTTCAGCTCGCTATCTCTCTATCCGCTAAACAGCAAGACCGACTCACCGTGCCGAACCCTCCTGCTTTTCAAGCTGGTCCGTTCGGTAGTAGTCGGAGTCATCGTTGTGAGCGAAGCGACGGGTGGGTAGGTGAGTAGATCTGGAAGTGAGAGGAGGTCGAGGTGAAGGGACGAATCTAGTGTTTGAGGCGAAGGTTCGAGTTGAGGAGGGGTGGTAAGTTGTCTTCGTTCGAGGACGAGCTGCTATATATTATATATCTTATTCATTCAGGCTTCTCGGAAGATACCAATCTCGAGATGTTGGTAATAACGATCGGCGCAGCGCCGCCCTTATTGTTCGTGGATGATTTGATATCGTCAATAAACATGGTACGATCGTAATCTATGAGAAGCACGAACAGCCAAAGGAGGTGTTACTGCATCTTTCGGGCGGGCGGTTTGCGTTTTGAAACAGTACTGGTAGTCGTTTTCTTCGATTTCGACAATTCATTCTCCTGTTTCACAACCGATTCGACTGTTTTTGCAGTCACCTGATCAGATGTATCTTGCACCTCCACGATGTCCATCGGATCGTCGGCCCGAGGTGGATCGTCGGTCCCGCCATTTCGATGATCGTCGATCAGCTCCACTTCTTCTAATGCTTCTTTCCGTCCCTGAAAACAAGCTTGCGCCCATCCTTCCACTTCGTCCATTAATCCGTCTGCTACCTCGACATGACCCAGATCGTCGCGAGTCCCCTCGAAATCGAGAAATGCGTCGTGGTCGGAACTCCATCGGTAGGCGCCTTGTAGTACATTCTCGATCGCCCGATAAGCGTTCTTCGATGCGTATGGGATGTGAGTGGCTGGATGTCGATACGACGCCATTCTGCCGGTAAGGGGACATATCGGTTTTCGTCTGGCTGTAGGTCGACAATTGGTGTCAGATTGACCGTACAGCAGAAGCGACCGATATCACTCACTCTGAAATCGATTCCTGGTGCTGACTACCGGCACTCGCGTCCAATCTATGTGATCTCCGAGTATGACATCCATCTCTGCTTTCAATCCTCCTCGGATCTCTTCTAGAACGAGGTAATTTCGAGTAAAAGGTCCTGCCTGCCGATTTTCGGGTGAGACGCCAGTCGTTTCGGCCGGAATGGCGTGGTCTGAGGATTCAGGTAAATTCTCATTCTTTTGCGCGTTTGCTGCCCCCGGTGGAATTATTGAAGGAGATGACGAAGATGCAACGGGAAGGACGGCCGGAGTGACTTCAATAGGTACCCCTGCCAGACTGGCCGGTGGGACAGGTGGCCGGGCCTCCTGGTTTGATGATGGCTTTATCACCTCGATCATGTCACCCTGAGGCAGACCCGCTGCCACCGAGCCAGACGGCTTGGAGGCCACCTCGATCGTATCTCCCTCCTGCTTCTCTGCCAGGCCCGCTTGAGCCTCTCCGTCAACCTCAACCACCTCGACCCCCTCCACCCGGCTAATCCACCTGATTCTAGGTCCTTCCACGACCTTTCTCTTTTCCTTCGACTTCAACCGCCTCTCTTCTTCCTTTTTCAACCAGTCTTTGAGGCTCTCCCTATTCTCTTCTTCACGTTCGAGGGCGAGGGCGATCAGGTCGGCTTGGGTAAGTTGTCGGTTCGGATGAGGTTTTCGGGGTCCGCGAAGAGGATGGACGGCCTGTAATAGTTCTCAAGACAGATCAGTATTCATCCCAGATGACTGAAAATATGCAAGTATGGGTCGCGGCCGGCTCACCCGTCGAGCCAACTCCTCCTGAGCCCTCTCATCGACCTCGTCCCGGAGGTTTCTGGTAGAAGCCCTTAGAGCGCTCCTTCTCACTTCACCCTGAGCGGTCTTTCTTCCCAGACCCCCTCGACGTCCTCTAGAGATCTTCCAGGCGGTCTCTTCCACCTCGTCTCCATCTTCCTCTCCTTCTTCACCCGAAGAATCTTGGTCTTGGTCTTGTTCAGCCTGTTCCGATGGAGCGACGATTGTCACACGACGTCTTTTGGCGTCCCTTTCCTCCTTGTTCCCGTCATCGTCTACGATGTCCTCGGTAACCTCCACTAAATCCGGCTCGCCAGTGGTCCTCAATCCCCCGGCGACCTTCTTCTTCTTAGGTCCCTTCTTCAAGTAGGCCAACGGATCATGATACCCTTTCCCCTTTCTCTTCTCCTTCTGGTTCTGCGTCCGTTCTTCCCTCCTTAGACGTTTCTCCAGGGTGGTCGGATCCAGCTCGTCCGCCACAGCCTCATCGTCTGTCGATGCGAAGTCGTCGTCGAAGACGTCTTTCTGTTCAACTACGGGGTTGAAGTACAGAAAAATGTCAAGTTCAGTTTCATCAAGACCAACTCCACGCTTGGTCAGGGAATCTTTGGCAGCGTACGGTTGTCCTCGAAGTCGTTATCGTCCTCTACCTCTTCGAACCCTTCCTCGGCGTTCAGCGTATGGGCCTTGTCCAGTAAAGCCCGTAATCTGCAAACGAGACATCCGAAACGGATTGTCAGAGGTACAGAACCCTAGATATTAAGAAAGGACACCCCTCGGCTCACCGGTTTCCTGCCGTACTTCGCTTAGCCCTGCCGAGGACGAGCGAGTCTTCAGCCGACATAGCTGCAGTTCTATTTATTGGCCGAGAGTTCTTGGTAGCTGTCGAATTGCTGCGTTCCCCGTCAATCTATAGTCGTGGAGTCATCGGATAATGTTGCTGTTTCCTGTCCATTCTATATCTGCTATAGTTGGTGACCATGTCAGACGGATAGCAAGCTAGGCGGCGAGCGTCAATCGTCATACCTGATATCCCTGCTCGAGATCTGAGAGCACCGAATCTCTATATAGGCGTACTATAGCTGTAGGATTTGAAGTTGGTTTCGAGGTTGAGGTCCGGATCGGACAAAAGTAGTGAACCCCGTCAGTCAGTCGAACGGACGACCCCGCGAGTCTGGAGGTCGAGTGCCAAAATGACGCCTGCCATTTGGCTGAGGGTGAAAGATATAACGACAGATATCTCATGCACAGCTGGGGTCACAGGTACAAAAAGGCTGGTCCAATTGACTCTTATCCTTTCCCCTCCTTCTCCTCAAACCCACTTCCAGCTAGCTGGTCAGTGAGCCAAGTGATCATAAGAGAGTAGTTTTCGGAGTGCGTGTTTTACCACTACACCATTACTCACGGATTGTTGATGCCGCTGCTTAGCACCAATATGACTAGTAGTTGCCGCGCGAGAGAGGAGTAGCAGTTACGGCAGCAGCGGGCAGACGATCATCATCAACTATCCATCCATCCAAAGTGCAAAGACCTTTCAGCTACGTAGCTACTCTCTCGACCATCCTACATCCACATCTTCAAGCTAGAAAGATAGTCCAGGCTACCATTTGCACCAGAAGAACGAGACTTGTTCAAGATGGTGCGTCCCATGTCCTACGCGGCCAAGTCAACCTGACGATATTCAACGACCTACCCTCGATTTGTACTCGCATTCAGGCAACGAGTGATAAAGTCTTGGGCACGATCATGCTCGCCGTAGCAGCATTCGTCTTCACCTACTACACCTTTTGGGCGCTCCTCACGGTCGGTCAATACACGATTACAGGTAGAAGCGTGCTCGCCAAGCTGATGAGCTCTTCACTCTGTGTTTCCCGGTTGTCGTCATAGCCCTTTCTGTCACCAACCTCACCCCTCCTGGCCTTGTTCCCGCCTCGGGAATACGCCGTCGCCTTTCCAGCCATCCTTGTACTTGTCGGGGGATCAGGAGTAGCAGCGTTCATCGGGAGAGTGATGATGAAGGAAGCCAGGAAGAGGAGGATCAGGGAGGGAAAGGCCGCATGATCTGGATAAAGGGGGAGGGACTTGCGATTGTGACGCAAAGGCTCGAGCCGGGAACCATGGACACATTCTTCGAGATTTCTGGCCCTCCGTGGCTCCCATCGTCAAGCTTTCATCTATGGATCATGAGCTGGTACAACACTCCGAACAAACTTGACGAGGTACATCCGGCTCGCCCAATTCAGGATTGCCAGGCGATCAAGGCCTGCGCCACAGCCTGTGCCCACCCTTGATCCCCCTCGACCACCTCCCTCGCCCAAGCCAAGCTTTCCAGCCCGTCTTTGATCATCCTCCATACCTTGTCTTCGAGAATCCCTTTATCGTTCCAATACGCCCGGGTCGTACTCAGCGCGACCAACAATACGCATATATTGCTCTTGATCTCCGTGGGTAAAGGCTTCGGAGCAGTTCGCGGTTCGGGCTGTCCGAGCAGGTCGTCTACAGTCTCGGTCGTCGGTCCATTCAGGGTCGATCCTTGGAGGCGGTCCATAATCTTGGTTGCTGTCTCCTCCACAAAGACATGTGCAGCGACCGTGTACACTGCCATTGTTTGGGTGGGATCAGCGTAAGTATCAGATGAAGCGAGAATGACCGACTTACATCCGTTCTCAGTCCTCGTCGTCAACACCAGACCCATCACACCCTCTCCGACCAGCACCTCGTTGTCCGCGAAGACGAGCTGTACCAATGCCGTGACCACTCCTCCGTTCACCATCCTCTTCTGTGCCCGCTCGACATTCTCGCGTTCTTGCGAGTCCTGTGATGATGCCAGCGTGCGCAGGATGTTGACGAAGATCCGAGAGGACTCGCACTTGATGGCGAAATCGTCCGTCTTGGATCCGAGCTCGATGATCGTCTTCATCAAGCCCGATTTAAAAGACGCCTTGTCCGTCAGTAGAAGACAGTTGGCAACTGCGACGGGTATCCAATCAGCTTTGTCAGCCATAACGACCATTGAAAGGAACGCTTACGGTTTCCTCTGCAGAGCAGCTTCAGGGCGACCATGGCCCCTCCTACTAAGGGGCCCATGATCTGGATCCCAACCTCGTCGTCAAAGACCTTCCACCTCTCGAAAGCTCGGATAGCCGGCGGCCCTAGTTCAGTCTTGAGGGTATCCGGCAGGACGAGGTTGCGAAGCAGGCCGACAATGGCGTATCGGACCTGGCGGTCGGTAATCACCTCGTTCTCTAGTAACCGCTTGAAAGTCCCGAACAGAACAGTATCGCCAGCGAACGCTCGAACGGATGCGTCTATGAAAGTAGCGGAGGGTAACTTGAGCGAGCCGAGCCGGTTGGATACCACGTTTCGACCAAACGTACCGCTCCGAACCTGATTTCCCATCGCTAATAACGCGCATCCTACTAGATCACCTCGTCCCTCGCAATCACCCTCTGAGCTGGAGCCTTTACCCATCCAGTTCCCGAATCGTTCCCAGATTTTCGCATGCGCCTCCCGATCTGACAAGTCTGTCTCGGCACAAGCTTCTACGACGCACTTCATCAACACGGCCTTGGCTTGACCCATAAATTTGTCGGTGTCAAAGCCGGCTTGGGCGGGTCCTTCCGCATCAGGATTGACGTCTTCGATCTCTCCTTGTTCTGGCTCGGGCACGAGGTCTTTCCAATGATCCGGCACCCGAGCGTTCTCAAGCACGTCCAACAATACGATTATCGGCGGCTCATTTGAAGCCGATGTAGTTCCAGGCGTGAAAAGATCGGACAAGAGGTCCGTCCGAGCCTTGACGATCCTGTCCAGCAACGTACACGCCGAACCGAGAATGTGCGTCTCGACCTCCAAGATCTCTTCAGGGTCGTCGTCTTCCTCCTCCTCTCCGTCCGCTATGAGGGATATCCGCCCATTCCCTGATCGTGATTGTGATTGTGATTGGCGGGCGAAGCCGGAGAGAGAGGTGACGAGCGGCTCGAACCAATCTGATGTGAAGGTCTCGTTGATTGTTTCTGCGGGGATGCAGAATCCGTTTTTAGCCTATCAATTGTTTTAACAGACGGGAGGCTCGAATTGTGACTGACCCATGGCGGAGCACTCGTCCAAGATTTTCCATACCCAATCTACAAGACCCCGTCTGGCGACCCTCAATTCCGACCATGCTGCAGACTTAGATTTCAATATTGAGTCTGCTTGTTCGTCGCCAAGGGGGATGTATAGGTGCGTCGTCGTTATCCGCAAGAGGTTCAATAGGATTTGAGAGTTGTTTTGAACGATCTCCGTCTTGATAGGTTCTACAGGTGACATAAGATCAGATCCGGCTTAGAATCTCTAGAGGGTCTCTAGCTCGAGTATGAACGTACCGTAGCTTCCCAGTGAGATGTTCATCAAGCTCGCAATGATCGCTCTCAGACATCCAAACTCTTCTTCGTCTAGCTCCTGCTTCTTCACCAATTTCACAGCGTACTTCTTGAACACCGGACCAAGTGCCTCAATATACCCGGCTTTGCCCAACTTTCCCCTGTTCTCGTCTGACCCAGGTCGATCATTCAGCCAGCGAACATGACAGTAAGAGGACAAAAAGGTAAGGAAGGGACTGACCGTCGTCGACGACCAGATTGGCAGCCACCCGAGCAGCCTGAAGAGCATGCTCGTTCCGCTCTTCGTCATGTTTGTCTTCGCTGTTCGCTATTCGAAAAGCCTGAACGATACATTCGATCGTCTCGCTTGATGCTAGAGTCTTCCGGGTTGCTTCTGGCAGACGAGGGACAACCGTGATGAGTTACGATGCCTGTTGCGAGACGATTACAAGCATGAGACTCGCCGTCGCAACCCCTAAGAGCATCTGCCGTGCTCCGTAGCTTCTCGCTGATACCCATAGCTATGATTATAACAGCTATGATCTGTCTGGAATCATAGATCATAGACGAGCTGCAAGAAAGATGAACATGACCCGTCTTTGTGCGAATCTCGACCTCGGGCTTCGGCGATTCCTCCCCGCGAGAGCGAGCGAGTTCGTTAGAGGATCGTGGTATCAATAATAATGATTGTATTTCGGTCTGATTATTACGGCCTTGCATCTGCTCAGAATATCGTGGACTACCTAGCTCAGACTCTACACTATGTTCGCTGAATCGCCGGCCTCGAAATCTTACTATCGCCGTCCCCACTTAGCCAACTGATCGTATCGACGTCTCAGCCGATCAGCCGCCACGCAAGACCTGCCTATCGAAATCCGCGAAAGCCTTCAATTTCGCTCCATGTTCTCGTTTCAAGCGTTCCTCCTGCTCTCTCAAGGCTTTCCTAAGACGTTGTTCCGCAGCCCATTCGACCTCTGCAATTGCTTCTTGTTGTTTTTGATACCGCTTGTGAATGAGATGAAACCATCCTTTCGCGTCTGCGACCTGTGAATAATTTGGTGATAAGCAATCAGGTCGGAGAGTAATGAGCGCTTCTCATAGGAGTAACACCACCGTCAGATTCGAGCACTGACCTGAGTCTTGAGAATATCGTACAATTTGTCCGAAGGCCGTTCGTGGATATTCAGGCCATCATGAATTTGACCGTACAGTGCCATTTCCTTGCACAATACAGCGCTGAGAGCGGCGAGATTTTTGTTTCGAACGGCGTCGATGATCCTGTTTCCGTTGGGTCCTGCGAGAAACTCGTGCTCGTCGTGTGTCAAGATGACCGGCTCGTCCTGGAAAGATGAAACGCGCGTGTAAAGACAAACCGCTCATCAGCTCGCAGCGCTTCGATATCGAAGCCACTACCGTACATTGAGAAATCGACCAAGAAGAGGAAATGATAAAGAAGAGGAGAAAGATGGCGCCGGGGAGGGGGAAATTGAGTTCTTGTTCGATCAGGACTCACCTCCATCAGCGCCTTCCCCATAATCTCCAGCATATCCATGTCTTGAAGGTGATGTCTAATCGCACTGGCCTTCTTCGTACACTGAGGCCGACCGCGCGCCTGAGCTTCCCCGTCCAAGACGGATTCGAGCTCGCTCCATCTGCCCTCTGCGACGAGGGTATCGTAGTGACCGATGACTCTGCATACCGGCGCAGCAGGAAAGGAAGCGCGATCAGTCAGGATATCCTGAGCTGTCGATCGGGCAGGTAATAGAAGGACAGGAAGACGCGGACTCACGCCGCGTAATGCCAATTGTACCAGATTGGGTCTCTCGGACACCCCTTGACAACCTTCTCCCTCATCTCTCTCTTCTCCTGCTGTCGTTGTCTACGGCGCTGTCGAATCCGGTCGATATGTGGAATCGATAGATCGTTGCGCGTTGGTTTCACATCCTCATCGTCGACTAGAAGCGATCGGGTAGACAATTAGCGCTCGGTCAGGGTTAGTGACGTCGTTCTAGTATATCGGTGCAACTGAACGGGCACAAAATAAGGGGAGTGCACTTTTGACTTACTAGTAATCGGACGGTCCGCCGACCCGCCAGGATAAGGTGGAGGGGGCGGCGGCGTGATGCGCATCTTGCTCAGAACAGTTGTCTATGTCTAGCCATACGCGATTGGCGTTGACTTCGGTGACGGACGCAGGTCGAACCTGCTTCCTCTTGATGCCCGGCCTCGACTATATATATCCTTCTTGCCTCTCGTCTTCTTGTCCGTTCTACCAGATCTGAATGACGTGCTTCTCCGATCCGAGTTCCGTGTACAATTCACGATCCACCTCCCAAAGGGATCAGCGGGTCCCTTTGACTTTAGACTTGACGTTCTTCAAGAGAACAGTCGGCGTTGGCGTCGACGATCAAGGTACACATGGAGATCATTATAATTGTGGGGCGGTCATTACCAGTCTCTGACAAAGGGCGAAGGCTACAGACAAGAACAGAGATAGCGAGAACAAAAGAAATAATGGGACCGGCGCTGATGCGGTCCGGTTACAATAATCGAAGAATGTCCATCTGGGGTAACGTGATCACAAGCTCACAAGCACTGTGTGGGCGTCAGAAATGCTTGGTCAGATGATTGTTTTACAGGTGAGTCGACCTGGTATCACTCGGCTACTCACGTCTCACATCGCCCATCCAATCTCCATCTCATCGTCTTCATCAGCATTCTCCCACCTCGCCGCCGAATCGTCTTCCTCCTTGACCCCTTCCTCGGGGACCTGCTCGTGACGGAACTGATCCCTGAACTCGACCTGTCGAGGACTGGCATACTGGGCGCTCGTCTTGCTAGCGACGACGGTGATGCTCGCGCTGTGCAGGTCGTCGATATCGCTCATAAGCGAGTCCAGGTCGGTATCCGTCATGCTGTCGCTCGAGTCAAAGGATGACATGTCACTCGACCCAACGGAAGCCTCGGATATGCGCTTATCTTGCCAGAGTTTCCCCGTATCTGGGAAACCCGAGGAGTACCGATCGGGTCGGGGTGTCGTCTCATCCTCGGGAGTGGCTGGTTTGTGAATCATCGTAGGTACCTCGGTCTTGCTGCGCAACGGCTGGACTCGGTTGATCGGCGTAGTGGAGCGATCGTCATGCATGTCAAAGCCGAGTCCATGCATCGCCTGACCGTAATAATCGCCACCGTCCGGACCTTCGTCGTGCGATTCGAGACTCATCGAAGACCAGCTTCGGATCTCTTCATCGAGCTCGGCCTTGATTTGGCGAAGGGGATCGACGTGGTCGTGGCTGCGATATGGTGCTGTGTCTTCCAGACGGACATCGTCAAACCCGGCAAGGATGCTCTGAAACACCTTCTCGTCATCTTCGAGGGTGTCCAAGCTCATGCTCGATGACGCTGTCGTCAAGCTGGTCAACGAAGGCGATTGTGCAGAACCAGATGAGAACGACGTGTCGTGTTCCAGCCTACCATCGCTAGAGCTGGATCGCATGGCCATCTTGGGGGGCCCGCTGCGAAGCGCAAGCGGTTTCACCGTAGGCAATGGTGGGAAGGCGGATTCGGCGAGGCCCATAGCAATGTCGTTTTGCCCCGACGACTTGACCTCGAGCTCGACGGCATGGTCAAGCTGTCTGGGCTTGGCTTTGAAGAGGGTTGCCAACTCGGTCTCGTCCGCGGACCTCGGCCGCGCTTCAAACGCGTCGGTACCACCAACAGGTGTAGCGGGGATGACCCTGAACATTGGCAGATCGTCCGCATTGCTGGCATCCGCTCCGTCCGTACCAAAGGTAATGCTCATCAAGCTGGCGATACTGCCGGAACTCTTCATTCTCCGTCGGGTGGGCTGACGCCGCAAGTTGGTTGGCCCTTGAGCCAACACCTCCCGCTCGACCTGTACCCGACCATCACGGAGCAGAGACGATCGACGCACAGGTCGCTCGACTACGGAGTCTTCAAACGCGTCGTTGTTCATTTGCGTCCGGTTGTGCGAGACGGGCAATGTTGGTGAATCCAGCACGATCGACCTGGATCTGGAGAGCTGCGAGCCAGACGATCCCAAGCTGGTCCTCCGCGAGCTAGACCGTTGTTTCGGCCTCAAGGGGTTCGAAGGGTAGTCCAAAGGCGAGTTCAGACTAATGACTTGAGGCATCTGGAGGAGTGGTGTCGTATTCGGTTGCGCAACGTTAGCGGGAGAGCCTAGTAGAGCTTGCGGTGGCGAGAGCGCTTCAGACCTGATAAACGCGCAGCAGGGCAGACTCTTCAGCTCATCTGACGTCGTCGAATCATTCGGTCCCGATACAACTCACTTGACCGTCTCTGCCGGAGACAAGGTGATCGAAGGCGACCTCAAGGCGCGCTTTGACTGACTCTTCCTGGTGGACGACCGTGCCACCGGTTTCGCCTTGACTTCCCCATCCTCCCATCCCTGACTCATCACTGGCGTTGTTGGGTTCGACCCAGATCCACCGAACCTCTCCTGTACTACCGCAGCCGCTTCGTCGTTCTCGATCAAGCTCGCTAGACTGGTCCCTTGGATGGTGTCCGACGAAGTCAATCCGAAATCTAGTCCCAAGTTGAAGCTCGACCCGGGAAGCGCGATCGAAATCCGAGGATTCGGGCGAGACTTTCTCACGGGCGTTCGTTCCTCCTCTACCGACTCTTCTTCTTCGAATCGAGCCTCGTCCTCTTCTGCGTCTTCTTCCTCACGACCGTCGTCCTGCGATCTCCTGTTCGAAGGGAAATAACTGGGCGACTCGCAATACGTCTCGACGCCTCCTTCACTGTGCACCGAGAACGAACTCTCGGATCGCTGCACCACGCTCGTTTTTCTGTTGTTGTTATTGTTGGTGCTACTCGAGCGCGGTGAGACCTTGGTCATCGCTCCTTCTGGACGCGAGTAGTCGTGGTGATTGTAACCGCTGCTCTCCTGACCGCGAGCGTTGTTGTTGGTACCCAAGGCCCCCAAAGCCGAGGTCGTCCGTCGTCGACCATGCCTAGCTGGATCATATACCATCTCATCCTGAACAGCTTCCATCCCTCGCCCGTGGATCGGGACTTGCGAGAACGAAGCCCTACCAGCACCCGTGTCGGCCGAATCGGAATACGACCTCACAGGTTCCGCCACCCTCGGCAGAAACATCGACTGGGCCCGCTCTTCCTCTTTCTCCATCACGACCGGTTCTACGACCTTTTCCGATCCTCCCGATGGTTTCCTCTTCCAACCCCCAAAGAACCCCTTGATCCCCGTCGCGGTCGAACTCTTCCCACTGTCTTTGTTGTCCTTCTCTTTCTTTCCCCCATTGGCGTTCGGGCCGGCGGGTGGGGTGTGGACCCGGGAGACGGGTTCTTCAGCGAACATGACCGACCTGGCCATCCGTCTTCCTTCCCCCTTGCCCCATCCTGCCGCGCCGGCGGAGTCCGTTTTAGGTCGAGCGGTCGGGTTGACAGGTCGAGCTTGGCTCTGGCTTTGACCCTGGTGGTTCTGACCCTGAGAGTGATTCTGAGTCTGAAGGAGGGGAAGATCTTGACCAGGGATAGATCCCGAACTCGAGATCGACCTCCCATATCCCACCGAACCTTGATACTCGGACCCTCGGATCTGATCTCGATACGCTCCTCCTTGAGGTGATCGGGCATAACCCTGAGACTGCGAATACGACTTGTATCCCGTTTGCGTCTGATCTTGATCTTCCCAATATGCCCCTCCGGACCTCGAAGAACTCGCCGAAGGCGACGGGCTAGGCAAAGCGTACCCGAAATCACCTCCGGATCCAGAGATGGGGGAAGAGACGGACCTCCATCCCGTCGCCGAACCTGAAGTAGTCGGCGTGACTAGGACTGGGGAATTGAGACCCATCGAGGTAGAGGTGGAGAAAGAGGAAGAAGCCGTCGTCGGCGTATAGACCGATCCGAACCCGGACCCTGATGCCGAAGACCGGGACTGCGACTGCGAGTGGGAGTAGTACCTGCGCTCTCCTTCTCGGTCTTGTCGATCGTGACCCCGGCCATGTTGCAGAGCTCCATACCGACTCTGGACCTGCACTTGATCCTGAGGCTGTCCATCTCGATTCTCGAGTCTAGGGGAGATCACCAGTGGCGCAGGGGGGAGTTTCCGATTAGGCGCTGCCCCGGCCGGACCTCTGGATCCTGTCGACGACGAGGATGAGGGTGTCGAGTTGTACATCGACGACGTTGAAGGAGCTCTCGTGACCGGGGTCGAAGGTCCGATCGAGGAAGAGTTGCTGCCAATGATAGGAAGGGTGGAGCGAGGGTCCATAGGTTGGGAGATGGATCGGAATCTAGGTGAGGCTGAGCTCGAGCTCTTTTGAGAATGCATCGTTTCGTCGTATTTCTAGGAGGTTGATGCGGCTCGTTTCCAGATGTATGGTCGATGATCTCCTATTTCAGAGTGCGGAGCTGATGGGAGCTTGTTCTTGGTAATTCTGAGACTTTCGGAAGGTGACAGTTTGGATCGAATGCGAGCGAGCGTGTTTTCCCTCTTGTTGACACGAGGTTTCTTTGACTTGGCGGTCTACGTATAGTCACTGGCGATGGCGTGAATTTGGCAGCTAATTCATCCAGGATGTCTTCTTCCAGGTGAGGTGAGAGTCAAGGCCAGAGTTTCGTTGAGCTATGAGAGTTGAGGTATAAAAGTCGAGGTCGAGTGGAAAAACGAGTGTATGGTGACCGAGGTTGAGCGCGCTTTCTTCGAGAGAGCGTCCGGGCGTGGAAAGGAATTCGACTGCTCAGCAGTGTATGTGGTCTCGAGATAGACTTGTATGAGGATTATGTGTCCGATGATGATAATGATGTTGATGACGTCCAGAGAGATTACACGAGAGATACATGAAGAGAGAGAGAGAGAGTCATCATCATCGTCGTCCACGGGATCCCACGAAACAGAAGAGAGGAGACGCGACGACGCGAACAATCAGAACAATGCATGAGGAGCGGGCAGAAGAAGGAGAGAAACCTTGTTCCTGGCAGGAATGACGTAAAAACGCGATTCGGGGTGGCGTTCGAGAGATCAATCCCGGACGCCATCCCGCCCCCGGCCGCCCGGGGGAAAGAAACGGGGTTTCATCATCAGTTTCAATCAACCGCTGATGGCCAGGAGATGCTTCTGGTGGATCATCAATACACGATAGCGAGATCGACCGGTGATATAGAATGGCAAGCTTGGACTATGACAGCAAACTGAGATACCATCCAGCAACCATCTCACCCCGACCCAAAATCCTCGACCTCGAACAGTGCGGCAAGATCTTGGAAGAATCCGGATTACCTGCCGCCGATTTGGTTCGCCGCTCCATCAACTTTGTAGAGTTATTGCATCTATGGCGGCTACACGGAATGGTCTAGACTCGACAATGGCGACAATGGCAAGGAATGCGGCAATGGCAATGATGGTAACGGCTGTGATTATGATATAGGTGAGGAAAGCGGTGATCTACATGTACTAGAGTACTTCTTTGTGTACGCCGAGGCAACACCATGCCAGGTCGAAGTAGGAACCAACTTTCGGCCCTCTTGCTGCCATGATCGAATGGTGATGTTGGCCTTTTCTAGACATTCCAGCTTGCTGTTGCGCAGACTGCGCAGACTGTCATTGTCGTCGTCCATGTGGAATTGGAGCTGCAGCATCCAAGTCACAAAGTGGTTCGGTGTCGTGGCTGAGTCGCCAGACTCGATATCGAGCGAGGAGACAGACATGTTTGAGCATTCGCAAATCCTCACGAGATATGCCGAGGAAAGTCCAAGGCCAGGTGGGCTCTTTGTAATGTAGTATCGGTGAGCTCTACAAGCTACAAGTCGTCGATCTTTTGCTCTTTTGTAACCTCCACCATCAGAGTCGTAAGTCGCATGATCAAACTACTGAAAGTCAACGATGACTGACGTTCGAAATTCGCGTTGTTAGCACTTAACAACGTTCGATGATCCAATTCATAGCGAGCTAGTGATGGACGACGAATCATGGTATCGAGCGAGGTTTGCCTCAAAAGATCGAAACGACAAGATCATCGAACCGAAAACAGAGATCGCCAAGTGCTTGTAGGTAATACAGGTCGGCGATAGCTCGACATCATCCGGCCGCCCTTCAATCAGTCTTCTTGCGAAAGAACGAAGTCAGTTTTGGCATCTTCGACGTGTTCACCTTCTTCAAGGACTGTCCGATGTCAAATAGAATGAGCTTCCGTACTTTGTCCCTTTCGTCTCGGCAAGAGACGCTCGGAGACGATCTCCAGCTGACGATACGAAACTCACCTCTTGCGCCCTACTCCCTTTCTCGCTCGTCTTCCGCTTCAAACCCGTCTCCTTCTTCTTGGCCCCGCCCGCTCCTGCAGGCCCCTCATCCCAGAACGCTTCCTGTGATTGATTGTTCGGTCGGGTGGCAGCATATAGGAGAGAGTCTTGCGTCTCGAGGTATCTATCTAATGGTCCGAAGCTGAGAATTTCGGACATATGCATGAGCGACGTGCTCGCTCCACTGGCGGGGAATCGCTTCCGAGGACAGCACGACTTACTCGTAGCTCTCCACAACCGCCTCCTTGGTTCCCGGCTCGAGATACTGGCCCAGCACGTCGCTCGCGAGCCTGACCCGAGCTAACCTAAGTACCTGCTCGTCCTCTTCCCTCCTGACCTTGACCTTGACTTCAACCTCTCCGCCCTGTTCTTGCAGTTGTCGGTCCGATACCGACAGATCATGTAGGAGCGGTCCGAGACCTAGGCTGACAAGCCCTCGTTTCAAGCTCGGTTGTTGGTCGAAAGTCTCGCCCTCGATGAGAAGGGATAGTCTCTGGCGAAGCCAAGTGACGATTCCATCAAGGTTCGGACGGTAGTAAGTCTCCGAAGCGATTGCTGTGGAATCGAACGTTACGTCAACACCCTCACAGTGTAGTCGAGGTACGAACATTGCCAGAAGTACTTACACTTCGTCTCGAGAAGGCTCAACAAGGCCTGCCTTACTATCGGAAGCCCCAGAAACTTTGCTACATCCCCATCTTCCTCGAATTCGATATCATCGTTATCCTCATTCCCAACAGGTAGCCTTGAAAGCGAGTCGACAAGATCGTCCATGGGTAAAAAGTTGTCGGAACGCTCATCTCTGAGCGCGTGAGACAACGTTATCCTGGCTATTGTTCGTAAGGATGATGATGCAGATGACGATGATGGTGTGGTAGCATAGGCGATTAGGAGGGGTATCAACAGGTATCTTGGGTTGATGGGAGTCATCAAGAGGAGAGAGCCATCTGAGGGGAAATCAGAGAAGGAGGTGAGCGGACAGTTTCTCGATATTTTTAGCGACTGGAATCAGGGCTTACCGCTGATAATCTGATCGCCGTAGAACCAGCTTCGTTTTCGTTCGGGATTGATAGCTTGTACCTCCAAAATCTTTCCTTCCTCATCTTGTACGAGGTATAGACTAGGGGCACCGGTTCGAGGATGAGGTAGCTTTAGGTATCGATGGGGTAGTTGTTGTGCCAGCTTGGGCAATGATGGACCGGCCACCGGATTCGTTGTGGATATCGAACTCAAGACAGACGGATCATACAGCTCTATGAGTGTGGATTGGTTTCGTGAGTCTGATTGAATGCTTACTCAATTCACAACCAAGTGCAACTGACCTTTTGGTACTACCGCAAAGTAGGACATCTCGGTCATTGGGGTGGTCATTTTGGTGTCGTCGAGATCAATCCCCGAGGGTAACAGATACGGATTCGAATAGGACCTCTACTGCTTATTCGTTGACTATGGCGCCGTCGACAGGCGAACAGACGAGTATGCCTTGGGCCGAACAGGTTCTGTAACGAGGAACGAGTGCAGTTGAGCCCAAGAATCGCAGGTCGGGCTGATAGTGTTGAGTACGTGAGTGCCACTGTCCACGACGAGTCCAAGGTCAATGAGATATCGCATGCGACGATAGCCGAGAACCACGATGGCGTTTCACTTATGAATACAGGAAGTAAGTTGGCATCTCTCGATCTGCATGCGGTGGTCATCAATTGTACCAGATAGCCGGTGTATCAGTCTTTGTCCGACCTCCACCAGCCATCTCATCGGTCACATTCAAACAATCGAGGCACATTAACGCAGAAGGGTTATTGCAGCAGACCGAAAGGACGACAATGAGGCCGAAAAAATCAAACGAGGAGCAGGACTAGTCTCAAGGGAAAGGTCTGGTGAGAGCAGGAGGCGGACTGAACATTTGACACCGATGGGCGATGACCAAGTCGTCCGGAGCCACCCGAAGCCTGCCAAGTCGATGGGTATGTGAATATAATATTGGTCATCTATAGATTAAGCGCACGCAAGCTAGAACAGCTCCATGCGCTGACAGGTAGCAGGCAGAATGTCCTTGTTACACCTCACTTCAAGTTTCCCTCCTACTTGACGGGCGAAAACTTGCTCTTCGCCCGAAGCGAAGGACCGTATTTGATCAAGACGATGGGGATCGGCACCATGATGAGGGCGACGCAACCTATCAAAGACAAGGGAAGCTCGAAATCAGCTGATGTCCTCTTTATGACGGTCAGTCTGATATGCTGTACTCACCAAGCAAGGTACTCGCCCATCGAGGGTTCAAGGCCTCGTACATCTGACGGCCAAAGAGCGGGAAAACAGCTCCGAAGATGGATCGGCAGACGGCTGCACAAGACGGATGTTGAGGCGAGTTAGCGAGCGAGGACAGGGCGACGGCACATCAAGCAGATACTCACTGTTGGCAGCGAGTGCCGAAGCAGCAGCGAAAAGATATGTGTCGACAATCTACACAAATACGACACCGTCAGTTCAAGATCGACAATGCTTGCTCGACAACATAAGACTCACATAGTTGAAGAGCGAGACGAAGATACCTAAGACGGCGAATCCGAGAAGGCCACCGGCGCACATGGGAGAAGCCCAGTGAACGTTCGGGTAACTTGTCCATCCGAACTGATCGAAAGCAACAGCAGTATCAGAATCCCGGTACAGAACCATACTATTCCGAGTAACAGTTGAACTTACCCAGAAGAACGAGATGGCGAACAACGGCGCGACCAACAAGGTCATCTCCAACCTAGCCTCGGGAGGCACCCCGTTCGGTGCATGCTTGGCGACCTTTCGCTTGTACCTCGGATCGAACATGGTGATATACGTCGTCGTCGCGAGCACACCGCCGATCAACAGAGCCAGGAACATGAGTCCTCCAGCACCGGCGTTGAAACCGTGTCCCTGCTGGAACACGATCGGGTAGGCCACAAAGAGCAAGTATAGACATCCGTAGACGAAGGACACTGTGTGACGAAGAGGAAGGGAATCGGTGAGCATAAAACGATTTTTCAAAGAAGAGAAACAAGAGTAAATGGCTATGGCTCACTGTAGACGGTAATGGCAGCCAACATGGGCTCCATGAACAAGATGGTGAACGGTTTCGCGATAACATCCTGGAAAACAGTTTTCGCCGTCTTGGATCGCCTTTCGAGGGGAGCCCAGTATCGGTCATCCCCGGTCTCTTTACGCAGGATGTGAGCCTTCTTGACTAGCAAGATGGGCGTGTAGGTCTCGGGAATGGTGAAGAGGACTGATGTCGATGTGGGCGGAATGTCAGCATCGCTTGCCCCAGAGCAGAACGCTCTGGCGTCAGAAGATGAACTCACCGACGAGACCGCAGACCGAGGCGAAAATACACAGGACCCAATAGAGCCACCTCCAGCTCGTCCCGGATACGGCGATATAACCGGCGATCATCGGTGCGGTGGCAGGTCCCGCGAACGGTGCCAAAGCGAACCTGCAGTGACATAATGATCAGCAATACCGCTCTACCACAATACAATGAAAGCTGAGCCGATGCGACTTACAAAGCCATAGCGATTCCCCTTCGATCGGCATCCCAGATATCCGCCAACAAAGCCCCGGCGTTCGTCAACGGACAACTCGCAAAAGTCCCTCCCAAGAACCGGAAGACCAAGATGGAAGCGACATTCTTGCTGAGAGCACAACCGACTTGGAAACCGATGTAGCCGAGGAAAGCGACAAGGAAGACTGCGGCAGGTAAGAAAGGATATTAGCGAAGAGTTCAACTGTTGCCCAATCGGACGCGGTCAACTTACTAGGACGTCTTCCGAACGATTCGGACAGGGGTCCCCAAAGGAGAGGTCCAACACAGTATCCAGCGACAAACAACGACACAGTCAAGGTAGCAACCTCTTTTCCGAACCCGAAATACTCCGTCATCTCGGCCACGATCCCACTAGGTGCCGAACTCGCAAACGTCGAATTGAGGACCAACAAGCTTCCCGCTGCGGTAATGTACCAACGGTAGGCGACGGACCAATTTTTAGGGTTCGCCTTTTCGCCAGGGTCGAAGCGAACCATATAGATCTGGTCTTCGGTCTCTTCAGGAGTGGGAGTAGGTTTGGCCTTTTCCACATCAGGGGCAGCCTTCTCAGGGTCGGCATTGGCATCTCCGTGAGCGGAAAGAGCTTCAAGTCGTCGTTTCTCGACCAGGGTGGCATCGCTCTCCACCCTCGTTCGCTCCGAAGTCGCACTCCCTGATTCCTCATCTTCTCCGAGCCTTTCTCCTGCTCCGGTACGATAAGCCTTGCTAGGCTCGGCGATAAAGCTCCCACCCCGTTGATGCTTGTAGGACTTGTGAGTGGAAACCCTGGACAGAGTCCTTTCGACAATCTCTTTGTCTGGTTCACCGATTCCGAACCCGGCGACGGCAATGTTCGCAGCGGCGCCTACCAAGCTGAGTCCTCGGCTTCTTTGTCGCTCTGGGAATCCACCAGGCGCCGATCCAGAGGCGTGGCCGCTAGTACGACGGGCGAGAGCTTCAGCCTCTGACCTGGCTGGCGGGTAAGCTTGGTCGTCTTCTGGCGGAGAGGCCGATCCGAACAATCCAGCTACGGCGGGCTGAGAACCTGTTCGACGAAGAGGTTGAGAAGTGTCAAAGGTAGCCGGGATATATGCTGGGGTGGGGTTCGGTGTGTCGTTGTAGTTGGTACCGGTAAGACCGTTGCCGTCGAGCGTGGCCGAACTGGTGGAAGCCGTCCTGGCCGCTCGGATACGTTTAAAGGGGTTGATCTTGTCGAATGACTGCAGTTCTCCCACAGATCCATGCTGTCGTTCAGACTCGTGGATGGAGGATGCTCGAGACATGATGCGACGGCGCTGTTTGATGCTTTTTTTTCCAGTGCTGTGGCTGCGCGGCGAGAGCGCTCGGAAGGGTTAGAAAGGCGATAACCGGTCAAGTCCGACGCGGTGAGGAGTAGATAGATGACTATGAGGTTGAAAGGCTGTGGGTATATAGTCTTGGCCTCCTGTGTGTATAAGTATATGTTGCGAAGTCTAACCAAGATGAGGTGAAGATGCGAAGCGTTCAAGTCGAAAGTCAATCTTGATGGCAACGAAAGGTCGAAGCGTCTTGCTAATATTTGATGCACCAGGGTGTGTGTGGTGTGATCCACCTCTCCCCCCTGCCTCCCTGCCCCGAGCTAATTCCAGAAGCAGCCGAAGACGATCCACCCAGGTTGCCGCACGATAACAACGTGGTGTCAGCACACAGGCAGAGGACGGCATCGTCAGTCTGTTCGGCATGGTTCCAGCCGAGGGGTCCTTTCGCGCTAGATCGAATTTACAGTTTTTCTTCTTTCATTTCCCTGCGTCAGAAGCGGGTCTCGGTCATCGCCGAGGATGAACCAGCCCCGCTCGGTTATCGCGTCGGCATCCACCTGATCGGCCGATCGGCTTTCTAGCGCAGTCCAGGTCAATGGTTCAACGAGCATCTACGTGCATGTTCATCTATCGATCTGTCGCGCTCAACGATTGCTAATCGCTGGACGGACTCTCAATCTGGTGTGCGAGTGACAGTGCTAGCGTGCTAGATTGAGTTTGACGGGCGCGATGAATTTTATTGACCTGAATCAAGAGGATGATCCGGCTGTTCTGAACTTGATCTGGGCTCAGAAAGCGCCCCCTTGCCTGGATTGTCCAAAGTTGGAGGATCAAGGTGGATGTTCATCTGTTTGAGGATTGACGGGTCCTGCCGACACATCGCCACCATTCTATACAATGGAATACAGTGGTTCCATTTTTAAACGGTAATCACCGCATGATCATCATTTTATCGTCGCAAAGATCGTTTCCAAGCTCGATCACTCTTTCTCGGTCATCTCGTCACCAGCTTCATCTCCGTCCGAATCATCTGCCCCATCACCCGTCTTGATCGTTCTGACGTTATCCTCGAGGTCTGCATCCTCTCCGTCCGTCTCGTCGTTTTGGTCGTTGTCCCGAGCCTGATTGGTCCCTTCATCATCAACCCCAATGACCTTTGAAACCTCATTGTCTTCGTCAGTCGTCTCTTGTAGCGCTTGTCCTTTTCCCTTGCTCGCCCCCTTGGCCCCTCCCTTGCCGTTCACTTTTGCCTCCCCACCCACAACAGGCAGATGATCGATCAACCCTTTCCTCCCCTGCGCCCTCTTCCGTCGCTTGTAGACCTCGTCAAAGTACCCATCTACCATCCGACTCAGGCTCCTCCTCGCCAAGTCTTCGTCCAAGATGTCGTAATAGTTCGGGTTTCGCCTCATTCGGATCCAGAGGTAAGACCACGCGACCAAGTCCATGAGGTCTTGTTTCTTAGGCTCGTCGCCCAACATTTCGCTCAGCGTGGCTTGGAGTTGTCTGTCAGCGGTATGCAGGAGCAAAGAGGGGAGTCGGGATTCGAGAGGAAGTCCTTCGTCCAAAAATCTTTGATACGTGTCCTTCTGCTCGGACTGGCACATCAAGGTGAACCGGGCTCCGCCTTCTGTCGTTGATGAGCCGTTGCCGTTGCTAGTGACGGCCAAAGATCCCGAGAATGTGGGCCAACTGGCGAATCCTTGCATCCTGATCAGCTCGTTCAAGGTATAGTTTCTCAATCTTCGTTCGGGAGGTTCTCCGGGGATCAACGAGGTCTCGAGCTCCAGGTATTGGGCGCCCATGACGATGACGTTCCCTGCGTGTACAGGTAGAGTCCAGCACGATTCTCGAGGAACGATGAGGACCCGGACGACCTCGGCCGCAAAGAGTGACAGGGTGATCGTCAAATCCTGGTAGTGCATTCCTTCGTGGTAAACACCAATCCCGTGCAAAAGGGGTTCGACCAGCGTCGAATCCTTCATCTTCTGCACGTTGCGCTCGATGTCTTGGCGTGGGGCTGCGAGGAACCCATTGATATCCAGCATCATCCCTGATTGAGTGACCAAGTCGTTGGCTACCGTCTTGCACACCGACCTCGAGGGCACAAAGATGACGGTCGTCCGGGGTAAGCCGGCCTTGACAGCAGCGTAGACAGGCTTGACCATGGTCTTGAGCAGGATGGCCGAGTGCGGGATCGAGTACGGTTGGATATGGTTGATAAGCGGGATGGCCCGATCGGTCGGTCGGAACGTGTAGATCCCCGTCGATGGGATTTGTAGCCAGTCGGCCAGGCTGTGGGCGTCTTGCAACGATGATGAGAGGCCGACAACCCGGGTCGTGCTATAGCTGATCAAGAGGAGGACCCTCAGGATGACCATCTCGTAGGCCTCGTCCAGCAAGTGAAGGTCGTCCATGACGATCAAGTCTAGGTCATGTAGAAAGTCGGGATCGCCACCGAGGTGGACCAACAGGTCAATAGGAGTTGCCACCCCGATGCACGGCGCATTGTGCTTGTGGTGCTCAAAGTTGGCCATCGAGTCGAGACGACGAATCTGCAGATGTGTACCTGACAAGGCCAATTCTTTGAGACGGGACATCATGTCAGCAGCGAAATGTCGGTTGGGCGAGAGGTAGATGACCCGCGAGTTTCGCTTCTTTTGCAGTGTTCGCCTGTGCATAGGATGCGAACATGAGTATGAGACGCTCGCGCGATAGCTATTGGCTCACATAGACTCACCAGGTAGCCACATCGCCGATGGTTGATTTCCCGCTCCCGTTCGGTGCCGCTAGCAAAACACTCTCATCCGTGTTGAATAATGGCCAAAAGACTTGCGACTGGATGTTATTGTAGCTCGAGAAACGATCGGCATAGCCGGTTCCGAAGTCGAGCGGTTTCAAAACCTTGGCCAGGCTGAGATATGGTACGCTTAACAAGGGGGTGGGAGGTTCAGGTTCCGCTGGCATGGCAAGTTCAGCCAGCGAGATTTCGACCTCTTCTTCGCTGCCCACCCAGCGATCCGATATCACTCGGACGACGTATGCAGGCGGGTTGGTCGTCCTGATGGGAACGACAAACTCCATATTGACGAGCGTGGTGCTCGGTTTGAATAGGACGTTCTGATACTGGAAAATGGCGGATGTCGAGCTGTCCTCGATCCAAACCCAGAAAGGCTCGCTAAAGCCGTGAAGAGTCTGGCTCCACTGGAAGTTCCTGCTCAGATGTAGGCTGATCTGAAGTAGGTCGTGACTGAGAGGTCGAAGATCATATGTCACGCCGATGGCCGGGAATTGCTTGGCGACGGCTACGATAGCAGCGCCATGCTTGTCGTTCATCTTAATCAGTTCGCCCGCTTGCGTCGGCGTCATTTCGCAGAGTTCAGCAGGAGCGTAGTCATCCGCATGGGTTTCCAGGTTGTGCAATACCATGTATTGCAGCTTGCTTTGTCGCAGGGGGTTCTGGTACGACCACATCTGCTTCTCGATCGACTTGCTCATCGAAGCAAGGACCGAAGCAGCATTACCCCATTTTCGACTGAGAGCTATTTCAAGCAATGCCCTGATGATACGACCGGCGTTCTGTCACGAAAGTCGAGATGAGTGCCGGGTTGAGTACGTGATTGCACGCCTGCCTACCTGTGCGACGTAGGCGGTGTCCGAGACCAATGCAAAATCTTCTATGTGGGCTCGGCAGATGTAGGCCTGAAGACTGTGAGGATTGCCTGTGATGAGCTCTGTGCCATTGGCAAAGGATTCCTTTCCGCTTACAGGATGTTGACCTTTCCCTGCGAGGTATCGGTACCACCCTGATGTACCGGATGTCAGCAAGATTATGATATTACTCGTTCGCCTTGTTGACATACCTTGACCTGACAAGGAATGACATCCTTCATCAGGGCTTGTAGCTCTGGTACCTCGTTCTCCCTGACTTGCAATTGGTGAAACTGCAGTCGCAGTGGACATTTCAGTCAGCTAGTTTTCGACACTGCCAGAACGCTAGACTGACCTCGGTACTCATACTCAACAGAGCCAAGGTGTCGGCTTCCGTCATCCTAGCTTTGAAATGTTGGTCTAGCAGAAACATTTACTTATGAGAATCACATCGGAAAGCGCATCGTCTGCTAATGCTCACTGAAAATCTCCACAGTCTCGTGCTTCAGGTAGTATTTGGCAGCGATCCGGCCCAGATCAGTGATTGTGAGACTGTTCTCCACCTCGTCAAAGCGGATCATCCCAATTTCGGCGAGACGCCTGCCAGCCGTCCGCGTCAAGCCTTGTCGCTTGCTCCCGAGTTGGGGATCTTCCACTGCTTCGTCGTGTGCCATACCTGTAAGTGGGAGGTCCCGTAAGCTCAGCCTGAATGGAACGATTGACAGAAGTACAAATCGGAATTCTTGTACTCACCGTAATTGAATGGATTGCGCTTCATCCTCACTGGGAAGGGGACTCTCGCTTAGTAGCTAGAAACAATGAAATGGCGGCATCGGCGACGCACCGAAAAGATATGTGTAACCCAGCCATTCGATCGCTTCGGACACGGTGGAGATAGTTCCGAGCGATACTTCGGCGTTCATCGCGTCGACCATGCCCGGTACCAGTCTGCAAGAGGCATAAGAGTGAGCAGGCATCCCGATCGAGAGCAGGATTGATCGGGCTCACCTGGACTCAATGGGATGTTGTGACAAGACGGCGTCCAGGTAGTGATCCAGCTTATCTTGTGTTGTACAGATATATCCCACACCACTTGTTTCGTAACCCGGACGTCCAGCTCGACCGAAGATCTGGACAAGCCGGCAATTAGTTAGGTGAACGGTTGGCGTCACATATATCCTTCATCTTACCTGCAGTACGTCCAGGATGGATAGGTCGACAAAGCTACCCTTCCCGGCATCATACACTTGGGTACCCTTTATGACAACCGCATGAGCAGGCAAGTTCACTCCCCATGCCAAGGTGGATGTACAGCACAAGACCTGGAATAAAGGTCAAGATCAGTTGATAGTCCGCCGGATGCCATGTCCCTAAACTCGCCTTGATGCAGTTCGCTTCAAACATCCTTTCCATCATGTTCCGGTCGCTTCGCAGCATACCAGCGTGATGGATACCGAATCCGTAATCGAATAGCTGTTTCATCTCCTTATTGCGCGACAACCCCACCTCGCGTCGGAAAAAGTCGAATTGCGGATGAGCCCTCGGATCAAAGTCTTCGGGGTTGCCCTCCATCTGAGCCATCTCTTTGAGGCGCTCCGCCGTCTTTACGGTCTCCTTTCTTGCATGCACGAAAACCATGACTTGGTGGCCCTGGGCAAGATTCTCTACAACCTGAGATTGCATTGTAGTCTGTCAGTAACGGATTGCCTTGTCTGCCGATCAACCAGCTGCACCTTGTCGAATACGGCCTGATCCATATTACGCTTGGAAGTCTCACTTCGAACCTTTCCTCGTACACCGATAAAGTGTTGTTCCAGCGGTACAGGACGGAAAGAGGAATCGAAGAAGAACAAACCCTGATATCGGTTGACTCTGTGATATGAGCATGGTTGAATCTTCAGGCTCAGCTCGAACTTTTGGCATGCTCTCCGACGAACACTCACCTCAGGAAGTCGCTGACATCGATATAGTTGGGTAAAGTGGCCGACAATCCAACGATACGGATGAGAGACTGGCTGGATTCGACCTATCGATGTGATATACATCGGTAATTGAACGGAACGCTTTGTGGCATCTCCCAGCTTACTAAACGCAAAGTCCTGGCAACGATCGTCTCGATCACGGCTCCTCGGTCTTCGTTTAGCAGATGAACCTCGTCGATGATCAACAATTTCACTTTCTGCAGTATCGCATGCTTACCGTCAGTTAGGAACCCTGCTGCAGTACGGACCGTAACTCTAACTCTGACTCACCGAAGCCAATTCTCCCTCTCCCGTAGGTTTCCGCGTGACGACGTCCCACTTTTCCGGTGTCGTCACGATAATCTGCGTCTCACCAATCTCCTTTCTCGTCAACTGCATATCACCCGTCAACTCCCTCACTTGAATTCCCAACCAAGCCAGACGTTTTCCGATCTTCCTCGTGATCTCCGCTGCCAGCGCTTTCATAGGCGCGACGTAGATGATCTTGAAATCGTCCTTCAGGATCGAATTCGGTCCGTAGGGGAGTTTCTCTGGCTGTCGGACGTTCTGACTGAGAACCCGGAGGATGGACATGACGGCCACATCCGTTTTCCCCGCTCCTGTGGGTGCACAGATGAGCATGTTTTCGTTGGTCGTCATCGCTACCGGTTGCACGATGGACTGGATCCTGTTGAGGGTTTGATAACCGGGGAAGCAGCCGGCTGCCATAGGTCCAAGCTCATTGACAGGGATGAGCCTTTCAGAGACTTTAGGTGGGACGGGGTTGGCGGGCGGAATGACCACTTCTTCAGCGTGCTAAGTGTTCCTCAAGGACAGGCAGTCAGTCGGCATTGTTCAGCCTCGACTGTGGCCGCATCTCGAGACCTACCTCTTTTTCTTTCCGAATAGTTCCCATGGGCAGAGCCAACCTCCCTCCATAACTCGTTACCGCGGTGCTCGACGTCGAAGTATACACATGCGGGTACTGTATCGCCTCGGGTATCGCGGCCGAGGTCCCACTAATCAACGGCCTGTTGGCGTTCTGTTCCAGCTGAGCTTCGATGAAAGATAGTCCCTCGGTATGATTCCTCGGTACGTTCGCATTCCGATTTGATCCTGCAGCAGGGTCTACCGGGGCGCGGGAGTTGGGAATGAAGACACCTGCTTCGGCACGGAGGGTGTTCCCACGGCCATGACGCAAGACGCCTTCTCTCATCCCTGGGGCAAAGAGTTCGGTGACGAGGTCGAAGCTGGCGGGTTCCCAGCCTAAAACACCCATCACGTCATCCTGGAGCTCTTCTGGGGTGCTGCTCGAGCTGAGGAGGTCGAGGAGTGACCTAAAGGATGTCTCGCTTGCGATATGGCTGAGCAACAGACGCGATTTGATCAGCGATGACACTCGGAAACGCACAAGGCTCTGCGGCCTTACTTTTGTAACCTCTCAGTCAACTCTGCAGCATCAGAATCCTGTTCGTTCGAGACCTGATCCTCGGCATAATCTCCGTACCCCCCGGCTCCCGACCCAGATGGTCTGAACGAGATCGCGTGGTTCGTAGGATCATCCAACCTCGCTCCGAGCGCTGGCGGGTTGTAATAATCCAGCAACGTCGGCAAGGGGATCCCCACGGGTACTTCGATCTGAGGTTCTTCCTTTACTACCCTGACGGGGATCCCGGTCGCTTGCCAGGTATCCAGAAGGTCCGTCCATACGCTCTCTGAGGCATGACGCCTCGATTGTCCGAGGAGCGCTTGAAGGTGGTCCAGAAGCTGCCCGGATGATTTTGATGCCGACATCTTGCAGCTAGTTTATTTGGGCAGACTGAGTGATAGTTCCAGGTCTGAGATAGACGGGATCCCTTGTCGAGCAAACCCTCGAACACACGTCAAAGTATGCGGAATGAGCGCTCGGTATGACGACTTTTGGCTTTGAAAGGTCGATCGGTGATGAGATCGGTGGAAGGTTGAGGATTGTGAAAGTGAATATGCGATTCGAACAAACGCTAGGCTCTCTACCTACATTGACCTTCCGACCGGTATCCCGACTACATCCTGCATGTGTTGATTTCTCGGTAGACCGTTGTTATTCCCCACCTCTCCTGCAGCCATGACATCCCGGACGGTTCCTCTCCACCTAGCTACCTTCGCGATCGTCACGCCGAACAACAACCCGCTGTACGTTCATAGCTATACGGGCGTACAGGATGAACTACGGTATCACCATATCGCACATTCGGCTCTCGACATCATCGAAGAGAGAGGTAAGGGTGACTCTTCGAGAATGTTGCTAGCAATAACATGCTGATGATAAGGTTACTTACATTCGACTATGGGCAGAATCGAATGTCGCTCGCAAAGAGGACAACTTCCTAGGCTTGCTTTTTAGCATGGATGATCTCGCCGTGTACGTCCCACCGCCCTCGCTTGTGCGAATACCGAATAGACATTGACCCGGTCGGAATGCGGGAAATCAACCTGAATGTCATCAGGTACGGTTACCGGACAGCATCTCGGTTGAGGATCATCGTCAGTTTAGGTCTGATCGACGGGATCATCAAGGATAGCGACGTCGTTACCGTAAGCTACTGCTCCTGCTAGGCAATAACTGCACCTTTCAGAGCCCGATCAATTCCCTCCGAATTCTGCTACAGATTTGTCGGACAATCCACCAACTGTACAACACCGCCTCTGCGAACCCTTTCCTCCTCCTGAACTCGAACCCGACACCGAAAGCAGAGGTCATCTCCCCCTTGCCGCCCATCTCCGACGGCGCGCTTTCGTTATCGACCTTGCCTCGACCCGAAGATCTCAGATTGAGCGGGAAGATGAAGTACGGGGCTGAAAGGTTGGGAAGGTTGCTTAACGGAGGCAGATCGTGAGACTCGAGCTCGATGGCTGGAGTCGCCAACGAAATGACGGAGGTATAACGACAAGACGACGATTCGCTCGACACGACCCCCTCGTAGAAGTGGGATGCCTTGTATTGACGAGACTTTTTTATATTAGTGTACACGTATAACGATACCCCATGATACAAGACGCAAGATGAGACCGGTCGATCGTCCAGCTGGAGTCACGCCCGCGAAACTCAGCCTTCATTGGAAACCTGCACCATCATGGGTCAAGGGGCTCGAGCTCGGTGCCGCGTCTAGCCTCCTCATAGAGGCATCACACAGACAATCTACACATCGAGCGCGAGTTTCCCCCGGCACTGCGATCTTACGATCCCATCCCCCGGCCCTATAGCAAGTCCTGCGCCTCTTCCTTCCGATTGCTATTTCTCAAGGTCGCCTTTGCATCTACTTTGAGGGGGAGCTGGTTACCATCCCACGTCAAAGCGGAGGAGCGGTTCTCAGACTTCACCTCTGGGGCGATCAGGGATCGGCTTGAGTGTACATTGGAAGGAAAGCGCGGGATTCGCCCTAATATTGACGTGTACTTTTGAGAGTGGTAGAGTATACGACAGATACGGGGTGGACATGTAGGTATAGATGACATGTATTAGCCAACGCAGATGAGACGATCAACGGCAGACGATTTGCTCTTGCGACATTGAGGAGGATGTAATGCAAGATTCCCTTGGCAACCCTTACTCGATCGCTGTCACTCCTTTTTGAATCTTCCGGTTTGGCTCGCGTCTTGCTCCTTTGAAAGCTCGCCTGTTTCAGATGCTTCGAGGCTCGTGTTTCGCACATACCGACTGGGCTTATAAGCAAAGGAACCTACCAGCTCTTCTTGATCGAGTTCAACCGCTTTGTCCAAGGCCTGTCTACAAGCTCCCTCTTCCAAGCAAATCTCCCCAATCGTCCTTCTCAACCACATTCTATATACTCGTCATTCGTTCGGGCTACATAACCATGCACACTTTTACCCTTCTCCCGATCCTGACGTTGCTTGCCTATGCACAACGAGGTCAGTCGCGAGGAGAGGATTAGGGATCATAATGAGGACTGATTCGTTGCGCAACAGTCACGTCTATGCCGGCTCCCGCCGGTGTTCAGCCTGGGACCTATGAAGAAACCAGCGCGACCGAATCGGTCAAGGCAGCCTGTCTGCGAGACATCCAGGATTGCACCGATCGTCATGGAAAAGCTATCTGGCGGCCCGGGCCAAAGGATTCCGGGTTACCCAATATCAAACAAAAAGACGTCGTTGCCACCGATCCAGTGCCAGACAACTATGCCTATCACGCCAGGCTCGCCGTCATAGGCGCTTGGTCTCAGGTGAGCCGTCTCCTAGTTAACGACCTGTCCTGCTTGCCGTTAATTGAACGCGCCTATCTTATGCTATAGTTTGCAGCTACTGATCTCCGGGAAATGTTCGCCTCCAACGACAGCACAAGGAAAGATAGAGATTCGTATTGCATCTACGATGACGCGGAGATGTCAAAGGTCACTGTCACTATAGGAAAGAATAGGACGGATGTGACCGACTACACAACGTATTCACCTCAAGAGATCACAGACTTGCCCAACAAGCTGGGATCGATCAGGAACATCCTTGATTGGCCGACCTACTGGCCGTATCTGCTTGGACAGACCCTTAGAGACAAGTGGTATCAAAGTGATATTCCTGAAGATCAGGTCACGCTTGAAAATGTCGAACAGTATGTCATCGCTTATTGCGAAATCTTGACTGGGGTGGAGTGTGTGGCGACCGGGACGTCTGAGCCGAAGGTATTAGATGGGAAAGAATCGGCAAGCGATGAGATATTCAGGATCCTCCTGAGGTCTAAATTCACGGTCAGTACTGTTTCATCAGTGTCGTTTGCATACCAAACTCGCCCTTATCGGTCCCGCTTTCCCTCCGACAGCCGGTGATCATGATCGAAACCGGGGACGTTGACTCGAAAGGTGTTTGGGGCGTTAGCGACGCTACATACAATTCGCGTTGGGTCAAATATTGGAACCACAAAGAAGGTAAAATGTATGGGACAGATGCGACGTCAAGCTTGAGGGTCGTCCATGTGAAGGGTGTCGAGGAGAGGCCTGCCAATCCGCTGAAGACGTTTGAGCGCAACGAAAAGCAATAAATGACTACAATAGCATATCATACGCTTGTTGTATCCGAGTTTCTTGTTGCAGAGGAACGGTACAAGATGCACCGCACCATGTCCGGAGGGTACATCTTAGTGATTCGCGTGCTGCGACGAAAGATCTCGTGAAACTTGAAGGTGGTGCGTGTGGTGCAGTGGTGGAGGAGTCGACGGGATCAAATGCAGTTGCCCCGGACCCGGACCCGGACCCGAGCACTTCACATCCTAAGAGTAGTAGCTACATTTGTTCGACGACCTATTATGACTCGCATATGACTCGCATCTCAACTCTTGGTGGCTCAATAACACGAATATAAAACAGGTCGCCCCACTAATGTCGCATCTCTAACTTGCAGCAGTCAATCAGCCTTGCCACACGATCCGTATCAATAGCTCTGACGGTAATGACAGCACCTCCCTATCCCGACACGACCCTCGAGCTGTTCGGACAGCAAGGCTCGGCTGGCGTCTCTACCCCGTTCGTCTTCTGCTTCCCCACGCATGGCTCTGAAGCAAACCTCGCAGAGGATTCGACAAGCAAGATTGCGGCCACGCTGCAGACAGGTCTCGAAAGACTCGCCCAAGCCTTTCCATGGACCGCTGGGCGAGTCGTCAAGGTCGAGTCCAGCGATACAACAATAACACCTGGAGTCTACAAGATCAGGCACACAAATGCACCTCCTCGGGTCATCTTCAAAGATCAACGGGTTGATTACTCTCGTTTCAACATGAAGGATTTTATGACGGACGGTTGTCCGTGTCGTCAACTGCCCGAGGAGATGGTCTCGCCGTACGACGTACTTCCGGGCAAACCTGACCAAGTGGAAGCCAGGTCGGCGGTGTTGACAGTCCAGGTCAGCCAGCTTCAGGGAGGTATCACGGTCAACCTCGTAGGGCATCATCAGGCACTCGACGGGACAGGTCAGGAACAGCTGGCCTACCTACTGAACAAGGCTTGTCACGGCGAAACCTTTACGGACGAGGAGATCCGGATGGGAAACATGGCTCGCGAGGGTATCGTTCTGCCCTTTCCAGAAGAGTGGCAACCTCGACCAGACTCGCGATATCTTAGGAGACATGTGCCGGTCCCTGCTCCTCCTATCGCCAGATGGGAGGGTCTGCGTCCATCTGTCGATCCGGCCGAGCCATGCTGGACCGACTTCACCTTTTCCGCAAAGGCCTTGACAAAGCTCAAAGCGGAAGCCAATCTCGGGCTCGAGTCCGGATACGTGTCCACAGACGATGCCTTGACTGGCCTGGTCTGGCAAGCGTTGGCTCGGGCCCGTTGCACTCGATATCCGTCAGACACACCCAGTACCATCGGTCGAGCTGTCAATCCTCGTCGGTACCTAGGCATCCCCGCCGCTTATCCCGGGTATATCACAAACATGGCATTCTCTACCCGCTCGCTCGGGTCATTGGTAGAGAGCCCGCTCAGCTCGATCGCGCAAGAGCTCCGGGCTGCCGTCGATCCCGCTACTTCCAACTTGCGAGAGACCACCCGCGAACTAGCCACCCTCATTCATCGTGCAAATGACAAGGATTCGATCGCGCTGACAGGCAGTCTGGATCCCGAACTGGACATCATGATGAGCTCATGGGCGAGCATGCGGTGCAGTCAATTCGATTTTGGCCTCGGACTGGGTCTTCCTGTCGCCATCCGCCGCACCTTGATACCGCCCGTACTCGGATTGATGTACTTTTTGCCCAAAGGACGGGAAGGAGAGACCGTGCTTCATATCTGTGCAAGGCGCGGCGACCTGCTCAAGATGTACAATGATCGGGTGTTTGCCGAATATGGGACTCTGAACGAGAATGACCTGTTGCTGTCGTAGATTGCGCGACCATGTGTATACGATCTATACCAATACACCATGATGAACCGGCTGAAAGCTGCTCGTCGACGGCAGGGATCCAGGCATGGACTATCTTCTCACTCAGTGTCGATTCGGAGTGAGGGATGATATGACAAGTCGTCATAAGAGATCTGGTTAGGGGGCATCGCTCACGCTCCGCCGATGCCTCTTGCTTATGAGGGGGGTCAAGGGCCGACGTCGTGATCGCAACCTATCGCAATTCCTCGTCCTTGCCGACCATCTCTCCGAGTCCAACCATCCCGCTCTCTCGTGGATGTAACTCAAGCATCGGGCTTCGATCGACAGGTACGCAAAGATCATAGGTCTGATATGCAGCGCTTTTACGTTCAGATGTATCGACGACGCGAGATGCACTTGCGATCAGTAAAACACGTCAAGAAGACCGGGAGGCTCTTAACAAACGCGCTCAAGGTTCATGACACGTTCTATCAAGAATGGAGCAAGGACCTCTTCGGACATGATGTGGAGGTCGCGCTTATCGACGGTTTGCGAACATCGGTGGCAACCTGATCCTGACATGTAAGTACCGACTCCCCAGCTCGGTCTCCTTTTCCGAATTGTTAATGCAGGTCCTCGGCAAGGAAATTTCCTGGTCACAAGGGCTTCCGCAGAAACAGGTTTGCTATGGCCCATGTTGATGAGACGCCGGAAACAATCAAGCCCGACAATCGGGCTTACTCGCAGGTGTATGTAATCAGCACGACCGTCGAAGGAAGTATGGGCATGTCAGACGATCTCTGTCTGCCCAGAGTTTCATGGTCCGGGAGCGGACGTACCTGTGGCTTGACGCTGAGCAGCAGCAATCAAGGCTGCAGCATGACTCTGAGCTGATCCAATCTGCCTGTTGAGCCATTCTTGTACGTGACCTCTGGTCTGTTGCCTTCTGGCAGCAATGGCTTCCCCAACAACCTCCCCTGCAACCTGTCTCGCCCTAGTCTCGAAGTGACCCTGAGCCACAGCTAAATCATGGAAGTTGCTGATATATTCCTCCCTATAATTCATAATAGTCTTCTTAACATCATGGAGATTGGTCGCGACATGTTAGAGATTTGCTAGGTGTTTGTTGTGGTGCTGAGCCACAACAGCAGTGAGGTTGACGTGTTGTTCATGGTTTTATTCATGGTTTTGAGCCACGACAATAGTAAGGTTGACGTGTTGTTCAGTCAGATCAATAAGATGCTGCTGACAAGTCTGGGCCATGGTAGCGCTGGATGATCGCATGAAGTACCGAAGCCAAGACAAGCATACTCCGAATCTGCTCGTCCGCAACTTCACAATTGCAGCCATCCCAAGACTGCTCATCGTCGAGTTCACTCGGAACGCGCATCTGCTTGATTTCGCGATTGTAGCCCGTTGGCTCCATTCACAAGTCGTTTGTGGGCTTGAATACGAGGGCGCCGACTCGACCAGAGAAGCAGTCTTGTCAACTTTGCCCTCCGATCCGCTGGAGATCACGGAGAACCGTCTACGATCTACGACCCCATGGCGGATTTTCTAACCAGTATAATTCTGGTTACGTGGCGTCACTTAGTCACCGACATTCAAACGATCACGAAGGTCCTCCAGTGGTTTGCAAAATGAGTGCCGCTTCAAACCAGTACCGAAAGCGCAGATTTCCCCGGTGCGAGTTATAGCTATGCCCCGCGCGTTTAGCTATAGGCGCGCGTTGTCTCTTGGGCGGTTCTGGGTTTGAGGGTTATTACGACGACTGCTTACAACCATTGCTAGCAAGAATTGCTTAGATTGACTTGTCCTTTCTTGGTAGCCGCATTAACTGATTGTAGATAGTGTCAGCGTGTTAGCGTGAGAAGTAAGAGAAGTCTAGGTTCCGATGCGGTCTAACCATGCAATGCGCAATGTACTTGCGGCGGATTTGGCCTGCTTCGTTATGCGAGATGATGTCTGTTGCTCAGATCTGTCGGATCGCGCACCGAATACCTCTAGGATTCGGCTGTAACTTGTCTCGAGGCTGATCGAAAGTAGTGGTCGACCCTTTGTTTTCTCAGAAAACGCTCTGCGTTGATCTACGGCGATGTGCGAGCAAAGGGCCATATGAAACGCCTCACCGAAATGATACAAGTCGGCGACTGCGTCACGTGGTACCCAACACGAGCCTGTCGTCTGCTACCGCAGCGCTGTCCAGTAATTTCAATTGACGATGAAAGGAGCTCAGCCTTCTTCAGCTTATTCTTAAGCGCTCTTGCAGTGATACCCTGCGGGCCGGAGGAGAGATAAATGATATATAAGATGGCGTTCTTCACAGTGACATCCTCATTATGATTAGCTACTTGACAAAGTCACGAACCGTGTTCTTATCGTACGACTTCTGACTTCTAGTATACGAGCGAGATGGCAGAAATTCTCGCAGACGATCACAGCCTCTCAGTCGCAGATTTATCCGATCCCACATCGCGGGCTGAATTTGTCGCTGGCGCTTCAGCCTCGCCTGTTTCCACAAGTGCTGTAGCGCAATCGAAAGAAATCAGCACGCGGGTGCCATCAAGGGAGAGCAGCGCTGGGCAGTCATGGGGAAGCAGTCTAACTTCCCGATCCAGGAAGAAAAGCACTGATCTTCAAATCGAGGATGGCAGTCAGGATCTTGAGGTTAGCCACCAGCAGCAACCGTTCTACTCGTCCGGAACAAAGGAAGATGCCAGTGGGCATCATTCGAGCCCAATCGTTCAGGCAGAAGAGTCCAGGCGTCAGAACACCGCATTGTACACGTCCGACAGCGAGGAGACTGTGACTTCTAGTTTGTGGGAGGCCGACTCCCACTACGACTGGTTCGACGAATGGGCTAATCCAAGGGTACTCCTTGAATGGCGTGAGATGGATGACCGGTCGCAAATCAGGCTTGAAGTATGGTACAAGCGTCAGGGCATACAGAAAGGAAGCGCTCTTGATCTAAAGCTCCGGAAAGACTTGTGGAAAGTCCTGCGGCTAGAGGGAATCGACTTTGCGGTCTGTAAGGATCGTCACAACGCAAAAATTTACTGTAGAGCGTGCGATGGATCGATGAAGTCTGCCCCAAAGTGCAAAGGTATTCTTGTCAGTCCAGAAAAGAGTCACAAAGTAAGCTGGGCTACCTTGAAATGTCGCAGATGCACATATCGTAGACAGAAAGAAGCATTTTGTGACAAAGGACGAGATCATGACGAGGAGTATTGAAACATGGCAAGGGAGAGACCCCCGGGAAGACCGCGAAAACACCGACCGATAGCCATTCCGATGTATCGAAGAATGTAGAGCTTTTGTAGTGGTAACGCGATTAGATTACCCATCCATCCCTTGATCATACCTTCCTCCCTTCTCCTCCAGGGGCTACATCCAGTTGACCGTGGCGGCTACAAGGCAGATCAAGCTCGACTCCAACTGCTTGAGAAACGATCCTGTTATGCCTGCCATCAATTATGTGAGGATATGGCAAGATCTGCGCGCGATTGTGAGCTGTAGAACTAGTTTGTAGCCTCTGGAACGCAATCCTCACCCAGGCGCCCTCTCAATAGCTGGGTATCACGGAAAACCCTGACGGACCCGTATACGCACAACATGATTACCGTAATATCCCATGCATGTCTATACACATAAAACTAACGAACCCGGTCCTGACCCGAAGTGGCGGCGAGGACCCCAGAGTCTGAAATCCATCCTAATAACTCGGCTTCCAACTATCACCCTCGTAAACCCCCTCATCGTCCGCTTTTGCCGGCGGTACCCATCCAGCGTCCCCACCTCCACCACCACCACCTCCTCCGGTAGCCATCCTTCCCGGTACCCAGCCCAGTGCGTCTCCTCCACCCACGCCGTTTCCGTTCGAATTGCCGTTAGGACCTGACGGATCTTGCGGCGGGTTGGCCTGGACTTTACGCATCTCGAGCCTTTGAGAGTGTTCCAAGGATTTGACGAGGTTTAGGGATGGATGGGAGAGGTGCATAAAGTTGCAGAACCTGTCATCGCGATCAAAAGACAAACGCATGTGAGCGAGAAGCAGCTTGTTGACGAATAACAGGAACGTGTGACTCACCCTCCCCGGGTGCACTCCCCCATCTCGTTCTGCCTACAACAAGCCTCCTTGAAATCCGTCACCGGCGACAACTCCGCATAGAGCGGTTTACCCGCATACCACCGAGTGTTCAGGTCCTGCACCGCACGAGACGCCTCGGCCTCCCATTCGTACCGCGCATAGACGTTGCCTTGGAGGTGGTCCCCAACGTTGTCGCAGACGTGCATCTCGTGCAGGTGACCGTTTTTAGCTAGTTCGCTGCGGAGTCGGAAAGGGGTGAATTTGGAGGTCATTGAGAGGCGGGAAAGAGTGTGAATAGGTAATTTGAGGGAAGGATGAAGACGACCGAGCGGGAAGACAACAAAGCAATGGAGATGAGTAAGACGTTCGACTGCACCCTCCCTTATCTTTGTCAACTCCCCAACTCACATGTAGAAATCCTCATAGAACCTATCGAAATCCGCCTGCAACTGCTCCTTCGTCCAATTCTGTCCCTGCGGCGTGTGTCCCGGGTTTTGGTAGACGTTCGGGAGGAGGATGGTCTGGGAAAAGGGAGGTTTGATGTGTTTACGGGAACAACGGTCTCCGTGTCTGCAGGCTCCAATCTAGGGTTCACAAAGACGAGCACAAGGGTAAGATAGAGCACTGAGGGGATTTGTGAGATTGGATGTGCTCACTTTGTAGTAGAAGGAACAGTTGACTCGGTCCTGTTCGGTACCGCTACGGGGTTCGAGGTTGGACGTGCGAAGATGTTAGAGAGGATTGACGGGAAGACTGCGCGCAAAGCGGACTCACAAGATGTTGGCCAAATGGGAAGCCATTTTGAAGTGATTCTATGTGAAGAGTTGCGCAAAGGGAGATGTGATGCACCTGGGCAAGCGTTGAATGATTGTGCGTGGTATTGTTGAGCGTATTTGAACCTTTTGACCGTTAGAGCCTGGAGGTCATGAGGGGTGGCGGATCCGAGAATCAGTCAATTACATAATCAGTGATCACCGGAAGTATATCATGGAATTAGGTTCCGGAACGTTCTCGGTCCGACGAGCGAGTCAGTCCAACCCGAAAGTCAACTTCCACCTGCTTTTTTGCAACTTGCCAACGTTCAATCCGGATCACATGGACATCATAGCCTAGCCTCTTTTACTAACGTACTATATCTACTGCAACCAATATGGGCTACAACCTCGCCGTCCTAGGTGAGTACCGTCAACTCCACACAAAGCGCGACCTCGAACTGACCATACCCGACCTACCCTTGATGTCCTAAAGGATGCGGTACTATGGGCATCGCCATCCTCTCCGGAGTCTTCACCTCGCTCCAATCCCGTCCCCTCTCCCCGCAGACCCCTAACGAATCGGTCTCAGGTTTCTCGACCCCTACGCAATCGTTCTCCCTCTCCGCTCCTGAAGCTTCCCTCCCTTCTGGCTTTATCGCGACCGTCGGCCGGGAAGAGACCGTCAGGAAGCTTAGCAAGACCTTGAACGCCATGGAATACGTCTCTTCCGGCCGAGCGGGCGGTAACGGCGTCCAAGTCTTGGCTGGACCCGAGAGCAACTTGCAAGCGGTCACCCAGAGCGATGTCATCCTCCTCTGCTGTAAACCACAGATGGTAGCCGGGATCCTCACTCAGGAAGGGATGTCACAAGCTCTCGAGGGAAAGATGGTCATCAGTATCTGTGCGGGAGTGAGGATGGAACAGCTTAAAGAGCTGTGTCCGGAGAGCACGGTCTGTCTCCGAGCCATGCCCAACACGCCTAGCAAGGTCGGTCTTTGCCCACCTCCTATATGTTACCCTTCATCTCCCGCTGATTTCGCTCTCCGCGTCTGCATCGGTAGATCGGCGAAGGAATGACAGTGATAACTCCTCCCCCGACATCATCACAATCATCTCCCCTGACCCGCCAGATCCTCCTCTCCCTCTTCACCCCCTGTGGCAGAGTCCGTTTCCTGGACGAGAAACACTTCGACGCCTGTACAGCCTTGGCGGGGTCCGGACCGGCCTTTGTAGCGCTCGTACTAGAGGCCATGGCGGATGGAGGTGTCATGATGGGCTTGCCTAGGGCAGAAGCTTTGGAGCTTGCTGCGCAAAGTGGGTACTGTGCCTTTAAATTGAGATATGGGAGACCGGAAGAGGCTAACGACAGAAAGTCGGTGCTGTAGCTCTGCAGGGGACGGGAAGGATGGCACTTCAGACGGGTCTTCATCCGGCCCAACTCAAGGACAGCGTGACGAGTGAGCCATCCACTCGCTCATCCCTCTTGACATATCTTCGACCCGGAGCTGACGGTTCTTGTCACTCGATCCTGATGATAGCTCCGGGAGGATGCACGATCGCAGGTCTCCTCACGCTGGAAGACGGCAAAGTTCGATCGACGATGGCGAGAGCGATCCAGGTCGCCACATTACACGCTGCCGGTCTTGGTCAGAGCAAGAACTAGAAGTAGAACCGCTGTGGGGGACCATGTCGCCCTCTTCAACCATACCAGGCGCTGTCGCGAATTGCTCGTTGATGTGCCCGGATTATGCATGTCATTCCGTCCAATGTACTGATTCAAGGGCGGTTATGTCACGGTAAGAGTACAAGCTGGTTCATTATAAGATGGATAGAGGGGGTTTCGCACGTAATTCCCGTTACACATAGAGGACTTTCCTTTACACACGGAGGTTTCAGATGGGGGGTATCGCACATATTGCTACTCGCGTAAGATTCTACTTTTCCGTCGCCACTGCCTTCTTCTTTCCCTTGCTCTTTTCAGCGCGTTTGATCGATTTCGGTTCGCCCGGTTCGCCATCGCTAAAGTCTTCGCCGTCGTACCGAATCTTGAAGACCTCGACGGGGAGAGGCTGGAGACCGGGAGCACCGAGGCTGGCGTTTGGCACGTTGCCGAGATGATCCAACACGATCTGCAGAGGAACTATTTGTTAGCATCGAGATCTCTTCTGACATGCATTGCGGCCTTTGTACGTACGTTCTTCTTCAAGCATCCCTTGACGACCTGACTCTGTGACGAAGCTTCGCTGGGCGTCTTTCTCGAATCACTAATCATGACCAACCCCTTGTCCCACTTGACCCGTCGTTCCTCCTTTGGACCGGTTACCGAGGGCAAACCCGAAATGATGCGACTCTTCTTGGCCGCCGGACCACGGGTTGGCGACTCGGACTCCTCTCGGGCCCTTTTGCCTGGTCGAGCCGGAGTCGTATAGTCCTCAGTTTCACCTGGCCCACGTCGATGACTGTCGAGCGAACCACTCGGTCGGTCCTCATCCTCCGACGTCGCGCCCGACTTCTCAAGCTGTCGTCGCAGCGCCCGTTCTTCACGACTCAGCGAAGCGATCTTTTCGGCAATGGTAAGAGGGTCGCCTCGCGGTCGCTCGCCCTGGCGACGCTGCTTGATCGTAGTGATGGCCGAGAAAACCACCTCGTTGCGTGTGGTATTGAGCTTGGTGATAGAATCGAGATCGACTACGACAGGTGCCTTCCCTGACGTTGACGTAGTTGCCACCTTCGGCTTTTCGCGTTTGCCTCCTGCGGCTCGACTGGGCTTCACAGCCTCAGACGTAGCAGAGGAAGCGAGATTCACCGCTGTCCGCGCTGGTCGCGCAGACCGTCGACTGGTCCCACTCGCTGAGGCTACGGGCGGCTCGGGGACAGTAAGCTCTGCTATTGCTGCAGGTGGCACATGCGCTGCTGTTGGTGCCGCAACCGGTGTGATTAAGGGTACTGATGGTGGTGGTGGGACGCGTTCAACTGGGACAACAGGTGGCTCTGAGTCGGTCTGCTCTGCCAGCCTAGACCGAGGTAGCGTCTCGAATTGATGCTGCAACGGCCGATCTGCCGTCATGGAGAGTATCGGTCTTTCCTGATGGGCAGTGGTCGAGGCGTGCATCCTGCTTCGAGCAATATCCATTCGTCTTGCGGGGGCCGGAGAGTTTAGGCCGACATGAACGGCTTGCGGGGTGCTCAGCGCCATGAAATGATGCGCGCGTTGGGGCGTGCTCGACGTTGAGTTCTAAGAATGCGCAGGTGTGAGTGGAGATTGTTCATATACACAGCCGGTCTCTGACCTGTATTGACTCACCTTTGTTGGGGACATGTTGGAGCGGACGGGAGAACCGAATGATCGGATCCCTCCACCTCTCACCGGGGTCATATTCGGTCGAACCGGTGGTCCTCTGGATGTCGAAACGATAGGCCCGGCACGATTTGGCCTGATTGGGGGACCAAGCGAAGTGAAGACATCCGGCTGCTTGACGGGGCTCTTCATTATCGTTGGAATAACGGATCGAGTCTTTGCTGCAGGAGCATAGTTGGTGATCTTTTGGTTCGGAACTGGCTGAGCGAAATCGAAGGTGGTAGTTGAGGGGGTGTGACTGGTCGTAGCAATCGCCGAAGTAGCGCAAGTACTGGCAGCACTACGCGAGGTTACGACCGTCGATTTGAGAACAGGCAGGAAGCTCGCCGATGGCTTTTTCAAGAGCGACTTGGCAGGCTGTCGCAATTTGCTTTCGGTGGATTGTACTACTCTGGGAACGGCAGACGAGGAAGTTTCGACTTGCTGACCTTGAATTGGTCTCGACGGCGTCTCTTGCATTGCGACCGTCGACCGTGCTCCAAGCGTCTCGTCGACGACGGCAGCCGGTGCCTCCGCGGCTGAGCTGTTTGCAGCTGAGCGAAGAGATTTCCGTCGACTCTTCGCAGGTGTATCGCCGGACTTCTCCGGCGATAGTATTGGCAGAGCGGTTGTTGACGTCGTTACTGCCCGGGCACTCGCGACAGGCTTACTCGAGCGCCGTCCGCTACCGTCCCCAATGACATCGCTGGCAAGCTTTTTGCGGTCGGTCCGAGGGGTGCTGGACTTCATCAGCTTACGGTCAAGCATCTTTGTGACTGGGGGCAAGGCGATCGACCGTTGTAGGAATCCCGATCGAGGTGCATCGGCCTGCTTAGACGGGGTCCTGACGGGCGTCGCCGGAAGCCGTTGATGCGATGCGAACACGTTTCTGCGCTCGGGGGAGAGTGCTTGTCGAACACGCAATGTCGAGGATCCTAAATCGTCCTTAGCGAGATCGAAGGCGCCCAGGTGGAACTTCGCCACTCCTGCCGTGTGAGCGACTGGCGACAAGGACGTCTGCCTGCCAAGCGGCAAGATATCCTGATCCATGTCTCGCTTGCCCAGAGGAGAAAAGCCCATCATCAACTCTGGCTTGGGCGCTCGACAAACGGGCATGGGAGATTCGGGATCAAACGTCGTTTCACCGGCTTCTGATTGTCTCGAAGGAGTCGCATCCACCACAGGCTCGAGGTCCTCGGTCGATCCATCTGGAGTTGATGGTGTTCGTTTCATCTCGGTTTCTTCGACTGGGTCAGCTTTCGAACTGTCGATTCGAGCGCTTCCAACTTCTGGCGCCTCCAAAGTCACATCAGCCGCTACTTTGAGGGTCGTCTCAGAAGTCTCTTCGTTCGGCAATTCTATCGTCTCCTCCCGTCTTTTCGACCTATCGGAAGCACCTGAGGCATTGATTGATGCATTCGAAGCGGCGTGTTCATTTTCCACTTCTGCAGCGGTGACGGGAGTGATGATCTCGTCGAGATCTTCTGCACGTTCCTCGTCGTTTTCAGACACAAGATCATCCGGAAGATCCGTTCCGTCAGACGAAGCAGCGTTAGGCAGCACAACGGAGTTCTCCTTTTCTATTGGGTCCTCCTCCTCCCTGGTGGCCAGCTCCGATGTCGTATCTTGGTGTTCCTCCATCGCTGCCGTATCCACTGAGACCTCTATTTTCCAACTTGAGTCAGTACTGGCGCCTTGCATCAATCGATATCTCGCCACTCACCCGTTTCAACCCCTTCAGCCTCTATCGAGTCAACCGCCGCTTCTTCAAATTCAGTACGGTGAGACGCTGCGACCTTCTCCAACAACCGCGCACTCCTCCTTGAGCTTGTCGTTCGCTTCGATGCGGTTTCGGGAAGCGGCATTTCTTCTTGTCGAGTAGCAGGTTCCGCGACTGCGGCCACATCGTCTTGTAGTCTGTCGACCTCGATCTCAAGCTCTGCATTTATCTCCGGCTCGTTTAGACGGAGCGTGCTCAGCTCGACACCTAGCGCTCCCGGTTCATCGGCTGCAATCTCGACCGGTGTACCAGGCATCTCAGCCTCAGCTTCGACGCCCATATCAGGTTCTACCGAAACCTCCTCCTCTTCATCAAATGCTCCACCTTTAGATTCGGCATCCGAGAGTTCAGAGAGCTCGCCTTCGTCTTCGCCCTTCTCAGAATCTGCAGGATCTGACGCGCCTTCCTGCTGGTCAGTCAGTTCTGACTCCTGAGCTGCCTGTTCAGGAAAGAGCGAGTCCCTATCCTCCTCAGGTGGTTGGATATCGGTGTCGAAATCGACAGCTGGCGTTGTTGGCTCGATAAGGGGATCGGTTCCAAGTGTATCGGTGGTGGACTTCAAGAGCGACTGGGCTTTAGTAGGCGTAGAGCTACTACGAGGGCTGTTTAGGCGGAAGGACGATCTGGCTGTGTTGGCCGATGACCAGGGCGCCAAAGGGGATGACGATTTCGAGCTTGTTTGCGGTTGTAGCGGTTTCTCATCGCCTATCAAGGATTGGTCAAGTTGGTTTTACCTGCGCAGATACGGTAAAACAGAGTGAGAAAGCTCACCCTTGACGTAAAACCCGTTCCCCCATAATCGAGCTTGCGGACTATCGCAATTCGCCAAACTCGCTCGGGACGAAAAGACCAGGGTCTTCCGTCGATGGAATTCTTTCGAATCTCGTCTCGTCACCCTTCGTTTAGAGTTTTCCTTGTCGAAATGTTTCTCTTCCGCTCGTTCTGAATCGACCTCGAGGTGGACCTTGCTGAGTTTCGCTATAAGCGTCTGTTCTTTCGTTCCCACAGGTCCGAAGAACACTTGTTCGACCGACGAACAAGATGATGCGCCATCGGACCCGACGGAATCGAAGGAAGAAGTGGAGGAAGATCTCGATCTGGATCTTGAGATAGTAGAGGTATCAGAGATAGGTGTCGCAAGAGGAGAGTTAGCCATGGAGGAAAAGTCGTCGGGTTGGTCGTAAAAGGATAGGTCGCGCGTTGTCGATGCGTCACCTCGATGACTGTCGGTGCGTCTGAATGGGGAGAACCCGCTGGGGCTTTCCATGGTCTAGCAGAAAGTCTAGTCAGGGATTCGTTGGACTTCCAGAGATGTATGGTAGATCAGGCAGGAGGTTAGTGTTAGCGACTCGATATGAGTTGCTACGTGAAGCCGAGTTCAGCCAGGATGATTCTGTTTGTTTGTTGTGATTGTCGTGGTTGAACGATCATCTACTCCCTACAAGTCACGTGACTCGCGTATCATCGTCGGTGGCAATGTAATCATATGGGTTGTTACAACAGCTACTGGCTACTGGATCACACACAACTGAATACTCCGGGGCACTCGTCTTCTTCTTCTTTTCATCCGCCTTTGTGATCAACGATACCTAGGGGAAAACAGCCTCGATCAATAAGCCACCGCTAAAGGCGAGTTCCCGCTGCAACGTGCGACTCACCGGGACCATGATACCCCCAGGGGTAGTCGTGCCAGTAGGGAAGTGAAGTGGGAAGTCAATCACCTGCGTATCATCAATCGTCAATCTCCGCTACCGGACTTCACGACCTATCTGGTAGCTTCAGGCGTTGAACGTACAGCTTGATGAGCAAAGTTGGCGCCTCCGGGTAAGACGGTTCCTGCTGGCAAGCTAAATCGACGAGATCGCATCAGACCGGCTCGTACTCATTACAGAAAGAACTTCTCAGTTCCATCGGATTTCCACTCACAAGACTCCTTTTTGTAATCTGGTCAAGTAAGCACAAGGCCCTTTCCGGTAAGCCCGTCTCATCCTGTCCCTTATCAGATCGACTCACGTCGTCTGCAAATACAGCCACGGAAACCTATCAGCTCAACCGCCGTTCCATGGGCCGAGCGCACCGAGAATCACTCACATATGCTCCGTAGGTAACTTCATATCCCGGTATTCTCGTCGGCTACAGTACGATTCAAATCCCATCACAAACCCATGGGGATGCCAGGACCCCTCGTCAGCCTGACCAAATTTGAAAAAGAGTAGGAAATACTGGGCTCACCTGGTATTCCCATTCCTTCTGTCCGCCACCATAAGGCAGCAACGGACCTCGGTTACCGATCCCTTCACTCCAAGGTGTATTCATCGTATGTGCGTATTGATGCGGCTGGCGGTAGGTTGGATAGGGGTTGTTGAGTATCTCGACGAATGAGAGATCGATTTAGTTAAACCACAAAGAGCTCGTAGGTCATTTGAGCGAAAGGTTTTCGGGCTTGCGTGTCACCAGTATAAGCCTGAGTAGGGTCTCGAATGAAACGTCAGATACCCCTTTCCAGTCTGAAATGCTCAAAGGAGCGTAATCAGGGCAGAGGAACGCGCCGAAATCGCGTTTCAGATGGTACTTTGGACGAAGAACCGAGGATACGAGCCATATATGCTGATGAACTAGATTCCGGTGTTACATGCAAATCAAACTTGACGTAATCACTGGATGTACTTCTTGAGACCGAGCAGTCTCTTTCCAGCGGCATGCAGGGTGTCGAGGTCCTTGCACTGTAAAGGTCACGTCAAGTCGCGTGTCAGAGAACGATCGATCTGATGAGGACCAGGGAGGGCATGGGCTTACGAAAGCGAATCGAGCGAACTTTTCGCCGAACTGCAAGTGTTCTCGGCAGTAGAACTGTTTTTGTTCTCGGTTAGCGCCATATGCTTTTGTATTGCTAAGGGAGGCTTTCAACTCACCTCGGAAGGAGGAATACCGACGACTTTGAGCTCTTGTGCCATGAACCAACAAGTCCTGCAATCCAATTTTAATATCAGTATGCCAAAATCACTCGACGAACAACATTACTCACTCGAAATCCCTGCCTCGTCCCTTGACGACCTCGGGGAAATCATATCCCTCGGGCACCTTAACCTTGCTCATGTCGACCAGGACAAAGTAAGACCCCTGGGGCAAGGTGAAGCTCAATCCGAGCTGCTCAAAGTAGGAACAAAGGACGTCTCTTCGCTCCTGGTAAGCCTCGATCTGGTCCGGGAAGAATCGCTTCTCATTGGCGAGTTCGAGGCCCTCGGCGACGGCTTCTTGCAAGGGCGAGTTGGTACAGAAGATGATCCTTGTCGAGGCTTGCAGGGTGGCGAGTGTGAGCTCGGCGGGTCCGATAAGCCAGCCTGCGGAGATATAACCAGAATCAGCCTGTCTAGCCTCATGCATATGATACACCTTGACGAGAACGCACCGATTCGCCAACCAGTAGCGGCAAACGACTTTCCAGCGCTTCCAACAGTCAAGGTCCTCTCCCACATGCCAGGCAGAGCAGCGATCCTGACATGCTCAGTTCCGTCAAAAGTCAAGCAGTCGTACTGTTTGATATCCCTAGACAATATCAGCTTGCACACCCTTGCTTTTGAATTCGTGATTTGTGACATACGACTTCGTCAGCCAAGACGAGCACATCGTGCTTAGTGCAGATCTCGGCGATCGCGGTCAACTCTTCTGGCGAAAAGACCTTTCCAGACGGGTTGTGAGGGGTGTTGATGATGACGACCTTGGTCTTGTCCGTGAAAGCGGCACTGCGTATCGAGTCCTCATCAGAGCCAGTCCGTACTGGGATCTACCGATTTCGACCGACCGATGGTCACTCACTCAAACTCCTTCAGATCCAGCTTCCAGTCCGCCCCAGTCCTCTTGACAAAGCTGCCGTCTTCGGGAGCCTCGGGAGGATGCAACGGCACGTAGACGGGCTTCCCACCGTTGAAAATGATCGACGCGAGGTATTGGTCGAAGAAGGGCTCGATACAGATGACTTCGTCGCCCTTGTTGAGGAAGGCTAGAAGAGCGGCGTACATTCCTGTTTTTTGCCAACGGAGTCGAGACCATATATTAGCGTCAAACTTGGCAAATGCTTGATTTCGGTCGATACATTTAATGGAGACTCACCTTCGTTGGCTCCAGCAGTGACAACGATCTCCTCCGGTCGCAACTGTCTGTTCTCCCGGGTCAGGTTCTCGAATTGCGGCGAGTAGTGCGAGCTAATAGCCTTGAGCAGTCTGGGTCGGCCTCGAGGGTGACTGCGGACGTGGAAAATGGGATATGTTTCCCACGATACGGATCACGAGTTATAGATAATTTGCAAAGCGGAGTTAGTATGAAGTAACATGGGATGAGGGGGCTAGGTGGTAGGCTTACGAGTAGTGGTTGCTCATCACATCGCTATTCATGGCTTTGGCTGAAGCATCCCTGACCCACTCAGGAGGGTTCCAGTCTGGTGGTAATCTCCAGATCAGTTATGAGTCATCGAGTTATTACGATGCGATGATAGGCAGTAGAGGAGACGTACTCATGAATCCCTGACCCAGGTTGATAGCGTCAGGAGGCATGTTGGCAGGTCTGCCCAAGATTCGTCAAAGGAGGCATTCCGATCAGCACAACACGTACGCCCCACACGATCATGAGGTTCAGACCACTCCTGACTCACGTAAAGATACTCCATACATCCAGCTTATCAGCACCCCCATCGGCGAGCTTTTGGCTCTGCTTCTTCGCGGACCAGCTAGTCTTCGAGAGCGATTGCATACCGCCGGTACTAGACGAGCTGTTGACAGCGGTCCCGTTCGGCTGGACAGTGGACGTCGCCGCGGCAGTCTGAGGTGCAGTGGACATCTCGTGAATGGTACGGAATGAGTTTTGGGTGGTCCGAGGTATGAGTGTTCGGATGTTATGGAATGCGAGATTTCGGGTTGGACGGATGGGCATCCAAGTTGCTGTGGTCGGTTTGGCGGTGTCAGCTATGCGGAACCGGACGACCGGGGTTCTTTACCACTCACGACCTGTCAGATACGGTTGAAATAGGATTCGAGAGGCACAGTCTCAGATTTGCTGTGTACACAGGTTGTAAGGCGATGCAGGTCGCAGGTCGAGGAATCGTTCCCAAATTCCCGGATCCCACACATCGAGTCAGCCCTCCTTACCCTCTGGAGTCTCCAAAGGAAACCCGAAAAAGCTGACGATACGCGATCGATCACGGCATTCTGATAACGTGACGTAATGAAAAGCTCGGCATCTCTCGGCATCACGCCATGCCGAACGTTTCATTTAAAGAACGCCATCATTTGCGCTTGATGAAATGGCGTCGATGACTCTCGATGATGTACTGCCCTCCGGCGGTACATCTGTCCTTGATCACTATCAGATATCCTCGGCATGTCGCTATCTGTTCCATTGTTCTGGAAAGGTAGTAGGCATGTGCTATATGAATCGTCGCGAATGCATGCTTGTGATCGCCGCAGCGCTACGGCGGAGGGGTGGGTTCTCGATAGACCTGAAAGGAGGCCAAAACATCTCCTGGAGAGCGGTGATACCTATATATCAGAGGGAGAGATAAACGGGACGGAGCAGGTCTGCTCGTGGCGAATAACCTGTCCTCTTCCGTTTCATCAGCTTTCAATAAACTTTGTACCGATCGTATCATGTCTAGCAACACCGGAACGTCGGGATCCCAACATGCCAGTCAATTCCACTACGAGCTCTCCAGTTGTGGGATGTTCATAAACACGTACGACAATCGTAGGGATAGAAATCTCTTGGCCACAAGCGAAATCTGCCGTAGAGAAGATGGATCGTATAGGGAGCCGACTCTTCGATACACCGAAGGGGGACAGCTTTTCCACTTTAGGGACGGCCCCTCTGTCCATACAGTAGATCCAGAGTCACTGCATCGTCTTGCTCAGTCTACGCCCCTTTCGGACGCTTCCTTGCTACTGTACAGACAACCACTTGAAATAGCGGAGTTGTTTAAAGCCCATCGTGTAGACTCTTCGTCCCTTGTTCCGGCATCCGCGTCTGAACAGCAACGTATGTGTAACGCGAAAGTTCTAGGCAAGCCTTCTGATGAACGTTGCTGATCTGGGGTATTATATAGCTCAAGATGAGAGTGAAGAGGTTTTCAAGGACAATGGACGCGACGTATTTGACAGGACTCAAGAGGGACCGGAGATGCCGGTCGAGCAAGCCGGTAGCTCTTCGGAACAGCTGGTGAAGGGGCGCTTCGATCCCCTGAGTGCGGCTTTTCTGAAACAGCTGCCTATGGCGAAACAGGGGAGGGATCTCGAAGCAGCAGTACACCAGGCTCTTGGAAATGGGATGAATATCTTTACGTATAAATCGAAGTTCGGATACTGCGTACAATGTAAAAGCTGTCAAATACTTTGCCTGAGGAAACAGTTGAACAAGGACAGAATCGTGTGCTCGAGTTGTAAAGCAAAGGGTAAGACCACGGTGATGGATGGGTTGGTACTTATGAATAGTCGATGATATAGGCCCCTTGAAACAAGACTTGTAAGGTAAATGAATTATCGATCGAGCCCTTCGTCGAGAGCCCTCACAGTTTTCAAGCGTAGTTTCGGACCCACCCCATTCATCGTAATGGTGAACTCAAGATTGGTTCATGCAGTGCAGACGACTTGGAGAAAAATTCATTGCAAGGATTCAGAGAAAGTCTTTCCATATAATGACTGACCGCTGTATGCAAGCTCTCTGCATTTCTGGGACCCATCGCGCTTAGAGTCAGTCAGTTCAGCTGAAGCTTTCTAGCGAGATCACGTTGTGAAGCAACTACTGTAGCGCCTATCAGGTGCTCAAGGTAGAGGCATTAGCAGTGTCGCCTGCTAATCTGCTGACCTCCTACAGGTTAAAAAATGAGCCGAAATGAAAGGAGGTTCTCGATATGCATGAAAGGAGATCGCGTAAGCGGTGCAGGAAGATGGATTTATAACGCAGCACAGTCCGGCCTATAATGCCACCATGAAAACAGGAAATGGACCATATCACGAAGCATAAGCTGTCTTAACCTTCCCAACTCCAATCAATTGTCAATCAACCCTTGACTCGATTACACACGTCAAGACACACCGTCATATCTACTGAATCTAAGTGTGATCACTACATGAGTGACAACCATAGTTACCGGACCACTACGCCTTGATATCAGAGAGCCCATTACAGTACGTATTTCGATCGTCCAGTGCTTCTTGGAACCGGCAACTCAGAGGAGGGGTCGAGGAACTTCGAATATGACGCTGTGGGCGGACACTGCCTTGCTTACGGCGACGTTTTTGATCCCTCACAGGAGGACGCGCAGGAGGTTCCAAACACTGTTCACCTCACCGCCTACGTTGATGAGCTCACAAGACACTCACGAAACCATCAAGGTCCAATTGGTGGATCTGTTCACACCGGATAAGTTCCGTCTTATCACCGGAATCCGGCTTTGCTGGAACAATATGGCATGTCTCTTGCGCAGATGACAGCACTACCGTCGTAGATCGTTCAGTCATCAAGTTCTAGGTACGCGAATCTCCAGGGACAAGTGCAGCACAGTGATTGGCCCTCGCATTCCCCGCAGCCGTCAAGCGTATGTGCTGAACAGATTTCGGTCGGCTATCTCGAACCAGGATCTACTATGTTCGACATTTCCCTCATGCTGTTGAGTCATCTAAGCCACATCGTTAAATCATTAACTTCGAGTAACATCATAGTTTCAGAATAAGACCCTGGGCAAGTCGATGTGAATACGCACGTCGCACCTGGATTCTCCGCACCAACCCATCATCGGAATGTAGGGGTGGAGCAACCCTCCACCTTCGCAGAAGGTGTTCACCCAGAGTTATTCAAGTTATTCGATGTTGGCAGCACACCCTTTCTAAACAAAGTAAAAGCGGGTGACGGTGAGGAACTCGCAGATCTAGTCCGCCAAGCTCTGCGCAAGGGCGAGGAGTCCTTCGATTACCAAGATCGAAAGGGGTACTGTTCAAAGTGCGAGCCCTGCAATGTCTTATTGTTGAGGGCTCGACCCACGAGCGGGAGATGCTTGTGCACACTTTGCCGGGAATAAAGTTAAGTCACAACCAGACCGAAGGAACGAGAGGCAGGACCGCAAGGAATACTTGCGATCTGTAGTTAACGAATTGGTGAAGATTGAAACAGTCCCTAGAGTGTACGGACACTACTGCTCCTACTGTTGTATTCTGAGTGATCGAACTATGATCTCGAAAAGCCTCGAAAAGGAATTCTTCCCGCAATGTGTAGCAGGTATCATACACTTGATGACGGGCAATGTAAGACCGAGGCTATAAAAGAAAGCGACGAGATTATAGGCGGTATCTGAAGCTGAGTCCACTGCAATAGGATAGTAGGAGACCTATTCATGCAGTGCTCAAGCTCTGCTCGCTAAGCTCGGTCACATGAGGTCAGCTGCGCCTTCCTCCCCTTGCGTTGGCGGAACAAGAATATCCTATTATCACGTCGAAATATACAGCCGACTGAATTGTATGGCACTGCAGCGTTCTTTGCTCTGGTGTGAGAACCAGTGCACCCTCTTGGCATATCCATCGAGCGCATGAATCGTGGTCATCGATGTGCACTAGCGCCCAGTCGTAGTTCCAGAGGACCTCGTACAATGGCTTATTTTGGAGCACCTATGAGGCTATGTAGCTAGGTCACAAACATTGATATTGTCGTTATAAGCATTATTATGAGGCCTACCGAAAAGTGTAATGATCTGAGTTAGACTGAACAACGTCGAAGGTCCCCGATACTCATATCTTCAGAGATAAGCTTGACCCCCAGTGAGCGTGGCGTCCAGTGAGCACCGTATTCAGTCCGAAAAGCCTAGAATCTCGCAACAGCTGCTGTTGGACGAGTCTTCAATCAAGGCAAGTTTGCGTCATGACAATGAAAACTTCTCTAGGCACCAAATCTGTATATGAGGCTTTCCCAGCACTCCGCTAGATGGACGGCATTTTGATCTTCCTGGAGTCTAAAGGGCCACATAGCAGCGCAGTATTGCTGCTGTAAATACACTAGCTAATTTGACTGCCACAGTCACGCAAAAGCGAAACTTATCAACATCTTTTCACCAAGATCTCGACTTGTAACCCACCATGAATTCTCAGCGTTCCATCACGAGCAAGGGTGCATCAACTATTCAGTGAACGAAGTAGGGGTTTCAAAAATAAACAAGGGAAGTAGTAATGAGATTAAGAACCCAGCCCGAAAGACATATAAACGATATGTACATGCCTACTTGCGAGGGAGAAATGTTCACAGCGTTCGTTCTTGCTCCACAGCTCTTAATCTCGCTGACAGAGAATTCCAACCTGAATCATATGGACGCCACCACGATCAACCCTATTGAGGGTCAGTGGGTTTTGAATGAGGCGAATGAGCTGGTCTGGGTTCCTGTTCCTACTCCAAGCTTTGAGGAACAGCTACAAGAATCATCTTCAGCCCAGACTCAGCACTCCCATAGTGGACAAGGGCATTCTTCTCTGAACGCCTACCTACCTGAAAGCGCATTCCTTGCCCACTACGCTGAACATTACTTTGATAGGACAGCTGGAAGTCACACCACGACGCCATACAACACTCAGCAGGTGAACTCGGAACTATTCGCTTCATCCCATCATAATGAAGGTTCTTCGATAGCTGCCCCTCAGACCTTCTATGGCAGGGTCTCGTTCAGCTCGTATCCGTTCCAGCCACACGGCCAGAGATTCGGTCAGTTTACGCTGGGAAATACAGCCATGGTTTCATTCTGACCATTGATCGCCCTCAATACAGGATTGCCACCGCCCCTTATCGATCTGCCCAATCAGTCCAGGCCTTTCCCTCCTGTAGGTAGTAGGAGCATCAGTGGATTCCGTCAGCCACAGTCGGCATCATTTCCTGTTTCAGCGGCACAGGACGCCAGATATCAAAGTCTCATAGATGAACATCGTTCTTCATTCGTGAGTAGAACACAGACCCTGATTACTGGGCGGGAGCGATATGGCTGCGAAAGGGTGTGGGCATTCATGAAGTTGGCCATGGAAAATCATCTGGCTTCGAAGCCGTATGAATTGGACGGGTATGAGTGGATATCCAGGAAATGCGCGGCCTGTCATAGGTACTACGTGAGGACGGCTGCACACAAGGGTAAAGGTTGTCCATCTCGCGAAAAGCAATAGAAGCGAGGCTATGATGAGGAATATATAGAGATGCCAGTGGTCGATTTGCAGGGAGTTGTGGCCGTGCTAGAATGACATACAGGTAAAAAATAATGTACTGGTGGTTCAATTACTGACGAGTCCACCCACGACCCCTCTACAACTACGTGTTTTCGAGCGATGTAAGTGACGAGACGCTGCCCAGCAGATGGGGCTGTTTCTCGATTGACCTTTCAGCCGTATGTGGTTGAGAAAGGTCATGGTGTCATCTAGACCATTCTGTGTTCCCTTTGATGGTGTTCTACAGGCTTTCTTCATATTGTTGAATCTATGATTAGGTGGATCATGTCGTAGTCATCTACAAACCAGGAAAGGGGCTCGTGGTCACTATAGAATGTCATATCAAGCGAGAGACTCTTGGCTGTAGATCATGATCCAAATAGGGAGCAATCGCGGGCGCTGCTAGCATGCTCCCGCGCCAGAAATCACACAACACCATAGCACACAGCTGACCCGCGGGCGAGATCTCACCGTTTCGATTCCTGATCCCTCGCACCTTCGCTCTATTAATTATTGTGCTTCCTTTGAGGCTGACATCCGCCCTTCGATATGCAGCCAAGTTCACCAACTCGACTTACTGGACCACGCGACCGTCTCACAGGCAGGCGAGTCACTGAGGCCAATCGATATGAAAGGAGCTGGTAAACCTGTCGCCATTCATGCTTCTCAACTATGCGTGCATAAATATGTAGCCATAGAGCTAGCGCTGTCGATCGAACCAGTACAGGCTACATGGGCCAACCTGTTCTGTTGGAGTATCGCCGCATTCCGAACGCTGCGAACCATACAATCTCATCTTTAGATCTTTACTAGCAACATGGATGAGCGATCTCGGTGCATCGATTGGAGCGTATGCACCCATACAGACATGGTCCGCGACTCCGGAACGGATCCGTGGAACGAATATCTATCCCTAAATCAGAGCTGGTGCGAGATGAAGGATAGTTTAAACAAGTATCCTGACATTACAAGTAATCCTCTGCATTCATGCAGCATTGACCAAGGGCAGCAATCACAGAACCCTCAAGTTTACCTCCCAACAGCTTGTGACAACACCTCCAACCATGCGTTCTTGAGCCCTCTCTACCCGCCGCCAACTTTTCAAGGGCAGGACATGTGTCCACAGAGTCAAGAACAGTCATCAGACCTGCTGACCACATCGTGTCCCGTATTCCCCGCTCAGAATGCAACAACTTTCTACTTCGCCGATTGCGAACAAACACAGCTGATCCGGCCGGGCATGCTGGTCCCACAATCCCATGTTTCCGGAGATTGCGACGTGTCCTTGTATGGTTCAGATACCAAAAGCAGGTCTACGTCTACACAAGGAGAGCAATTTATACAGGGTCCAGCAGTCCTCACGGGGTCACCGTATGAGTCAGATACAGCCACTAACGTCAACCTTGAAGATCTAAAGCTGATGTACGTAGTGGACAGCCATATCTTTCCTGTATCCCTTGACTCGATTGATTGATTTATGTGCGTTCCTTCAGGAGCAAGCATGATCAATGTAATGCTACAGAGCAAGATACCGTGGGAGGGTGGAGACGATGGGACAAGCACAGCAGGAAGTGGCTGGATAAAAATCATCTGACGGGACGCGAGGCGGGATTGCTCGAAGCGGTGCAAGCGGCCTTCAATGATGGCAAGAATTTCTTCGAATACAAAGAAGCAACAGGATATTGCGCAAGATGTCCCAAGAATTCCTCTCACTTGGTATTGAGGGATCGTTCTACCAAGAGAGGGTTCTTCTGTAGGCCCTGTCGCGATAATAGCAGGCCCAATAGCAAGAGAAGGCGAAAGCAGCACCAAGTAATGGTGGCGCTGACAGTCACTAGCTCAGATGGGTCTCATGATGTCGAAAGTCATCTGTCTTCAGGCAACCAGGAAGAGCCCTCAGTCCTGCCTCAATCTGGGGGAATTGACAATGCTCTGTACTCGCGTCCAATCTTGCCCACGCCATTAGCGGCAGCTACTTCCGATTCTCTCTCCGAGTACACAGCCCCGACCTTCTACGGACCGAGAGTTGCCTCGCAAACGCACCTACCATCTGTCCCTGGATACCTGGTACTCAGGTCGACAGAGCATATCCCGCAAAATCTCTATTCACTTGAAGCGCGATTCGACACACACGGTACGAATTGGTTTCTGGATGCTGTAGAAGAGGTTCACAGACAGGACTTTCTGACGATAGTAGAAGACTCCTCTCGTACTGGACAACCTTTTGAGCACAAAGGGACGCGGTTGCAATGCGCACCATGCAGCAACTCGGAGTGTAATCTGCTAATTTTACGGCGATTCAGACGTCGAAGAGAAATCAGGATACCGCAGAGCTGTGATCGATGTAGGAGAGATGAAAAGGACGAAGAGAGGTCGAAAGGAAAATTGATGAAGATGCGCAGGACGAGCGCATAAGCGAGGGGGAAGACGCCAAGATTCACTTCTGCGTCTACCCATCTTCTGTACCTGCTGTGCTGGCGTGTTGCTTGAACCGGATGACTGGTTTTTTTTTTGTACCACTGAAAAGCAGAAGGGGGAGTTCTGCAGGATTGAGAGTAGAGTCGTCATCGCTGCTAAAATGTAGACAGGGTATCCCTTGTTCCTGCCGCAGACCTTTGAATCAAAGTTCTCAGAAGCGGAACAAATAGATGCAGCGTTGAGGGATCTGAAGTTGGTAGATAAGCACTTTGTAACGAACAGCATGGTACCCTTCGCTTTGCGTTTAGACGACTCCTACTTGTCGCAGCCTCAATTCGTAAACGGCCAGTCCAGCGAGATGACAGAGTCTTTTTATCATGTGCAGCATGTAAGAGGGAAAGTAGCTTGCGCCGCGAAAGCACGAGAACGAATTACCCCAATTCGTGATCGCTGTACAGGGTCTTTGGGAATATTGCGATGACGCAATACTCACGCTTGATGGTTACAACGCTAAGTCAGCTGCACCTCTCTAGCAGATACACGTGAGATCGTAACAGATATGGTTAGCGCCCTAGATGATGGCGCTTCTCGATATCCCCTCTCGCTCGGGTTACTGTATCGCCTAGTCACCTGCTAATTCCTCTAACAGCTACCGAGTCAAGGGGCAGAATGAAAGGAACGTCACAATTGAGAAGCTCAATTTCTCAGACAGGTATTTCGCCAACTTGCTACATATAACTGCATATACATGTATATACGAGCTGAATTCCGGGAGTTGTCGGTCCATCTAGCTTAGTAGAGTGTATCTTACCATTCCACCGCGGTCCTCACGTCAGCCTTGTTGATCGATATGGCGTCTCCTCCGAAGTATCCTTACTTGGATGGGGATGGGAACCCCTTAGGCCTACTCACAGCCGAAGAGGCAGTGCATTTGCTCAACTTGCCACCAAGGCCCTCAGTTTTCCAGACCTACAATGATAGTAGCTCTTACCCGCCCAAAGGATCGACCTTCCATCCCTCTATCCTGCCCAGCTATACAAGCGGAATTGACTCCTCGGTGGAGGGGATCTATACCAACAGCCCATCATCAGGATACACGCTCAGTCCCTCCGCAACGGTGGAGCCGGGGCTCACAACCTTCTCGTGGACGGAGCCCTCCTCCAAGAACGACTACGGGGCGAAAGCATCGACCGATGCAGGAGCGGGACATCTTGGCAACAAGAAGACCACCAGAAGGGGCGCGAAAACAATTGCAGTCGCGAAATATGATGCACCCAGCCGCCACATATGGAAACTATTTTCCGGGGGACATGACGACAAGGAATTGTATCGTCTGGTTACTGAGGCTTTGACTTCTACCGAAACAACAGAAGCTTTCATGCGGGGAAACGACCCGATCTACTATTGTCGATGCAGCCAACGAGATTGCAGCCTGATTCTTTTGAGAAGAAAGCCCATCAAAAGCGATGTTGTTACTCGTAGATGCGCCCGATGCACCAGAGACGGAAAGAACGATCTGATACCTTCTTCTACCACATCCACTGCGGTTCCGCCGGAGATGGACACTATGTGGCCGGAATGTGACGTCGCCCAAGGGTCTTTCATGCCTACTCTTGTCTCCACTCAAGGCTCAGGTATGGCTTTCGTCTGAAGCAAGATTGTAAGATCGATACTGAATATCTTTGTATGATCGCTTAAGATGCACTGTCCGGAATCTCCGGTCAGTTTGTGGACCATCCCCGGGACTATGAATTGGCCGAGAACGCACGAAGAATCGACAAGCCACAAGTGTCAAAGATTATTGACATATTGGTCAAGATGGGTGTTTTCGAGGTGGGGCAAGCTGACGAGAAACACTCTGAGCTCGTTGGCTTGATTTCGGAAGGTCTTTGCAAGGGGAATACACGAGTCGCCTTTGCAGGGACTTCGGTGAAGTACAATGTCTGCGGGGCAATGGGGACGTACTTAAACGAGGATGAGCCCTGCCGGAATGTTCTAGTCTACCTCGATGGTCCCCTGGCTTGCCACCCCTGTATGAAAAGGAAAGATGCAAGAGAACGGCGGAAACGTAATGCAAGAGCGAAGGCCAAAGCTGTGACGTTGCCACATTCCTGATGCCACATGGTCCTGGCTATCGCAACACGCTTCACGATGTGATGTCACGCATGAGGTTCCCTGGCTTGTGGAGATGATCTGACGGTTGTATCAATAGAATTGTACGATCATGCGAATTGACTGCGTTATGCGTTGCAAAATGCCCTTGCACCACTCTCTCAAGGAAGCATCCCATCTGATGCAAACATCAAAGGGCAAGACAAGGGAAGGAAACCGCCAGGTAGTAAACCAAATCCGAGATTGCAGATGGGCTCTGCTCCCCGGCTTCACATTCTCGCACCAGCCATACCTGAGCCGTCGCAGTCATCGGAAGCAGGTTTCACCATCGATGGTGCATCGATTGATTCTTACCCGGATTCTCGAACATATCAGGGTTGAGTCTAACTTTTGTGTCCCCCACAATCTCTAGGGCACGAATTAGGAGCGTAGCCCCTACTGTTGATACCCACCAGAATGTAGCTGAAGTATCATCTGACTGAAGAAAGCTCGGTTTTAGCTATAGTTTAGTTACTCTGTAGATTTGCTGATCTGTATAGTGGCCTAGATAGACAAAGTCATATCGCTTGGACGAGGCAGCAACGATACATGCGCTTGTTCAGTCAGAGTGCGATTCATCTGCAAAATGGTCAAACCATTCCCGAGAATCTTTCACTGCTGATCCGTATCTGTTTTGCTGAATGAATGAATGAATGAAAGGAAATTGGTGAAACAGAGTCAACAATTGCTCAACTCCGCTGGAACGATATTGCAGTGATACGGCAGCTGAAGCTCTATGAACCACTGTCCTGAGATACGATTAGGAGTGGTGTCATCTGCATTGTCAAATACTCAGTCTTATTCCGCATCAGTCTCGTGACGTCGAGTCCGGCATGAGTATCAGTACGTCATTCGATTTGAAATTTGCTATTCTTACAATAATAATGAAAGGAATTCGAAGCTTCTCAACTATACTATCCTCAGATTTCTTCAACCTTCCTACGTTATCCAGTCGAAAGCCGCGGCTGAGTGGAAGAAAGGATTTGGAGGGTTCTCGCGAAGCTGTGTTACTGAAGACTGATATATATAAGCCTGCATGGGGAACGTCACCTCGAAAGCGTAGAGGAGAAATGATTTGGATTCATACCGATTGCGGTTCTCCATTATTCCCACCTGCCCATAGCTATGAGTAACTCTTCTACCAACCACGACAACAGGTCATATTCACATGGACTACATAATATTTCGGTCGAACCGGTCGAACAATTACCTCGGAGCTTATCGGAAGCATACATATCCTCGTTCGACCACCAATATCAAGTCACTGTCTCACAGCCTCACCTTGGCGAGACGTCCATCAGTAGTAGTGTCAACGACCAGATACACGGGCTCGAGTCTCTTCCATTGCCCGAAAAACCCCCAAGCTTCGACGAATTCACTGCTGCAAGCGAGGCTTTACAAAGAGGGATTTTTAATAAGCTAGAGCGAGAGGTATGGGATCGCATCAATGGTGACACAAAGACCCGGATTAAGCGGTGGTTGGGCAAAGGTTTCAAGGAAGGAGATGAAACCTACAAAGACTTCATCTCTACCTTGTTGAAGATCTTGCAGTCTGGAGGCGGACAATTCCAGTACGGCGATAAGTCCTTGTTTTGTCGTTGTTGTCCTGGAGAATATCTACCAAACAAAGTTAGGCAATGCGATCGCATCCTTATCATTGTAGCGGGAAAGAGAAAAGTAGGTGATGTCGTGGGCTGTCAGCAATGCCGAGACGCAAGAAAGAGTCTCCGTACGAAGGAGCAGGGGGAACATCAGATTTCACAAAACCCAGTCACTAAGGATGACCCTACGCATCCCCCACATTCTAGCTCGAATAGTCTTAGCGGAATGATTACCATCGGCGACGATCCGGAGCAACCATCATCGTATCAAAGCTGCACATTCCCGACAAGTTTCAGCCCAAAGACCTGTAAAGAACCCCGGAAAACACCGCGAGAACCCAAACGAGAGGTACGTCAACAAAGACCTCTAGACTCACCGAAGAAGTTGCTCCGGCCTGCGCAGTCCGTATCTGAGTCGGATCCCTGCCATCTTTCCTGGGGAGATCTCGATGCTCTCACCCAAGCATATCTACAGCACCATCATGACAGTGCGCTTCTTTACGTCTTGCAGAGAGGCTATAAAAGTCTAGCAACCAGTGCGCCGATGCCACTTGGGGGTCAAAACTTCAGCTGGAAGCGTTGCGCAGACCGACACTGCCCGAGAGTACTCATGTTTCGAAGCCACACCGATGGAGAGACCCATCCGCTCGCCGACAGAAGCCTTTGTCAGCACTGCACGGATTAAGGCAAGGTGATTGCGTGAAGGCAGTGGAAGGGAGAGTGCATATTTGTGCGGCAGGTGAACCGGTTTCATATATGGAAATAGATCTCTTTTCACAAAGAGATGCATGTTGGTTGTAAGATATGATATCAAGTAGGGTTGCATTCCGTACAAGTGAATAAGGGTCTGGTTATGGTGTCCCAGCGGCAGCAAAACTTGCCTCGAGTGACTTGACGAAAGTCGATTTGGAGGCCTTCAATCTGATCCAACGAGGGCAGAATTACAGGCTTGGTAAGGCTCGCTTGTATGAGCGAAGTTCATTGCGTAGTGTAAGTGAATTGCATCGGCACAGTTGCCCAGTGCGATGACATGACCTCGATGATGTGACCAAAATTACTTCAGAAGTCATCACATCCTCGATCAGGGAACAGTCTTGGCAGGCATCTCGAGTTTTACCTTAGAGGTGTAGCTCCGTGGCGATGACTTTAAATGAAGATCGTCTCGATCGAACCATCTGGCTACATGTCGCGATATTCAGAATCCTTACGACCCACGAAGTAACACTAAAGAATGCATATTACATTATTCAAGCAGGATTCCGAGAACGTCAATCTCTGACGATATCGAAGTTGACTTGGTAGACGACCTCTTGAGTCTCGAGTTTGGGACGATTTCGCAGTATTGGGAAAATCTCCTGAACCCATAGCATATCTTCCGGCACGGTAAATTTGACTTGCGCTTACTTCCAGATGAGAAGAGCTGGCGGATACATTGAGAACGCATTTGGGAGGTGGATCGGAGGAGTTTTCGATGATCGATCGTCATCGCTGGACAGCTTGAACAACGCGCGCTTGTACCGCCAAGTCGCCTTCTCATGAATAGGTATACTCGCAATATATAAAGCATTTCACGGATTCGAGAGCGAATGGGTTCCCTCTCTCATCATAGTCTCAGCTTACGAAGCGAAATCTGCGCATGTTTGTCCCGGGGCGCGACTCAAGGGAACCGGTGACAGTACGAAGAAGCATGATTCAATGAAAGGAGGTCTTGTGGCTCTACTCCGTCTGTATGTACAAAGGGTGAACAATACTGCGACGGCTAAGTAAGGTGTTGGCTTTCCTGATGCAGGGCAAATGCGGTGATACAACCACATACTCCCAGTGGTGGCGATCGACAGAATCATAACTTCAATCATGTTCCGGACATCGATCGACATGACGCAAACAGACGAAACATCGCCTCATGCCATCACCGGTGTTTCTCATCAGCGTTCGAGCGCTCACCACACCCGCTGGCCAAGAACACGAGGAGGGATGTCAACCACGCCAGCAAGTATATATGATACCGCATACAATCAGTACCCCCCGTCGCCTACGATTGCAACAGAAGCAATGACCGGTCATACTGGCCAATCCTTGGACGATCTTAGCTTTTTCGAGCCATCGCTGGAGACCTCAGGTGTAGATCCCCCAGGCAGAGTAGTGGATACAACGTATGCTCAAGCTTCTGGACACGATGAATCAAGTCTTTCAACCACGCCAACCGGTCGCATTCGGGTAGTACCTGAGGGGCAATCGCAGTATCAGGACCCTTTCCACGGCGAGGTTGAATCGGCTCTCGCATTTTCTCTTCCGACAACATCAGGGCTATGGCGGGACGGGCATAGGGGCGACGCAGTACAATGGAACGACGTTGAGGCCCAATCAAGACGCTACCTAACTACTTTCCTGAAAAAACATGGTATCAGAGCGGGTGATGCGGAAGATAGAAAGGTCCGAGAGAGCTTGCACAGTGGTCTGGCGGGGAACGGTCGCTTTGTGGCTTGTGGAAAAGTGTTTCTGTGCGGGCTCTGCGACGGAAAAGAGACAGTGCCGGGGTGCGGAGACATTCTTGTTCGCATGGAACATCATGGGTCCATTCGGTCCAAAGAGTTGAGTTGTCGAAAGTGCGACGCGAGGGCGGCAACCAAGGCGCCAGGGTCGGTTGAAAGCAGAGAAGCGAGACCTCTCGAGTATCCGATCGGGTCCGGTGTCGATCAAGCGGTTTCTCATTCGTCTCCACATATGTCGGTCCCCGACTGGGCATCGAGCGACATGCCCTCGATGCATGAAACGGCATCATCTCCAATACATTTCGGATATGGAACCGCCTCCCAAGAGATCAGGACCTATGCGCCGATGTCAGTCTACCTGCACAGTTCCGAGGAGCTGTCACAGCAGTTTGTTCAGGAGATGATAGGTATGTCGGCTGCCGCATGGAAGCACGGTAAGCCTGTTTTTGTTGCTGATAAATCTGTGCGCTTCCAGCGGGCCCTTCTGCGATCGGCAGCGAAGCGCCCGAGGCGGTGATATGGACGCAGGTCGAAAGAAGGTCCAAGATATTCTTATTAGAATGGCTTCAAAAGGTAGAAGCGACTGCAGATGAAGAGAGCGAATTCCTGCAGAGGTTCAGCACGGGACTGAAGACGGACGGGAACTTTACCTTTAAAGGGCAAGGATTTCGCTGCAGCCGATGCGCGAAATGCAAGCGGATCCTTGCACGTCTGGGTTACTGGGCGATGTCGGGTAGATATGCAACGATACCTTGTGCCCATTGTGCCAGGAATAGAAAAGACCGGGAAAAGCGGTTGAGCGAGAAGACACTTCGCCAGGACAAAGCTTCGTCGGGCGCAGGTCAAGGTTCTCCGATGTAGAAAGATTGTAATACCTATATGTGGTAGTCAGAGATGTTATGTAGTAGAAAATACCGATTGGCAATAAATAAACACAGTCGCAGCGACTGGAATTTCGAATTCAGCAGGATATGGAAGAAGGCTTTGATCGTGCCCGGCGTCGCCATAACATATTGGTGTGCAATACGTTTCCATTAGGTCGCGGCATCTCCTCCTAATCTGATATCTATATGACGTGTAGCAAGAGCAACATCATTTACAGTCTGCCCTGGAGTTGAATGCATATCGAGCTCGAAGCCTGCCTGCGAAAAACCAAGGTGAGACGTCCCTCTTCTGATCCCGTCACACACGCACCCAAACTTGATTACGTCAGCAGAATCCTCGCAGACTCTCGATCGAGATCACTACTACTCTTCAACCTCGTTGTTTGATATCATCGTTTTAGTTGTGCACTGGCCCAAGAACATACGCTCAAGCTACTACCGAAAGGCAAAATAGATAGTCGCGATAGTCGTCATGTCGGAATCCAGACGTGCCACGGTGGCAGAGGCCTCTCCGTCTCCCGAACCAGAGCAGCAGACGACCCAAGAGGAAACAACGGTAACCGATGTTCCTCCTCTTCCTGACGAACCAGAACCCATATCGACAGCTCCACCATTACCCGAAGAGCCTGAACCTGAATCTGAAGCGAAAGGACAAGAAGCAACGGGCCAGGACGATGAGGTATGGGATCCTGCGGCCGAGACGGATCTGAAAGGGAGAAAGGCGGTAGAGGAAAAGAAGGCTGGAGACCAAAACGATACGGGCGGATGGCAGGCCGTCTGGGCACCAACAGCGAACGGTAAGTCATCTTCCAGCTGAAAAGCTTGTATGAGGGCTGGTAGCTGAAGGTTAGTCACCGACCCTTGTTAGCCTACTACTTCTGGAACGCAAAGACGGGCGAGACGACTTGGACGAACCCGCTCGCACCACCTCCTACAACCGGACCTTCCTCTCAACCACCTCTTCCGGTTGAACAGCCTCCATTACCTGATGAACAACCGCCTTTACCTACCGAACAACCCCCTCTCCCTGAAGCGATTCCGTCGCTTCCCGCGGCCTCAACTTGGGGTCAGGCATACAGCGCTCCTTCATCCTCCTCGTACACCGCCAATCCGGCTCTTCCGGCAGACAACGGTCTCCCCCCTATCGACCCCGCTTTGTCTCACCTCCTCCCGAAACACCAACAAGTCGGTTCCAACTTCCAATCCGCATCTTTCAACGCCCGGACCGGTCGGTTCACCCCGGCCGACTATCAATACACCGTAGACCATCTGGACGAGGCCAACCGAGCCAAGAGACAGGAAGGTGTATTCTTCGATGTGAGCGAGTGGGAGAAGAAGAGGGAGAGCGAGTGGCAGGAGAGGAAGAGAAAGGAGATGGAAGGTGGAGCTGAGGACAGGACCAAGAACAAGTTGACAAAGGCGGATATGGTGAGCCAATCGGGACGGCTGGTGAAAGGAGGACATTAGTGGGATCGAAGCTGATCCGAGAATCTTCTTTTCTATAATCTCGCAGGATCGATTCCGGCAGAAGAAGCAGGAAAAGAAGGCCCGAAATAACGCTTGGCTACGAGGTTGAACTGGGTTTCACGTGGATTTCTATTGTATGATCACCATCTGTCTCGTATAGCAAACGAGACACTCTAGATCACCTCAATCTCAAGATCGCTATCCCCTTCTTCCTCCTCGCCATCGGCTCCATTCTGGCCGTTGACACGGACCAGGCCCTCGACGACGTCCTTTTGCGTATCCTGCCCTTCGTCTCGTTTCAACAACCCTACCAACCTGATCATCTGATCCTGAATCTTGTCGTCCTTCTCGGCCTCGTTGGCGAGCTTGATGACGGTATACGTCCCTCGTTCTCGTAATGATGCTCGCCCGGTGAAGCCTGGAGACCATCAGATCAGTCTCGTGATACGACCCATACAAACTTAGATGTCAAGGAAGAGACAGGAGGAAGGTACGTACTGGTGGCGAGCAACAGCAAGATCTCGACGCACATCATCCTCAGTACAGGATCCCGCTCGCGAACCTTGTCCGGGCCCAAGAATTGCAACGTCTCTGGTAGAGCGTCGCCCTCCTGCGACGTCAACCAGCATGACGATATCAGTATTGACCTGACAAGCGAGTTGGACCCTCGGGTATCATTCTTAGCCCGAGACTGACCTCGATATCGATCTCCTCGGGTCCCATCAACGGGGACAAAACCCAGGGCAGCACGTCCACGCCCTTGATCTTTCTCTTGGGGTCTGTCGGGTGTTGCACTCGATCGGCTGCAGATTCACGCGCAAAACGTCTTGTTCAGCAACGACAAGCGAAAAGACTCCAGACGAGAGAGCTACCGGACTCACCCTCGGTAGCGAGTAAGAACGGATGGCTAGCCCTATCCATCGCCGCATTCTTGATACACCCCAGTGCACCTCCGCGCCGGATAGTATCCGGGTGTTCAGTGTAAACGACGATCTTGGTCAATAGGGGTTCGTCTTCCGGCGATATGGTTTCAGGCGTGATAGGTGTTGGGAAGGCCGGGAAGGGAAGGAGGAGGAGAGGACGGGTTGAAGGGACCTGTGAATCGGATCGCATTCGTACCGGGACGAATTACATTAGTTATTCTGAACATCCGGTATCTTAGCGACTACCTATCAGCCCGTGACTGACCATACTGATGTTGGCAAACACGCTAGCCAAGAAATGCACTGTCCCCTTCCTCTTCGCCCCCTCTACCGCCTTGGCAACCCCCTCGCTAGACCCGTCTTCGAACGCCTGCACGAGCGCTCTTACGGCTTCTACACGGGGCACGGTAGTCCCCTCGGCTTCCATCTCGCTACGATATCCAGGGTGGATGGTAGAGGAACCTGAGCGGGAGAGGGGGAAATAATATGGCGGTGGAGGGATCTTATTTGACGACGAGTCCGAGTTGCCAGTCGAGTCCGTGGAAGAAGAAGTAGCGGGGATGGAGATGATGGGGATGGTCAAGTTGGAAAGCAACGGGGTGAGGGATGGATGGAAGGTGATGTTCGAAAGCAGCATGGCGGCTAGTGATGACAGAGTTGCCGTATGCGTCTGTAATATTTTATGTCACCAAAAGTAGATGAGACAAGGGGAAAGAGCGCAGCGTAATGATTCAGCAAGTGTCATCATAGGCGAAAGAAAGAGGTCGCAAGAGCTCACAGCGGTGAAAGAGACGAGAAATGCTAGGAACTCTTCGTCCACGAGATGCTTGGCCACAAGAATGCTATCGCTCAGGTTGACTAGCGAGGAGAAGGCATCGTGTGCGATCATCTACATAGTCACAGGTTATGATGTCGCAAATTAGCCTTGTTAGCATTCGCAAATCAACCTTCTAAAAGAAGAACATTGTGACTCACCGCCTGATCCCGACAGAGCGTCTTCAGATCCTCCAACATCTCCACCTTAGCCCTCTCCGACTCAGAAACTCCCGTCCCCTTTCCAGCTTGCAGATCCTTCCATACGGGAGTCCCGCCGCTGGGTACGAAGATGTTCCTGGACGCAGCGGTCTTGGGGGTGTGACCGGCGAGGTTGGCGAGTGCTAGTTCTCTCGCATCGGGGTTGGGAGCGTGGAGGAACTGGAAGAGCTCGCTGAGTCCCGACATTTTGTGAACGCTTTTTGAGATGTTTATATGTGATGATCTAAGAGCTGTTGAAACGTTGATTTGAGTCCACTCTGACTTGTGTCTTTCGGAACTCTCCCAACTTTTGCAAGACGAAAGTGGAGCATATTCAAAGTTCGAAAGAGCGAGGAACCTCGAGCGATGAAAGGTGGAGGTCAGTCCATGTTTTGAATATCACGTGATATGGAACACACGGGGGGACCTCAAAGGTACCTCTTCGAACTCTTCTCTAAAACAAGATCAACCTTGGTAACGACCGTCTTCGAAGCCATATACCATTCAAGTCTAACTCGCACAATGTCCTCAAACTTCCAATTTCCCCCGGGTCTCAAGCCGGCTGCGGCCCCCGGCCAGGGCGGTGGTCCTCAACAGCCCGGACAGGACGAAGAAGCCCGAGCAGCTCAAATGCAGGCAAAACAGCAGGAAGAGGAGATGCGGAGAGGGATGTTAGGTCAGATCCTGGAGCCTAGCGCTAGGGAGCGATGTAAGCAGAACCCTTCTTGGTCCTATCCATACCTTTCGACAGCTGACGTTTCGCACCTAATCTCGAATCGAAACGACCCGTAGTGTCCCGGATAGCAATGATCAGACCCTCTCAAGCCGAAGCTATCGAGCGACAACTGATCAACCTGGCCAGATCGGGACAGTTGACGAGAAAGCTAGGAGATGACGAGCTGAGGTCGATGTTGGAACAGGTGAGTTTCGCCGGCGTCGCGATGGGTTCCCTGTCCGTCTGCTGATCAGAGGTACCTATCCTGTGCTTTATATTCTCTCTTGCTATCTATGCTGGTTGGAAAATGGTAGCTATCATCCTCGCAACCGAAACCTACCCAACAATCTGCCGTACAGCCCAACTCTCGAACCAAGTCGCTAGGAGGGGGAATCACAGTATGTACCGATTGCTTCTCATCCCCCTTTCCCCGCTGCATTCGCCGGAAGTTATCGATTGATGGCATGATATGATGATACATGTGACTGACCCGTTTTGTGTATGCATTTCGCGGGAGCGTAGATACAGAGGAAGAGGGATGAATCGGATTCGGACGAATACGACCTCTAAGTGATCTACGCTAGAAGGATTCGGATCAGGATTACGGTCTGTAACAGTAAGGTTTATCAGACATGAATATGCAGTCACACAGCAACAAACCACGGCGAAAGACTTCGGATTAGTAAAGCATGAGAGCTCGTGTCGTTTCGAGGTTGAACACTATGGGTATGGTGGTCGTTCTCGGGCGAACAGTTGCAATCGGCTACTGTTCGACGCATGCAGACAAACAACCTTCTTCACCGAGCACGACATCGCTAAACCCCGTTTAACGATCTGTAGCATCGGCATCGTCGGGCCAAGGCCTTTTGCTACTTCAACAGAGCTTCTCTGCCGAGATTCCAAGCTCCGGGCAGACCGAATGGGTGTGTCTAAAGCAAGAAGCTCGATTTGACAACTATGTCGTCTCCTGGGACAACGGAGACGCTTAAACCAGAATGGCCATTGTTATGGGAATGCTGACACTTGCAGAGCTTTGAGACTCCGGGACTGGCACAGAGGTGTTTCAGGGCTAAGAAGCTTGTTTCGCCATGACGCCATGTTGAGGAACGATAAAGGAAGTTCTCGAGTAGGATCGTGTGGAGTACGACGGGAGGTCGGTAAGATCAGATGAGGCGGCCTCGACTCACAAGCGAGATAACGTGGTAATCGACTGATGAAGGAAGAGATGCCGAGAGGAATTCATGGGTAGTAGGACGGAAAAGACGCCGTGCAGCTTGTTCGTAACCACGTTTCCAGAAGTGGCACCTGTAAGGGGTAGTCATAACTCATACCAGTCCAAGACGCATGGGCCTGAACAACAGCAAATATTGACCGCAACCCTTTGGGGACAGGGGTCATGGCGAGGATGTGATTGTCGCGATCAATCGCTGCCAAGCCAATCAAGGAGAAGTAGGCAACAGCCGAACTTTTCTTGATAACAAAAGAGTTGCGATCGGCATGACGGCCCGAGTTGTGAGCTGGATTTGATATCTCGATTCCGGACACCGACACAGGTCTTTGAAGGATCCCCCTGACCAAGGGGGGTGGCGATGCGTCTCGAAGTATTGCGTGCGAGGGAGCTCCTTTGTGTGACGCCATTAAGGTGGCATCGAAGTGGTCTCGTCTCACGGCGTCGAGGTTTGTTATATATACAAGTGAAAGTATAGGAAGAGTTACCGATCTTCGTGTCGGCGTCGTGGGTATATCTTCAACTGAACACACGAGTAGACAGGACCATCCGCTTCTGTCACACCATCCTGATACCTCGAGCTATCTGTATTATCGCAACCATGCCGGATTCTGCATCTTCGACGCCCATCTCTCCAAAGAAAAGTAAATTCCAGCGCAACCGATCCCCCAAAAGGTCTTGGGCCGCACCACCGCGAACTTACAGCTCTGGGTACCAGAACAGCTCTGATGCCCAGCGAAAACTACAAGAAAAGAAACCCGACCACGGCAACGACGACCATTACTTTTACGAAGTAGCTGGGACCGTTACAATGCTGACAAAGGAACCAGGTACAGGAAATCTAGACGCGTTTCCATGGGAGAGGTATCCCAGTAAAGCCGGCTCCAGCTCCGAAATCATCGATGGCTCTTCGAACGGCGGCTTAAACGCTTGGAATCAAGAATCTGCCAATTCGAGCGTAATCGACCCAGAGGCCAGCAGTTCCACCAAGGGAAAAGCTTGATCAATGATTTTTTTGTGCGAAATTCGTATGTACGAGGGAGTGACCATCATGATGGATCATGTACACTTTGAACCATGTGAAATTTAAAAGATTGAGCCATGCGAGGTTGGGCTGTTTCAGGTCGAAACGGTCGTCTGACCACGTCGCGCTAGACTAGTTGTGATGGTGTGACGCGTGAGAAAGCGAATTTGAGCTTCAACTCCAGCACACACCGAGCCTCTCGCGCCTCTCTCACACAACCTGCTCAAACGATATCCGAGGTAGAGATCGTCGATACAACCCCAAATCACGCAGACATTCTCGCCCTTCCGCTCTTTACATCTCGTCTTCGTCAGAGTAAACGGTACGCTTATCACACCACCCGGTCACCCTCACACACGTCCCGAACCGGAACGCTCAATCGATACGATAAACGCTCCACGCGTGCTTTTGTTCGCGAACAGGTCTTCACCTTTACTATCATCCATACCCCCCTTTCCACTACACGGCCGGTGAGTTGGCATGGGAGTTGCAGTAGTCACCAGGATATCCCGTAGGAGGAAGGTTGCTGATTCGAAGGTGGAACGGCGCTATCTTGGGGTTCGGGTGCAATCGACGTGATTTATGGGTGGTGATCAGTCTAGGGAATATGTAAGTCGAACGATCAAAGTCTCATACGATCAAGGTCGCGATCTGACCGACTAAACTGCTCACTGCCATCTCGTGCACGCCCCTATCCCGAATCTTGTTTCGGTCTTACGTTCCAATCTCTCTGCCGATGCGACCTTCAATACAACTACAGACAAAACAACAACAATGGGTAGGTCGCAATCGATCGACCTCATTCCTCGCATCTTTCGCATCGACTGAACATCCCGAACCTTTCTCTTCATTCACGATCACCAGGTCTCAACTTCTCAAAGCTCTTCAACAACATGTTCGGGAAGAAGGAGATGCGTGAGCATCACAGCCTGCCGCCCTTCCAGGCTGTTGTTCGGCGCGCTGACGTGTTCTGGTGGAGGGGTGTATAGGAATCTTGATGGTCGGTCTCGATGCCGCTGGTAAGACCACCATCTTGTACAAGTTGAAGTTGGGAGAGATCGTCACCACGATTCCTACTATCGGTGAGTCTCCCGCTTCGACATCTGATTCCGATCTGCCTTCTCAGGTTGGCAACCGGAAATCGGAATGTTGAGTGGAGATGCTGATCCTGATTCGATCCCGGTTTGCAACGCACGCAGGATTCAACGTCGAGACCGTCGACTACAAGAACATTTCCTTCACCGTGTGGGACGTTGGTGGTCAGGACAAGATCAGGCCTTTGTGGCGACACTGTCAGTAATAGCCCCGCCTTCTACCTGGTTGTCGAAAACGAAAACAGAAGATGGATCGCTGATCTGTGGGGTGTTTCGTGTGCGGACGATATAGACTTCCAAAACACCCAGGGTATCATCTTCGTCGTCGACTCGAACGATAGGGACCGAGTTGCCGAGGCCAGGGAAGAGCGTGAGTTCTCCTGCCTGCTCACCCATCTACTTACATGGTGGTTCCATTCGTCGATTCTGACATCACGAACGCATTGGCTTCATGTGATAATAGTCCAGCGAATGTTGAGCGAGGACGAGTTGAGGGATGCTCTTTTGCTCGTTTTCGCCAACAAGCAGGATCTTCCCAACGCCATGAACGCTGCCGACCTCACCAACAAGCTCGGACTGCCCTCTTTGCAGTGAGTCGGACTGTATTACGTGTTCGAAAGAGACCTTTGCTGACGGGATGCCGTGTATCTGTAGGAGCCGACAATGGTACATCCAGGCCGCTTGTGCTACTTCCGGTGACGGTCTTTACGAGGGTTTGGAATGGGTCAGTCTTGGTGTCCACTTTGTAATGTCGTCTGTGCGATCTGGAGCTAATGTGTGCGTGGTGTCTTTGTAGCTGTCGCTCAACCTCCGAAAGCGTGAGAAGTAGAGAGAGGGATGACGAGAGGATTGTATGAGGAGACCAGGAGGGGAAGCGGTTAAGGGCTTAGGCGGTTGGAATAGGCCATTGCTCTCTCGTCACGACAGCTGGATAAAATCGCCACGAGCTAGCGAGCGAGGAGCGGATCTGTTCAGTCGACTGAGGCCCGAGGCCCGTTTCGGGAGGAGCCAGGGAGCATCTGGTAGTTTTGTGTTCTTTACTTTGATTCTTTTCCCCATATCTTTTGTTTCGCGGCTAGTTAGAATATCTTGGTTGTCAAGCAGCAGTTGATAACGATAAACGCCTTCTCCATGCTTGGATCGTGTGTTGTTTGTCTGATCCTTGCATGATGACCGGGGGCAAGAAGGGAAAGACCGCGTCCGGACATTGCAATTTTAGGATGTCCGCGTTTTGGCTTCGATCTCACAAATTGTCAACACCCGACACTGAGGTGCGTACGAAGATATGGTGGAACGAGACGATGGCATAATTGGTCTGGACATGATAATAAATAGTTCGCTATAATAACGAGAATTGTAGGACGGAAAGCGAAGCCTGCAGACCACGCCGAGCGACAAAGGGTCGTAACCCCGCACCCGACTGTGTCGAAACACCAAATCCATCAAGCATTTTGAAAGTCCTTTTTTACTAAATTTCGCTCTTCTTCGACGCCATGTAGGGTTATACCATCCACATTATGAAAGCGAGACGTATCTGAGCGGATCATCTCGCCGGCTATGGCCCTTGGTTATAAGTCGAAGTCGTGTAAGATGAAGAAAAGGAGAAAAGAGGGCGCGGGTTAGGAAGAGTGGGTGATGATTGCTTTCGAGCTGGATTATATACTCGCCCAAGAGCTCACGAACACGCGAGGAAGCGACGTGTCACGTGAAAATCTCGACCAGAAAGATGACGATCGACGGGAGGACTCCGATGGTACAGGGGTGTATCTAAACTTCCTGCTCTTCAGGACAAACAGTTACATGGCTCTGAGTATCGATTACAAGCTTACAAGACTTATACAATAGACTTTACGACCATGTCCAAACGTACTGACGAACCAAAAGAGGTTCTCAACATCTCGGCGGGTAACCAACCGATCACAGAGGATCCCAAACCGCTCAAGCCTGAAGATCGACGGACAGGCGATTTTAAGCAGGATTTCTGGTCGGCTTTTAGGGTATGGCTTAGTTGCATACTCTTCAAGCGGCACAGGCATGCTCATTTAGCCGTACTGCGTACATCGTTTGCTTTCCTTGTGGGGAACAGCGGATACGACCGATAGATGACTTACAGAGTAAGCCGATCACATACCTCCAGCTTTAACATCTAGAGATAACTAACAAGACGTCGTGTTGCTTGGCGTAGGTATAGGAACGATACCATGTGCACGAGAATCGTTGTTAAGCGGGATTGCGGGGGGGTTCGGGATCGGCTCTGTACGGTATATCAGTAAACGAAGTGAGTTTTTCCTTTTTTAGAGGATAGAGAGGCGATGAGGTTGTAGCGTAAGCTGAGAAATGCGATTGCCTTCATGTGAAGTGGTGGGGACAGCGACGAATTGGGCCGTCGGATCTTTTGTCGGGATCTCGATCCTCATGTGGTAAGCTCCATTCACATCTTCCGTCCAGACCCATCAAGCTGATTAAGACTCACTCCGGTCTTGATCAGGGAAAACTGTCGACGGAAACGAGCCAAAGAGCTGGCTCAGATGAAGTTGATCGAAAAGCAATTTGCTCATCGACACGTCTCCAAGCTCAAGCGGAAAGATGGGTCGATCCCGGAGACGAGTTCGAGTCAGGGTGAGACGCCTACGTCGGCACCGATAGTGTGATAACGAGGGCATATAGGTCACAATGTACAAAACAAACAAGCGAATGCCAAACAGTGGCATAGCAATATCACACTGTTCATGGTCTATTATGCATTTTATGATCAACGTGTCTTACGGGTCTGGCTGGCCTTCCCGATCTTGTTCATCTGCTCATCTGGTTACTCTCCGGGTTGTAAGTGGAACTGTTCGCTATCATGTTCCTGATCATGCGTGGTCCTTGCAGACAATTCCATCACAACGCAACAATGTGGGACGATCATATAATCTCGTGTCTTAGATCACAAGAAGTCGTGAGGTATACGTTATTCATCAATTGACAACCGCTTCACATCGCGTGCACAAACTTTCGCTCTCTTCAGCAATCGAGATCCAGCATCGAGGGCACTTGTGCTTGGGTGAAGGGACAAGCTCGAGGTGGATCGGGGCGGTGCTGTCTAATGCTGCATTTGTTGCGAGAGACTTTCGTCAGAAACAACGTCTGGACGGTGGCACTTGAGAATGTCAAGAACATACCGAGTTGCACTTCGTTGCTATATGTCCATGCAGATGTTCCCTTTACTTCATCTTGATTACTATGCTTCCCGACTTGAACTTCGGCTACCGAGAAGATCTGGGCTAATTCTTGTTCTGTAAAATGACACTGGGGGTTTAACGGTCATCCAAAGTCTGGACCAAAGGACAGCACGCACGATGTTCCTGCATCAGACTCTGTGTGGCGGCATCTCCGCCGGTGATTCGGAGCATGGCTTGTTTGCCGGTCTTCAGAGCCCTAAGAAAGGTACTATCAGCACATGGAGGAGATATCGCTGCAAGAAGACAGTTTCTTACTTGTCGTTTCGCGCTTGCTCGAGCAAGAGCATAGTGTATTGACGGATTTTCAAGAGAGGCTCCATCTTGGTTGCAACATCTGGTAGATGCCATTTCCTTGCCTATGATTACGAGCGGCATCATCAGCGTTCAGTCCAGCAACCGCAATCTGAAAGCACGAACATCATCTGTCCATATCGTCGATGGTCCCTCAGGCTTCTCCGTGAGTTGATGCGATACCTCTTCGCTCAAATGGGGAGTGATAGGAGCCAAGATGCGGGTCATGCGGTAGAGGATCTGTCAAAGCCCATGAAGCGCGTCAACCATTGCGAGCAGACAGTCGAGACGTCGCAGACTCACATGACCGAGTACAGCGGCTACAGCCTGACGACGTGAACTAGTTGCCTCGTCGCAGTACAAGATGTCCTTGGTCTCCTCGAAGTATAGTGATGACAGCGCTCCCGAAACAAAGGTGTTGATGCGTTGGAGCGCTGCAATGACGACTATCAGCGACGGCATTCACGGCATGAAGTCGCGAACCGGGGTCGCTTACCACCTGGGAAGTAGAGTTCCTCGTAGTCCCGAATGACATCGGTCTCCATGTCGGCCAACTCATTCAAGATATGTCGATCCAGCTAGTACACATGCTGTCAGTATCTGCAGGGCGCAATGTGGAAGATCATAGATGTCACTCACCAAGCCGAGATCCACGTGCGTCAACCGTGGCGCCGGTTGCTGACCTCGTTGAGAATTGCCCAACAAGAACTTGATCACGTTACGTAGCTTTCTGCCATTCTCAGCGGCCATCGCCAGCGAAGTCGGGCCAATATGCGAGTCTTTCGTAAACTCGACTGATGCCGCCCAGAGCCTCAACGTATCCGTTCCAAAAGCCGGTTCCTTCTTCTTGTCCTGTGACCTTGATATCGATCAGCACAGAGTTGACAGAAGGCCAACAAACTTGCTGACTCGCCTTCCCGCCTTCAATCACGTCCATCGGCATGATACCATTGCCAGATGACTTGCTCATCTTGCTGCCGTCCTGAGCCAACACGAAACCATGTGTGACCACTTTGCTGTATGGCGTATGAGCCTGTCCCTTCTCTGCCGAGCATAACCGAGTCAACAATGATGACTGAAACCATCCTCGATGCTGATCAGAGCCTTCCAGATAGATATCGGCTAACGGCTCCGAGTCTGCCTTGAAGCCTTTATCCCTCAGGATGGTCCAAGAGGAACCACTGTCAAACCATACGTCCATCGTGTCGAATCCTTTTCGGAACTGCCTCCCGGTAGACTTGAGCGATTCCGGAACAAACTCGTCCACGGAATCGCTCCACCAGTGATCGGTACCCTTTTCTTCCAATATGGGGATGATATGATCGAGCGTCTCGCTGTTCAGGAACGGCTCGCCGGTCTGAGCATCGTGCAGAACGGGAATAGGAACACCCCAGCTTCGTTGTCGCGAGATGCACCATTCGGATCGGCCGTTGATGAACGATTCCAAGCGTCGTTTCGCTGCGGGAGATATATCATCAGACTGACAGCTAACGCTTGTCAGGGATCGCAGAACCTACATTGAGGTGGCTTGAAATCTATGCCTTCGATAGCTCGGAGAGCGGTCGGTCTGATCGCTTCGACGTTCGCGAACCATTGTGGCGATGACCTATGCCATCGGATATGGGGTGTTCGTCAGCGAAGCGTCCTAAAGCTCGCTAAGGACGTGGACATACCGAATGATAATCGGCTCTTTAGTCTTCCAGTCACACGGATACCTGTGATGTATTACATCCTGCTTCAAGAGGATCCCGTTTTCCTTCAGAATCTCCACCATGGCAGATACCGCATCGCCGAGTACGCTCTTCCCAACTAGCCGGCTAGCAACATCTCCCCCCTTGGTCCATGAAGCGATCTCCTCTGTCAGGTTGCCAAGATCGTCCACTGGGCACCGCATCTCGGCAGTATCAGCGTCCGACCCTAAAGCTTGACGAAAGGCGTCATAATCCTCTTGACCGTGGCCGGGAGCGGTGTGTACGAGCCCGGTACCAGCTCCCGAGGTGACATGTCTGGATGCGATGACCTTTGGTTTGGGCTGGGACGAGTTCCAGAACAAGTGATCGTAGCTCGTTCCGAGGAGATCGTCACCTGCGCATGTTCTCGATAAGCACCCGTGCTGAAGACCTCTCCGCAAGCCGACCGGGACTCACCTCCAAAGGTAGTCAAGACCTTCAGCTCGCCAAGCAGTTCCTTCAGCGGTTCCAGCCGATCGCACCCAACCACCAGCAAGCGATCACTGCCAGGCTGTTCGACAATCGCATACTCCATCCCGCTACTGATCGCTACTGCCTGTGCCACGAATGAGCTTGATTTCATCATCAATACACTTCAAGACGGCTCACCTGATTAGCTGCCAACGTCCAAGCCGTCGTCGTCCAGATCGCCAGACCCAACTCTCGGCCGTTTCCGACCTTTTCCCACTGTTTCCTCAATGCCGAGGACATATCATCCTTGCCGACACCAAAGTAGACGTAGACTGAGGTGGATTTATGGTCGTCTTTCCAGGAGATCTCAGCTTCGGCCAGAGCGGTTCGGGAGGAAGGCGAGTAGTAGGTTGGTCGTTTTCGGTGTTGTAGCAGGCCTTTTCGGACACCAGCTTGGAGGATCAGCAGCCCGTCGAGACTGGTCATTTTGCGAGACCTCGCTCACCTTGCTCTACCATCTGCTGCAACAACCTCAACTGCCGGATCTCAAAGTCCTGATCTACAGCCTTTCCCTTGTTAGCACCGCTGTCCTCTCTCGTTGCTGGGCCAAAACACGCTCGACGTACCCATGGTCCTATACGTGCCCTCTGGCGAGTCCCAATCCGCCATCACCCCCAACGCCCGGAACTCCTTCTTCTGGATCTCGATAGCCTCTTCGGCGGTCTTTCGCGCTGCTTCCCGGATTGCCTTGGGTGTCAGCTGTAAGTGAGATTTCTATTTCGAACGGCATTCAGCGAGGGGATCAGTGAGTCATACTGAAGCTGGCTAAGCACATCTCGAGGGCTCACTCCTAGTGCTTTCAAAGATTTGTGTTCGATAGGCAGTCCATGGCAGTCCCAACCGGGTATATAGCTAAGCATGAGACATCTGTTCAGCTAGGCACCTTGGGCATACACAGGCGATCAGCTCACTTGACTCGATACCCTCTCAGAGCTTTGTATCGGTTGATGAAGTCCTTGACCACCTTGTTCAGAGCGTGTCCCATATGAAGGTGTCCGTTTGCGTAGGGCGGACCATCATGCAGCACGAAGATCGGTCCGCTGTTGTTCTCCCACTACCTCGAGCACGTTGCGCTCATCAGCAAAGGCAGAGACAGACTGGGGTGAGAGACAGCGGCTCACCTGCCACTTGTAGAACTCCGTAGATGTCCTATCCCTCCACCTGTTCTCTTCCTTGACGATATCCTTGTGCTTCATAGGAAAGCTCGTTTTGGGGAGCAGCAACGTGTCCGACCATGACTTTCTCGGCTCGCCCGACGTGGAGGTGGACTTGTATCGAAACCCCAATGACGCTATACCTATGCTAGACCTGCTGGTTCCAAAATTGGTGGTGGAGAAACCATGACGCTGCGAGTTGCGTGGTACGCCGAGACGAAGGCATGTAGCCATCGGAATGACGAATACGAGAACCGCTTAGGCTGTGGCTGGTCGGTAGGCAGCCCGTTCGAGAGTAAGGAGCAGGTAGATACAAACAGCTATTACAAAGCCGGATTGCTAGCGATCTTGTGTCGGCGTGGGGAATTGTGTCGGTAATGGCCAGTGGATAATTATTTCATGCAATTGGAAGAAGCTGGATCTAGATTTCAGATTTGGTTCGGGGATGCTCGATCGGCCGACTGGTGATCTCGCGCGCGTCAGGGGTCCTAAAAAGGGTGGCTACATGGCTTGTTAATGAGTGACGTAAGCATCAGTCGTATGATTCAACCAAAAAACGCTTTCATTGGCCGTTGTCAGAATAACAGAACGAAAATGTTGCTGATTCGCTTCCGTCGTTTCGAAAGAACCTTCCTAGTAACCGCTATTAAACCAGCGGGTCATTGACCCGCCTAGCACCACGCCAGAGGAAGAGGGAGTCGGGATGTCCGTCCGGACTTTGTCTTTTTGCTTTTTGCCTTGAACGTGTAGATGCTACCAGCTTATGAGCTAGTAGACTTATATCAGAGAGTATCAATAGATATTTGACGTCCCGTAATTTGATTTGACGTGAAAAAGCAACTTTTGCTTGATCTGTTCTGCTTGCTGGTATCGCTCAACGCATCGAATCCGAAACACCGGACTACCCACATGAGCATACTCTGGTAGGAAAGCGGTAGGGTTCGAGGTCCTACCTTTTCTAGCAAGTAAACAAGTAACACAAAGATTCGCCTACTACGCTCAGTTTATCATAAGTTAACCTGTCTCTCGAAAGATTGGAGTATTCTGACCGATACAACTCGGTAGATACAGGTAGGGGTCGCGCCTAGATGGGACGCGCGCGCTAGATCGACGCGAAAGATGAAATCACATCAAAATCGGCTTACATCATCGTGGATCGTGAAGCGTCATACTGTTATTTTCATGTCATCGTGTGATATACCTCAATTCCGCCTCTACACGACTGCATGCGATGCTCTGCCTGGCCACATTGATCCGAGCAAAGACGCCGCCGGCGCGCTGTCCTGATACGTCGAAGACGCCGGTTTCGCCTCTTGCGCGCCCCAAGGCATACTAGGCAAACCCCATCCGCCCAGACTTGCCCCTTTTGTTTCGTCTGACGCTGTTTGCGCCGGTTTGAACATTCCCCAACCTCCGCTCTCAGCCGGCCTCTCTGAACCTTGTCGACGACTGTTGAGCGCATTCTCGATTGCAGCTTTCTTTGCAGCAAGATTTGGGTCTGTGGAGATTTTTGCCAGGCGGTGGAGATCCCACGACAAGAAGAACCAGATGAAGGATGAGATGAATGCAGGGATGTTACTATATTGACGAGCTCTCGTTAGCCGGTTTGTATGCGTGACTTGGGCATCCTCGACTTACAGCCAAAAGCTGGGCATCCGGGTGACCTCGACGATCCCGGGTTCTTTCCGCAAGTCGGATACGATGAGATTATCCCCGGCGAGCAAGCATCCGATCAAGATGGTGATAATAAGAGGAAAGATCCAGACCAACCACCCTGTCCGTCGATATTGGCCGACAATAACGTGGATGTTGAAGATGAAGAACAGGTGGATCGACCATAAAACCAGCGAGAGGACGATGACTGCAGTATGAACGACGAGATGAGAAGCGGACTTGCTTGTTGAGATATAGATGCGACTTGCCGAAGAGATGAAAGGCCAGGAAGGGCGGTACGCTCAGGATCGTCTCTCCTAAAGCGGCGTTACCGACAGCGTAGCCTATTCCCGTCGCTCCACATCTATGAGAGCTCGCTCTTATCAGTACTCAAGTCAAGTTTGCCTCGCCTCTAACTCCCGGCCGGCACCCACGCTTTCAGGTCACATATCCCCAGCGCTCCAACATTGATCACTCCAAACTGTTTCGTCTCGAGCTTGACCCACCAAAACTTGGAATCCGGTCCAGATGTAACGGTGAATACCAGGAAGAGGAGGGCCAGGGGGAGGTAGATGGGTTGAGTTTTTCGAATGATGACCGCCGTTGGCGTTAAGGGTCGGGAATAGGGTTGTGACATGATGGATCAGGGTTAGGTTTTATTGCAGTAATTTATAAGCAAAGTCTTTGGAAGGTCGAGGCATCAGTCTTTGGAAGAGCAGGGCGAGACCTTTTCAGGCTGGGTGGCTGCTCGACCGAGATGAAACACCAACGCGACCCGGAGCCGAGGCATGAAAGGACGCGACGTCGTTTCAACTCGGTCCACCACGTACAATGTCACGCGTAGAATGAACCTTGACGAAAGGAACCCTTTGATTTATCATCGTATACGAAAATGAAGAAGAACCGAGAACAACAGCTCGTTACAAGACATCCCTCGCGCCAACCAGCGCTACCTCACACCGACTCGCTCAAGCCGCCGCGCTCAGGACCCTCAGATGCCTGTCCATCCCGGCCAACACAATCTTCTCCCCCAGACCGCCCCACCTCAACCCGGTCAATTCTCCCGCATTGTCGTCAAACGTCAAGACCTCTTCCCAACTCTTGTTCGCGTAAACCTTGGCCTCGGTCCCGACGACACTCAGGAACTGGGCCGACGGGTCGAACCTGACCTCGTTGACCTTGCCATCGGGGTTGAAGTTGATCGTCGAGAGGATGGACAATTTACGCAAGTCGAACACGTTGACGCTGGGGTCCTGCTTGGAACCGGTTGCGAGGAAGTAACCGTTCTCGCTGAACGACAGCGTGGTCACGGAATTCCCTGCACTCGTGTGGGAGTCCAGGGTTCCAGCCAAGGTCTTGTCGTCCCTAGCGTCCCAAATCCTGACCCTTCCATCGTCCGTACCGAATCCGTACAACAGACCATCCGGGTGCATGGCAGCCGAGGTATAAGTAAAGCTGCCCTCGAATCCCTCGATGGCGTTGTAGGTCTTGACGACCGAGGTGGTCTCCAAGTCTCGCATGGACCAAGTGGAATCGGCAGATCCGATGGCGACGTAGCGTTTCGAAGGGTGAACGGCGAAACCGACGATGTCTCCCTTGTGGCCCGTCATGTTCCCATTCAACTTCCACTCAGATTCTGCTCCTGCGGCACCCTCCGAGCTCCATAGCTTGACCGTCTTGTCGGCACTGCTCGAGACGATCATGGACCTCTGCGGGGTATCGACAAATTCGACCTTGTTGACGGGCTTGGTGTGTCCCTTCAAGGTCGCCAAAGTCTTTTCACTCTCAAAGTCGTACACCTGGACCGTCTTGTCGGCACCTCCCGTCAGGGCGAGCTTGCCATCCAGGGAGAGATCGAGAGCGGTGATACCGGGAGGCTTGGTACCGTGAACCGAGGGCACCGTCGAAGTCTGAATGTAGGTCTTGACATCGGCAGCCTTGCTGTACCCGGGAGCGGGCTTTCTCTTTCTTCGAACCGATGATAGGCTATAATGATCGTAAGAAACCAGTACGTGTCAGCGATCTCGCTCTGGGTTTCCCCTGCCGTGGGGAGACTTCAGAGCACAATCCGAACTATGGTACTCACGCGGCGTTCGTCTCGGCCAAAACATTCTCGACCTCCTTTGGCAGCGCCTGCTGCACCTCTGCACCTTCACCCATCTCCACATCCCCCTCTTGCATATGCGCCTCTCCAGCCTGTCCCTGCACCTGACCACCACCGATGGTCGCCCTGACCTCGGCCAAAGCACCCCTAGCCTCGTCCCGCTCCTTGATGATCCTCGCCAAAGCCCTCACTCCGGCATCTTCCCGATAGAGCGCGTTGGCCAATTCTTGTCGAGCGGCTTGGTACGCCTTTTTGATCTCGAGAGATTCGAGCATGATGGTATCGTATTCCGACTGAAGGGAGGTGAGGAGGGCAGGAATTGAGGATTGGGTTGGAGGACGGGGAGGGAGGGTTTGAGGTTCTGCGGGCGAGTAGGTAAGACCGAGGTGGGACAAGGGTTAGTATGACGCAAGGTGTGTGGAGCATGCACGGGGTACAGGAAGACTTGCTAGCTTTCACATCGATCAGGTCTTCCTTCGTCAAAGCCTCTCCCGTAATCGGATCATTTCCGTTTTGTTCTGTCCGCCAAGCAGCACGCAAACGAGGACTCGTCAGCTCGACCGATTCACTACCGATATGACCGCATCGTCGCGACACAACATCGCCAGGGCTAGCAACAACGGTGTAACACTCACCGATGTACTGCTCGATCAGGTTCTTTTCGTAAACGTGCCCCGACTTGGTCGATACGACCGGTACGGTAGGTGGAGATCCAGAGACTACAAGTCGTCACGTCGAGGTCGCGAGGTTGAATGAGCGATCGCAGAACAGACGACGTGCGGTGGTGGCTGGTCCTCTACTTACTGGCACAGAAGAACATCCTGAGACTGGGTCTTTCCTACGTGAGTGATACGATATTGCGAGTCGGATGGATGTGATTGAACGGAAACGACGCTGATATCGGTGACGACTTTGACATCCTCTGACCTGTTCTGTCTCTCTAGATCTCTCTAGCGTGGTGATTATGAAAGTGCTTTCTCACGCGCGCACCATCGCACTTCCCCTTTCCTTACGGCATCCATCATCCCCGGCGCCCCTCCACCCGGCCTTCAGGGGGTTCAACATCCACTACCTGTCGGCGTATTTATAATTCCACAATCTCGGTCAACAACCCATACCTGCAACCTGATTGAAGACGTCGAACATCAGGCCATCACACCCGTCTACCAAACCGTCGATAGTTGCAAGCACATCGCCCAGGATGAAAAACACCACTAGATTGCTTAGGTTGCGTATCCAATCGTCCCGGACCCCCACACGGACCTCGGCCGTCGTTCCGGCGCAACACCGACGAGCCTTGCATACCACCCCCGCTATCCAGTACTCTTCTTCACCTCGACTCTTTCAAGCTTCAACATCGCCCGACGACGTACCCTCTACTAGCTCCAGTACCAAAGCTACCCCACCCGCCGGGAAAGCAGGCCTTGGAATTGATCAAGTCCCCATATCCGACATCTCCGGTCCCATAACCCCGTTAAGTCGGTACAACCAGCTCGTTGAAGCAGGAGCCTTACGGGACGACCCTCATCAACGGACCATTATCGACAAGTTGGAGAAATTGCATCAAGAGTTGACGACGTATCATCCTCCACCAATCCCGACATCCTCGTCTACTTCAGGGTCGTCGTGGTTCGGCAACCTCTTCTCCTCGAATGCCGCGGCGAACCATGTGATTGTCCCACCCGACTCGGTCCCTAGAGGGATGTACCTCTTTGGGGATGTCGGATGCGGCAAGACGATGCTCATGGATCTCTTCTACTCGACCCTCCCCTCTCATCTCCACTCTCACCGCCGTCGCATTCACTTTCACGCCTTTATGCTCGACGTCTTTCGTCGTGTCCACGCGATCAAGCACGGTCTACCCACTGCTTTGCAACCGGGGTTACATGAAGGGAAAGAAGGAGCATCCAATCTGAAAGAGGAGATCAAGAGTTTCGTTCCCTTGGCCAAAGAGCGGATAAGGAAGCAGAGGGAGGAGGGGCCCATGCAGGGTCGGTCGGACGAACGGGCTATCGGCGTAGAAGCTCTCTCAGGGATGAACCTCTTCAACTTGAACAAGCTCTTCTCTTCCTCCTCAAAGAAGAAGAACGGGACCGTCGTAGCGGAAGAGGATGCCATCTACGAGGCGGCCCGCGAGATGGTAGAGGAGGGCAGGATATTGTGTTTCGACGAGTTTCAGGTGACGGATATCGTCACGGCCATGATATTGAGACAGTTGTTGGGGAGGATGATGGATTACGGGATGGTCTGCATCATCACTTCAAAGTCAGTGAACCGTTTCTGGAGGGTCCTGGTTTAGGTCGTTGGAGAGAAGGTCAGCTGATGCCGAGCTTGTGGCACCATGTCACGTGGCTTATTGTAGTCGGCATCCGGATGAATTGTACAAGAATGGTCTACAAAGGGGAAGCTTTGAGCCGTGTATCGATATGATCAAGAACAAGTTCCAGGTGATCGACCTCGACTCCAAGACTGGTAAGTCCCCTTGGACCGTGTTCCTTTCCTCTTCAGCTTTCGATGCGTCAGAAGGTATAGATGAGAAGCTGAACATGTTGATGGCATGACCGCTCCCACGCAGATTACCGGAAATTACCGAAAGCGCTTTCTAAAGTCTACTTCCACCCGCTGAACGAGGAAGTCCGGTCGGAAATGTCGAAACTCTTCACGTCCCAAACGTCTCCCGTCACTTCGGCACCCGACTCCAACCCTGACCCAGTGATAGACTCCCGCGAACTGTCCGTATGGGGCAGGAAACTTCATGTCCCCCAGAGCACGTCCAAGGTGGCCAAGTTCCCCTTTGAGAAGCTTTGTGGAGAACCTTTGAGCAGTGCGGATTACCTGGAGATTACGGGGAATTTCGAAGTGATCTTTGTCGAGGATATGCCAGAATTGGGGATTGACAGAAAAGATGCAGTAAGTACACCGAGGAAAGCAGGAAACCGAGAGCAAGATTAGAGGGCTGAGAGTTGATATTCATGGACGCGGACAGGCTCGGCGTTTCATCACGTTTATCGACGGTGAGCCACAACAAGCTCTCGGTCACTTTGTCTCTGCGTGGTTCTGACCGTTTCGATACTCAATCTCCCCAGCCGCTTATGAAAACAAGACCCGACTATACATTTCCTCCGAGGTACCCATATTCGAGATCTTCGGTGGGGATCGGAGCAAGGGAGCCAGCGAAGTCAGCGCGCATATGAGGAGCAGTGAGTCCGGGGTAGCGTCTTGGTAGAAGGACTCTTCCGAAAGGGTACTGATGATCCGTCTCTATATTCGGTAGTCATGGATGATCTGGCAAGTGTCAGCTTTGCTATCACGGCAGACCCGCTCTGAGGGTCGACAAGCTAATGTTGACTGTTACAACACAGGGTTTGGCTCACGACGTCGTCAAATCCTCCGCGATGTTCTCTGGAGGTAAGTCGTCCACGACCAAACCATTCTGGCAGTATGGGGTGGGGTGAATGTTGATCTTGTGCGACATCGACAGACGAAGAGTTTTTCGCTTGGGCCCGATGCGTCAGTCGGTTGACCCAGATGGGGTGAGTCTGTTTGAGAGGCCGTTATGCGAAATATCAACGACTGATCCGTAATCCTGATTCTCTCGATAGCACCCGCGATTGGGCCAACAACGGAAGGGTGCAATAAGTTCGAGGCAATACGACCGAGAGGTGGCCGGCAGGAACTCGCAGAACAATTAGACAGAAACGGACACGCACATAGCATAGGCCTTACAGGATACAGAGGAGGACAACATTGTATCCATAGTCGCATAGATTGCACACATCGCCCAGGCCGCTTTCGCCGTCTCATTCGGGCACGATTTCGAATGCGACACCTAGGTCAGCACTCGGACAGGTAACACGCCTTTGATGAGCCCTTTCGAATCACAATCTACGAATTGAAACCCTTCGAGCGAACCTTCAAGCCCATCTGTGCTTTGACTTGCCAACCTAGAGACCAAGAAAAAACCTTGAGTTACCTGCTTCGAGGCCGAAAGTGAACGCCTTTCGTGAACCGTATTCACCTGGGCTCATCGCATCAGATCATCAGATACGTCAGATGATCAGATGCGAACCTCATTGGATGCGCCGTGATGTTCGAGATGAAACGCTTGTCTGCTCGCTGCCGAGAGCGCGTCATGGATCATGGCCCACATACAGCCGACCTCGATCCCGATCCAAAGGATGACCTGACCTCGATCTTTCCTCCCTTTCGGACCCGAAAACCTGGACAATGACCCGATCGCGCTAACGACTTGCACAGCATTCAATCTGCTTCCGATGTTTCATTTCGTCTCGCCCATGTCGCGTCAACAGTCGTCATAACGGACGACGATCAATCTTTTCCGGTTATCGTATTCGCGTCGACGTTTGTTGTTTCTCCGAACTGCCAGGGGCTTCGGCCTTGAATCAAACCCGAAAGATCAGGCAGACGGAAAAGGAGGGGGTATGTTGCCGAGACAAGGGTGGCCTGCCCCGTTGCTGATCCTCGGGTCGTTCCGAATACGAAGTCTGTGCGTAATTGATCTTCATCGGAAGCGAGGAGATTTGACGGAGATGATCAGAGATCAGAGAAGACTACGCTGCACAGCTTGAACACGTGAGAAGCTGTCAGGAAGGCCGGAGGATACGTTTCGCAACAGGTATAAAGGCAGAACCCATCAAATCGCCAGAGTTCCTTTCATCAATTAACTTTCTGCCTTTCGCCCATCGGACGCACCCATGTCATTTTTCGGGGACTACCACATTCCGATCAAAACACGCGCTTCTCGTTCGTTGGAACCTTGGGGGACGAGGGATGGCAGAAGAGCCTTGCTGCTTCTCGCTTCTCGCCCGAAGATCAGCAATTGTAAACACGCCTAGACAACACATTTCCCAGCTGTTGATCAACAATTCGACTCGAAACATCAAAACATCAGGGTTATGACGCCGAGACCCACCGAAAAACTTCCTCCGATGTGAAGGAGAAAGAATGTCGAACCGCTTGGACCGTTGGACTAGCTCGTGGTCGTGCGAGCTTGGGGCTGTCATTTCAAAGGGATGCAGATACACCCATTGGACATGTCGAGGTCAAAATGGTACAGCTACAACCCTAAGCTGTCGAGATCAGAAAGCTGATTAGACCAGTCAGGCTGTGCCTTGGCTAGCTTGGGACGTCTCTCGACGAGCAAGTATATAGAGACCCAGCGGGCCAACGTGCATCATCAGGACACATATCCAGCACATCCATACCTCCGATGGGCCGACGTCCACACTACAACAAACAAGATCGACACCGATATCGACAGCAAGACTACCACCAACGATCCACTGCTTCTCGCCTTGAATTTCTTCGTCATCTTCTTCAAACACCTTGGTTCTTTACCCGCTTGACGCCTTTTTGATATCGAGCTTGTAACCCGTTCTGCGTTTGCTTGCAATATGACGGACCGACCCGACTCCGGACAGATCGATTCCGACCTTGATAACGCCTACAAGCAACTTAATATTTGGAATGTCGAGGATCAAACAAGGTTCGATGTGAATACTAGTCGACAGTCGTGAGTGACAACTGGCTTTAGACCAGCCCGCCCGGAAGCTGATCGCCGTTCTTTCGCGTTTCGTCAGTTACAATTTGCCACTCGCTAACGCCTTGATCGAATTCGACCCTTTCTACTGCCCGCCTACCCAGGATACCACCAAGCCTACCAAAAGATCCTTCGCCCCCATCGTCAATCTTCCACCTCCCAGACCAGCTTCTATCCGACCCAGATCCCTCCACGCGAAGAAGGATGAAAATGCCCAAGGTTTCGTTCGGACCCGCGCGACCGTCTCTACGGAACAGACGAAGTTTCAGATCCCGGCCAAGTTACTGCAAGATAAGGATATGTACACGGTTCTTCCCGTCGAACTTCGAGGCACTCAACAGACGGAACTCCAGATCAAAGGTACTTTCGACAGAATGATGCAGGCGCTGGACGAGGGCAGGAAGGATCTCATCTCCCACGACCGAAACCCGACCGGGTCTGACGCGAAACATCCGGTCCTGGACCAACCGTTCCAGATCACTCCCGTCAAACAAGTCTCTCGATTCGGTACGACCACCTCAAAGATCACATCCCCTCAACGAGACTGGATTCCCAATGCTCCTGAGGCTCCTCAAGAGACTTTTACCACCCAGCCGTCGAGCTTTGTCACACCTACCAAGAACACCTCTTCGCGTCAACTGCCTCCGCACATGAAGATGCCTGATACACCGGAATCTCCTCTTGCAAAGAGAAGTCAGCGAGTCCGTTCGCCTGAAACTTCGTCCGACGAAAATGATTCGTCCTACGATCGTGCGGTTCAAGTAATTGAACAAGCCGTTGATGGCAAGACGATCCCGGCTGGATCGACTAAGTACCTCTTGGTGAGCCGTCTTCGCGCCCTGTCGGTATGCGCGCGCAGTCAGTGAAATTGATTTAGTGCTCATTCTTCAGATCACCGGGATCAATCGAATCATCCGCCCCGAAGTCTTGAGAGAACGCATCGCAGTAAGCCACTTAACCATTCTTACGACAAGGATGTAGCCATGCTTATCATGCTCTAAATGAAGGGTATCGCCGACGTCAAGGCTCTTGTATATCGTCACCAAGACGCTCTCGGAGCTGTGAGTACTACTCAATCTTGGCACGGCCCAGAGGACGATACTGAGCGGGTGTCGTCGATGGCATAGGTTGCGGTCTTGTTTCACAGTGCGACCGATGCTGGAAAGGTCGCTACGGCCGTCTCCAGCGGCGAACTCGATCTTCAAACCGAAGAAAGCGCTTCAAACCACGGGCTACTTGCAAGCGGCGTGGTCTTGTCTCCTCAAGGCACCGACAAGGAAGCGGCTTGTCACGCAATGTCAGCCGGGGCAGTTCTACAGGTACTTTCTAGTATCCATTCTCTCCCCATGCGATACTGATGTTGGCTCGGCTCTCTTTTTACAGTTTGCTGGAAAAGGCGTCAAGAGGTATCTTGCTGACTGTGAAGCCTGCTTGAGAATACAAGTTCAGAGCGATACTGTCGATGGGACGACTGAGTTCCTGAGGGTGGGTACACTTCGTGTGTTCAGAAGAATGCATCACCCGAAGCTTCCGTCCGATACCGTTTGAACAGTCACTTCTAGAAGAGGTGGGGCCGTTGAGATTGTTCGTGCCCGACGAGAATCGGCAGCAGGTGAGTGATGGTACACGATTTTTCACCCAAGCCCATCCTGAGCCGTTTACCACGTATGTAGACATTCATCGCTAGCTTTGAAGACGAACGTGATACCGCTCAAGTCGCATCCGATTTACCCAAGTTACCCGTAGATGGGTACCGATTCACCGTATCCGGACACCCTACGTCACATCTCGAGAACGCCAACCCATTGCCGAAGTCCATCATCAAATCCTTCGCTCCCATGACCCCGCCCGACTCCAGCAAAAACAGTCGTACATGGTCGCCTTCCTACGCTCGGAGATCAGGACCCCTTTCTCCTACCCCTTGGCGCTCGCCCTCCAACTATCAGCTTCCCGCGACTCCTCCCCGCAACACTGCGCTAGAGCGACTTCTTCAAGCTACGCCCACGACTGACCTATTGGCTGCCGTTCGAAACGAGCGGAAGAAGTGGGACGACTATGAGCTGGCCTTGGTCTCGACGCCCCTCTCCGAAAAGCACATGAAGATCTTCCGGGGCGGGCAAGATGACAGTCCATCGTCAAGTACCAGATCACCCGGAAACATACCTCTTTCTGCATCGAAACTGGTGTCCTTCAACTCAATGAAATCACCAGGCAATGTTAGACGAGACGAGTGGTTCGGAATACCATTCAAGCCGAAGGGCCAGGACAGTGAGCAGTCGACACCGCTCCGCATCAGGATGTGACGTTCCTCTGTCTATTAGCGTCGCTTACGAGCGCGTAAACATACCTACTGCGCAGGTATACGATACAGGCAAGAGGTGCCTCAAGAGTACAGGTTTTCCTTGGAACGGCTTCAACGCGGTGAGAAGGGGATCAAACATTATACCTTGCTTTGCTGGACTGACGTAATCATCCATCAGGATTGGATTCGAGGACAACGGTGATGATAAAGGAGTAAGTTGCCAGAATGTGCAACAGAGCGCATCATACAGAACGAACCTAACCTTCAAACATAGTATTCCGAACAAGCTGTCGCGGAATCAGTTGATAGATGCGATTCATGAGGTCGTCCCCGGCGGGATCACGTTCTTGTATCTTCGGCACGATTGGGAGCACTGCTGCAATGTCGGGTGAGTCGTAGCGAAGCAAGAAACGGAGCGATCGCTCAGTCGTGACCTTGATACACAGCTACGGCTTTGTCAATTTCCGGACGCTCCATCACCTCGAAGAGTTTGCTCGCCAGCGATTGGGCCAGAAATGGGCGCTCTATATGTCCGACAAGGAGCTCCAGCTGTCCTACGCTACGATTCAGTAAGTGGACGTTCATATAACGTTGTGTGATCCATCATATTTACCCAAGCTCTCCTGTCACAGAGGGCACGAGGCGCTGGTTGCGCATTTCAGGAATAGTACCGTGATGCACGCCAATCCCGAGTGGCGTCCCGTAGTGTTTGATACTGCTGGGGAGATCGAGCATTTCCCGCCTGTCAGTATCTACTAGTACATGTGGTGTACCATATCGCAATGCTCACCGATCACTCTTGCTCAGCCAAACCGACAGCACAATAGCTACACGGGGTCGCCATCGGCTCCGCGAACCGCCACTTACGATTGGGAAGATGTGGATCTCTATTCGCTATAAAGGTTCCTCTCCTCCTTAAACAGGAAGCCACGAGCACAAGAGGAGGTCGGCCATCGGCAGGAGATTTGATAGGCCAAATGGAGGCTGAATTACAATAGCATAAGGGGTCGTTGAATACATGTAGGGGTCGATGATACATAGCATGTCGCGTGTCATATCTGGTCTCTAGTGATCATTCAGTTATCGTGGCGGTTTTATGCAAGCCCGAAATGTCCCGCTCCTTCTGAGATCGCAGTCAAGAGCTTGTGCCTGAGGTCTTCATAGCTCGGGAAAGACGGCAAGAGCAACTCGTTGAAGCAGGTCGCTGCGCTGGGGAGCACGTTTTCTCGATACAGCTGCAATGTCGCGGGAAATTGTATCAGTTGCAATCGTTCCGTAGAACACACGATTCCTCTTACTTTGTGGATCTGGAACGGCTGGATTCCGGAACTGCCCTGAAGCTGTGTGAATCCGCCCAGTGGGACTCTCGAAGAGGAGGTAACAAACATCAGGAACTTTGCCTTTTCCTCCTGCGAGAAGCTTCGCAGCGCCCTCCAGAACCAGGTGACCTCGGCGTCGCTGTGCTTCCAACCGTGAAGTCTACTCAAGTAGTACGAAGGTAATGGTTAGAGGTTGCAAAACGAAGCAAAAGACTCCTTGGCTTACTGAGTAGCGTTCTTCAGCTCGTCAACGTCGATTTGAGAGACCCCCGAAATCAAAACTGCGTGTGTCGAAAGTCAGCATTGATTTACTCTATAGCAAGCGATGCAATTCCTCGCTCACGTTCAAGCTGATCCGGATCAAAGACCGAGATCAATTTGCGGGGAATGATTCTGTTGTCACAGTGTGGTAGAGGTAGGATCAAAGTCTGCTAGGATCTCGCTGGATGCACGACCCGGACTTACTCGTAGAACCCCCCAAGGAACGCCTTGGCCTGCTTTTGGATCGACGTCTCCAGTCGGTGCTCCACAACCAAGCGGACATACTCGCCCTTGTTCTCCTCAGTGACAGGTATGTTGCTGCCACCTTCCTTCAAGTCAATCACTTTCTTCGCTCCGAACTCCTCGGTTTCGAGCGAAAAGTCCAGCTATGCAATGTAAGAAGTGGTAAGCGGTTGGTCTGAATGTCTTCTACAAAAATATCAGGCCCACCTCGATCACCCCGGTGATATCGTTGTTCAACATCCAGACCAGAGATTTGTGATACCTGACCAGGAAAAGTTGGTGAGTTACGTAGAAAGAAAGAGAAAAAAAATCGCCGCAGGACTTACTCGGGGTCCACGCTTTCCAGATCGCGTACATCCACCTTGCGTCCAAGAATTTGTTTGTAGAAGGCTCGGCTGAAATAAGCGTCCAACAAGCGTTGGCTGCGGTGCGCGTCTCGAATGTCAGTATAGCTTTAGAATCAAATGCAATTCGATACAACTCACTCATAGATAGCCTTGCTGTTTAGGCCCGAATGAGATCGATAAGTTAATGCAAAAGTACAGGAGTTGTTGGGCACTAGATCTAGACTTACGCGATGACCTTTCCGATGAAGCGGAAGTAGTCCAGATGGTCGCCGTTGCTGCACAGACGAACACAATTTCGCGCTTAAGAACAGCATGGCAAGCACAAAAAGATCAACTACTCACACCCAAGAGTGCTGAGACAGCTGATATGTGCCCTCGTCAGCAGCACAAGGCTCAAACAAGCCTGAAAAGCAGATGGAAGGGGTCAGCAATACATTGACACATATGCTCCCCTTGTCGAACCTACAGTATCCGGGGTTGAAAATCGACTGGGCCAACGAGCTGTACCATTCCCGCGTTACACCACCCGCGTCGACACCCTCTTCGCCAGAGAATTTTATGTTGAGCTTGCCATACTTCAAGGTATCGCCAGATTTGTTGAAGAAGGCCTTGTACGAGTCTTCGAATATGTGTTCTCGACGAATGTTAAGGTGCAGATGGCCACCTACGTCCCGACTGGGCTTCTTGCGAAGCTGTTGCATGAACCAATTCCTCTTGTTGTCGAACTCGAGGACTCTGGGGTTGAGGATGAGCAGCGAGAACGAACCGCTCATCAAGGACGGGTTGTTGCGAACCATCGTGTTCAATACCTTGCGATGACGACTAGTGAACACCACGAAGGCATCTTCCTCCGGTATCTCGCGCGGGCTCATAGGGGACAGAGCGACGGACCCAGCCCGCGTCCGGGTCGCAGCTGCCTTTGCGCTGCCGTATTTGCTGACCACCATGAGCGATTCGACAAGCGGAAGGAGCACCGTCGCGATGTTGATGAGCGAGTCTTTGCGCTCGACCACTGTCAAACACTTGCCCAGAACATCCCAAAGAGGCGCGAGGTGCATCGAGTCGAAGATGCCTTGGATGCGTTCTTCCTCTGCATCCAACGTTTTGGTGCCTTCGGCAATCGCGGTAACAACCGATGCATCCCAAGTCGCATGATTATGACCATCTTTTGGAGCATAGATGTAATCGATTGTCTTCAGGACTCGAAGGAGCTTGGTCTGTGCCGACGAGGCAGGGCTGAAGTTGCCCACAGGAACTTCTCGCTCAGATTCTGCCTTTTCCGCCTCCAGCAAGTCTCGGTGTAATTGCTCGAGATCCTTGCTCAACAGGTCACCGAGGCGTTGAGCTTGGTCTTGCAACTGAGCCGAGATGATCTCCTTGGCCGAAGGGATGTGCGTCAAGTTCTGTATAAGACTCAGCGTACTGGAGAAAGTCCTGCTTGAGCATTCCCCGAAAGTAAGGACGTTAGGCACGAGCTTCAGAACGTCCTCAGCGATGTTGGGAGGTGATTTGAGTAGACCAGCAGAGTCACTCAAAGCATCTCCGGCGGGGTCCCCTGACTGTTCGCCGGATGGCACCTCGGTCCCACTGTTTTCAGGCGCCGCATTTTCGATTGGCGCTTCCTCAGTATCGGGAGCAGCATTCGTGGTAGTGGACGACTCAGCGGCATCCGATACAGTCTGCATGTTTTCAGGCTTATCGGATGCCGACTTGGCAGGCTTGACCGACGACAGCTGTGATAGAGGCTTGGTCAATGTGGCCAACAACGCTGTGAGTGTTTCGGCCATGCCCGGAGAGCGGAAGAGACTCTGACGGTCAAGCAGCTTGAGAAGCGCGGCGATCGGGTATGCTGCCGCTGTCTGTTTCTCTCTCCCTTTGCCCTTCTTGCTCGATTTCGTACTGACGATAGGCATATCTTGCTCCGTCAAGAAGTAGAGCAAAACGAGCTCGTTATTCGTAGCGATGTGCGATAGTGCTTCGAATGCGCGTTGAGCCACAAACGTCGGAATGCTGTCGCTCTGTAGTCCTGCCAACATAGCGGCTGAGGACGTCATGGCATCCGAGGCACCCTTCTTCTTGGGTGTCGCCTTGGGTGTAGACAAAGCACCCTTGGTAGCCTTTGCAGCAGACTGTTTGTCGACATAGCTCAGATCGCCGGAATCATCCTGTAGGACACTAAGCAACATGCTGATGACATCGCTTCGGCTTTTAGTATTCTCGCAGAGGTTACTGAGTACCTTCAGGAGACGGTCCTTCTTGTTGATTTCGGGGAAGAAAAGGAGACGAACGAGAGCAGCAATACCAGGTTTGTCCAGAAGCTGTATCGTTTCCCTTGGAGCCTTCTTGTGCGGAGCTCCAGTCTGTGAGCCTCGGTGCTGATGTCCGCTCCCTTGCAATCGGTTTCGTAGAGCGAAAGCGCCAGATCTGAGACGAGCTAATTCGTCCCGGAATTGTTGGGCGAAAACAGGGTCGATGTTGGACAAAGCCTCGACATCATCCCGTGCTTGCTGTGGAAGATTGCGGAGGATCGCCTCGTGTTGTTGCTCCATGTTGGCAATATTGCGAATACGGGGATCAAGGTTCGCCAGGAAGTTTTGAAGATCTCCGATGTCTGGCAAACCCCTCATCAACTGCTGCGCTGCTCCAGCGTTCGGCAGCCCTTGACCCGCGCCGCCTCTGGCTTCTGCATTGCGCCTGGCCGCTTCGATAGCCTCCTGTTGGATGACTTCGGCTCTTATCTCGGGAGGTAGAGCATCGAGGAATTCAGGGCTGATCTCGGTCGAAACGGATGGCTGGTTTTGTGTCTCGGCTGCCCGGTTGTCCCTCAAATGCTGTGAGACGACATCAGCTCGCATATCTTCAGGCAAGGCTTCCAGGAATTCGGGATCGATGCCAGTATCGGTAATGTCAACCTCGGCACCGTGTATCATGACGGTGATTCTAACAGCCGGAGCTTCATCTGCAGACTCTGTGGCTGGAACGACCGATATTCAGACCAGACTACAGGTTGTACTTGCCATATTGAAACTTACCGGCGCCCATTTCTACGTCTTGAACGTTGCTTTCGCCTGTTTGGCTCGGAGGCTCCTGTGCCAGACGCTCCCGTTCGTCGGCCTCCTGTTGAAGACGCTGCCTCTCCGCTTCGGCTTCCTTCTCTGCCTTTTCTTCCTCTTCTTTCTTGAGTCTCGCCTCGGCTTCTCGCCGGATTTCCTCGATTCGCTCATTGATCTTCTTTTGGGTCTCACGAGCTGCTGGAAGTAGAGCGTTGACGATCCATCCAGTCAGGTTTTGCAAGCGCGCTCCCGAGTCGTAAGAGCTCATCAGGCTCTCCTCCTCTTGCCATCGGTTGATGGTGGGCAAAGGAATCGACGAGAAAGCTTCGACATCTACAGGCGCGGGCTCTCGCGAGCGGCGTGATGAGCCGAAGCGGTGTCCGCTATTGATCGGAATATCAAAGATATCTCCGGCCCGACCACCTTCACGATACTCGATTCGGATTAGCTCTGGTGTTCTGCCCCCAAGCTGATCAAGGAGAGTCTCGAGGGCTCTATGACCGTCAGGACCCTGACTTCCACCAGTCAGATGCTCGATAGACTGCAGTATGTCACCCAGAGCACCACCCGGATAATGCCGATGACCACGGCCCCGCGGGTTCTGTGCAGGGTTTGCTACGCCCTCTTGTTGCAACAGGGGATGAGAAGTGACGGACGCCACGGGAGCTTGCGGTGGATGCGAGCGGTGGAACGGGCCGATGTCTTCTGCAAAGTCGACCTCACGCGATCAATATGTGGGCAACACACAGTAGCAAGGTAACATGTCGCTCACCCATCAAGCTCATAGTGTTCTGCAGAGATCGATGGTTGCGATGCTGTTGCTGCGTGTCCTCTCGAGATTGAGTTCGGACCGGTTGGCCCCAGCCCCAGTTCAGCGTAGGACCGGTGTTCGTGTTTGCGCTGAGAGGATCTACGACGACAGTGTCCAATGCGTCCAACTCCTCTTCATCGTAGTCGCTCCTGCTACTCCTGAACGGACGAAGATCAGTATCGTTGCGCGGAAGCCGATCGAGTTCTCACTGACCTTTCGGACTGCTCGTCCTCCTCCATCTCGTCTTCAAGATACACTTCGTCGCCGGCATATCCCTCAGCTACAGCGTACGCAGAGGATGAGAAAGACCCCGTTTCTTAATTGCAGCGACAAACTCACCGTCGTCCTCGTCCACAATGTCGACAGCGCCGTCATCGAAGATGCCGTACTGATCCTCTTGACCTTGATCGACATTCTCGTCATCGTCCGGGAAAGCGTCTTCGCCTTCAATGTGATCTTCGTCTTCCATGTGCGCGTCCTGATAGATAAGCATCGACCCTGTCAGCCATCTGTGGTCTGATACGGAACAAGGCCGCATGCCTGGCGTACCCAGTGCTCCAGCTCCTCGTCAGATTCGGAATCGGACGGCTCTGTACCATTCTCGCTCTCGTCGTCCTATAAAGGCCAGCATCATGTCAATGCGGGAAAGGAGCCCCTTTCGGCAACACCGGCTCACCATTCCTTCCACTTCCTCGTAATGCTAAGTACAGGCAAGGCAAAGTTAAAAACAGGACTTGAACGAGGTAGACTCTGCTGTACGTACGTCAAGGTCGTCTTCTTCGTCGTCATCTCCCATGCCGTCCGAATCCTCGAGATAGTCGTCCATCTCACCACCGAACCTGAAATGACGGCCGTCATTCAGCGACGTACATGAGTCAAGATCAAAGTGATTTTACTCACATTCCCAGTGAAGAATTCCTGTACATGTCCGGCGCATCCGTGGACGCTTCGTCATCTTCCATATCTTCGTCCTCGCTTTCACTGTCAGTGGTCATGCTCTCGTCGTCCGAGACCTCCTCATTGGTCGGCTTCGCTTTGTCGGGTCGAGCCATCTTCATGGAGATCTTGGTACTGTAATTCCAACGTAGAAATGGACGGTCAGTAAAAGAAGGCGGGCCGTAGACGGTATGAGTGTGGAGCCCAAGACAGTGTCAACTCACAGGTATTCGAGAGGCTGAACGATGGCTGTAATTAGGTTCTTGACCTGGGGATAAGTGAGATCGATCTCGGCCATGGCGGTGGTAAGCATCGGTACAAAGCCTTTCTCGAGCATGATTTTGGCGATATGTAGAGACGAGTCGTCTTGACCTTTGGGCTGAACGGTAGGACGGGCCGTTAAGAGACGGTAGCAGAGTTCACTCAACGCCCAAAGTCGCCCGTATCTGAGGTTGAGAGGGTCCGTAGCGGTACTGATCTCCTTGATGGCTTTCGCAATGGTATCCATGACAGTCTTGCGAATAGTGACGATGGTTGAGGAAGCGTCTTTGATTGCATTGCTTCCAGTAGCATCGGAGCAAAGCGCGACAATGACTGCTCCAGCCCAGTTCGAGACATTCATCCTGGCCTTTTGTGCGTCGGTCACCTTGTCGCCACTCGCTCTCGTCACATCGGCGTCAAACACGATGTTGCACACATAGTTGTTGAGTAAGACCTGCAGTACCGGCGATCGCATCTTGTTCGCACTGGCTGCATCCTTTCCAGTCTTTCTACTAGGCTGCACCATGGCGACCTTGCTCTCGTTGTAGGATCCAAGAAGTTCCGTCAAGACCAGGAGGACGGCCGACAATTGATTTTCCGAAGACTGCTTGTTCTCGGAAGTCATCGCAGTGCTGTCTCCCGAAGAAGTCTGTGTCTTGTGAATAGAGAAGATCTCGTTGATCAAGTAATTCATTACTTGTTCGAGAGGAGAGCCAGTGGCAACTGTAGAATCTACAGGCGCCTGGAACGGGTCGTCGACTTGCATAGCCTCGGTCTCTGGCACCTGTTCGGGTTTAGTCTTATCCTCCGAGGTCATTGCTTGCGCATCCTGCGACTTCTTCTTGAGTGCAATCTGGTGCATGCCTCCTCTCGGCTCTGGCTCGAGGATCTCACAATCTGCGATAGCTACCTTCAAGAAAATCGCCGGGTCGCGCAACGCTACGGATCGCAAGTTGGAAACGAAGTGCTTGGCGTGCGCTGCGGTGTTTCTCGGGCGAGCAAACCACTGGTTGATCTCACGCTCAATGCAAGTCTCCAGAACCGCTTCATCTTCGATGAGGTGACGGCAAATAATCGTCGCAAACGCCATGGCGGAATGTCGACGTTTAGCGGGAGTCGCGAGAACCGCCTGGAACAACCCAGGCAATCCAGAATTGTCCAAAAACAGCTGACAAGACGACTTGTCGCGCGTCAATAATACCAGGGTACGCAGCACGGCTAGAAGCTCGTCCTCGTTCAGGTCTCGCTGCAGTAAAAGCTTGGTGGCGTATTCGAGCGACTCCCGCCGCGCCTCGTCGTACTTGGGACCGGTCATGATGTCGGTCGTCGCTTCGGTCCCTTCAGCAGGAGGTGCCTTGATGCTCTCGCCCCACATCAAGAGGCAGTCAACCGCTAGCAGCTTGGCAGACACCCAAGCAGGACGAGGGGCTTCGATCGCGTTCGGAAGAGTTCGCAGAGACTCTATGACCTGCAGCGATTTCTCGGACGTGACTTTGGTACCGAATGTGGGTTGATGGGCGATGACCGCGAACAAACGAAGTCTGGCTTGGAGCTTGGCATCCCTGTTGGACTCATCAGGCGGAAGATTTCTGATAGAGTCCATGACCGCCACGACAGAGGAGACGTCCTCCAGAAGGGCTTGGGCAAACTCGAACACCAGATCGTTATGCACCTCTACGAGTCGGATCGCGCGAGCCGGAAGGTCCCTGCGATACAGCTTTCTCCGCTGTTCGAGATGCGCCTTTCGGCCCTCTGCGACAGCTTTGGCAGCTACCTTGCGTGACGTCGAGGCCGGCGTGATGCTCTGATCAGACACGGCGTCGGATGATTGCGCTTCGGGATTGGCCGAAGTGCTCGATTCGACGGCCATGGGTGTGTCTACTTGCCCGTCGATTCCATTTTCTCCTTCTGCTGGTGCAGTTGCAGCGAGCTGGTGACCATGCTGAACGATATAGTACGCCGCCGACGGGAAGATGTTGTTGGTTCGCCTGAGCGAGATCTCAGCAGCATTGCGAGTGAATCCCATTTGGGTGAGCATATCGACATAGGTCGGATCCGGTCGAACATCAGTGGCTGGTGCCGACGCGCTGGCCCGAGAGGTAGGGAAGCCAAGAGCCGCCAAAGATGTGCTGAGACCGCCTGTGCTCGATGTAGGAGAGGCGCTGGCCGCGATCACTTGTGAACCCGGCAACGGTTCGATCAAACAGAGTGCTGCCTTAGTGACAATCTGTGTGATGGGCGAAGGGCAGGACTCGAGCCACTTGGCGCTGAAAGCCTGCCAGATCGGATCAGCAAGGTCAAGCCTGATCTTGATGAGGAACTCGAAAGGGGAGAAGTAGTCTTCCTGGTCGAGTTCCTTGTCCTTGGTCGTAAGGATTGTGGTCTGAGGCGATTCAAGCAAAGGGACTGCTGACACGAGGGTTTTGACCAAATCAAACATGACCTTCAGTCCAGCCAGTACTCTGAGGAGAGCTGCCATATCCTTCTTGAACAGCGGAGTCTCGATCAAAGGGTTCGGCCCCATCGCGGTTACTTGGCTCGTGAGGAGTTGACTGATGGCAGTGATACCACCCTTCTTCTGGAAAGCGATCAGCAGCATAGTCTGCATGCTTACCGAGGCAGTCCAACCCTCATAAAGCATGGCAGAGACTAGGGCGACTACCGCCGCTCTGCCCGCGACACTGAGAACGTCGAAATCTGACCCGGACGAATGATTGAGGTGCGCAACAAGCATGGTGGCTAGCTGGTCCGCAGTGGGGACCGAGTGGACACGATGAACCGGTTCAATCCTTCGGAACAGAAGCATCTTGATGACGCCTTGGAAGAACGTTGTCAGTTGAAGGGGGATCCGGGAGAATAGGTACTTGAGGGAGATGTAGTTTTCCGGCAGAGCCTGCGATTCGCCGCTCGTCGGGGTCTCGGAAGCCTCGTTGAGTCTACGGCTAACATCCGCGGAGACATCTGCCGGCGAAACAAGAGCAGTGGCCAAGTCACTCGAGCTGTATTCGACGGCTGGAGACAGGAGATTCTCTTCGACTGTTCTGATCTGGGTGATCGCTTGAGGAGTCGGCTTCGCAGGAGATTGCTTCACCTTCAGCCAAATGTTCTGCCAGATGGCCGCTCGATGCAGCTTGCCCATGTCGGCAATGAGAGTAGAAGAGCTTGCCGCTCCGAGCGCCATCAGGAAAGCGGTGGCCACCTTGCCGTGAGCGAATCCAACAGTCGAATAGAGACTGCTGAGTAAGCCGAGCAGATTATTCAAGCTGACCATCTTCCGGAATACCATGTTAGCCTGTTCAAGCTCTTCGGCATTGCCGGGATGCAGCAACCGAGTCGTAGCAGCCGTGTCGACACCAGTCGCGTGCCATTCCAAAGCAGGATTGTCCACCATGGCGGCCTTGACTGCAGACACGATGCCTTCTAGAACCTTGGTCAGATCGGCCTCGGCGAGGTTGCGGAACACTTCCTGCATGTGGTTTGCCGTATCTGTGGTCGAGAACTGGCTGACAAGACATGGCAGCCGGTATAAGTCAAGAACCAATTCGAGACCCCCTTGAGCTAGGAAATCCTTGGCGAGATGGGGGTTGTGAAACAAGCCCGACATGAGCTGCAGAAGGCCGCGGGAAATTTGACATGATCAACTAATAGAAAGGGATCGCGGCTTTCCGAAGATCACTCACCTGACTGCTCAGCCATAAGACCACATCCATGTGCATTTCGGTATCCTCTTCGGCCGGTGGCATCTCGAGAGCTGCTTTGGCTTCTAGAAGGGGTTCGCCCGCGCCGCTTTGAGCAGCATCCGGGAGCAAACGGTAATCCGCGACTTTGTTAATTGCTGCCCAGCGAGCCTTTTGTCCCATGGTTGCGAGCGTACGCAACATGTCAAATAGAGCTTCGTGAAGGACAGCCTTGAGGGGAGGATGATGCCGAGCCAATTCATCCAAGCTCGAGCCAAGGTAGGCGGCATTGTCGCGCTCTTTCAATACGTCTCGATAGGCTGGATTCGTAGGCGAATTCACCAGTAAGCGGATCAACTGAGGCCGGCTTAGCACAAAATCCATTCCGGCCTGATTCAGGCACAGTGCACCCAGGGCATACGGGATCGTCGAGATGACCTGCCCGAAAGTAGTGCAGTAAGCATAAAGTCTCTCGGGGATTACAAGATCATAGAACCCACCTCGTAAGAAGGGTATTTGTTGTTCTCGAGCGCATCATACATCGCCTCGGGAAGTTTCATCTCTTGGATGATGGGCAAAGATGTGGGCTCATTATGTACGAACGTGGCCGTAATGTTGATAGCTGCAGATTAGGGATTTCAGTTTGAGTTCTAGCAAGCGGGAGTCATGACTCTGACTTACCGATTGCAAGCACCGGAGCTCCGAGCTTGTCAGTATTCTGCAGTGTCCTGAGAAGAGACTTGGGCAATTCGGAATCGATAAGATTTCGAAGACCTTCTGTTGTACCCCCAGACTGCATCAATCGATGTATCGAGCGGAACATCAACTTGAGAGGGACGGTGCGCCTGAGCAGCTCGGATTCTGCCCAAAAAATGAGGGTTCAAGTTGCCGATCAAGACGTATGAGCACCATGAGACGCTCACCTGAGACGCTTTCTTCCATCATCGAAGGAGACAGCCACTTGTCTAGCTCGACCTACAACGATACACCAGCCGAATTCAGCAACTCCGCCAACGATCTGTTTCAGTCGAAACATACGGTGATCCGGGAATTTAGGACCTCCAGGCCTCCGGCGTTACAGAAAAGACCGAATACGTTCGGATTCGTGTAGATGATCGTGTCCATCAGACCGATGGCACGAGCGACGTACTGTGCGGCGGAGATCAGCTTGCGAAATAAAGCAACCTAATGGTCATATCTAGCTTACACCTCCATGAGCCGGGTTAGTATCCTTGATCAACTCGATCAGGGTCGGAATAATACCAGCCCCGATCAGCATGCTTCCGTGCGTAGGCGATACAATCGCCAGCGAGAAGAACGCAAGAGTCGCATCTACCAACGGGTAGGGAACGTCTGTATGCGTGGAAGCGGCGTGCTCAGGAACAAACCCAAATGAGACTTCAATATCGAAACGATACTGACCTTCATCGGTGCTCAGACGTTTGATAAGATCGCGGAAAAAGGTCATCAAGATGCCGTGCGCCACGTTGGCGTTCAAAGAACTGAAAACCTCGCTGCATTTGGTACGGTATCGCAGACAAGCGTCGTCGACCAATAGCGCCGCAGTCACGATCGAGTCCCCGACCCGAGAGCTGGGCTGGACCAGTTCTGCTAGCTGTCCGATGATGGTCGGCTCATGGAGGAACAGTTCAGTCTGTGCGACATCTTCATTGACAACGTGGACTATGTGACGTGATGACGATTCGGGATTAGCAGTCTTGTCCAGGTCGTCGAACGGGTTACTGTCACTCACTGTAAATCGACATCGCCGTCAATCGGATGGCTAGAAGTTGAGCGATGTGTCGCTTCTTCTCGGCCGTAAGTTTGCCTTCAGGCGCGGCGACAGCCATCATGCATTCAAGTCGACTGAGAATCTCGAAGTGCACGTCCTTCATATCGTTGCCCTGTAGCTCGGGATGCTCCTTCAACAGCTCCGCTAGGACCTGATGAGGGGTCCATTTCCCGCTCTTTGCAAGGTCGGCGAAAGCTCCGCTGAACAGGGACAGCTTCGTCAGACCGTCTTGGTTCGTGAACGCATGCGACCACGGCGTTTTGGTGACCGTACCCGCGCCAGGCGAACTGGGACCTTGAGCGGGTTGCGGTGTCGAGGGCTCTGCTCCAGCGAGGGTGGCAACTCGTCCTTTGTGTGCGGGATTCGAGCTGCTGGCTTGCTTTGTCGGAGTTTCAAAGGGATTGCTAGACTCGGATGTCTTGTTCGCTGCAGGAGGCGAAGTGAGCCTCTGCTCCTGCGATCCGAGACGTAGCTCCGAGGTCGGTTGAACCAGTTCCTTGGTGTCAGGCGGCGCCGACGAGCTCTGAGGTTCTCCAGAAGCAGAGATCTGAGTGGGGCGATAAAACTGCGCCTGGATGTGAAAGAACGAATCCGGCAAGTTGATCGATCCTTCCGAGTCGCTCGAACCGCCCTTCTTGTCTACGGCTTGAGCCAACTGAAGCAAGCCCCATCCGTTTTCCTTCAAGCGACCCCAAGATCCTCCGGCGGTCGTCAACATGAGAAGCCTGCCCTGGATGGTAGCATTCTCGTTCAGCTCGAAGCTGGTGACATTCGAGTACTGCTGAGCCGGTCGATGCAGCAGGGCAAGAACGGCTTGTAGGACGTCGAGGTCGCTCGTCGACATCAGCTCGCATAGTCTCTAAGAGAATTCATTAAAGGGTCAATATGTCAGTGTCATGCCAATAGCTGCGACCAGAGAATCTCGCAAGACGGATACTCACATCATAGCTAGCAAAAATCTTCCTGCTCGTGGCATTGTCCATGACCAGCTTCTCCACCCTCAGAATCTCCAACAGCAACTGCTTGTCTTCCTCGGCAAAGTCTTGAGACTGAACGGTGTCGACATTGTATTGACTGATCTTTGCTTCGTAAATGGCGTCAAACTTGTCGAGGACCGGCACCCAGTGATGCATGTCCCCTCGAGGGTATTGCCATGGCGTGTTGTGCGGCAAAAGCTCCTTGAGCAGCTGATGAAGCTTTTCATCTTCACAATCCTTTATCTTGTTGATGAGACCAGCAAGATCGGGATGCTATATAACGGAAGGAAGAGTATCACGCAGTAGGGCATATGAGACGACCGGTGGGTTAGCGGGCGAGGCAAATGAGACGATTCCGAAGCCTTTTTCAGACTCACCAGGACCCCGGCCTTTTTGGTGTTGAGTCTTTTGACCTTCATGGTAGCATCTCAAGTTCTACCAGAAGAATTTGTGCTCGGAAAGGTTGTATATGATGGCAGAGAGATCAGGTCGTTCATGTCATACCGAAGGTTGTCAATCGATAGATCATGATCGCAGGAGAGCGGGAACGAGGGTGACGAGTCGCGGACAAGGGATCGTTCTCAAACTCCGCTTAATGCGTAACGTGAAACGATGCTTCTCGCAAAGTTCGTTTAGGGACAACCCGACAGACCAACTAGACCAGACGATGTCGCACCATTCGACAAGAGCTCATCAGTCAGGAGAGAGGCAGGCGGACAGAAAAGACACATTAAACAGGAGCGCGGAAGTCGCCGAAGTAGACAATGTCATAATATCATGCCGGTTACAAATAGGATCGAAGTTAAAAAACGATACAGCCAAGCACCCAATCCAGTCATACCACCGTCAAGGGATAGTAAAGATAAATTACGAGAGGGAAGGGGGAAGAGATTCGTTCATGTTCAGACCGGTTTGTCCAGTTGAGATATTCGGAAAAAGGTAGTTACGAAAGGGGCAGAAAGACTCATCCACGATATTTTGCCCTCCCATTTCGTCGAGAAGATCAGATTTGATCGGGGGCCGGCGGGTCTTGCATTCCATTGGTGTTGTAAGTTGTTTGTATGGGATAGGGACGGATAGGCTATTCAACGGAATCCGTTGGGTATATGAGGTCAGCCTCCATCGATATGAAGCCCTGGCTCGTTGCATCTCTCTCGCTTCCCTCTTCACGAGCATTCCCATAGAAACGCGAAGGTTCGTGTCACGGAGATGGAAAAGTCCGGTCCTAATCTTCCCTCTGACCGGCAGCGTTGAATTTGTGCTTGCCCATCTTGTCGTACGAGGTAACTCCTTGACCACTCCCGACGACTCCAACTGCAACATGGATCATGAACTTAGCTGATGCCGTAGATTCACGGTAAATAAGACCAACCTTTCCCTAAGTCAGGTCGAGAAGCGGATTAGTGCGGCGATCATAAGAGCGATTAGTCAATACGAGAGGCTCACCAGTGGGGTTGTCGGGCGTTCGGAAAATCGATTTGCCTTCCAGCCTGAAAAAGCCAGATGCAGTATTTCGTCAACGAACAGACTCGGAAAGGAAAAGCCGCAAGAGCATAAACTAGCGACACCCACCCTCCGATCTTGTGTCCCTTCTTCGCAGCCTTCTTGCCGAAACTCTCCCAAGCGCTCTTCTTCTGCAAAGTCTCTTGCGTCTTTTCCTTCTGCTTCTCCGCCCACTTATCATTCTTCTTCTTCCTCTTCTCCTTCTCCTTCTCTTCCTCGGCTGCAGAGAGCTTTCGCTTGACTCCTCCAAGCGTCGAAGGGGGGGCCAGTTCGAGGGATTCGGCGGGTTGTTCAGAGATCGGTTTGAGGCAGACAGCGGGGAGGGTGATGGGGGTGGTGTAGCCCTTGAAGATGAGGGTGTAGGAGAGATTTTCGGAAGGTCCAGAGATGGCCGTTATACGGGCTGGGTACCTAAGAAATGCCCCTGATTGAGCCTACTGTGCTGAGATACTACTCGTCAGCATCTTTTCGCGGTACGTACCATTTCATGTCCTTGTACCGCGCCGAAACTTCATCTCCCGCCTTGAAACCCTTCTCCTTCGATTTTCCCTTGCCCTTGCTTGAACCCTCTGTCACACCTGCCGCCTTCGTGCCAGACACCCCAAGAGCTTGTTTCGTCAAATCGATGATCTCCTCGAGTTCGCCTTTGAGAGTGGTGAGCTCGACATTGCCCGGATCGGCCTCGAGCGAGAGCTTGACCTGTGACAGCTGGTATTCGTATGCTTCGAGTTCTGCTTCCATCTTATGGCGTTGTCTCGTGTAGTATGATCTCGTGGTATGGTATGGCAGGGTACTATCAGATGGTGGCGGTGGAGTGACATGTACTACGAAGATGTCGAGGCTGATGATGATGATGGTGGTGGTGACGAGTGGTGCGCTTCTATTTGGCACCGACGCGCTCGAAAGGAGTTGTTGTTGTTGACGAATATGGCCAGCTTGTTGTTGACAATTCATTCTCTTTCGAGGTCGATCGGGATTTCCTCGTCTATCTCTCTTACGATTACCACAGCATCCTGTTCACCAGTAGCACGATGACGGACAACCTGTATCACCTAGAAGAATGCGTAAAGGCGGCGGAACAATGCGTACAAACGGTCAGTTCTGACCATCGGATTTGACCGACTGGACCGGTGTATCCTGACGAATTTCTATCCCTTCGTATCATGATTCTGTTTGCATTTGCAGCAAGACCGAGCCATATCTCAGCTCGCAACAGGGATCCGAGATTTGCCTCGTTTAACGGCGATTCTGCACAACGAACGGGTAAGCTAATCATCCGAATTGCAATCTTATCATATCGATCTTTTTGATCTTGTTTGTGGCATTCGTTTGCACCATAGCATTTCCTACTCCTCCCCGAGCCCCTTCTTAGACAATACAAGGGAGAGCTCGCCGAAGATCTTTCTCCGCAGATTGACACTCTCATCGACCGGGCGGAAAAGGCTATATCTAGGCATGAGAAACGAGCGGGAGATCTACGACAGACTGTCAGTGTCCATTCTCTCTCTGCTTTCTTGTCCTTGCTGCACTACCCGATTCAAACCATCTTATTCATACCATATCTCTCATTGCCCCGACTATGCAGCTTGAATTGGTGAAGAACTCATCGCTCGATCCAGCCACTCTCCCCTCAAGCACCAACTCGACTTCTACCATCGCCCAATCGAAGCCCAACAGCTCGGCTCGAAATCCAGGCAAGATTCCTTTCGACATGAAACAATTGGACGCGGCTCAGAAACGCAGATTCATCATGCTCAAGGGCAAGAAAGATCGGCTGGAGAGGGAGTTGAGCAAGCTGAGTTAGCGAGTTATAGGTGGGGGCTGGATACCTTGAGTCTTGGTTGGGGGAGGGGAACCAAAAGCGCACGCATTGATTCTCCGAGAATCGAGTTGTAAGATTTAGCGGTTGTATAGAGCTAAAGATACCGAATTTATAATCGCACTAGACAGTATCTGAAAACCTTTCAACAGCCTCTGTCCCCTTGAACAGATTCGATTATGTAGATACAGGATTCGATACCGAACACCCTTACTGTATGTCCTATTTCAACTTGCTCCTAGGATAACGCGTAGATTCTACCTGGTCCCAGCCTTTCCTTTGGCATTGCCACCGAGATATCCTCCTTGCTTCCTAACCTCGTCAAAAACGCTCTGCACGATGCGGCTTTCGGCGAGGTTGCACCGCTCGGATTCGAGCTTGCCATCCCTAATACACCTTGCGACCTCACTGAGCGTGATAGGAGACTTGTTATGAGTAACCTCGTTCTGGATTGCGAAGCATTCGTAGGGACAGTGGACCTACTCGGCTTGGTAGTTCATCCCACGGCCAGCGCTTTCGGGGACAGGGTGCGAGTGATGCTGGGTCTTGTTGGCATCGGGGTTGGCGTTACCCTCACCTTCCGGGTCAGCGTCTTCCCTGTTAGCCGGTTTGGGGGTGATGGTATAGCCCTCAGGGCGGAAGGTAGGGACTGCAGAGAGATCTCATGTTTAGCGAAGGATCGCCCGGGTAGTCTTGGTATACCAGTGTAGACTCACAATCAACAGTCAACTCTCCTCCCTCCATCTGAACGGTGACACATCTCTCCAGGTTCATCTGCGTTTCGATGCTCGTTGTGCAGACGGCGGTGCCGACATCTTTCCAATCTACGATCCACGTGGAAGACGCATCCACGCCTGTACGTTCGTAGATCCTCATATGACCCTTGACGGAGGAAGGAGGAGCTCGTTCCTTGTTGCCCGGGTTCTGGTGCAAAATCATCATGACCCAGACCTGTATTAAGACGGGGTTTCGAATCAGGTCAATTGGGTCTGAGTCGAGTGCGTATATGAGCGCCCCTAAAGGCAACGAAGATCGACGCAAACTGACCATAGGGTATGGGCCGAGATCCAATAGACCACCACCTCCCAATTCGGCGGCAATCATACGGTTGGTCTTTGCGTCAAGCTCTACCAATTACCAAATCGATCAGCATAACAGCAAAGGTATCGGATTGGACCTCAGAGATACCTACTGTCCGGCTCGATGTTGAAGGCCAAGTCGGCAAAGCTGTCGGAATAACAGTTGTTATCCGCCGATCAGCTTGACATTTAAGCCGCATGCGCCTTCAATCCTACTCACACCCTTTTGACTTTACCGTACTTTCCGCTGAAGATCGCATCCTGTACAGCATAAGCGATCGGGTGCTGTAGACAGATTATGTTGTACGCAAGTTAGCGGCCCATGGCATCAACAACAACAATCGTCATTCCAGGAAAATACTTACGAACCGAGTCCAAACGGCTTCCATGAGGAAGAGGTTCTTCTTCTTGGCTAGAGCGGTCAACTCGTCCAGCTCCTCTACATCGAATGTAAAAGGCTGAGGGTACAAAGCGATCGTGTCAGTTCGAGCAATGCGCGCTTCTCTTGAAATGTTCTATAAGCTCACCTTTTCGCACAAGACGTGTTTGCCGGCATTCAAGGCGTCCATGGTGTTCTCGTAATGATAAGTGTGCGGGGTACCAATGTAAACGACGTCGACTTCGGGATTGGCGAATACCTCCTCATAAGTGCCACCCTGAGCGCCCTCTTGAAGGTCCGAGGGAAGGACAGCCGAGATGAACTTGTCCGCTGACTCTTTGGAGCGAGAACCGACGGCCTTGACAATGTGCTTGACATCGTTGGCGTCTCGTCTGCCGGGGATGCAAAGGTGGGTCATAAGTCCTCGTGCTAGTGATTGGTCGATAACTTCGTCGACTCACCCAGCAGGATCCAGTACAAGGTCCTGGTCGATAGATAGAAGAACAACGTCAGATATATCCCGCCTAGCTCCTCGCCCCTAGAGCTCGTGTCAACATACCTTGGTGAACTGAGTGGAAATGCCACCTTTCCATTGCCGAACAGCAGGCAGAGATGCGTCAGCCTCGATCGATCGAAACGGCGAGTCTGTTCTGCTTACCAGTCGCGATAATCCCCCAACGTAGTTCGAATGGTGCCATCTTATTGATATTCCCTGTCTAGTGTCTGAGTGCTCTGCTTCACAAAGACCTGAAGTTCAAGTGTCCAAAAGGCAAAGGTTGGTTGTCTCTGTGTTCCTCTATATACGGAACGCCGGACGGGGGTCACGTCACGGCTTATTGATCGGGCCGAACTGCTTCCGGCGTTTCCCCGGTTAATTAAATCCCTCCGTGGTCAAGTATCAGATCCGAAATCCAAGATCCCTATTCGAGAAGTTAGGGACTGCGAAGAAGATGGCAAATGATCGAGCTGAGTACAAGTAGAAGGCCATCCCCATAGCCTGGGACTGGTCTCCTCTGTGCCATGCTGAATTTCGATACATGATCGTACTTGCCCGGGTATACAGTAAACACATCGATGCGCCCTACTTCCCGACCCTATGCTATGCTCAACGGACCGCCTTCAAGCGCACCTGGCTCCCTTTCGACTTCTCGCAAACGGGGCAACTCTTCACCCTCACCCGTATAGTTGCACTATATGCCAACTTGGCTCCCAAATTCTTCGCCGTCGCACGGCCTGGCCCGATGTTCCGATTCCGTTCGTCGGAAGTGTAAAGAAAGTTGGCCAGAGGGTCCGGTCGTTCGGGCAATTCGATGGTCTTGTCAGGCAAGGCACAGGAAGCGTGGACCATGTGCCGGCAGAGGTAGGCGAGAGCCAAGGGGGCGGTATCAGGATCGCCGGGCTTGAATAGGTAATCGTCGCAGATAAGACAGCGAGAGTTGCCTGATCATCAAACGGTAAGCCTTTAGTCGCATGCGATTCATTTCCTCCTTTCGCATTGACCTACCTGTTGCGAACGCTCCATTGGTCTGACTTCTTTGCAGCTGACTTGCATAAGAACTGGTATCTCCAGCCAGGATTTTCTGACATCCCTCGAGCAATGAGACCTGTAGATTCGAAGCTTGAAGAATCTTGACGAGAGCGTCCTTGAGCCCGGGAACCTCCAGATCATCCTTGATCCGACGGATGATACGCAAGGGGTTGATATCCGCTCCAGCGTTTTCTAATAAGCCTCGCATAAAGGCTGAAACACGCATTCCTCGTTCAGTGAGTTACGGCTTCTCATCAAACGCGCACAGCTAAACTTACCCGGCTTGCTTTCCGAGTAACGTAGCAGATCTTCCCACAAGTCTTCATCCGCTTGTTCCCTCGCAAAGTCGATAGCCTGATTTGCCGCTCTCGTCAGCCCAGACAGTCACGAATTGGTGTTTCGAATCGCGACTGACTCTTTGCACATCCCCCAGCCTCTCAATGATGAGCATCAAAGCCTGTTTATTGTTCCCCATCCTGCCCAGCAGGAATACCATTTCTGGGACGAAATCCCTGCCTGTGCAAATCTCGTAGGCCTTTTCCAGGCTGTAGTAATTGCTCGCTCGTAAATAGCCCATGAGCTGCGAATAGTCGTACTCTGCATACAACCGGACCTGCAGCATCGCAAACGCAATGTGATCAAGGACCCATTGCAGAGCTGGATGGTCGCAAGGGGATCCGACTCACCTGAAGGTCGCTATACTCGTATGCCAAAGATGGATCTTTACGGAACAAGCCATCCAGGTACATGTGAAGGTATCTGGGCCGTTCTTCCAGCTGAGTTACCACCCGGTTGATCTGTAACAAACACACTTGGTGGAATCAGCGGACGTTGTTATGGCCCATCTTCGATTTGGCGTACGGGGATTGAATATGTATGCTCGACTAGGAGAGCGATAGCCTGTCCATGCCGCGCCGTGGTATGACCTTCTGTCGATGCGAGCGCCATTTCTTCCTTTTCGTGTTCTCGATCGACAATGGGATGGTCGCCGTTGTCGACAATGTTTTCTCGATCAAAGTCTACCAATAGGAGGACCTGGTCTTGAACGGCGGAGAACAGATTGTGCAAACTGATAAACTCAAAGACCTCGGGTTTCCGAAGTCTGATGAGGAAGGGCAAGGCTTTGGCCGGTTGATGTTGGGCGATATAGCTGAATGGACGTCGAGTGAGCGAGAAGAGCAGTTGAAGAATGGACAAGATCGATTTACAGTTCGGCCAGACATTCCATCAATATCGGGGATGCCGGAGCAGAGTCCAACTCTCCCTGCACAGCGACGATGACGGCTTGTATGTCGTAAATCTCGATTGGCCACTCCTTTATGCGATTTAGTAAACCCTGAAGCGTAACGAAATTTCAGCTTCCTTGGTACATGTATAGCTCGCAGATTCGACCGAGACGTGCCTCCTTGTCGTGCGTCAAAAAGTGGGCCATGATCATGTCGTAGATAAGACGAGCAAGCCGAGGCGATTTAGTTGGCACGTACGGAATGATTGTCTAGAGGGACAATCCGAGACATATCAATAACAAGCGAAGTTGAAACCTGCGACATCTTGCTTACGGGAAATTGGCCCCTCTGAATAAACAGGAAAATCCAGTCTTCCCAGATCTTTCCGTCTTGGCCAAAGACTTTAGGACAAAGCCGCGCGGCCTGCTCGTATGAGCCTGTATTGAAACCCGGTCACACCGTCGTTATTGCTTTTAAGTCGAGGGGCCCGGACCTGTACAACTCACCTTCATCAAACAGATGCTTGATATATTTGACGCCGATAGCTTTGATATCGAGACTCTCGCCATGTTGTTCAACAAGTTTTTCAGCGGAAGAGAGTGCCTCTTCGAAACGACGTTGATCGACCAGCCAGTTGATATGATCGACCTGGTCACGTGGCCTGGAGACCACAAGGTCTTTAGGGCTGACAACGAGGTACACCTCGTCTCGGGGTCGGCCAGAAGGCATCAAGAGGTAATCGTTACAGCCATAGAGGTGATAGTTGCTCAAACTCAAGGCATCCGAAGATACTTCTTCTCCCTTTCTCGAGATGATGCGCAGCTCTGGCCGATTTGCAGCTTTACGCCGTTGCTCCATGGGGTTCTCCGTCGCTTCGTTGCTGAAGGTATCTGGAGCGACATACGCCAGTACGAGGAAAGCATTGTCGTTCTTGTAAGGGCAAATGCCAGATATCATGCGGTCGACCCGGAAGATTGCGGTGATCTCGACTGTGAGCGTGACCCCTCCAGTCACCGATGCAGGCCGTGGTCGCTCTCGTATGCGAGCAATCTTGATATAGTCCGCCCATGCTACCAATAACGTCTTGTCATCCTCCCAATATAGTGTAGGCTTGAAGACGTCTGCACGTGGACTGTTAGCCGGCCGGTCGATATACGCTATCCGTTGACTTGATGATGTGTCGTAGATTTTGATTCCCTGGTCAAGAGGAAAGGTTATAAACGACTTTTACTGATGGATCCCAGATGAACGCTTTCAAATACTCACTTTATCGTTTGCCCAAGCTATCAGATTGCCTCGCCATTCTATAGCCCATATAGGCCCTTCGCCGGAGTGCAATACGGTCTCCTTGTGGCCCAACCAACCCTTCTCATACATGACAAGTGTTCCCGCCATGCCCCCACAGACGAAAGCCTTGGTCGACTTTTTCGCAAAATTGGGCTCGAGGGCAACAGCCCGCAGAGGTCGTTTCTGGTCGAAAGCGTAGATCTCGGGAGATGTCGAAGACCGGATCACCACACGACCTGATTGTGGCACGAATGCTCGAAATATCAGCGACAAGTCATGGTGAAAGAATTTCGATTGCATACGCACCCTCCATTGATGCAGTCGCTACAAAGTCGCTCTCTTCGTCGATCTTTATATCAGTGATCGAAGCGCCATGTGGACGGTACGAGTTGATCTTGCTCCCCTCGTACGTGAGGATATGCACCATGCCATTATGCGTTCCAAGGGCCTGGCACAAGCTCAAGTTTCGGCAAAAGAAATAAACGCTTTATATTTCATCGTTTACTCACTATATAGCGGGAAGAGGCAGCTAGAGCCGAGGCGGTGTCTTTGATCAGGATTTCAGATGATGCCGGTCCCAGCCTGGAGTACTTGAGCGATCTGCGTAGAATGTGCATAGGGTTTGTTGGATACCTGCCATGCATCTCAAGCACAAAAGCAAGCTTACGGTTCTTCTTCCTCGTCTTCCTCATCTTCTTCATCTTCTTCCTCACTGTCAGACCCGTCCTCATTCCCATTCGTATCTCCTTCGGCATCATCCTGTTCACTGCCGGTTGCAGATGCAGTATCTTCTTCCATCCAATTTCCACCTAGGCCACCCTTACGTTTCGTAGCTAGAGTATTTGATGCTTCCTCATCCGATTTCTCTCCCTCGTCGTCGTTGCTCATGCTGTCGCTCTCTTGCCCTTCGACAGCAGGTGAGTTGTGTTGAGCATATGCCGCATCTACCCCTTCCGCTGGCATCATCGCAGCGGTATCCTCCTCTTCCTCCTCATCGTCGGAACCGCTATCATTATCTTGATCTTCTGGCTGCTGGATGATCGCATGCTCGGTACTGGTCTGGTCTCCGATTTGATTTCGTTCAGGTGTGTTTACCTTACCGGACTTTACGATGACCTTGTCAAGTGCCATGACGACGGTTGCCGAAGGATCCTCCTGATCGTTGCTGGACCCGTTTGCCAGCTCCTTCTCGTGGCTACTCATCTATAACATATTGAATGGGCTATTGCATGACAAGCCTATCAAGTGGTTGCGTGGTTATGGCAACTTGGGCGATACCTCAATGTGACGTGCAACCTGCAACCTGTTGATGGTGTCGAGCTCATACTCTATAGATCTATAGAGCAGCGGAGATGACGATCTCGAGGATGAGATGCGGATGCAAATACCACCCAAGCCACCGAGATTGATTCACGCGAGCTGGGCACATCTTCACCCTTGTCATACCGTACTCTCAACGATCGGCATCACACTTGTACACATAGGGACTTGCTTCAGAGTCTTCACTTAATTTCCAACTTTCAGACCACTCATTGAGTTATCCTCACGCATGTCCGACTCGGTCGAGCCATTGATCTCGCGACAAGCAGTAAAGAGCGCAGACCCCGCTTGGACCAGACGATCTACATCGATTCTTTTCAGGTCACAAAGTTCTCTGTATTCGTACATACCGAATTGTGCTTCAGTCCTCTTCATAAGCCATAATCGAACAGGCATTATGGCAGATTCACAGATGGTACGAAGTTGGATCCCAACAACGTTCGTCGAGTATACGTCAGACCGATCGTTCCAGAATCCCAGGTGGTCAACCTTGAGAAGGGTATTCGCTTGTTCTTGTCCTTGTCTGCGGTGCTCCCATCGCTGCATACAGCTCTGTCGAAATTCGGCTGATGATCCACCCTGACTGTGCGAGAAAGAGTACGTTGGTACGTAAGAACGGTTGAATACCTCCTTCGGGTAACCCGAGATCCACGTGAGTGATGAGTGAGGATGAGTCGGAAGGTCATACATATACGAGTGGGTTCAGGGTGGTCTGACTCGAACACCGCGGGAGGGCTGATAAGGGCACATCTAACCAAAGCCTATCGGCCCAACTCGTCGCCCGCTCTTGTGCGTTCAGGCTAAACGTGCCGAGGTTCTCTGACAACATGGCAAGATTGATGTCACACTCGCAGAGATCTTTCTCCCGGTAACGTGCTAGGGAGGCGTATAAGGACACCGTCGTATCAACCTGATGAGAGAAGAACGGAGTTTCCCCAATACTCAGTGATAGGCTTGTTGTTCTCAGTCGTACCACATCGAGGGGAATGACACTCCGGTCGATGGTCAACAGTCGCCGGGATATGCTACTTATAACCAACAACATCACCGACAACAACGACCCATATGTCTCGACCTTGCGACCTTGTTGTAGCGTTGTAGTGGATTGTATCATTAGTTTTGCGCCTGTTTATTGCCGTTATCAAAGGGTTCGGGGGTATTGATTCCGCTTCGAATACATCCGAAGATCACGTGATTAGCAATCGAATCGCCGGTAGCAGCTCCCGCAATAGCCGGCGGTTGAAAGACCTACGTCAAAGTGCAGCAAGGAGGGGCGATAGTAGCAAGATCCTACTCTGCTACATCGCTCAAAGCTGTTATCGGGGATAACAAGTTTAGAGGACAGTCACTGCCTTCGGTTACGTATCGTTATAGAGAAGCAGCCCTCTAACATGTCTGAACTACAGCAATTCTTGTCAAAGTACGTCATACACCGCTGCAGTACCTCTTTATGTGTCGCTAAGCACTAGTCCTCCCTTCCAGTCCTCTATACCATGACCTGTTCTCCATAATCAAGGGTGCTAGGAATGGTTTCGTGTACGGCTGCAAGATCCGTAAGCCGACGTGTCTAGTAATAGTGCAGTCATTACGATAACGAGCTTACACGAGCAACGCTCCCTTTCTCTCTCACTCGCATTGTAGGTTTCCCTCACGCTCTAGTGATGACCCTCCTGTTCTCCAACCGATCCTGGCCAGAGAAGGTCCGAGCCATTTACACCGCCACCTTGACACATGCGAAGAATTTGGCCAAGTTCGTCACGGTGTACAAGCTGCTGTTGATCTTGCAACGGAGACTCCGAGCCGGAGTCGGAGCCGGAGCTGGAAATGCAGAGAGGACTGGGGTAGCTGGGAAGAGTATTGGAGCTAAGGGTGTGGAGAGAGGGCTGGATTCGTTCGTCGCAGGGCTGGTTGGAGGATATTGGGTGTTTGGCGAGCGGACGGCGGTGAGTCGCGAATGCATGAGGTTGCTGATTCTCATGTTAGACATGAGGCTGATACTCTTGTACGGTTCTCGCTCCGTCCGCCGTCTACAGATCAACGAACAAGTACGTTGTTGTCGGGAGTTGTCCCTCTCGCAAGATTCCGGTTCTAACATTGTGTCTTCCCCCCCGCAGATCGTTCTCTACGTCTCCTCCCGAGTGCTCGCCTCATTCCTCCCTCGACTCCTGTCATCGGCATCTGGTACCGCTTCACTACCCCCAACATCACCCTCGAGCTCGATCTTGCCAGCCAACCTTCGACCACTCTCCACCCTGTCCCCTCTGACGTCCAAGGCGGCCAACCCGCGTCCGATCCCACCTGCCGATACGCCGTTTGCGATTTTCGCTGCTCTGAGCTGGGGTCTGGTGATGTACGTCTACAGACATCATGGAGAGAGGCTTCAGCCGGGCATGGTCAACAGCATGTGTGAGTCGATTTTCGAGCAGAGAGTAAACAACACGAGATATTCGCTTACCCGTGCGATTTTCCATAGCTTATCTGTACCGAGATTCCGAGGCTTGGAGTAGTTTAAAGACGCTCTTGTGGCACAACAAGTAGACGTTACATCGGAATCTACTCATGATGCAAAGCGCAAGAGATAACAGAGGATTCAACGGACTTCAAGGGAGGGAACGATGAGGATCACGACATAAAAGACAGCTAGAACCTTCCGCGGCACGAAGATCTGAACTCATGCAATGCAACGCCAACGAGCTATCACCCACATACTGATAGAGTATCATCCAGGATTGTATCGTGTATCAAGTAGTTCTGCCATTACCGATAGTCGATGACCAGGACGATCGTATTATTTTGATTATTATCACGTGTGTTGTGGTTACGTCAACGCCGCCTTGGCTCGGGCGAGGTGACGATCAGGGTTTCGGAACTCTCGGACTTGAACGAGAAAGGGGGAGGAGATCTCTCTTCTCATACTCATCCACTTCTCCGCCGACGACCGCCACCATCAACAGACACACCCAGATTGCAGCGAGATTATAGATCCCCAGTCATACAGCAGCGTATCGAGAGCTCCTATCCGACATGGATCGGACGGAGGGCGACAAATAGTAACATCGAAAACACATAGTGGGCGGAACTGGGAAGAGCGACCGCCAAACGACATCGACAAATCGTCATGACAATAGACCAGCGTCGTCTCAGCACGATTAGTGCATTCAGCGTTATTCCGAGGCGATTCAGTACATCGGCTCCGCGTTACGACGATGACATCGATCTCGAACTCAGAGCCGATCTGCTCAGGCCGGGCCTTCAACCAAATTCTGCCAACTCTCATGCCCTGTCAGACGATTCGACCACAACTCTGTTTAACGGAGATCATGAGTATGATTACAACGATAGGAGGAGTCTGGATTCTACGGCTCCTCTGCAAGGTGTCAGGAGGGTCGAGGCGATTCAAGCGGTATGGACGAAAAAGAGCCGTTATGTGCTGTTCATCGGGTGAGCCTCGACGCGATGATGTAGAGGTCTACCAACGCCGAGCTGACCGATTGTATGTGATCAGACTCGCTCTGGCATCATACGTATACTCTTTAGATGGTGAGCCGTGCTGAGCAAGGCAAAGTGAAGCTTTTCAAACTGACAGCTACGCTCTGAGTTAGGCTCGACGACCTGGCAGTTCCTCTTCTACGCAACATCGACCGTATTCGGAAACTCTTACTCTGGCTCGATCACCACCGCCGCTGCCATCATCATCGCCGTAGGGAAACCTCTTATGGCCAAGTTGGCTGATGTGTGAGTCCACCAGAGGGTTTTAGCTGGAGCGGTGAAATTGACATATCACTCGATCTGCGTTATTATTAGATTCGGAAGGGCGGAATCGTATGTCGCGGTAGCTGTGAGTGGACCATCGTGTCAAAGGGATCGCAACAAAGACTTGAGCTGATCTTGCTTTTTACAATATACCACGACAGGCTCTCTACAGCTTGGGTTACGGAATCATCGCAACATCCTCGAACATCGGAGGCCTGGCGGGAGGGACCCTGGTATATTCGTATGTTTCCCTCAAATCCCTCTTGGAAGGTGATTTTGGCTGACAGCTTCGACTGGTAGATTTGGCTACACTGGATTGCAGCTCTTATCTCAAATCGTGATCGCAGATGTGACCACCTTACGATGGCGAGGTCTTTCGAGGTCAGTCTCCTGCCAGTGGGTTCGACTATGGCGATACTTGCAGCTTATCGATTCAAACCCGGACCTTATAGCGCTCTTCTCTCCTTTCCCTTCATCATCAACAACTTTGTCGCTGCCGAAATCGCAGAGGGCATCCTTCCCGACTGGAGGTATGGCTACAGTCTCTTCGCCTGTGCCGTCCCGCTTTGCCTGAGCTTGATCGTGGGGACCATGTTCTGGGCCCAACGTCGCGCTCGCAAAATCCACAACGAGAAATTTGGCTATCATCACCATCAAGACTTCTTGACTCGACAAGCGGTAGAAAGTTGGACGGATGTCATGATCAGGAATATGAAGGAGATGGATGTTCTCGGGCTTATTTTACTCACGGCGAGTTTGTCTTTGGTTCTATTGCCATTGACACTGGCGAACACTGCCGACAAGGGGTGGGACAACCCAGTCATGCCCGGCATGGTAAGTGAGATATATTGATGCCGATGCACTTGAACTCAGCTGACATAGGTTTCTCCTTCGACATCCTTCAGGTGCTGATCGGGGTTCTATTGTTCCCCATCTGCTGTTATCACGAGACACGTACCGAGAATCCCATCATCCCGTACAAATTCCTCCGCAATACGTCCATTCTCGGAGCATGCCTCATCGGTGAGTTCAAGATATCCCTTTTGTGCGGAGGTCATCCGGCTGACATCATTCATGTTTGACTGGAAAAGGCTTCCTTGATTTCACCTCGTTTTACCTGCAATTCACCAGTGAGCGCTTTGTGCTTCGGCATCAACGAGACCAATTACGTCGCTGACCCTTATTCTGCATATCGAAGATTTGTACAACTTCATCTATGTCACGCAGGATTGGTCCCCAAGAAACCTATCCTACTTTGCGTCCATTCAGACAATGGCTATGACGATATTCGGCATCATTGGTGGTGCCATCATGAGCCGGACTCGAGACGTCAAGGTATGTCGGCGTGTCGCCAATTTGTAACAGTCGCACAAAGAGTCTGACGGCTCGCCTCATTCGATCACACCAGTTCCTGTTATTAGTTGGTCTGGTCATCAGACTAGCTGGAGTAGCCTTCATGATCCGCTCTAGAGGAGCGAACGGAACTCCTATCGAACTCGTCCTCAATCAAGCGTTACAAGGGATCGGCGGTGGTTTTGCGTCGGTCACGCTGCAAGTTTCCGCACAGGCTGGAGTATCTCACGCCGAAGTAGCCACCGTGATAGCGATGGTCATGCTCATCACCGAGGTTGGGAATTCTGTCGGCTCTGCCAGTACGTCACCTGCTAGCCAAAGTTCTGGTCATGTGAGCTTACACAGCGTGTCCTTCTTACAGTCGCAACAAGCATATACACTAGAGAGATGCCCAAAGCCATCGCACGCTATGTTCCTGGCGACAATGCCACGCTTAAGGCAGAGCTCTATCTCTCACCTACTATTGCGCGGGAATTTCCGAAACACAGCCCGATACGGGACGCCATGGTCAAGTCGTATAGCGACGTTATGTTTCGACAACTCGTGGTCGCGACCGCGGTGGCCATGCTACCTCCCATCATTTGCTATTACCTTACGAAACAAGACCGGTTGGAGGATGTTCAGAACTTGGCGGATCGAAGAGATCTGGCAGGGAACCGAACGGACGAATCGGAAGATGGTCTGAGCGGGGTTTACAGCTCGCTCGACACGGGATCACGAATATAGACGGCATTGTAACGACAAACAGCATTTTTGTATCCATCTCTTGTAACATCATCAGTAGATCGGCATGGTCGAGAAGAAAATACGTTGTATCATCGGTCTCGAATCGGAGTATTGCTTGCGATACTGTCGGGCGGGAGGAGCCATCGAGCTTTAAGAGTGCTGCTTCCAGGCCCTCCAGGCATAGATCGATGACCCCAAGAACGGCTTTCTAAAGGCATCTATCACTTGTTACTTGTGACCACTATCCCAAAGAGACAAAGAGAGTTATGGGCCCAACATCGAGCGTCTTGATACAGAGGATGAAGTCGCACCAGAAGGAACTGATGTTACCTTCAGCTACTAGCCCTTCTTACACGATCAAGCCGTCCTCCGTGTTAACTGTTGTCTTTCCAAGGTCTCTCATGCACATCAGTAGCTTCGCGCGAAAGTGAAGAGTATAGTAGGGTCTCGAAATACATCAGGGATCTGAGCAGTTCCTCCCGAGCACCACATCTCGAAATCATTGCGCCACCGCTTTATGTATATGCTCCGCTCGACGCTTACAAACGGAAACACATCGAAGGAGAAAATCCGCCAAAGACAAGGGCGCGGCCGGGCTACTATGGCAAATAGGAAGGAATATATATATAACAAGAAAACCGTAGAGGCGATAGGGGGTGGAAGTGACGAAGAAAGGAAAATGGAGAAGGCGATCTTGACTGCTCAAGGTCAACCAAAGTGTTGCCACAAGTACCCGATGGAGAATGCGGCAAAGGCGACGGCGAGTACGACTGTCAACTGGTACCCCTCGATGTTCTCGGACACCTGAGCCGGAACGACCTGAGCCGCCTTGGCCTGGGCGTCTCCGACAGCGCCCTTGACCTTCTGACCCAGGTCAGAGCTGGCGAGCTGGTTCTGCAGCGAAGTGATCTGAGCTCGAGCGAGGGCGAGCTGCTCCTCTGCCGTCTGGACGAGCGATGATCCGGCGCCCTGGTTGTTACCGTTAGTGGGCAACGAGTTGATCTCGGCTCGAGGTACCGAGTTGCTGGATTTCGAAGGAGTCGACAGGGTTCCCGGTCCGGCCAATGATTTCGCCACGTTAGCGGGATCGTAGGTGGATTGAGGAACACCCCCAGCCGTCGGTCCCGAAGAGGCAGAGATAGGAGCGGGAGCAGGAGCGTTTTGGGTCTGAACGTTGGTGACGTGGATGGGAGTGGCGGGGTAAGGCAGAGGAGCGTGGACGGCGCCGTTCGCCTTCGGGGTAGCGGTTGGGGTGGAGGCATCCCCTGAGATCATCCTCGAAGTCGAAGGCGAAGCAAATCCTGCGTTCTGTTCCAGTCGGACGTCCACACCGAGCGTTAGCATCCTGATCCTCATAATCTCTGGACCAGTGAGTCGCTCACCTGCGTCTCGTCGGCCCATTTACTGACATCCCCAACACTGTTCTCCGGGATCGTCTCGGTATCCGAAATATACGCGACCCTCAACTTGTGTTCCTGGATTTTGGACTTGTCCGTCTTTTCCAGCTCGTACCACTATTCGTTATTTGAGGGACGCGATTCGTGTCAGTCTTGACCAGCATTCCTGCCGAGAAGACGAGATCGTCTCAATGAAGACTCACGTAATCAGTCAAAGCCATGCTCTCCTTCTCGACCGGGATCTCGGCGCTACAGACGAGGAACTTGTCTTTGCACTTGGCGTGAGGAGGAGGCTGTTCCTTCATCGGTTGCAAGATGACTATCCGTATGTACGTTGAGGGTAATGGCCAGACAGGAAGCGAAGAATAGAGTAAGGACTTTTGTTAGCACCCCATCATCAGGTAGCTGATACAGCTCTCAAAACTCAGAGACTAACCAGAAATCTCCAAGCTCTCCCCTGGCTCGATCCTGCTCGAATTCGGCCTCACGCAATAAGCCTTCGGGCTGGTGACCTTGATCTTGACGACGATGGGTTTATGGTGCGGGTTCCGGAGTTTGAGGTAGGAGGTGACCGAGTTGTTGAACGGGCCTAGCGAGAGAGACAGAGAAACAGCATTATTCCAGAGAGGAGAGAGAAGAGATTAGATACGGGTTCTCTTTAATCCCTGGTGGAGAGCCAGAGAGGTGCTTACGGCGGAACCCGAGATAATCCCTAGGAGAGACTTCGACCGACATCTTGTCTGTTTGCTTCGCTTTTACTTTGCTTCTATCTGATTGTGTTTGAGACGCCTATGATCTCCTTGTTCTTTCCAAATCCAGATCTTGATCGGACTTCCAAAAGCTGGATCTTGTGGGAGTTACGAGCTGAGCTGTGTTGTACGCGATGTTGTGTTATCCGATCAAAGGGACGAAAGCGAGCGCGTCAATCCTCTCGACCCGTGTGCTTCATTGGCTCAAGCAGCTTGGACGTACGTTATAGAACGACAGGCTCGATTTCCTAGACTCGTTGGAGGTGATTAGAGGAATCAGCTATGATGAGCTATCAAGCTATCACGCTGGGTGTTGTGCACACGATTGAGCGTGTGAGGAGGTCCCCGCTGCTGCCCGAACGAGACCTCACTCGTCATAAGGGACAGCGAAGTCCATGTGTCTCATCCGCGGTGCACACAAATAGTTCGGAGCGATTACCGGTCGAAGGATGACGTAGTGAACCATTCCCTTGGACCTGCCGGACCTGACATCGCTCATCACAGGCCAAGCCTTGCACCACAGCGCCAGGCCAGTGCGCAGTGCGAAGTATTCGGTCGTAACTTATTATCGCAGACAAGGCAGACCCCACAAATAATGAAGCAACACAGAAAGACGGATTGTGGTTTGCACAGAAACCAGGGTGTAATGGGGAAAACGACTATTGGTATCTCATGTTTGATACATTGCGGTTGTTGCGGATTCGACAAATTTCGTTTCTGATAGACTAATTAAGGGGGACACGACACGTCGGGGAGCTACATGCAGCGGACTACTCGTAATAAGAGGCGTGTTCGCACTCTACTTGTGGTCGGCGTGGGTGGTGTTGGTGTGTCCACCGATGAGGTTCTTGACCTTGTCCATGAGACCCTCCTTGTGGGCACCGGTTCCCTCCAAGTTGTTGTCGTGGACACCGGTGGTGGTGTTCTCTCGGCCGGTAAGACCGGTAGCGTCGTAGTTCTTGTAAGCCGAGTCGGCAGTGTCACCCTTGGTGAAGTCGTCGCCGTGTCGGGTCACGCCGGACAACTTGTGGTCGTCAGACCCCTTGTTGCCAACGGTGTGACCGTGGTCAGCACCGGTACCAGTGAGCCTGTCGGTGTGGGTGATGTGCTCGTTGTCTCGTCGAGGAGCGTCGAACCTGTCGGTACCGGCAGCTCCACCGGAAACAACTCCGTGCTCGTTGGATCCCTGGTAGTTACCGACGCCCATGTTGCCGGCGGAACCAGTCCTCTGGTCAAAGTCTCGGGCCGCGGTGTTGGAACCGTAGGTGGTAGAGTCGGAACCTCCAGTGATACCAGCGCCGGGGTGACCTCCGGTGATGCCTCCCTCAACGCTAGCACCCTTGCCGACAGTGTGATCGTGAGCGTGGTCCTTGTTTCCAGTGACGGCGTCCTTGACCTTGTCGGTCATCTTTCGGTCGTCCTGGGCAACGTCTCGGCCGGTACCGAACGATCCAGAGCCGGTTTGCTGACAAGTGCGGAAGAGGGTGGAGCAATTCAGTGATAAGATCCAAGTAGCCTCGGCGCATAATTGTGACTTACGATACCGCCGGGGGCGTCTCCGGTCTGGCTACCAGTCAAGTGCGATCCATCGAGACCCATGCCGGTGTTTCGGCCCTGACCAACGAGGTGGTCATCAGCGGTACCGGATCGGATGTCTCCGTGGTGACGGGTGTCGTGTACCAAGGGGTGGTCCCCGGTGTTTCGTCGCGAGTCGTTCTCGTCGTAACCAGTGCCAGCGTTGTGGTGGTTGCCTCCGAGACCTGAACCGGTCGAACCGAGGTTGGTACCGGTGGTGTGGTGGTGGTGGCCCTCGTGTCCGAGGCCGGTCGAGCCGATGTTCTGGAGACCAGATCCGCCGGTAACGCTGGTGGACTGGCCGTAGTGAAGGTTACCAGCGACGGCCTGGGCAGGGGCACCAGGAGCGGCGAAGTCGGATCGGGGGTCCTCGAAGGGCTCTCGGCCAGTGGAGCTGCAAAGAGTGCGGGTGGTGACTGTCAGCATGATTGACTTCGAGAAACTGTTGCGATCGTCACCAAACTCACTTGTTCAATCCACCACTGCTGAAAGCGTTCGAAGGGTCAAAGGCCTTCCTCTCGCCGGTAGAACCGACACCAGTGTTCAAGTTGTTGTTGTTGTTATCGTAAGACATGGTGGGGTAGTTGTTTGTGATGTGTGCTTTAAGAGTCGTGTGAGTTTTGTTTGTAGAGAGAGAAAGAGGGCAAGAGTAGCAAGACGGAATGGGGGTGTGGTATGTCGAGGTTTATATACCTGGCTGGTTGCGGTTCGAGTGAGTGACACACCTGACCGATGATGCTGGCACGAGAAACGTTTCCCTCTCCACGTAACAGTTCCGTGACGTCAGCGTTTTGGCCCGTGCTCCCGCTGCCCGCTGCTGCGTTCGCTTGCCCCTGACGATCTCGTGATGATGACGAATATCTCGCGACCCCATGACGACGATGACCGTGCGCACCTTCCCGGCAAGCGAAAGCTTCGAAAGTTCTCACATCACGTCACTCGGGACTCACGTAAGATTCGACTTCGGCATTGACCCTGCATCTTGGCTGCTCCACCCAGGGCCCGCTCGAATCAAGTCCGTCGGCGCCGGGAACGATTTCGCCCGGGCGTTTCAGAGCCGAAGGTTTTGGTTTTAGAACAGTCCAGCACCATCCATCGTATCACTGCGAATCTTCGCCCACGTTCCACCACACGACCGGATACCGATACTGGCAAAGATTTCCCGTAGGTTGATGTAGCGTATAGGAATACAGGAAGAGGTCTATGGTCTAGGTCCGATGATTGTAAAGGGTGGTTTAGCTATAAAAGGGGACATAGTCATTGCGAGAGAAGACTCTCCGTCTCCGTCGCATAGATAAATAATCTCAAATCTGCGCGTGTCCGAGACCTAGGTCAATGTTCCGCAAGACATTGTCAGGTCTCTATGATCCTGTCAGCTGTCCGTGAAGGAGCAGGCGCCGATTGACACGTCAATGCAACATGCGCTGTTGCACCCCAAGCGCTGCGGGGGGGCAGGGCTTTTTGATGTGTTTCACGGCGTCTGCGCCAATTCGTACGGAAGTTATCCCTTTGAAATGATCACCAGTAGCGAAGGCAATACCAACCGTACGCATCGAGCAGGATTTGATATTGTCATATGGCGCCCAGGGAACGAATACAGCTCAGACTATGAAGGAACGGCCGACGGCTCAGCGGTGCTGCCTTTTGGCGACCCCGTCGTCTTGCAGGTATCGCATGTCAAGGTAACTGAATAAGGTTTCGTCCATCCAGGAACCCTTTTCGGTGCCAATGGCAACTTCACGATCGAATAAGACCAGATACTGTATCGGCTATGTGAAGATAAAGCTGAACAACTAGGAGATCAAGTGCTGCTGAAATTCCCTCTGGAAGTCGACATACCCTGGTGGGACACCCTGGTCGCGGCGGAAAAACTTGTTACGGCTTTCAGAGGATATCTTCCGGTGGCTCTCATGCCATCTTCTTATTTCAGCCATTCCCTGATCTCAAGGTCTACCTTCTTCCGCCAGATCCGTGCTTGCTCTTCCTGACAGAGAAGATCTTGAACAATTTTATGTCCTAATCGTGCGAGGAAGCAGACTTTACAGCCCTTCATGGTGAACGTCGAAGGGAATTGGCTGTTTGCCGTTGTCAACACGCGTTGACTGCTACAAACACTCAGAGAGAGGAAAAGAGAACATTACTCCGGGATCGCTCTATCTGCCTTTCGGTGTTCTCTGACTGTACCAGAGGAGGAAGACTTGGGCCAGGCATCATTGCGCATTGCCTACGTCGTCCGGCCGACTCTGACTTAGTCTGTACGAACGCGGGCTCTCATTATTATTGATCATATCCCTGATCGATTGCACGCTGCATCCAAACACTCGCGCAACGAGGTGCTCGACCGCCTCTGCCAACAGGTTGTCCAAGGTATCCCACATCTGCCCCCGTCCTTATTGTGGGATGTCCTCTCCGTTCACTTCCTTTTCCGGGTGCGCATCGACTCGTAGTCTCAACGGAGTCCGAGTACCCTCGAAGGCCGTAAACTCTTCATCCATCACTGGCAAGAAAATGACGGTGGAATGCATCCATTGGGAATGGGATCTCAATGGGTAGAGCTTTCCAGGACAGGTCTTGGCAACGATGTCACATACGATGATGTTGACAGACTCCCTTGCTTTGGACCTTGCCGGCAGACCTAGGAAGAATCGGACTGCGGTGATAGGCAAGTCACTCATGGTCACAAGGATCCGAAAGACCGCCCAGTCGATATAGGCCCAGATGTCTGGTTTTGGTTTGATTGAGTCCTCTCACATTGCCACACCTTGTATCCTTTCTCGCGTCAATATATATATATATATTCCTAGGAATGGAGCGAAGAGAGAAAGATGACAACGCTACATGTGACGTTTATACACAACCTCTACCGACTCGAATCGTGAGTCCGTCGCGACCAGAGTCTATGCGCCCCATTCTTCCTCCCTAGCTCGAGCGATGATGAATGAGGTCATGGCACCCGTAGCGGCCTTGACACCGGTATGAGTGCGGAGCAGCTGCGATGATTCAAGGGAAAATCGGCACCATCCAGTCAGAGATGCGAACAAAGAGATACAATGACGCCTCACTCACCTTGTTCGTAAGCAGGGTAGGAACCTCGGCGAGCTCCTTGCTACCCAGACCCAATTGAGCCGAAGCTAATACGTCAGAAAGAATTCAGTAAAGATGACCTGCTCAAGCAGAAACTAGTACATGTAAAACTCACGACCTGATCCCCAAGAGTAGTAAAAGCCATCGGTCGTTACGGCGATGCTATGACGAGGTCCAGCGTCGACGTGAGCGACACGATGAGATGCCGATCGGTAATCATCTGAATCTTCGTAGGGTTGCACTTTCGGGACCTTGTTGTCCGGGGTCGAGGGAGGAGGGAAAAAGACCTGATGCGAGGGCGTAGTTGCGTGAGTGGCACGTTTCTTAATAGGAGCTAGCCTGAGAAACTGACCTGCACGGGCTCTCCGATGTACTGAAGTTCCTTGGCGTCGTCAGTCATTGCAGGATGATCCGCTCCGATCCCGAGCTCGTTGTTGACAATCTTTCCGCAGCTGAACAAGGCACCATTGTCGAACAAGAACAACGAGTGGTTCTCGCCAGCCGAAATCTGCTTGACTCTGGCACCTCCATGATTCTCCGGGTTGAGAGCTTTGATGATGGTAGGCCTCTCGACAACGCGCTTCTCCCAGGATGCGTCGATATCGCTGTCTGCGACTCCTAATTGCCCAAAGAGGTTGTTACCCCAACCATACACCTGACCGTCTTCGTTGATCGCAAACGAGTGGAAAGCGCCAGCTCCAATCGAGACGATCTTTCTCAGACCCAATCGTTCCGGGTGCAACGAGTTCAACCTCCTCCTCGCCATAATCTTTCTGCCCAACTGAGCCTTCTCTCCATCGCCAAGGGCAAAGACGAAACCATCCGCAGAAAGGGCGAGAACGTGATCCGTCCCGGCCGCGATGGCGATGAATCGATCACTTTCCGCTCGGCTGGTCTGCCATGGCAGATCGACCGGGTCGTACTGGATCATCTTGTCGACTCCTCCGAATCCCATCAATCCCTCTTTGCCCTATCCAAATCGAATCCGTCAGCGATTACTCGACTCGACTGAGTTTCGGTCCGAAAGTAGACTCACCCTGAAGCTACCCCAATACTTGACTTTCCCCTCATCACTGATAGCCATACTGACACTGTCTCCAGCAGCGACCCTGACAGCCCTGAATCCTTCGTCTACGAGCGCTTGCACGACACCAGGCGTGGCCTCCAGAACATCCCGATCGAGCGTCTGAGATGGGTTGGCAGGGTCGGCCACCTTGTCGGTCCGTCGACCGAGAGCTCCTCCGTCATTCACACCCCATGTCCAGACCTACACAGCCACATCAGTACACGATTCCTTTTTCGAGCTGTGTAAGCCAGGGCTTACGTGTCCCTGTTCGTCGATCATGAGCGAGTGCATGCCTCCGCAAACCAGATCCTCAATCCCAGCTCCTTCTCCCCCAAGCTTTGCTGACGCGATAGCCTCCTCGATCCTAGACAAGGACAACACGATATGATGAGCGACTGCTCCAGAACTCATCAGCCGCTCGAGCAAAGGCTCACCAGCTCTGAAGCTCGGGCTTGCTCTTCTCTCCTCTTTCGTCATCACCCATTCCGAATTCTCCAGAATCACCGGTACCGAACACCATGGCAGTCTGAGCCGGCCGAAGATGCTCTGAAAGTCCAAATCACAGCTCGAGAGTCAATATATTTTCTCGACTCGCTTTAATACCGAAACTCACCAGCAGGCGTGGGCAAAGGCAGCCTTCCCAGATTGGGAGCCCCTACCCTCTTCCCGCCAGCCGATACCCTCCGACCTGCACCCGCCTTGACCTCCTCCTTGATCGCAGCAAGAGCCTTGTTCTTGGGCTTTACTGCAGCGGCGACCTTCTTCGCCCCTGTAACCGCGTTCGAGGGTTCCGGAGCATCTTCAGACGGCTTGCCTCGGACAGATTTGCGGGAGGAAGGGGGAGCTGCTGAGGAAGCGGGTTTCGACCTGGTCGAAGCGGGTCTGGCCCTTTTGGTGGGAGCTTCAGCTTCGGGAGAGCTAGCCGCTCGTTTCTTGCCGTTGACCTGAGAGTCTGGCTTTACGGATGCTGTCAGACCACGATCAATGAGGACAGAAGGTGAGTGGTTGACCGGGATCGACTTGTCGAGCTGATTTACCTCTTCTTGGTGGCATTTTCCAATCTGATTGCTTCGGGCTCTGCTCCGAGAAGTCACTATCCGTTCTAGATTCTAGCTTGGACAAAGGTCGTCCGTGTTTTGGTCTGATGTTGATGTCGTAAAGGATCCCAAGAACCCGTCCTCCCCCGGACTTTGTGCTTTGTTCATCGATCAACGAGTTGGTCCTCGCATCTCTCCCTCTCGTGTCCCCAAGCGCGCCGCGGGGATCGTTGCGCTTCGACCGACGAGAACCATCGAGCGGGCGGGAAGGGATGGTGGCAAACGTCCCGAACGATGCGTTTCAGCTCAGCGTTCCAAGGAAGGACATCGGGGCAGTCTCTGCGTCTAGATCTTCCAGACCAGATGCCGCCATGATACGCTATCCGCCATTGCGCGCGCTGCAACGGACGCAGCTCTCGGCCAGGAGAAAGCATGAAAGGAATGCCGCTCTGTCTCTTCGTACAAATACCTATCCTGCCACAGTGTGTAGATCAGCTTCTCCTGCAACCTGTTTTGCATGGCCCATAGCCCATAGGTACTTCATCCCTTCTCCTTCATAACCTCGATCAAAACGAAAAGCAATCGAGAATGCCCTTCCCGCAGCATCACCTCGGTCGCCAGCTCCGTCTCACCGCCAAGCGCTCCCCCCTCCCCGGTCCTCAAGCCCGAGCGCCCGCCCCGAAAGGCTCTATCAGCACTGCCCGAATGGGGATGACCACCCTTCCTCCCTTCACAGCTCACCAGTTCAACCACATGCTCAACAAGGTACCCACGAACTACCGCGAAAAGGCTTCGAGAACCACTTTTAGGCAAGAACAAGCTGGCCTCTTGGCTGGATTCTGGGCCTGTAGTCTAGTTGGTTTCGGGTGTATGTACACCACTGCTTTGTTGCTCGAAGAGAATGATGATGGGGAAGGATTGGCGGCGTTGCTGTTTGTACCGAAGCGAGTGGAAAAACCGGACACACACACACATCTCTCGGGTGGGCTGCTTTGAAGGAGTATGCTGATGGGAGGGAAGAGATGGGAGCTTCGATGTACAGGCCATGGGTTTGAGAACGAGGAGGCATACTTGTGCATGTATATACCCGACGCACATTACGATAAATATACGAACGGATGCGAGGTGAAGATCAAGCGCGGGAGGGTAGCTCATTCGTGAGGCACAGATAGGTAATAGGTATAGAGCTTTTGCTCCATCCTGATTATTCGCTCGACTTCCTTGGTCATTGGATGACCATGTTCGAAATAGGTTCACTCCAGCCGTCAACTACAACATGTGCGATGAAAGCATGGTAGTCGTACATAATCGGATCGGCTTTGATTATAGCTACATCTAAAAAGACAATCGTGAACCCCTGACCAGAATCACTCGTCATCTCCGTCCTCATCATCGTCCTCTCCCTCATCTTCATCCTCGGAAACGTCAAGACCCTTCTCCCGCATCCTGACCTTGTCCTTCTTCCGCTTCGTACTCAGCTCTTCCAGTAAGACGAGCAGATCCTCGTGTTCCTTTTCCGTCTCTTCCCGCTTGCTCTTCTCCTCGGCAACCTCCTTCTTGAGAGCATCCAACTCCTTTTGCAGCTGATCGTTGTCGCCGTTTTTCCCCTTCTTGCCCTTCCCTTTTGCTCCCTCGGAGCTAGCGGCACTGGCAGCGACCGTCGCGGTTTCGAGCTCTTTCTCTGCCTTTTCGAGCTTCTTTTGTAGCTCGTCTCGCTCGCTAGCAATGCGTTCTTGTTCTTTTGCCTGCTTTTCGGCAGATTCAACTCGGGCCCGAAGGGCTTCGAGTTCATCGCGAGCGGATTGTAGGTCATCTGCGTCTTTCTTGGAAGACTCGGCTTCCTTCTCTGCAGAGGCCTTCAAGCTGTCGACTTCGGCTTGCAGTGCGATGACGGACTGTCGAGCTTCTTCCAGCTCGCCGCTCAGTCTGATTTCTTCAGCCTTGGAAGCATCGTCAGTGGACTGAACCTTCTCGGCCAGCTGCGTTTTCGTCTCCGCTAGCTCTCTTCTCACGCTGTCGAGTTCGGCTTCTTTGGCAGCCAGATTTTCACGGATTCCCTGATTTTCTGCATCGTGCTTTTCCTGAGACTCGCTCAACTCGCTCAAATGCGTCTCAAGCTGCTCTTTCGTCGAAGCCAATTCCGCACGGACTGCTTCTAGCTCTTGCTGGTGGGCAGCATCGGACGAGCCTCGAGCCTCATCTATGGACTTCTGAGCCTTCTCCCCGTCGGCTCTGAGCTTGTCGACCTCTTCTGATAACGCCGTGACCTGAGCAGACAGATTTTCGATATCGGTCGTCAAAGCGGTTCGCTGTGAATTACGATAGTCGTCAGGTTTGCCATTCAGCCGACAACAGCGCACCAGAAAGACTTACGTCGACCTCGTGCTCCTTGGCCTGAGTCGCCAACTTCTGTCGTAGCACATCGATCTGCGTGGTCTGCGCTGCGATCTTCTCACGCAAAGAAGCGATGACGCCCGCGGCTTCGGAGTCGTCCGCTGCACACACAGAATCCAGTTGGTTAACCAGGAAATCTCTGATCGAAAGGGAAAATGAAGCTTACCTAGCGAACCTCGCATTGCATCTGGTTCGACAGCGATTGCTCGTTGGATGGTGTCTTATGACGAGTCACAAGTCAGAATCTGGGTTTGTCAACAGCAAACGGGGGCCAACACCTACAGTAATTGTTCTTCCAGAAATCGACAAACGCCCAATCGAACCACACCTCCGCCTCGGTATCTTCCATCTCTTCTATGCCAGGAGTCACTGGTGGTGCACCGGTCGGTAACGCGTTCAAGCCGTCCTTATCCTCGTCGTCAAATTGATCAGGCTGGACAGCCTTGAAACGAGGGTCTTCTCGTAGACGAGCCATCCTTGACACAAATTGGTCGGGACCGATGCGAGAATGCAATATAGGGTGCAGCGTGGCCCTGATGAGCCATTTCGTATCAGCACACGAATTCGTCTCTTGGTGCCAGATTGCACATACCGAGTAACCTCGCCCGGTTCTCTGTTGAACTCGTAACAGACACCCAGGAGGAACGCACACAGCCCCTGAACGAGCGGGTCAACACCGTTCGGCTGAGTGATCGGCGCGATAAGCTGTTCGAAAATCACCGTTCAGCACTGCAACTTCGCCTTGGAAATACCAGCTCATAGACTGACCACCTGAAGATCGCTCTCGTCCAAGAACGCCCTGACAGTCTTTGGGCTCTCCCACAGCCATGTGCACAAGAGCACCAGATATCCGACCATGACTCTATTCCAATCCGCTTCCTCTTCACTGATTCCTCCTGCCACCCCCGTCCCGAGATGTCGACCGGGAACACCTCCAGGCCCAGTACCTTCCTTCGCTGCCCGGTTGGCACAGTCTGCCTGTTCCCTCTGTGCGAGCATCAGGTTACCGACGACTACCTGTAACAGAGTCTCGTGTTCGTCGTCATCCTCGTCATCGGCAATCGCATGCTCGTGCACGTCAACTCCTTCTCCACCCATCCCAACCGTACCGGCTGGTGGGACCTTGATCTCCCTAGCCAACGTCTTTGCCTTTTCCGAGCTCCGGATGAGATGCGCCATCAGCAAACAGGCGAAGAGGATCCTATACGGTTCGACCGCTCGACCGGGCAAGGGCGTCTCGACGATGGCATTGAGGATCGTGTTTCCTGCGGTCTGTACGGGCGGGTCATACGGTCTCGATGGATCCGACACGCCCGCGACGGGTAGAGAAGGATCCATCCCGTTGAGCACAAACTCTCTAGCATCCTCGTTCCCGGTGATGTACGCCTCGAACATGTTGACTCCGGCCGCTCGACCCTTCAGAGCCCTGCCCATGCTAGGTTCCACATCGGCTCCTTCGACCACGCTTCCAACGAGCGCGAGCACTGCAGGTCGCATCGGTAGTCGAACAAATCCGCCGTTTGGATGTTCTTCGTTGGCAGGGACAGCGACCAATGGGGCGAGGGAGATGAGCGACAAGAGTGCCTGGTTGTTGGGAGAAGTGAGCATGATGGGCGTCAACGTGTTCAGCGCCTGGGCTTTCAAGGCCGGAGGTGCGTTGGAGGACAAGGCGAGTTCGATCAGACATCTCGTCACTCCGCTCGAAGCCATGGCAGTCTATCATCAATCCGAGACATTCAGTGTACATCCAAAGCAGGCTTTCTGACATCGCTTCGCTTACCTGATTGCCACCTCCAGGCCCTCCAACCAACATCCTAACCAGACCCAAGACCAATCCCGCGTTGACGACCTTTTGCTCTGGCCAGTATTGCAGCGTGAAATCGTCCGGTGCTGGGGTATCGATAGGAGGTGGTGGTGAGGGAAAGTAGAGCATCGGCGGGAGGAGCGGGATGAGGGACAGCTCCCGGAAATAGTTCTATCGGAATACAGAACCCATTCATTCTTCAGCATGCCATTACCAAGGCCCCAAATGCTCGAGCTCGACTCGCCTGGTTCGAGACGTTGTATCTCAACAACCCTCCCATCCCGACCATCGCATCCTGCACCACGATCCCTCCCTCGGCCCCACCCTCCCCATCGACGATCCTCAACAACCTCTCAAACGCCCCCGAGAAAGCTACAATCTTTTGCAAGTCCGTGTTCCCCTGCGTCAACTGAGGGAGGAGCAAGAGCGTCTCGTTTCGCAGCATCTCGCCCGCTCCGCCCGACATGGACGATTCTCCCGCATTCGGGTTGTTGGGCTGAGAGGATGTGGAAGGGAGTCCGGCGTCGAGGACGGAGAGGAGGGCGTCTACGCCTGGAGGGGGAGAACTGAGGATGTACGTTTGGACCGCATGAGCGTTGTGGATGAGCAGGAGGGAGAAGAGCTGGAGCGTATAGAACCGGGGGTAGAAGGAGGGCGAGGTGGAGAGGATGGTAAGGAGAGAGTGGGTTGGTTCTGGGGTCTGTACAGATGTATGTAGTCTCGCAATATCAGTTCGAGGCTCGAGGTCGAATTGGTAGAGACGTAGAGCCATGTGGGAAAGAGGGGCTGTATTTACCTGGAAGAATTCGTTCTGGAACCGAAGACCTGGATCGTCCCTCGTCGGCTATGAGCGACGACAAGATACCGCCAAGATAAGCACGGTCCCACGTAGACGTTCGTTTCATTTACGAAACTGTTGTGGCTTCGACTTGCCTTCTCTCCAACCTCGAACACTCCCATCAACGTCTCTAGCACGGCTTTGGCGATATCTGCATCTTGAGGCGCGTCATATTGCAGCACGGCGATCAAAGATGAAAGTGATCGGGTTCCAACTTCCTGTCAGTCGATAGGCCATGTCATGATAGCACGATAAAGGTGGGGTGGCATCGAGGTGATCGAAGATCAGAGCCTGCCTGTTAGCCTGTCATGACCTTTGTCGACATCGAGCGAAACAGCCAGCGACGAACCTCTTTGAACTCCCTACAACACCCTTTTAACCCCAAGACAGCCGTCCTCCTATCATCCACACTCGGACTCGTCTGGATCCTCTCTACTAGCTTGTCGATGGTATCCGTCGGCGTCTGTACTTGAGCCCCGAGTCGTGCGTTGAGAGGTGCGGAATGTGTCCGGAGCGCGGTGGAGAAGGAGGAGAGAAAGGACATTGTACGAGGGTCGGCGGAGGGAAGTAGAGGAGCAATTGCAAGAGGCGCAGCTTCTGTGTACGTGCTTTGCCCCGGCAAGTATCGTCATGGACACTGAGAGGGACAGATGATGATGGTGTTGTGTCGTGGTCTGTCTGTCTTTGAATATGCTCTCCCCCCCTGCATCTCCAGGTCAGCGAACGCGTCGGTTACGTAATTCAAACACGTAAAGTCAACCTGCACACAGACGATGAAATAAAGTTGGTAATTGGTAACAACTCCTGACCTTGAAGCTTGATGTTCACTCTGGCATCATCTCTAGCTGCTCGTCAACGGAGACCCGAGTATACCTTGTCCTAGTATCCGAGCAAAAATCTCATATCCCCTCCTGGGCCTAGGTCTTCCGCCGACCCACCATCATGGCCAACCGAAGACAGATGCCTGGGGACAAGCAGATCCAGCGGACGTTTGACAACATGTCGACGGAACGCAAGGTCGAGCAGGCTGGACAGGGGGTTGCGAGCATACTGAAAGGTGCGTACTGGTTATTGATATTCAACGTTGAATGTTTGCCAGCTCAAAATCGAAGATATTGTAACTGATTCGTTCATTCTCAACTTTTGCAGCCAACCGGCCATTGCCGGGCTCGATCGATGTCGACAAGTTCATCACGGCAAGTCCGCCTTGATAGCTTGAGAGTCCATGATCATCGATGATGAGGAGCTGAAACGTCAATCTTTTCTATGCTGTTAGTCGAGAGCTTTCGAGATCTACGGGATGAAACGAGCTCAGAAACAAGCTTCGTACGTCCTCAACCAACTTGCAGTCCACCCGTTGTGTATCACCCGCTCAATGTGCTGCATGTTTCTCATTCCGTAGAGCGGACATGACCACCCGGGCATTTCAGTCTCTACCCCGGCATCTACGACGACGAGCGGCCAGCCATAATCCTCGTCGCGTACCTAAACGGTTACGGGACAAGGCTACTTTCGAGGTCAGCCTAGTTTTAGCTCTTGCTTTCTTGCTCGAATGACCATATGACCATGTGCGTCGAGCTGATGATGTGCGATAATCCCGGCGACAGATCGACAAGGGCGACAAGACGGTCAAGATGCAGAGGAAAAAGGCGGAGAAGAGGAGAAAGAACGGGATCAAGGGGATGAGCGTGACGGACCGTTGGTTGGGTCGACAACGTGAGCACCGACCTTCTCTACCCTACCCATACCTCATCTTCTTTTCGACTTCAGCATCGATTCTGATACCTCCGTCTACGTTCAGAATCGAAGCGCTGGCTAGAAACTCACGTATGGCATGCGAAACGGTGCAAGATGATCACCCGCTGGGCCTACCGTCTAGCTTCGACCCCGACGGCCAAGTGTCACCGTCCTGCACATCGAGCGGCTCATAACGGGTGTATCATCGGTGATGTCAGCTTTTACGCGATCGTACAGTTGGAGGGGGCAGTAGGGGAACTGAGAGGAGCGCTCAGTGGAGTGGTGGGAGGGAACGGCTGGGGCGGTAGTAGGTGAGTGGAAAGTCGATGATTGTTGATTCCGTCGCTGACCGATTTTGATCATATACGCCACAGGTACGAATCGGGGGCGAGGATGGGCAAGACGATGTTGCATCACTACAAACAATGGCCGCTTGGCATGATCGGACCCGCAGAGATTCTCTGGCAATCCTCTTCAACGCCCACAGCCCGGAAACAAGTCTGGGTGAGGTTTCATCCCGCCATGTTCCCTGAAGCTTGGGAAGCCATCCGATCTAGCGTTTCGGGGTGGTACGAACAGGGATCTTCTACGACTCCAGGGAAGGGAGAGCAGGGGACGATCGTCATGAAGGATCTGCGAGGGGATATTTGCGCGTTCGAGTTGATGGGCCCCAGGAGCGCTAGTGTGCTTCGAGGTGTGATGGGATTAGTCAAGGATCAGACTCTCCGCTCGGATGCCTCTGCAGTCGAGCCCGACCTCGATGCGATGGCTGTGGATGATGAGGAGATCTTGCAGGGGGAACAGGAAGACGACCCCGACGAGGTGTCTGACTCAGCAAAGAAACGATTCTGGACTGGGATGAAGTATGTGCAGAGCAGTGGTCAGCTTAGCGAAGGAATGGTCGTTGGGCTTCGAGTTCATGATCCTCGATTAAGGTCAGTGCCGCTTGCGATCTCGCTTTTGAATTGGAATCCTGTTGGCTGACTCGAAGCATGGAGCAGATTTCCGCCACGAAATGCTCGACCGGCTCAAGCACTTGGAGAAGATCAATCACCGCCTGACCCGGTGTTTCCCAGCCCCGAGTTGGCAGAATCGGCGCTCTGGGACGAGGCGGTCAGGGGGTCTTTGCTGAAGCCGCGGTACCGCAAAGCAGATCTGGACCGCCGGAGAAATGAGGTCAGTCAGGAGACGAGTAGATGGTTCACTACTATCGCCGCTGACTTCGATTGTTCAGCTCGGGATCCCAGGATTGAGATTACAGCCAAGAAAGGACGACGATCGGGTACCCATCCTCCTCGTACAGAAAAGTCTCATATGCGAGACGACCAATGAAGACCAAGCTGCAGCCGTACACGGATACACCATCTTCTTGCCTGCTGGTTGGGCTATGCCGTTCTGGCAATCGTTCGTTTTTACCGGAAGCACCATTTCGGGCCTAGAAGAACGTGATACACAATATCTCGAAGCCGGTCTACCATCCTTTCCCAAATGTTTCCCCCAGACCCGTTCCGGTGAAGATTGGCGTACCGAAGAGCTCACTGAGAGGAAGCGAAGGTGGGATCGCCGTCCTCCAGGAAAGCGGATGGAGTACGGAGTGGTTGGAGTCGACAAGCCGTGGGACATTGAATGGGCCAGCTCGCTAGGATTGTCAGAAGAAGCAAAACCTTGGTTAGTGCCAGATTGGCTACTGCAAGGGTTCCAAGCATCGCTACGCCCCGATAAAGAGGATCAGAAGACAATGTTCTGGCGTATTGCGGACAAGTGCCGGCAAGCCCTGCGGATCGAGCCTTTCCCGATCTCAAAGCGCAATCCCGCTTGGCAAGCCGCCCTCATACACGTAACCATCTCTACTGTGGGAAGGGGTTCTCCCAAAGACTTCGCAGAGATACATAACATCGGAGAGTGTGAGTTGTCGAGTCTGAAAGACAACAAGGATGTCGGCGTGAGTTTTCGACTAATGGTGGACTGTATCGCCGCAAGCTCATAAATCTTGACTCTCGCAGGAGTTGCAGGCACCGAAGCCTGAAACGGGAAGCGTGCGACTGGGACATGTTCTCGCCGGCACGCAGTCCTTGGCGAGGGGTCGCGGACACGGTATCGCAGCCGTCGCTCTGCATCGTTTTCTGGAGCTCCCAGTGCTGAAGTTAGGCAAGACCCACGGCCGACTCGTCAAGATCCGAAATCCGGAAGGGCTCATTTGGAAATATGCTTTCGTTCACATACTAAAGTGATACATGTCGCATATTGTGTCGTATCCGCGGAAAGCGTTATATAAGTAAATGATTGTCGTAAAATCCGTTCGTGAACTCGATCAATTCATCTCCACGTCCTCCTCCTCTGAGCGTCCGGGGAACGATCTCATCGCTTCGGAAGCTCTATGCCACCACTCGGCATTCAAATCGTTCTTCGCCTTCAACGATGCGACTTCCTCCTTGATAGTGGCGATCTCCGTATCCTTTTCCTCGAGCCGGCTATCGTGGTCGGCCTTGGCGTCTAGGACGACCTTCTCCAGCCTGGCGATGTCTTCCGTTGCCCTTGACAACTCGGCATCCTTCTGCGAGCCCGCTTCCACTTTGACTTTTAGGTCCTTGACCTCCTTCCTCAGCCTGACGAGCTCTTTGTCCTTCTCCTCCAATCGCTTCGCAGCGGAACTCTCGGCGCTGGCCAACGCATTCTGTCGCTCGGTCTCGAATTCCGTATCCTTGCGCTTGATTTCTGCTGCTTGATGTTCCCTCTCAGCCTTACGTCCCGCAAAGAAAGCTTTACTCTTGGCCTGGAGCTCTGCGATTTGATGCTCAGTGTCCCTTTTCTTCAAAGCCGTAGCATGAGACTCGAGGATCTTCGTGCGTTCGGCTTTGAGGGCCTTGACCTCCGCTTCGACCTTCTTGCGAAGGGCGCGTTCGTCTTGGAGGTCCCTCACTGTGCGCAGCTCCCGCTGTATAGCGCCATCGGCGTGCTGCTCCATATCTATGCCGTGCTGTACTGCATCATCTAACTTGCCCTGCAACCGCAGAATTTCCTCATTCTTGGACCCGATTCCACCCTGTAGCTGTATAATCTTCTCGTCTCTCGAAGCAAGCTTTCTGGTTGCTCCTGTACCCCAATCTTCCCAATCCAGGAGCCTCTTCTTCTGTTGAAGGATCTCGTCTGCTTTCCTGTGGCCTTCCCGCTGGAGGTCAGCAATCTGATCGCGAAGCCTTTCGGTCTACCAATAGGAATGGTTGGCATCAGCTTTGTTGCTGTGCAATGGAACGTCCAAATAATGAATGATGAGAGGAAGATTACGCACAAGGCTAGCCATGATGCCCACAATGAGCTGCTACAAGTATAGTTACGTGTTGTCGAAGTATGGCGATAGGCGAGCCGGTGTTGTGGATGGTTGTCGATGAAATCCGTCCATCCTTGGTTCGGCTCCGTCGCGAGGCTCTATCTATATAAGTTTACTCTGTTGATGTTTTCCTCTTCTCACGGCATCGTCAGCGACCACCAGATCATATCACATGGCTCGTCGACCGCTGATGCCCATCAATCGTTTGAGCTCATCATCGAGGTCAACCGGACGACGCGATGCGCGAGCGCGCGGAAGCAAGATTGATTACACGCTTTGGCATTGAATACGATCTGCAACATCTGATTACAACGTTCTTTTGCTACTACACAAAGACAAAATAACAGAGCCCCGTTCAGCGTGGGGGTTATGGGGGAAGTGGTCCCAACGGCCCACCCGTCTTCAACCTGACCGCATTCTTCCTCTGTTCCAAACACCGGCTGACGCTCATTTCGAACGGCGTCAGACCGGGGACCAGAACCATCTCCTTGTCCCTATTACCGTTCTTGCCTTCCTTTCCGTGACCCCTTCCTCTCGATCCATCGTCATTATGTGCAGGTGTCAAGGCCAAGGAAGAAAACGCCGCCGATGCCCGAGGAACGGGACCGGTATCGCTTCGCATGCGGTCGGCTCCGCGTAGAGGACCATGATGTCCGCCTTGCGGGGCGAGCTTTGCCCCGTCTTCCATCAACGTCCTCACGAGACTCGCATGTGCCGCCGCAAATGGACTCGGCGGGAACACGCTCGGCTTATCCGCCTGATACCCCGGTGCAGTATTGGCTCGCGATTTCCCATGCCTGTCTTTCGCCGAAGACGCTGCGAGAACCTTTGGGTTCCAGCTCGACGGAGTGAGGAACCTCGAGATCAGACCGACTTGGGACGACTCGGCCTGTCGATCGCCGTATGCCGACGCCGAGAGGTTCGCAGTCGAAGGAAGCCTAGCGGCAGCTTGAGCGACCGAATGCGCAGAAAGACGGCTAGAACCTCCCTGATTCGAGGGTAGCCCTGCAGCGTTCAATGCGCTGCTACTGCTGGCTCGAGGCAAGCCCGCTCCGGTGATCGATGAGAAGCTGGTCTTTCTCGACATGTCCGGACCACGCTCAGAATCCCGACTCGTGGTTTTTGCACTGGACGGCAGTCCAAAGTAGTCACGCAGACTCCGTTGACTGCCGGTCCGAGCGACCTGACTCGGCGGGGTAGAGCTATGTTTGCCATGCCCATGGCCGTGACTGCCGTTCCGACCGACGACCTCGATATTCGAAATCATCGATTCGGTCGGGCTCGTACTACACAGGCCTCGTGCTACCTCTCGGTTCAGCTGAGGAGCAGCGATAGCAGGTCCTGAACGACCGGATAAGCTCGTCACCCGAGACTTGGCACCGCCAGGAGAGGTCAAGGGGTGAGGAGGTGGACCGGCCAACCGCATCGAGGCGAGAGAACGCAGGGAAGTGTGCGAATTTCTTGTCCGGACGTGTTTCCTCGTCGGCGGGTTCGCTGGCGGGGTGCTCGGCGCATTGCCCGCTGGACTTTGACCCGGCTGACTCGAAGGCAGTTGACTACTAGCTGTCATTCGCGGGGTCCCGGCTCGACCAGGAGACGCATTCGACCCTACGAGCGTCTGAGAATCCGATCCGTTCGGCGAATGGACAGCTTTCTCCATCTGCAAGCCAGGATCACGTCGATTATGATGTGATGGACCCTGTCTGGCGGATTTGGCCGAATCGGATGGCGACCTCTGTTGGACAGCGGCAACCTGACCATCGAGAGCGGGGAAGGGGAAACCCGGCTTGTTCTCGTCGTCTTCCAGGTTCAAGACAGACTTTGGCGAAGCGACGAACGCTGCCGGTGCGGGACCTTCACCGGCAGAAATCGTCCTGCCTGGCTTTGCGATTTCCTGCACCGCATTACTTGTCTCGTGTGCGGTTTCTGCTGATCGGTTGATGCTTTGGCTCTCCCTGGCCGGAGCCCGTTCTGCTTCGTATCGATGCTCCGAATCAGACTCGTCGCTATGCCTAACATGATCTTGCTGCTCCCCATTACCATGCACATCGAACCCGATCTGTGATTTGGTCCGGGCAAAGACGCCCGTCTTGCCATGATCATGATCAACGTGTGATTGCCTTCTGGCGCTGCTCTTCCTGCGCGTCTTATGAGCGTTCGCGGCAGCAGCACTAGGGTTCGGTAATCGTGTTCTACTCCTGCTTCTGGAGCGATTGCCCTGTGGCCTCGAGGCCGTCTGAGGTTGACCTTGATCAGTCCTGGAAGATACTCGCTCCACTGTCGGAGGGTTTGCGGTCGAGCCCATAGAGGCCCGTTTGTTAAGAGGCGCTTTCGAGCCTTTGGTCTTGATGACGAGATGTTCCTCCTCGTCATCCTCATCATCCTCATCCGTAGTCTCGTCTGACTCGTATTCCGAAACGATCTGCTCGACCTGTGTACCCTTCCGGCCGTCATCCTCCACGACTTCTTCCTGATCGTCATCCGAACCCTCGCTGTCCCAGCCATCGTCGCCGGTAGCTTTGGCAGAATCGAGCCGCTTGCTATCCGAATTATGTTGTTTCGCTGATGGTCTCGTCGTAGACAATGCCGTCAAACCTCCAAGACGAGGTAGATGCGTATCCGATCGAGCCGACCTCACGGTCCTCTGTCGCTGATAGTGTCAAACATAGAAATCGATTCGGACCGAATGTCAACAATCAGGCTTGCTCTGCTGGTTCAGATCGTTTCACTCACGTCATCGCTATGAGCAGAACTCTTTCTTCGTGCAAGGTGAATCGAAGACTTGTTCGACCTGACACCGGTACTCTCGTCGCTCCGATTCGATGCCTGTCTTTCCAAGCCGGGGACGACCGGTTTCGCCGTCTTGAGAGGTTGCAGACCGGTCGTGTGATTCCTCACTCCACCGGCGTTGACGTGGGATGACGAACGTCTGATTCCATGACCCCTGGGATGATGAACAGTATGAGAAACCGTGGAAGAGGTTCTACGACGAGGTTCTTGATTGGGCATGACGACGAGGTCCGTATTGTTGCTTGGTGTTAGGTCAAGATGAAGGCTGATCGTAATCGGAGTTTCGTGCTTGAAGGGATGGCGTGTGCTATAGTCGACCGAGCGCTGGTGTCATGGTTTGTTGTCGAGGTATCGCAAGAAGGTCGTCTGGGGGGGGTGGTCTACCAGATTATGATCTAGCCTATGTCCGAAGGTGGTTGTACAATGAGAAGAGGAGAAAACGATCGACGATGGGAAGATCGACCCGAACTGGACAGAGAGAGCGAGCGAGCGAGAGGGATCGGATGGATGGATGATGCAGCTGGGAGCCCAGTTCGGGCTTATCTCCCCCCTGGGCTCTAGGGTTAAGCGAGGCTGATGAAAAACGAATATGCGTTATATCGAACTGACGAACTAAATTATTGCGTTCTCTTTGCAAGCCTGAAACTGATGCAGTGGAATACATATGGGTTTGTCAGGCGATGAGCTCAAAGAGCATTGTCAACGTGCTGGATTTGGGGACCTTCCGATTGATGGGAAGGAGAACTTCAGGTGAGTTGTGACATCAGTGGCTAGATATCAGCCAGGTCCCGGTGAGACAATTAGGTTGTTGGTTATTGGGTGTATGTACAGCAAGAAGAGGGAACGAGAAGCATATACGTGGCGTTGGTGTGCTGATATGGTCGTGAGGGGTGCGATGAGCATGGACCGCCGGGTGTGCCGCTGAGAAGACGACTATTCCCCGGGCTGTGCCATAGCTTCGCGATTGACAATGGCGATGACCTCTGCAAGAGCTGTCTGCTCGTCCTCTGACTCCAGCCGTTCCAGCCTGATAGGGTTTGTCCACAAATAGTCTTGATCAGATATGCGCAAGGATCGCAGGGTCCGGTCTGCGATCGGTATGCACGGGTACTCACGATGTCACTAAAACCTTGGCCTCTTCCACATCTCGCGGTCGCAAGTTGAGCAACTGGTTCATTTCCACCTCGTTGACATACTCCTCATAGGCCGCCCGAATAGCTCTATCAAAGACACAAGAGAGAAATCTAAGCAAACAATTCTCCTCTCGACGGTAGCGGACTAAGATCACAAACTACTACGCCTTCATCCGCTTACCTCTTCTTGTCGTGGACAGAACCAAAGACTTCCCCTCCGAAACGTTCCTGTTGGGCTACGATGTAGCTTTGGAACCCGCTGACAACGCTATGAACGCCAGAGAGGGAGCGAGACTAGAATCAGCGCATGTTCGATTCTTCTAGCAAAATAACGGCGTCGTGGCTCGCAACATTCAAGTAGCCGACCCTGTCGGACAGCCCTGATGTCTTCGCACATCGCTGGCATTGACCCGAGCACTGCACAACCCCGAGATCGAGTCGTTATCCGGATACATCACTCACGTATTATCCATTTTCATACCAGGCGCCGAGATAGTCTTCTCGTCCTGCACTCGTTTTGCCATCAGACCCAATGCTTCGATGAGGGTGACGGGGATCGCTTGCTCAAAGTCTGTGCACGCCGAGTACAGGATACGGCAATAAAGAGACGCAGAAAGAGTGAACACGAACTTTTAGCTACTCGCCCGCCGCCAGCAGTCAGAAACTTTCGCACGGCTTACCTTTTGGCAATTTCCCTTTCGTCAAATCGTCATCGTCCTACAACCCCCATCGCATCCCATTCATGAGACGTTATTGTATAGCGTCATGGTCGTGATAGAGGCCTCATGACATGAGCTCCATCGATCGAGAGAGGATGACAGGACAGGGCCTCACCTGCTTCTTGATCTTGTCACGGAACGTTCTTGACGACATCTTCCTTTCTTCGCACCGATTTGATGAGCGATCACGGGTTCGTTTCGACGGCTGATACTGGTGTTGCCGGTTCCAACGAATGAATTAACCTTCAGTGCTATTCGATTGCGCTGTGTGAACGCTAACTGTTGTTGCTGAATGGAACATATGCTTGACACATGACACATGCAACACAAGTACAGTTCAAGGCGATGTCCGAAGGTCAAAGCAAGATCTGAGCACGGTCGACGCAAAGTCTACGGTCACGATACGACGTGTGAGAGCAGCGAGCGATCGAAGATGTCATCTGCTGCATATACATCGGGAAACGCAGCAACATCACGAGACGGGGAGTGTGTGTCCGTTGGTTACAGGATCGCTATGCCTACGAGCAGGACGCAGCGAGTTGTAGTGCTATGTATGCGAAGTGACAAAATACCAAACAAAAATACCAAACGAGAAATCAGCAAATGCCCATCCGTATTGACCGACATCCTTGCAAGCCTGCTTACCTCTCCCAGACCATACATCCGCCTGTGATAGCTGATCCTGACGACATTTCCCTGCTTTAGACTCTCTTCCGAGCTCAACGTACCGTTTCCAGCCTCGCCCGGTGCGTGGGAGATGATGAATGGTGGGCCACGTTGAATGACATGGATAGGAACGTTGTAATACCTCGACAAAGCTTGGATCTGAAGGCGCACAAGGATTTTGGGTTCACTTTGTAGTTTCCGCCCGATATAAGCGGTGTGAGTGGGACTAACCTCGATCTCGCCACCCCAGTCCCCACTCTGTTCTACTCGCTTGCAGTACTCCGCGTAAACCTTCTCGCTACCCCCTTCCTCTACCGCACCGGCCATGTCTTCACCCATGATACTGGGCACGAACGGCATGAACGAGTCCGGGTTCTCCAAGAGATACGTCGAGGCGGCATGTCGGGTGATCTGGTATGAAGGCTGCTTGGTGAGACCGAGCAGGTAAAGTTGATCTGCGATGGCAGAGTACATGCAATGACCATCTGGGTCGATCTAACAGTATCAAACAGGAGATTAAATCAGCCTATCTGCACATATCAATCTCAGGGACATCGATGGATGGCATGCTCACCTCATGAAGCTCTACACCGAGTTCTCGACATGTCCGACCGATGATATCGGCTTCCTCGGCTTTCTCCCTCTCCAACCGGCTCGACTCGGCCGGATCCACCTGAGGCGCAGCAGCAGCACGCTCTTCCTTTTTTCTCGCCTGCAAGAACAACAGCAGAGCGAGTCAGAATCGTTTACAGAGCGATACCAGTCATAGCATAATAACAACCGACTCACCTCTCGTTCCAGGAATCTCTGTTTACTACTCTTCTTCTTTCCCTTCCCATCCGTCCCGGCGTTCAACAAGTCGTCCACAGTGTAACCTCCGCCTGACGAAGGGGTGGCTGCTGGGGGCGACAACGTGTTCGAAGGCGAAGAAGCCAGACTGGCATGACCGCTCCCGATGACGTTCTCTCTGTTTTGCATCTCGTCTACCAGTTGAAGCTCCACTGAGCCTTGGTCCGCAGCTGAAGGAGGAAGGGGTGATACGCTGAGGTCTCGCAGGCTGGTCGTAGTGCTTGCCAGACCGTCGACGCTCTGTACCGGAGAATGCGAGAGAGTGGGAACAGCGATAGGATCCACGTTGGAATGTTCAGTGCCAGTGGGGAAACTCTGGTGGCTCTCTTTCGGTCCGGAGTGAGGAGAAAGGAGCTTCTTCAAAGCTCTTCGTTTAGCTCCAGGCATGATGGTGGACGTATATTGAGGGTTGGTTCGGATGATCCAGCGCTACTGCAGGGTTAACGGGGTCAGCCGCAGAACCTTGTCTAATCTTCGACTCGAAAGGAAGACGATAGTCTCCAGCGGCTCGGCAGAGGCTCACTGTTCAAGAAAGATAACGAGATCCAAAGGAATCGTGCGGTGACAGGTTGGAGATGTCGTAACGAGGACGAGGTCGGTCTTGACGATAGCGAGATGTGAGAAAGAGGTCAGAGAGCTGGCCGAGATGTTATGAGTCTGGACCCTGAGCTTCGGTACAGGCTTTACATGCTATGACGCACCTTGCACTCTTGATGCTCCTTGTGTGGTTTCTCCATGACGAGCGAACGACGGCGTGACTGTCCCGAAGTGTGAGGGATTCCTGTTCGAGGTTACGGCATCTCCATCGCTGCGCGCCGAGAACTGGAGCGGGTCCCGGTCCCGGTGGCTGGGTTTCCCCGACGGGTTTTACGTTTCGCAGCCTCGGCGATGACGAGCGTCGTTGCAAAGTCGCAGGAACTTACGACCGGGGGCTTCGACGTTCTTTTGAGACAGAGATGTCGAGGACCGAATTTTGCAATCCGAAAACGTCTTGCATATCATTTCACTGACGACGAATTCACGATACAAAGACCTAATTCGACCGCGTATTCCCACCTTGATTCTGATTCTGCTGTTGCAGCCTATCGATTCCACCCGCTACTCTGGTACCCACCTTGCCCAAGCCCCAGAGCGCCTTCTGCCCAATCCTTTCTACGTCCTTCATGGTCACGCTCTGTCCAGCGTCTCTCCGATCTGGATTCCCGTTGATCACCCTACCAGCGAGACCTCCCATCGTATCTGCAGCCCGTTGAGCTTCTTTTCGAGTGTGATCGATCTGAGGACTGTACTGCTTGTAGAGCTGATTGACGTGCTGCTTTGCTTGTCCCACTCGCGAATTATCTGGCTCGACGACTGTGTAGACCAAGAGTGCCCAATATCAGTATTGAAGAGCAGGGTTTCAGTCGCCCAGGCGTACCTGGAACTTCGACCGGCTCGACCGTGCGTTTCGGCGGGGCTCGAGGCGCCTGCATCATCCCACCGGTCGGGACTGGCGGAACAAATCTCGTCTCGCGACTTGTTGTCTGTGTGGTCGAAGGTCGAGGGGGTAAGACAGGTGGCGCCGCCACTTTTGCAATTTGAGGGGTCGTGTTGACCTTATCGCGAGGCGGGATGGGCGGAGGTTGCGACGGCGCTGTAGCGTATGGTTCAGGGCGTCTTGAGGGCAAGGGTGGTGGTCCCGTAGAGGTAGCTGAAGCGGCGTCAGCCTGCATGGCATCAGGCGACACTCTCATGATGTAATCTTCCACAAGCCCCGCGAAAGACGAAGACAGCTCTAGCATGGCTGGAAGCTCGCTCTGTGAACAAAGACAAGGAGAGATATCGATCGGAAAACCTTCTTACAACAATGAAGTGCCATCCTGCTTACCTGACACATGTCGGGCCGGACCTGTACAAGGTCGCCCACGATCACTTTGAGTAGGGCTTGAACCGCCTGCATTTCTGGAAGTGTGACATCTCCGTCATCCGCCTGGGATTGCTTCGCACCCGTCAATTCCCTGAGACTGATGTGTTCCTCGATCCCGATCCAATTTCGGCCCACGGCATCCAGCACTTGGCCTCTCCACCGATCTGCACGTCCCGTCGACCTGATCGTCTCCAAGAGTACATGCAAAGCATGTAAATTGGTTAATTGCAAAGCGACAGCGAATTGCGAGGGAGGCAGATAAGAAGAGGACAGCAGTCCTGGAATCAAATCCTGATATTAAATATGTAGATCAGCTTTCGTGGCGGCTTTCGATCGAGATGGAAATTCGACTTGCATTTAACCAGCGGATGATCCCGGTATCGACCTCCTCACAGACGAGCTCTACTGCCATCCCGATTTCGATCATAATTTCGATCCCGTCCATCCCGGAAGGAGCATACTGCCACCCGTCCTTGATACCGTGATCAACCGCAGTTGCGATCTCGTCGGCATACTGTGTTGTCGAAGGATCATGTATGAGAGGCAAGAGTCTGAACAGGACTTTTAGGGCGTGCACTAAGATTGGAGGATTTGGCGGTGATGGGTGCAGGGAGATGGAATGTTGAACAGACTGCATCACGATAAGAATCAGGGCCTGGTCAATCTGTCCTAGTTGCCAAGCGACACTTGCCTTGAGAAACAGCTTGTCAATGCCCATTCGTTTCAAGGTTGTGGCGTTCACTTTATCAAGCAAGGTCTCGAGACACCGCAGACCATGGTCTCGATATGTCGTCTCGTAGTCGTCCATGATCGTAAGGAGAGGAGGCAAAACTAAGCCCAGGTTTTCTGTCAAGCTCGCAGCCTATTCGCAAAAGGATTCCTCAGCCTTAGCCTTTGATCGGCCCGCGAACCGAGTATGGGATCGCTAAACTCACGGATAGTCGCGCCAAACATCCTTCAAGAACGTTATAGATTCCCCAAGAAGGAGCCGATTTCCAGACCTGATCCTCGAATAGTTCGTGTCGTGCTCTTTCACCACCTGCGATCACAGCAAGTTTCCGACCCGTGCCGCTATCCAATTGTGGGTGTGGGTTGCCGGCAAAAGCTGGTTTGACTCCGTCCGACAACAGGCGAATCAAAGTGCGCTCCGATTGCGGGAGTCGGGCAAGGCAATCTGGACCACATAGCTATCAGTATCGTAGCACAAAAGTAGCAACCCTTCAACACACCTTGGCTGAGACGACGGCCTTCGTCGCTCTGCAGTGCTCCCGGTCCAGCGAGACGTAACAAAGTGAACCACAGCCGGAATACTAGTTCGTCGCTCAACGTATTTGCACCCATCTCGCCGTTCAACTCGCTTGTCAACAGCCGAAGCTGTTGTAGGCTCGTGAACTTGTACTGGTCGACAATCTCCTCGTCTATGTATCCAGCGGACGACAAATTCAGTTTTCCCTCAAGGAATGAACACCCTCGCTATCCTTGACTCACACTCATTTGAGAATCGGTCGGTAGTAGAAAGCCTGGCAGGCGGAGGGAGGTCTCGCAGAACGGCTTCAATATTCGAGACAAGGGAAGGGCCATTGGAATCCCCTTCATGTAGCTTCAGTTCTGATATTCCCGATGTCAAGACCGCTGGAGGCTGTTTCTCCATCAACGCCTGAAGCGGGAAGGCGCCAGGGAGACCTTCTCCCGATTTTAGCGCCTTCGAAGCCAGCCCACATATCCGTCTATCGTAACAGGAACATTCAGTCATCTGTTTATTGCATTGCAAGCGAAAGCAGGAAGGTACCTACAGGTACCAATCGGAGGGCAATTCCATGCCATCCTCGTCCAGCGCTAGGAACGGGATTTCTGATGGGGTATTCGAGCTGTGTGGTTCTGCTGGCATAAGAGCCGTAGCCTATCACGAGACCCAGTCTGGTCAAAGTCGGAAACCGTCAAACGTTGCTCATATTCGCTACTGACCTCGTCGTATTCGTCAAACATCGCTCCGTAGATCGTCTTGGCGCCAACGTTGATGGCGTTGTGCAGCTGCTGGTACAAGAATGTGCCACCTTCACGAGGGATCTCGTTCCTAGGACCGCTGTGCAAATTCTGCCAAGCGAAGCCTGGGAACTGCGAGCGTGTATTTAGCTTCTCGGCTCTATGGTCACCCAATGCCTGCAAAAGGACTTACAACGACAGGCGTGTAATACCGCTTGATGTTTAGACTGCGGTCTTGGTCCTGGAGATAGGCCATGTCTGCTGCCATCCTCTGCTTGAAGTCCCCGGCGCCTTCGATAGTACCGAACCGTCCAACATACCACGGAGACATCTGCAAGTGGCATGCTCAGTTTACATCGCCTCACATCCAGACTTCAACAGGGACCTACGCTATCGACGTTCTGCCAGACCTGATCAAAGGCAGGATTCGCATCGCAGTCCCCATCGCGTGTCCGCCAGTGACTCGGACACCCGGCAAAGATGTATGCGCTTTCAGCAGAGGCCTCCTTGATCCATCGAAGAAGGCGAACGAGCGAGACGGGGTCGTGCTTTTCGTGCTTCATACCCATGCCTAAGGAGTTTTGCCAGTCAGCTCACAGTCCGGTTATCATGTGACAGACCACTGTACCCCATATTGCGATCACAGGTCGGCCAGCCTCCCGAAGATACATGGGGTCCTGGAAGATCTTCCGGTCGTTCATCTTGTTTGGGATCTAATCAGTAAAGATCTCCCGCTCGCGACAAAAGGATCACTCTCACTAAGTGGAGATAATCCGCCTTGATCGCTTCTTCCACCTCGGGATCCGGGACGCCGGAGATGTCATACATGATCGACCACTATGCAATGGTTTCGAAAACTCAGCTACGAGGTGCATCCCCTTCAAACGACACATCGACGCTCACCACTCGGCCGTTCTGGTTTGCAGCATCTCGGACCCGCTCTACCACCTCATCACGATACCGCCGCATACCGTTATCACCGTTCTTGACCTCTACAAGTGATCGATAAGCACCCCGCTCGACACAACCCGATGACTCCCCGACTCACCTCCCAAGAAACGCTGCAAGAACGCGCCGCTGATCTGATGGTCCCGCATCCACCTGTAATGTCGGTTGACCGTCTTCGCGTTTCGTGACGAGAAGACCTTGGCCGGACGGGATGAACCGTTTGGGGCAGGTATGCTGAGTCCGGGTAGATCGTAAAGCTCGTCTTCGTCCAGTTCAGAGGTATCCGGCCACTAAGAGCGCATGATACAAGATGTCAATTCGGGTATGTGAGAGAACCGTTGGCAAAGATATTTCACTCACGAGCTCAAACGTGATCCGACCACCGTCCTTCAAGGGTTTGTCAACCCAATGGAGCCATCTGCTTGGAAGCTAGTTCAATCGCTGATTCTTATTGATCTGTGTGCAGGAACTGACCCATGGTGTCCTGCAGTAACGATAGACTTGGCTCAGTTTCCGATCATGTTGGACAGTTTGCATAGGGTAGACATACCTCGATCGATCGGCTCTCCATCTCCTCCGCAGGTGAACCTGTATCACAAATATGTTTCAGGTTCATGTCTTAACTATAACCCGCTATGCGGACGGACCAGCCTTGGTATCCAACTAGAAACTTGTTCTGTATCGTAGAGGGGTCTTCACGTTGTGGGGATCTGGAACGTAGATTATCAGCGTGGGGTCTAGATGCTGGAAGGTCCTGCAATCACACTGACGAGGAGACAGCACTCTCTTCTTGATAGTCTATCGTCGGCATCTTGGTATCAAAAGCTCCTTCGATCAAGCTGCGATCCGGGTTGGTATAGATTGTGATCAAGGCTTGCACAACAAGACCTATCAAGAGGATGAGAGCGGTAGTGCTGTAACGCTCGGTGCGTGCCCTATGATCCGTCGACGTAGGCATATAGTTGGCTAACTAGCCTGGAACGAAGAGTCGGTGGGAAAACCGAGAGCGATCTAGAGTGAAAGATGCTCGTCCTTTGGCTGTCTTGTCTTGACTCATGTTGAAATGCTGCGAGTATCGTCGTGACGACCATGACGATCCGAAATCGACGGTCAAATCCGTCGGTGATCCGGGTGACGTATCGTCGCGCTTGCCCGTGCTCAATGATTTCGTTGACAACTCGTTTCTTCAATTGAATTTCGTCATCCCGAATATTGAGCTTCTGAAGGAATTCTTTGGCCATTGTGAGATAGGTGGGGTGGATGAAGGTGGGTTCTGGTGTTGTTATACATTAGTAGTATGAGTAGAAGAGACTTGAAAGATTCGAGTAAGAAGTGTTGTAGCGTTGTAAGGTACATAGGTGATAGGCGACAAAGGCTACCAGTCCTTGTCAAGCATGACATTCTGCTATGCTGCCTTGCTGATTCAAATCTTTTCATGTATAGAAGATTCAGACGACCCAGGGACAGCAAGTTTTGATTACACATCCAACGAGTACATTATAATCGGCGATATAAGGGCAGAATATCGAGAGAGACCATCCGAAAAATGAAAACCTATTTTATTACGCCTTTGTAGACTTCTTCTTCTTCTTGGTTGTGGTGCTAGAGCTGCTGGTCGTCGTCGTAGCGGGTTTCGAAGCGCTCAAGCTGGAGTACCTGTTCATACTCCGCCTCGCCTTGGCATAAGCGGCATTGTCCTCTTCATCGCTACTATCCGCGGTCCTTCCGATCCTGGACGACCATCCCGACTCCCGCTTGCTCTCAGGTGTAGGCGAGTCAGGAGGACCTTCGGTGATGGGAGTGCCAGGCGAAGGGGGAACGTTCATGCGAACGGACTTTCGGCGCTCGATAGCTGAGCCCGTCATCGAGGGGGCAGCCGGAGTGACATACTCGTCCTTGGCGACCTCCTTGGGCTTCTCCGGGGCAGCAGCGACCGGCTCAGCGGGAGCGGCAACAGGGGCCTCCGAGGCGTTTCCAGCTTGCCTCATCCTGGCGGCGAGACCTTCGGTGTTCTCGACGACCTTGTACTTGCTCTGGCCGGGTCCAGCAGTGCTGTCGGACGCTACGGACGAGCCGTCATCGTTGTCATCATCAGCATTTCCGTTGGTAGCGACGGTCTGCGAGGTGTTAGCGTTGTTGGGTCGCTCATTGTCCGAGTTGTCCTCCTCGACGGCAGACTCGTACACGGAATCCGCATCGGTCATGGTAGCTGGGGTCGAGGGTCGTTCAGCACGAGGTTGCTGCGCCTGAGGAGCTGGGACAGTAGGCTCGGGTAACTTGACGGGGACTTCCTCCTCCTTGGGCTTTTCCTTGATGACAGAGCCAGGAGCCGAGATCATGAACGCGGGAGGTGGGGCCTCGAAGACGGGCGACCCTTGGGGAATCGGCGAAGAAGCCCTCATGGCCGACTTGGCAGGCGGCGAGAGGGTCTTGGATGGCGGCAAGGGAGTGGTGGCTCGAGTGGCGATGCTGTCCACCGACTCGTTGGCCTGCGACATGCCGACAGGCGCACCCAAGTTCAAGCTAGCAAGAGCGCTCGAGCTCTTGGTAACCTGGGCGGGAGCTTGTTGCTGCTGCTGTTGGGGCTGGGTCTGTTGCGCGGTCTTGGGGGTAATCGTAGCCTTGCTTGCCTTGCTGGCTTTGCTGACGCTAGAAGCAGCCGCCTTGGGCACGTACCCGTCGCTCAACCCGACCGGAGCCGAGGCCGAATTGGACATCTGAGGAGGAGGTGGCTGCAAGAGTGGAGCCTTGTTGGGAGGAGGCGCGGTGGCCATGTACATCTGAGGGGTCACCTGGCTTCCGGGCGCCTTGGGGATTTCGCCCATCTTGGGGACGATCGAGCTACCGGGGGCTTTGGGAATCTCGGTCGACTTGTTTTGCGCGGGCCTGCTACCGGCGGTAGCGGATGAAGGAGCCTTGGGGACGGCTTCTCCAAGAACACCGGCGATCGAAGGGGGCGCACCCATCGTGCTGCCTCGAGCTCCGACCCGGGTGATGCTCCCGTGACGAGTCCGTTGGGAACCAGCGCCGACGCCAGAGGTCGTCGACTTGACCGTGTTGGACCTAGAGACCGGTTGGGAGGCGACACCAGGAGGCTTGCTGGTCACCTTGCCTCCAGTCCCAGTAATAGTGTTCTGGCTGTTCGACCTAGCCTTGGTACCCGCTCCCAAATCGGACCTGGACTTGCCCGTCTTCCCGACCGTACCGGCAGCAGCAGGAGTAGCAGCGGCTGCTCCGTTCTTTCGACCGGCATTGTCGACGCTCCAAGTGTTGTTCCCCCTGTTGGTCACGGCGACCAAGTTGCCACCACCCATCTCATCGTCCGAGCTGGAATAATCCGCGTTCCTCGTCCTCCTTCCCGATGAAACACCCCGACCAGTCCCGGCATTGGAGACGGCCCGCCTGATGTTGTCATCCGTTCGGGTCGACCATCCACCCGTGTTCCTTTGCGTCAAAGGGGGCGAGTCTGCCCCACCCCTCCTCGCACCCCGAGTGGACCCGGCGGTGCTACCCCCGGACTTGCCCTTGAAAATCTTGGCGATACTGGCAAAGAACCCTCCCTTCTTCTTGCCACCTCCACGACGACCGACACTTCTATCGCTCGAAGCGTCCGACATGGCGCCTCGCGAAGGCGTCCTCCTGATGCTCATCCTGTTCTGACGAGCACGCGGGGGGTTGTAACCCAGTTCACTCTGGGTCCTCCTTCCCGGACCTCGGGCGACCGACGAACCGGACGATCCCGAGTTTTGGCGACGAGTGACGGGTTTGGCCTTGATGTTGGTAATCGAAGGTACCCCTTGTCCACTGCTCTGGTTGTTTCCGGTAGGGACAATGGTCGATTGACTCCTGCTTCGGAAATCGTTGCCACCCGTACCGACCCCAGGCCTCTTGTTCTCGTGAACAACGAGGTTCTCATCATCATCGCTGCTCGAATTCTCGTCTTCCTCGGCGATACTGCCAGTGACGCTCCCAGCCATCCCGGGGACGTGGCCACCTCGACCGTGAGACCTCTGTCGGCGCTCCTGTTCACCGTCAGAGTTGTACCCGACCTGGGAAGCCGATTGAGACGGGGCGATCGAGCCGTTGGACTCGACTTCGTACGCGTTGGGGTGGAGCATAGGGCCGTCGTCTGCCGAATGAATCAAAGGGGTAAGCCGAGTCGCTCACGAAATACGAACTCGAGCAGCCTGTGACTCACGACCACCTCCGTTCGAGCTCTGGAGCTCGGCCATACCCAGTCGGGCCTGACGTTGCCACATTCTCCCAACATCCTCCATGGCCCTGAACCTCTCCATAAGCCCGTGTTTCATGACCTGATCCGATCCGGCACCACCATGATGGATGAATTAGCTTTTCAACGCGTCTCCCATCCTCTCAACCGAATGCTCGCTGACTCACCTTGTTCCGCTCCTGTTCCAACCTGACCTCTAATCCCCTCAAATGCTCCTCACACCCCAGCACCTCCGCCTGAGCCTCGGCGAGCTTTTCCGCTCGTTTGCTCTTCCCACCCCCCGCGGTCGTGTTGGAGTGATCGCTCCCAAAACTCAAGACGCTCGAATTCGAAGGTCTCGTCCTCCCGCTCTCCGACCCGGCGTGCGAGTTGGAAGCCTTGGCGGCCGCGGCGATGTCGGCCTTGGTAGGTCGAGATTTCGTGGCCTTGATCAGGCGCGAGACGAGGATCTCTCGGTCCTTTTTCACTTGAGAGAGTTCTTCTTCGAGCAGATGGACCTCCTTGAGTTCCTTACGGAAGTGTTCTAGAGAGCCAATGTATTCATGCCATTTGGCTTCGGTGGCATTGCCGTTGATGCTATCGTAGTCCTCCCCCGTGTCTTGGTTCATAGGCCCCTCGAAGGCTGCGTGCTGGACGGAACGACGGACGGGGTAAGCGACCCCAGAGGAAGAGGTCACGTAGGCCAAGAGGGACGAGGTGGACGAGTGCGAGTGGGACAAGAGGGTGAGGAGGGCGGTAGTGAGTTGTTTCTGAGACGATCTGCAAGGCGAATAGAGAAACTCGACAGTCAGCAAGGCAGACAATTCAGATAGAATGAGCTAAACGAGGTTTGCCCTCGTCGTAGGTCAGCTCTAGATCGAATCGCGACCCGGACTTACAGGTAGTTGTTCAACAACCTATCGCTCGTACTCCTATGATGGTTTGGCAAGAGCGAACTCATGGCAAGCGGCGACGATCAATCTCTTTCGATTGCTTAGTCCGCGGCTGCCCGTCTGCAGTAGGTTGCTCAAGATCGAGCCGTTGAAAGAGGTTGCCGGGGGCGATGTAAGCGGTCCAGACCGTTTGCCTGTATTCGACGCGACGTGAAAGGTTGTCGATGTGAGGCTGGCTGAAAGGGTCCAGACTATGTATTCAATTCAACTCCAGCTACGACGACGACAAAAGTAGTGTTTATGTCGAGGCGAACCGATTCGTCAGTCGAGACCAGATCTTACCTGTTCGAAGTCGTAGACGGTTGAAGCTGACTCTAGGTGGTGGAAGGGAGGGGGGGGGGGGCAGGAGAGAGAGCGGGCCTGGCGACGTTCCCCTAGAAACGGTGACGACATCCACACTTGGCCACTTTGAGATCGTCCTTCCCGTTTTGGACGCGAGAGGGCGCGCGCGTGTTGCTGCTAGCCACTCGCTCTTTCCCCGGGTCATTTAGGTCCGCCTCCCCATTTCACTGACCTCCTTTGCTTCCGCTACTGGGTTCCCCGATCACGTACGCCGTCGTCGACGATCAGGGGTTTGATGGGTGAAACATCCGCCTTCGAAAGGTCATCAAAAGCTGATCAGCTGGTTCACGGATCAAATCGAACGTCCATCGGCCATCGATATTAGCGTATGTGTACGTGGTGGCATAACTGTGGTCTCGATGTCCGCCATGAGATGTCGGTTGCATATAGAATACATCAATCTACGTCACTCTAGCACCGTCCCCGTTCCACCCCTCCGAAACCCCTTCGGAAAGACCTGCCTGGCATTGATGTTGATCCTGGTAAACACGTGTGGACCATCAGTTTCTAAACTCAGTGTCCACGTGGATAACGCTACGACTCACCTGGCATTCGAGATGAACCGCTTACAAGCCCTCGTCGTCTCGTCCTCTTCCTCCTCTTGCCCTCCTTCGATCAGCTTGAGATGGTCAGGAAGCGTCCCTTCCATGATCCTAGGAATGCCTATCGACGGGTATATCGTTCAGTATTCCTCGTCAGCCTGGTATCACATTCATAACACGTCGCGAAATCGATTATGTTACTGACCATGGTAGCATTTCCTGCCACGTCCGGCCATGACCAGGACATCACCGCTACGCAAGACGATCGGGATGGGTGGAGTTTGTCGGGTCGTCTCACCGAGCAAGAAGATCCCCGCATGTCCCAGCCTGTCGTCATCAGATGTGAAGGCGTATTTACGGGTCAATACTTGATCTGTGAAAACACCCCATGGCACGGGGACGTTACTGACGAGATGGAGATGAGCGGTCGATAAGGGTCCAACTCGGACCGGTCTACGTGCCCCATCAACGTGTCTTTCGTCTGGTAGAAATTGACTATGCCCGTGTCCGGAGCTGTCCCCTCAGCGTTACCGATAAGCGCCCGTCAGCTCGCTGTACTCCAAGGACGAGCAGATCAAAGCGAGACGAGACGCGACTCACCGTAATCTTCCCCCCAGTTGTGATACCCATCAGGCCGGATCCTTCCTCCCTCTTCGTACCCCTCCCCGCAGACATCGTCGATATTGCCAAAGACCTCGTCCCAAGGGATCCCACGGACGATGTCTTTACACGTCTCGGCGAGTGGTTCAGGGAATGTAGGGGGTGGAGTGGAGGTAAAGTCGTAGGCCTTGTTCGTCCACTAAGGTAACAAGTCGAGGATCAGGAATTTGGTCAAGTCAGATGTCGCATACAGGGTCGAGGAGGAAACCCGGCTCACATTGTACACCCAGCCCAAGTTGGCCCACCTCAACTCGGTCTCGACCAGCTTCTTCGCTGTCTTGCTCTTCAGCTTCATCGACGGCTCATCCCCCTTCCACCCTTCTACACGCTGGACGATGCTGTCGTACCCTTCCTCTGATGCAGCTTGGTTCTGTGTCAACTGACGTTTCGCCGAACTCGAGCTCGAGGGAGTGGGAGATGGTGAAGGTCGAAGTGTATCGACGTCGAGTAGGGTGGATGCGATCGAGGGAACGAGCGTCTCGGGATCCGAAGCGTACAGAGAGAACAGGGAGGTTTCGCTCGCTTTAGGGAGGACGTAGTGCGTCGAGAGGCTGAGCGGGTTAGGTGGACAGGTGTATTCGCTCAGCGAAGATCGGACGAGGGCGAGCTGTTCGGTTTCGTTCAGGTAGCCAGGGATCAAGAGTAGACCTGAAAGTAGTTTCCGGTCAGATACGTTGCAAGTCATCTGCTGAAAGCTTCCATCGACTCACCATCGCCGACGATATACCCATCTCGGGAACCCGCACCGGGCTTGTCGACCCTGATCTTCCTCGCAGGCCGGCCCCCTAACGGATCCTCGCCCGGCTTCCAACCAGCTCGCTTCACTTCGTCCTCCTTCTCCTGCCCTACCGGTCTCGAGAGATCCAACACACCCTGACCTTGTAGCAGAGGATAAGATTGGGCGGGATCCAGCCGTTTCCGAAATCTCCGTTTGATCAGGCCCGCGGCGATCTCTGGGTGAGGTGCTCGAGATTTAAAGTACTTTTCGCTCGTCCGAAAGGCCGAGTGGCCGCTCTCCGACATGCTTTCCGCCATGATGTAAAACCAGACCTACTTGGCGACGGGCGAATCGATTGACTAGCAACAGCTAACTGATCACGGCCAAGTCAATTGTCGGTCGTGATCTCCCCAGCCGGGCTAAGCCGGACCAGCATTTTGGGTAACCTGGAGTATCACGTGACTGCGGCTCGGTCATTGTCGGCCCCGGCGCCTGTGTGAGAGGTTTCAACACAAGCGTTCGTTTCTCTCTAGATCATCTAATGCAATTCGACTTTCCTGGAGATCTAGGCGGCCTCCACGCCGATAATCATTATATATTCCTACATGCCCCGCGGCTTCTCTAAGTATTTCTTACATTCACGACCCCAATTTCAAGCTGCGGGAGAGCTCGCCCCCTCTTGTTCCTTGCGATGAGCCTTCAACTCCTTTCTTCGATAGACCCATGTGATGAGCGGTAACGTGATGAAAGCGCTCAGTGCCCACCAGGCCAACAAGACACCGAATCCGAGCCCAAGTTCGCTCTTGGTGTCGAAGATGAGCGTCCGCAAGATGTTGGCGGTACGATTGAGCGGGACACCGATTCCGTAGTGGAAGAACGAGATTTGCAGCTCGTGAGGGAGAGAGACGGTCGATACTTGGTAGATGATGATGAACAGCATGGCGAAAGCGGTGAAGCGAGGCCCGAGGATGGTCATCCAAAATTCGAGAGCGAGTCCACAAGCTGTAGAAGTAGCGGTAACAGTCAGTACTCGTCATACCTTGGTTCAGAAGTCCGCACGTCTACCACTGACCCATCATCTACAGCGATAGAAGCGTAGCAAATCTTTCAGCCTTGAAGTATCCTCGGGCGGACACGACATTTCCGACTCACGGCACACAGACACGCCATCCACCAAACGAAGAATCCGGTTCCATAGCTGAAATGCGCGTCAAAGGGCACTTTATACGGCAAATTTAGCTATCAACGCAAGACCAGTCGAATGGTCAGCACGAGAGGGCTTAACTAGAGTGTATCATAGGATCGTGCGCAAAAAGAGCTTACCATAGCTATGGATAAAGATACGAAGACGTAACAGATCGTCGGAATCACGAGACGCATGGCGATATACTGCTTGAGCGTGAGGAAAGGCCCGATGATCCCGCGAACGGCGCTGAAGGCCATTGTCAACAAAAAGGCGAACTGTATAGGAGAAAGGAGGAGAGAGAGCGAGAGGGGGGGAGAAGGACGGGTCAATACGGATGTTTCCGTTATCAAATCCGCCAAGTCGATAAGAGGATCGCGGACGTACGACTATCGTGAAAATCCCTCCGACCAGACTATATCAAACAGGTTGGCTGTCAGTGGAAAAGCAGAGAATCGAAACAGACGACGTCGACAGCACTCACGTCGCAGCCGTAGCCGTCGGCGCCACCGCAAAGCTCCTGAGGTTGTTCAAGCGGAACGATACCCCGGGCGAGATAGTCTGAGGCGCAGCAACCAAGGCTTGAATTGCTGTCTGGTTACCTGCGATCGTACTCAGGCTGCAACGAAACCAAGAAGTTTGTCAGATGCAGGTTGATAACAGCACATCACAGCTGAACCAGCGGTTCAAGTGCTTACTATCGCCCTGCACTCCGCGCCGCCCATGCCGCCGTCGCCCTGGTCAACACAGCCTGTCCGATCGGTACGATATAGCTCCCCGCGGCGTTCTCGTTCCTAGCCTGATTATACACGTAGAGGACCGTATCTTGCGGTTGCCAAGCGGTATCTCCGTTCTGCCTAGCTTGGAGTAGATTCGAAGTGGTCTGACGAGGGATAACCACGGCTGCCCAGAATTCCTCTTGAACGATAGCATTCTCGATAGAGGCCATATCAGGGTGTTTCGAGGCGTCTGCTTCCCAGAATCCTAGCGTGCCTCGAGTGTGTCCGTCGGTCGTGGACCCGTTCGCGTTGGCAAGGCAAGCCTGCACGATATACTGTCCTAGCGTCGGGACGTCCGTCGCCAGTCCCGTCGATGCGCCCAGTGAAGAGGGCGTATCGAAATCAAACACGGCGATGGATAACCGATTGCTCCTATCCGCTGCGTGGTAGAACGATCCCCAGAAGGCGATGAGGGTGGACCACATGGCTAAGATGATGAGGATGGTGTACATGACCATGATCTTGATCGAGGCTTTCCGCATGCCGGCCTGAGTATTTAGAGGGGGAAACGTCAGGCAACGGCAGACGGCATAGGAGTTGGGTGAAGGTAAGAGCTTACCAGTTCTGGGTCAAAGACTGTTTGTATCACACACGCAAACGGGAGTCAGTGTGCAGTAACCATTAAATTGCCAAAAAGCTTAGCACTCACAGCCATGCGCAAACCGTCTTGGTTTATTAGTAGCAGCTCCTGGCGATACAGCAACCGGATTCATCTCTGCTGGGTCGAGTTTCTCGTGAACGGCAGTCGCCGTCTCGTCGTGATCCTGATCATCACCGCTGTGTAACATGTTCGACCGTGTCCGTCCTGCTTTCTCTACGTCGTGACTTTCTTGTGATGAGGTATTATGCAGGGTGTGGTGTGTTGGGGCTGAAGGAGGATCGCTTTCCATGACAGGTTGTATGGTGATTGATGACGAAGAGTGTGCTTGAGATGCTCGTGCGGTCGGCGATTCAGTGTATCAGTATTATTTCAGTAATGTGTCAAAGGTATTTTCGTTTGTTGTGTATGTTCGTTTCGTCTTGGCGGGACTTCGATAGTAGCGATGGCAGGCGTACTCTTGTGCGTTCGTGCTGTCTATAATTATATACACTCTCAATTCTCAAGCTGGTCATAACCTGACTCAATTTAAATCTCGGTGAATTCCCGTTTAAATTCACTTAAATCGCGCGTTATCAGTCCTACTATAGTATAGTGACGTGTCAATTGTACGGTGAAATCGTTAATTATTGCAGTGTTGATGAAGTCGACCTCCACAAGTCGATCGATGTATCGATGTACGATATCGACACGATAGCTGTAATACTACCTTTTACACATCAGACAGCTTCACAATGACTAGTAGAACCCCCCTGAACACCACTAGGACCTTTAACAACGCACCGTTGGTGACAAATCACCATCAACCACGCACCTTCGTTCCGCTCGCTCCGGACCTCCCTTTCGCACCGAACTACGAGCCTGTACCCTCCTATATTTCACCAGAGACCTCAGTATACACCTCCTACCACTCGTACAGTCATGGGAACGACTCATCTGGAGCTGGACCTAGTAATAGCCGCCCCGAAGATGAGTACGAGGCCGACCTTGCCTCTATAGTGCAATTGGCGAACCTTTCAGCCGGCAATTTGGGATACGACAACTCGGTCGAAGGCCAGCCTATAGCTCCCAATTCGCAAGATATAGCCAACAAGACCACTTCTAAAGCACCTACCAAGAGGGCATCCACTCGGAAGGAGATTACGGCTGCTAAATCAGCCCGTAAAGGTCCCCAACAACGACGTATTCGACATAACGAGGGTGTAGACCCCTCAACGGCGGCTCAGGCCTCTCAGGCCATTATAGATGGTCATCTAAGGGCCCCCCGTACCCAGCGAACATACGCAGGGTACATGAGGAGGTGTCGGGAGTGGCTAGACGAATGGAACGCGAATCGAGCAGAATCCGAACCGGATCTTACCGGAGCGCTCGATGAACTTAGCGATCGATCTGCGACCTGTGTACAACTCTACATCGCTCATGGAGTGTCAGGGAAGAATGGTACGAAGCCTCTGAGCAAAGATACGTGTGATGGTATCAAGGCTGCCCTCAAAGCACACTTCCGAACGACGTTCGGAAATCGTTGTTACGTGAGTGAAACCTCATCTATCTTCACCCGGTCGTGGCCATCGACCTGATATACTATCGTATGTCTTCATAGGGAGAAACCTGGCAACAGAGGCCAGATGGTCAGTGGGAAGGGAACCCTATCTTCGATGGTCTCGTACAGGACCTCATGAAGTCGATCAAGAACCGGGATGGTCGAAGCATGGCTAGTGATCAGGTCGGTCGCATGGTTACTGAAAGAGGTGTCCTTTTCACCTTGCGTGTGCTTATACATTTCTGGCTGTCGATCATTCCTTATAGTCTCTCCCTCTCCACCTTCCCGATCTGCTCCACCTCGTCAAGTGGGTGAACTCGCAGTTGGACATAGAAACGGATCCGAAGACTCGGACCGAATGGCTGTTCGCACTTGCGTACATGACGACAACGTGGTTCCTGTTCTGTCGAATGGATGAGATCCTCAGTCTCCAGGTCAAGGCTATCGAGGAGAATGGATACAGCCCTGCCTATCCAGGCGAGAGGATTACTATGATTCATCTGATGTGGCGAAAGACGAATCAGCACGATCCGCGCAAGGGTGAGTGAAAATGCTCCCTCTTTCACCGGGAGTCCTCCGATTGCGAAACTTATGACTATCTTTGCTTCTCTTGTTATTTGTTTGTTCTGTAAATACATCAACAGGGCAAACGTATCAGGTGCACCCTCCTCACAATCCCGACGAGCTCCCTGCGTACTGCTGGACTCACCTTCAGAACTGGGCAAATCACCTTCGAAAAATCACCCACCTCGACTTAGCGCCCGAATACTACTTGTTCCCTGTTATTACACCTCGAGGGAATGTAGATTTCACCAAGAGGATGCCAGCGAGCTCGTGGCAGGTCATTTGGGACCGTATATTAGATCAATCCGGCCTCGCGGCGGCGTATCCGAACGGTAACTTCACTGGGCACTGTTTCAGACGAGGAGCAGCACAGTGGCGTTTCAGCTTCGATCCTGCGGGTCGGTGGTCGTTTACAAGCCTTACCTGGTGGGGTGGTTGGGTCGAGGGCGAGTCTGTAAGTCTTAGCGAACGTAAACAGTAAGGACAAGTCCACAGTGAATATCCTGACATTTTCATTCGCCACCTCCTTCATCTGTGTACGCTCGATCGACTTCATCGACCAGGTCGGTACGATGGCACGGTACCTTCTAGAGAACCTTCTCAAGGTCGAGAGGACCTACGGGGACATGCACCACCCTCAAAAGAACCCAAACAAAACTGTCAATCAAGCAGCACCGGGTGATTTGTACCCAGCGAAATCGGGAGACATTCTGGCCGTCCGACAAGAGCAGAAGTCGATGCATAGGGACCTCGTACGTGAGATCGATAGCCTGAAGGAGTTGTGCAGAGATCGTATCGTTACACAGACGCAGGGACCCAATTCGATGGTGAGTTCAGATCCCGAGTGAAATCCCTATCGCCTTTCACCTGGCTGATCATCAGAACACATATCAGACGGAAGACGACAAAAACGATATTACGAAACAGATTCTAAAGGGTTTCAATGACATGCTGGAGGCTCGTGGTCTCGCACAACCGTTTGAGACCAATCCTGTGGCATCAACATCGACATCGACATCGATGATACCGGCCGCATCAAACGGGAGTTCTTCAGTGAATTCTTCGGTCTTTTCGTCATTCACTGGACGACTCGAGACGTCCGAAAGGAGGGTCGACGCCATGCTACAGTGTGCACCGTATACGAGGGTAGTCACTGCAAACACCACAACCTTCACTGGACCTGTGTTGAGGCTACGACGCAGCGGGGAGATCATCGAAAGAGACAAACCCGAAATCCCCGCACCTGCGGATGTCAAGGAGGCTGTAATGCAGTGGTTCTTAGGAGGATTCCATCCCCATCACCCGTACGCACTGCAGGATTGGCCAAACGAATGGTGTACGAAAGGGAAGACCAAGGACGAGCTCGCTACGCAGAACGTTTACGTCCAGCGATCCCGTTTGGGGTCAGCATACTCTTCGCTCAATGAAGGAGCAATGGATTTCACCGAAGCTGGTTGGCAACGATTCCAGGCTCGTTATCCTCAGAAGACGGTCACTGCGGTTCTTAAAGCGGTCAGAGACGAACTCAAGGCGTCGGGGCAGATCACTGCTCGTATTAGTCGCAAGCGAAGCGATCACAGCGAACAGAACTGAACTTGAACTCCGTTTTGTCGATTTTTCACCTTTTTTCGAATGTTATAGCCTGTTGTTCGTGTTTACTAGTTTATACCCCGAAATCCTGTTCTGTTTCACCCTGTACAGCTATTTACTGTGTGTCTAAAGCTACGTGTTTGATCTAGAGTGAATTCTAGTAGGAACGACTCGTTTTTTAGCTCGAGAAGCGAAATCGTCAAAAAACACAAAAACGGTCGATGAACAATAAGCGAATTTCACCAGATGATCGTCGTTTTTCAAGAACGTCTAGTCGACCGATTTCACCCAAGAACCTTCATCTACATCAACTACGTCGATATCGTTCTAAGTCTTATTATCAATACTAGACACTTCAAAACACCTCGTACTGTTGCTCTAGACCTCCCTTACCCCTTACACGTTTCACCTCGTTCTTTTACTCCCGTTTGAAGCCATGTCCGACGCCCAAAGTTCTCAAAACGCCGTACGTCGAAACGTGACCTTCTTTCACCCAAATAAACGACTTACAAGCCTATAAACTGCTCATAGACCGCCTCATCCTCCTCTAAGCCCAAGCCTAAGCAGTGGGGAGGTAAAGAGGCTGCTGCTGCTCGGCAAAGCAAGAGGTTGGCCGCTCGAGAAGAGGCTCGCGAGGCTCGCGAGAAGGCTGATCGCGAGAACGCGGAGGCTGAGCGCTGGGAGGAGCAGGGAAAGAAGAAGAGAGCTCGGGAGGACACAGACTCGGGCTCTGACGACTCGGTGGACGAGTATGTCGAGGAGGAAGGGAAGTCGAAGTCGAAGAAGACGAAGACGAGGTCGGAGAAGAAGAGGAAGACGTGAGTGAAAGAGGAGACAATTTCACCGAGAACATTGACTTATATATCTCTTATATATCTCTATCTCTATGTCTCACAGCTCCTCCCCTCCCCCGGACGATGACGAGGATGAGTTGGAAGACCCGGAGGAAGCTGCTGCTGCTGCCGAAGACCCCAGCTTCGAGTACGACCGTGATCGAGCTGAGTCGGCAGAGGTGATGAAGTATTTCTGGCGATATCGAAAAGCCAAGGTATACTGGAAGCCTCAGGTGGTCTTTGACTACTGGAGGCAGCAGCAGAAGCCGGTAAAGTCCGGGAAGAAGAACGAGGAGACGGGTGAGGTCGAACGGAAGGCGTCGGCGCACATGGAGGTGAGTATTCAAGTTCGCAAGTGAAATCCGAGACATTTTCACCGAAGAATACTGATCGACTTTCGCTTATGTTTCTTCTTTCGTCTTCTAGTCTGCGATGAAGATCTTCTTCAGTACTACTGGGAAGGTCTTTGAGGGTCGTCATCGTTGCAAGGGATGCCTACAGCTGCCTCTGCGAAGCAAGAGGAAGATATCGGATGATGTTCCCGGTATCATCCTGAAATGCAAGCAGATTTCACCGACCGGTCGATGCGCTCAATGTGCTCTCGTCGGTGAGAAGTGTTCGCTTGAGGTCCAAAACGGAGACCTCGTTAGGGTCAGGGCCTCCTTAGCAGAGGACGTGCCGACGGGACTTGCGGAGCAGCTAAAAGACCTGCTTCAAAAGATCCAGAAGCACGTCAAGAACGACCAGGTTCGGATCACGGGAACGACGATCAACGGTGTTGTCGAGATGGCTGGGGAGCTCGAGATCCACCTAGAGGAGCTAGAGGAGGCCCTACAAGGTCTTCCGGTGAAGTACGCCGATACCGACTTCATCACGGTATTCGAGAACGGAGAAGAGGTCGATTTCGATCGATAAACTTATAATTCACTGCTTAGGCTTGTTGTATCTGTACTAGAGGGCTCTTGAATGAAATATGATCTTATTACACCGACAGAATCAACATACTATGAGCTCAGAACGATCTTACTATCTGTCGAGAAGTTACATCATTTCGAACCCAATTTTCACTGAAAACGCACATAATTGCACCCAACACGTATGAACAACTATCGCACTTGAATAGGTTCTTGACAACTGTTTCAAACGCTTTCAACTCTGAGTATGTTATTCATCTAGGTCTAGAGATGGTGTATGCAAGATTCGAGACAGCTAGAAGCAATCTGGCTAGGGTGAAACATCAAAATCGTTTCAAATTCGAAGCAATAATCGTGTTCCAGTAAGGGCGTTCTGCGCTTAGAATTACAGGTAATTCATGACTAATTTCACCAGGGGCGGCGCCCTACGGGCGCGGGAGCTATATAAGCGAGTTAAATCAGCCTAAATTAGATTTAAATCGAGTCGATAACAAGTGCGAGCCAAGTCGCGTTCTACGCTGAAGAAACCCTTGTTTTCACTTGGCTTAAATCGGATTTTTCGCCCGCAACCGTCTCGAAGCGCTAGACGCAGCGACTCGATTTAAATCGACTTAAATCATTGGGCATAAGCTATAGGACCGAGCCACTTGAGACGATTACCAACCACGGGCACGGGAAGAGTAGCAAATGTTGACCGTCTCCGAGGAGCATCAACAGGAGGATCAGCAGCTCAGCAGCCTCCGGGGACTGTTCCCCCCCCTCCGCCGCCATGCCCGCTCGCTCGCTTCGCTACGGTAGCCGGGTATCGGAGCCGAGGTATACTCGTGATGCGCGTCGCCCCACCCTCGGCATCCTCCGTCTTGCGTGCTCTCGATTCATCATCACGTCGGCATGGTTAGGTGGCTAGATAATAACACCGAATCAAGGAGCTTACCAGTAGCTAGTAGATCACCTCAGCACTAGACTTCCGCAACAGACTAGGTGCACTATGCTACCCAGGCGTTTTGAGGAGAGCGTTCCGCAGCTGGGACAGAGCGCACGAGCGGACCAGGCCATCAGGGCGACGGACGGGGATGCATTGATCAGTCGAATGTGAGCGGGGCTTTGTAGTGGCATGTTTTCGACGTCGCTGTCCGATATCTGACCTATAGGTATCCGTTCGTACAGCTCAGCCGTGAATGCTGGCTACCTCCATGACCCCTTCGCTTCACTAATCGCAAAAGCTCCCTCATCTTCCACCACCCGTCGGGTTCCCCTAATCAACGTTGGCACGCATCATCGAACATGGGCTCTGGACAAGCTTGTGGATTCTTTCTTGGAGTCGGGAGACAAGGACAAGGCGAGGCAGATCGTCAGTCTGGGTGCAGGAAGCGATACGAGGTTCTGGAGGTTAATGGTAAGTCGCCGGGTTCATGGTCTATCGTGCATCTGATCGTTCCATCGCCTCCGTGCCCGCATGTGGAGGTTCATACCGCTTCAGAGGCTGACTTGGGGATGTCATCTATCGACTCCGTTCCGTTGCAGTCCCGGACAAATCGCCCCAACATCTCGAAATACGTCGAGATCGACTTTGACGATGTGACATCTATCAAAGCCCGTCGCATATGCATGAACAAGACTCTCTCCGCCGCCATCTCTTCGCCCTTGCCGTCATCCTCGTCATCCTCTTCTGACGCAGCGAGCTCTATACCTGCGCAGACCAAACCTCAGGTATCCCAAGGGGGATCTCGGTTGGATACCCCCCTCTACACCCTCTTACCACTGGACTTGCGGATCAAAAAGGATCTTCAAGCTCAGGCTCAAGAAAACGGCCCTTTAGACGTACTATCAACTCTCCTGGATCCGGAACTCCCCACACTGTTCTTAGCGGAATGCGTATATTGCTATATGCAGCCGGAAGAGAGTGGGCGAGTCATAGAGTGGTTTGCCGCGAAATTCAAAGGAAAGGGAGGGTGTTTGGGGGTTGTGTACGAGATGTGTGGGTTGGAGTGAGTTCCCATCCTGTTTTGCTTGTCAGATATGGCATTGATGAGCGGTATGTTGATATTGGTTCAACTTTGAATAGTGATTCTTTCGGGCTTGTGATGCGTCGGAACCTTCAAGTAAGTGCACCTCAACCCCGGATCTCTCTTCTCACCTCGTCCCGGCGGACCCCCTATGCTCATCCCTTTCAATATGGATTTGATAGGCAAGAGGCATCCAACTACCAGGAGCGGTATTCGCAAACCCTCAAGCTCAGGCGGAACGATTCTTGAAAGCCGGGTTCGAAAAGGCTGAAGGCGTCAGCCTCAGGACGATCCGACGTGATTTCGTGCCTCGGGATGAGCTTGAACGGTAAGCCCTGACTTCGTTGTTTTATGCCGGAACCGAAATGCAATCACGAGACTGCTGACATTAATAACGTATTCGTGTGATCTGATCATAGGATATCAAAGCTGGAAATGCTCGACGAGGTGGAGGAGTTGGAGCTGATGTTGGATCATTACTGCATCGCCTGGGGATCGGTCGGTCTGGTGGGCGAGACGATCGGACTGTCGTGATGAGCAGGCCGTGGCTAGCTTTATGGAGGCCATACCGTGCGCAACTGGGTTCAGTACGCGCTCTGATTACGGATCATTTTTCCTTGCGGTACATACCTGTCCCGTCGTAAGCTGCGTGACAATTCCTCTTGTGGGAACATTCCCTTGATCATACGACCAAGAGAGCCACGATAGATGGATGATTGGACGATATCGAGTATGCCGTTGATGCACATAATGCTTAGGGGGACTTTTGCCCAGCGAACTCAGCTTGTGCCTCGACAAAGTTTGATGGTCTGTTATTGCACGCTGTCTGGGAGCCCAAGGTACGAGACGATCAGGAATCCTCCGCACTTTCCGGAACGAGAAAAGACACGATGTCTACCTTATCCCTGTCATAACGTACCGATCCGGTGGAGGTGGGCGACGAGGTAGCAGCCAAGGTTGAACGCGAGGTTTTCATTTTTGGTGGTCGAGCCGACCTCGATGGGGAGCCTGTAAGCCACCGAGTCATGAGATACTTTCCAACCTATCAGCCCTAGTTTGACTTGCCAACCAAGACCATAATTTCCTTGAATTCGATGCTGCCTGATTGCTCAGACATTCACCAACTTCATTCGACGGCCACAAGGATATTCTCAGATCTCAGACAGAAGCGCAGCGCTCTATCTAATCTCTCCTCGTGTACCCGAGGTCGACAATTTACTTCCGATTACCGGTCCGATGATTCCCGCCGTTCGTGCTCTGCCGGTCCTCGGCCGAGAGGCGAGAGGAGTTGATGGCGTGAGTGGCCGAGTGATACATCCGGAGGTAAATTTAGTTACGTGAGATGACGGCACCCCTTCCCCTGCCTCTCCTGCTAGGCTGCTACCCTTTGTGCAGGGAGTGTGATTGTCGGATCAATTTCCGAAGAGCGAGCGAGCGAACGAACGAGCGTCCACAACCCTTGCAGCAGGGCACCCTGCAAAGCTCCTGGCCTGGATCGACCGACTCGTCACCCATCATCACCACCTCGACCTTTCACTACTCCGTGGGCTTAGGCAATTCCATCTCAAGCACCATCGTTGAGCTCAGCGTACACATATAAACAGCTCGTGACATCCGACTGATCGGTCAGCTACTTTCTTCTGCTCGCTCTCGTCGTCATTGCAAACGTTCCTCTCAAATTTCGCTGACCTTCTTACTTCCCCCGCCAATGCCAACCTCGTTCTCTGCTTCTACCTTCTTCCTTGAACCTGCACCAACAACACAAAGACTCCGACCAGTCAGCTACCTCTTCTCCTCTGACTATCCACCTAGCGATAATCGGAAGACGAAAACTCAAATCTCAGCCCGGATCGACACGATACGGGCGGACCTACAATCATCTTCTAGAGTCAAGGTCTTCAGCTCAACCTCGACTTCATCTTATTTATCACTACTATATACCAATCATTGGAAGGCGTTCTACGACATCCGATAAACCCTTTTCGCTCAATCCTCATCGAGACAGGTCACACTCCTCTTCGCCGACAAGCGGAGCTTCGCGTTCCCGACCAGGATCGACTGCGATCGACACCTAAATAACGACCGGCGTAGTAAGCGACAATACTACACGGTTCCATCAGGAAAAGATGGAAGCTACTACTACTACCGCAGGCTCGAGCTCAAGCCCGAGAAGGGGTTCGACGACGATGCTGCACAAGATGCGTCCGTCGCCTTACCGGATCCCCGTCAAATTCACTTCCCGACTCTCAACGGAACCTACCCCGATCAAGGATACCAAAACTTCCAGTGTCAACACCGATAGCAAATTTGGCCCTGGTAACGCCGACGAGGTCTTCCCTACCACACACGCTGCCACTCCTACTACCGCTACCACCGAGAACGTCGATCCTGCAGCTCCTGGAGCTGAGGTAAAAAACGACAAAGTCGATCATACAGTATCAGGAGGAGAAGCAATGCCATCTACGACTGACGATCATCCCACCACTACCTCCACTACCGTTCATGCTACCGGTATGACATCATCTCCGTCCACACCCTCACCTGTGCTCAGGTCCGAGTCCACCCACACTTCGAATCCAACGGACACCTCGATCTCTGCACAGAGGCAAACCTTGGCTTCTACCTACAGACTCGTCAATCCGGAGGATGAGAAGGTTATCAAGGCACACCTCTTGAATCTGAGTGGTGGTGGTAGTGGTAGGAGGATAAAGACCTTCAATGCAACCCCGATTCTGGGGTCGAGGTCAAGTAGTGACTGTAGCACTACCCAGATGCAGGTTGGACAGAAGGATACGCAGAGAGACGACAACAAAACGGGAGTCGAAGGATCTGGAGCCAACTCGAACGGACTGACTGAGGAAGAAGCGGTCCCGAAGTTCAGGCCGAGTAAGCGGAAGGGGATGGCTTACAACATCTCGATGATGACCTTTGGAGTCGGGTCGGCGTCGTCGTCGGCGTCTTCGGCCTCGTCTTCGGGGTCGGGGTCGAAATCGGCTTGCTCGTCTCCCTTCAATAACCGTTTAGATTCCATTTCCACGGTAAACGCTATACAACCTACCCAGATCACGCCATCTTCGACGACAACGACCCCAAAGACAAGAGCAAAGCCGATGGAAGATCCGTATCAGTTGATCTTGCGAGGTTGTCTGGATGGAAGGTGGAAGGGAGAAGGGAATTATCGGAGCTTGAAAGTCTGGCCGGGCAAAAATGGGTGAGTTTGATGGTGGTAAGGAAACCGTTTCTGATCACAAATGCTGATCCGGTTTATAATGATGTCCAAGCAGATCTTCATCGTCGTCGTCTTCTGGAGGGTCCCCAACCGTATCGATCATTTCAACCCGATCTGCAAACGCCAAAAAGACGGCTGCTCAAAATCAAACTACCGGAGGGAAGTCTAAGCAGAAAAAGGGCGGAGCTGCGACAGCCACCAAAACGTCTGACACGGGTTCGAGTGCGAGAGGCGGGAAAGAATCATCGGCGAACGCTAGTATCAAGGAGAGTGTCAAGTCCGCACTTAATGTGCCCGGATTGACGACGACGGTCCCTAGCCCGAGTCCTCTTCGGATGGCTTATTCGCAGCCCAACAGTCCGGAAGAAGAGAGTAATGCAGCCGGGTCGGGCGACCAGGATCCCGACCGACTGGGCGTATCGTCATCGCGGCGAGCGATTAGGGCTTCGAGCGAGAGCGTGATGGCGGATCCGTCGGGTAGCAAAAAACGACGCAGAGGTTCTGGTGGGGATGATGACGAGGCGACGATGACGGCGATGGAACGTGCTGGATCTTCCCCGCCCGCAAAACGGCAGTCCAGAGCGGCTGCCGTCCCGAGTGCGGTGGGAAAGAGGATTAGTCCGAGGTTGAGCCACGCGTTGCCGGTCAGATACGAAAACAATGGGCTTGGACCTGACCCGAGTAGTACCACACAGACAAACGGATCGGAGGATGAACCTGATAGGGATCGTCATCGACGAGGGAGGTCGGGAGCGCCGGAGTCGGGCGTAGGGAGCGGTCAACCAACGGACGCATCGGGGTTGGGGAAGATGTTGCTCAAGCGCGAGGTCGAGAAGAAGAAACGGGCCGCGACGCATAGTCCACCGGGTGCTAACGCCGATATCGAGAAAAATCAGGAAAGTGCAGCGGCAACGACGACCGCGGCCTCGACGACGGCGACAGCGTCCGCAAAGAAATCGCCCAAGTCTGGCATGCGACGGACATTGTCGCACGATACGGCCACAATGAAGGGTGAAGGAGATGCAGAGCTGGGAATGGCTGCAGGGCGGAGTCGACGAGAGGTCGGACCGCCCAGGCATCTGAGGGATTACGAGATGGAGATCACGGTTTGAAGATGATGACTGCGTTTGATTGGGGACATATAGACTCTCTTGTCTTTTTTCTTTCTTTTTCGATTATACCCTTTGACGGTCGCACGATATTGTAATCGGTGTTGTATACGCGAGCCTCGACCGGATTACGAGCTACGAGACGATATACGGGATCTGGTGGAAGAGGTTGAAACTGCTCGACAGTAGCCAAACAGCAAGACGATCAGATAAGGAGCGCCTAGGGATGATGCGCCTTTTATTGGCAGAGCTGAAAGACCATGACGAGATATTACGGTAAGCTGAGCTTAGTCAGCATTTGCATCCGGCCGAGGTAGATGTTCATCCTCTGAAGCTCGAAGTTGCACATGTTGCATACAAGTTATACAAGTCACTGGATCACTGGCTTACCAGCTTGGGCAACCCAAGGAACCCGTCGCTCATCAATGATCGAGGAGGTATACGCAGGATGAACCTTGTAGGCAATACGAGCTCAAGTACATTATCTGGTCTGCCAACTCATCTTCTTGCTGTTCCTACCTTGCGATGTAGCGACACATCTTGGTCCCCAGCTGGACCCGTAACCGTACCCGATCAGTCCCGTCCTCGACGCCTTCGCCAGGATGTCCCTGCAGATCGTACTATCTTCTAGCACCTCGTCCGTATCTTCCTACTGAACCTGAGGCAAAGCGACCGGCCGCGCACCTCGATGTGACAGGACCACGGTGGACGTCTACTCAGGCGGCAGAGCTTGAAGACAAGGTGAAACTGAACATCGAGGAAGAGGATCGAGATGATGACGACGGCGAGCCTTGGCTCACTTCGACAGACCATCGGAAGGCAACGGTTAAGGCAACGAAGACACGACCATCAGTCGGTACATGGGATTCTCGAGGACAATATCGCGGTCGACTACGGAAACTCAGGACCGACATCACCCCTACTACAACTTCACGCGAAATTCTAGAGTCAACGAAACTTTCCAACCTGTACCATGACTACATCTCAACACGTCATCATCTACTTTCCAGTGAGAGTAGAGACTATTACGACCCCGCACCGCTTCGATCCCCAATTATCACTCACCTGGTTCAGAACCGGAAGGCTTCCCCAGTCTGGGCGCGACGAGTGATCTCGCTATGGGACAGGATGGATGATTACTGGGTTGGTCGCCCTCTTAGTCATTCGGAAAGCTCTGGTACGGTGGATTCAGGCTCGCACACGCTTGAAGAGGGGCAACAGGGGCTGGCTTCACGCAATGGGCAAGACGGGGAAGGGGATTCGTTGTCAAGTTCCGATCGCTTGAACCGCGATCTACTTTGGGCACCCAAGCCGACATCAGGGCCCGAAACAAGTAATAGAAACCGATCTGGCTCGCTACGGAGGTTCTTGCTCTTCATTTGCGCCGAATTGAGGCGATGCAGACCCATAGATGAGAGGATTCTGGCTTGTTTCCCTAAAACCGGTCGTGAGGTCCGGGTTGGATCGGGAGAAGATTCTACTTCGGCGGGCTCCAAATCAGAATACACCTCAAATTCCAGATCGAACGTACCGAAACATCCCTCCCGAAATGCCCCTAGGGCCACCAGTCTCACGCTACTCCTACCGCCTTTCATTCTGCAAAGGCACCTTCGCAAAAAAGTTCACACCTTTCCGGACTACCTCCTCTTCGCACGAACGCTTTGCAAGCTCATCGAAACAGGTGCTTATCGCATCGAGGATCAAGCGGAGATTTTGACGGCCTTGGTCAGAGGGGCAGGCAGATGGGAAGGTGGAGGGGTCGTTTTGAAGAATTTGGGCGAGAAATTCCTGGACGAGGCGGTCTTCAAGGTCAATACGCTCGTGGGGTCATCGGAGGCAACATCCGACGACCCAAAGGGTATGACAGAGGGCGAGGGCGAGGGCGAGGGTGAGGGTGAGGGGGATGGGCAGCGAGACATGAATGTCAAGACGACGACTCGAAAAAGAGATTTCGAACCGATGATACTCGCTCTCGTCTCCCTCCTTCATTCCCCCGCTTCAACGAGTCCAGGTGTGAACCCGAACGAGTTTGATGACCCCGCCAGACAACTGTTGGGCAGGATCTTGCAGATCATGAGCGAACGCGCAGGGTGGAGACCAGGCGTGATGGGCTTGTTACTCGATGAGAGGGTGATCAGTGGAAAGGCGAGAGATGCCATCTGGAGGTGGTTGCATCAGCAAAGACAGACGCTCGCCGATACAGACGGAGACCCGAATCGGGATCGGCACCAGGAGCAGGATTTCTGGTTCAGAAGAACCGAGGTCGAAAGGTGGATGCATCAACACGTTCAGGAAGCTCTTTTCGTGCCCGTTTACGAATCGGACGGTGTCGAAGGCGACTGGTTAAGGTTCCGGGAGGAAGACCACTTGCAAGCGTTGGCGATGGGAAAGACGACGGCGAGGATGAGCGAAATCTTGTTCCGCTCGGCGTTACGGGACGAAGAGTTCGAATACGCTCGTACGAATTTCCGCGTGTCGAACGAGATTGGTATGCAGGCCAGGTCAGAGGCTGTTCCTGCTGATGAGCCGAATCCGAGCTCAGTGAACGGCCAGGTCAGGGATCTGTCGAGAGCGTTAGCGATGGCGGGGATGAGCAAGAACAAGACCATCTCACAGGATCTGGTTGGTGTCGTTGAACGCACGGCCAAGAACGCCACAGACGCGAACCTTTACCAACTACGGAGCCGGGCCTGGGTGGGATTGCTCGGCAAATACGGATTGAGCAGGGACATTCATAATCGAGAATGGCTCGAGATCTGTGCGCAGGTCCCGCCCGAGTTGTATGACGATCGTGGAATCTTGACGACCCAGTTAGGCTATCACCGAATCAGAAATCTGCCAGACATGGCCTGGCGATGTTGGCAGCGACTCGCCGATTCGAAACGGCTCGACGCAGCGATCGTCACGCTCGGAGCCAAGCTCAAATTTGCTGAATCTGGACCTGAAGAAGCGATCGCGTTTGTAGACGACTGGGCTGTGCGTCGGGACAAACAGCAAGATGAGGACGCGCTGCGAGTCCACGTCGACTACGCGACCGTTAATGCTTTGTTGAACATTGCACGGCGCAGTATTCGGCCCGACCTGGCGACCTGGTTATGGCAAAACATGAAGAGCAGATGGGGCGTGGAGCCGGACGATCTCAGCCTGGCTCGTCTGATCAGATGCGCCGATGCAGCGCATTTAAATCGGATCCATGCACTGGGACTGAATCGTTGGGAACAGTATCCAGAATTACCCAAAGCCATGCAGGAGTCGCCGACTTCCGAGCGCTTCGCAGTTGATGCAACTTTCGAATGGCAAGACGTTGCGGGGATCTTCCGTGACATTGCACTACGTACCTACCCCTCGTTACGATCAGTCACTTCACCCATGGAGGATGGCCGTATCGTCGACGCCTTCAGGGAGCTTGTCTCATCGGGACATCTGCCAACGAAGCTTGTCGAGGATCATCACGCCCTTGTACAGCAGGGATTGATTTCCAAGCGCTCCCTACCGACTGCATCTCCGTTACCAGTAATGAACCTAACGTCAGGAAGTTTCCACGCCTACATTGCCATGCTCTTGCACCAACGTCTTCCCGACGAGGCGGTCCTTGCACTGGGCTGGATGAAACACTTGTCAATCTACCCAAGTAGGCCCACCTTGATGGCGGTGTTGCGTTATCTAGCCGAGAGTGGACAGCCGAAGGACGTACGTTTCTTGAAGGAAAGGGAGGGATGGGGGAGGTATCGACTCATGGCGCCAGACGAGTGGCTCCGACACTGGCTCGAACAGTGGTTGGGATCGACGCAAACCCCTTCAGACGATGACGTAGCGGAATTTGTTAGGGTTCGGCTAAATAGGTCTTAGCGTACGCATCCGTGTACAACGCATCCCCGCTCACAATGGATTGACAAATTTAGCACCCTTCTCTTGATCAAAATTTCCAAGCAACGATTAGACGCCGCGATCACGATATTCTACCACCAGTCGTTGCTGACCATTTCACTAGGCACTTGTCTCCATTCCCCAGCGCCATGGCTGTTAGTCGGCATCATGACCCATTCATGATAAGGTTTCAGTGCCGGCTCCGAAGGCGGCCCCTGTTCTATAGAGACCCCCAGTCCGTCAGCATGAATTAGCTAGAGCGACACATCAGAGTGATCATACGCACCCTCCAGCTGCGCCGCGGTCGCACTCGATTGCGTAGGCGGCGCAGTTTGTTGAGACGTTGCGCTATCATTGCTGCTAGGGCCTACAGAGATGATTGTCTTCGCTTTCTCCTGTTCGGCTTCCGATGCCTGTGTTTGGAGTGATTGGAAAGAATTTGCGTCGGTCATGGTAAACGAGCTGCTATAAACTTAGATGGAAAATCTAGAAAAGGCAACTTGGCCAAGAGCAGAGGCTGATGGGCGTTTGTTTTTCAGCATTCGCTTATCATCCCTGCCGCTCATGCGCCAATGGACACACAAAGGACGATCGAGGAGCTCCGAAAAGACTTCCTTTGTTCAAACCGTATGGTCTCAATCAGAGGGCAAGAGCTACCGTGATGCCTGACCTCCGGCATGGATGCATACTGCGAGCCGCCTGACTAATCGCTATCCGAGTCACTACTATCAACCACCTTCTTCCCCCTGGGCGTCTCGTCCTCGCTATCGCTATCACTGCTATCATCAGTCCCACGTCCGCCATCGCCTTCTTCGTCCGACGAGCCTTCCTCGTCCTCGTCGTCCTGCTCGTCAGCCTTCTTGACTCGCTGTCCCTTCATCATCGCAATCTGCCCAGCCAAGGTGTCCTCGTCTGGGTCGCTGATGTCGCCATCGTCGGCCTGTGGTGGCGGTGCTGCTTCTTCGTTAGCCACAGTTAGCTGTTGTGGCAGTATAGGATGGCGTCAAACAAAGGAACTCGTTAGCAAGCTTCTCCGGTGGACCGATCCCGGCCGACTTACCACGACGGATCGCTCCAAGTTTCCTCCGATGAAAGTGTCGCTGATGAAATACACTTCGAGCGACGTGCTTCCAGGCGTAGGAGGCGCGGGGAAAGTCAACTTGAAAGTCTTGCCTTTTGCAGACTTCTCAGCGCTGACGTCCTTTTCGTCCGAGGTCACGAGGGGAATATCGCCAATTCGCTGCGGCGGGAATAGTACGGTGTTGCTGGTTCCATCTGCGACCATTACCCACCAATGGGGTTTACGGTGCTGTTTTAGCATGTGACTGGTCAGCCAAAAGACACAACGACAAAGGTGCGACTGCAATCAAACTCACCCCTGGCCAGCAAGGAGCGTGTGCGAAGACGACATCCTTGTCGTCCTTGTCCTCCACCTTTTGGTTCTTCTGAGAAGCCTTGAGAGCCTGCGGCGATGGTTCCTCGGCAGTCAGATGTACGGTGTAGACAAATTGACAAAGGGAGCCAACGGTGATGCTGTTTTCTCCCTCGACTGAAAAGCACAAAACACGCGATCAGCGTATATTCGATTGTCTAGATGTTATTCAACAGCAATTCACCTTCGAATTTGGCATCGCTGACATGAAGTTGGGGGAATTCCTTGGCGATCCTGATACCCTCGTCACCGATCAACTTTTCCACCTCAGCATCTCCAACAACCTTCTTTTGCCACCCTTGTCCGCTGATGCCCTTCTCCATTAGCACCTTGGCCTGCTCAATATCGATTCCTGGCAATTGCAAAGCTGGGTAATCGAGAGATGGAACAGCTTGAACGAGTTGAGCGTAAAGGTTCATGCACATGGTAGTTGTGTTCAGCCAGTGGTAGGCGACCGAGACGTTGACGAGCGAGGGGATGAACTTCGGAACTTGAAGGAGGATTTCGCGACGTTCTAAAAAAAAACGAGAGGGTGTCAGCTTTTTGACGCCATGTATGTATACGATCTTTCGAGGCTTACCGTCTAGCAACTCGGCCTCGATATCCTCGATTCGCAAAAGATGGGTCCACAGAAGCGCAACCGCTCGCCTATTATGAGGATTGGGCAGGACGACCCCCTTGCCCTTCTCACTCTCCCATCCAGCGGCCAAGACATCGCCCATACCCAGCCTCTCGGCCTCTGTCCTGACCTTCTTTTCTAGCGCCTCGGTCTGTGTCTGTCGCGTACGTTTTTGCTTTTTCGAGCTGGACTTGGCGGCGAGGATGGTCTTGATCTCGAGAGCCGAAGCGATAAGAGCCAAAAGAGCGGGGAAAGAGATGTCCTCGATCAGGTTGTGGAAGAACAGTTCGGCGGTCGACGAAAGGGCGCCGTCCTTAGTCAAGACTCGTTGCTTGAACCACCATCGGCCCTGGCGAAGAGTTGGCAAGCTTCATCAGGCCCGAAGAAGAAGGGCTCGTATCGCGTCGATACGACTTACCACGACGAAGGGAATACCTCCTCCAAGACCGATACCATATAGTGCCAAAACCCACAGTCCGTTGTTGCCCTCGACCACCCAACTGGGAATGGCAATCTTGTCTTCCCTAGGCTGCTGACCGTCTGGGTTGCCAAATTTACGCAGGTTGTCTCGAATGGCTTCATCGGTCAGGCTTTATCGGAGGCATGATCAGCACTGAAGTCAGCACACAATGGTAACAACGAATCCAGGCTTACGATTTGTATGCCTTCGTGAGCTCTACAAAGTACGTCTCGGCCTCTTCCTTGGTCTGATTGTCGCTAGCCTTGATCTTGTCGGGATGACTGATTGGAAGATAAACGTCGCGGTATAAGCGCAACGAACATCAAAGGGCCTTTGGCTGTCTCTACTAACTATTTCAGGGAGATCTTCTTGAAATGCTTCTTGATAGCTTTCTCGTCACTTGACTGCAGGATAGGCGGTCGATCTCGATAAGTCAACAATCTCCAGATTTTGAAGTAGCTCGAGCGGTGCACTTGCCGAGCTTAATCCGAGGATTTCAAAGGGGTCGTACACTTTGGTCTCGGTACCTTCCGATTGAGAGATAATATACGCTAACGCGAAGAAAGCCGTCCATCCAGCGAGAAGTAGGAGGTTCCTGCGTATTCCAGGGATGACATCAACCTAATCAGCACTTGGAATCCTGCTCGTCATCCTGCCGTATTGCGCGAAACTCGCCGTATCGAAAACAACCCGCTTCCTTCCGTGGCGAACCTCTTCATATACTTGACTTTCCGCTGACAAGATTCACACTCGCATTCTTTTCCCTTTCCTTTCGTGCCCACGACAGCTCTTCGAAGTATGATCAAGGTCGTCGGGAAGAGGATGAGCGAGAGGAACGAGATGGCGAAATAGGACGCCAACGCGCCCGACTCGTCATAGTTGATTCCTCCGGCCATGGCGATGGTGAGCGAATTGCTGATACCGTGATGTACCTATGATTCCCCAGAGCAGCTACTCCGCACAATAAGTCGTGGCGATCGACTCGAAATTGGATCTTGCTGCGAATGTCATGATATACGAAAGTCACCCCCTTCATTCTGCCACGTCTCGCGAAATCAGCGAGCGATGATGATCGGAAGCTTTCTCGGTAAAGCGCCGGAAGTAAATATATGACACGTCATCGCTAAACTACTCTTATCACACCTGTACCGCATCTTTGATCTCTGAAACGTCCGTGGCGACACAATGTTGGATACAGTTTGGGCGACTACCTGATACAGTTTGAGACCTTCTCTAATCAAATGACTCTATTAAAGTAGACCTCGCACGCAGTTTAGGACCGTAGACATAGAAGACAAAGGGGAAGGCGCCTAACACGAGGGCGATAAAGCCCAGCGTCGAACATGCCCTGCAACGATACCTCCAGCGTTAGCTCTGGATTGCACGACAAATTTGGCTCAAGCGGGACTGACCATGCGACTCCGAGATTACGGAACATGGGTGCCACGGCAAAGGGTAACCCGTATAGATTCGAAAAACATAGACACGGGCCAAGATTAGCTTCGCGTACCCCTGTCACGAGCCAAAGACGCTCTGATACTTATTACGGCAAAGATAGATCGCAAAAAGGTATTGCTCGCAACGGTGCTTGCCGCTAATTTTGTATAAGAATCGATGAGGTAGTTCAAGCCCGACTGCCGAGGCGATCAACCAAAGTGGCAAGTCAGCCTCTCGCCGCGATTGCGGAACGAAACCATCGGACTTGCCTGGAAGATGAGCAGGAAAGAAACCCCTATCAATGTGAAACCCAGTACGGATGGGAACCAGTGAATGCTCGGGTTCGATGTCCAGCCAGCCAGGAAGAAACCGGAAGGAAACAAGATCGAACCGAGCATCATCGGGGGAAGACCTACAATATCAATCTTGCTGTAAGCATACTAGCACATACAGTGTCAAATAGGAGTCGCAATATGAATGGACTCACGCATTTCGGGTCTGGCGCGACCGCCGTTACGCTCGAGATGCGGACCGAAAACGAATGTCGACCAGGCGATATTGATAGCTGTATGTAAAATCGGAAGTCAGTCAAAGCGCAATCACACGATTACGATCAAGCGAGACTGACCGGCTGCGATGAAACATCCCACCTATACTCAGAGAGACAGTATGTCAATTGCTGATTACATGTATCAGATAGGAGCATACTTACCAAAACTCCCAAGAAAGGCAAGGCTCCAACAAGAGAGTTCCAACCTCGATTGTCTTGGTAGATCACCTAATTAGGTATACGAGTCAATATCAGCATGACGTCTCGCACTTTTCGAGGCGGCGGATGACGAACCGGAATGGCACCAAACAACATGTAGCTGTCCAAAAGCTGGTCAGAACATGTTTGCCAGCTTGATAACAGCGCGACATGGGAGACTCACAGGATTCCATACGTAAACGAGTTGTACCTGAAAATCCAGCTTTCAGCTTGGGCAGCCATTTGGCAAATTTCCCAGATTCGGCGACTCACAAGGTGATACAGGTGACCATTGGCTCGGTTGCAATCATCCTCAGCGGTAAAGTCAGATTGTTCTCCAAGAATTTGACCAGATCCCTTTCCCTTTCCTCGTGTTTCGAATGCAAAGCCCATCTCTTTGTCGATCTTCTCAGTCGTGCGGCTTTCCGGGTGAGGATCACGGCAGCGAACGTCTCTGGGAGGAAGATGATGTCGAGTACGAGCACGAGGCAGGTGAGGATGAGACTGAGCCATTCCGTCCATCGCCATCCGAGATAGCTTTGAGCGGCGGCACCACCGATGATCGGTCTAAGCAGGAAAGCGAATTGTCAGCCAACGAATCAGCAAATCGATTTCGAGGAACGGGTAATTACCCTAAGGTAGGTCCTGCTACCACGGCGAGACTGTAAAACACCACGGCCGAACCCCTCTCCTTCTGATCCCACATATCGGCAAGTCCTCCTCCTACCGTTGTGACAGGCTAAGCGAGAATTCTGGTCAGACAACGGGTTCTTCAGCTTTACGGGAATTGGAATGAATACGCACTGCCGAGGCAAACAAGCCTTGAAAGAACCGGGTAACAAATATTGTCTTGAAAGACGAGACATATCCAGATCAGCTGCGGCGTCGAACCACTCGTAACCAACAGATGGTCCTCACCTGCGGATCCTTCGCTACAGCCGTTGCCGCGGTAAAACAAGCGAAGATAAAGACCGGACCGAGAATCGAGAATCTCCTTCCGTATTCTTCTGATACTGGTGCCCATATGAGAGGTCCAGGGACCTGTAATCCCCAACGTCAGGTCAGCCTACCCTAAACGAGGTGTAAAACCCCTGTCAATCAGAAAATTCGCATTATGACTCACATAACCGAGGATGAACAACGATACCCCCAGTACGGTCGTCTCCGTTGACAACCCAAATTCTTCCCCGTAGTAACGCCCAGCGCTGGAAAAGATCGAACTGGCGAAAGTTGATGACATGGTAGTCAGTCCGTATAGACCTGTTGTGAGCAGTTTTCGCTGTAGGAGATTAAGCGCATATATCGAGGTTAGAATCGAATATACAAGTAACGAGGGCAGAAAGAAGGGAGACACACCCGAAAGCTCCAATTTTTGGGATTGGCAGGATCCGTCTAATATAAATACGCGTCACGAGGTTTGAGCATGCCACATTGTCCCCGGACCTGCTCTACCACCTCGCCTGGACACTGACCTTGCTGTCGAAAGTGACGATATCGTCTTTCCATTTCCTCTCTTCCGGAGAGACCCCCTGACCCTGGTCTTCGCTCAACCTCGAAGCGGAGGGTCTCAATGTCCCCGTGATCTTCCTCGTCAACGATTGCCTGCGTGATTGAGGTTTCGACTGCTCCTTGTCTCGGCTAAAGGTTTCTCGTTTCGACAAGCTCTGATCAGGGCGTTGTGCTTGCGACGCGGACAACTTTTCCCGCAAGACCTGATCATGGCTGTCAGGAGAGCCAACTTCGGTCTCGTGACCTTCCTCAAAGACGGGCTCGATCCGTCTCTTGGTTCCAATGCCACTCTCTCCGATCGGCTGTCCAAATCCCCCTTCAACCCCGTTGACCAAAGTCAAGCTCGTTCGAGGCGTCCCTGCCGGAGTTTCCGAGGGATTGTGATCGTGCTCGTCGATGGTCAAGCCGTCGATGTGATCGATCGGAGTGATCATTCGGTACAAGCCCATCCGTGGTGTAGGGGTCGTTTGCGACCGAGCTCTTCCAGGTCTATCGTCCGACATTTTGAGGGAATTCACTTCAGAATATCTTCTCGGTGACGTAATTGACAGGATGTCAGGCTCTTGGCTATTATGATGGACGGGTTGCCTGACTGTGGGTATCGATTATAAGCTTATAAGACCGTATGTAGGACCGCCACGACTATCAGCTGCCAGCTGCTATATAATCATGCCGATACTCGAGATGAGGCAGGTATTCTGAAGAAATGTCGTCGTCGCCTTCTCTTGCTAAAAGTAGTCATTCGTATCCTCGCCTCGGCCATTACCCAGATCGGCTTCGGCTGCTCCGAATCGGCGGCGCGGCACGGCAATCGACCAACATCCCATCGTGCATAAAAAACACCAACATGTCCGTCTCGTCAACTATACCAATCCAAGAACAACAAGGTCAAACTGGCCATGATCAGAAAGACCACTAGATAGAGCCTCCCTTCCTTCCCCCTCTCCTTGGCCTTTTTCAATTGCGTGTTCGCTCTGTCCAGGTCGGCCACCGTCTCGATCGCCTCGTCGTAGAGCAACTCGATCGCCTCGGTCTGGGTAGCCAGGTGGGCGATGAGGGTCGACTGTAGTTGAGAAATCTCCAAGAGGGATTTCTCGGCACGAAGAACGGTGTTGAGAGTGGTATTCATGGATTCGAGGAGCGTGTCGTTTTCGCTGGAGAATTGTTGGATCTGCTGGTCCGAGAGCGTGATGGCGTTATCGTCGTTGTTGCTGGAGCTCGACCCACTGGGATCCAGGTCGACCGCCGATGTTTTCGAGGCCGTTGGTTTGGCAAACGATGCCGTAGGTATGGTCAACTGGATAGGTTTCCCATCTCCTCCAACCCTTCTCCGCGTCAAGACGTTCCCCAACCCCCCGCCTACAAATTCCTTATCCACCATTCCACCCAGACTCTTCCCCCTCTCCTCCCTAATCTTGCCTCGTTCTTCTTGCATCTCCCTGACCACATCCGAAAGTGTCAAGAGCGAATTATTCAGAGACCAGAGGATGGAAGCGTGGTGCGCCGTGAGGATGGTAGATCTCTGTTGAGGTGTTATCCCCGTCGACAAAGCGTCCGTAGCAAGCGAGGGTAGAAAGGTAGTCAGCAAAGACGATGTCGTTGATGGTTTCGTCCTGTTCTGCCGGACTATGACATAAATGCATCGTAATTAGCTACTCGTTGCGTTAGATGAGAACATGCAGGCTTATCGAAATAGCTCGGCGACTCACTCTTCTCTCTGACCTCCAGGACCCCGACCCGCTCTCTGCACCCCTGAAGAACAACTCTACATCTCAGATCAACCTCTTCCCTTTCCCTGTCCGTCAAGACCTTGGCCCTCTCCAACGCCCTCAACCGTCTCTGTTCCGGGTCATCCTCCGCTTCTGCACCTGTACCTCGAGCTCGAGATTGGGGGTTAGGCGTTTGAGAACGGGAAGAGATGGGAGGGGCTTGGGTAGAGAGGTATGCCCGCCGGATAAGTTTGATATGATTTGAAAGCGCCGTGAGGTGTTTATGCTATTCAAAGGAGCCCATTCCCAGACAATCAATATCAAAATCCTAGAAGATGTGCACCTTAGGATAGCTAACAACTCACGATCTGATACCCCTCGGCCAAGAACTCTCTCTCCTCCTTCTGCTCCTTGACCTCTTCCTCGCTCAGCCTCTTCCGTCTTCGTCTCGCCCTGCTTAACAGTCCATTCCCTTCGACGCTCGGTGAACCAGGTCGGGAAGAAGGAGGGTATTTGGACGTTTCTGCCGATTGTGTGGTGTGGAGCACCGTCCGGAATTCTGTTAGGCGGTTGACAGGAGCCATGGTGGATGTCTCGGTTTCCTTCTTTTCAGTTCCTTATGTGTTAAGGAAACGTGATAAGCTGGCGAACGGGAAGACCGTGGAAGTTGCGAATCGTGATAGATGACTGGTCGGTTCTCAAGTCGCAGAGCTGCTTGCTTGGTGACCGGGCGACTACAGAGATTCCCACTCGACTATCCGAGGTCAGGTCGATACAGTCAGGTCTGATGTATAGGTATTTTGGCCTTGATGACGATCAGTTGATCAGTCAGCCTTATGGCTGATGTAGGAAGTGGACATGATCGCCTGGCAGCTCCTTCTTGTCGAGCATGCTGCATGACGTCAAATCAAGCGCGCAATCGTATCCGAACAACCCTTGGCGGTCGGACATGCCGTGTCAGACTTGTTCATATGGAACACATTCATTCTAGCTTATGATGTCTATATTTGTGCATACGCTTCGTACTAATCTTTACACACGCTGCTGTATCCACTGGCTCGTTCGCCGCCATCGCCAACCAACCAATTTACCGAATGCCCGCTCCTCAGGCCTATCAACCCTTACCAAGGCTTCGAGACGCCCACCATCTTCTGTACGGCTTCCTTGGTGATCTCGGCCGGAGTCCGACTGATATCCACCGCTACGACGCCGTCTTCGCCCTCGGGTTCCTCTAGGGTGGCTAATTGCGAGTCGAGCATCTGTGATACGATACGGTCGGGCAGGTCATGGGATATCTCGTCAGCTCCTCATGATTGATTGGGACCCTCTAGGAAGGGCGTGCAGTGAAAGAAGTGAGAGAGTGGGGACAAGCAGACTGACCTTGGCGCCCATGAAATGTCCTTTACGCTTAGCTATCCGGTCTTGCAAAAGCTCTCGAGTACCTTTGCAGTACACAAAGTAGGTGTCCATTCGGGACGGTTTCGGGGTCATGACCTTCTGCTCGAGGGGAAACGGGACGTGACATATGAGATAGCTTGATCAGACTCGTTTCTGTGTATGCAAAAAAGGCAATGAAGGCACGGAACTCACCTCTTCGGTATCTTCCCCGCTAATCTCGCTGACGGGCATCTCGACCGGATAATGTCCCCTCAGGATATCCCTGTACCACTTTTTCAAAGCCGAACAAGCTATCACCACGGCCGGTCTCCTCAATCCGCCCCTGGGGACGCCCAACGACTCGTCCGTCTTCTTCTTGAGGTTGCCCTTCCACTTCCACCCTTCTCCAAACTCCCAATCCGCGAGCTCTGCCAAATCCTCGACGTCCCTGTTCAGATTTCCATCCTGTTCATGCAAGACCCCAAAGAGGCCCTGTTCCTTGGTGACCCATTCTTCCCGGCAGACCCGTTCGGCCGTGGCTCGGATGAGGGCGAGCCAGGGGAGCCGGTCGTTGTCGTCCAACGGGGTGCCCGCGGACATCTTGTCGACGTTGGATTTCGGGTGGAGAGAGTCGCCGTCGATGAAGGGGATGTTGAAGGCGTCGGCTAGGGAGATGCCGATGGTGGATTTTCCGCTGTGAGGTCGGACGAGTCGGCATGGTCGTTCGAAAAATGAAAAGGTCAGTGAGCGGGATGACAGTATATAGGCACTGACCAATAAGAAGCTCACCATGAAGCAGGACCCTGATTAAATTCCAAGACGTAAAAATGAGCTCTGAAACCATGAAGATTGCACCCCTATTGACAAGGAAACCCGTATTTACGACTCACCATAACGATGATCAACGCCGGCCTGGCCCCCTCGTAAGGCTGAGCGAAACCTCGTTCAATCCTGGCAAACCTCTCCTCCTCCATCTCTTGTTCGACCCTCTCTCTAGCTTCTGCGGCATCTACAGGGGGCGGCATATCGGTAGCCGACGATTGTTTTCGAGCGGGCATGTCGTCCTCGGATTTGGCGACGTCGTCCTTGTTGGCGCTGGTAGGGTTGACGATCTGCGACGAGATGGCCAGCGCGGCAGCGGCGAGGAAGAAGGGGAGGTTACGGTCTGATACGGAAGACATGGTTGAAGAATTGTTCGTGGTACGTCTGAGATTACTATCAACTCGAATAATTATTATAGTTGTGTTAATGACAAGGACGAGGTTGTTTAAACCTCGAACCTGTGTATTTTCGGTCATCGGTCCGTCGACTCCGAGAGGACCCACATGCCGTAACACGACGCCCGCCGGTTATCTCAAAGGGGGGCTGATCAGTATAACACATATTCGTTATATGTCACTTAGGGGGATCGGCAGATCGGTCACTGTCGATTAGCCGTACAGAGTGAGCACTACCAGTACTGATTAGCATTCAGGTCGCTTACCCCCCATGTCATACAAGAGCACATCGACATCAGACAGAGCTTTCGAACAACACCGTTCAAGACTTGCCGCACATTCCACCATGTCGACCATGGAACAAAGGGAGCGATACGAAGCCCTCTACCACGCCACTACCCAATACCTACTCCTGCGGGACTTCCAGAACGCCGAAGACGCCGTGCTCACCCTGTTGAACTTTCGACCGAGAGACGTGGACGCATACGGACTCGAACAAAAGTTGGTCAGGTGCACCGAACCATTCGAGGAAAGATTGAAGAGATGGACGAGGTCGTCGGAGGACATGATCAAGGCGTACAAGTTGTATGCCTTTGTCTTGACGTCGAAACATACCGAGAGATTGGAAGTTTCCGGGCCCGAGTCAGGGGCAGGAGCAGGAAAGGAGAACCTGGCGGACGTCTTTGAGGGTGTGATTGCCACTTACAAGAAGGAATCGGATTTTCTCGATCGTCCTGCTGCGACGGCGAAATCGGAATCGGGATCCCAGGTCATCCACCTCCACCCGTCCATCCTTCAGACGATCCTCCTCTCCCTCCTCAAGCTCAACTCAACCTACCCGATCCCTTACTCGGAATCGCTTTCCTCGTCACAACGTTCAGACCACCCTCTACACATTGCCAGGACGTTCGTCGAGCGTTGGTTAGCGGGCCTGGAAGAGGAGACGATAAAGACCCTTTCGTTCCCCAAGAAATTCATCGGTCGGTGTAAATCCAGGACGAGCACGGATATTCAATCGAGATCGTCCCCCTCGGAGGCACCTTCTGCATCGTCGTCCTCATCATCTTCAAATGACAACGGAAACGAGAACGAAAACGACAACGAGAACGACGATTGGGTGTGGTACGCAATCTCCGAACGCCTTGGCGGGATGAACAAGGCCTACCGCTCCGTCCTCCGGACGTACGTCTTGGACATCCTACCGAGGTTCGGGGACTGGGAGTTGAGTAGGGAGATGATACTCGCCGGGCTATTTCCAAAGGCCGAGGAACAGGAGGTAAGCCCTGTCCAAGGGCGTGTCATCTTGTTGCTTGTTGTGCTGATCGTGTTCCTTCGATTGTGGTCCGGATAGAAACTGCTCAAAAAGCTTCATACACTCGAAATCCAGCATAAACAGCTGCAAGACCTCTCCCGGTCTGCTACCATCTCCGGCCCCAACTCGTCCTCCTTGTCTTCTTCGATGTCCAGCTCGGGCTTTGGACCTGGAGACGAACCGGGGGCGTCTGATCTCGATCGAGGAGCGGGACCGTCGATGTCCATGTCGACGTCTAGGTCGAACACGACGATCCGCCCGGGTTCAGGAACAGGATTCACACGGACACCGGGAGTCGAGAGACCAGCTAGTCCGAGTGCGGCGAGCGTCTTGACAGATCGAACTGTTAGGGCAGTGGATTATATGAAAGGGAGGCAGAGGCAAGGTGGCGGTGAGGAGATTTCCGCTTCGGGCTTTGGTCAGCAAGAGACGAGGAGAGATGACAGGCGAAGCCCCAGAGCGCAGGTAGGAGAGGACAAGAAGGAGACGGACCAGGAGAGGAAGGGGAGCGAGGAGAAGAGCGCGGGCTCGAAGAGGGGGGACGAGGACAGCGTGGGTGAGTGCACTGTCTTGATCGGAGATCAACCAGAAACCACCTTCCAGAAGTCGACATCGTACCGGAGCGACACCCTTGCTAACTTTTCCTTCTCGCTTACCCTTACCCCTGCAGTCGGCTCGACCCGCTCGTTGACACAAGGTTCGGCCAGGTTCGGACACGCCGCCTTCGAGACCCTCCGAGCGAGGATCGTGCGATACCTCGATACCCCGATCGACCAGGATCACGATCACGACGGCCATCACGGCAACGACGGTGATTCGAGACCTCGTGCGCGAAGATCACTATCCGTCTCTTCCCGCCGAACCAAAGACCTAGCCGGACTGCCTCTACATCAACGTCTCTCAAGGAACTTTACGTTTAGGCTGATCGTCAGGTTGTTGAGCGCGATCTCGATCGTGGCATTCGTCTGGGGTCTGATACGGCGACGAAGGCAGGTACGGCGGCGAAGAGCGATTGCTCAGGGTGGCACGGTAGGGGATCCGATCATTGAGGGAAGTTTTGTGCAGGAAGTGCAAGATGCCGTAAAGGTAGTCAGGGACAAGATTGTGGCGGTTTTCAAGATGGGCACGACGATCAGCTATGTCTGAAACTTGTATCGTAGATGATGCAAGACGATTACAATTAGGCTTTAGGACGCACGAGGCCGGAAAGCACGACTGCTCGCCGCAAGAAGACACTGACGCCTAAGGCCAGCCACGATCCTATACTTCGCAATCTGGACGATCTGCAGAGCAGAGTGACTAAATCCCCTCCTCTGGCGGCAGTGTAGGTGGGACTAGAAAGTTTCCAAGGAGCGTACGTTAGATCCCAACCCGATAATGACAGAGAACGGATACTCTTCACAGAGCTGCCTGGAAAGCGTGCGCAGGGTAGCTTGCCATGAGTCCCGGCATTCATTGCTGCTGTGGCTGCAATAGTGTCCGGGGTTTGTGGAATGGCGAATGAATTGAATAGCACATCCCAGATGGCGTCCATTCGCAAGGCGACCCGTCGCTTCATTTGCGATGGGTTGGATGCAGGTAACCTGTGTCCAAACAAAAGCATACACTAGCACCAACAAGACAAGATATTAGGGATGATAAGATGACTGACATGATAATGCCATTCTGATCGCTCGGGACAGGATAAGCCATGCTTCTTCATAATGGCCGTCAAGTAGACATTGAGCGTGTCTCGAGACAACATTGTCTCGTCTGATGGCCATGAGACGTCATGTCGACTTTGTATGGAGACACGATGTCCCTGCGTCCAGAATCTGGAAGTTTTGGCAACGGATCACTTCATCGAGAAGACAAGGTGGACCACAAACTGATCGGGCGGTTGTCAGCTCGATTGGCTGCAATGTCCACGTAAATCGACCCTGGTCTAACATGTTCCATACCAGCGGCCTTACAGCTGTGGGCGACGGATGCTCCTTGGCCACACGGGCGGTTCATAGGGCTCCTAACAGTGGATAGACTGGGGAAGCTAGGGGAGGAGTTTGATCTGATAATGAACCTATTGGTCCCAGGGGCTGTAGTGGAACCGATGATGCGTGGTTGGCTGGATAGCTTACAGCCAGTGGATGGTGTAGGCGTCCAGCGAGGCCTCCATGATGTCGAGTTCGGTAGAGGATGTGATCGCCTCGACGTTGATCTTGGATGTGATTGCTTCCTTCCGCCCACCGGGAGGTTGGAGTTCAAAAAGCACGCTAGCCTTGAGAAGATTGGCTGCAAAAACGATCTGGATGGTTGGTCTGTTTCTGGGTCTTATGATGGTGAATTACCGCGCTCGATTCCTGCTTTGTATTTGCGCTCATCCTCTTCTACTGCAGCCAATCTATGAAGATAAACAACCACTGTTCCAACAAGATCCCCTCATGATCGTTCAGAAGGGACTCATCTGCGTGACATGAGTACGCAAAGGAGGCTAGAAGGATTCTTGGGTAACATCCCTGTACAGAGTCATCGTCAAAGTCAGCCACAAAAGCAGCAGTCAAATGACTTTAGCGAGATAGGGAGCAGCGGGGACGTGCCATCAGGATGTCCAGCGTACCAAAGCTGCAGAGAGATCCACTAGCCACTGTCAGGGGAGACTTGACTCGTTCGTGATGCATCAAGGAGAAGCGGCAAGAGGCGATGCTCGCAAAATGGCCTCGTTTCGCTCCTCTTGCTCTTCTCGCGCTTGCCCAGTGGCCAGTGGCACATGTCCTGAACAGTTGACGTTTCAGGCTCGACCGCAGTTGACGCGCATAACGCATATACTTATGCAGTATGTAGAGTACTACGTTCCACGGCTTCCATGGGATGATGTCACGATCACCGACCAGCAGCAGCAGACTGGGGATCCGTCACATTGCAGCTTTTTGTCTCGCTTGCTCCTCGATTCTCTAGTCTCTCTTCCTTTCTCTCAAATACCTCACCAACAGACTAGCTAGACTTAGAAAGGCTATACCTTCGTAATTCCCAATGTCTGAACCCAGACCACCCGGCGAAACGCGACCCTCCCTATCGCGGTCCAGCTCATCCTGGTCATCAAGCTCAATGTCGTTCAGATCCGGAGGAGGTTACGAAGCTGACGACAAAGACAACTGGGCAGGAGCTTTGACTTTGTTGGGTGAGTTGCTCATATTCCTGATAAGCAAACGCAGTCTTAATTACTGACGACGCACTACCCCCGACGTGATAGATGTCTTTGAGACGTTCTTCGGTATGTTATAGTCCAGTACCACATGCTCGTCTCACCGCCATATCCTGGCTGACTCGTCGATTTCTGCATCTCAATTACTCAGACAGTCGTCTAGATCTCTTGGAAAGGAGACTAAAAGCTCAATCCCACCGACTCAAACAAGCCGCGGCCGAACTCATCCCGCGAGGGCTACGTACCCCTCGAGGCACCCCGCTGGATCCGGACGACGACTCCCAATTACGAGGCGGAGATGAGCAGAGGAGAAACAAGTACAAGATTGACCCCGAGAGGGAAGTTGAGAGGCTTAGGATCAAGGTTGGTCTCAGCGCTATACAGTATAAGGCGATGCTAGGGTTGTCAATCTAACGGAGCTATACACGTGTTCGATCAGCTTGCTACCAAAGTCAACGATCTTTCCAAGCAATGGCAATCCGCTCAGATCGTCAGGACCCGGGACAAGATTTGTAAGTAAACATCTACCTCTCTTGTTCCCACCATGAGTACACCGCTTATACAACTGCATTTGATGATCGATTAGCTTTCCTGTTCGGCGTAATGACCCTAACATTCACCTGCCTAGTCTGCGGTTACGCGCCCGAATGGATCCCTACGGCGTATACCGTCCAGAGCACCTTCTACTTGACTACGAGGTTTTGGAGCTATAAGAGAAAGGCTTATCATTATTTCCTTTTCGGTTAGTCGAGTCGGCTCCTGCCTCCATGATGAGCGTCTGAGGGGTTTGTCACGAGATGCTGATCATCGTGCTCCGCTTGCGAACGGCTCCGGTATCACACTCGATGGGATGCAGAGTAAGTCATATCGATGAGCATTTTCCTATGTGAACTCCCGAACTGATTTCTCGTTATACTGGACAGCTTGTGCTACTTTGTCAACATCATGGACCTCTTTTACATCTGGTTCTTCCGGGACAACGTTTACTACTTTATCATGTGCTGGTGTTTGACGCTGGGTGAGTTAACTGTTCTATTTTACTAGCTGAGATCCAACGCGATCATGTTCGGCTGAAACTCACTGACTCGTCATAGGACCCATCGCCTCGGCCATCATCACGTGGAGGAATAGCTTGGTCTTCCATAGTCTCGACAAGGTGAGTCTAAAACCTGTCCCCAGCATAGAAGGCCGAGCTCAATCTGAGATTCTGATATTCGTTTGTTTCAGGTCACAAGCCTGTTTATCCACATGTACCCACCTCTTACTTTTATCGTCATCCAGTGAGCAATGAGAAAACTCAAGCTGATCGGTTCGTGTTGAAGGAGGCTTACTAGGCTGACGGCGATCTCAATCCCGACCTCGATTTTGGCGTTATCAATCAGACACTTTGCTAAGGACCGGGAAGTGAATTACCCCGCGATCGTCAAGGTCAAGGAGTTCACTTGGTGGCAGATGATCCTGTGGAGCGCATTGCCTTGTAAGTGCTCGCGGAGAGAGATACGATAGGCCATAGTATGCAGCTCATACCCATCGCGGTCGCTTCCTCGCAGACGTGCTATGGCAGGGGATGTACTGGAAGGTACTTTGTCTTCTGACCTACCGATCAGTCCGGAACTGCTTATCTGATATGTGTTTCCATAGCTGGTCCTCGTGGACCGACGTGAGAAAATCGAGTCTGGACAGCGTCAAACCAGTTTCCGATAGTAAGCCACACGAACCGCTTTGCGCTGTGTTCATAGCTGGCCCGAGATAAGACATGTATTGATTGCGCCTGTTCAACTATACAGCATGCTCAACGACAAGCATGGTCCGATCGGCAAAGCCCTCCAGGGAATCCAGCCCAAGTACCGAGAGACGTCGTTCATGGCGGGACAGCTTGGTGAGCACCTTTATCTTGCCTTACCTTGCGCAAGAGTCGAGTGCCGGCGAGCGATGGGTTCATTTTCCGTTGCATGTGTTTGCAACGCCAGTCTACTCGCTCGTATTTATGCTCCCGGCGGCGACGTTCTTGATCAAGAGCCCCAACTCTTGTATAGTCTTCTTGATCTTTGTCTTTGGAGTTTCCGTGAGCAAAAGAGCTTCGGCAACCATCGTTAACGGTAGGCTGATGTCCCTGCGTATGTAGGCGTGGAATGGAGCTTCGTACTATGTCGAGGTGTTTGGCAGAAAGTAAGAGTCCGCTTCGCGTCGTCCAGGGGATTACAGCTACTAATCGTAACGTCGAGTGCAGGTTTGAGAAGGAACTGGAAAAGCTACGCAGGGAGATGGAATCGTCACCCCACAGCTCAGCGTCGATGCCAGGATCAACGACCAACTCGCCTCCTCGCAGCCCTCGAACGCTTGCCAACACTGTCGTCAATTCGCAATCCAGTACCAACATCGCTGGGCAATCACAAGCAGGCGAGAACGGCCTCAAGCCCGCTAGAGGCTTGAACGATAGCCCACTAGCGCTTGGACCTACTCTGGGTAGCGTTTCGTCGGCTGACATGGACGACTTGAGCTTGGACGAGGGGAAGAAGGAACGGTAATGCACGACAACCTATACACGATAGATATCGAAATCAAGTATGAACATCCCTGTACAATATCATGATCCATATCCTGTTCTTGCGCTTGAAGTTGTTGAACAACCAAAAGCTGACCGACGAGTTGGGTTTGAGGTGGAAACAAGGAGAGATTGGGCGTCGCCGATGACCGGATCAGCCAAACGATCTCGACCATCCAGAATAGGGGTCGATCAAGGTCGAATGTTGACAATCTCGAGATCGTCGTAGAGCTGACAGCACAGCTCGTCGCTGGACAAGGTTCTTCCAAGACGAAAGAGATCCATCTTGGGCACATACTTTGACGAAGAGCGGCTCGCTAGCCCAAAGACAGCCCTCGGAACTTGAGTCCCAGTCGGACGACCTCGCGATCGACTTCCGAGAAGGCCATACTGTACGTTTCACCCCGTTCGTTCCCCGTCCGAGGTCTTTTTTCGAGCTCAAATCAGTACATACTAACATGATTGGGTCATCCCGTTGTTCTGTAGCTCGTCATGCCTTTGCGCCTGATCCCAGCGCCTTCGGGCAGCTCGTTACCATTGAGCGAGTTTGAATTCAAGGTAGCCCCGGCTGCTTCAGCGGGCGTCTCTCGGATTACGAGCTCTTCGAGGACGCCGTCCATGGTGACCTCCAACCAGCCAGAGTTTCCAGAAACCCCGGTCAAGAGGTTTCCCGCTTCCTTAATGAGCATGTTCCACGCTAGGGGGATGGACAATGGGGAACCCGGGATGGGCATCTTTAGGTGCCTCGAATGCGGGTCCGTCGTCATGGAAGGTCTAGCCAAGGAGCATAGGGGTGAGTCGAGGTCCGGTGCAACCTTTCCTAGTCTTTCTGCTGATTGGTTCGGTCACCCCGTCAGACGGTTGTGCGGCCTTGCGCACGGAGCTCGAAGCGATGAAAAAGGCGTTGTCGAGCACGTATGGGAACAAGAAGGGTCAAAGGGGAGGTATGAAACGGACAGGGAGCGAGAGTGAGTCTATCCCCCTGTGCTCGCTCGCCTTCTTCACAGAACTGAACTCTTTCGTGTTGTAGTCACCGCAGTGTCACCATCTCCTTCAGCCGAGTCGCCTCGCAAAGGTCCAAAGAGACCTAGGATCGACATCGCAGAATCAGTCGCGAGCAACGAAGATTACGCACCTGGCGGTTCGGTCGATACTGGCGAGAGGATGATGTTGCCCTCTGGAAAGCTAGAAACCAAGAAGGCTTTTGAGAAGAGGATGGTCGAGGCGCGAAGACTTGTCAAGGAACAAGAGAAGTTGGAGAGGGAGCAGGGAAAGGTCGCCGCCAGCCAGAACCCGAAAGGTGAGTGTCGATACAACAGCAGTCTGGTCATTGCAAGTTGCGTGAGCTCAAAGGGATCTCCTTCTCGTAATTAGGCTTGTCTCAAAAGAAAGAGTATGATCCCGATCGTCACTGCGGAGTGATGAAGCCGGACAACACGCCTTGCCTGAGAAAGCTCGATTGCAAACAACACTCGGTACAGGCCAAACGAGACGTCTCCGGGAGGAGCATGTCGTTCGACGACCTCAACAAGCTACAGAAGGGAGAGACCTTGCCTCCGCCTCCCACAGAGACGCCGGTCAACGAGCAGGGGCAAGGACCATCAGCCATCCCTGATGCTGCAGCAGCGGCTGCTCTGGTCGCTTCGACCAGCGCCGGTCCTTCGGCGGTTCCTCCAGTCAAACCGAAGAAAGGGAGGAAGAAGCATGCAGAAGCTCGTCGCCTGGCGGCTCACGGGCAGGAACCACAAGGACCCGGAGCGTTGGACCATGATGCGCTGGTACAAGCCATCAAGACGCACACTCGGTATAATGCTCAGATCGCTCGGAACCGAATGTACGGGCTTCTCACTGCTGCTCCTGTCGAAGAGGTCCGGCCGAGCAGAACAGCTCAACCGCACAAAGACGACGCGGAGAATTCACAGCAACCGAAATCGGAGCAGGTCGATGGGAATGGCATGCACCATCCAGGTTCGCAACAACCCGATCCGTTACCGGTGATGCCCGACTTTGGTGCTCAAGCGGGCAAGGGCAAAGCGAAACCTCCTGGCACGACAAAGGGCACGATGCGGTTCCAAACTTTTGCTGGAGGGGCTACTAGCGGATATTGGCACGGTGATAGACGAAGGATGATGGCAGCGGAGAATACGATGAACGAGATTTTCAAGCAGATGCGGCGGCATCGTACCGAGGCGGCAGCAGTAGCAGAGAATCCGGAACCTAAAGCGGAGATGGCCTGATCTGTTCCTGTTATATACGTAGGGACGTGGGGTCTGTATCTACTAGACTAGACGTGGCTTCTTTTGACATCTTGTATTTCTTGTTTGCAATCATACCGATATTCTTCTTGTACAGTTGTCGATAGACAGAACGGGATTTTGATGATGAATACTTTTTACGAGAGATATGCGAATCATAGAGATAATTCATGGTGACCGGTACAGAGCCCCTTAATGAATACAGCAGCGACCTCATTGATTTGCAAGCTCTTCTTCCGGGCTGTACCAACCTCGGCCACGTCCAGCGAATACCCTCCAGCTCGCAGTGACGTCGTCGCCGATCTTGGCGTTCCCCACCACTAACGATCCTCTCTCTTCTGTTCCCGAGTCGTCCGGCACCATGCCAAAAGCTGGCAGTCCATGCACACGCTCGACAAGCTCCATGCGCACCAAGCCGAGCCCGACGGCGTAGTCCGGATGGACTGATAAGACCTTGACACCCGGCTTGGGTTTCTTGCTCGCAGCTGATGATGGCGGTACGAAGGCGATTGCATCGCCTGCTTTAGGTCGCTCCGCCTCGGGTATTTGATCGATATCGGTCCATCTCTGCACAGACGTGGACTTGATGCCTGAAGGGGGGTCCAATCTAATTGGCATGATCCGTTTTCTCGTGTTTCCGGTATGATACGTCCGAACAGTGAGTTCTTGGCCGACGTAACAACCTTTCCGGAAATCCACTGTGATCAGGATTTGTTTCCATGTCATTTAGCGGATCGGATGGTTCACAGACTGGCTGCGATGTCAGACTCACCACTTCCCATAACGTCCATGCAGCTTTCCAAGGGTAGTGATGTGTTGGGTATCATCTCCTGATGGCCTTCCGGTACACCGTTCAGCATCCTTCGAAGCAGATAAGCGTTTGCGTCTGCCATGTCATGGTCGCTCGAGGATGATGCTGTGAGAAGCAGAAGTGTCAGTTTGAGCACGAAATATTCAGCTCCTCCAGACCTTCAGCATAGTGTATGCTCACGCCTATCTCCTTTCCGTACCAGAAACCTCTTTCCCATCGACCCCTCGCCCCATCCACCTCGAAGGTCCCAGCTTCCAATCTCGCCATCTCCGGTTCTTAGTCTAGCGAGACTCTCTTCGCCCTTCATGTTCCATGTGATCTCTGCAGCTCCTCCACTCCCAAACTTCCAGATCTTCTCGGGGTTCCACTCTGCACCGGCCGGAGAATCGAGGATGGACCAGGTATCGTATTCCTCGGTCACATCCCGGATCTTGAGCTTGGACCGCAAGACGTATCGCTTCAGGTGTTTGGTCAATGGTGGGATTTCCGAGTCTGGGGATACTGAGTCGTCGATCCTCGGATAATCGATGAGGTAAGTCTGCTTGACGTCCCCTGGGGCTGATGTAGGGTAGATGAATGCGTCATACAGGACTCTGCCCTGCGTGCTAGGCGATCAGCTTTCGCTAAGAGAGCAATCATCCGTTGCGGAAATGTGGAACTAACTGTAGGGGTCAAGAATCCAGAGTAACCCCAACCTGGGCTCTTGTCGACATCCCTACTTGTCAATCCTTTCAGAAATTTTTGAGCATCTTTACCCGTGATCTCTAGTATGGATCGATCCGGGATCGGGGCGATGTGAGGCCGACTGCGCTCTATTCGAGCTAGCGTCGAAGACGCCCGTTTGTGAAGCGATTTTGGGATGCTCTTGCTCGCCATCGCTTCAGATAGCTGTATGTATCTATGAGCCAAGGAGGAGAACCTGTCTTCGATCGGTAGAGCCTGTAAGTCATAACAGTGAATCATGTATGGCCAAAGCTATGACTAACCGAGGTAACCATAGGAAGGACGTCAAAACGCATCGAGATGCAATATGCCTTTGCTCGCGCGTACCGCTTAATATCTGACTTACATAAATGCACAATGGCATTTTCGTTTGTCTACTTCTTCGTAGCACAGTGGTAGTTGCACCGAGCTGTTAATAGGGCTAAGAACCTGTCAAGCGAACTCGGGGGTCGTAGGTTCGAGCCCTACCGAGGAAGTTTCTTCCTTTTTGCCGTGTGTAGACCGGTTCGTTTTGGCATAATGATATTTGCGCAGAGTACCTGCCCGCATTTTCGCGGTTCGCCCTGCTTATCTTCGCTGACGTGGAAACCCGCCTTCTCCTCGCAACGTACGCTATGCGGTTGACTGATAATGACAGTCCCGTGGTACATACGCGCTCGCATTGTTCCGCTATAGTTCAATCAATAGCCGCGACATCGTTTCGACCAAGTCTCCATAGCAGCCAGGAGTGTTTCTGATCGGATGACTGCTGAGCTTTGCGGCTGAACCACTGACAATTGAGACCCCCGTCGGCTCTGTGATGTGTGTAGAAGGAGAAGTGGCAATTCCGTCTTGTCGACAGGGACCTGTTCTACCGGGCGAGCATCGTTTGGCGAGCTCACTACCTTCAAGCTTTGATGACGACATCGTGTGGCACGTCGCCGTCACGTATCATGATGAACAATCCCATCGGATCCAGAACTGAGCAAGGCCTGGCGCAAGAACGATATTCTGATGTAGTGATTCCGAATCCGTCTGGTCCGCTCCTGCGTTGTCTCAACGACGATGACGATGCAGGTGTCAGGCTGTCGTTCTGGTGGCAAGTGCAGTAGCGGTGTCCGCTGTGTTTTGCTTCGTTAGCAGCAGCAGTCCATATGAGTATTCGAATCAACAGCCAGCCAGTCCGTGATGGATTCTGGACAGGTCTAACGTAAGAGCAGGTGCGGCACGAGGTTTCGCATCGGTTCGCTCCGTTCGGCTGCACGACGTGCGCACTTGGTCATATATTTTCGCTACATAGTACGAAGAGAATAAGACGAGGATCACAGATTCCATACAACGTATAGCCTTCACTAGCTGAATCTATGCAAGCTGTAAGACTTCGGACATGGACGCAGACTATTTCCGTCGATCGCGCATCCGAAGGTCGATACTTGGAACGAGGAAAGGATGAAACGCAAGCGCGTCGAGGATCGCCGATCGTCAACGACTCGCGACCGAGATCTTCATCCGGTAATTACCTCAGCAGATCAGCAGTCGGGTTCAATTTCTGCCTCCGTGCCCTCCGACGGTCCCGCCCGCCGTGCGTGAAAAAAGCGAGTATTTGCATCCGGGGGGTGGGAACTTCCGAGAGTGGAAAGGGTGGATGGGAAACCCATGTCACGTCGTTTATTCTCGCATCATACTACATTCAACATGATCACACCATCTCTGACCTTCAAATGTACAGTCTCGTATCGCTTCTCGAGTGAACGAGATTTGGAATCGAGCTGCAGACAGTAGTATTTCGCGTTCAACAGAGACGTCGCCTTCTCTTTGACATCATCCGGTCGGGATCGTTTGCATCCGCGCGTCACTTTTCCCTCCGACCATCACCAGCAGCTGCAGTCGACGTTCACCATCATCCCATCCATCAATCACACATCCCCATCCACATCTCTACCTCGAATCCATGAACACCATCCGCAATCAAGAACCATCTCAAGATCCTGCTGAATTCACTTATCCGTCCACATACATAAAGAACACGCGACATCGCTCAAAGTCGACATCCCAATCTCCTCCCGGACGTAACGCGACGAACCCTATACCTACCGGAAACATAAGTACTGCCGACGATCAGAACTCGACCACCACTAGCAGCTACAACGACCACCACCAGCAACACGGCAACGGTCCGCTTGGAATTCAATCCCTCCTGACACCGAATCCGAATCTGGGCGAGAAAAGGATGGACGATCAGCAATCCCGACCGGTCAGGGGTGGGAGCGAGGAAAGGGGACGAGAAAGAGAACGAGCTGGTGCCGACGAGAATGTCGGAAATGCGAACGGGTCGGCTCAGTCTACAGAGGGCAGACTGGGCACAAGTCCGTACGAAAGGCACGGGCAAGGGCATACGGAGATGGGTCCTCCTGCGGGATATGCAGGTGACGCCAGCAACAAAGACAGCAATGGCAATGGCAACAACGGCACTGGTAGCTCGACAGCCGCTGAACATCAACGACCTGTCGAGGGTGCGCCTTCTCGAGCCTGGGACGACGTGATCGACGACGCTATCGATCCGATCCTCCGTGCGGCGCTGGACGAGAGAAGCAAGGAACACGCCGCCGCTTATCCTTGGGATCAGGGACAGGCTCGAGCTGAAGGACAAGGGCAAGCGCAGCAACGTCCCGAGGCTATGGGCATCAACAGCCTCATGGACGCCGAGAAACAGTCACAGACGCAAGCGGACCCGAGGGGTGCCGTCGCCTCGAACCAAAATCAATCGAGGAGGCAGGAAGATCCTCGGAGAGGGGGGTCTTACCCATCTCAAGGGCAGGGTCAGGGCCAAGGGTCGTCATTCTTTCCTAGACCGAACGATGGACCGGGCTCGAATGGGAACGGAAATACGCCAGGGTCATTGGAAGACGAGTATCGTAGACGAGAGTCGCAATCGTATGCCATGCAGCAACAGTTGCAGCAGCAGCACTATCAACAACAAAACCAGCAACAATCCGGCACTTCCTCTCAAGGCCAAGGTCCTCCTCGCCCCGAAGTCTTGCGTAACGCTCCTCCTTCTCTCTCGCTAAACCATCCCCTCAATTCTGCCCGGTCTACCAACACGACCTCGGAATCCGACGTCCGTGCCATCGGCATCCAGTCTCCTCGCGACGCTTATAACAGGAATCAAATTCAGAATCAAGACCATCTAGGGTCTGGGTCCGGGTCTGGGTCTTTGAACGTCAACGTCCCGAACGGGTATCAAGAGTTGCTGAACAGGGGAGCTGGGAGGTTTGGTACGGTTGCCGAGCAGGCGGCTTATAGGGCTGGATTTGAAGAGGCTTGGGAGTATCGCAGCAAGTATATGGAGGATGAGCGAGCTAGTGAGTGTGCGATAGTTCGAGACGTGCCCTTGTCTTTTTCCGGACAAGGGCGTGTCGGTGTCTCTGTTGCTGGCCGCGAGCATGTGGCTGATGCAAGCGACGCGGTCATTGGCTGCTATTACTATTTCTCGCAGGACGAGTTTCGTTGAACATGTCCACGGTACCACCGACCAGTTCGCTTCGCACGACTGGTAAGCATTAAGAGCAACAACCCAAGCTTACCCGTGCTCACCTGTATTCGGTCGTTTTGGTCTGACCAGACAACAACCCGGGTCCTTCGCCTGCCAAGGACGACCGAGTCGACCTCCCGAGTTCGCGGACCGTAGGGGAATATGCCGGGTACGACGGGTGGGAGAGGGACTCGCGAGACTACGCTCGGAACGGAGAGTGGTCGGCAGGTCAAGACAGGTAGGCCAGACTGAATGCTTAGGCATCAGTAGCATGTACAAAAAATGCTGACATCTCTCGTCTCTGCGCGCGATCCAGGTCTTATCAGATTCCTGGTACAGTCCCGGCCGCTCCCAATGACGGCTATCAATCTGGCTACATGACCTTGGGAGCGTCCCAAGGAGCCGGTTACAACTCTTTCCGATCCGAGCCATCGCCCATGGCCGGTTACAGCGGTCACGCCGACGGCAGGCAGGATCGATCGTCCGAGAGCATGACCCCGAACAGCAAGAACCGCAAACCACGGGCCGGAGACCGTCAAGCCATCTCGTGTAACATGTGTCGTCAGCGCAAGTCCAAGTGCGATGGGAACCCGCCTTACCCTTGCGGACCTTGCAGCAAGAAGGGCACCGAGGACCAGTGCATGTACGCGACATTTGTCCGACGACGAGGTCCTGCCAAGAAAAAGGAACACGGCTCGGGCCAAGGGTCCAACTCGCCTCCGCATGAGGGGTCGTACGGGATGGATGGGTTGCAGCGGGGCAATTCGGGTTCGGCCCGCAAGTATGATGAACAGGGTGGGAGGGAGGACCCCAAGCGGGTAAAGAACTGAAAAGATGATGCGACGCTTTCGCCCAATGTAATACGCTATGTAAAACAAGGACCGTTATCGCTGTATGGGATCGATCATTCGCGATTCAAAGGCGGAGAAAGGCAGGAAGCGCCTACAAGAACGAGGTCGTCGATTTGGTAACGCTGGTAGAGCGCAAACTTCAACACGGACTACCCTTACTGCGGCAGCGGGGCTAGACGGGATACAACACTTTCAGACAAGGACGGGTGCAGGGATCGGTTTCAAGTTCCTCTGAACGACTAGTCGCATCTGGACCCAACCAAATCCCCCATACAGGAAGTCAATCAGTGGGATACCAGCAAACATTGAGGGTGTTAGGAGCTTAAGAATGGCCGGTCATGGAAGACTTTTGTTTCTCGATGACATGCTATTGGCTACGTTGCTATTCATATTCCTGAAACTCCTGGTCAAGTACTGAGCATGGTATCGATTTTCGTAATCAAGGTCGGTTCAGCTGATTGATCTTTGTCCCTGATTTCCGGGATTAGCAGTGGGAAAAGGACTGACCATCGAGATCACGCGCAGCACAAGCGTCCATGAGATCATGTCGTTCCAGGCTAAAAGAGGGCGTGTGACGCGATTAGCCCAATCGGTAATGGTGTACGGAATTAGCCATTGACTCACTGCATGCAAGTCGTTCCCAAGGTATTCCACAGAATATCAGACGTCACGCTCTTCATCGATTTGACGTTCGAGCTAGCGTCCGCGTGCTGCAACCGGATGGCATCGAGGATGTATCGCGCGGCTTGACGATATCGTGCGAGTTTGATCAGCGAGATCCCAACGTTGAACCTGCGATCAAGCGGTAGGAGTCAAAGTCAGGAAGGCCGTTCGAATCTTGTCATAACGACGAGAACCACCCGGCGCTCACATGGCTCGGACGTAGCCTGGGTTGAGGTTCAGAGCTTGTTCGTAGTACTGTAAAGCTTCTTCAGATTTGCCGCCGTTGGCCAGTGTCGCTCCGAGCCGGTTGTATAGCATCCAGTCCTGCCATCCATTCGATTCTTAGTCAGTCCAGACGCCTAGATTAGGACAAGACACGAAAAGTCGACCCGACTCACATCCTGCCTGGCAAACAAGGCTGCCCGGAAACAGTCCTGCGCCTTTTCATACTCTTCGCTCGCATTGAACAGGACCCCCAGTGCTACCTGGACGTCGGCATCGATATCACCCTCAGGCATCATTCTTGCCATCCTCATCAATTCCCTCGTCAACACCTCGTGTCGCTGATTCTTGTGCGGGCCAACGTCGAACCTGCCGAGGTCCGCATCGTCTCCCTTGTTCTCATCCAGCCTCGAGCCGGAAGACCCTTCCACCCAACGTTCCAGTACCGAATGTCCTTCCCTGATCATCCCCTCGTTGGTATAACTCACGCTGAGTGCAAGATAAGCTTCCTTGCATTCAGGATCGAGCGAGATGCATTGGAGCAACGCCCGGATGGCTTGATCATCCCGTTCAAGTTCCTGCTGTTTAATGGCCAGGTCGAACCAGGCTCGAGAGGAAGAAGGGTCTTGCAGGACTCGGGCTTCGTGTTCGAGCAGATTCTGCGACGAGGGAAAGTAGTGTGCGTCAGTCGGCTCTTTGCAGATCTCAAACCATTGAACGACCTCACTCACCTGGTACTGCAACTCCATCGGCCCCGCAGCCTCCCCAAGGCTGATCATCTTCTCCATCTTGCCTCCTTCCAGAACATAAGGGTTCTCGCTGATGAACAAGTACTTGCCATCCATCCCAGCGCCCACTCCCCTCCTCTTATCCTGGTAATACCCTTGCCTCCTCGCCTCTTCCTGCTTCTCGTCCCCCAGGACCTTGTCCAGCGCGTCCTCGCTCTCCATCCACGCCTCCCGAGTCTCCCTTGATGTATACCCGCCCGTTCGCATCCGTTCGACGTGTTCCATCTCACGTTGGCGTTCTCGTGCGGTGGGGGTATGGTTGTGATTTGCAGCGAACGGATCGCGGGATCGCCTCGTCTGGCCGTAAAACTCCATCAAGCCGTCGTTGTCGAATACATCGTCGACATCGACTTCTTCCCGCGCCCCGGCTTCCCGCTCGACGGACTCTTCCATCCCACTCGCATTGCAGCTCCGGGCAAGATCGAGCGCCTCCTTCAGATACCTCGGAACATCCATCCCGTTCTCCCTAAACTCTTTCACACGATCATAAGGCACCCACCGACCTTCCTGATCGAAAACCGGTTGGTGGACCGTCGGGACCGCCCTCGAGAGGTCAAACTTGGGTCCATGCGGAATCCCTTCGATTCCCTCTTGTTGGGTTTGAGGATCGTCATTATCGAACCCTCCGAAGAAACAAGACCCGCGCCCCTCCGTGTCCACCCGGTCGAGTTCTTCCCCCTTCGCCTCCTCCAGTCCGCCCTTCGTTCTCATCGTCTCCCCTTGGTCCAAAGCGAGATCCTGCATCAATTCCAGAAACTCGGAAGTCCCAAACGGATTCGCTGTTGACTGTTCCGTTTGCTCTCCTTGTCCCTGTGCTTGTTGCTGCGCTTGAGCTCGAAGCATCTGGTCTGGCATCCCGGAATGCGCTTGATGGTGGTACGTCTGAGCGTCCAACGAGTCCGAATATCGTTGATGAGCTGGAAGATATCCCCATGCTGACCCCGATGGCTGCATTTGAGCATAACCTGACGGCCCAAATTGAGATTGTGGTTGTTGGTATGCAACCGCTGAACCTTGGTGGGGAGGACCGGCGGGATGTTGAGCTGAGAAAGACGTCCCCTGAGCTTGTTGTAAGCGCAAATGTTCGTCCGCCCAGCCGTTCGAAGTCGCCGGAGGTGGCATTTGCGACCGAGACTGGCTGAACGATTTAGCCCAGGCTACCGAGTCGGATCTCAGGTTTGGATTCAAAGAGGAGGAGCCTTGAGGTGGAGCATGGTCGTACAACGGGTATCGAACTTGACCTTGTCCTGGCAAGAGGAAGGAAGGCGGAGGTGGCGGTGCCTGTATAGCGTGTTGCGGGGTCGGAACGGGTCTCTGTTGTTGAGCGCGGGATGCGGACGGGGATGAGATAGTAAAGCCTGATGATTGAGGTAGTGCTTGGAATGGCTGGATAGCAGAGATGCGGGGTGTCGCGTCGAAGGGGTCAGCTCGTCCGACCATGTCCCGACCACTTTTACGCCTCGCTCACCTGAAGCGCTTGTCTTGACGGTCCTGCAGCCCCATACTGATTGTTCGAAACGAAGCCGTCCTATGATGGCCACAACGATGAACTTCAGCTCTTGATCGGTGCGTCTTTCGACGCTGTGCCTTTGCTCCTCACCCGCCTGGCTCTGCCGTCGACGTCCAGTCTCCCGCCGAGCGACTTGAGGTCGTTGACGGGTCCACACTCTGCCGGGCTCATGAACAAGGAGGCCATCCTGAATCGTTTGAACTGTTGGAGCAAGTTGTTGTGTAGGTCGCTTGTTGTGTTGGGATATGTCAAAGCGATCAAATGTAGCAAGTAGCCAGGTAAGTTACTGTAGTAAGAGTCTGGACCTCCCTCTATGAGCAGCTTCGGTTATCGAACGAACCGGCGATCGGCGACCATTGCTTATTGATTAGTCAGCAGAGTCACCCACACTTCCAAAGACACGTCATGGCTGATATCAAGCGATACTCTTTTCTTTGATAAGTTCGACTGCGTTCTCCTCGTGTCGGTGACGTCAGGCTGTGTTGTGAAAGGAAAGGGCGAAACTATTTTGATCATCGCCCCATCGCCATCCGCCATATTCATATCATCGTCGTTGATCGCCATATCACAATCACATACAGCACACAGTCGCATCGATACACACTTCACTGCAACTTGCTATCAGCCACCAGCTACCAAACTTGCTCTTCAATAATCTACAACCATGTCCCCTTACACCACTCAACCCGCCATCTCGGCTTACACCGGCGTCGCCCAGAAGCAGCAGGCTAGGATGACCACCGCCCAGCCTCCTATCGCCATGTCCAGCATGCGTGAGTCGGCTCGCCTTTCTCGGACATCTTGTTCGTCGCGATCGAGAGATCTGGGAGCCTGATCGTCTGGCTTTTTCTCGTTGCACACCCGTAGAACCGACGGCGGACGCACTGCACGCATCAGAAGAACAGAGGAAAGAGGAAGAGGCCCTCCGACTACGCGGAGGTGGATTCAACGACGTCTGTCCCGGTAAGCTTCGTGCTGCTCGACAACTAGTCTTGCTTCCATTCATCCGTGACTGATCGATTTCGAATCGTCCCGTTATGTGCAGGTCGATTCTGCTTCATCATCCCCTGCCCTATTCCTTGCAACGTGAGTTTCCTACCTTCCAGCCTCCACCTCGCCAGCTCCTTTCCCTTCCCTTCCAGACGAACATCGCGCACGCCGTCCAACCGAAATCAATCAACTGACTTTTCGCCAACTTCGCATTCTCGACCCATCTTGCAGTTCTGCGTCTTCCCCATCCCTTGTTGTTAAAGCACGACCCGATAGACGATGCGAGGTCGGGAGCCATCTCGTCCTTTCATCTCGCACTCGGATCGACCTGGATAGGATTCGGAAAACTGTATCACATTTACCTTTACCTCGCCTTCTTGATTTCGTACCGCCAAGCCTTTCCCGGATATCACACGTAACTCGGGAAAGGCGAGGACATACATATACACGCTCAGATACTTGGAATGATTTGACTTATCGGATATTGTTTTATTACCCTTGATTGTATCTTATCTGCTCTGGTTGTTTTAATCATTATCGCCATCTATATGTCGCCAACTATGCGTAGCCGCATCGTCCTACTATTGACGGATAGATTGCTCTTCGATGCTATGCTCTCGAACGTTGCGTACGTTGAATGCTTGGCGGAATATGACTATCAATAAATGGACGCATCACCAGCTTATCACGTCACAGGACAGCGCTCGAGAGCGAAAGAATTTCTGCCTGCTCACGGTTGATTAGCGTCTCATGTAGGAGAGAATAGTATACTCGTAGCGGGTAGCAGTGCTCTGCCAATCTAGACACGTTGCATCTGATCACCAAATTATTTGTAATTATATACGATCATCATGAGCTGACGACTTCCTTTAGCCACGACTCTTGCCGTTTACCACACGTGATCGGTCGACACGGCAGATAAAGCGACTGGATCGATACATCGCTCGCCTCTGCCGGTTTACCTTAATCGATCTCGATGAGAGGGACGGGTACTTCCGCAAGCAGCTAGATGTCTTGTATCCGCACGGTCCTTTGGTCGATTTGCCGGAGCTCAGGCACGACTTCAAGTAGGGGTCGAATCTGTTAAGCTCTTTCATGTTTTTTGGGTTCCGTGGTTACGAGCGTGATGTAGGCAGCGGTATTCTGAAGATGCTGCTCTAGGATGCTGACGCTCTCCTAGATACACCAACCTCTGCCCTCGTGGTCGGTATTAAAGAAGAAAAATCTGCCATGAAGGAGATGTTCCATATTCCTCCAGATAGGTCTAGATATAGGTGTGTTGCTCTGTTGATAGTATGAGAGTGTAATGACTATGGTAGCTGGATCATTACCGGACATAGGCGATAGCACGGTCTCTTCGTGTCTATGTCCAAGGTCAGCATACAAATGGACGTCAAATACCCTTCAGAAACTGGCAGACATGCTGTTGATATAGTGATCGGCTTTAATGATGTCCCTCAGGCGAGGGGAGAGGCATAATGTGTCATGTGTCACGAGGATCAATTTGACGATCGATGATCACTTCAAGCCCAGACTCATAGTAGACATCGAGGGGCGGTGAGAACGATTGCCGCGCTTTCGTGCTCATAGTGTTGCGGAATCGAGAAATTGACATGCGGGCGATGTAACATTCCCTTCCACGCTGGGGCTCATATTCGCCATGTTTTCAGCTGATGGTCTGACTTGCATTCGTACACCCGGCCCTAAGTCTCTGTCTGTCACTGACACAGTCAATATAAACGTTGTTAATTGTCAGAAGGTGAAACTCCGAAAGTCTCGGCACGCCACAGCGCTTGCGCCGGAACGCGCCCCTGTTTGACAAGACACGTCTTCCTTTGACCTCCTTGAAACGCTTGGAAGTAGAGCCATCGATTGAGCTACTTCTGTTAAGCTATATATACCAGCATATTGGTCAGTCTCCGGATAACTCTTCAAGCACAAGTCTGACCGATCATCACATCCCTCCAACCTCTTCCGATCCTCGCCCATCCTCCATCCTCCTATACCTTTCTCAACCCCAAAACCCACAACAACGACCACAACTTCGAAATGTCCACCACTGAGGTCAGGATGATTCCAACTATCACCAAAGCTGAACATGAGCATGAGATGCAGGAAGTGAAAGGTGACCAGCTCAGTCTGACCGAGCACGAGGCCATCTGGGAGGGGAACGGGGAGAAGGTGAAGCCCATCGAGACCGCCCCCGTCGAAGCTTCTGTTCCCGCGGAAAAGTCTAGCTCTGCCGATGATGCTAAGGGCGAGTCCAAGACGATCACCGTCGACCTTGCTGATGTTACCCTCACCTCCGTCAAAGAAGACGAGCCTGGGATGTCCAGCCTCTCCCAGGGTTCGAAGGTCACTTACCAAAAGGTCGAGGAAGGATGGATTCTTGTGAGCTTGGTCAAACCCTCGGACACCACCCCGAAGGTCGAGACAGCAGTCAAGTCTTCCAGGACAAGATCCGCGGACCGATCCAGGGTTGGCTCGTCAGCCTCGTCGGCTTCAAAGACGGAGGAGGCGAGCGTCAAGCCCAAGCCGAAGAAGGTCCGCACGGTCCAGTTCGCTGAGGGTACCACCTTGCCCATCGTCGACGTCACGCCCAAGCCCGAGAAAAAGGTCAAGAATGACGCCGTAGTCCAAGCCAAGGGACCTGTTCAGATGGTTACCGACACCATGCAGGTTCTGAAACGGTACGAGAACGAGTTTCTTGGAGCTCAAGCCAAGGTCCGCCAGTGGGAGCAGAAGAGAATCATGCTCACGATCGCGGGGATCTGTCGGGTGGTCGTCCTAACGCAAGGTGCGGTCATGTTGGGCATGTTGGCTGTTATCTTGGCCATGGTGTCAAAGGCTTGATCATGTCGCGCTCAGATGGGACGCATTTGCTAGTGATTTGCTAGCGCGCGCGTCCCATCTAGGCGCAACCCTACCTGTACGAGGGTAGTCCGGATGTACGATGCGACATGAGATGTAAATATATGCAAACAAGATACACGTCGAAATACAAATAGTTCTGTCGTTCCAGGCCATTGCAGGAGACTAGAGGTCAAAATGATGCTAAATGCTAATTTGCCGGGAGGCACTAAAAGTGTAACGAGATCATACGGGAACAGTGGTATATGGTGTAGTAGAAAAGGCGCAATGCTTAGAAATTTCGTCGCAGGGAGGTCTTCCTCTTTAGCTTTTTCAGCTTCTTCTCCTGCTCCTTCCGGCTCTCGTAAGATCCACCTTCCCATTCCTCGCCCTCGAGAACAAGCTCTCGAGGTGGTAGACCGGCCTCGACCGCTCCAGGACTGGAGATGGCAAATACAGGAGGAGGCGGCCCAGCTGGTACCTTTTTCGGTAAGCTTCGGTAGGCTGATGGGATCGATGGTACCGGTGGGATGTTGTCCTTGGCCGACTTGGCCGCCATGACGCCCTTAAGTAAGAGAGCGCGGAGCGACTTGATCGATTCCTGGCGCTTAGGTTCGCGGGGATTCGACGACGAGGTTTGACCGCTCTGACCTGGTCGTCTAGGTGGTGTCGCGGGTTTGTAGAAGAAGGATTGACTGAAGTCGGGCTCGGCGTCGTCCATGCCTTCGACCTCGTCAATGTTGGTCGTCCACTGGTAAGTCTGTTTTGCTGGTGTGGTCGGCGTGGCCGGCGGGCGCGGCCTGTTCGCCCACTTGGCGTCTCGGTCGTGCCAGTCCGGTCGTGGCGTCAAAGTGGGTGTTTTCGAGGAGCTCGCGGCGGTCTCCTGCTCGAGATCCATTCCCTGTCCGACCTTGCCCATCATCTGCAGACTAAGTTTGGTACGCAGCGCACGGAAAGGAAGGCCAGCCGCGAGATCGGCCCTGCTGACTGGTACAGGCGGCATGTCTTCGCTCTCCATCGAATCGCACACAATGGCACCAGCTCGAACGACCTTCGGCGATGCTGGTAGTCGTTGTGCGGTTGCCAATGCGGTCATCGCGCGGGGCATCAAGGGACGCTGAGCACTTCTGGTAGGCCCGGAATGATCATCTCGGCTCGTATTGCTCATCACGCTCGTCCCGGCGCTCCACATTCGCTGACTGATCTTGCCGAGCCAGCTGTCCTGGCCAGGAAGAAGCGGCGCAGAGGGTTTACCGAGACCGACAGCGGTGAATTTCTGCACATTAGCCTTGCTCAAGCGTGTAGGCTCGCCGTCCAGAGTCGAAACCATGTTGAAGAGCGGTGTCGACATGGCGTGACGAAGTCCACGTGCGCGGACAACCGAGTCTCGGCTGCTGTGAGATGCAAATGAGGCCGGAGAACCGACGTCGGCAAGAGGCGATCCTCGAGGGCTAGTAGAGACGCTCGCAATTTTGCTGGATTTGGGGGTGGATACGGTGACCTCTGCATCTGCAAAGGCATCCGAGGAGCTAGCCGACGGTTCCGTGGCAGCAAAATCGGCTTCGATCTCGGCTACCGACTCATAGCTAGAGCTGATGAAGTCCTGTTCGGTCTCAATCGCTTCCACCTCCTTGGAAAGGGTAGGTACAGCGTATTCCTGGTGATATACTCCGTCGTCGGACGAGTACACGCTGTCAATATCCACCATCTCGACGTCCTCCCCATTTTCATAAGCGGCGGGATCGAAGCGCTCTTCCAAGTCGGATGAATGACGCGAACTCGCCGGGCCCGACAGTCCATCGGCCGCTTGAGCCATGACCGGGTGGCCAAAGATGACACCCTGAGCTTCTTCTTCCCGGATGACGACGTCAATGTTGGTTTCGTCTTCGTCGATCTCGGAGCTCAGATCGCTGAGGCTGTCGATATCGACACTCCTGAACTCGAGCTCGACTCGGTTGAGTACCTTGCGTTTTCGCTCTGTCCCGCTGGCGGAAAGTTCGCTCATCGCACCGTCATGACGATTCGGACTAGCGAGCGCAGGCACAGGCGCCACCGACTCTTTCCACCCTCGACCCATCTCTTCCGCCTCGGCCCGTCGTTCCACCTCGCGGATCTTGATGTCCGCCTCGCTGCGCATTCTGCGCAAGGTCAGTACATCCATGTCCATAGGCGGTAGGGGGTCCAGAGGCGCAACGGGCATGACTGGCGGTCGGTATTGATACTGATGCAGGTGAGGGTTAGGGAAAGGTTGACCGTGTGCCAGCGAACCTGAAGATAGCTGAGGGTGGACCGCCGTCAAAGGATACGCCGATATCGGAGCGTACACCGGTACCTCGTTCCTCGCTCCCGGTTGACCGGGGTAACCTCTTGCCCTAGGCGCGATCGGCGGGTAGAAAAGGGTCCCGTCCTCTCTCCGTCCGAACAGTTCTTCCACGCTGACCGGCGTCGTATTGGCCGTCGCATTGGCCGCCTCTGACACCTCTGATGGGCTCGCGAAGAGATCTCCCTGCGCCGGACTAGCAGCTGGCAGCCTCGTAGCCTTGTACCTCATCGCCGGACTGGGCGTATCCTGCACCTTGTGCTCGTTCGAAGTCATCATGCCGTTCCTGGAGCCCGAAGCAGGTCCAGGTGAAGCCTCTTCCAGACTATCCTCGATGTCGGCCCAATCCATCCCTTGAAGAGCTTGGGCTTTACTTCGCTGGAGAGCGTGTTCTGGTGGGGTAGCCCGGACAGACTCGATGATCTGTTCTATCGCTTGGACGACAGGACTAGGTCGCTCGGCAGTTGATGTCGTGGCAACGTCTGCTGTCGACGACGATGGTCCTCCCCTTGCGCTCAAAGTGGGTACGAAAGCCGGAGCCGAACAGATCCTCTTCTCGACCACCTTGATCTCCTTTCTCAATCCGGACCGACTAGGCGCCTGTCGTAGCCTCTGTTGTTGTTGGGTCATGATCGGAGCCGAACTGGGTCCATCCGCCGCAGGTCCCGGCAGGGGAATGGCTACCACCAGTTGCTGAGTTTGTTGTTGCTGTTGCTGCTGGACCCTTCGATTCAAGAGCCCTACGTCCAACCTCAACCTCTTTCCGCCCTCTTCCTTCCCAACTTCAAGTCCAACTTGTCCTTGTACCTGGCTCGCCCGCGCAGGGACCGGGCGTTCGGGGGTAAACACCCTCGTTTCCTTGTATCCTGCCTGATATAACAAATTCTCCAGGCTCTCCAATCCGGGCCCAGGTCCCGCGTGTTCCTGCTCGTGGACGGGCGCTGATCTCGGCTGTTCTCGTTCCACCTGTTCCTCCCCAGCCTCGACCCGTCCGAGGCCGATTTTTTTCCTCAAGACGACCCCGACCCCACCGCTCTGATCGGTCATGAACAGGTTGCTCCCCGAATCCGTCCTCAGCCCCAGCCCTACACCCATGCCCGCAAGGCCATCGGAGGGTAACGCCGTCTTGGGGTCTCGACGAAGGCCTTGGGGGTATCTCTTCTTCCTCCCTTCGCCATTCTCGTGCGCGTTGGCAGCGGCATTTGCGATAGGGTTCGACTGCGACTCCAGCTCAGGCTTCGACTTTGACTTCGACTGTTCGTCCCCAGCGCCTTGCTTGCCGGTCAAGAAAGCCGGCAAGGGCGGTACGGGGACAGCTTGAGGTTGAGCGCGCCATGAAGCCTTCTGACTCTGTTGATTCAGGGCACCGTGCGATCGAGCGTTCCGCAGACCTTTTTTACCCTGTTGACCCTGTTGATTTGTTGCTGCTTGTGGTTGAGATTGGCCTTGAGACTGAGCTCGAAGTTGTCCGACCGAATTCTTTCCCTTCAACCCCTGTTGTTGCTGATTGTGGTATTGTTGATGCTGACTCGGCAGAGGCGGGACCGGGTGAACGGCATGTACTTGTGCTCCCTCAACCGGAGCTTGACCCGGCTTGGTGGCACGATTATGGTGCGAGTTGGACCTCGATCGGGAGCTCTGAGGTCGACGTGCGGTGATGTTCTCTTCACTCGAGATCTATGTGGTGTTCCACGAACGACGGAAAGGTGAGGCAGAAAGAGAGTCATAGGGGAGTCAGGGGGTTGTCAGCTTGATCTTCTCCCGCCGATTGCCTTCTCATTCACTCCGAGCTAGGGAACGGAAGAAGTGGACGAGCGAGGACAAGAGAGACTTACCTTTCTCGTGATCGTCCTCAACCCTTCTCGCTTTCCAATCCCAACCCCATTGCCACTCCCTTCATCCGCATTCGGGTGGAGCGTCTGCGTCCGTGTCTTTGAATTCGTAGCGGCCGGCATTGTATTGTTCTGTGTGATGGCCGTGTGGGCGTATTTATAAATGAGTGTAGTATGCTAGTGTGTTGTGTTGTGGTGTGGTGCAGCTGACGATCGTGGTGATGCTGCCAGGTGGGCGTCGAAGGGTCGTCTGTTTGTTATTGTGCCGCCAAGTCGAGTCAAACGTCGTTTGTTGTCAGACTACGGCTATCGTCAGAGCCGACACACAAGATTCGTTACGCATAGATGCACGTCAGCAGTGCATCACTCTAGGTCTTTGACAGGGCTAAGCAGTTTACCTGCTCTCGATGTCTCGATCGACCGTTGTAACCGGATATGACAACAACAAAACAAAGGTCCGCGTCGAGAATCCAACCCGCCGAGATTGTTGTGGACCAGGATGTGGAGACTGAGCAGCTATTGCTATGAGCTTACAGACTGACGAAGATGCATGACTCGAGAGTTGGTGTGAGGGTGTCGCTGTGATGAGGAGGATGTTTGTCGTTGTTGTGGGTAGGTTGGATAGTAGGATGCGATCGTAAATGTTGAAGTTGAATCTACTCTCTACTCTGCGCGTTTGTTGACACAGCCAAAACAAAACAAAAGGCAGCGACGATAGACTCCGAGGGTCAAGATGCAGGTCACGTGACTGATCTATCCCTTACGTAAGCAAGCAGCTGCCTTTCCCACGCCACACTCTCACCCACCTTTTGCGAGAGATGACGAAGCGTGGAGACATCAGAGAGGTTCAAGTCGATAAGTGCAAGTTCAAGTTGTTGCCATCAAAGCATCTCCCATTCCTATCACCAACGATCGATCCAGATCATATCCCCTACCTATACAAAACACCCAAAACACATCATAGCCACGCAGACATGGTCAAACTCACCATCAAGACCGTCCAGAACAAGGTCTTCAACGTCGAAGCGGGCGAGAACGAGTCGATCGCCGATGTAAAGAACAAGATCAAGGACGCTCAGGGGTTCGCCGTAGAGGCTCAAAAGATCATCTATGCCGGTGAGTACCGCGAGTAGCAAGCAGTATAACATTTTAGAAGGCTGACTCGAGATCGATGTTGCATGGGAACCTCAGGAAAGGTGCTTGGAGATGCTACGACGGTAGGGCAGCATAACATCAAGGAGAAGGATTTCCTCGTGGTCATGGTCACCAAGGTCAGTTCCTGATGTCCAATCCGCCTAACATTGGCAACTCTAATCACTGCAACATGGCTAACGATATTTCTCCTCTTCCTGCATCTTCATCCTGAAAATCGACTTGCGATCCGCAGGCCAAGCCCGTAGCAGCTGCCTCGACCGCGACCGCCTCGGCCGGACCTTCCACCCCTGCCCCGGCCTCGGCACCTACGACCGCTCCTCCTGCTCCTGGCGGCCCATCGAGCACGAGCACGACCACCTCCCAACCTCCTGCTACTCCTTCCACCCCTACACCGGCTTCCGCACCCGTCTCCAACCCTCCCGCTGGTGCAGGTGCAGGTGCAGGTGGGGACAACAACAACAACTCGTCCTTTATAAGTGGAGAAGCGCTCCAGACCGCCATCGCTGGGATGGTCGACATGGGTTTCGAGCGGGATCAGGTGATGAAGGCGCTCCGGGCGAGTTTCAACAACCCGGATAGGGCGGTCGAGTATCTGATGACCGTGAGTGTTGGATTTGCTTTCTGGTCATTTATTTCAGACGAGTTGGTGGTGAGACGAAAGAGGCTGATCATTCGCAATCGTGCTGAATTTGTTTGTGTAGGGAATTCCAGCGCATCTGGATCAACCGGCCCCTGCTCCTCAGGCTGTGAGTCTGCTCTCGATCGCTTCTCTCTTACCCTTCTTGAACCATCATCTTACTGATGCTGTCCTCATCTGCGTACGAATCGAATGCTCAGGCTCAACAACCTCAACAACAACCTCCCCAGACGCCCACCCCAGCTCAAAACCAACCTCAACCTCAAGCGCTCGCACCTACCCCCTCGGCAGCGGCAGCTTCCGCCCCGGCTTCGGGAGCAGGAGCCGCTGATAACCTGTTCGCTGCGGCCAGGGCGGCTATGGACCAACAGAGGGCAGGAGGTGCTGTCGGTGCTGGAGCCGGTGCCGGTGCTGGTGCGGGTGCTGCGGCCGGATTGGGCGCCGGGCTCGGTGCGGGAGCTGGAGCTGGAGCGGGTGCGGGACTGCCAGATGGTTTGGAAGGTCTGGGGAATGATCCGATGTTGCAACAGCTACGACAGGTTCGTCATTTTACTCCTTGAACTATGTCTTCAGACCCGAACTCGTAGCTGACCTGCCATGTTCCGCACTCACTATAGCTCATGATCCAGAACCCAGCGATGATTCAACCTCTGATCCAACAGATTACCGCCAACAACCCTCAACTCGCCCAACTGATCAACCAAAACCCGGAAGCGTTCTACAACCTGTTGGCAGGGGACGACGAGGAGGGCGATTTCGAGGAAGGTGATTTCGGTGGAGCTGGCGGGGCGGGACAGACGGTGATTCAGTTGACGGAGCAAGAGGCCGAGGCCGTGAGGAGGGTGAGCTTGACGTGCTTTTGTATCGAGGCGACTCAAACCGGTGACATTTTGCTGACAGCCGGATGTCCTTCATTTTTCCATCTTCGCAGCTTGAATCCCTTGGATTCGACCGTCAGTCGGTCCTCCGGGCGTACATGCTGTGTGACAAGAACGAAGAGTTGGCGGCCAACTTTTTGTTCGACAATCCCAATTTCGATGGGCCCGACGAGGGGGGCATGATGTAGATGAGGCTTTCGAGTGAAACGGCGAAAGTTTGGGCTTAGGTACCGGTCTAGCCTGTGTTTTATGAGAGATCGTAGAGTTCAGAATGTCACATGAAGTATACGAGATGCATTGTCCGTCTGTCATTACGATGAGCCTATGGGAGAGAGCTTCATATTCGTCACCCCGGTCGACCTGACAGTCATAACGAATATTCGAAATGATTTCGAATTCGTCTTGCGAGAACGTGAATCAACAAACAAATCCGACAACAACAACAAAACAGCATCACCCAAACAACAACAAACCGACCTCGAAGCAACCTTTCAATCTGACTTTATCGGTGATATCATCATAGACGTCATAACGCAGCATCGTCGTCTGCCACAGATTATAACGGAAGGACAGATACTGAAACAATCACTCGTTCGCTAGCGAGGTATATAGAGATATTGATCCGCCTGCACCATGTCGCGGAAACCCCCCACCTCAACAAACTCACGGACGGCGAACGGAACAGGTTCTCTCGTCCGAGCTCCCTCTTCATCCAACCTCAGTAACAACAATGGTAGCATGCCTCCTCCACCTTCGAGGATGCCTACTCGACCGGGCTCAGCTATGAGTGCATCGACCACAAGAGGAGGTGGGACGGACGAGGGGAGTCGAGCGAATAGTCCGACGAGGAAACGGGTGGTCAGCGGGGAAAAGAGGGTGAACAAGGTGGCACCGGTGGAGAAGGTCGGAGAGGATGGGGAGATGAACATTCAGGTCGTTGTTCGTTGTCGGTGAGTCTAAGGAATGTAGCATGCCAGTCAGTCCCGGAGAAGAAGCTGAACGTTTTTGCAATTCTTCGCTCTCCTGGTAAACAGAGGTCGATCCGCCATGGAAGTATCACAACGAACGCCCATCATCTGTCAGACGTCCGGAGCAGTCTCTTCTGCGATCACCATCGAGACTTCTCACTCGGCCATGTCCAACACCTCTGGCCTAGGACTGCCCGTGACGACCCTGCCTTACTCGGAACGAGCGCCCGTCAGCAAGACTTATGGGTTCGACAGGGTGTTTGGACCGGAAGCGGATCAGACGATCGTCTACAAGGAAGTGGTCGAGAACATGTTGGACGAGGTGATCGCTGGGTATAACTGTACGATCTTTGCTTATGGTCAGACTGGAACCGGAAAGACGTGAGTGTCCGCCAGTTCGAAATGGGTAGACGGTAGAAGGCTAAATTGATATCTCTGTTCGCCCTCTGCAGGTATACTATGCAAGGAGACATCTCCCTGACGCCTCTAGGAAAGCCATGTGCCGAAGCTGGTATCATCCCTCGAGTACTGCACCGACTGTTTTCTCTTCTCGAATCCGTCCCCAACGCCGAATTTAGCGTCAAATGCTCCTACGTCGAACTGTACAACGAAGAACTGCGTGACCTGCTCGCTTCGGAGTTCCACCAGCCTGTAGCTCTCGGTGGCCCGGGAAGCACGGCTCAGGGGACGACCGTGGGAGGATTAAAGATCTACGAGGACGCCAACAAGAAGGGAGGGGTGACGATTCAAGGATTGGAGGAGAGTAGCATACGGAACGCCAAGGAAGGGTTGAGCTTGTTGACCAAGGGGTCGCAGAGGAGACAAGTCGCCGAGACCAAGATGAACACCGAGTCTTCGTGAGTATCGTCGCTGTCGGGACAGTAGCAGGAATGAATGAGGTCGCTGATCACTTTCCCGCTACATAGTCGATCACACTCGATCTTTTCGCTGACGGTGCATATCAAGGAATCCTCAGTACACGGTGGAGAAGACCTGCTCAAAGTGGGGAAGCTCAATCTGGTCGACCTGGCTGGGTCGGAAGCCATCGGTCGAAGTGGAGCCGAGAACAAGCGGGCGAGAGAGGCGGGCATGATTAACCAGAGTTTGTTGACTCTTGGAAGGGTCATCTCGGCGCTCGTCGAGAAGAACAGTCATGTCCCTTATAGGTGGGTCTGCGTAGGGAAGGTATGTTGAATGAGGCTTCGAAGCTGATCTATACGCGACTTCGGATTGCGAACAGAGAGTCCAAGTTGACCCGACTGCTTCAAGACTCGCTCGGTGGACGTACCAAGACGTGCATTGTGGCCACCGTCTCGCCTACAAAATCCAACATGGAGGAGACGTTGTCCACCTTGGATTATGCCATCCGGGCCAAGACGATTAGGAACAAGCCCGAGATCAACCAACGATTGACCAAGGGTACCTTGATCAAGGACTACGTCGTCGAGATCGAGAGGCTCAAGAACGATCTCTCGGCGGCTCACGAAAAGAATGGGATCTACTTTTCCGCAGAAACGTGGGGCGAACTGTCGGCCGAGCACGAAGAGACCAAGAACCAGTTGGAAGATATCAAGCAACGGGCCGACGCTTTGGAGAACAAGCATGCGACGTTGACGGCCGAATTCGAGGCCAATATGGTCATGCTTCTAGCGAGGGAAGAAGAGTTGGTGGGCGCTCGACAAGAGGCTTTGAAGCTCAAGGCCGAGATCGAGCGGGTTCAAGCGGTCGTCGTCGAGCTCACGAGAAAGGTCGAGGAGGAGCGGTGGGTCGGGGAAAAGTACCGAAAGGGAGAGGAGAGGATTGATGGGATCGCCAAGGGGTTGAAAGGCACGGTGGTGGAAAGTCTGAACGATGTTGGTGGCCTCTTTGCCAAGATTGGTAAGTCCACGAACCGAGACTGCTCTGATCCCAGCACGAATGCTTATCCACCGCTCTGATGTAGCCCGTAAAGCCGACGTCCTGAACGCGAATGCGGGCTCGACTTCAGCTTACAGCCAGAAACTCAACAGTTTGGCGGACCGTCTACACCAGGATATGGACGTGTTGAAGACAGTACAGACTGATTTCGGCGGGACCTTGCAGAGGGAGCTCGAGGCATTGGCCAAGCGTGGAGCAGAGGTGGGTCTGGACCGCGCCTAGCGCAAGATGAGACAGTGGGGCTAAAGCCGATTTCCCTTGCAGTCACTCGAACAGGACAAGGCTTTCTTGACATCGAAACTCTCCTCGTTCTCTGCGAGCATGGAGAGCTTTAAACAAGAGGGTCACAAGAACGAGGCTACAATGTCGCGGGCCATCGATCAGCTTCGTCTGCAGCAAGAGCAGGTACACAAGGACCTTGTCGAATGGACGATCTCGCTTCAGGACTTGCAGCGCGAAGCTCACGAGCGGATAGCAGGCGAGCATGCAGCGCACTTGCAAGAGGTGAGCTTGAGAATCCGGGTGACTGCGGTGCTTTTGACGAGACTGATGATGTCTGGTGTCTTAGGTACATGGCTCGATCGAACATATGGCGGAAACCCTCGATGTCCTCATAGACGGCGCCGTCGAGCAGACTGAACATGAAACCGAATCGTCGCAAGCGCTGCAAAAGGTGGCCACTCAAATGCACGAGCGCGAGGTGAGGCTGACAACCTGCTCTGGTGCTGATCTCCAGGTGTACGAGGGCTAATCGCATCTTAACAGGTCGCTCACCTTCGGAGCCAGAATGAACGTCTTGCCTCGCTCCTTCAGCAGGAAAAGCAGACTTCGGCACGTCTTCGGGATGACCTTGTATCCCAAATCACTTCCTTGTTGACGGGATTCACAACGGCACAAAGCGCGAGCTTGGACAAGGCGATTCGAGGTGTTCAAACCGAAAATGATGAGGTTGTCCTGGCTTCGCGAAACACGATGACAGCATACTCCGAGGCGGCCGTGCTGGCGGATCAAAGTTCCACACAATACCGCAAGGACCTAGAAGTCATTCGAGGCAGTCATGCCACTAATCGGGAGGATGCCGGCAAGGTACGTGCTCATGTCTAAGATGCTCAGGGCTCGCATGCGCTTACATCGCTTGACTTCGTATAGGCCGTCGAGGACACCCGCAGCGTAATGCGGGACCACCTCGATCACAACTTGGAAGAACTCGAGACGCGAGTCAGCCAGCACCGCGGGACTCTGGACCGTTCTGTCGAGCAGTCATTGCAGGGCTTGGATTCATGTAAGACGAGACCAACACATGCACTTGTTCTGGGCTGATATCCTGGGCTTTCAAAGTGAACGATACTATGCGACACACCAGCAAGACCGCGGCCGCGGGCGTAGAGCGACTGAATGGAGAGGCGGCTGCAAACTTGAACGCTGCAAAAGAAAGGATTGTCGTTGCCAAGGAGGACATCAAGGTCGTGTCTCAGGCGGTGTTGTCGGCGGTGAGTTGCCCCAGGACGATGATGTTGCTTTGACACAACCACTGACTGAAGCGCTTCTTGGGATCCTTAGCACTCCGCTGCCGAGCCGTTATTCGCCCAACATTGTTCTCAGGCTCAGGGCCAGGTCGAGCAACTCCGATCTATCCACCACGACTTTGTCGCTAGTGTACGAGAAGACGTTTCTACCGGCTCTACCCCTCGTAAACGCGCTTGGAACGTCCCTGCAGCTTGGCAAACAACCCAACCCCGGGAAGCTCTGCTGCAGCGATACAGGACAAAGTTGCAAGACGCTCAAGACGCGGAACCTCGAGGCACCGACGACGACGGAGAAGTTCTCTATCAAACCATTGGAGAGACCTCCATCTCGATTCCCGCCTTCTCGCCAGAACAATCCGAAGACGCAACGACGACACCCGATTCGGTTCCTACTACGCCTGTAGAAGAGAGTCCTGCCTTCTCGAGAGTCTCTGCTTCCAGTTCAACAGACGAACACTCAGATCTGAAGCGTGACGTCTATACCGGACCCCAATCGGAGGAGGACACGCAGCAGGAGAACATCCCTCCTCTAGCTGCTTTTCTACCGAAAGAGCTCGCCCTACAGGACAACGGGAAAATTGTCGGTCATGCGCTACCCAAGGTGAAGCCCCGAGCAGCTCATGTCAGGAGCAACTCGACACTTGGCGAATCGGTCACTGCATCCAACATACCCATGCGGAAAACTCGGAGGGGTGCTTGATGGTCGGAATAGGGACGAAGGTTATTCGAATGACAATCTTGTTTTTGTTTCGGTATAATGCGTGAGCGAAAGTTGTATGGCAGCATTGTGCCCTTTCTTCGATTTAGTTGGACTCGATCTTTGTGTTAGTCGTAGCAAGTTTCAACGTTATGACAAGAGAATCTTGCAGTTCTACTCTGGTCGTTGCGTGTATCGAGGTGCCGACTACATGATTTACGAGAGAAGCATGACTTGACAATCGGAAGCGGAAGACAAGGACGAATATGGCGTGAGTGGTCCAGCTTTCGTCTGGTTATCGGAGTATTCATGCCCACCGTCAGCTACTGCCTCATCGCAGGTGAATGTCCAACATAACGCAGGCTGTCTTGAAGCTCTAAGCTCCAGCTGACCATCGACAGTCGCTTTCCAGAGACTGGATCTACCGAGCTTTGTGATTCATCATATCGGCTGAAGCCGGCCATCAGAATCGTAAATTTGGCTGCAACTTTGCGGAGAGCCTTCTCCCTCTGCATTTCCCTCCTGGCTATCTCCCCGATCGTCAGGTTATCGACGAGGTGTTCAAGGTATAGTATTGTCAATGGGCCGTCGTCGATGCATAGAATGACTCGTTATCACTCACCCTGCTCACAGCGCCAGTCTCGTATGAAAGTCAGCAGCCGGTCCTTCTGTGATTGGAGAACCCCATCTGATACATTCGTATGTACTGAAACTCCAAGCAGAGCGTTTGTTCTCTCTTGACAATCTTGTTGTTCCCTCCTCTGGAGCGCCGAATCTTCCTTCTATCGGCGACCAACAACACGGCTTGATCTTCTGGCAGAGTGTGATCGGTGTGATCTCACAGAATAACCAACCAGCTTATGATCCGTGTGGAGCAAGTCTCCCTTCCATCCCCCTTAGAAAGCTACGGTGCTGAGCCTTCCTCGCATTTGTCGCGATCGATTGCACGAGCTACTGAATTAGGCTGACTATTGAGGCCAGCTCCTGAATCGATGTAAAGCCGCGGGTATATAATGTAGCCTTGAGACTGATAATGGCAACCGGCGCTTTGTGTCAGATGGGCTTGTAGGGCTTCAGAGGGAAACTCTTTAGAAAGACGATCGGCATGTAACAACCGAGCGTAGACTCCCCGAAAGAGGCAACCCGCTGCGAACCATTAGTCGCATGGCATCAAACCAGGTCTCCAGCCGCTTGCTCATTGACACGGTCTGGTACTCGCTTGGTTTTAACTTCCGACGCCGATCTTGTATACGCCAACGTCGGCACACAATTGGTGGACGAACATGAGGAGGATATCATAGGGCTCACTCAAGCGCTCGTATACCGAGAGGATGACTCCGATCTGGAGAAGTGCAAGGTTTGCCTTCTCTTTCTCCCCCAACCTTGAAAAAGCTGTAAGAGCTCGAGGTTGAGCCGACGAGTCAGATTACCAGAGCAGCCATTGAATATGGCGAGAACGCAGATATATGACAGAAGAGACAAATATGCTGGCAAACCCTCTTTTAGTAGAAACAACCTGTCGGAAAGAAGATGCTCACTTTCCATTGGAGACGCCACGACGTCTCGCCTTGAGATCCATGAGGAAGCGAATGTCGCTTTCAAGTGCTTTGGCATATACGTGATCGTGATTAGTAGAAATGACCACCTGAAACCACCCCTGACCCCTGAGGTTTAACCGAGAGACGCGACATGTCACACCCCATCCATCGCGCCACCGCGCGCCTCTGATGATGATGATCGACGCAGGAAAGGCGTCCGGGGAAGGCGCGCGTGGGAAAAGCCATAGGGTGTGTGTGGTCTACGGGACCGCATCCTTTGAATCGTCATCATGTTCGGAAGTCCGAGATCCTGTTGACATGCCTTGTGATTGCTTGCAACCTTGTAACCTCTCGATAGCTCTTTCAGAACGTCAACTCTTGGGAGGCAGGAATCCTGCTTGGGGGGAAAGAGAAGTGCGAGTCGCTGTGTTGCCCAGGAAGGATCGCAGACCGACGAGATTAGAAAGCGATGATTGGCCTGTATGGTTGCCATATGCTGTGTAACAGATCCACCATCTTCCCCAACGATGACAATCGCCTCGATGCCAGCACAGCTCATGAATTGCAAGACCGCCTCTAGCTCTATACATGCTGTCCACTCTGGCCACACTGATTCACAAGATCTCGTGGCCCTTCATTATCTGTTCGGCGGGAGCGCGGCGCCGAGGGGGGTCGCTGTGTGTTTTCCATTGATCGAAACGCGTTGTGTTGCTGTGCGCTGCCCTCGTTTCCCCCCTTTCCACGCGTGTCTGCTCCTGCCGCCGCCGCCGCCGCTGCCTCTGCCGCCCCGAGCCTGCCTGTCCCTTGCGATCCTCCCGTTCATCACACAAAAGCGAAATGCGACGCGCGACGAGTCTGAGCTCGAATTCGATTTCGCTCCCCCTGTCCCCCTGTGTGAGCAACGCGGGGATTCCCGTTTGCCAGGCCATCAACCCATTTCACGACCTCGAGGTCATCCATCACACCTACCCACTCCCTTCTTTCACTACTTCTCGGTCAAAGCGGGTTCTTGTGGACGACTTGGATATTCTCTCCTCCCCGACAACCCTTCCCCATCCCGTCCGCCGTCGATCTCGCTGTAAAAAGCGTGTGGCTCTTTTTTCACGACCTATCCATAGACGACTCTTTTTCCAGACGCTCCTTTTTTCTCTGTGGGAAAAACGCCATATAACACCACCGTCAAGAGACTCCTCCAGCTTCACGAAACCTTTATCTCTCTCTCTCTCTTTAGCAGCTGAGAGCCGACCATCATCACGACCTCATTGCTATAGCCACGTCCGACCGAAACACGAACAAGTCGTCCCGACAAATCGCGCGACTACACTGACCTCGCGACGCCTTGATACACCACCGGCAACTCGTAGACAAGATCCTAGAGGTAGTTCTCCAGACGAATCCCACCACCACACGGTCACGGACGACAGCGAACACCCTTTTCACGCACGATGATGGGCTCCAACTCCGGTCCTACGTGGGCCGGGACAGCTCTGACCGTCTTCGGACTGATGAGCACCGTCAACGCGTTCATCTACAACGAGACACTCGATCCGTGGAACATGAACAAGAATCAGAGTGAGTGTCGCATGTCAGTTGGGCTATCCCGAAGTTTCGGCTCGGTCGAAGTTGGTGGCGAGATATTGATTGGGTTTGAGCATACTTTTTTTGTTTGCTGTGGTAGACGCGAAAACCGTTTTAGAGTACACTACGACCCCGCATAGCAACTATACCGAGAGTCCCCAAAACTGGCGAGTGAGTCCCCAAGTCCGATTTTCCGTTGTACTCTTGCACCCGTTTTGCTGATCGCGCAATCATGCTGTGACTCGTTCCCAGGCTCTTCCTTGTTACACCCTCCTCCTGGACAAATGGTACGACGGAGAACCCGACAACAACGATTTCTTCAAGACTCAATTCGAATGGGATCTCACCGAGACGCAACTTCGTTACGGTGGAGACGCCAAGGGGTTGATGAACCCTCGTTCGCTGGATTATCTGCAGGGCATGGGCGTCAAGGCGCTTTATATCGCAGGAACACCTTGGTTGAACATGCCTTGGCAAGCCGACAGTGAGTCAAGCAACGGTTTCGAAGCAGATGTGTGGATGGGACTCGGTTCTGATGTCTCTAGTGACATGATTCGATTGATTAGGTTATTCCGTCATCGATTTCACCCTATTCGATCCTCATTTCGGTACCATGCAAGAGTGGGTCGATCTGATCGACGAGATGCACCGACGGGACATGTACATTATTGCGGACTTTACCGTCGGAACTATGGGAGACTACATCGGTTTCAAGGGGTGAGTTCCAAGCGCTCCGAACCGTAACAACCGAGCGTGGCGGGATTCACTCATCCACAATGATCTCCGTTCCCTAACAGCCACTTGAACTCGTCGACGCCCTTCTCGCTGGACGAGTACGAGGCTCAATGGAAGCTCCCGCCTTATGCTCCTTGGGGGATCGACAAGTACCCGGATTGGACATTCGACAACTCGCAGTACAACGAGACTTGTGAATACCCCGTCTTTTGGCTCGACAATGGAGAGATCGTCCCCGTCCCCGCGCAGGGTTGTTACCACTCGGAGTTCGATCAGTACGGTGATACCGAAGCTTTCGGTGTCTTCCCGGATTGGCAGCGTCAGTTGTCCAAGTTCGCCTCGGTGCAAGATCGTCTTCGTGAATGGATGCCCAGTGTCAACGAGAAGCTCCAGAAATTAAGCTGTCTCGCCATCCAGGCGCTCGATCTCGATGGAATTCGTATCGACAAGGCTACTCAGGTCACCGTGCAGGCTTTGGCCGACTGGTCCGAACACGTCCGACAGTGTGCCGTCGATGTCGGCAAGAACAACTTCTTCATCCCCGGAGAAGTCACCGGAGGAGACACTTTCGGTGCCTTGTACTACGGACGAGGACGAACTCCTGGGCAGTTGCCCGATTTCCAACAGGCGACAACGATGAAGACGGCCGACGACCAGTTCTTCTTGCGTGACCGTGGTGTCAACTCGCTTGACTCGGCCGCGTTCCACTACTCCGTCTATCGTTCGCTCGCCCGATTCTTGGGAATGGACGGAAACTTGCAGACGGCCTATGATATTCCTGTCAACTTTGTCGACGCGTGGTCGATGATGGTCATCACCAACGATTTCTTGAACCCAAACACCGAGGTCTTTGACCCGAGGCATCAGTACGGGACTACCAACCAGGACGTGTTCAGGTGGCCCAGTCTGACCAACGGGACTCACAAGAACGCTCTCGGAAACTTCATCACCGCGCACGTCTTGCCCGGCCAGCCGCTCTTGTGGTACGGAGAGGAACAGTCGATGTACCTGTTCGACAACGGAGCCAGCAACTATTTGTACGGTCGTCAAGCCATGCCTTCTACCAAGGCCTGGCAGCGTCATGGATGCTACAAGATGGGGTCCTCGCAGTACTACAACATGCCGTACGACAAGGCTCTGACGGGATGCGATGACGACTGGAACTCGCTCGATCACTTTGATCCTACTGCCGAGATTCGCCGTCTCGTCACTCACCTGAACGAGATGCGAGACATGTTCCCCACCTTGCGAGACGGTCTCGATCTGCACCCTCACAACAATGAGACCCACTACATCCAGCTTCCGGGTTCCAACAAGACCCAAACCGAATTGGGTCTCTGGATTGTCGAGCGAGGACCTATGGGCTTCCAGACTAACGACACCATCTTTGGTACGGACGGTAACAAGGTATTGCTCCTTTACACCAACGAGAACCAGACGATCAACTACCAGCGAGATTGTCGACAGGATGGATGGCTCAGGACCGCCTTTGCTGCCCCTGTCACCCTGCAAAATCTGTTCTACCCTTACGAGACGTACCCGTTGCAAGATTCTACGGAGTCATTCAACCTCGACAACGCTGCGCCTTACCGAGGGTGTCTGCCAGATGTCACGATGGCGCCTTACGAGTTCAAAGCTCTGGTACCGGTCAGCCGATTTGCTCTGGGATCCCCCTCGATGTCCAAGTTCGTACCCGGGCATGACGCCAGAATCTTGTCTGATGACACCAACTCGTTCACCATCCGAATCGAGTATGACCAGACGATGGATTGTCCTTCGGTCACCGCGGGAATCACCGTGACTGGACAGTTTGGTGGTTCGAGCATGCAACCGAGGTTGACCAACTTCAACTGTCAAAGCTTTACTCCACCTGCCGACGAGATGCCCGAGATTGTCGGTGTCGCCCCTTCGGCTTGGTACATCGAGGCTACCGTTGAGGACGCTCCGGACGGTCTTTACGACATTCAGGTCGGAAGGGTTAATGCGCAGAGGGCCGGTGCCCAAACCATGGCCACTGACCATCTTCTGGTGCGAAAAGGAACCGCGGAGAACGCCATGGTTTTCACCGACGCTGCCGACTACAGCGATTCGATCTTGAGCGAGAGCAACGGAGAGTACACCATCACCCACGCCTCGCCTGGTGCAGACAAGTTCAGGTACTCGGCCGATTTCGGTCAGACCTGGACCGCTTGGACCGACTACGAAGCCACTACTACTGCCAACGCTACCCTCTTCGAGGACAAGTGGTGGGACGGTCACCATGTCGAGGTTCAGTACTGGTCCGCTATCGCCGGGTCCGCCTCGGTCGTCGTCCACGGAGACGCTGGCTGGGAAGGCCGACGACGTTTCCCTCAGCTCTTGGTCCGAGGAGAGTACAATCAGTGGGGTTTCGACTCTGGTGTCAAGTCTGCTATGAAGAACGACGACAAGGGTCTCTGGTCCATGCCGTTCATGTCCACCTGGCCCGCCTATGTCCAGCTCAACGTTTACGGCTTTGACGACTACTTCTACGGTGACACCGACATGGACGGGATCATCGATCGTCTCCCTCCCAACGCTTTGTCGCCCAACTACTTGAACATCTCGACTCCCCCTATGCCTCATGTCTCGTGGACCTTGTTCCTGGATGACAAGAGCGGAGAATGGTACATCATTCCTCGAGGACACTATGCGGCCGCTGTCGCGCTTTTCGCATTGCTATTGTCTATCCCTCCTATCACCGCTTTCATCGCCGCCGCCATCTTCCGATACTCGTTCTATGCCATCAAGATCAACAAATGGGGTGTCAAGCCTGCCAAGGCGGCCAGCTACTTCCAGCTGGGCCGGGAAAAGAAGGCGGACGCGGGCGCCGAGATTGTCGGAGGGGCCATGGCCATCAGCGAAAAGAAGGAAAAGCATCCTACCAAGCCGATCGGTTGGCCCGAAGTGCCTGGCAAGCGAAGAAAGGTCTTGATCGCCACCCTCGAATACGAAATCATCGACTGGAAGCTCAAGGTCAAGATTGGAGGTCTCGGAGTCATGTCTTCGCTCATGGGTAAAGCCATGAGCGATTGTGACCTTATCTGGGTCGTTCCCAAGGTCAAGGATATTGAGTACCCCCAGGGAGACTATGCGGAACCCATCGAAGTCATCATCTTTGGTGAACCCTACTTGATCGAGGTCGAGACCCATCAGCTGGACAACGTCACCTACGTCATCCTCGACAGTCCCGTCTTCCGAGCTCAGACCAAGGCTGACCCTTACCCGCAGCGAATGGATGATCTCAGTTCCGCCATCTTCTACTCGACTTGGAACCAGGCAATTGCCGAGACGATCCGTCGTAACCCGGTCATTGACATTTACCACATCAACGATTACCACGGCGCTTTGGCTCCGCTCTACTTGCTGCCTAAGATCCTCCCGACCTGTCTCTCGTTGCACAACGCCGAGTTCCAGGGTCTTTGGCCTCTTCGAACCAAGGAGGAAATGAAGGAAGTCTGCGCTGCGTTCAACATCCCCAAGGAGGTCTGTACCAAGTATGTGCAATTCGGAAACACCTTCAACTTGCTCCACGCGGGTGCCAGCTTCATCAGTCTTCACCAGAAGAGTATCGGTGTTGCCGGTGTGTCCGACAAGTATGGAAAGCGATCTTGGGCTCGTTACCCGGCTTTGTGGACTTTGAAAAACATCGACTCGCTTCCGAACCCCGATCCTACAGACATCGCCGCCCTGGACGAGCAGCCCATCGCTGTCGACAAGATTACGGTCGATGAGGGCGCCGAGTCTAAGCGACCCGAAGACAAGCGGTTGGCGCAAGAATGGGCTGGATTGAAGCAAGACCCCAACGCCGAGCTGTTCGTATTCGTCGGTCGATGGTCCAAGCAGAAGGGTGTCGATTTGATTGCGGACGTTATGCCTTCAATCCTCGACAAGAAGCCCAAGGTCCAGCTCATCACCGTCGGACCCGTTATCGACTTGTACGGTCGATTCGCTGCCGAAAAGCTTGCCCGTCTGATGGAGCTCTACCCGGACCGAGTCTTCTCCAAGCCCGAATTCACCGCATTGCCACCCTACTTGTTCTCGGGAGCCGACTTTGCCTTGATCCCTTCGCGAGACGAACCTTTCGGTTTGGTCGCAGTAGAATTCGGACGAAAGGGAGCTCTCGGTGTAGGTGCTCGGTTGGGAGGTTTGGGTCTGATGCCTGGTTGGTGGTTCCCTGTCGAGAGTAGTGCCACCGAGCACATGCTCTCACAGTTGACCAAGACCATCAAGTTGGCCTTGCGATCAACACAGGAAGAGCGAGCCATCTTGCGAGCTCGATCTGCTGTTCAGCGTTTCCCTGTCGTCGAATGGCGTCAGCGATTGGAGGATTTCCAGAAGAGGAGTATTGCTGCGAGCCGAAGCCTGGCTGGAGAGAACGCGTACTACTACGACATGGACCTGACAGGACCTACTGGCCTGTACCAACACCAGAACGACAGTTTGGCCAGCTTGGCCGGTGGCGACTGGCGTAACAGTATTCAGAGCATTCCTGACTCGCCTCAATTGGGCGGCCACCGAGGTTCTGTAACGCCTTCTCCTCTGGCTAGTCCATCGCTCTCGCAGAACGGCTTCGAGGATCAGCGAGGCGGGCATCCTCAGCACGGTGGATACGCGCAGAACAACGGCTATTTGACCGCTGAGGAGCCCAACAGGAAAGCCAACCGAGCTTCAGCAGACTCGTTCTATGAGGATGACCCTGACAGGCGATCTGCTCAGGGACAGCAAGTTCCTCCTCTGTATTACGACCGGGATCAGAGCCCTTCGGCCGATGTCAACCCTGCTAACCCTGCTGGACCCAAGTTCTTCACCGGGAACGCCTACTCACCGCACGGTGGAGATATCTACGAGGACGACGAGCAATCTGAGCGTGGTTCGACGGCAGCCAACTCCTATGTACAGAACAACGGTCAGCCCTACGACAGCTTCTTGGCCGCCGCGAACAGGCAGATCGCCAAGCAGACCAAGGGTGCGCGGGATCCATTCATGGAGCGAAGGCAAAGCATGGACAGCCAGGCTGGCTTTGGATCGCCATCGCGGCCATTCACAGCGCACTCTCGGCAGTCGTCCTTTGACTCTATCTCTTCCATTATGGATGAGAAGGGTGGTTCGTCGCCTCTTAACAAGGCCATCGTCGACTTTACGGACGCCGACGGTGAGGTCGCTCAGACCTTTGTGCAGAAGCTGCAAATCCTGTCAGCCGACAATTCGAAGAACGATCTATGTATCGAGAAGTTCTTGATGAAGAGCGAGAAAGACTTCTTTGACGTCGTCAAGAAGGGCAAGATGTCCTGTGAGTGCTTCGCGCGTCTATATATGCGATCGAGCGGCCCAGCTGATTAGATTGAATAATAATAGCAATGGCAAGTGTCAAGTCGTCGCGAGATTCATTTGTCCAGTCACGAGCTCCCAGCATCATCGACGGCTACCGACCAGAGTGTGAGTCTGCGAAGTACAAGTGACTTTGATCTCGCCTGATTGAACTGAATCGCAGTTGTCAATGACTTGCCCTCAGCACCGTACTCAATGGGCGCTCATGAATCGGCTGAAGGTCACTATGGCGAAGGATTCGGGGATGATCAGCGGCCAGAGGATAAGCCGATGACGCGACTGCAGCGAATGATGCAGCGCTCGATCGGTACCTGGCCTCTGTACACCATTATCATCTCGCTCGGTCAATTGCTCTCGGCTGTGAGTCGCTTGTGGCGAATGCCGTCTGAAGGTCCATATCTGATGACTTTGTTTGACAGACTTCTTTCCAACTGACACTGTTGACTGGAAGCAACTCTTCCACCAACGTCGATCTGTATATCATTGGGGCCATCTTCTTTGTCGCGTCGATCTGTTGGTATGTCCTCTTCAGGATGAGGCCATCAGTCTGGGTTCTGGCTTTGCCTTGGTTATTGTAAGTACCGCCGGCTTTCTGGGTGTTCCTGCAAGGCACTGCGCTTACTGTCCTCTTCCTCGATAGCTTCGCCGTCGCATTCTTCTTGATCGGTCTGCCCTCTTTGCACGGACCCTTCACGGGAGCCCACAAGATCATCACCTCGCTCGCGACCTGGTTCTACGCCATCGCGTCCGCCGCCGGTTTCCTGTTCTTCGGGTGCAACTTCGGTGAAGAAGCTGGTGCCGCCACCGAGGTCTGGGTCTTGCGAGCGTGCATTGTGCAAGGATTGCAACAGATCTGGGTATCGGCGCTTTGGTACTGGGGAGCTCAGCTTACCGGCAAGGATCCCGACGACTACGTCTCGCCGCGATTCCTGATGTACGTCGTCTGGCCCCTTGCCGTGATGAGTTTGGCCTTTGCGTACTTGATGTTCTGGGGTCTTCCGGACTACTACCGTCAAGTGAGTGAACGCGGATTTGCTAGTGGGTGAAAATGCAAACTAAAGACTTACCGTTCTCTTCTACCTACAGATCCCGCCTTATGTCCCCAACTTCTTCAAGACATTGTTCCGAAGGAAGTTAGTCATCTGGTTCTTAATTGCGGAAGTTCTCCGAAACGTAAGTTGGACAGCAATTGCTATTGTTTGCACGAAACAATCGAGCTGAGCGATTTGCATCATTTTATCCTCAGTACTGGCTAAGTGCACCCTACGGTCGAAACTGGGCTTACTTATGGAGCAACGTCCAAGTACCTACTTGGGCTATCGTCGTCATGATCGCGATCTTCTTTGTCGGAATCTGGGGTCTCTTGATGGGTCTCCTGATTCGTGAGTCTTGCGACGTCCGTCAAGCTTGCACACGGGCCAGACTGCTAACCGCTAGTCCTGCTCTCAGACTACTCCAAGATTCACTCGTGGTTACTCCCCGTCTTTGCCGTCGGTCTCGGATGCCCCAGGTGGTGTCAGATGTGGTGGGGAGTTTCTGGTGTCGGTCTTTACGTACCCTGGGGAGGAGTCGCCGGACCCTACTTGTGAGTGATTTGTCGGACTGCTGCAGATGGTCTCAACCCCGGGATGCTAAGCCTCTTTGGCGATACAGGGGTACCTGCTTATGGCTCTGGCTCGGTGTACTTGATGCCATTCAAGGTGTGGGTCTCGGTATGATCCTGCTGCAGACCTTGTCGAGGTTGCACGTCTGTGCGACGCTCGCCCTCGCGCAGATGGTCGGTTCGATCGTGGCCATTATCGCTCGAGCTACGGCTCCGGACAAGAACGGACCCGGAGGCGTGTTCCCCAACCCGTCACTATGGGACATCAACGGCACCGGGGATAACAACCCGCTAGCCGAATGGGCCTTCTGGGTAGCATTGATCTGTCAGATCATCATCGTCATTGGCTACTTTGTCTTCTTCCGAAAGGAACAGTTGGTACGTCGTCTTTGCCTGACCGATTTTGTCCATCCGGGTCTCTTTACTAACGCGGAACATTTATCCCTTCCACTCTACAGAGCAAGCCATAATCGGACTTGGACTCTCTTTATACCTCTATACTCTCACGACAACAGAAAAAGACATCACGATACCTCTTGCATGACAACCTCCCAATCACCCTTGCGGCTGCCCACCCGGCAAAGGACACATCCTCATACCTCTCCGCCTCTCTTTTTGAGATTGACCCCCCGGACCTCATCATCGATCCCGGCACGTTCCTTTTCTCTTCGTCTCCTTCTTTCACGTTCTGCATTATACGATTCATAAACCCGCTATCGATGATCGATCGGGATTGGAATGGCGCGAAGGCTGGGCGTCTTCTCTTAGATGGTCTTTTACATTCCTCTACCCATGTATCAATTCCCAATGGACATTATTCTTATCAGACTAGTCATGATCGGCATTGGTGACTGGAACTGCAACGACATTCGGTGATGACTGATAGGCGGCCGTGTGTGTGTGTGTGTGTGTGAGTTGTTGTGGGTTTCGGGTCGCGGCTTGCCGGCTCCGGCACGAGGAGGAGCACGAGCTGTCAGGTCAGCCAAGACAAGCGGGCGGGTCGGGTCGAGGGGTCGCATGGATTGGACATCGAGTTATCATCATCATCGTCAACGTCGTCGTGCCCATCGGATCATTCACTTCCATATTCCAAACCTCTTCCAATGTCAAGCGATACACTCTACACTCGTTCAGGTCGGGTAACATCTTGATCGGATGATTCGATCGGGTCACGGTATCAACCTCGCATACACACGGAATATGGCCACCGTCATCACCACACAACGGCAAACAAGCAACGATAAATTGGCCTGCACCGATACCTGATACGATACAGCGATATACACCCATTCTTTCAACCCTTTCTTTGTAATGACGACCATACCCAAGCCCACACCCGTACCGATGTCCATACCGCCCGTATCTCCGGGAACACGCTCGTTATCCTTCCAAGGGGCTTCAACGATTGTACATTATAGGAGGCTCATCTTCAATCCAGACGTCCTAGTAAACATACTCGGAATTGAAGGGAGGGTCGCAGGAAACGGAGGTCGGTCAGGTAAAGGAAAAGCAAGAGCCGAACCAGGTGCGAGTCCGTCTTCAAGGGAGCGAAATGAACGGACGATCGAGAGACTGGACGGGGTGGTCAAATCCACTTGGAAACGAGGTCAATCGCCGGATCTCGTTGGAATTCTAGAGCAGAATCATGAAGCTGAGGGACAGGATCAGGCGAGCATCGTCTATTGGGTGTTTGGGCTCAGCGAGGATGGGCTAATGAGAGTAGACGATGACCTGTGTCTGGAGGATCCTACGGGTAAGTCATATCGTCGTCCCTCTGTAAAAGTTGATCCCGAATGCTGATCTTCTTCGGCTTTCCTCCGGTTCAAACAGCTCTATCAGGGTCTTTCGACCTCCAAACCCTCACCACATGTATGCACGGTTCCTCCCGACCTCAATGTAGCCTCTGTGGACCCCTCGGCCGAACCTCTGATTGTGCAAGACAACCTGGACAAGGAACGCGGCCTTCAGAGATCTTTGTCGGGCTGGGTGCAAGCACGAACACAAACGCCACCATGACCCAGGGGATAGGGGCAGAAGCAGTAGGATTCGGCAAGATCTGGGAATGCCTGGGGAACGCTTTGGTGGATTATTATGCTTGGAAGGAAGGCTGGATGGTAGAGCGATTAGCAAGGCTAAGCAGGGGGAAAGGAAAAAGCGACCAAAGTCAAGGTCCGACGATGTCGGTGCTAGGGAGAGAGCACCAGACGGGGTTGGACCTTGAAATTTATCTCTCAACCAGGGAATGGGAGGAATCGCCGGATGCTCTGGGAACGATCGTAGGCGGATCACAGTCACAATGGGATCGATCGGAAGAAGCGGAGGTGGGAAGGACGTATCGGTTATGGCCTGCCGACGAACGGGCCAGGTGTATCAGACGAATCGAGCTGGATCAAGTCGAGCTGGAGACGGTCCTGGCAAGGATAGCCGAACAGGTCGGTATGAAGACGGCTGAACGATTGAGGGAGGAGGAGGATTGGACGTTGCTGTGGATCAGGGACGATCCGCCGCGAGCGAGGGATTTGGGAGGGACGAGTGGCACGGATGCGGGTACTGAAATGGGCCGAACGGGAGAGATGGGGTGGTATTCTATCTGGCCAAGGAGCTGGTTGGTCGATCCGTATGATCCGGCAATGATCACCTCACGGAGATCATCGCACGCAAACGGGAGTGGCCTGGGCGACAACTGGACGACCGGGCCTGTCAGACCAGCAGAAAGCATCGCCAAGTTCCTGACGGCACTTCGCTCAGACAAGTCCGTCCAACCGCCGCAAGAGGCGCAGGTTACGGATTTTGACATCTTAAACGACGATCTCGGCCCGAAAGATGGTCTGCGCTCGCTCTTTGACACGCAATCTTGGTTGGATTATGACCCGGTCTTAGACATGGCTTCTGACATGGCAGACACCCCGGTCGAACTCGGCGCTCCCACGCCAATGGGCAGGACAGAGACGGACCAACACGCCGCCCCGATCAACCACGATTCGGTCGACGCCATCTCGTCCAAAATCCTTTCGCCCACTGCCAATCCGACACCGGCTGCTCAGAGAGATTGGGACATGATGAACACGGCGTACGAGATGACACGGGACGAGGATGTCATCACGGAGAACGATTTCAACTTTTTCGATGCGCCGCATACCAGCATGTTTGACGCATTCGATGACAGCGCCAAGGATAACGACATGGGTTTTGGTAGCAATGACGTCCAGGCAAAAGACACTCTGATTCCACCGGGATTTGGCGGAAAGGAGCAGTGGGCCGAGGCAGCAACGGAGATGGATCCCGAGCCTGCACCGCCGTATATTTACGAGGTGGCCGGAACAGCTTTTGAGGCTCAAATTCATCAAAATGATGTGATGCCACACCTTGTCTCTAATGTGCCTCCAAGCGAGGCCATGGACCATGAAGACGAATCCGACGATCTTTTCGGTGAGAAAGAGGACGAATCGGATGAGCATACCTCGCCTGAAGAGGAGGACCGGGAGATATTGGAGATGCCAGCTTTAAATCAGGAAAGCGATGCCAATATGCAATCCGATACGCCTCTATACCGCAGCCCGCTAAACACCACTCAGCATACTGAAATCTCTCTCATTCCTCCTGAGTTGGAAATGGAGGATCTACAAGGATTCCCTACCACAAGACGTCTTCGCGGTCTGACTGACGCTCGGTATACAATCGAGGACACAGGTCACAGATACGTGCCTACAGAAAATCGTCCTTTGAAATGGATCACAGCGAAGCAATATCCGTCGTTGCGGGGATCGAAACGTCTTTCGACCCACCTTGCCAAGATCTACGGGGATGGCTTAATCAAGGACCGTAAAGGTCATCGAGCGAGACTTCGAAAGGCCTTTGAAGCGCGCCGACGCCTAGTACCATACCGTGTGCAAGACTGTCCCGTCGAAAGTGACGAGTCGTCAGAGGACGAATCTCCCGTGCAGGGTCCAGATGAAAGTTGGGTGCGGTACCCGGTCGATACGGAAAGCGTACAGACCAAGCGGACTCTGGATGGACCTGTCCGCACTACGGAGAGGTTCGACCTTGCAGGGTGTACCTGGACGTGCCCGGACATGCTACCGTTCGGAGCGCATCAGCGTCTCTCTCCTATTTCGCCGCTTGACCCACATCCTCTCAAGGAATCTCTACCTACCACCAAGATCGAGATGGCGCCAGCAAGCAATCACGCCCATTCTACCAAGCAAGCCTTTAGAGAATGGCTGGTATCCCTGATCGTGGAAGATTCCGCCCTGCGAGATTGTCTTCTTGGAATGACCCGTTCACAGGAGCGACTACCACGAAGCCAGGAACCCGGCGATGTCCGGATTCGCCTTGGTCACTGCGGGCGATCGACCGTTATGGACGGCAACTCGATCCGATTCTGGAGACAGTTAGGACTCACCCCGCTGTCCGGTCAGAAGGACATGAGCACATTCGTGCTCTTCGACTCGCTACATACGACTCGGGCGGAAGCGGTTGGGTGGCACACGGAGCTGAACCAAATCTATACAGTAAGCAACTTCACAGAAAGCCAAGCGAGAGCGCGGTCTGACATGATATGTTACCAAATCCAGGCTCAAGGATTCGGTCGTTCAGTGAAGATGGACGAATCGCTTTTTGACTCGACCCTGGATCTGCGCTGGCAGAATCTGCAAGCAACTCTCGGTAAGCGACGCAGTAGAATAGTATAAATGCTCGTTCTAACTGACAATGTTGACATGCTTATCTTTTCAGACATGATACGTCGGAGACGACTTCAGCTGACTCCGACGGTCATTATTGTGCTTCTCCGGGACGAATTCAGCACCGACGTCAATATTTTGCAAGACCTTTACGACCACTACGCCGCCATATACCCGGCAACGACGGCGGCCACGATTATATTACAACCTGCCTTCCTGGACCGCGGGCACGACTCTTTATCAAAGGACCGACTAGCATCTTGTATATATCACCGGATCCCCACCTCGTATACCTTGCCATTCGAAACTGTAACGACATCATCGACTGTATCTTCATACGCCCCAGCATTCACTCTCTGTTCAGCGAAAGAGACACCCGCTGCCCGCTTTGCCGTCCAATGGCCAGGACCCACCACGAACCCTTACGATACCGGTCGCATGATTCATGTCGGCTATACGTTGACTCCTTCGAACGCGCTCATCGCCATATGTATGGACGAATATGGGGAATGGTGGACCTTTGAACACATCCAGGTTGGAACTGGCTCTCAAGCGCTGTACCAAGGCATCGAAAAGCTTTGGAGGCGCATTCGAGCTTATGCTGCCAATGCCACCATAGAGTGGCGCTTCATCATCGCTCGACTCGACCAGTGTCGTCATGAAGAATTTCGATGTGAGTTTCCCAGATAGGTGCGGACATAACCGTTGTGGCTTCGATTGACTAGGTGATCCGTTCATTCAGGTTGGCTATCCATAATCGAAAGGACGCCTTCAGCTCGTCCGGCGCAATTCGCGTTGGTACAGCTCGTTAAGGATAGCATTCAATGCAAGGCAATGCGAGACGTTTCCGTTCAGCGGGTATTTTGTGCTCCTCATGACCCCTCCACAACGGCACCTACGGTTGCTGCCATCTCCTCAGGCTCCTTTCTTCTCTGCGATGATACGGAGCGTCAACAATCGCCGGAAGTGCAGCTACTGCTTGCATCGACTACTGCACAAAGCACAGTCTGCCAGACCGACAAGGAACTTTTGGAGGACATAAAATCCAGCTATCAAAAGCTGCGCAGACTGGGCAATCTGCGCTGGGCATTTTTGTCCGATCACAGCTTTCCTGCTCATATCCAGGCTCTCAGCACGTATCTCGACCTCAATTTGGTCTGAAACCGTTTGATCTTGCTAGTTACTGTATGCCGATCTCTTTTGCATAATCCGATCTATAATGACTTGTACTGTGTCGCAATGTACAGAAACACATTCAACAATTGATAGTTTGGGCGGCTTAGCTTTTGCAATGATAAATGCGGCGGGGATGCCACGTTGTTGCTTGGGGATATGTTGCCATTATTATTATTATCTATCAAATCGCCTCAGAAGCACGACAATCGCCGGCTCGCCCTCTTTTCGGTTCACTCATATTGCTCTGTCCGATTGATCGTTTGAGACAACCCTTAAACATGGTTTACTCTCCTAGCTCCGTTCCGCATCGTCAGGGCTGTTTCAGCCTGAAACCCTGGGGACAAACACCTTTGCCGAAACGACCGCCGTGAAGCGCGCCGTGATTCTATTCCTTTCACCATTGACCGGCGTTTCAAAGCATGTTTCATAGTTGGACATACCTATATATACACTACATAGTCTGATCATCAGCAACCCATGATTTCTCATCGCGCTGTCCTTCGGCATCGAAAGAGCTCCAGTCACGAAGCAAGCCGGACTTGCCTTTTCTGCCTCGATAACCAGTTACCAGTACTCCTTATATAGACGGCTCCAAGATTGCCACTCGCTTTGGTCAAAACATGTTCTCGAAAGCCTTACTCTCTAGCGCTCTGGTTGCCTTGATGGTGACCAATCTTCAGATTGCTCACGCTCACCCTTGTGGAGGCGGACCTAGGGGCCACAAGGGGCCTTACGGACCTCCTGGACAACATGGGCCTCCTGATTTCTCTGGCAACCCCGGATATCCAGCAGCTTCCGAGAACCCGGGCAATCCTGAGCCTGCGAATACTCATGTGAGCATGTCTTTGGTTGGTTTTCGTGTTTGAGAAGAGCGCTCATAGACCATCTCCTTTGAGCAGGCTGCTCCGACTCAATCGACTGCCGATCCGACTGGTTCTCAGGTCTTACCCATCGTGCAGCCGACAGGCTCCCAGGCTTCAGGAAGCGAGCAGACGACTTCGCAAACTACAGCCATAGCGGATCCCAGCGCTTCTGGAGCGATGCCTACGTGAGCCCGCACCATCATGTCACTGTTGCCAGATCGAAAACTTCATACTGATCATGATACGTTATAAGCGCTACCATGGCAGCCGCTCTTTTAGAACATCAGCAAGACAGCGGCTTTGCCAAGGGCCCGGAACTCCCAGCTTCAGACGCCCCGATGTCTCTTCCTGCGGCCACCAGCAGCGCAACGGAGACGGCTCCTAAACCTGGAACATCTATCGACCCGACTCCACCTGCAAATCCCCAAGGAGATCAGCCTGCAACCAGTGGACCAGTCCCAGGAGGACCCGGAGGGTTGGGGATCAATCAGAATTCCAGTGACACGCAGCATCTCGATGCCTTTCTGGGAGGCTCTATCGGATGGTAGGTCTTGCGGCTCTTTCTTTGTCTTCGGAAGCCATGACTGATTGTGGCGAGACAACAGGTTTTACAACTGGGACAGCTCACCTATCATGGGACAATCTCCTACCGGGCTGGAGTACGTACCCATGCTTTGGAGCGATATCCCCGAGCAAATCACCAACTTCAAGAACGCCGCCAAGACCTTCGCCTCGGATGGAGTCAAGGCCGTTCTCAGCTTCAACGAACCAGAAGGCAATCGCGATGCGGGAGGCGGCTCTGGCGTCCCGGCCGCAATTGCAGCCAAGGTCCACATTGATGTATTCAATGGGCTGGACGGTATAGAAATTGGAGCTCCGGGTACGACTCAAGGGGGTGATGCCTGGTGGAAGGTGGGCCGCGAAAGTCAACTCCATCGCACCTAGATTGAGATTGCTGACGTGTTCCCCTGCATAGGAATGGACTGCGGAATGCGAAAAGCTTGGAGGCTGCAAGTACGATTTTGTGCCTTTCCATTGGTACGGCCCGGATCCGAAAGTGTTTGCCAAGCAGCTGGTGGGGCAAACTTCGACTATAGGACCATTTTCGTAGGGCATAAAGCTGACGTCTGTGTACTTGCAATTACAGGATGAATTTGTGAACGGTCGTGCAAAGGGAAAGAAAGTTTGGGTCACGGAGTTTGCTTGTATCGATTACAGCAATCCAGGAAGCCCAACCTACTGCTCTGCGGAGGAAGCCAAAACTTTTATGGACGAGACCATCAAGGTAAGTACAGGAACTTGCAATGAGGTAACAGAGTGTCGATCCTTATACCTCTTCTCACGATACTCGAAAGGCTATCAAGGCGCAGCCGTCTGTCGAAAGGTATGCCTGGCAAGGCGCTTTTGTCTGGATGCCAGAAGACAAGTCGAGTGGACAACCCAAATCCCAGGGACCCATCATGATGAACGAGGACGGGACCCTGAACCCGCTGGGCGAGCACTATAGGACGGTCTAGTCGCTAGTCGTTTGCCACCTGCGGCGGGCGCGACTCTTGTCCTTACGTAATCGCGAGTTGCGAGTTGTCGTCAGCGTTCCACTCATCCTCCTGTAATCAGTCCATGATCCTTGATCCTCGTTCATGTCTCGACCTCTTTCCCCTATCTATCCGTCTGTCTCCTACGTTATACACTTCCTTGAACCCTGCCATATCACCGAGACCTAGTCGAACAACAACCTCATAACGAGTCCTCGTTCCGCCAGTACATCAACCCTGCTCACGGAAACTCCAGTAAACCAACCGAAAGGCACATCCTCATCATGTCGGTCGCGACCCAATCTCAACCTCAGGCTATGGACATCGCTGGCTCTTCTTCTCAGGGTGGAAACAGTGGAGTTAGCGGATACAGCATCAAGGTGAGCGAGCATTGATTTCACGGTCTCCAGGGTTTTCTGCTGCTCATCTTTGAGACTGACTTTCTGCACGCTGTCGATCGTTATCTGTTCAGTCCTACTACAAGAACAAGATCGAAGCTGCCGAGCTTGCCATCAGCAAGCGAACCCAGAACTTGCGAAGGTTGGAAGCTCAGCGCAATGCTTTGAACAGTCGAGGTGAGTTATCGACACGGCCTGGGATTTGCCCAACCTCGATCGCGGTCGACTGACCTCATTCCTCGCTTTACGATGTTGGCGACGATAGTACGACTGCTTCGGGAGGAACTGCAACTGCTACAGGAGCCTGGTTCGTACATCGGAGAGGTCGTCAAGGTCATGGGTAAAAAGAAGGTTCTCGTCAAGGTTCAGCCTGAGGGCAAATACGGTTGGTTTTTGCATTTTCCATTCGTTCCCACACAAAAGCAAAGGCTGATGATCCTCTCTCCACCTTCTTTGACTATTATCATCAGTCGTTGACTTTTCCAGCGATATCCCACTCTCTGCCCTGAAGCCCAACATCCGAGTAGCGCTCCGATCGGACTCTTACCTCCTCCACTCGATCTTGCCTTCCAAGGTCGACCCGCTCGTCTCGCTCATGATGGTCGAAAAGGTCCCCGACTCGACGTACGAGATGGTCGGAGGTCTCGACCAACAGATCAAGGAGATCAAGGAGGTCATCGAGCTTCCCGTCAAGCACCCGGAATTGTTCGAAGCATTGGGTATCGCTCAGCCCAAGGGGGTCTTGCTTTACGGTCCTCCCGGGACGGGGAAGACTTTATTGGCGCGTGCCGTAGCCCACCACACCGACTGCAGGTTCATTAGGGTCTCTGGTTCCGAGCTCGTACAAAAGTACATCGGTGAAGGATCCAGGATGGTCAGGGAGCTTTTCGTCATGGCTCGAGAACACGCGCCGAGTATTATCTTTATGGACGAGATCGACAGTATCGGAAGTGCGAGAGGTGGTGGTGGTGGCAGTGGAGGTGGGGACTCGGAGGTGCAGAGGACCATGCTGGAACTGCTGAACCAGTTGGACGGGTTCGAGCCGACCAAGAACATCAAGGTGGGTGCTGAGGTTGGGTCAAGCGAAGGGATGTGATAGCTAATCCAGATCCATACATTTCATCAGGTCATCATGGCTACCAACCGTATAGGTGAGCAACATTCGTTATCAAGACCAGTTGGCACGAGGTGGAGGCTCATGATTTTTTTCTGGCTTTCGTAGACATCCTCGACCCTGGTCTTTTGCGTCCTGGGCGAATCGACCGAAAGATCGAGTTCCCTCCTCCTAACCCAGAAGCCCGAGTGACCATTCTCAGAATTCACAGCCGAAAGGTCGGTTTCGACTACTCAACACGACCTGCAATCGAGATGACCCGCTGACAACCTGTTTCGACGACTCGAACATGTAGATGTCACTCCAACGAGGGATCAACTTCCGCTCGCTGGCTGAGAAGATGGGTCAATGTTCCGGTGCCGAGGTTCGAGGTATCTGTACCGAGGCTGGAATGTATGCTCTGAGGGAGAGGAGACAGTATGTTGGACAAGAGGACTTCGAGATGGCCATCGCCAAGGTAAGTCACAGCAGAAGCGGATTCGGCAGTGTGTTACACAACGAGACTAAAACGGTTCTACTCTTGCGTATTTCAACAGGTCCTCAAGAAGAACGCCGAGGGTAACACGTCGGTCAACAGGCTTTACAAGTGATCTTCACGTCGCTCTAGAAGGAACTGCGTGAATGATGTAAATGAGAATTGTGTTGATGAATCTTATGAGAGCCAAATCCCGATGGGCTCGCTAGACTCGGGCTTTTCGGCTGAGAAGTTTGCTTACGTCACTCTCACCGTCGTCGTCGTCGGGCAATTCCGAATATCGAAGCAGCAGCTCACAGATCACAGAGAGAGATCAGCTGGACAGACTATCCGTTCGGAATTAACAACAACGACAACATCGTCGCAGTCGATCCGTCTACTGACCAATACATCGACAGTGCTCATTCGAACTCTCGAGCGGCTGACGGCGACAGCTAGTTGCGTCGGAATATATATCGACTTGGACGACTGAGTGAGCAATCCTGCTATATAAACCTGTGCAGCCCTTCCGACCTTTTCGATACCTGCAAGCAACTACCGAGCATTATATAGGCAACATGTCCTTGCGGATATCTCCTGCGACCCGGCTCGCTGCTGTATCGATCTTGACCCGACCTGCTCTGCATACAGCAGCAAAGCGACTTTGCATAGCTAGCCGTAAAGAAGTTATGCCGTCTGGGTCTTTCAGGCCCTGTAACGCGCATGCTATCCGAGTGAGTGTCATTAGCTCGTAGCATGTTGATGATTTGTTGACGAGCAAGAGCTTTTCATTCATGCATGACAGGCTCTGGCGACGCAATCCTCTGCGGCTTCCCCTTCCAAGCCATACAAGACCCATCAACCCACATCTGTCCTCAACTCCCCCTTGGTCCACAGCTTCTGGGACGAACCGACCTCGACTTTTACATTCGTCGTCGTCTGCCCCAAGACCAAAGAAGCTTTCATCATCGACCCTGTACTTGATTTTGACCTCGCTTCGGGCAAGATCGCGCAGAGGTCTGTGAGGGGGTTGGCGGCGTTTACGAGGGATCAGGGGTATAGGGTCGTCAAGATCATCGAGACGCATGTCCATGCTGATCACTTGAGCGGGGCTTATGCTCTCAAACAAGTGAGTATCGAGCTCTTGCCGGCGAGAACTCGTACTTCGTAGCTGACACTTTACGATGAACTTTGTTTTTACAGATCCTCCCCGAGCAACCCTCCATCTTTATCGGCTCACGGGTCATCGAGGTCCAGTTCCGTTTCGGCAATACCTACGGGTTCAAACCTACCGATTACCAGGGAAGTTTCGATGGGTTTATGCTCGATAACGAACCGATCGAGTTGGGCGAGATGAAGGGGGTCACATATAATTTGCCTGGTCATACGCCGGATAGCATGGCCCGTGAGTCGGTCTCACGTCCAAGGCGCCATGTGAGCCGTTTGCTGATGATATTCATTATCGCGTGAATAGTCGCTTTCGGCGATGCGGTTTTTGCAGGCGATAGCGTCTTTCTGTACGTATCAACGCTCTCGATAGATTCGAAGGCCTTCCCACATGACAGCTAATATCCAACGAAATGTTTTCGCAGACCTGATGTGGGTACGGCTCGGACAGACTTTCCAGGTGGAAGCCCCGAATCGCTGTACGCTTCCATTCAGAAGCTGTTTGATCGGTCGGGCGAGGTTCGAATCTTCTCAGGCAAGTTGGATCTGCATTGCCAGCTATCTCGCACATCAACCAGTTCTGATGATAGTCTCTCATGCCATACCGCGAATAAAGGCCACGATTATCCCTCGGGCCGAGAGAAATCCTGCGTCTCCAAAGTATCCGACCAGATGGCCTTGAACAAGCACGTCGGCGGACCGAAAGCGTCGCTCGAGACCTTTGTCAAGATGCGTTCCGAGCGAGACGCCCAACTGGGAGCGCCCAAGTTACTGCATCCGAGTCTTCAAGTGAACCTTAGAGGGGGGAGGATGCCGAGGGCGGATCCTGATGGACAGGTCAGGTTGAAGATCCCGTTAGCTGGCGATCTGCCTGTATAAAGCGTAATGATATGGCTGTATTTTGGGATCCCGTTGTACGAATTTGAAGAGAAATTAGACAAATGTAAAGCCTCGTCTGGAAGAACAGATAACGAGCATCGGAATATTCAGGGTCCACCTGTTGCTTTATTGCTCCGCCGAGTACAGCCAACATAGCAGCATTCCCATATTCCATCTTTCCCTCACAAACTAATCGATCTACGCCTCTATCACAAGGTCTCCACCCTCAACGTCTCCCAACATCAACCTGACCTCACTCTCGGACAGCTCCAGCCCATGAATCTTCCTCACATGTCGCTTGACATCGTAGACCCTTCCGAAACGCTGTTGACACCGCTCGCCCTCATTTCCGAGCTCGACCGAGGTGCAAGGACAAGCGAGCGCCTTATTGGCCATTTTTTGCAGCGCGTGCATGCCCGTCAACAAGCTCCCTCCGCTCGGTTCAGGTTTCGGTGGTTGTACGAGGAATTTGGGCAGATCCGCAACCGGTATCGATGTAGGTCCTGCAGCAGCCTCTGACCCGATCGAGACTGAGGATTCTCGATGCCGAGCGGCGATGTGTCGTTGAAGCAAGTGTTTATGGCCGTATGCGTTCCCACATTCGGCGTGAGGACATGCGAATGGCCGAAGGCCTAGATGTGCTGTCGAGTGATGTACCGCCAGAGCCCGTTTCTAATCGGTCCACACAAGCAGAGATGTCGATTTAGATCCGATGCTTTGTCGCGAGGGGTACTAGCGACCTACCGTCTTGAACTGTTTATCACACTCTGGCTCGTTGCACATCCAATTTTTTCCCACATCACTCTCGGTACGTTTCAACCTTCTCGTATGCCGTTCTGAGTCTTCATCGAGGTCGACATAATCTGGATCTCGGGTCCGTTTCCTACCCCTTGATACAGCAGCTTCGGACGATGCGCGGGTTGTACGTCCAGGGGCAGGCGCGGGGCTAGGAGAATGTCGGGAGGAAGAAGACGGATTCGTACCAAGGATGTCTCCACGATCGATATGCACCTTGACGTGTTCTCTCAGGTTCTTGTTACTCTTGAACGCTCGACCCTGCCAATAGCCCAGCTCATTTCAGCCTTGTCCTTGCCCTACAAGGAGGGCGTGCTAATAACCAAGCGGGATGCATTGGACCCACATGACAAGCCTCGTACGGACAGACAGGGGGATGTTCCGTCTTGATATGCGCTTGCAAATCCGACCATTTCGAGAAGGAAGGTAGACTATCCGTATGATCCCGGTGCGAGCACGTGTACCGTTTGGCTAATACCGTGATCAATGGTTGATCGTCAGTTCTTTCAGGGTTTCGTCTCTCTTGCTTTAACATGACCGAAGAGGGAAGAGCAGACGCGAGAACTTACATTGATGAACCTTGCCGTGCATCTTCAGTCTCTGAGCCGTCTCAAACGACCACTCGCATCCTTCCACTTGGCATTTGAACGGTCTGAACCTAGGCTCATCGTCCGCCCTCACCCGTCCGACATTGCCGTCCTCGGACCCCTCGTCCTCGTCGGCCTCGCTGTTTGCATCCTCTTCTTCATCTTCATCAGCCGCTTTGTCCTTCTTCTCGCCGCTCGCAAGTTCTCTTTGTCGCTTCTTGACCACCCTCTTCGGCGTCGAACCCCTGGTCTCGGCGAGCAACTGATCCCTGTGTACATCAAGGACGTGGGTACGGAGCTTGGTATGTTTGTGAAAGGTCGATTGGCAGTGCGGACACTATTTGGAGGACGAGGCAAGAGGGTTAAGTACGTCGTTGATGCCCAAAAGATAGGTTGTCAAGACAGTTGAACGAGAGATTAGAGACTCACATCAAACCTCTTCCCCTTCCCTTCTCCTTTCCCCGACACTTCCAGATGGGTCAACTCATGTCGCTTCAACTTTTCCCTTGTCCAAAATTTCTTCCCGCATCCTTCCTCTTGACACTCGAATTCCTTAGATTCGGGATCTTTATGGGTGAGTAAGTGTCGTTGTAGGTGGTTTAGACGGGTATATGATGACATGCATGTAGGGTGTGGGCAGGTGAAGGGGCGCTGTTGGATGGAAATGGTTATGGATCAAATCACGATTTGAATATGGTCAGCGTGATAGCTGATCTTCCTAAGATGACACATGCGAAGACTGACCTCGCCCGTATGAGAAAGCGCATGTTCCTTTAACTTGGCCGGTTTGGCGAAACTCTTCCCACACCCCTCCTCCTCGCAAATATACCGCTTTTCTCCTATAGCGGGTGTGCTCAATTCGCGAGCCCGGGATTGTGATCGTGATCGCGGCTTGGACTGGGGTCGTGGTTTGCCTTTGGGGGAGGATACGGCCAGGGTGGTAGGTTCGTCCACGATGGGCAGGTAGTCCGGGTCATCAGAGTTGTTTTCGTCGTCCGTCGATTCCGGAGGGAGATTGCTGTCATATTCATCTGTGTAAGAACGGGGAGCTCTAGCTCTTCCAGATGGCCTGTCGTGCTGCCGTCGTGGTGTGGATGGTCCAGCTTGAGGAGGTGTTACATCTCGTTGTATCGTCGTGAAAGCGTCCCAGGGGAATGATTGACGTACGTCATCAGCCACAAGCGGCTGGAAGGCTGGTGGTAGCGAAGTAGGTGTAGACAAGACTATCATGATTTTATGAGAATGGACCAAAGTCCTGTCTGTACGGATTTCTGTTTCGTGAAGTTGCTGTCGAGAAGCAGCTGATCATTTTCAAGAAGGTCGACGACTTTTGGATCGTCCTTTCCTCTCTCGGATGCAGATAAAAAACAAAACAATAGCTTCCGATAGCTTTAGCTGACGTAATCCATGCCGTTACCCGCTGCTCCCATATATTCGCGTCGCCTTGCTTCACCGTTCATCATCAACTGCAACTCGATCGCTTGCGTGTACAAGGTCACAAGGTTGCTATTCGCCAACTTGTATCATTCTCCTAAATTACAAGCACATCATAGACTCACGTACCACACACATACTTCAGCATGGACCAACTACTAAGACAGATGGGAGGTGGCGGTGGAATGGGCGGGATGGGAGGTCCGCCTGCAGGGGATGGTACAGTCGCTGACAAGTAAGTCGACTGTCTCCCTCTTGCCACAAATATCGGGCCAAGAGAACGCCGGCTGATGGATCTCACGTGCGTATCACAGTGCGGAGACGGTTCATATCTCATCTTTAGCTTTGCTCAAGGTAAGTCTTGTCCATCTCGGTTACAACAAGGAACTCAGCAGGCTGACAAACTCGGAATGGTGTATGATGTAGATGCTCAAACATGGTCGAGCAGGTGAGCTGCCTTTCCGGCCTTTGGACCGCCTATCAAGCTCCTTATAGAAAGCTACAGAGGTACTGATGCTTCCCGGGCGACATTCGGTTCGCTGTAGGTGTACCGATGGAGGTCATGGGGCTGATGTTGGGTGAATTCATCGACGCTACCACCGTAAGTCCTCTTTACCTCTCGTCTCTTCCCGCATATCTAACCTCTTTCCGACCGCTCTTCTTTTCGTTTCTCTTCCTCTTCGTCGATTCGTAGATCTCCTGCGTGGACGTATTCGCAATGCCCCAATCCGGTACCTCGGTCACCGTCGAATCTGTGGATCACGTCTTCCAGACCAAGATGCTCGACATGCTCAAACAGACCGGAAGGCCCGAAATGGTCGTCGGATGGTATCACTCGCATCCTGGGTTCGGGTGTTGGTTGAGTAATGTGGATGTTAACACTCAGCAGGTGAGTCTAGCTTTGCAGAGTCGATTCAGAGAGCCGGGAGGGTAACAAGCTGATCTTTAATCTATCTGCCCACCTCCACCCCTCTTCATACGTGATTTCCGCTGGAACTGCCAGTCCTTCGAACAACTCAACCCTCGAGCAGTAGCCGTAGTGATCGACCCCATCCAATCCGTCCGAGGTAAAGTCGTCATCGACGCCTTCCGTACGATCCCCCCGACGTCGATCATGTCCGGCCAAGAACCTAGGCAGACGACGAGTAACGTCGGACATCTGAACAAGCCGAGCATACAGGCGTTGGTTCATAATCTGAATAGGCAGTATTACAGTGAGTGTAATTTAATCTGCTTGCCTTACGGGATTCCTCGCTCGATGATATATTTTAACGAGGAATTATCGGCTGACGGAGAAAAATCGGTTCTCTCGGAAATATAGGTATCAACATCGACTACAGAAAATCAGAGGCGGAACAGGGAATGTTGATGAACCTGCACAAGAAGGGATGGACGGAAGGGTTAAAGTTGACCGATTTCGAAAAGCATCACGAGGGGAACGAGGAGAGCGTCAAGGTGAGTTCCCCAGTCGTTCGGTTTGATCTAAAAAGAATCGATGTGGACCTCGCTCACTCTGGTCATGATGCTTGTTACGGTCTTCAGGAAATGCTCAACCTCGCTCAACAATACAACAAGTCCATCGTCGAAGAATCCACATTGTCCGCAGAAGAACTCAAGATCAGGCACGTGGGTAAACAAGATCCCAAGCGACACTTGGGAGACGCTGTGGAGAAGGCCATGGGGCAGCAGGTCGTTCAGGGGCTTGGGATGGGTGTTTTGAGCGAGGTGAGCGTTTCGACAGTTTCATGGAGAGGGATGGCAGTGGATGTAAGCTGATGACAATGCGGTTCTGATCGGGGGTTTAGTTGTGAGAAGGATATGATCATTTACGAGTGGGGTTGTGATCTAGATGTAGCTCTTTTTTCCTTCCAATCAATACGACTCGATCCTGTTACGAACCTCTATGACGTGACATCCTAAGCGCAGATGGACGGATATGAGGTCCGGTCAAGAATTTGAGATTGTTGTGTGGTCGCATTCAAATGGTCTTTAGTGAAAATTTCGAAGAAGTGGGTAGGCTTGGGGTTATGATCGATCTCGCACCCTGCAAGGCTATCGGTCACTCACGTCGAAGCTGAAATTTCTAAGCCTGGATCCAGTCCAAGTCCAAGAGTCAGTTGAGAGTACTCATATGCTGTATTGTTTCGTGATGGGTGTTGGTCGTGAGAAACGACGATGTGTGTCATGAATGTACGCGGATGTTTCGCGTTTCATCTCCTGATGTTGAGATGACGTAATTTCGAGTCTTTTTCAGGCCCCGGGTCACCCTTCCGATCCCACAAGCTGGGGTCCTTTGGGACGTTCAGCCCGAGCAGCCCTCCTCGTGTTATCGACTGCCGTATTCTGATGTACAAACCACAACACACATCCTTCTATAGGTGGGTACTCCTGTACTGTAAAAACTTCCTATAAGGGGGTGTAAGGTGAGGTGTCTCAGACTCGGCGAGCGAAGTTTTACTGCCTATCTGCTCTCGTCGTAGCTGATCTGACCTCATCATGATTGATATCGTATGCATCGCCGGACAAAACTGTCGTGTATTCGTCCTATAGCAAAGGAATCGATCATTTCGTATCAGCCAAATTACCAGCCTCGAGTGGTCAACGAGGTCTCAACCTTTGTGTGCGTTGGATCCTTTCTTTCTGACCTCGACTATACGACTGATTTTTGGAGTTGTATTTTTGCTTAGAGCTCGCTTAGAGCTCGCAATCATAATCGGCAGCCTGTTCCATCACATCTAGGTCCCTTCCTTTTTCGGAAGTCACAACACGCACTTCACATCGTAAGCTGAATCGACCTCGTTCGGCAATCGGGGCCCGAGTACATCGTTCGGAAATGCTCGTAGACTGATGTCACTTCGTGATCGCCGCTACAGTCTCGACTAGTCACCAGTGTCAAAGTGAGTGATGACAAACATGACGTGGTATCGCGCTGAAAGCCGATTGGTCTGGATCATGTAGGAACGTGTTTTACCTGTTGTGCGTGCCCGGAAGCGTCGATACGAAGTAGAGGTATTAGATCCGTTTGATCCTGCAAAGTCTTCAGTGGAGGTTACTCTGGAACTCCATACTGAGGCGGAAGGAGACATCGAAGAGAGGATCCAGATCCGGTGAGCTCATCGCTAAGATTGGTAGATCCCTGTCCTGACCCCCGCGGATTGCGATCAGGACTTCGGGCACGGTACTGAACTTGCTTCTATCGATCAGCCGTTATGCCTAGCGAGATTAGCAAAAAGCTATCGGAGATAGCCAGGGATATAGATCAGGATACGCATACAGAGAATATAAAGCTGAAGAGCGAGCTGGCGAGCGAGAAGCAAAAGTGCAAGGTATTGGAGGCAGAGCTCGCGAGATTGAAAGACGCAGATGGGAACGGCCGATTGAAGGAAGAGAATGACAGACTGAAGCGGGCGTGGCACGAGTATGAGCTGGTATCGACTGATAGAGAACCAGAAGTTCTCCAGTACCTATATGTTCCAAACCCGCCCCCCCTTAATCCGGCCCCTAGGGCTGGCAACTTTGCCGTACAGTTCTTTGCGAGTAGAGCCGAGAATGAGCCTCATCCGGGAGGTTGGGCAATAATGGAGGACGACGAAAACCCGGAGAAGGCTGAATTTCCGGGGCCTAGGGTTCAACAACTCGTCACCGCGGCCGGTCATGCGGGTATCGAACCTAAGATCAAGATCAAGGGGGCCGAAACATGGGACAAGATCATGTGAGTACACAGAAACTGCTTTTCGAAAGTTGGGCTCATATAAGCTTTCTTCGATAGGGAAACACTTCTTCCCCACCATGCAGTCGTCAATCGCGCTCGACCGACCATGCTCGGACCAATCCTCCCTCGATTCAAGGAGTATGTCGAACGCCATCTGCAGCCGTGGTGGTACGCAAGTGACGAAGCCAAAACGTTCTACGAGTCTGTGACGGATCGCTACTGGACGGATAGTACAGGCGAGATATGGGGAATCGATACCGGCCACAAACCCAACTTTCAAGGACATAGCGGAGACGCCAGTCGATCCTTTGAGCAACTGTTTCATCGAATTGAAGAAGAGAGAGAGTACATCCAGGGTATTCGCGACATAGTCGATCCGTTTCTTGCCGATATCAATACATTCACCGGCCAGACTGTAGTATCAACGCACGGAGCATGGGGTACTAGTGAAAAGATCTATAAAGGTGGGCAGTAGCTGAGACAAGTCCTGGATCACATGCTGAATTTCAAGCAGGAGCCGGTATTCAGGTCACCATCGACATTGGATCGAAACTTTGGTTCATTGACTGCCCCGGTGCCGCGTTTGGGGTTGACCTGGTATATACCGGGCAAGGCGATTGCATGTAAGATGGATATTATTGGACGTTGGATCTGAATCTGATCAAAGTATCCCTCATCTCAGTGTATTAGGACCCGGAACGCAATGGAAGTCGTACGCCATCGAGCCAACGATCATGCATGTACATCATGTCATGGACAATACCTGGCTCGCACGAGATGCCGGTCAACCGAAAGACCTCGTGGTAAAGGTGTTCTACTGCCTTATGGCATGGGCCATCGGTGAGAAATCGGAGATCAACAATGACTTGGCGGGTGCCAAGGTCGTTCTAGAACAATTGGGAGCCTATGCGACACTTCCGGGATCGTGGGGACTCAATGACCTGGCAAAACAGGCCCTGCGGCCTTGGTTAGTATTGTTTAGCGAGCAGACTGTAGAGACCGGTTCTCAACAAGGAAAGAGGAAAGACCGTGACGAAGAAGTGAGCTGCATGCGCGCTGATTTGGGAGAGCTTTTGCTGACGCACTGAAGCGGGGAACAGGGTGGCAATTCAAACAAAAAGTCCAGAACTGCGGGTCGCATCGCCATGTCCATATCCGATTCTGAAGATAACCAATGAGAAGCTATGTGCTCGTGAGTAGGGAAAATTCGGCGCTCGAGGCCAATAGGCTGATACCGGCGTGTACTGTAGAGTAGAGTTTGAGAGGAGGAAGGAAGGATCAATTTTCTGTCTATTATGTTACGTCAATTGTGTTATCGATTAGCCGCTTGGTAATCATTGTATGTCGACTGCTACAGAATGAAATATGGATCAGAGCTATCTGGCGGAACACGTGCCAGCTTGCTTCACAGATTGGTTCCGAACGCAGAGATAAAACGTCGGATCTCCCTGGCCAAGGCAAGGTTTCTGACGGCTGTAACCTATCCTCTTTCGGATCGAGGGGAAAAGACTGGGGAAAACTGCAACTTTCAAAGGGAGATTGGAAAAGCACAAAGGGCAACCGAACGGGCAGATCCATTTGGCAAGACAGGACCAGAAAACGGACATAAATAATAGATGCCTCATGCGATGTGGCTATCCCTTTGAACGAGGAATCCGTGTCCAAGCAATTCAAGGAGAAAATATTGCTCACATCACCGAAGATGAAAATCTCCTGCTGGCAACTCTTTCCCTTACTGGCGCTCCCTGTTATGGCTGAGTCGTATCCCGTGTGCCCAGATGGAGAACATCAAGCTTCGACAGGCGCCGGTTTCTTCGCCTTTCGCTGGGCATTTGGCGTTTTCGCAGCCGAGATGCTGGAGGGAGGCATGTCTCCCACAGGAAAGGCATTCGACAAGGTGAGTCTGCCTCTAGACCGGTCATACATATTCCGCTTGATGATTGAAGACTGATCCCGAACTCGCATCAGGCTTATGAAGTCGAAGTTGGACAAAGCTTGATCGATTGTAGTAAGAAATGTCGGGATAAACCGGGTAAGCGAAGTCACGCATATCGTGCTCGACAATAAGGCTGACGGATGTGTGCACTTCGCAAACGTTCAGAATGCATTGGCGTCAGTTACATAGGCGATACAGGTTTGCGATTCCCCAGTAGCTCACTGATAACGATGTGTCGCTGACACCATGTTACGTCCTCGCCCCATACCGTCGTGCAGATACTCGGCCTTTCGAAGAAGGCGGTCAGGGCGGTAACAGGTGTGTCTTTCAACTCAGAGGCGACCTGGATTATGTCAGATCCGAGGCCTCGACTGCCCAGTTTCCCTTTCAAGGCGTCGCCTTCAAGGGTCACTGTGGAGACGAGAAATCGCTCAAGCTGATGGATGGTAGGTTGTCAGAGGTCCGTTTGACCTTCCACCGACGACTGCGCGCTAATTCCTTCTTGGTTTACAATGCAGCGAGTCTGGAGCTGAAACCTGGCAGATTCGGGAATCCTTCCCTTGAATGCTGTAATATCTTTTGGCCACCGAGATAGGCGTGCGCTTCGAGTGGTTCATTGATTGCTCGCACATGCACGCACGGTACATTGCTGTGCTTTCCAGCAGCAGCCTCGCCATTCTGATTCTTCTGCTTTCGGGAACTGTAGCTTGAGAAGGTGTACTTCACAGCGATAGAGGTAATCGCGACCCTTATACAACGCTGTTATTCATGATTATTTCCTGTTCTCCGTCCGATGTTGATCCTGAAATCCATCCCACTCTGGAAATGTGGATCGAGGGTCAGCCGCGAATAAGTCTGACGCGGCCAGTACCACGGTCGGTTCCTCACCTTTCAAATCCCGATCGACGCCCTCAGGGCATACAGGGAGACGAGTCCCGCAACGGCAAGGACCGAGAAACGGCCTCCGACCTGCTCTGCATCATTGAATAGCACCACTTGGTCCGGGTACTGAAACGAGTTTGACCCGGAATAGTTGCCCACGAGGTCGCAACGCCATATGTCCGAGTTGACGGTAACGTTCCCTTTATATTCACCGGGGTCATTCGCCGGGACAACGGTACGTTTGTAACATTCGGCAAAGCTCGTCGCGAGAGCCGGCTGCACGGTGTAGTAATCCGTGTATACGTTCGTGTCGGGTAGCATACACCATTGTGACATGTCGAGAGGCTCGGTGACGTTTCCGCTCGATTCGTTACCGTCGCTTGAAACGTAGCTCCCGTTCAGACTGTTACAGCAGACGTCAAGGAGGGTAACGTTATTGCTGATACAGCCGAGGTGCGTGTCGTTATCTTTCGCGAGACCTGGTCCAACGCCAACGTATGGGAAGAGAGTGAAACCCCAACTTATGTTCGAGTTGATTTGTTGCTCGATCTGAATGAAACCAGAAGTAGTGGTCGAGCCATGGATCAAGGTTGTGTTACTGGTCATGTCGTTGGATTGCGAGGTAAGGCGATATGGGTCGTACGATGAGCAGCTGTTGAACGATTGAAGACGGACGGGGGCTCGCTCTCTGTGTCTGTTATATACCTCGCCAGCCCCGGTGATCATCGCGAGCTAAGAGGCCAGAGGCGACACAGCGAGCGACCGATGCGAACGACACATGGGGTTGCCGAGGGTCGACTCTGGCTTGGCAGAACGCGCGCGTGTGTTTGTGTTTATCTAGGAACAAAACGTAATCATGACACGCCAAAAAGCCACCTAAAGCTTAAATGTTGCCCGAATTTGTACCGACGGCTCCATCCCAAGCTGCAGCATATGAAACAGGTACAAGAGCATCTACAAGCTCCCCAAAGGCGACGGTTCCGCGTGGGTCAACTCGGCTCCAGAATCTCTCCGAACGGGACACGCTGCTCGCGGCTGCGATTAGCGTTTGATGGTCCTGGTCAGATGATATCGGCTCATCCGCTTTGTCCATGGCTTTGGGAAGACCAACTTCGGCCGGACTGTTCTGTTGCTGTGTCGGATCGTACGGCAGTCTTCGGGCTTCTCGTTCTGACAGAGAGACCTGGCATGAGATAGCTGCCGTATGCGGCCGATGCTATTCATTTGCGATGTTTGAGACTCGAAAATCGATTCCTTTGTCTCTACAGGATAAATCATGCCAGCTTTGTTATGAAAGCCGACCGCAAGGGAAATGACCGACTTTAGAAGTTTGGGTGGCACTCAAATCAACGTACCAGACAGTCTGTGATTTCGGAGACTCTACCAAACCTTGTGCGACAGGCCTAGCCCCGCGCTATCATGCCCGTCGTTCAGAGTTGCACACCCGCCATCAGCCTATCTGGCGCCGTGGGAAGTTGGCAAGTTGATGGCGTAGCGGAGGTCTCCTGAGCAAGCTGTAGATACACTCTGTTTATCCAGTGATCGGGCGGTCATCCTGTATTCTCATCGAGGCGGGATCCGGAATTGTTAGGGTCACTTCCCCTCGCTCGTGTCTGGTAAGCAGTCAGGAATTCAGAAATGCATACACCCTCATCGACTCTTTCAGGGGGCGTCGTGCCTATGTTCAATGTGAGATCGCAATCTTGCCAGATGGTTCAAGCTCACAGGTGAAGTGGAAAGAAGTACATCCATTTTTGCGAACGTAAAACAGTCCCGTGTGCAAGTAGGTCTTTCACGGCGCCTTATTCACGATACAAAAGTCACAGCCAAACCGAGATGGGCGACGTCAAGGATGGTTCGTAATGTGACATGCATATCCGCGCTCGTAAGAGTGTTCCAGAGCTCGTGCTGGTGGTGCTAGTGCTGATAATACAAATACACTTTTCCCAGACCGGCTAAACTCGCCGACAGAATCAGGCCTGAGGCTGCCCTTCTCCCGGCCGAGATAGCGGGTCTGGGTCTTTGGGTTGCAAAGGGGTTCTATGTTGCGCGTAACTCTTTCTATCTCTCTCTTGCTTCGATTCAATCCCGTCTGTTCAGCTGACAAGCAACTGACCCGCCCATTCCCTAGTGCGATCTCCGCTTTCTCAATCCTTGTTGAACTTGTAGGTCATCTGGTATGCACTTTCTCCGTCCGCGTCTGAGACGTCAGAACAGGAAAGAACGAGGGATGAAGCCGCATGAATCAGCCTTCTCCCCTATCTTCTATCTCCTGCTGCTCTCGCTAGGCTTCTCTCCACCGACTCAACAAAGTCTCGCGTCCCCAACCAGAGAAGGAAAGAGAGAGACGAGAATCCAAGACTCACAATACCCCTTCTCGACGCCCGTCTGCTCGAAACCCAGGTTATCCCTATAGAGCGAGATCGCAGGCTTATTGGATTCCCGCACGTGCAGAGTGATATGATGCGCTTTGTAGAGATGATTCATTGCGTGTTCTGAATGTGTATGTAGGTAGTGTTTTCGGTGGGAGTGGGGGTAAGGAGAGATTGAGTTCGGGGGATTACGGACAGGAGCACGGGTTATGTCAGGTCAACTTTAGCAAGTGAGAACAGACTAGAAATAGACATAAGACCGTAGACGAAAACTGACGACTCTGCCTCATCAACTTTGCTGCCAATCCCAACCGCCTATAACTCCTGAGCACCGAGATCGAGGTGACGTGCCCCGATGGGATCTCGGTGTTCTCTTCGTCCCTGGATGACCACAACGGATTTGGATGATGTCCGTAGTTGCATTATGAAGGTAACGCAATGAATTGAAGCATCGGGCAGACAGGCGGAATGATAGCAGGACGATGGAAGGCGTAAAGCAGATGATGAGCAAGACCTTCCTCAGACGATAGGAATCCAAAGGGCACGATGAGCTTACATCTTGGCGAGGATGTAACCGACGACCTCTCCCTTGGGATTGCAAGCCACATAACTCAGCTCTGGCCATGTCATCGCATGGTACAAGTCTATGCCATGTATCATCGCCGAGGCATCAGCATACCGCGAAGATCTGAAGTCTAATGCGAAATATCACTGACAGTATTTGAAGGTGTAGTTTTCGGGAAGATTGAAGAGGTTGGTCTTTTGCATACCTAGCAGGTCGCTGACCTGCAAACCAGGAGGATCGGGATGGGTCGAAGGTGTCAGTACGGGGTTTGCGGAATGTTGCTTTGATGGTCCGTGATGATGGAGCTCACGGTAGCTTGTCGGATGTCCATCTTGACGTATTCACAAGCGGAATGAATGTGCTGTAATCCTGACTATGTCTATAGAGCGGTGTTCTGTCGAGCGATGTGTTGAAGACGTCGAAAGTTGAAGCAATTAACTACGAAGTAGATCACATCCTAGGTCGACAAGTAGCAGGCAAGTAGCATGGATGGGTTCACGACGAGTCTCAGCTCAAACCCGAGCTAAGATAACCTGAACCACCTTCGTCTTTATCTCTTGTTCAACTGCTCAACTGTCGTAACCTGACGCTCTCTCTTCAGCTCTTCAAATATCATTCAAGGCCTGGCAATATTCCGACGATGCATCCCTCGATCAATGTCTATTAGATTCACGACACCGCAAACCCCAAACTCGAAACCTCCTGTCAACAAACATCTCAGGATGATCCCCCTCGCACCCCTCCCCGCACCTCCCTTCACACCGGCTCCTCTGCCGAACACCTTGCCCAAGGACCCCGTCGACCCTCACACGGCAGCCGAACAGGAAAAGATCCGCGCAGATCTCGATGCCAGGCTAGCTAGATGGTCTGGGCCTGCAGAGAGGTTGGGTACGCCAGGAGAGAAGCAGAACACTACCGGAGGGATACCGGGCAGCGGGTGGTGGTTGGAAGACTTGGGTCCGAGTGGGGTATCACATGATTGGCAGAGCATGGCGTTCGATATCTTGACCAAGTTGAGGAGGTATACGGATACTTAGTGAGTCCAGGTCAAGGTCGACCCTATGCTGGTTCATGTCTAGCTCTGGGCGACTTATACGAGCGCGTGCTTGTGTTGCTTTGTCGTATATAGCGGAGCTCGACCGGCCGAGACCTTGGACACGATCGCCGAGAATGCTCGAGTGAAATACGTTTCTTTCAGCGTGAGTCAATACTCTTCCGCTCATTCCCACCTCGTTGCACCATCGTAAAATCGTGCTTACAGTCAACCTTGTTCGATCTACATAGCACCCAATCTCCTTCCGCCTGATTGAAGCCAACCTCCACTCTGGATCCTACATCGCCCCGAAATACTTTGACATGGACATGATGCGTCTATTCGAACGAGCACGTCGTTATTTCTCCCCTTATTCCCCCTCCAGCGCCCGAGAGGAAATGCAAAACCCGATGCAGAACAGGACCCTCGCTTACGGCCATACCATCGCCCTGCAACGACTCTACCACGCCCTCACCTCGACCTTTGAATGTCTCGATATCCCTCATACTTCCTCCCTCCCCCCTATCCCCATTCCATCTGCCTCTTCTCACTCGTTCATCCCAGCTGGACCCGGTCTAGCTCGCCCAACGCCTGATAGTGGGAAACACAATTACGAACAGTACGAATTTACGGGATTGAGGATCGTGACGAAAGACAGGATGGGAACGGGAGAGGCGAGGTGGAAAGGCATAGGATGGAAGGTCGGGGATTACGTGCACCTGGTCAATGCCGAGGATCCGAGTCGACCGATCATAGGGCAGATCTTCAGGAGTTTCGTCCCTGCCAAGTGAGTCCTGCTCCGCTTCGAATTCAGATCAGATCAAGGACGTGCGAGCTAAGCTGATGCCCGCACTCCGCCCTGTTGTAGAGGCCCGAAACAGCACTGGGTAACGGTCTGCTGGTACTACCGCCCCGAACAGACGTGGCATAACCCCATGCAGATGTTTTACGAAAAGGAGATCTGCAAGACGGGGATCATGGTCGAACATCCCGTAGAGGATATTATCGAGAGGGTTGGATGTCAGTTTTACACCAAGGTGAGTTGGAGCCGAGCGGAGGGCTTCTCGCTGTGATGAATAGGGAGCTGAACCGAGATGGGTGATATGTGATAGTACGCAAGAGGACGACCACAAGCTGGAGAATGGTATCCCGGATGGCCGCTCTGTGAGTCATCGCTCTCATTTTACATTGCGCTCAAACGGTGTTGGCCCGAACCGATTAGCTGATCCGGGATGGCGACTCTTTCTGTTGGATAGATGTCTGTAATTCGCGGTACAACGAAGATAGACGAGGGGAAGAGAGGGGGAACCATTTCGTAAAAATCAAGAATTGGGGATCTTGTGTGCCCGAGGTGAGTCGCGGCGGTGACTAATAGCGAGGAACCAAAGAGCAGCATACAGACACTGATACTTCCATATTGTCATGTCACTACCTCCTTTACGGCCCGCAGGAACTGCGCAAGACCAATTTCATGCAGATCGTCGAATTCGACCGTGCACCGCATCAACTCCGTATGGACCCATCTCCCTTCCTCCGGGGCTTGACGATGGGCGTAAGAGGTGTCCCAGGTGGGATCTCATGGGACGTCAAGATCGAGGGACAAGATGACGGGACGTCTGGTGCGGGGGGCAACGCGAAGGCGAGCCGCGATCTCGCCGACCGGGACGCGGGGGAGGAGGGAGACTCGAAACGACCGAGATTGGCTGGGCCTCCTGGCTTAGGAGGGTCGATGGGGATGGGGGAGATGAGTCTGGCTGGTGCCATGGCGCTCGCTGCGGGTGCGGGGTCTGCAGGAGGGTCGGCCGGTGTTTCTACCCCGGGGAGGAGCAGGGACGGGTCATTGGGCCTACCGGGAGGAGGATCGATGAGCCCCGCACCGGGTGGGTCAGGACCGGGTGGGATGGGCATGGGTATGACACCATCCGTCCGAGGTCGACCACCTAACAATCAGAACAATCATACGAATTCCCGATCGACACCTTCCGTTCCGCACCCGCATCACCAGGCTCCACCCGTCCCGGCCCCCGTGATCCCGATGAAACCTCTCGGGCCGCCCATCCCTCTTCCGAGCGGGTCCGTCGTGGTAGCAAAGACACTACCGGATCTGTATGGGAGCGTGGACGCCTTAAATCGGTGGTGCGAGGTCGAGGCTTTACCTCCGCAGAGTGGTGAGTCCGCTTTGCAAGTCTCCAGGAACGGGAAGGTTGCTAACGTTCTGTCGACAACTCCAATCCGGACTGCGATGACAGGCGCACTTTTCGACAAGGACCCGACGTCGAACAAGGTCCTCTGGTTTTCGGGTCCTCCGATCGATATCGACCAACCGGAAGCGCCCAGCCATTCGGCCAAGTATTTGACCTTTTTAGCGAGACGCAAGTTGGGGGGCGAGCAGCAGACGTCGGCGTCGATGTCGGCACTGGATGCGGGTGAGATGGATCTGGGTGCAGAAGAGAAGGGACTGGAAGAAGGAGGTCTCTGGGGCAAGGAGAAGGAGTTGGAAGAGTTGTTGTTTGGGGGCGTGTAGCTGCGCTTCGTTGTCTCGAGATGAGGACATGATTGAACGAAATGACGAATCTCCCCCATTTCATTTATCGGAAGTATAATTTGATTCCGAAGATGATTCGGTGGAGATTCCCCGGATTCGCCCCCGTCTCTGATGTTGTTGATGATGCTGATTGTCGTCAAATGACGTCTTTGATGGAATCAGTACGGTGTCTGATGGGCAATTATATCATCATTGGCGTTGCAGTGACAAGTCTTCAATTCGTCGTTGACCTCGAAGTATCGCCAAGTCTTGGCGATCGTGGAGACCGGACAAAGGGAGCGATACGTACAGACAGACGACCTACTTCCCCGCATTTCTCGTCCTTATCTACATATTCACCTTCATCATATCGCTACATCGCCACACAAACACCTTGAATATCGATTCATGATCACAAGCTAAAGCTGAGATGGAATCATCGACAGACGACTTTGGTGTACAGAGTCTGACGGACAGCATGCTCGACAGCGACGCCGAGGTGTCGGGAATGAAATTGAGCAGCAGTCCAAAGGATACCAATATCGAGGATGTAGGACAACAGCTACAGACGGCCGAATTGTCGAGGAGTGGTCAACAAGAATGCCAACGCCAGCCTGTTCATAGAGGGAGCCGGGACAGCGAGATAAGTTCCTCTTCTTCCAGGACGATCTTGGGTACGACGATGAAAGCGGATCGAGAAGGACGATCCAGGATCGCACCGGACCTGTCTAAATTGGACCCAGTGGAATTCCCTGCAATCATACCTCCAGATCCATTCACTTCGTATTCAAAGATTGAGGATGAACCGCGCAGTCCTCCAATTGCCGGTATCACGAGACCCGCAGGAACCCCTCCTAGGAAATCTTCCCGCTCTCAAACCCGGAATTCCTCCCCGCCTCATGCCTATCACCAATATCACCATCACCACCCTCAAGATCAGACCGGTCTATACTCGTACCCATCCCCAAACTCGTCGACATTTTCCATCCACTCGTCTTTCATAAGCGTCTCTTCCCTCTCTAGGGGTTCTTCGAGAGGTTCTTCTCCTTTCGATACGGGCACAGGAACTCCAGCGGATCAAGAGGGAGAAGAAGGTGAAGCAGAGAAGGACGGGTCGAGTATCGAGCGGTCACTTGCAGAGGGACAGGAGCAGGGAGAGGGTACGATATGGGGACTGCGATCAGGAACAAGATCGGGACCGGGAGACGGGGAAGGGATGACTCGAGGACGCCGAAACAACCAAGATCGAGATCGACCGACAATAGCAGGAGGGCAGGATGTCTCCCTAGTACTCCCTAGTATCTCTCTCCCAGGGTCAATCCATGCTCGTAGCCTCGATTTCAGAGCACGCCTGCTTGACCATGATACGTCCGGATTTCCTTTACAGGCTCATCGATGGGCAAGGAGCGGGAGTGTCGTGGAGGGGACCCCGTTAGATATCGCCCTTATCGGGAGAGGAGGCTCGTCGAACGCGTTCGTCAACGCTTTAAGGGGATGTGAGGGGGTTAGGTGTTTCGCGGTCAATGGGGAAGAAAGGGAAAGGAACGGGTTCGGGAGGGAGGTGGCGGTCTTCGAAGCGGGAGATGAGGAGGGTGAAGGTCATGAGGGCAAGTTGGTAGCCCGTTTGACGATCTTCGACGATGAAACCGGTGGACAGACTGCAGGCGACCCTCTGGGACAGGTAAGTAAATGTAGAGGAAAAACGGACCTATTCGATGATCTCCTTGAACGAGCATCCCCAGTTGTTCGTTTTAGGCCTTGCACGCGGTAGAACAGTCATACACCAGGCTCAACAGGCTCTTACGTCAAGATACCGAGACGCTATCTTCGGAGCTCGAGAGAGATGCTTCTCGGCTCATCGCGAGCTGGATCGAGAGCCGAAAGAAGCCTGAGGTTGATGCGCAAAGGAGGGAAGGTGGAGCGATTTGGTACGATTTCGTCGTGGTCACTGGGGAGCGGAGGTATTTGCTAGACCAGGGTGAGTGTACAGCGAGACTAGCGAGAAACTCGATCTTCAGGCTGAGCAAACGTCTTGACTGGCTATACCGAACGATAGGATACGAGACGCTGGTCCACCTGATGTCCGTCGCGCCGGCGGTCTGTTGGCCGACAGAGTTACAGGACGGGCTGGCGAGGCATATGCCATTGCCCTTCTTCAGGTTGAGGGCTTCAGAGGGTGGGTGCCCCGTTGCGACCTTATCGCGGCAATCGGTGCTTACTGACGGGTGTCGTCGTCAACAGAAATGGCGCGGTCTCATGGGGGACCTCCGGATCCGACACCTCGGTGTCAGGCAAACTCGAACAGGATCGACAGCTACTTTACACCTACTCGGGATAGTCCTACAACGGACCACACCGTCGAAGGGCTGGTCGACTTGATGCTGGCAACAGGGTCGAACGAAAGACCCATAGATCGCCAGACGCTGTCTCGACACAATCTGAGGAGCGTCAGTGTTCAGCATTTCATGGCTTGGCAACGCGGTCTCGCGCTCTCGACCGATTCAGGTGTGGATCATCTGTCACCAAAGACATCGCCTTCACAGCGGATCCGGCCGTCAGCCAAGCCTTTGGGCAGCTTTGCGCCTGTACCAAACGAGTGGGAAGCGGGTCTAAGCCGGCGACATGCCGCTCGTAAACGCAACGAGTCGCACCGACACAAGAAGAAGCGCAGTATCGCTCATGGTCGGGAAGTGAAACGAGCTCGAAGAGGGGTCATCTGGGATGCCTCTTCGACTTCGAGCGAAGTGAGCCCGCTGTCAGAAGATACCATACATACGACAGAGCACCCCCTCAGAAGAGCCGCCGCGGCTGTCATCGATGGCTGGCGATCCGCAGCGGACGATACGAGAGTGCGCATACAGAACCCTTGGAAATGGATCGGTTGGACTTGTCTGGGATTAGCGGCTGGATTAGGCTGTGCCATGCTGGTAAAGGGGTTGAAACATCAGTCGATGCTTTTGTAGCTAATAATGAGGCCGAGGAGATCGTTGTATCAAGTCTGCGTTGTATCGTCTTGCGCTTAGTCGATCTGTACCGAGGTTTCATTCATGTGTCACGTATTCAAACGGCGCTGACGGAGCTATGTTTCTCGGCTACAGGATCTGGAAGTCGGTTATGCAAGATGTAATCTATGATGTCTCGAGCGAGATGACGGTAGATGTGCATTGGTCCTTCTTTTGGACACATCGCGTTGGCCAGTCTGTTCTTGAAATCTTCTTCTCCATACAGTTGTTGATGCCATTTGATCGCGCACCTCAAAGAGAGGTAGCTTTCGACCTCATGCACTACCCGGGTAGACGGCTTGCCGAATTTTATCGCGACTCCTCCAAGTCCAGGAACAAAACTGGAGAGCCGGAAGCAGCGAGATGAGCGAGTGTTTGGGCTTCTGGACGCCTTATAACGTACGCAGCGACAGCAGTGATAGCATAGATGAGAACCGCTTTCCACATCATTCGCCTGGGCAGATCTGCGTAAATGCGATCGGAATTCTAGGTCCACAGCTTTGCTCGGAAAGGTGTATCAAGAGGAATGGCTCACTCAATTGCGAAATTCTCCGGATGATAGCGTAGAATATCAAAAGATCGATCAATATGGGACCAGCGATAGGCAATGACGTGGAAATCGGATGCAGCGGCCATCCGTCGTCCATCGTGTGAGCCCATCCACGCAACTTCAAGAGAACGGCGGTATGTTCCTCAGACAGCTGGTAGATGTGTTGACCCGCCTTGACTCTTTTGCCCAGAAACATGTCGATCGCGTTCTGATGCTTTTTATCATAAAGGGCGCAGTATTTGCGGGATTTCTGGGAGATCTGAACAAAAGGGCTAGCTTTCAGTTTGAAAGAAGCACCCAGGGCCGGGTTGGTAGACGTCGCCCTGCTCGTGACTATGACATTCTCCCATGCTTCAATGGATGGTTCCTACATGCTCAATGTGGCTTTAGGCTTCAGACGACTTGAGCCTGAGCCATCGTACTCACGCTTTTTCTCCATGGAACACGTGACCGGAATGCACGATAAGTCTGGACTGCTCTCAAGATCGGCCAGAATTCCCCTTTTAGTAGTGAAGATTTCCCATTCAGAGTGTAGAAGAGTGGATACGGGAACTCGGCAGAGCTGGAACTCCGTCCCGGCCACATGTTGACTTCGCTGCTCTTCCTACTTAGTAAAGCATAATCACCTCGTTTGTACTCGGGATACTAGACCTCTATAAATATCGAAACCCGAAACATCTTACTGGTGGTAGGTAGGAGAGGCGGACAAAGGTAGCAGAAACGTACACTTGGCGAGGCGAACCTGAAACCCCTTCCCCCTGTGTACAATCTGAAACGCGTACTGGGAAGGGCAAGTTCGAGCGCCTGATTACTCGGATGTTCCCGTTCCACGCTTACATGGCAAGATTGAGTATGCGCAACATGAGCGTAAATCGGCTTCGTCAAGCCGAGACGCTCTGTTTGCACTTCGACCACGAAGACGCAAGACAGTTTACGCAGGAGAAATGCGATTCTACCATGGGGCATGTCATAAACAGTATACATAAGAGAAAGCAGTGTCTGGGCGGATATCAATATCACAACACCGGGACTAAGTACTCTGCTCCTCGTCGCTCTCCATCTCGTCATCGTCAATCGGGAAATCACCCTTGATATAGGGAGTACCGGGTCTCGTCTCCCATTTCTTTTGCCTGTTGGCCATCTCGTCTTTGTCCTCCGTGGTCGGTGAGACCACTCTCACTTTCATGTCAGAGACACCTAACGTGGCCATCTGCGGGCTTTCTGCTCCGCTGACCGTGATGGTGGGAATGGAGGTATCAGGTGGCGACTCGACTCCAAATGATTGCTTTATGTCCAGCGGCGAAGGAGTGTGTTTTGCTCCTCTGGGGAATGCGATGATAGCGAGGAGGACGAAAAGAAGGTCGATTGCTAAGTAAAATGCTTGAGACATGGCGTACGTGAAGTGGATGTGAAGCTGACGCCGGGTCGATGATAGCTGACGTGAGAAGTGATGGACTACAACGAGGGTCTGACTGTCCAAGCAATGGTTTATCGTGCGCTCAAACTATATACAAAGATCAGCGTGTGATGAAACGGGTGGCTCCTCCAAACCCGTTTGGTAGGGGTCCTTGGAGGTCGACGACAAAGGATGACTAAGGGGCCCAGGGCTTTGCACCCCTTTTGCACCCCTTTTGCACCCCCTTGTTTCATCAGTAGCCAAGCGGACTCCGTCGAGCTCGGTCGCGGAAAGGGCTTCCTGCCCCGCGCCAAAGGTGAAACCAGGGCACGAGCGCACGAGGCTACCCGTATACTCATTCATCTTCGATTGCGTATTCTCATTTCCAACTATCGAACGATCTAATCGTTGCGACAAGGCGTTCGATCGATACATATGGGGTCCATGATCTATATATCGCTACAATGTGCTTATACACTCTGGTACATCACTTGCCAGGAGGATACCGAGTCTCACTGGCTACATTGGACGTCGGTAGATAGGGCAACGGTCTTGGCATGGACGAAATCGAATTCGTATGTCTCGAAGATCTGCGCGCTTTAGGTTGTTTCTCTTCCAGTAGAGGGGGAGTGTCGTTGTCGCTACGGTCTGTGAGGCCGGTCAATTCTTCGTCATCCGAGCCAGTGACCAGTCCCTGCCGTTCCTCCCGCTCAACCTCGGCCTCCTCTTTACGCAGATGGGGGTAGTCTTTTGTCCCCCGATGTGCGCCTCCACGTCGCATATCGTCTGGCCCAGATTGCTTGACGCTCTTCTGCGACTTGCTCGACTGGAGTTTCAGGTCTGGCGAATCCGAATGGGTAAAGCGGTCAAGCAGGAAATGAAAGCTTCCGCGGCTATCGCTCGGTTGGGGCGTGCGGGGGGAAGCAAACGGAGCATCTGCTACGTCGTTCTCAAGTGTGGGAAGGTTTTTCGTACCGTCGATCGGAGATGCTGATAGGGTCAAGTCCCGTCCGTAAGGGTTCTTGGTATCGCTCGCCCCCTGCCCGTCGAAAGGCGTCTGATGTTGAGTCTCCCCGGGAACTTCAAGGATGGGACCGATACTGGAACCTGAGTAGCCTCTGTTGCCATACGAAGGTCTCGAGGGACTACCAAATTGCCCTGGCGACTCTCCAGCGTGGAGATGGACATGGGATGTGTGCAAAGCTTCCACTTTGCCTTTACGATCGTATTGATGGACAACATCATTGTCGTCAAACTAAAGATGAATGCGCTGTCAGCGTAGTCTCGTCCGTCATACCCATTTGGAGACTCACCTTGAGTGTCCCTCTCCTTTGGGCGTGATCAGAGACCCCTGAACGTAAAGAGACTTGATCGAAGGTATCATCACCCATCGGTCGATCGGAAACTGGGTACGTTATGGTTAGCGGCCAGTCGTGTCTGATGGCGTTGTAGCCGGGCCGAGAAGAACTCACGCGAATACCTCGGTACATCGGTCGATATCGTCTGTGCTGGTTGCCAATGCCTAGAGTAGCTATTGCCAGATGACATGGGATGTCCAGGCAGGGTACTCGCATTGGACAGCCTCCGTGCCGATCGAGCACGAATGATACTACCCACGGTGCCGAATCCGCCTCGGAGAGCGTCCATGCCCGCTGAATTTAGCAATCAGGGTCAATTCCAGTATCACTTCTTTTGAGAAAGGAAAGACCTACGTTCTTCCAGTGCGGTAATGCCGTTCTTCTCGACATCCTCCGCTTGGTTCCTAGAAGCTGCCATAAGCATGGTCGAACGTCTATCCAGCTTTTCGAAATTTTTGGGGTCGACTGCGAGCAGGCATTTGCGGACAGAGATCGATGAGCACCTGACGGTCTCACTAAGAATCAACGACGACCTTACCCTTTGACATCTGCAGGAGCGTGATACCGAGGCAAGTCACCCTGTAGAGCTGTTTGTCAGCCCAAGCACCCAGTAGTAGATGGGTCACCGTGACGTACAAAAATCCCATGATCATGGTCACAAGCTGTACAGCACTGGTCTTCAGACCTCGGTAAAGGATCTATTGGCGATCAGGGGCTAATCAGCATAAATTCAGCTCGGCACAGGAATTTATTACTCACGAAGGAGGAGATCAACGTGCTAGATGATGGAAGGCAAACGCGCTGTTAGTAATCCTGCTAGATGCGCATTCCGTCGGAGGGCGAGTAAATCAGAACACACCAGCTTGTGAAGATCACGTAATAGGTTGGGGTGACTGGCGAACGAATGGGATCAGCGAAACGCATGCCGTCATGTCCCAGATAGAAGACATACCCATTGATGTATTGAAGAGCTCAAGTGCCTATAACAGCAACCAGGGCACTAATCAGTACATGTCGAATGCACTGCGTATGAGCTGTATCATCGTACTTTATTCAGGTAGTTGATCCTGTAGGGAGTGGACATTGTTAGTGTCAACGTCACTTTTCGCTGCAAGGGACAGACGCTGCTCACTCGATAAGCAATGTGATTACGGTGAATACCGTCACCACGTATAAGAACCAGTGCTTAAATTGGTTGTCGCTATGATGATATGGTGAGTTCACATCGTCAGCATCCGCAATCTAAGTAGCTGTGTGCGCAGCTTACCCTCGAATACTCGTCATGATCGCCGCTCCAACACCTTGCAGCGTGCTGACTAGACGACTCGAGATTCAGGTCAGTACCGGCCATCCCACATGTGCCCAACAGCCTACTTACCGCTCAAACCTCCGATCAGACTGCAAATCCCGATGTAAACGAACTGGTTCGTTTTACCATACCGCGGTGCGACCCAGAAAGCTAGAAAGAGAGAAGCGACGATGCATACGCCGGCTGCGAATAGGTCCGAGGTCTGATCAGCAAGGAGGACTCGGTGCAGTTGGCAATCGCCACTTACCCCAACTAAGGAAACCTGCGGAACAGCAAATCAAGTATGGGTTAGCTCCGGACCCATACATAGAACGCCAGGACCAGATCCAACTGACCAGCTGACTGTTAAGAAAGCGAATATAATGGTCAGCTACGTAACACGATGCCGTTGACCATTTCGTGCAGGACTCACCACCCAAAGCTTTTGGAAAACGGGAATCGTCTCTGCGCTTTGCGTCTCTGGTGCATTCAGGCTGAATAATCGAGTGTCTGAATTTAGAGCTTCCGTCTTGTTGCGACGAAAGAATGCCGTGCTTACGCCAAGATGGTGGCCCCGAGGATGACCAACGCGCAACCCAGCCAGCCCTGTTAATCCCAGGTATTCTCGTTTATCAGGGATTGAAGGCGACAATCCTTTGGGGCAATTGAGTACTGACGAAGAAGGTGAGAGTCTCTTGTAAGAAGAACTTTGACAAGATCGCGCAGACCACCTGTACGTTCGAAAGAAACACGCTAGGTCAGGCGATGTGACTCTGCCTTCGCCAGTCGCGTCGATAGTCCTGCTTACCACACTCAGAGCACCGAGCGGTGTCACAAGAATAGCCGCGGTGAACGCTGTTACCACCGTGGTGTTGACATTCAGTGTTCCCCAACCATAGGTCAAGTTCGAAGATCCTTCCTCGGATGCTGAGCTGGCCACTCACCGAAAGCTGCGAAATTACAGACTTCGCCCAAGATCATCATGATCATCCCCGTCCACCAGATCCAATTCTTCAGGTAGGCATGTCCCTCTCCAGCGAGACCGCCGGATTTCTTGGTAGCTTGGATCAGACCTTTCTTTTTGACGACCTGTATGAGACCGGGACAATGAGTATGCTTCGATCAAGGGAAGAATCAAATAGAGAAAAGAACGGAGGGCAGGGACTGACGAATGACGCTCCGATGAGAAGCCCCGAGACGATAGCTAGTGAGACTCCGATGATCTTGTACGAAGCCGGGGCGGGTGTATGAGAACCTCCGGCGGACGAAGTCTGGGAGGCAGATGCCGAAGCTGAGGCTGTGGATGCCATGTCAGATATCGTTGAAGACATAGTGGATTCCGTTTATCTAGTGGTATATGTGATAAGGAGCGTGATTGTTATCGTGGGTGAAGGTGACGAGTCCAGGGTAGCCTAGAGCAGTTGATGTGGGTATGGGTATGTTGGTCGGAATGAGGGATAGGCGAGCTTCGCAGTAGGTCCTAGCTCTGATTCAACGAGTTTCCAGGTAGATTGTTGAGTGGATTGATTCCAGGTATCCGTACCGAGCTCGTCGAATCGAGCAACAAACGAGCTCTTTGTTCTTCCAACTTTTCCCCCTCTGGCAATCTAAAGCGTCCCACAGATCCCTCTGCTATCTTTAATCAAGACCAACGTGTCGACAATGGGCAAGTGCGATACTCGTTCCAGACGAGAGATTTGGAAGGCTTCAACTCCGTGACTCCGTGTCGACTGGACGTCTCCCTTGATCGATTGATGTAGGTCAAAGGAAGGTCGAGGGCAGCACCCAGGGGGACGATTTCGGATAAAGTTGTGTCAGGCTGAGCGTTTGAGGTATCCTAGAAACTGGAAGAGTGCGAGACCACACAGTACGTAATAAAGATTGGTATATCCGAGTGTAGTGCTGATGTCGCCGTCCAGGAGGAAATGGCTGTTCGATACTTCAAAAGCTCAAGGCGGCCGGTAATCGTTTGACTTTGCACCGCCTCGTATTGTTCGAGCTTGTTGACAATTGATGAATGGCCGTACCGGACGAGCTGGATTGACGAGCAGGGTTGCACGAATCCGAACGATACACTGTACTCCCAGGTTCGCCTAAATTCAGGGTGGTACGAAGAGCTCTTCGAAGAAAAGGCAGTGCGAGGTGTCGAAACCATCACAACATCGAGGTCGATCACCCTCGCAATGACCATCATCCCAATAACCCCCGGAAGCATTTCACCCATGATTGATCCCGTAAAAACGCGTCCTTACGTCACAAAAACGCGAGGACGGCCGTCGTCAAGAACGAAGGCAATATCTCGGGAAAGTAAGGGATACATGTATCGCTCGTCTACTGCTACACGCAAGAACCACTTCAGAAATGTCCATACACGAGCCGATTCAATCAGAGATGGATGCGGGCGGATCCAAGCTGGAACATCCACGCCAAAGCGAGAAACCTCAATCGTTCATCTCCGCTTGGCAGTCCACCTCTATGTAGCCTTCGAGGTCCTTCATTCAAGGCCGTCTCAAATCTCCAAACTGCCTTCCCTCTACTTCTTTCCCTGCAAGACCTGCTTCCTCCTCCTCAACCTCTCCCGACTCTGTTGTAATAACATCCTCTGGACCTGTTCCACCTGGACGACCTTTACTTCGGGACCAGCCCTGAAAGGTCGGTCTTGGCCAGGGGTGGTGGCGACGCCAGCGGGAAGGTCGAGTTCGAGACCGAGTTTGACTTCTTGGGAGTCGGCATCCGCATTGACGGAACTCTCAGGCTGGGCATCGACATCGGCGTGAGGCTGCCCGACGAAACCCATACTGAATCCCCATCGGCCGGTCTCTACCCCGCTCCGCCTCCTGAGGCTCCTCAAGCTCAAGCCATCATCCCAGACTTTAAGGTTCCCGGACCTCAAGTCCAACCCGTGCAATCCCTCAGAATGCTCAACAGGGTGTAACCCCTGGATCTGTTCGTGAATCCGAACCCCTCCCTGATCGTAATGTTGACGGTGATCCGTCAAGCCGGTGACCAGGTCGGGGATCATGACGCTGATCACTCCCAGGGAGGCGAGAAAGAGGGCGAGGAGGGTGATGAGGAGGTTGAGCTTGGTCCGGTTCGAGGTCGAGGTCGAAGTCGAGGTCGAAGTAGTCGCGGTATATAGGAAGGGCGAGTCCATCCTAGTGCCCAACTCGATCTCTTCCCCCTCGTCCTCCTCCGGTCCGTCCGTATCCTCGTATCCGAAAAACTTCCCTCCACGCCCGACCCGGGCATAACTGCCAGCTCCAGTAGCACCGATACTGCTAGCGGGAGGTGTAGGAATATCATACTGCAAAACCCTAGCACAAGTATTCGCACTCGTCCTCCCCGACCATTCCGATGAAGAAGACGATCCATAAGCCGGTGAACCCGAGTTCACTCGGTTGCTGATAGTATAGCTAGGAGAACCGGAACAAGATGAGGACGAGGAAGCGAACGCTCCGGGCGTTTGGTTGAGGTGAGGGGTGGCGGGGGTGATGATGATATCGATCGGTTGGTATGGGAACCGAGTCTGACCTCCGGGTTGACGAGAGGGGGAAGGTTGGGAGTTGAAGAAGAACATCTAGTCGAGATGCTTTTGAGTACGGTCCGTGGGTTGGACCAGGTAGGGGTAGGGTTGGAAGAGGGACGGTTGTCCTTTATGTCCTTTGAATATGGGTTACTGTGATTTACTGCGAAGACCTGCTTCGATATCAATCGTTGTCGTTTCGATCGGATCAACCGATGGAACCGAATATTGTCAGAGGGAGGTGAATACGAGAATAGTATGCGTCGTCGTCGGTGGCGTTGACCAATGTGCTGAAAGGACTGTCAAGTGTGGTCGATGTCGATGTAGATCGGTCGAGAAGAGAGTGACGAGGTAGAGAAAGGCGAGGAGGGGGGCGTCAACCGGTGACGCTGTTTTGTGTGCGAATGGCGAAAGATGAAGAGTGGTTGGGATGGAACGGACGTCAAGCCCTTGAGATATGGAAAAGTGACAGAGGGATCGAAAGAGCGAGGTGTAAGAGAGCAAGAGATGATGGTTGTTGATGGTTGTTGATGTTGACGAATTGATGGGAGGAGGAGGAGGAGGTTTGTCACACTGCGGGAGGCCTGGAAATCTAACTGGTCTCAGTCACCGTCCAAATAGCCTATTTGTTAGCAGTTTGCCGCTGACTTTATCAAAATGACCAAATAATGCACAAACATCGACGAAATGACGTGTATTTATCTGCCCACTGTTCGGTCAAGACCGAATTGACCCACCTCCTTGTCTTCAGGCTGTTTGACCACAACTAGATCGCATCGTTTTCGCCACCAAGAACCGTAGGATAGCCCAATGAGGCAAGCTGGGACTTGTCCGAATCATCCTCGTGCCAGTCTGATCACCTTAGCTATCATTTCGACCATCTTAACGGTCCTTTATGCCGGCTTGTACCACCTACTGCACTTCTTATGACATCGGCATGCTCTTAACCACCTAGACGGCGTCGAAGCCAATTCCCGAGTTGCTGAGACGTTTGCAGCAGGAAGACTGATCGAGCGAAGACTGTACGGAGACTGGTGGCGGTAATAGATATGCCTCCTCGTCGACCTAACGTGAGTACCCTTATGAGCTCTGATGGAGCCGCTGGTTGATGTGATGCTGCCCTTTAGCGAACCTGCTATTGTCCAGCCTGCTCGAGTTCCGGCTCGGGATTCAAATCGGTAGCGTACATCACCTGGAGACGCCATAATCCTCCTGGTCATGAACACTTCCCGGCTCCACCAGCAGCAGCAGCAGCAGCCCCGCTCACTGTCAACCCACTGGACTCTCCTTCTGGCCCTCTTCCGACCTTGTCTCCAGTCTCTGCTCCGGCTCCTCTCCCGCCTCTGTTCGACGAGATTGACGGCAGCCTTCCGGATCTGCCTGCCGTTATCGGAGCTGGAGGACCGTCCTCTCCGCCGCCCATCACTCCTGCCGGCCTCACCTCTGACGACGACGATGTCGACATGTATGACTGGAACCACGACTACCCGGTAGACGCAGACGACGACGCCAGCAGCATGGGCCAGCCCCTCGGTTCAGATCGACCACCATCAGAGGGACCTCTACCGAATCATGATGATGCGTTTGAAGATGAAATCGCCTGGACTTTCCCGCCCAACGATCCGATCGCACAATACTACAGCACAGAACCAGATCCTGCTCGACCTGGCCGTCAGGTTGTGCGTATCAACATCGAGAACTTGCAACGGCATCATGCGTTACCCAGTCACCTACGGCAAATCTACACTGCCATCGCCTACGGCAAAGCAACTGGTATGCCCAATGTGCCGGCGAATACGATCCTGCAACAGATGACGAGCCTGGCAGAGGCGTGTCTCGAGGAGGAAATAGAGGATAGGACCTACAATGTTCGTACCGCACAGTCGCGGCTCGGGGTCTTGCCCGACGACTACATCAGCCGCTGGATCTGTTGTCCAAATAACGAATGCTGGCTTCTTACACCTTACGCCGAGCTGTACCAACTCGACGGCGAAGCTTGCCCGGATTGCGGCACAGAGCTTTATCGCATCAACAACAACATCAGGACCCCACATAAAGTTATGCCAACTATGGCTTTATCGATTTCGCTAGCGCTGTTGCTCCAGGATCGGGACGTGTTAGACAACTTGCAAAACTGGCGAGAGAAGCATCCCGAGGACGACCTCGTGGCCCCGGGCGATGCCGAGCCCCTGGACAAGGAGAGGCCATTCCTCGATCCGAAAGAAACGATGCATGATATCAGCGACGGCGCTGCGTGGAGATATGGCTTAGCAGGTGGTAGAAGATACGTAGACATGGACAATCGAGCGCATGATCGAACCGAGCATCCTCAAGAGAAACGACATGTCGGCCAATACCACGGGCTGCAAATCGTGATTAACTGCGATTGGTCAGTCCCATTTACCACGTTTTCCGATAGTGAACTAAGGTCGTTTCCCTGCTCCTCATAGGTTCGCTGTCAAAGGCGTCATCGGCTCTTCTGTAGGGGTAGTGTATGCGGCAATCGCGAATCTCCCGATCCACATGCGTTACAAGAAGCGTTACACGGCTATACTCGGAGTGATCCCGGGGCCAAAAGAACCCCCCGGTCTCTGCTTCAACAAGGTGAGTATATGACGGGATGGTCCGATTGAACAGTGTTGATCGGGAGTATCATGTTCAGGCACTCGAGCCGATCGTTCGAGATCTACAACTCTGCGAGCGGGGCTTCAAGATCGAGCTCCCGCGGTTTCCCGATGCCTTCGTCAGCGCACAAGTGCTCCTCATTTCATGTGACCTACCGGCGGCCAGGAAGATGACCGGTGCGATGGGTCTAAGTCATAAGAACCACCCATGTCCCCATTGCGGCATTACCCTGGAACAAGTCAATGACTTAGAAGGCTACGATTGGCGACATCTTCCCGAAAAACCAGGCACCCCCGCCGAGACTCTACAAGCCGGGTTCGAATATGAGATCGCCGGGTCTGGAAGAAGATACGAAATCGAGCAGAGGAATGGAGTACGATTCACAGCGTTGTCAAGGCTGTGTGGCTTCGAGGTGTCGGACTCTGCCCCGACGGATCCTCTACACAATTCGTTTCTCGGGCTCGTCAAATCGTTCATGAACATGATCCTGAAGAGTGATCTCTTTGACGGCGACATAGATGGCGAGTCTCGAATAGACATCTTTCGAACCTTCTTCGAAGACGCGGATTATCCGGGACATCTAGGACGCCTGCCAAACTACGCGATAGGGCAGCTGATCCGGCAGAGCGTAGGCGAAAGAACTCATATCGGCTCCGGATTGAAAGCCGACCAGTGGAGACGAGTTATCGAGATGCTACCAGCAGCGCTGTACGCAGCATGGCGCGATGAGGACTCCGACGAGATCTCCAACAAAGTTCTTCTGGTCGATAGAGGTTTGGGACGAGGGCGAACTCGAGGCAGAGGAAGAGGTCGGGGTCGAGGTCGAGGGCGGGGCCGAGGAGGAAGAACTTCCGTGTCACGGGATGCGTCCGCCCAGCGCAACAGGCGTGAACGTAGCGCGTCAGTTGCCGAATCAGTCGCCTCGCAAAGGTCATCCATCAGCGGCCTTTCGGAGCTCGATCTCCTTGAAGACTCCGTTTTGGATCCACCTGAACCAAGCAATTCTGTGATTCTCAATCGTCGCCGATGGTACGATGCAGCCGTGTCTCTCTCCGCAGGACTACGGAGCCTCCACAGCCATTCGATATCTGTAGCAGAGGCTGGGTCCGCAGTCGAGGTTAGTTTCCTGTAGGTGAATCGGTATCGCAGGTTGAAAATACTGACGTAGCGATTACAGGATATCGCCAACGCAGCGCGTACCATATTGGCTCTGAACGGAAGGTTGACCATCAATTGGCACATCGCCATGCATTACGTACGTTTCATCCATCTTTACGGACCAGTCTCAGGATTTGGCTGTTGGGCGTTCGAAAGACACAACGGGGCGTTGTCGAATGTCAAACACAACGGGAAGGTGGACCTGCCAACGACACTGATCAGGGCATGGATCCGAGAATTTCGTTTATCGGCGATCATCAATAATCCAGCGCCGGACGCCGGCGTGATCGAGGTGAATTCTTTGGAGGCCCTACGACAGGATCCCGCACGCGGCCAAGGAACGCTTATGTTGCAAGAAGCCAGAGGGAATGTCACACCTTGCCGATTGTCCAACATCTACCAACCTGCGATCACCGTGGACCTAGAAAGGCGTGGGATCTACGGATTGCTGCTCGATTTCTTCCAGATCCATCATCCGAATCTGAACTTCATTGACGCCGCCCACATTATGGACAATCGACCTTCCTTGCCTAAATGGGGTTCATGCTACCAGCTTTACACGCATATGTTTCAGGACGGTTTGAAGTAGGTCGACTGCATCAGCCGTGGGCACCTAAAGGTCTATATCGCTGAGACTTTGAAACCATAGGTTTGGGTCCTGTCTGTACGCTCGGTCCGAACGCGACAGGCACGCCTTGATCGTCACCGATCAGGATAGGGGCATCAGTCATCTAGCTCAAGTACAGCTATTCCTCAAGGTCAAGATCACACGCAGCGACCCAGGCCGCAGCGTCGACATGATGCTAGCACTGGTGGACTTCTATGAACCGCATGGTAGCATAGGCTTCCCCTGGCAAGAGCGGTATGTATCACTCTGCTCCGTACCAACAGACTTCCAGCTGATACGACCTTATATCAGTGAGGTGGACTTGGGCATGCGCATATACAAAAATCGAGTCCGGGGAAGGGTGTTCGTTCCAGCGTCGAGCATTCGAGCCGCAACCACAGTGAGCCTGTTACAGACAGCAGATGAGGAGTGCTTGCTATCGATGTCATGCGATAAGGTGAGCTTTATGCGGAACTCCCCATTCAGAAATCCTCTGACATCACGTTTACAAATTGCAGGAGGGGACCGAGACGGAATATGAACTCGAATGAACGATTACGACCGTACGGGTGACATGCAAATAGTATTAGGGGCGGCCCGTTCCGCTAGAGCTGTAAGAGCTGACATTGTGGCCGTGTACATGTTGTTGGCCTCGGCATGATACAAAAGGTGCGTGCGTGAAAGTGAAGTGTGTCCGGTCTGTTTTGACCATTGCTGACCTCCTGGGTGGTCTATTCGTTCAGGTCATGAAGGAATCGTGGTATGCGTCGTGATGGTCAGAATGACCAGCCTGGTTTTCGTGGAATCGTTCGTCCTGGAAGCCTTCGTTGGGTTCTTCTTCATTCTCGTCTCCCTCGTCTCCCTCGTCGTCCGGGTAGAAATAGCGGCGACCTTCCATCCCATCATCGGTCGGTTGAGCGGTAGAGTTGCGATCGTGTTCAGCGAAAGGATTGGCCGGACGCCCCAGCCCAGGTGAGCCGTTGTACAGGGTTGCTGACAGGCCTTGGCTAGATCCGTCCCGCCTGGGCATGCTAGCGGTAGAGAGGGTACGTGGTAAGGGGGGTATAAATGTCGACATGGATGCTGCCTGCGTGCGATGCTGACTGCCTTGTTTGGAAGACGATTGGGACGACGATCCTCTGAGACTGTGTTTGTTGTAAGTGGACCCACGGAACATGGGGTCGATGTTTTGCTGACTTGACCTGTTGCTCTCGCTGTCGAACCTCGTATTCGCCAGATGCTGGGTAATTGGGGGTTGTCGGGATGGACCAGCAAGTTGCGTGCCACGAGATCCGCCTTCAGAGGCCGTCGGACCAATTCGAGGGGTGACAGAGCTGGAGGCCGGTCCGCTGCGACCCTTCATAATCCGACTTGGCTGCTGATCCATGCCGTCGTCTCTGGCCGGACTGGGTCCAGGTCCACCGGTAGGTTGCGATTGGGTAGAAAGGGAGGTTTGGCTCTGGCTTGTGGGGGGCTGTGACGACCTCATATCGATCGAGACTGAGCGCGTGTTTTTCTTTGCAGGCTTCTTCTTCGCGGGCTTCTTCGCTGCAGCAGCCTTTCCCGCGGTGCGTGCAAGTCTTCCCAGCTGCTGCGGATGATTGATATACCATTGGGTGTCCTTAACCTCCTCAGGATCCATTGGATGATCGACTGGTACGACGCGCAAGTCGATGATGTCAGAGGTTTGTGCTTGCAACCACGCCGGATCGAACATCCATCGCTGGGGGTTCTCGTGCAATTTGGGAAAGGTCGTCGCCCAGTAGTGCTCGTATGGGGGATGCTGGAACTCGGCCGGGGCTACGACTGCAATGTCGCTAGGATTCTTGATGAGTGGGTCACGAGTTTCGTAGATCGTATTAAACACGTTCAGGTACTGATAAAGCCGGCGGTATCCATCTTATCAGCATGCCGCAAGCACTGTAAATTGTGCCACAAGACTGCTCACCGTCTGCGAGAACACCCCGTCAATCGCTGGCCAGTACCACTCTCTCGACCCGTCGTCCGACTTGACCGATGTTGGCGCTGGTAGACAGTGAAGTTGCTCCATACACGCATATTCAGGTCCGTGGTATGCCTCTGTATGCATGCGTTTGCCCTTGAATTGCCGAGCCAGCTAAAGGACCGTCCGGATAGGTCAGGATCGTCCGGATAGGTCAGGATCGTCCGTTCAAGCAGTCAACACTGAAGGCGACTCACCACCACCAGCTTCGACCTGACGTTCCCCTTATCATCTGCCTCGGCCGACTGCACTAGCTTGTCCATCTCCGCCACGAATCCTTCCCATTTGGCGAGTTCTGCGGGATCTCCTTGTGGCGTAGGGTTTGCCAGCTGCTCCTTGAGTTCGATAATCGCGGCTTCGACTTCCGCCTTTGTCTCTGTTTCCCAGGTCTTGCTGGTCGAGGAATAGAAGGACTTCCGGTACGCTCTGAAGATGTCGCTAATGCAATCGATGTAGAGGTTGGAATTGGTAGTATAAGGAGGGATGTCGTCTCGTCGGATATCGTTGGGAAGGGGGATCTCATCTCGCTTGTTCTGGAGGTATGTAAGAAGACGTTGCGTTTCGATGGCGTTGACCCGATCGCGGAACTTCCGAATATAGTCCCATCGCATGGCTCGATCGCCGCCAGCCTCGCCGTTTGCGGCTTCGAGAAGAGGAACATCGGTCCCGGGCAGTGGGGGTATGACAGGAGCGTCGCAGCCGTGAAGGATTTTGATGGCCTGCTTCAGCAGGACCTTGACGGCACGGCGATCCTCTTGACTGGAGCCTTCGGCAGTAGAGGAAGTGGCGTGTGAGGATTGTAAGGCGTCGATCGTGCTCTCCAAATCATCGATCCGGATGGTGAGTTCGTTTGCGTGCTCCTCGCTTGCCTGAATAGCCTGTTGTTGATTTTTGCAGGTGTCGGATAGGTTAAAGATGGTGATTTCGGCGGCAGCTAGACGCTGTAAGATGGCGTCGTTTTGCTGATTGTTGACAGCGATTGCGGCCTCTAACATCTGGATCTTCTGCGAATAGTTCCTCTGCTCTCTTTGGTCTCGGCCAACGGCGGTCGATCCCGAGAACGCACTATCAAGTGGCATGAGGGAGCTCTGCTGGCGGCTGCGGGAGGCGGGTGTAGGACTTGTCGGCGGGGGAGAAGACGTTCGTGGTTCGGAGGATTGCCAAGGTTCGTACAGCATTGTTCGAGCGGGTCCAGCAGTGGATGAGCTGAGTCTTGATCGACCGATGGACATCCGGAGACCCTGCTGCGGTACGTTCTCTGCCTCCTCTATCACGGGTTGGAGTGGTCTTGTTGACGAGGTTTGTGATGGAGCGGGTGTGCGACGGCCCTGACTTCCATAGGGACTGAAACTTGCCGCTGGACTCGACCGCGTTGTCCTTAGTGGCCCGGGACCACTCATCTATCAGCACAAAGGTTACCAGGCTCAGCAACTGTTTGGAATGACGTCGAAGAATGTACGTACCTCGATCCGTTCGCAACCCCTACGTTAGATGCCAGAACCTTGTCCCTTTTCCGAGTTGTACGCTGACTGCGAGCCGTTGTATTGCAGGGTCCTTTGACATGTAGGCCAGGCGATATAGATATACAGACAGGAGCATCAACACGGCGAACGACCAACGATCAGATGTCAAAGGGCCTTCTTACCAGTGTACCGAAGTGATGTGAGTCCTGGGTTCCGATGAAGCCGATACGGGTATAGGGAACGAGGTATACCTCTTAACGCCGGACTTAGTATATCTGACGATCGACGTAAATGTACCGCCGAGGAGCTATTTTACATGCCGCTATCTGAGCTATGTTTGTGCCATGTTTGAGCATAGTTTGTCGTGTGTTTACACCTAGTTTGTGCAGTGTTTACAATGAAATCTAGTCGGTGTTCGGAGGTAATCTCGCCATGAACAAATAGTCCCACTGTTTGCCCACGAATAAACACGTCACAAACGCGCTCTATGTACACTGTTTGCGCGCGTTAAGATGATAAGAAAACAGCCGTGCAAATACCGGTCGAATAGCCTATTTGGTCGGTGTTTCTAGGGGCAAAATTCCCAGTTCTCCCAAAGTGTTTGTCACATGGATCGACGCGACGCGCACGCTGAGAGGGCTTGGGGGGATGGGGGGACAGGGTTTCACGCTACGAGGAGGCGAGAGGGGGAGATTGCGGGGTAATAATCCCGCTATATTATCAGGAATATCACGTGATTTACTACCCATTCCTCGGCTTATCGCTCGGCCGCCTACCCGTTCGGTGATCGCCGCGGGATGAGTAATCGCCCGGATCGCCCGTCTCTCCGTCTCTCCGACGTCATCGCGATCGAGAACGAGCAACAGCGACATGCCAGGCATGCCAAGTCTATCGCTTGGATGGTATGGGCCGGCGGACTACATATACACAGACTACGCAGCAGGTGGGGTCGCAGAGCAAATGTATCCAGTCTATCAGCTTTGTATCACTAGTACGAGTTCAACGACGCACAAGCATTCATCGACCATGACAAACTCGGAAATCAAGAACAAGCACCTCGACGTGGATGGAGACGGCTCCGACTCGGGTTCGAGTTCAGGTTCCAAGGCCAACTCGGGTCGATCTTCCCCTTATATCCGAGAAGCTCATCAGAAGAAGCATCACCACGAAGCCCACAAGCACGACGGCAACGATGACGGTCATCCCGGGGAGCAAGCCCCGGATCATGGCCGCGAATCCCCACAAGCCCGTCAACAACGTAACAAGCACATCGGTCGCAAGATCCAACATGGGCTGCAAAAGTCTTCTTCCCGAAACACCGGTATCCCCCTCGACTGCTACATTGGTCTGGCTTTCCGGGTGATGAAGACGGAAGAGGAGATCGAGGAGTACAGACGTCAAGTCGGGGGAATGTCGACCAGCGTGGTCGATCTGGAAAAGGGGGAACAGCTGTTGACCTGGCAGGCTGTTGTCTCTGATGGTACGCTATACGAGCTTTACGCCAGGCCCGTAGACCATATATGAATGTTGATCCTCGTTTGACGTCACGGCGCAGGGATCGGGACGATCGATTCGGGAAGAGACGCTACGACCCTGAAAGTGACGTCTCCGGAGGAAGACGAGAAACAGGGATGGAAGATGGTGAAACACGTCGCCGAGAGGATCATCACCACTGCGACCGAGGTCTCTGCTGGGAAATGTAGGTCTTCCTCACTCTCCGGGTCTAGGGAAAGAACACGATAGCGATGATCCCTAACCGAACATTGTGCATGTGTCGCTTGCAGCGATGATCTTCCAAGTTATCGCCGTGTCCGAACCTCTCCCGCCTCTCCTCGCCAAATGCCCAATCTTCCTCCCTTCTTTCTACGCCCACCTCTCCGCCATCCCCTTCCTCATCCCCTCTCCGACATACATGTTCGAGAACCTGCCCGATCCAGACCCAGAGTATTTCGCTAGTAACGCAGTCTCGGTCGCGTTGAAGCACTTGCACCCGGCCATCCATAGTGCGGTGACGGTGGGGTGTAGGGAGAAAGACCGGGTCGTGCAGGTTGATGCGGGCGGGTTGATCCACATCGCCAGTCTGGAGGGTTATCAACAGTCTTCCAGCGAGAAGCTTTGGAAGAGGTGGGCGTCGTTTTTCTTCCTTCTTCCCTGCCTTGACGTTTTTCGCGAAATGCTCAACCGGTCTGATACTCCTTCTCTACAACCAGGTTTATGGCCCTTGTCAGGCATATCAAGGGAAACAACATCAAGTTCGCCCGTGTCTCGGCTACACCCCAGGGAGGCGGGGTGGCCCTTCTCCAGAACGCGTTGGTGAGGTTGTGGAAGCTCGTAGGGCTCGAGGGGAATGGGATCTGGTTGGTACCGTTGGGTCATCCGTGAGTAGCGCGATACGGATCGCATAGCGAGATGGAACGAAATGGCGGCGACAGGATCTGATGCTTGTGCACGGTTTTTTTTTTCTGGGCGAGGGTTCAGGTCCGTCTTCGGTAAGTCTTAGTGACGCGGTATCGCGCAATGGGAACAATTTCTGATCGGTTTGATCTCCTCATATCACGACTCTAGACATCACCAAGAAGAAATTTCACAACGTCTTGCAAGGAGTGGCGGAAAAGGACGTCAAGTTGGAAGAGAATGACGAGGCATACTTTGAGGCGTGGATCAAGAGCAACTATGAGAAGTTCTGGAAGGATACCGGGGTGCGTCCTGTTTCTCCGTCGGTCTCATCGCACGAGGAAGTATCTCATGCTGATACCCGCGTTGGTTTGCGTTTCAGGTATTGACCGACAGGATCCTCGTGGCGGACGACCCTCAAGTGGTCCCGCTCATTCCGCGTGTCAAGAAGGATTTCCCCGATACCAAGATCATCTTCCGGTCCCACATCCAGGTTCAATCCGACCTCACCGACGACCCTTCGACCGAACAGGCTCACGTTTGGGACTATCTGTTCGGCTTCATCAAGCATAGCGACATGTTCCTCGCTCACCCCGTGGACTTCTTCATTCCGAAGAACGTCAAGAAGAGTTTACCAGTCATGTACATGCCACCCAGTACGGACCCTCTGGATGGGTTGAACAAGCCGTTCGGGAAAGAGTCGATGGAGCAGATCCAGAAGGTGTACAACTCGTTGTCGATGCAGCAATCCGGTGTCGAGCTTGACTGGAATCGAGGATATTTCCTTCAGGTAGGTCGACCCAAGGGCGGCGAATGGCAAGTTCTTACGGCTCGGGCTAATAAAGTATATGTTACGCTGGACAATAGGTGGCTCGATTTGACCCAAGCAAAGGTTTGAACGACCTGTTGGCGGGATACCTTCAGTTCAGGCAGAAGGTCGAAGAGGCTGGCAAGGGCGGGGGTGACGGCGATGCCAAAAAGCCGCCCCAATTGATCGTCGTTGGGCACGGCTCGATCGATGACCCTGATGGCACCAGGATCTACGAAGAGCTTCACGAGGTGAGTCAGAGCTCTTGGAATCAGAGGTTGTGACTGCATCACTGAAGTGGGGCTTCAATGGGGATTGTCGGCAGATCGTCAACTCGGACGAGTACAAGCTCGTTACCAAGGACGTCTCGATCGTCCGAGCTCCTCCTTCCGACACGCTGTTAGGCGGGCTCATGCAAGGTGCCACGGTGGCGTTGCAGCTGAGCACTCGCGAGGGCTTCGAGGTCAAGGTCAGCGAGGCCGTCTTGAAACGTATCCCTGTCGTCGCTACCAAGGCTGGAGGTAAGGCGATACAGGCCAATCGCAAAGGGGAGTCCAAGCTGACGTGTTCTTCCACCTGCGTCCTTAGGTATTCCTCTGCAAGTCAAGGACGGCGTGAATGGCTGGATCGTCGATCCTTCCGCGCCCGACCAAGTTGCGCAGGTCTTGTTTGACTTCTACATGGGCAAACGTCAACTGAACCGTCGTCAAGGTCGCCCGGACGAAGAGTACTGTGACGATCGTATGCACCATCACAAGACGTACGACGAAGAGGAGGTCGTTCAGGAATTGCCTCGTTCGGATGGCAAGGAGAACCCGAACCATACTGATGGCGATCACATCGGTGACCCCGGGATCGTAGGATTCGGTGATGGAGACAGCAAGATCAAGGAGGGAAGGAGGTTGACCCCGAATGATTCGGCCGACATGTTTGTCAAGACGGTCGGCGCGCCCTTCCCTAGTGAGTAGAAACGTTCCGATGCAAATGCGTGGAGTTCGATCTGAACCTCGAGGCTTTTGTTGTAATCTCTAGAGGTCAAGCCTACACCCGACGGACCTAGCGAGGATTTCTTTACCGTCGGCAATGCTGCCAAGTGGTTGCTGCTGTTCTCTCTCATCTCGGGGAAATCGATCAAGCCCGACGCTCACTCCAAGGCCAACGGTGGTCAGGGGGACGAAGAGGTCGAGCTGCTCAAGTCGATGGGTCTACGAACCGAGGATTGGAAGGGTGGGAAGGAGGAGATGAAGAAGTGGGATAATCAGGCTGTCTGGAAGATGGTCATGGGCGACGACACGGACGAGGGGGAAGGGAGGATCATCTGGAGGGATGAAATGTTTCAAGGTTGATCGATCCGGTAACTGCATGGTTTGAATAAGTCGAGCAGTGAAATCATGAAGAAGCGCGCCAGGAGCTCTTGTAATGTCCGTACACGTCTTGTGATACCATCAATACCCTCGTTGCCTCGCTTGGACCGGTTTCATCGTCGATGCCCGCACTGAAACATGCTTTCGGACTTAAGTTTGACGCGTCAGAGGGGTAACGTAAGGTGCATCGTCGCCAAAAGGAAGCGCGCGCAACGATGAACTTTCGATCAAGCGCGACCGCGATCTCTTCCCCAGAGTCTCTGCTCTGATCCTTTCAGTCCAGCACGCTCGCCCGTACCCCCGTCCCTTGCTCGCTCGCTACATCTATCAATTCAAACTCGATTCAAACGATCTCCCCAACATCCGAGCACGACCTCGTTCACCGACCACCACGACACATCAAGATGGTACGCATAGACCCTGAGACTCTCATCCCCATGAGAGGATCGATCCGCTAACGCTCTGCGTTATACTTTCAACAAAATCCGATAAATCAACAACCGTGGTCGCTACCTTCGTCGTCGTCTCGAAATCGTACATCTACAATGAACGAAAAAACGAACCTTCGTCTCGACCTCGTCGGTACCTCCTGGGGGATTTCTTCGCGACGATGTGACACTATAGGGTATTGCTCGTGATTCGCGCCACAAGCGCTCGGCATCTGGTGCCCGAAGGGCCCAGTACAGGAAGAAGAGAAAGTTCGAGCTCGGTCGTCAACCCGCCATGACCAAGTTGGGTCCCAAGAGGATTCACGAGGTCCGTGTCAGGGGAGGAAACACCAAGCACCGAGCCATGCGATTGGACTCCGGTAACTTCGCTTGGGGTTCCGAGCACGTCACCAGGAAGACCAGGGTTATCGACGTCGTGAGTAGCAGGAGGGTGTCGTGGATGCGTCGGAGAGAATTGCATTTGCTTAGACGGTCCAATCTCGATAGGTTTACAACTCGACCAACAACGAGTTGCTCCGAACCAAGACCTTGGTTAAGGGTGCCATCATCGAGATCGATGCTACTCCCTTCCGACAGTGGTACGAGGCTCACGTGAGTAGCCATACCGTCTTGCTCCCTTTCGCACCGGGTCAAACTGATGAATCAATCATTGTCGCGATTGCAGTACGCCACCCCTCTCGGTCGATCCAAGACCGCCGAGGCTACTACCGGCGAGGGCGAGACCAAGCAGTCCAACCACGTTCAGCGAATCTTGACCGAGAGGAAGAAGGACGCCGCTTTGGACCCCGCTTTGGCCAAGCAGATCAGGACCGGTACCCTTTACGCTTCCATCTCTTCCAGGCCTGGACAGAGCGGACGATGTGACGGATACGTCTTGGAGGGCAAGGAGTTGGACGTGAGTCGTCGATTGTCGCTTGGTGTCGAGCATAGAAGCCGTTCGCTGACTTTCTCATCTTTTCCCCACATGTAGTTCTACTTGAAGAAGCTCTCCCTCAAGAAGAAGTAAACGTCTTCCTGATCCCTCCGGCACTGGCTCGGCACTGGCAAATTTCATTTCTTTCTCGCAACGTTGTCAGAGTCGGATTCGTGTCAAAGAGGTCGAGAATGTTTTGGGATGTATACGATTCATGAACGGACAAATTCTGCCCGGGATGCGTCTACTATCTCATTGCGTTTTCATGGAACGATGAGCTGTTGATGAGGTGTTTCTGTTTGCGAATCCGATGGTACCCTTCAACTGCGGTGTCGCTATCGCTTTTGTGATATTCTCTTGTCCGTCCTGTAGCTAGATGCGGATAGCAGAAAGGTTGACAACTCCTTATCTCGCTCAGGTTTATTTGGGTAAGCCCACCGCAGCCACAACCAAATGCAAATCTGAACTACGAGTCTGCATACGGGAACTATCAAACATGACTCTCAGTGTCGATTTTGAGATTCGGCCCGCAGGATTCACGGACCCAACAACAGGCTTGATAAGGGTATCCTTCTTTTCCCTTCTTTCCCTGGAGATGAGTTTTAGTGATAACCTCTTGTTCCCAACATCACCATCCCCGTCCCTAACATCAACAACCTCGGTGTATCCGTCCAGTCTGCAGGTGGATAAGTTAATGACTTCACACCAAGTAGAGCCGCTCTTAGCTAAGGTCAATAATCTCTCGAGGATGCTGCCGGGTCTCTTGTCAGTTACACAGAACCTCACCACCACTCTGGGTCGCGGCGATACGCTGTGCGATAGCCGTACTCGCCAGCAACGGCAATAAGCAATAGATGATCGTGCGCACCCCCGCCGAAGTCACTGGACGGCGATCTGCCCTCAAGCAGCTTTTAGTATCAATCGTGTTGAGAACATACTGAGCCTCACTGTCAGAATTAGCGCTGCAAAGGTTCTACTCCAGTATCCTTCTAGGGTTTGCTATTGACACGATAAGCCTGCCGTTAACAACGTAGCGGACGGGGAGATTTGAATGAATCCAATAACCTTTACGTCAAAGTCGGCGCCGCTGTACATATTCCTTGCAAAGGCGGCGGCTTGGGGCAAGGCGGTTTCTTTAGATCTTACGTTACGGGCTTGAAGCTCACCCACTGTAGCTCGATATGCGATCCAGTTTCTTGTGTGGGTCCTTGCACAAGCTTGATCGCTCTAACATTATTCACGTATCTTTGCGTCCGCAAGGCTAGATAAAAAAACAGCTCCGGGTCTGAGCCATCAAGGATCAGAACTAGGGCCATCCTGATAATTCTTTAGCGTAGGCGTCGTTTGTGCCTTGACCTCTACATCATCATCGTGATTTTGCGGCCTCGTCGGGCCCAGATCCCGGACCGATCCGACGGATTCGAGTTGCCAGCGAGAGAACGACTGGACGGACACGTTATGAATATGTGTGGACTTATGTGATTCGAATGCCGTAAATGACAGAGCTATCTACAGGAACTCGCAGATACCATCCACACCTAACGGAAGGAGCGGTCGAACGGCTACAATTATCCGAGGAACCCCTCTTGCGAGTACGCTTTACGTGTTCACGCCGCCTCTGAGTGCGAGTCCGCGTGACAACGAGTGTTACCTTTGGGATACAGTCTAGCCGCGATGTTATGGATCACCTGGAGATAGATAGATGACATCGAATAGGGTATGAGTCACTCAGGCAATGAACGGGATGCAACCGCCTGTGCTTGCGCAGCAATGCTCGATGCATTAGTGACAAGAACCCTAATCACGGGGCCAAATGCGGTCTGATCAAGTTCGTTGATTGCTTTTACTTCTTCTGCTCTTCCTGCATCAGAGTTTGAAACGGATGCTCGCCTGAAACAGACATCCTTCAGTGGGATCCCTGATTCGTCACGATAGCGACGCAATCAATGGGCAATAGGATCAACGCGTGAGAGGCATAACTTATTCGCGATGTCATGGTGGGATTGGCGCCAACGAATTCCCTCACCGCATCTCACGACTGATCGAGATATCAAAACGCACTGTCCTGGGCGACGGGATGTCGTATAACGATAGACATGGACATCGAACACCACGGAAGTTATGGTCAACAAAGGGGGAAGAACTTGTCGATAATTGCCGCAGGAATACATGTAGGCCATCTCATATCATATCCTTGCGCCACGTTTCGTTTCGCCTGCGCTGACGAGCTTCTAAACTCCTGAGCCCTCGTTTTGGTTACTAGTGATACGATCTGGTCTTGACACTAGAATGAGGTCGATCGCTAAAGGATTGGAGGATCGATCGCCGGCCGAGATTTCTCGATCGTGTTTCAGACGTCCGTGATCCGGTGATCCCGTGACCCCCATACCTCCACCTGACCGCATCGCGCCGTCGAAGGAACAGGAACTATGAAACCTCGATCCATCACCCAGCCAACCCCCTGGTTTCACCCGGATGCCACGAGAGACAAAGGGGTTGCTAACCCTCCACCCTACCCTTTGAGGGCGATCTGTTTCTGTTTCTGCTTCCTGGCCACGCGACCTGTTGGCTTTCGAAACGCCACTTCGATCCGCGTGCGATGGCTTGGGTTTGTGTGTGATGTCATTCCGCGGTCGGAGGAATCGACGTCGAGAGGACGTGGTACATCAAGACGCGCAAGACGAGAATATTCGGGATATTGTCTCTTTAACAGTGGTGGTGATGTGAAGAGCAAAGAGCTGGTTGGGTCCGTCGATATGACCGAATCCACCGATATGCCAGGGTGATATCCGGGCGGGGTAGTCACGGGGTCGCTGCGTTACGATGAAAGAGCTCGATTTGTAATGGACATCTCGTACAGGGTCCGCAACGGTGATAGAGTTTCAAAAATTCAAAACCAGCTTCGGCGGTGATTTGTATTTGTGCAAGTTTCGAAGGAGGCCTGACCGCGATCTGCTCGAAGAGGTCGTCTGCCAACGTGTCGAGCTGCGATTTTCGTTGGAACCGTTCGTCCTCGCTTCGCCCTCCCCTTCACGCTGAGATTCCAGCGTTACGATGGGAATCGCTGTGTACATGGCTATGACGGGGTGTGCCTCAGCAGTCGATGTGAATCGACGGGGATGGTGAGCTGCAGGAGTGACCGAAGAAACATGGAACGCGAGCAGTCCAAGGTCAAGGTTAGTCTCCCGCGCGCCGCCCGCCGTCACGACCACTCGATCGATCTCGTCTTCTGTTCTGACGATGCGACGTGGTTTCATCATATCGATGACGCTGGAAAAAGAGATCGGACGGTCTTGGCCGGTTGTTTGAACTGGAACTAGTCGTCTCGTGTTGGAGCGAATGTCGTCCGTTGTTCCGATCTCTGTACGATTGGTTTTGTTCTTTTCGGTACCATCTTGCGTGTGCGATTTAGACTTCCCAGTCCACGCGGGGCGATCCCTCTCCTCCCCTCCCCTGCCCCTGCACGCGCGCTCTCAGCCAGATCGGCTGCCTTTGCTCTGCATTCCCCTCTGACGACCGACCTCTTCGATCGATTGAGATCGAGAAATTTGGCAAACTCGGTATCATCATCCTCCTCCTCCTGACCTCCCTCTCCTCTCCTGCCTGACTCCACGTATCTTTCCCCGCACCCGGCCTCTCTGTCTCTCTGTCTCTCTGTCTCGGCGTCGCAGGATCATCTCGAATATCGAAATCGCAGGATAGGAATTTGTATTTCGCCCCTTCCACCACAAGTAGCAAGTATAATCAAGGACGACCACACACATACACCTTGACCAAACAAACAAGGAAACAGCATCATCAGCACGATCTCGAATCTCTGTCACTCATCCTCGCTCGGTCGACAAGGTCTACCAGGAGAACTCCCGCGGACAAACAAGAAGCGAACGATAAACTTTGGGATCGGGACCTGACACCAGTCATCAGCTTTGCCTTGTGAGAGACAAATCGCAATCGCCTTGCACAGCACCCTCAGCAATCGCCTCTTTGTCGCTCCGTTACTCTTTCGCTCTTACCCCGCAAGCAAGCCTGACGTATCCCAGAGCGCCGATCACGGGGGAGACAGCCTTCTGCCAACGGCCGATCGCGACAACCTGAGCACGTCAAAAGCGATTTGACGAATCAACAACCATATACATCAGTTCGACCGACCGACGTTTTGCATCGAGGCAATCGTATTGGTATACAGCAAGGCCAATACATCAACTTCTTTCAGCTCGAATAGCTCGCACAGAAGGGTAGAGCCGAGATCGAATGGCTTGATCACAGGTGTGACTCTTGTAGGTGAGTCCATACACGCCTGAACATCTCTACCTACATCGCGATCGACGTCCGATCGCGGGTTGTTAGACAACTTACACTGACTCTCTTACTGTCTACTTCACTATACAACTATTTTACACTTCAGATAACTACTCCCAATTCAACGCCTCCTCTTTAGCCTCTACCGAAACACGACTGGAATAGCCTAACAAGATACACATCAACCCATATCCCCCTACCTTACGCCTCTTCCCATCTCGATCGACGTCTTTCCGGATCACCAATGTCGGCTCTTTCAGATCGAATGAGAACCCATCCTACATCTACCTCTCCTATCACCTCTACATTCATCCCTTCCCCTCAACTCAGCTCCGATCGGCACATCGGTCAGCAGCAGCAACCTGACCATCACGCGCCCGATCTCGCCTCTGCTGGTATCGGTCAAATCGACTCCAACACCACCTCGAATACGAACACCGTACCTATCACCCCATCTTCGGCGGCTCGTCGTCATCGACCGTTGCAGATCGATCCTTTGGACACGACTCGGAGGGTCAACTATCGACCTACAGCGCTTCCAATGGATCACGATCGCAATGTCGATGACGATGCTGGTGGCGCGAGGTGGTTGAGCGAAGACGAGGGTGGCGAGACTGTCAGACGGACCACCCGATCGGGGAGTTTCGGGACTGGAGTAGGAGGGAGGGGATCCAGGGCGAACGATATCGCTGGAGGCCCACCTAGAGGGTCAGGGTTGGGATTAGGGTTCGGACCTGGGGAAGGTGGCGAGGATGCCAATCGTCTGGAAAGGGACGCTTGGGGCGTGACTAATTCCAGGAGCCTGCAGGCAGGATCGTCATCTGGCTCGATCGACGATTCGCAACAACCTCGATCGGGGCTGGAACAAGCCAAAGCGCATTGGAAGTCGGTAGGTCCGTCTCGGGGTAGGTTGAGGCGGACGGTTAGCGGCGGAATCGAAACGTCCCCGACAACGACGACGGGTCAGAATGCTGCTTCGCATTCGCAACAGAGTGGGTCGGAGCACACATCGGTGGCAGGACAACAAGCCGTCATTAGCGGTCATCCGGTCGCGCCATCTTCTGGGATTCCGATGCCAGAGCTTCATAGTCTGGCACCCCCACCGCGTCTTTCAACTGGTGGGGTCTCGACATATCAAGCATCAGATCCTGTCGCCACCACAAACCCTACAACGGCAGTCGCCTCGAGCTCTAGGTCGTCCTCGCCTCAACGACACGCGGTAGTTGTGGAGACTACAGATACCGGCCTCACTCGGCATTCGAGTGATGCCGCTGCTGCCCTCGCCCTGTCTTCGCTCGGAATGGGAGAAGTTCCCGACTTCGCTGCTGGTCGAGGTGGAGACGGGATCAGTGGATCGGGAATACCTAGCAGTTCCAAGACTGCAACAGAACATGTGAAAGAGAGCCTCAGGCTCAAAGAGGAAGAGAGGCGGAAACGGAAACAGATCGTGGCAAAGTTGTCCCAGATCTTGAAGTGGTGAGTTTCCATTCTGCCTGCAGAATCGATATGAACGGTTTGTGCTCACGGTTTCTTCGAACTACAGCCCGTGTTGTCCCCCTGATTCGAAGGACCAGACGCCATTCCTCAACCACCCGGTGACCCTCTTCTGTGGTCATACATTCTCCTCAAGTCATGTCCGAGTACCTCATGTACCTCAACCGGACGTCACGGGATACCCTGCGGCCGACGCTTTCGGGATCATGGAGGCGTATCACGCGAGAAGGCTTGCGCTCTGGTCAAAGGTGCCATGTCCGCTACCGAAGTGTCCCCGACATGTAGGACGTTATCGACATGCTGCACAGCCTGGTCTAGACGAGCCGGCCTTGCAGTCGACGGAACAGCCGATATGTAACGCCCAGGGGGTTACCTATTACCCACCTGTCGATGGTAATGATGTTGACGAGACCGACGCAGGTATCGTTCGGTGCCCGCCTCCTTCGGATCTGAGCGGGTTGTCGATCGACAAGAGCCTGATGGACGTGACCGTCGCGAAGGTGCTCGCTCTGGTCTGGAAACAAATGACTCAAGACGCCTTGGAAGATCGACGGGTCGAATCATTGAGGCCGTCGTTGAGCCGATCGGCGTCAACAGAGACTGTCGCCACCGAAACGGATGGCCAGGAAGCAGACGATGAGGACGACGCGGCAAATTGGGCACAGAGTCACAAGCGAAATCGGCAGATGGGTCATGCACGCGCTACCGTATTGAGCGATGATTCGATCACGGCACGCAGCCCTGTCAAGCTGACTAGGACGTCTTCAAAACGTCAACGCCAGTCAACCAGCGCTGATACATCGCCTCCTCATAAGCGGGCGACACAACTCCCGACTGCTTCGGATGTCGCTTTGGGCAACGACCGCCCATCTATCGGTCGAAGGAAGGGCTCCATGTCGTTCGAAAAGGAGCTTGGTGGGGTGTTGGAATGTGATGTCTGTGCGCAGATCATGCACAAGCCGGTGACGACTCCCTGTCAACACGTGGGTACAAGTATCGCCTCGCGCTCCCCGCTCCGTCAAGCTAATTCTGAATGCATACATGCGCTGTAGACGTTCTGTTCTTCCTGCTTGGCACGCTCGCTGGACCACTCGGCGAAGTGTCCGCTGTGTCGGCAGGATCTGCCAGCCATGAACTTTTTCCAGGATCAGACTGTCAACAAGGTCTTGACTGACATCGGTAAGCTGCGATGTTGTCCTCGACGACCTGCCGAATCCGAGCTAACTCTTAGCACAAACAGTCATGACCGCATTCCCCGAAGAGTATGCAGAACGCTTGCGGGCCATTGAAAGCGAAGAGCGGGACGCTCGACTCGATACACCAATCTTTGTCTGCACATTGGCTTTTCCCAACATGCCGACGATCTTGCACGTCTTCGAGCCGCGATACCGTCTCATGCTTCGGCGTTGTATTGAGTCAGGCACTCCCCGCTTCGGCATGGTCCTGCCGGCGCGAGGTGCCGGGAACGGAGGCATGACAGGTGTGCTCGAATACGGGACGATGCTGGACATCCGGTCCATTCAGATGTTGCCGGACGGACGAAGTATGGTGGAGGCAATGGGAAGCTATCGATTCCGTCTTTTGGAAAAGGGTTCTCTCGATGGATACACTGTTGGAAGGGTAGAAAGGTGAGCGATCCGCTAGACCGTTTCGGATTATTTGTTTGCTGACAGACTTTGCAACATGCCACAGGATCGAGGACATCGCCGTCGAAGACGAAGTCGCTCTCGAGCAGATGTCGATTGAGCGCGCTCGTATTCGTGGCAATAACCCTCAGATCATCGAGAATAACGCTTCCGAATCTCGGTCCCGCAACGCATCACCTTCGCGTCCCGGTCTACCGCGATCAAGCACAGCTGCTGGCCGCCCCGCATCTAGCGGTACAACTATGCCTCAACTCGCTGCTCCTGTCCCAGCCAACGAGACTCACGAGCCATCGACTGCTGAGCTCATGGGCCTCTGCAAAGAATTCATAGACCAGCTTCGCTCTGGCAGCGCACCCTGGCTGTTGCAGCGGCTGAATAGCACGTACGGCGCCATGCCCGAGGATCCCAGTACCTTTTCCTACTGGATGGCCCTCGTCATGCCTATTGACGAATACGAGAAAGCCCGTCTCTTGCCTATCCGATCGCCCCGCTTGCGGCTAAAGCTGATCGTCCATTGGGTGGAACAATTGCGATCTTCCTGGTGGTGGGTCTTTCGGTACCTGCGCCCTCATTCGACATCATCTGACAGCGACTCTGCGCATTCGTAATCTCCCTCCTATCTATAGGTTCTCGAGCGGGTGAGTGTCTTCTATTAGTATATCCGCCTGTAGGCGCGACAGCTGATCCCGTCAACTTCATTGCCTTGCTCTCCTTTCAAGGTGTGTCGTCGGCTAAATCTTGACTTGCTCAAACCGACGGCGATCTTATACCGATTCTATCAAACTCTATCTTTACCGACCCACCGCTATTCACAGCGAACGCAGACGGACTCGTTGAAGGTCTCGATGTATCGTGATCACGACCGGTCCCTTCACCCATGACCACAGATGTAGCCTTAGTACATTCCCCTAGCGTGGACGCGCAGATAACCAATGTAGCCTACTTTCGCTTGTATGCCTCTTCTATCAAGCCATAATGTATCGTGCCACCGCAGAGCCGTTCTTTCGCTTCTGTTCAACTCGCACCATAAGAGGTGACAACAGCGACGACGCGCCTTGCTCATGTGTGGGTGTTGGCAGTCAGGAGGTGATGACCGACGAGAAGATTTAACGAGCGGCGAGATACGACAAGATGATCAGGTGAGATGATGAGGTGAGACCATGGGATGAGCCCCAATGATCATCAAGTGATGATAAGAAGAGAGTGGAGCAAGATAAAGAATACGAGAAGACCAAGATCGAGAATACGACAGGTAGTCGATGTTACTCACCCTGGAGACTGCCGCGACCGCCTTCTCGCTATCCGCCGGATGCATTCTTAAAACGTTGCCGACCCCGGATGCGATCTTCCCCCCCCCCCCCCCCACCCCCTTTCGCAGAGGACAGATCCTTCAACACCCTCCTTCCCGTCTTATCTACGACTTTGTTCCATGTAAAATAAACAACACTGACGCCTGCAAGGGGGGGAAGCTTGTCGCTTGAGAGGGACGAGTATTGAAAAGCGGGTCTTGCTGCATGATTCAAGATTCTCCTCGGACATCGACTCACAATTGCCGTTTCGACAGGTTCTCGCTCGCATGGCAGTCGACATCATCTGTTTTCCAAGCTTTTCAGTCCTGATTCACCTTCGGGTTTCGTTTGTTGTAGACCGCAAAAAGTCGATACGATCAGGCCCGATGTTATCCACGAACGACAATAAACAGAAACATTGCGACCATTGGGCGGATAGGTTTCATGCGATGTCATGGTCGAACCCCACCTTGCTATCGCTATGGAGGACGTATGAAACGCATTATCATATTGTCTCCCGCTTCCGGAAATAGGTCCTTCGACACGCCATCCCGGGGTGGGTCGGATAAAGAAGGATTCTGGCGAAGGAAGGCTTGATCGACGCGGGATCAATTCGCGACAGTACCTCGATCGCTCTAAGGGCACGGGAGCGAGGGAGATCACGCGCGCTAGTCATCCATCAAAGCGAATGATGATTTGTCTCGGATCCACCTCCCTCTCCCTCTTCCACCCTCTCTCTACAGTTACCCGGTCGCCCTTGCGGCCCCTGGACATGCCCGAAAGAGGGAAAACCTCTCAGATCCTCGACTTGCAGCTTCCAGTTCATAGCATCATGTTCGTACGATAACATGTCGAGAAACTCGGTCGACCACCTCTTCTAGGTGGACTTTTCTCTGATCGACGACAAGCTACTTGGGATCGAACGAAGCGACTTTCGACCTGCGGAACAGCTACCTCGGCGACGATGACCGCCCTCGTTCACCCCATCTCCATCTTTGCCTTTCCCGAATCCACTCCTTCTTCTGCGTCTCGTACGGCTAGTTGGGGCACGGATACCGATGAGAATCAGGGATTATCATCCAGTACGAGTCAGACGAGCTCCATCGATCTCGATCAGGATCAGGATCGGGATCGGGGTCGGGGTCAGGACAGGAAGTTTAGCGGATATGAGCGGGCCACGAGGAGGGAGGACAAGGGTCTAGTGGTTGATTCGCCGAGGATCCTTGAGGAGGAGGTATACGCGGAGATGGCAGATTTCCCCATCGTGGGTAAGAGTTTGGGCTCTGAGGGGGTCGGACTGGGACTCGATAACGGGGAAGCGTATAGGTCGGAACGGGTCGAGCCTCGGAGTGACGAATCGCTCCGTACGGAAGCCCGTGAAGGAAATCCGACGAGATCACCTGAATCAGTCAACCATACAGCTGATTCACCAAATAACCTGGCAGCAACTTTGATGGACCGGGAGACCATACCTGCACCTACCGCCACCGCCACCCCGTCGCCTATCCCCCCTCTCCAGATCAATCCACCTACCCCCACTCCGGACAACCATCCGGAACAGTTCATCAACTCGTCATCTCGACCTCCATCCATATCCGTATTCACAACGGCATCAGCATCGAGCTCAACGACCGGGCTTGCGATCGAACCCGTCTCGCCCTTATCGATGCCATCGACCCTGCCTCCGACGCCCAACTCTGAGGAGCTTCCCTATCCCACCTTGTCCACCGGTGCCGAACTTCACTCTCAATCTCGGTCTACCACCCCGACACCGTCACTGAATCCCATCCCGAATCCGAGCCTGACCTTGACGCCAGGTTCGATCAAAAGCAACAGGAGGTTGTCCAGGAAACAGGCGCCGGCGTTGACAGAGTCTTTGGAGAACCTCGGGCTCGCTTTCGGGAGTGCGACGACGCTAAACTTGAACCTGGGCACGAGCGGTGCGAATGCGGGATTGGACATGGGGACAGGGGCAGTGGCGGACGAATGGGGTGCATGGAGGCACTCGAAAGGGTACACTGCGGGGAGTATGATCGAACTGGGCGCACCGTTGGGACGGGTCAGGTCGGCCTTGCCTTCCCCTTCGACTTCGACATCGACGTCGGGTTTTGGGTTTGGGTCTCCGAGCGGTTCGTCTGCGAAGAAAACGGGAGGGTATACGACGACGAGTACTAGGAAGCAGGAGATGGGCGAGAGACGCAAGTCGCTCGGGCCGGGTCTTGGGCTCGGTTTGGGACTCGGCTTCGGGTTAGGGTCGAATGTCGAGGGTGTGGAAGGGAAGAGGAGGTCATCCGAGGAGGACGAAGACAAAGTCAAGAAGGGCGGCAGGCGGAAGAGTGGACAATTCTTGACGTTTGCCGGGTTTGGGAGGAGGAAGAGCGAGATGTCCTTGAAGGATATATCGTCACCATTGCCCCTCAAGCAGCAGCAGCAGCAATCTCCAGAGGTCCTTCTAGAGGACCCGGTCAGGATCTCGGTGGAAGCGCCTAGGTTGCCACCGATCGTTATTGATGGCGATCGAGGGGTCAAGCTCAAAGTCCTGCCCGGCGCAGAATCCTTACCTGTCTCCCCTGCATCCGCGTCCAAGTCCATAGATTCGTCTTCCCCGCCAAAACGACAATATCAGCAACAGCATCTCCTTGGGGTGCATGATCGGAGGGATAGGAGACGGATCAACCCGCCTGTCATTCCCGCTCGGATTGATTCCCTTCCCGTCGACCCGAATAGTCCCCGAGCGGTCTTCTTGCGGACTGCACAGGAAGACCAAGAACAGTTGCCTTTGGAACATTTCTCTTTCGGTCAGACAGAGGGAGACGCGATAATCAAAACCAATGAAGCGAGGAGACCGTCCGAAAGGACTTTCATGACGGGTTACAGTCTCGCCGGGGGCGCCGATCCAGGTACCACCGATGAGGAGGTCTTGCCAGCGGGTACGATCGATCTAAACGTTGATGACGACGACGATCAACGGGCGATCAGGTCAGGCCATGTGCCATCGAATTCGGCGGTGAGCGAGGATCGGCCTGTACTGTTCACCGCGCCGCCGACGGGTACCAGCACTCGCCCCAGAGAAGATCTGCCCTTCGGTCGATCTAGGCGACAGCTCGGGACTGACTCCGGAGCCTCGACGCCGTCTATAGTCCTAGCTGGTAGTTCCTCAACGCCGAGGGTCGAGGCTTTGACTCCTTCGAGCTCGTTCCGCGGTCACACTCGCAGCAGGACGGCTTCGCCGCCGCCATTCGCTCAGTACGGTCGCAGCGAGAGCAAGCAATCAATGAAGACGGTCGTTGCCAAGAGGAGGCCGGTGCAGTGGGCCGAATTGGATGCGCTCGAGGCGGAAGAGGCGAGGTTGCGAGCTGAGGAGCGACGGGAGGAACGCGCTCGACGGGACAAGGAGAAGAGTGAGGGGAGAGGTGTGCTTTCAGGACGACGGGCGACTACAAAACGGTCCAAAAGCGCTAGGGGTGACAAGAGCGGAACATCGACCGACACATCTGCGGATGATGTCAAGCTCAAGCGCGAGGGCTATCGTGAGCGCAAGGCGAGGTTGAAACGCGAAGCGGAAGTTTTCGATGCGATGCAACATACGATCCCCGGCTACGATGACCTAATGGCAGCGAGTATGATTGAAATCAGGGACGATCAGGGGACCAAGATCGAGTTTGGGAAGCTGATCGAAGGTGGACTCGGGAAACGTTATGTCGTCATTTTCATTCGACATTGGTATTGTCCGCTTTGTGCGCAATATACCGAAAGCATCATCCGGACAATCGACCAGGAATCGCTCGATCGGGCCAATGTCGAGTTGATCATCATCGGAAACGGGTCGTACAAGATGATACCAGGTTACAGCAAGTCCCTCAAGTGTCCCTTCAAGATGTATACCGATTCCAAGTTGCGACTGTACAAGGCGCTGGGGATGACCAGGCAGACCGGCGATGCAGGGGCCGAGGACGAAAAGGGAGACTATGTGAGAATGAGCAACCTAGAAGGTACCTGGCAGGTCGCCAAACGAGCCACCAAGATGCCGCTTAAGAAACCAGGGTAAGCCCCGGTCAGCTCAGACAAATCCCAGTCGCCATGCTAATGGCAGTGTCAATCTTGTTCCAGCCACTTCACGCAGATCGGAGGAGAATTCATATTTAGCGGGCCCACTGAATGCACTTATGCTCACAGGATGAGTAATACCCGGAACCACGCTCCCATTCGTGATATCGTCGCCCTCGCTGGGGTCCATCTTGACTTTTTCCATGGCGAACGAGGTGAGTATTGGCGTTCACTTTTCTAGACGACTGCGTTTCCTGATAACTTTTCGCGCGCTTGTTCATCAGGGCCTCCTCCGCCCGAGGTTCATCGCCCAAAGACAGATGGAGATACTCCCGACGGGATGACCTTTGGTAACTGGGGCGAGAGCGGCATGGACTTCACCCAAGCCGAGAGATACGCCATGGAGTCCCGGCGCGAGAGCGAAGGGGAAGGTTGGCTGGTCGCACGGGAAGAAGAGCTCGAGCGGGTCAGACTAGCAAGACAAGGTAGAAGATCAAACGCCGGACTTCCTGGAGAAGCATGTATGCCGCAGATCCTCAGCGATTCAGAGGCCGAGTTCGATACCCCTGTCAGTCGTAGCAATGGGATCACCAGGACGCATAGCCGATTTGTAGAGATGATCGACTCGCCGGTAGCGGCGACATTCGAAGAAAGAAACGAGTCGTAAGGGGGCAAGCCAAGGATCGAGAGGCGCTCTTCGATGATGTCCGCCTGATCGCGGAAAATTGTGGACATATAATATCATACCCTTGTGTGCTACTTGAAGCAGTTCAGGCCTCGCAGTCGTTACCGGCATTCTACTCGGCTCTCAAATGTAGTCATGCAGGTTTTGATGACGCTGCATCCGAATCTTACGCCCACGCTTCGCTCCATATCGCTCGCTTACCAATGACGATCACGCAGAACCGATGGAGACGGCAAAAGGTATGCATGCCATCCAGCCGTTTGAATGCAAAATACAAAAGAATGCTCGTTTCCGATCTCGGAATGGTGTTACAAGACTTGTGCCTCTCAAGTGTGCCTCTCAACTGGTAATTTGCTTTCCTCAGGTTGGGCTTGTTTAGGGTCTGTGTTGTGAATGCAAGATGTGTAGAAAAATATTCCATGTGCAAGTGGTGCCGGGAAGGGCGGTGAGGGGGCCTTTTAGGGCCGAGGCGGGGTCACAGGGCGACTATGTATGGTCCCAAACGTACGAGGAGCCTATGTAGTCGCAGTGTCGCAGAGAGGCTGTCAGCAAGGCTTGAATCGAGGCATCTGATATCCTTCCCCATCACTAACCTCGGACGGAGGCGCATCGCTGGCGGAAACGGTCATGGGAGGAGGCTCGTCACCAATCTGATGCGTCGCTACATTGAGGTCGGCCACAGACAATGTCGAAAGGCTGCGCAAGAGCGGCCGCACGTAGGAGGACGTCGATCCCTGCCGTGACTTGATCTTGCCACTGGCGAATTCGGCAATCGAGATCGAATTCCGTGCGCTATGACCTCGAGTCAAGCTATGAGCGCCATCCCGGTACCCGCCATCGATGGGCGTCATACCAGACATGCCCAAACCCAGGCCGAACATCGAGCTTGGCCGTCGGCCAAACGGATCGCCAAAGCCAGAGTTGCTCGAATTGCTTCGACGCGCACGACCTGGACGTATGTGACTCGCTGTCGACAGCTCGGATGTGGCTGATAATGGGGTTGTGACTTCGCGAGGTGTTCCATGAGCTGAGTCTCGAGGGGAGATCAACGTCTCGATCTTGTTGTCTTCCGCCACTGACGCGTCCTCCCGCTCTGGTCCTGACTCCTCGTCAGTGAGCGCGTTCGACTGAATTCCGCTTATGTTCGAGTCCGAGTCCCACTCTTCGACGGTTCGGACTTCTGCGCGGAATTCTTCCACCTCTCGGTGGATCGTCTCGCGGAACTCTGCCAGTGATTGGATACCTTCAACCTCTTCCCACTTGTCGAACTTGATCGGACACTCGGGTTCGTCCGTATCATCATGGTACGGTGCGAGGTAAGGATGTAGTAAAGCCTCCTGCACCGTCATCCGATCGGCCGGATCGAACGTGAGCATCTTCTCCAGAAGGTCCACGGCTGCGGGCGCGGAATTAAATGACAATTCGAGTTCGACTGAAGATTCGCAGTATCGACTTACCGTTTGGATCGGCATCCGGGAACAGTTCGGCAAATGGGACCTTTTCGCTCTTTGGCAGGCTCCTGATGTATTGACACGCCCTTTCGCTTCCCACACGTTCCAAGGTGGACTCGTCAGGTGTCCCTAAGGTCTGCAAGATCAGGTTGAGTTGGTCGATGTAGCTGATGCAGCAGCAAAGGTCAGCGCGCGACCGAAATTGTATACGAGAAGGCGTCAATACTCACTCCTTTCCCTTGAAAAGCGGTTTGCCTCCCAACAGCTCGGCCAAGATGCATCCTATCGACCAGACATCGACTGCAAAGCGACCGCATTAACAACAGTTACCCAGCTTGCCCTCACAACCTCTACACTCACTTGCAGTTGAATACCGCTTGAAGGAGAGCATGATCTCGGGCGCCCTGTACCACCTCGTCGCGACGTATTCCGTCATGGCTCCACCTTCAGGCATGGAATTAGGATCCCACTCGGTTGGATCAGGCTTAAAGCCGCGTGCCAGTCCGAAATCACAGATTTTGAGCTCGCAGTCGGCGTTTACGAGGAGGTTGCCCGGTTTCAGGTCTCGGTGGATGACGTTGGCCGAGTGTATATATTTCATTCCTCGGAGGATTTGGTAGAGAAAGTAGCAGATATGAGAGTTGGTGAGTTGTTGTCCCGAGCGGATGATCTGGTGGAGGTCGGCTGCGACATGAAATGAGATGAGTATAAGCTTCGACCATGGACATCCAGACTGTTCAAGACGCACCTTCCATGGGTTCCATGAACAGGTAACTGTGAATATATAGATTCGGATCAGCTTGAGCGGACACCTCGAATTGCCGCGCTTTTCAGACTGACATTTCGTTGAAGTCATCGAGCACGACCTAATCAGAAAAGTGTTGAGATGAGCGAGACGAGCGGTCATGCGCAATCTCGTCATAAACTTACGTCTAGATCGATCAACCCGGTGATCTATCGATACCGACATCCAATCAGCTTCAAACTCCGCTTCGCGCAGGCAATACAGACTCACATTCTCATGCCCATTCAGATGCCTCAACAAGGTCAACTCTCTCAGACATCTCCTCGCCAAGATGACCTTGTCAAACACCCTCGTCAAGAGCTTGATGGCGATCTTTTCCCCCGAGATCGAGTCTTCGGCCGAGATGACCAGTCCGTAAGCTCCCTGCCCTAGCTCTCGAAGACGGGTCCAACGATCCTCGAGATGAAAGACGTGCTTGAAGAGGAGGTGTGATTGGTATCCTCTACGGAGACGAGCGAGAAGAAAAAGGATGAGAGAGGATTTAGTGCTCAGGGCGGCTTCATGACTCGTCTCGTGGCGAGGGGCCTTTCATACGGATCAAGCATGCCAGACTCACCGCCTAGCGAGTGCCTTTCCACTCAGGGGATGTTCCACCTCATCGTCCACGTCGAGCGGCAACCCTTTCCCCTTTCTCGCAGCGATAGCCATGGCCATCTTGCTCGCTCCCGCCGCTGAAGAGTGGGTCTGAGGGTAAGACGCTCCAGTACCGGTAGTATTAGGTGCCGAGGAAGAGGTGACTGGTCGGTGGGAAGTCGAGGTTGTAGGATTGGAATTGGAGATGGAATGACTGGCGAGGTTCTGTTCGGACAGTCCTGGGCGGGACGATGAAGAAGACGAGGACGAGCCGCCGACGGCAGAGGTGGTGGTTTTGGGAAAAGGAACCGACCCGATATCCAGCTCGTCCACCGCAACCATACCTCCTCCGAAAGCCAATTCCGATTCCCCTTTCTCTGACCCATCCTGACTTTCGAGTTCTCTATTATCATCCTCTCCTCTGTGATCATCCGACCCCGACCCCGACCCTGACCCGAACTGGTAGCCCTGCTCGCTCTTTCCCCCAGACTTCAGACTCATCCCTGGTGTGTTCACCCGACTCGTAGGGGCTGTACTATAGAACCCCTGGGTATACGAGGTGGACAGGCCCGTTGACGATGAGAGCGAGGAAGCCGAGGCCGAGGTGGGCGATCTTGGGACTGATCCAGAGGCGGATGTCTGGTTCGGATGAGAGAGTGGGTATGGAGAGAATGGGGGCATCGAGGTGGATCGTATCGGAGTGTCCCTTTCGATGAATCGCGATCGAATGGACAAGGACGGATTCGAGTCCGAGGGTGGTCCTTTGCCGTGTTATGAGCTGTGCCAAAGTTCCAGGTCGAGGTGGTCAACGCACGAAAGTGCACTGACTACAATGCTTTGCGATATCAGAGCGATAATTCTGGATAATAGTTGTTTGCCTTTCTGCCGGTTGTCTATGGCGATGCGGGACTATGGTACGAGGTGGTGTTCGATGGATGGTCGTATGGGACGGATGTAGCTATTTGCACCGAGCGGGGGGTCTTCAAGGTTTTGTTATCGCGTTCCTCTCGATGAAATTGCGTTATCGAACACCTCTGGACGGGAAATTTTCACGGCCGCTGAGTGCCGTTTAGCAGTTCCACGACAAGGTTTGACGTGACGATGACAACGAGCAGGAGGTCGATGTATCGTAGGATGTAGGACCGCAGAGTCTCTGTATAATTGTGGTCTGCAAGATTCTGCTGTGTATATCCTCGATTTGTGTCGATCAGGAGAGAGGCGTTGCGGGGAAGGGGAGGAGGAGGAGGAGAGCAAGAGATTCCGGTGAGTCAGGAAGGAACCGCACTGTCTCACTTGGTCCTATACAACGTCCAGGTCTGCTGATAGATTAAACGAGAGGGTAGAGGCAGAGAGGTCTAGCGGCTCGCATCTAGCATCTAGAGATATGGGGAACCTAGGAGCAAGTCAGTTATCTCTGCTCGCTGCGTGCTGCTCGACTGATACCAGAGAGTGCATACTTGATCGACACAACCCTCACCCTTTTCGCTCGGACGACTCTGACGCGACGGACCGAGCCCACACCTAGAACGTGCCAAACGTTGTCGATCGTCCTTGCATCATCATTTATTGCCGAACGTCCGAACGCTGCAACCCTTGCCCCGCGGAACAGGGAACAGGGAACACTAGTACTGCAGGAGCATGGAGCAAGAAGGCAATGAGGTTACACGAATGTGTGGGGGTGGCTGGAAGTCGGGGATCTACCATGGCGAGGTCGCGCGAGAAGCCTCGTGATACCCAACGGGGAAACTCTAGCCGGACATCGACGGGCCTACTAGCTACTAGCTACTAGCCAACGTCTCGAGAAGGAGAACATCTACATCGAGTCGAAGACAGGCAAACGAATCAGAATGGGGACAAAACGGCAAGAGTGCCGAGTCCCAGCTGGTGGTTGAACAGTTGTAGCACTACTGCTGCTATCGCACCTTCATTCGCTGCTACGGCGCGCTGAATGGCGCATGTCGCACAATTGGCCTTTTCCGAAGTATGAAACGGGAGACAAAGTCGATTTCATCTTTTGAGGGGCTTCTTCGAGCATGAAAGGTTCTCTTGATTCATATCGGTGCTCTCGGTTCACGCCACCTTCTCAGCAAGTGTGCTCAGTGATCTTTCGGAAGAATGTGCTTCGTCGAAATGCCGGCACTCAGCATCGAGTAGCATCGCTTTCGCGAAATTTGAACCGTATGACCTTCGACAGGCCTGTCGGGACAGGCGTAACATCACATGAAATTCTACAGGGGTTGGCCGCACCAGTGGTCGATCCGACTTGTTGCAGCGAACATCATCATTTTCTTTTGTATGGGCCTCCTTCCGCAGATATCGTCACAAGATCTTTCGAGCGATGCGCCGCTTCTTAGGCACGGACTGTAACAACGATCTTCAAAGACGTCGCTCGTTGTATCGTCGCGAAGACTTTTATCAAAGCAACGGGCTTCCAAGAAGTCTTCTTGCCGTTGCTTGGTTACCCGCAGCTCTGACATGACCTACCCCTACAGATCTGCTGATCGAGGCGGGGAGGCGATGAAAGGAAGACCTTTCATGTTACACCATGTTACAGCGGCAAGGGAAAGTATATATACTAAGCTCTCCGGCTTGACTTGGAATTCTGCGGCGGCTTAGGCGAATTCTTCATACTCTCAATTCTCACTAGATCCTCCTCCTCACCTTGGACATATGGCGGAATATCCAAAACCTGGGAGCTACTGGGATACCCCCAACCCATATTCAGGATCTGAGCCGGATATTCGGAGTGGCGATGGCAGTGGAATCCTTCCTTGGGATGACAATGCGTTAGATCCGGGTAATTTTGGACCGAATGCATACCGAATGGACGATTGGACAGACGAGCGATTCGATTGGAATACAGGGACAGTCTTTATGTCCGGAGTCAGCGATACCCAAAGCTCAACGGAGCATACAGTCGATCCATCCTCATGGCTGGCTACCCTGAACAACCCGCTGTCGATTTCTACCAACTGTGTGAATCCCGCCACTTCGACTGCTTCCGTAAGCCCTTCGGAAGGAGTAGGAATTCTGCAATGGAAACAAATGGATAGAGCCTCGCAAAATAGGTTGAAGAGGTTATATACACAGCAGTATGTCAAGGAAGGAGACGAAGATGATCTAAAGCTGCGTAGAGACATTTGGCAATCCCTGTGTGGAAAGAGTACAGAAGCTGTCATGCTCAACAAGCAGGAAGTCTTCTCCAGAGTCTGTAACGCTGAGTCGCTGCGCGGGAAGAAGTGTGATGCGATCCTTGTGGTCTACAGTATGGATGCCGAGGTGGAATGGTCATGCTTCAAGTGCAATAATCGGGAAGCTAGCCGTAAAGTTCGGTGGAAGAAGCGGCAGAACAAGGCACATAGTGATAAAGATACGGGAGGGCGGAGAGTGATAGTAGACCAAACGAGAAATAACGCAGATAGTGAGGATAGGACAGGGTGGGAAGTGATAGGATGGGAAACCAGAGATACGAGTACAGACTCTAAAGTAATACGCAACGTGATCAACGCTCAAAAATTCCTCGCAGCCGAGTAATCCTTTCAAGCGATGTTGCTAGAATGTTTGTAGAGATGCTCTTAGCTGTATGGGCTTGTGTGTGATGCTACGACGCAATATGAAATACTCGCCTCCCTCAGAAGTAGGTTCAGATCGACAGGCAGTAGTAGTAATAACATCAGCATCATCGTTAAACTTGACGGATGTAACTGGGTAGGAGTCGATTAGCTGCTGTTCTTTTCGGGGAGGGTTATCATCGGTACTTCAATGACAGATATGGTTGACTCTATCGCTGTGCACGTCCGTCAACTGGACAGCTAAACTATATTTATAGCTCAACGTGTTGCGAAGCATTATTGGTGCGATTTCAGCATGAAATTGAAAAGAGATACTCCCAGAAGTTTCTGTCCCAAGTAAGTGATCTGATGGCTCGACCACCAATGAACCAGAAAGAACAAGCGCGATCCCGCGTCCGTGTCTGATCAAGCTCGACCGCGATAGATCGATCGTATTCTCAGTCAGAACGAAATATTGGAGTTTGCAGCAGGTGAGGAATTGTGCTGAATATGTTGCACTCGCATGATTAAGCGATTGCTAGCCAGACGTGTATCAGGTCTGTTGTGCAAACGGCTCCGACAATCGACGATCCGACCAGAGTCCAACCGCGCCAGCGCTAAATCCATTTGTGTCCCGTCATGGAATTGTAAAAGATTGGTTTGAACAAATGTTGTCATCGGCCTGTTCAACCGTTCCGATGAAACTTATTGCAAGCTATGATCATAGGATGATCGTAACGATCGACGAAAACGGCGCTTCTGCATCCACGACTTCAGCTAGGTGGGAGGGATACGTTGGAAGAAAATACTCGTGAGTAGCGAAATATAGGAATACCACAGCAAATAAAGGATACGTGGTGGAACAACGGAACACTCGTAGCGCCTCCCTTGATATTGGCGGCAGGGTAGGTCCGATCAAAGGAAGACAACGTCCGAGAGCCATCCGTATGACAACACGCTAAGACATAAAACGTATAAAGAAGTAGCTGTTTCTCAATCCCATCATAAGCGCTATGTCTTATACGTCCTTGTGTGTTTCTCAATCGGCTCATATTGATTGTGATGGACGAAGATTTCACTTATCACCAGAACCCTGACGGGACATCCGGCTACTATCAAGATGCTACCGATCAGGAGAGCCTCCCAAGCCAGAACCCGTGGTATCTAGGGCATTCGACAAGCGCAGGGTTGTACGGCGGGACTCCAGGCAGCACGTCTGGCTACCAATACTTTCCAGGATCTGTTCAGACTCCATACGCTTGGCAATCCGCGCCCGAACAATACCTGAACCCTGACACTTCATCGAATACTCTTCTGACTGAATCCTCTATCGGACTCAACGCCCTGGACTTGGTCAGATGGGAAGATATGGACAAGCCATCACAAGAAAGGCTTCTCAAATGGTACAGTTCGAAGGGTATAGATAAGGGTGATGAGCACGATTTCAACCTTCGAACTGCCTTGAAGGAGACCCTCAAGCGGGAACAGCAGAATGTCCGCCTCCTGGACCAAAATATCCATGTGAGATACTGTGGAGAGTCGATGAAGCGCGGCGAGGTGTGCCAGGCAGTTCTTGTGTTGCCAACGGAGAAGAGGAAGAGTTTGACTGCAGAGACGCTGCAATGTCGCAGATGCCTGCACCGTAAAAGCATGATGAATACTCGCCTAAGAGCAGCACAGAGGAAGGCAAACGCAGAAGAAACAGGATGAAAGGCAGGGAGAAGTGCTAGGCAGCGACGGGGCTCATTGGGCTATTGACCTGGAGGGCACCAGATGAGAGAGCCGATATACTAGTACTAAGTAGACAGACCCGTATGGAGGATTTAGGTATCATATATCCATCCTGTTTGTTCATATCAAGGGGAAAGACTCGCGCTAGATCGCCATTCAGAACTCCCTCGTAGCGTTCCTTCAAACATCTTGGGCAAACCACAAGCCATGTTAGATCAGGGCGATAGGAAGCTGACATCAGAGGAGAAATGTGTAAAGCCCAAGATCAAGAAATTGAGGCGCGCGAGGGAGAGGTTGCACCATGGACAGGTGAAGCTGTGGGAGCGACATTATGATTGCTACCGCTAAAGCAGTGGGTGGCAAAGCAGCGAACGGCATGGATGACTAGCAGTAGAAGGACATTGATCGCCTTCGCCTCGTATAAGTATTGCTGCGTATCATCCCATGGCATACCACCAGAAAGAAGTTATCCGAGGGATGTCTTTCGAAAAAACACATCGCTCGCACATAGCCATTCCGCCGTGATCCGCGATCTTTTCCTTGATCGAACTAGCTCGAAGAGTTCCCTCGATGCACGCTTACTGCTGGCTATATATGCTGAACACGAGGCACCGCTTCTGATGCGTCTCATTAAAGCTATCCTGTTGGAAGGAGAGAACACACGGATGTCATTCAATCGGGCAGGCTGCGAAGCCGCCAACGTTGCAGGTGAAACAACCAGACGTTTCGGATTTCACCCAGGTCCAAGAGTCCTGGTACATCTCACCAACCAGAATCTAGATTGGAACGCACGAGGATCGCTGAGGTGCATTTCAATATGTATACAAGATACCGGACGGAATACAACAGATACAGATAGCATAGATACAAGACTGTAACGCAAGAAGAGCCAAAGGACAGCGGGACCGATACGCGCTACTTTTTCCTCCCCTTCTGTTTCTGTTTGGGTTTCCCGTTGCTGTCCTCGAGGCCGAGTACGGCGACGCAATCGGGACAGTACCAAGTCTCTGGTAGAGGAGGATCGAGCTTGACACACCTGAGATGGAACTGCACGCGTAGAATCGAGCAAGTTGAATTGTATTCCTGGGTTAGTATCGTCGGTTCGGTGACGAAGTGTAGCTCGCTAGTCCCAGACTCACCCATTCGAACCTGCACTCCTGATTGTCGCACCCGATCATCTCGCCCCAACTCTTTTCCTGGCAGAAACAGTAGAGCGCGTTATCGTCTCCGTTCTCCTCGGCCTCGCCCTCGGCATCCATATCGACCTCGACATCGACTTCCACCTCTGGCGTTTGACTTGGAAGTCGGTTCTTACGGCCCGGATTCGCGCTGCGGGAAGAGACGGGGATGTGTTGATGGTACGAGGGCGCGCCGGAGTGCAGAGCAGGAGAGAGGTTGATAGATGAGTGAGCGTGCGAGGCGGGAAGATGCAAGGATGGCAGGGCAGGAGGAGGCATGTCGTGATAAGATGGGGTGACGGTGCCAGACAGATGAGTGGATTTCCGTTCTACAAGTCGAATTCGATCAGCGGCCGCACATCGGTCACCCAACATAAGAACGCAGAGACATGACGACTCACTCTTGGTAGAACGCTCGTCTGCGGCAGTGACAACCGAGATCGCCCCCGGTCCCATCGAACCCCTCTGCGAACCCCCCTGTCCGCCCAACCCAGGCCCGTTCAACCCTAATCCTCCCGCCGTTCCCGCACCCGTGCTCGAACCGGGTACGATCATCCCCACGCCACCCGTATACTGGTTGACCATCTGGGCCAGCCCGGTCGGGTTCGTCAGATCCACCTCCCTCTCGGCCTTGATCAACCCTTCGACGACTTCCTCGCCAGCGATCTTCTTGTACTCTTCCCTCCCTCGTTCTTTATGCCGAGTGACGATCGAGACGAGGCGGGTGGCCAGGGCCGTCTTTTCCGATTGGATGAGATCTATCTTGTTCCATTCGGCGGTGATCTTTGCGTAGGCCTGGTGGTCCTTTGCGGAGAGAGGGTTCAAGGAAGTACCACTTTGGTTGGCACCGTTAGGGGTTGATGGGTGGTTGTTTTTAGCATTACGGAGGACGGCGGTGGTACGCTGGTTGAGACGAGTCTGGATCTCTGCGATATCGTCATAAAATGAGGGTATCAGTCCAACTGGCAAGGTAGTTCCTTGAAAGGAAACAGGGCTCACCGGCCATCCGTTCGTCTTTGTAAGCAATCTCTTTCAAGATATGTTCGACCTCGTTCGAGACATTGTCAAGCGCTATGTGTCCCGGCAGTGGAAGAGACTGAGCTTCTCGATAGACGTATGGACATATGACTCGGGGACTCACAGTGGAAAAAGTCCGTCGCAATGGCCACAGCATCCTCGTTGGGTAGTTGCGGCGTCATGACCGTGGGTGTGGTCCCGACCATCTTGTTATAAACGCCTCACTTCGGGGGTCTTCGATCTATTCTGATTTCCTGTACAGATGGTGCGAGATGTCTGTTTCCACTCGCTTCCTCTTCAACTGAACTCTAGAGTTCACTTGAATGGCCCGTATCGATTTTCAGATTTGCGTCGAGGTTGCTTCGAGGATCCGTTTGGCGGCCAAGCCCGGTCGCTTCACGTCTGAATCGTTTCACGGTCCCGTTTGGATGGTCGTCTCGGTGGGAGGCCGGGACGGTGAGTGTGAACTGTATCTAACAGAATTGTGCAAGAGAACGGGGTAGATACGCAGATATAAGCAGATGAAGCGAAACTCTGCGTAAATCATAGTGACCACCCAATTTCTCACCAATCACCAAGTCACCCCTTCCTCTACCCTGCGCCGGCCCTAGGGAAACTTTCGGTCTTGGCGACTACTCTGGCGAAGCGAGCACCTGCCTCTAGCCTCTAGCCTCTCTCTAAGCGAATTGGACCTTGGGTCTTGTCCTCCACCTCGTTGACATGTCTCTCATGCTAGCTGGCAGCGTCAACAACAACTTCATGCTCGTCCAGATAAGCCTGGGTGACAGGTCAGCACCGTATGCAACTTCATAACGTATAGATTCACTTCAAACGCTAGGTGAACCCACCGAGCTACCGCCCATAACCACCTCGATCGATCGCGAGGAGGACCTTCACAAGACACGCCAAGCTAGGTCGACGCATTATTGTAGGACGGCAAGGACCCCCTATCTGAGGAAGCGATCATCTCGAACACGATATCCGATCAGGTTTGATATCGGCTGCTTTCGGGACATCCCACTTGTGCTTGGTCCTCTAGATATCGACAATCGGCGATCTCCATATACACCTGAAGCAAACAAAGCAAAGCCTGACCCAGAGCTCAAGGTTCAACACCTCCACAAATGGCCGAACACGCCTATTTTGACCTAGGTCGACCGCTCGGTCCGTCAAGCCCCGTGGTAGTCGATCATAACACCGAGTACGATGATATGAACATGATCGGAAAGACACCACCCAGGAGCCCAGCGGATCGGTTGAAGCATCTGAAAAAGGTCGGTCTTGTCACGGTTACCACTCATGAGCTCTAGGTTGAACAGGCCGACTGACTCGATCGAGACTCGTGCTCTGCTTGATGCCCGATAGCACTTTGGTGAAGACGTACCTACATCCCCGAGCTCTGACTGGCCTCGGGTCCTGGTCGGTCCGGCAGACAACATCGCGCCCTCGACATCCAACTCACATTCACAGCAGTTTCATCAACACGGCTCATCCTCATCGCCTTTGCTCACTTCGAACCAGGGAGAATACAACGTAGCCGGGTTCCTGGACGGGTGGGACAACCAGACCCCACCATGGGTAGGAGGGGACGGGTCAGTGTCAGGTCGACCGGGGATGGAGAGTCGGGCAGGCAGTTCGGGGACGGTGGGCGGGAGGAATGAAGGCGCGATCGCTCCTTGGTTGACGGACGACGTCGAGATGTCCCGCAACGGTGGTAGCATGAGCAACATCAGTAACAACAATGTCGGCTCTGCTGCCATGTCCACGCGTGCGCCCGCTCGACATCCGTCTTATCCTACCCTCGGTGGGGGATCTTCCAGTGGAATAGGGGGAGGAGGCCCGTCGATGACATCGGCGTCTCGGAACGTCAGGCAGAAGTCACTCAACGTGCCCTTGAGTCATTTACACATGCCGGGGAGCACGTTGACGACCATTGCGGCCTCCCCACCCGGGCCCAGCGGATTGAGTAGCGGGGCGTACTTGCCACAACATGACAGAGGAGGGGGCACGGGATCAGGAAGCACCGGAAATGGGAGCAAGAGACCTTCAGAGATGAGACGCGAGGGTTCCTATTCCAGTCAAAACTCTACTGGGGGGACGGGTTCGAACAAGCTGTATCGTCCGTCTACCGCGAATATGCAGCGGGGCAGTAGCTCTAGCCGGGATCGACAGGGAAGCGACGATTCTTCCACCTTGGACGGGTATGGTGTGGACGGGTATGGTTTGGACTCGACCGGCTCGATGGTGGGCTCTTCGACGATGACGAGTAGCGTTTCGCGGTTACCCCCTGTCAGTCCATCCGGGACGTCTTCGGCGAACGGTGTCTACCGGGACATCCGATCGGGTAGTCAAATTAGCTTGGGATCCACAGCTGGGCAGTATCACCATCAACAATACTTGCATCATCAACGCGAGACGTCGGGAAATCAGCCGGGGGACAAGAAGAAGGGACTGTCGGCTCTGACCGGTCTGCTCAAGCGGAAAGGTGCTACGGGAGGTCGCCCTTCTACAGGAGGTTCGGATGGCAGTGGTCCCAGAGGGGAACAACAGGCTAGCCCTGGGTCAATGGATCCGACTTCCCCTTCGAGATCGGTGAGATCGGGTCGACCAGGCAGTGCAAATGACGCTGTGGCTCCTCCTTTCGGCGCGTCGTCAGGCTCAATGTCGGAAAGAGCCAGAAGAAAGACGGGCCACAATCCTAGCGTTGTCAGCTTGGCGCCTTCTACCTCGACACAAGCGCCTAGCGAGGAGGTCGAGAAGGGCAGACACTCGCTAGGAAGGGGATTCTTATCAAAGGCCAGAAAACCGAGCAAGAAGCCGTCTATGCAGACGCAGGCTCCGCTCGAAGTCTCGGTCGATGAGCATCCAAAGGGGACCATGTTTGTGCTTGACACCGACTTGGACGATATGCGCGGGATCGTTCGACCGCATCAGTCGTCTTTGACGCCTTCGGGCTCGGATTCGCAGAGCGGGAGCGCCTCTACTGGTCCGGGCGTGGCAGATCTCAGACGAGACACCATCAACTCGACCGCTTCATCTGGCTCCTATGTTTACCTAGATGGGAGACCTTTGCCAACTCCTTCGAGCGAAAAGATGATTCACTTTCGCAAGGAGAACCCTTTCTCGGGCTCGGGAGATTCGGGTTCGAGTTCGCAGTATGGTGTGACCTCGACGCCTTCGAGTCCGTTCACTTCTTTCGCCAAGCAGAGTTTGGCCTCTTCCGCCAAAGGCAACACGAGACGGCCCAGTCAGCTGAGGAACGTCAAATCCGGCTCGGTGGCCAGTGAAGGGCTCGAACAGACCCAGTTGCAGCCGTTGGATCTAGAAGAATCTCGGGAGGGTACACCTACCGTGTTCAACGAGGATCCGTTTGGCGCCTTTTGCCCCACATCGGCACGGACTAGCTTTTCAGACAGAAAGGGCCACGGTATGCACATGGACTTTGCAGGTTTACCAAAGTCTGATCTGCTCCGGGTCGACCCGAGGGATGATGGCATGTTGTCACCCGGAACGGAGATGCGAGACTTCAACCTCACTCCCCTTACCGAAAATCAGCAGATACAGGCGGCTTGGACCGCCCCCGAGTCTTGGGGCGTCGAAGGGGACCAATTACCGGTACCGGAAGACGATCCGTCATCAGATGAAGTGGAAGTGGTGGACGCGCCGGACTCGCCCGAGCCACCGCAACCTGCCGTCCTCGATCGGAATACGGGAGCTCCGCATGCATTCGGAACGAAGCCTGCAGACAGGCGAACGAAGACCAAACCTGGGAGTAGCGCAAAGCGGCCCACAACTGGAGGAAGCAAGGTTGTTGCGCGGCCGACTACGTCGGGAAGTGCTCACGCGGCCGTCAATGTAAGCGATACATAGAGTTCTTGCTCACATTCAATGTACCTAATCAAAGGTCACATCCCGATACAGCATTTCATCCGCATCTACAACTTGGATACTACTTTCACCACCTTGACATTTCCCCTCACTGCGACCGTTCAAGACATCTTGGTGGCCCTGGAGAAGCGGGTAAAGGAGGGCAAGCTGTCTTCGCAGGCTGCGCCAGGCAACATGAAGCTTTATATCCGCGAGCGAGGTCAAGGTGAGAGTCATGGCCCCCGTGTCCATATGCTTCATCAAGTGTCCGCTGACTAGACAACGATCGACTTATAGATCGACTTTTGATGCCCCACGAGAAACCCCTGGCGATTCAATTACGGCGACTGCTGCAAGCGGGCTACAACGACGCCGATCGAGTCGACGAAATGGGAAGGGAGAATCTGGCCATGCTCTGTCGGTTCATTTATCAGCCGCCGATCCTGCCGATCATCGATCCAGTGAGTGCATAGAGGCGCCGGATAATGGTGGGCTTCCAGCTAAGAGCACGGTTCACACAGGAGGATGAAGGGAGTTATGAATCATTCGAACTGGTCGACCTAGGAGGCCGGGATCTTCAAGCTGTTCCCATATTCCTTTACAAACATGCTCACTCGATCATCTCGCTCAATCTGTCGCGAAATCCCATGACCGACCTTCCGCTCGATTTCATACAGGCCTGCTCTACTTTGAGGGAGCTAAGGATGACTCATATGGCATTGAAACGGGTGCCACCCAGCATCAGGCAGAGCTGCGCCATCACGCGTCTAGACTTGTCATGCAATCGCTTGGTCGACCTCGAACACGCTGGACTGCACGAGATTTCGACCTTAGTATCCCTCAAGGTCCAGAACAATCGCCTGACCACGCTACCGGCAAGCTTCCGCGAGTTGAAGGGGCTCAAATACCTCAACATTTCGAACAACAAGTTTGTCAAGCTTCCGACAGTTATTTGCGAAATTCACAACCTAGTCGACCTGGACGTTTCTTTCAACGAGATTGACTCTCTACCGGCTGAACTGGGTCAACTTTCTCATCTCGAGCGTCTTGTTGCGGTAGGGAATTCGTTGGTCACTTTCCCGGATTCCTTCTCAACACTCGCCAGCCTTCGTGAGCTGGACGTCAGACGAAATTCTCTCACCAACCTGAACGCGGTCTACGCCCTGCCCAATCTCGCTATTCTCCAAGCCGACAACAACAATCTGGTCGTACTAGATGCCCAACTTGGACCGAAAGTACGGGAGTTCGGAGTGCCGCACAACTCGATTACTCGCTTCACCCTGGCGCCTCTTTCCGCAACAGCGACGGCATACAGCTTGTCCGTACTGGATCTATCCTACGCAAAGCTTTCCACCCTGGCGGAAGATGCGCTCGCTCAGCTAGTCAACCTGCATACCTTGAACTTGAATTACAACAAATTCGTGCGTCTGCCAGAGACGTTGGAGAATCTGAGCAATCTTCGTCATCTGTCGTGCACCGACAACGTTCTCACTGTCCTGCCCAGCGGGTTGGGCCGGCTCCAAAACCTCCAAGTCTTGAACGTTCACAATAACAATCTCAAGGAATTGCCTTCGGGCATATGGCAATGCAAGAACTTGAGGGAACTAAACGCGAGTTCGAATTTGCTCGAATCCTTTCCAGAGACGCCTTTTAGCATGCTCGATGCGCTGGCATTGCCGCCGGAAGGAGGCGATCGCAACGGCGCGGCTTCACCTGGCAAAGCTGGAAGCGAACGTCTACCTCTAAGCAAAAGTCTGAGGAAGCTGTTCTTGTGTGACAATCAGCTTGACGAGGAGATCTTTGGTTCCGTCTCCATGCTCGAAGAACTCCGCGTGCTCAATCTCAGTTTCAACGACATCTATGAGGTACCTACCTGGACGATCAGCAAGAACCAGAAGCTGGAGGAACTGTACCTGAGCGGGAACAACCTGACTTCCCTACCTTCTGAAGACCTGGAAAGGTTGATCAGTCTGCGGGTCATACATGTGAACGGCAACAAGCTCCAGACACTACCTGCCGAGTTGGGCAAGATTCGGAGACTGGTCACTTTAGATGTTGGCAGCAACGTGCTGAAATACAACATCGCGAACTGGCCATACGATTGGAATTGGAACTGGAACCTGGAGCTACGCTACCTCAACTTGTCTGGAAACAAGCGGCTCGAGATCAAGCCTAGTGCTCAGCATGAAATGGCTTACAGTGGTGGTCTCCGCCGCGATCTCTCCGACTTTTCGAAACTGGGTCACTTGCGAGTGCTCGGGCTCATGGACGTCACCCTGCGCATTCCTTCGCTACCGGATGAAAACGAGCACAGGCGTGTGCGTACGTCTTTCTCAGACATGAATGGAATGGGCTACGGGATTTCAGACACCATCGGACAGCTGGACGAGCTGTCACTCTTGGATCTAGTGGTACCCGACTTTCGATCTCGAGAGGACGAATGCCTGTTCGGTATGTTCGGCCTTGCTGTGCCTAGTGTATCCGGGGGCCGCGTTCCGAAGTTCGTGCAAGAGTGGATGGCCAGTAACTTCCACGCGCAGATCGACAAGTTGAAAGAGGGAGACACAGTCGAAGACGCGCTCCGCAGAACGTTCCTGCTCGTCAACAAGAACTGCTTCGACTCGCTCGTAGCGGAGGAGAGTGGAAGGAAAGGGTCCGGGGGCAGTACTGCTTCTCACGCGGCCAATGCTACTGCTGGCAACACATATACTCCTCTGTCGCCACAATATCGCAGCGGTGCTGCAGGAGCAGTCGTTTACGTGGTCGGCCGAACGCTGCACGTCGCCAATGCCGGAGGCATCCTGGCGGTAATTTCCTGTAAAGGCGAGGCCGAGCTGCTATCCGCTCAACACGATCCCTTCGACAAGGAAGAGACACATCGCATCCGAGCGGCAGAAGCTTGGGTTTCGCCTCGAGGCCTGGTCAACGACGAGATTCCGCTATCACGAGGGTTTGGCTTTTTCAATGCCGTGCCTGCCGTCAACTCGCTTCCTCACGTCAGTAAGAGGGTACTTACTGAATCGGACGAGTTTGTGATCCTGGCGAACCGCGCGCTATGGGACTGCTGCTCTTATCAAACAGCGGTAGACATTGCCAGGACCGTCAAGGACGACCCAATGATGGCTGCGCAGAAGTTGCGAGACTTTGCCATTAGTTACGGCTCAGAAGGCTCGATCATGATCATGGTCTTGTCGGTCGCCGATCTCTTCCGGCAGCGGCCGATGCGGTCTAGGGCTACACTTCTCGACAAGGAGACCGTCGTGGATGGTGACGGTCATCATGCTGTCACTAAGCGGGTAGCCAGGCGCAGGATCGAAGACATCGGCGACCGAACCCTTTTGCGATTGCAGCAAGAAGTCGAGCCTCCTATCGGTCAAGTTGCAATGGTCTTTACCGATATCAAGAATTCAACGTCACTCTGGGAAACCAACCCAGGCATGCAGACTGCTATGCGGATGCACAACAGTCTACTCAGGCGACAGTTACGGATCATTGGGGGATACGAGGTCAAGACCGAAGGAGATGCATTCATGGTCTCCTTCCCTTCGGTAACATCGGCCATCTTGTGGTGCTTTACTTGCCAACTGCAACTCCTAAACGAAGATTGGCCGAGGGAGATTCTGGAAAGCGAGGACGGGCGCGAAGTATGGGACAGTCACGGCGAGCTGATCGCAAGGGGTCTGTCGGTGCGGATGGGTATACATTGGGGTAACCCCGTATGGGAGAAGGATCCCATCACGCGCAGAATGGATTATTTCGGACCTATGGTCAACAAGTCGGCCAGGGTATCTGCCAGCGCCGATGGCGGACAAATCATGGTCAGCTCGGATGTACACAAGGAAGTTCAGACATTCAAGATGTATTTGGACGAAGAGGACGACGTTCAGTCTGCAGAGCTGCAGGACGACCTTCGCAGAGAAACGACGCAGCTCCGAAAGATTGGTCTCGGCGTGCTAGAGATGGGGAAGAAGAAGCTCAAGGGGTTAGAAGGTAAGCCTGCAGCGCGCCAGAACACGTTTCAAAACAAGATACTCAAATTTTCACCCTGATATCACAGTTCCTGAGAAGCTTTTCCTCATCTACCCGAGGTCTTTGTCGGGACGCCTTGAGTTGTCCGCTCAGATTCGTAAAGACGTCGAGACTCAAGCACCCAAAGTCTATGGAGGAGAAGACCGTATCATCGACATTGACGAGCTGAGGCAGCTGGTTCAAGTATGCTTGCGACTGGAAGCTGTGGCTGCAAATGCTCATCAGACGCCTGCAGTGAAGCCGACCTCGCCGGGGACACTGACGGGCTCGCCAGGTGGTAAAGCCCTGAGTCGGACCGGCTCAGTGAAGAGGTCAAATACGGCACCGCTGCCAGTCATGGGCTTAGCTGCGTTCTTGGGCCCGAGAATATCAGAGGAAATGTCGGACGATGAACTGGTGGCGGCGTTTATGAGCATTGCGGGCAGGATCGAGAACTCCATCTCAACCTTGGTAAGTACTTGTTTATCGACCTCTGAAAGTGGAATCTCTCTGACATGAACGGCTACCATCTTCTAGACGCTCCTTCGCTTGACGTCGCTGGTCCCCGAACTGGCCTCGCTGAATCTTGGGTTCAACTTCTTGTCTGCTGGCATCGCCTGACAAGAGACTGGCGGAGATAGGGTCGGACACCCAAACACCTTGTTCGCGCTCAGCAGAAAAAGTCATACCCCGGCGACATTAGGTCGTATCGAAATCAAAAGTATTGTTGAGGACTAGGTGGATCTTGAGATAACTGTCCTGTCGTGCAGAGAAAGCAAGGGTATTGATTACAAAATCGGGCATCTGCCTACGATCCTAATGAAATGACACGCCTCTATTCGGGATTGGCTACCTGTAAAGTCCCGCGACTCGCTACTTCGTACATGGTGGTAGGCCGTCTGGGCCCCTTCGCTCCACCTAAGCCTCGATAAGGGGAGTGCATTACGGGCGCTGTGGCGGCGAATGCAGCAGTTGAGGCTTGTAGCGGACTGGGTGTGGGCAAAACGGGCGCGTCGACGGCAAAGTCCCGCCGGTTGATAGAGGCAGCCAAATCTTTCACTGTCCTCCTGGGTGTCAAGTCGATATGGGTCGGATGCCGGAGCGGAGCCGCACGTGGACCTTTGGGTGTGGCAACCTCTCGAGGTCGCGGTGAACTACTTCGACTCGGTGTGCTTGGTCGGATAGCAGCAATGTCGGTGGCTTGCGCCATGAAAACGTCCCCGAGATCAGCCTCTTCCATGGTTGCACTGGGCTGTCTTGAGGATGCCGTCCTCTCACGCTGAATGATCTGCATGTTACCATAATTGGCCAGGAGATCGCTTGTCGCCGTTGCCGAGGTCTCGATGGAAGTGTAGCTCTGATTGCGATAAGGTTCCGGTGGAGCGGTAACATCTCTTTGGGTAGATCCCGACGCCGATTGTCGCGAACCCGCTCCTTCGGCTATAGGGTCCAATCCTGGTGGAGGCGTAGGGTCGAGGAAGCCTTCCATCTCGGTATACGAGGTACGGCTCGCTCTACTTGCTCCAAAGAAGGACGCTCCCGCTCCTGCCAAACGACGCATCAACGATTCGTTCCTTTTCAGTGGCAGGAGGGTAGCTGTTGTGCTAGAAAGTTCCAGTTTCGTCGCCGTCTCAATGGCAGCCGTGCCGACCGAATTGCGAACCGAATCTCTCGAGTTGAAAGAGCTGGAACTCTGATCGATAGAGCGGCCATCGACGAAATCCATGATCCCGGTGTCGTAATAATTTTCGATGGGATCCTCAAACGGGTCCCTGAGAGGTGTCTCGGGCAGAGTCTTGCCACTGACTCTACGCCTAGCTTGAGACATTCCTGCGGTAACCGGTGTCGTCAAGACGCCCTCGACGGCGTGATCAGAATCGCCCGTCGAGCTAGAAGGAACCGCAGGATGATGAATCCTGAATTCCTCCGATTCCATACTCTGCGAATGGTTGGTTTGGGAAGTTCTGCCGCTCGTCTCGCGTTCGTGTCCGATCACCTCTATTTCTCGTGGGGCTTTCCAGATGTCAGAACGGTCCTCGTCTGCCAGAATATCGAAACGCGGTGCGGCCCGTCCGCTAACGTTACGAAGCTTGCCCATAAGGTTTGTCAATAATGCCGGATGGCCAGGAGAATACGGGTTGGCAGAAGCGGTATAATTTTTTGCCGGGACTGGAGGCGACCAATCCGACTGCCTGCTTTCTCGCTTGATCGGGGTAAACACCTTTTCCGACCCGTCCCAAACGTGGTCATCCATCAGACCCTGTGCGCCTTCCCCTGAGATTGCATAAGCCCGTCTACTACCTCCAGCAGGTCTTCCACCAAAAGGTTTCAGCAAGAACCCGCTCGGCACTTTCTTGCCTTGGCGCCGTCGGCGGATAATCCAGGCGAGGAGCGCTAGGCCGATCAGCCCGAAACAGCCAAAGACGGTCCCGAGCGCGATCGCAGCTTTTTTGCCTTTTCCATCGGGTTCCGAACTCTCGCTCAGGTCGGTCGGTCTCGTAATTGCAGTGGAAGTACTCAGGATGGTGGCCTTACGGGTCGAGGTCACTGATGGCGAAGTCCATAATTCAGCGATCCTATATAGTCTTTATCGCACATGAGTACTCACCTGTCAATCCCGCTTGATCAGTGGTAACCACCACATCCATTGAAGTCGAAGTGACAATAACGACCCGAGTTGTCTGTGCGCCAACGACCACAGTTCGGGTCGAGAGGACCACTCCGCCCGCAGCATCGGTCTTTGTCACGACAACCTCGCTCATGGACGACCCGCTCGACGACCCGTTCCCCGAGCCTGACGTGTTATCGTCGCCATCTTCGCTAGACCCATGACTCGATCCGATCCCACGAACGTCATCTGCCGCAGAACCCGAAACTCCAGGGAATTCTGAAGCCCAGGAATTTGAAGCGACGTCGTATACGTATAGACCCGGATCAGCCATCTCCGAGCTCGTCCGACCTGGAACATCAGTATCCCGTCCGGCACAAAGTGTGGAGCGATCAAAATCAGCTACAATACCACAATCTGCACGAGAGAAGGTGACGTACCGCCGAACACCAACATCTTCCCATCCACCCCCACAGCAGCATGTTCGAACCTCTCCCCTGGTCCGTCCGAAGCCGCCCTTTTCCTCGCACCTGCGCTGGACGGTTGACCTGCGGGAGCTAAGAGCGTCCATTGACCGAGCTCCAGATCGAGTTCCCACAAGTCCGACAAGACTGACGAGCTATCCGCAGACGAAGGTGAGACCGAGGTAGATCCGCCGTAAAGGATGGCTTTTGTTGAAGAGACGAGGACGAGCGAGAATCCGCGCCTTGATGGCGGGCCTGCCGATGATGACGAAGATGGGGATGTTTTGAGATCGACCACCGTCCACCCTGTCGTACCTGACGCTCGAGAGTAGGCCTTATCAAGTGGTAAGAATTGCCCCGTGGAAGGTATATATCCGCCGAAGAGCCAGACCGTCCCATCTTGCGTGACCAACGTCGCATGCCCGGCCAAGTCGATAGGCAATGACTCTTGAGGCTCGAATATCACAGCACCGTCACTACTTCCGCTATCGAGAGTGACCTGGTAGACGTCCCGGAATCCCAAACCAGATCCGTCGCCCTTCAACCCGCCTGAGACCAGCCACGTGGTCTTGTCGATAGACCCGCTCGAGGCGTACCACCTCCTCATCAGCTGATCCGAGGACGCTGCCACGACTTCGTTTAGACCGAAAACATCCTGAGACTCTCCAAGAGAGTAGAGGTGAAGAGAATCGTTGTTCGTCTGCACGGGTAATGTAGGTCCACCGTCTCCCCCGAAGGAGACCGTGTACCCTTCCCCTTTGCCTTCAGTATTCTCTAAGTACCCAGCGGTATGCCACGCGACAGTCTCTGCCTGCTTGTCACTTAATTGCCAGGGAGGTGAGGCGAGGTCGAAATTGTCTCGAAGGGGGAGGAAGAGGGTCTCCTGGATCAAGGGCGCCGAGGAGTATGTGTACCCGGCTGTCTCGTCTGATCGGCCGCCTTGTAGGACGAGGAGAGGGTTTGTGGCGGAGGGTATATATGTGAGTGTATGACCCCATCTATACATGAACGCAGAACGGCGATTTGAGGGGGTCGACATGTCATGTGTATGTCAACAAGTTTTCGAAGTGTCAGTGTTGATGAAAACTGCAAGACGCTAACGATCATGGACTTACCGTCCGGCTGGTATATAAGCATGGACCCCGATGGCTGCCATTACGACGCCCAGAAGCAGATGAATTAGACAAATCCTCCTGACCATTCTTGGAGATCCAGGCAGCCTGCTTTCCCAACCCGGATGGATCGAAAGAGATGTCGTTGTGATCGATTTGAGAGGGGTCCTTTGAGCGATACTGATTGCGGGATTGATGGACCGTTAGATGTTCGTCGCGCGTGAGACTTGCGGGACCTGATGGAGATCTAGAGAACCACTAGAGACTAGCAGCTCATGTATATCTATGATCTATGATCTTTTATGGAATTTGTGGTGCGTTCTTGTGGATCAGATACGGTGAGTGCGTGAGTGAGCTGCTGTGTTGCATGTGTTGATGATGTGATGTGATGTGATGCTTGATGGTCGGGGGGGGGTTGTTTTGTTTGTCGGAGGCAGATCAGCAGCAGCTAGTGGTCACGTGACTCTTCACGGACTGATAACAGCATACTCTGTAGCTGTAGCAGTCTCGGTCAAAGCCATCAACCTCTTCTCATACCCTGGTCTCCAATAAAGCTGGTCCTACCTTCTCTTATCCAAAGGCCAGAGGCTCATGGTCGAGATCGGTTCTACTGATAGATCTTCGCAACCGACTTGAACGCACAGGTTATGCCAGACGCGCGAGGAAGGCACGACATGGCCTGTCAGATTGAATGGCAACCCATCTACGACATCGCGCAAGAATGGTACAGGAATTTCGGTTGCGACTACGATGACGAGCTGAAAATGTATCTCCCCACGGGCTCGCAAAGACGTATACCGCTGAACCGGATCGAGAGCTTTTGGAGCGTCCTGCACACAAATGCGAGCTTGTTCAGCGAGAGGTACCGAAAAGTTGAGCTGAGACGTCTTGTACTTGAAGACGTGGCAGAACACAGGCCAGAGGAGTCGTGGTTGGAAACGCACCACAGACAAAGGCTTCAAAACTTTGATACCGACTGTGCAATAGATGACAGCTGAGACAGCTTGCGACGTTGGCTGACATATAACACAGATGGGCGGTTCCGTCCGGACTTTGCCGTGGTCAAACCTGCGCCCAACGCAACTGCAGGACTTCTGAAGGAATATACGAAAAGACACAGATTGGGGATGGATTTCTTCAACTCTGCCACGGGGTTTCCTTGGCAAAGCCCATGATACCGCTGGTCCTCTTGCTTCCAACAGGTTTCGAGGCAGGTTTTGCGAGTAAAGTAGTAGTGTTTCACCCAGCTATTGTAATTACGAATGTCACCGTCAAGAGTCACGTGATCGCGAAGCACTCACTCACTCACTCATAGCATGCCCCGCACTTGCTTTCGTAAGACGTTCGCTCTTTACCTTAGCAGTCTTGTTTGGCTTCGAGTTGACCTGATATCAAAACACCAAGAATGAAGCTTCAGAGGGGCATACTTGCCAATCCGCAATGCTTGTCTGTTCTTCGTCCAGCAATCTGCTTGGCGAATGTTGCAGTATCGAGAGCCTTCTCTACCTCCTCCCAACTGGCTCAACAATCCGGCTCGAAACCCAAGAAGACCGAGCACCGTTACAACTATAACACTAGCCTAGCATGGGAGGAAGAACCCGATCCGAATGTGAGCCTCCTATGACCCGACCCATTCGGAGAATTCCTAGCTAAACCTGGGCATTCAGCATGTGAGATACCGCCGCGTAACGGCCAAGGACCTGGCCCATCGGCGTGAGCCTCCCACAAAGGTCAAGATGTTGGCGAGAGACTTCATAGACGACAGCCTATATAACGTGAGCTCGCTGGTTCTCAAAGTTTCCCATCTCGCTCGCGGGTCTGACAAGCGGACATGAATTGGTTGTCGATAGCCTCATTATGGATATTTTGCAAAACAAGCCACCATCTTCTCCAGCAACCCACCAGAAGCTGCCAATGCTGCATCTAGGTCATCATCCGCCTCGTCGTCTGGAGGTGTTCCTGATACGCCGGGGTTCCAAATACCCTCATATCCCAACCTGACAGCGTTCCAAGAGGATGTTGCCGAGAAGTACGATCAGACGTACGGGGAACTCGTGCCGGAGCCTTCTGGCTCTGGCGAAGTTCGAGGAGGAAAGGGCGGGCTCGGCAGACAAGTTTGGCACACTCCGACGGAACTGTTCAGAGTAAGCTCGACTAGGTACGAGCGTCATCTTGAACACCACCAGGCTAATCGATGCTTTTGCAATCTGCCCGTTGTTGTATATAGCCTCACTATTCCAGGATCATCGCAAAATCCCTGTTGACTCACTACAAACTGCATCATTGGCCTTACAACGACCTCATATTATATGAGATCGGAGCAGGGAACGGTTCCCTCATGATCGATGTCATGACATACCTAAGGGAGTTTCACCCTGATGTCTATGAGTGCACGAAATATACGATCATCGAGATCTCGGAAGCGCTAGCTACAAGGCAAAGGGAACGAATTATCGAATATGGATTGGAAGGCAAGGTCACTGTCGAGAACAAGGACTTCTTCGATTGGCAAGGCGGCAGTAAGGATCCGTGCTATTTTGTCGCCCTCGAGGTTTTTGTGAGTCGGTTAGATTCTTAGGGATTCTACTACCATCACCCAGAAATGCTAATACCACTCGCTCCACGCAGGACAATTTTGCACATGACATGATTCGCTACGACATGACGACGATGACTCCCCTACAAGCGGTAGTCTGCATCGACGGATCAGGCGACTTTTCACTGCTGTACGAGCAAGTCACGGACCCGCTAATCCGACGTTACCTCGGCTACCGGCGGCATGTCAACTACCCATACTCACCGACGAGCTTGACTTCGCTCTGGAAAAAGTCGGCGAACCCGCTACCTCTAAATCCCCTACTGGCCGCTTCGCCATTGCTGCGGAAGATCTATAATGCCATGCCTTTCGCGCCCAATCTTTCACCGCCAGAGTTTCTGCCGACAAAGCAGATGGTATTCCTGGAACGACTTAGAGATCGCCTTCCCGGTCATCGGCTGCTCGTTAGCGATTTTGATACTCTACCCGACGCGGTCGAGGGTAAGAACGGGCCTGTAGTACAGACCAGATATGGGGGCGACATGGTTCCGTGCGAGACGTTCTTGGTCAAGCAGGGTTACTTTGACATCTTCTTCCCAACTGGTGAGCGGCGCCCGCAATTGCCTTATATCGTCTACAGCGATGCTAATCCACCCTCCACTTGCAGACTTTGAGATGTTGAAGGAAATCTACTCGGTCATCATGACTACCCCGGCTAATCGGCGTCTGTCGCCCGGTTACTTTTCGCCTCACTCGGCTGCTACCGGATCCAGCGCACATTCGCAATCCGACCTGATGGGTACACACGGATTCAAGCATCGGCACGTCGCAGTATACTCGCACGCAGAGTTCTTGCAGGGTTTCGGGGACGAGGCCAGTATCTCTGGCACTACCACGAAGGACAAGACCAACGTCATGTTGAGCATGTACAAAAATGCCAAGTTCATGTTCTAGGTCGAATGCGTATATATATTCAGACGAAAATTATGACATAGATGTGGAATTGATACCCTATCAATCCAGGGTCTGTCTCGAAAGGATGCGCGAGACTTCTCGTTTCTGCTCGAACCAATCGCTGAAGGATGGTTGCTGGCTTTCTTTGTCCTCCAACAGATACTCGGCCAGAACGATGAGCATGGCGTAACGGTAGAGATAGTTCAGACCTAGGCGCAAAGTTGCCGTACGCTTGGGTCCATCGGGCATGCTGTCAACTTTGAGCTTGTAGCTAAGAGGATGCAACGTTTTCAGATTAGTCCTACTCGATTTCGGCGAGCGAACAAAAATGCCTACTCATAGACCGCTTCGCGCAGATTCTGCACGCCCGAAATAACGTCAGCCGCCCTGTCCGCGATCAGCTTGGCTTCTCTGCCATGAAGCAGGACCGAAACCAGTTGCAACACCATCTTATATTCCCCTATTATCGATTGTCATAGATCAATGACCTTGCCCGAGCGTCCAACAACGGTACGTACCTCGCTTATAGATGGTTTCTTCGGAGATGTCATCGAAGCTCACGCTCGATGTCATTTGCTCGTCACTGTGGTCCTGCTCCAGAGCCATCTGCAACGGTTCTTTGGCCCGTTCCACCGACGCAATGATGGAAGAAACAATCATCCCAGTAGTAGTTCTTCCTGTGAACAGTATGAACAGGTAACATAAGCGACGTCTATAGAGGTTTCCTGCTTAGTGTGGACCCACCTCGACCCATCTGACAATTGAAGCTGCACACAGATAACCGGCTGTCAGGTAGAATTGTGGACCAAAAAAGACATGACAGACTTACACAAAGTCGGTATCTCTCTCTTTCAGGTGCGTCTGTGTGGCACCGATGAGCAAAGCGAAGACGGCTGGGATGGGACTGCGTTCGTCGGTGACGCAGTATCGTTGATACTCGACGTTGAATCCCTCGCTTTGTACTTGTTCGTACAACTCTCGAGGGGTCATGACTTCATGATCCTGTACCGTCTCGTAGATTGGCACGACTTCAAATGAACCCGGCGTGGTTTCGATCTCGTCATGTAGCAGAATCCTTCCCGTCTCAGCGATCTCGGTAAGAACGTCTTGCTTGAATTTCTTTTCCTGTTCCTCGACCACGGTGTTCTCGACGCCTTGAGCTTCGATATTGGTGATCGGCTTGTCTGCGAGTCGCAGCACATACGGAATGCCAGCCACGTAAAGCACCGGTTCTTCCCGTAGCGAGGTCCAGACGACGTGACGAGGCCCTTGAGGCTGAGCTTCCATGCGAGTCAAAGCTTTCCTCAGACCAGCAGCGGTAGGCATACCAGTTCCGTAAAGCCGACGTTTGCTTGGCGCTTGACCTGACGCGGGTATAAGCAGAGGCACCTCCCTGAAATTTGCTGCGCCGTCGATACGCTCGGGCAAGCTTTGTTTCTGCAGGCCTAGGAAGAGATCCGATTTGATGATTGTACCGCTTGAGAGGATGGAGCCATGTCGACTCAGAACAAAGCGTTCCGCTTCGTCTAGCGACGCCGGACCATCAAGCGTGTCGAGAGTTGGGATCGGCATCAGGATCTCCAGGCTGCCATGCTGGATCTCCTCGTCGAATGTCGCGAAGACAGGCTGATGAAATCGAACATAAGCCGGCAAGCTCGAGATGTACATATGTATATGGCGAGTCATTTCTTCTCACCTGAGCGGCCGTCCACTGCTGGAAGTTTACCTTTTCCGTAGCAGCATCGAGATCGACTTCGGCCAGATAGGCTTGGAATTGGAGCATCTCCAAGTATATCTTCAAAGCTGTCTTGCATTGCTTGATGAGATACTTCTTAGCCTTTTCGTTGTCGGCAGCATCGGCTTGCTTGTACAGGTCTTCAATGACTTCGCGAAGGTTGTAGGCTTCTCCGCACTGATCAATCACATCGTCGACTTCGCGTTTCACTTCAAGTCCACTATGTCTGAGGCAACGAAGACAGCTGTTGACGATCTGCCAACTGCTTCTACTATTGGGTCGAGGTCGAAGTCTGGGTGTTCTGGTGGGCATCGACGGCCCAGTCTCGCGTGTACGCTTGATCCAGCGGATGATGAGATTCATGATCACGCTGATGACGGTAGATCTTCCTCGACCCAGCTGATCGTTGAGAATGACGGCAGTATCTTTCTCGAGATCTCCCCTAAGGCAGATCTGTATCAGTGACTGAATATCGTCGAACTCGATGACGGAACGCGAGGTGATCGGCAATCGGATGTATTGCAATTCAACATCGTCGGTGTGTTGTCGAACAGCATCCATGACTTGTCGCAAGGTTTGTACCTCCTTCTGTCGCACATCCTCCCAGGTGGGCCTGACATAGCCGTCTTCTAGTTAGATGGTACCGAGAACAGAACAGGTTCGGGTGAGCTGTTTCTTGTGTATGTGATCGAGTGCGCCTTCTCGGGCAAACCTACCTGATTCTTCATGCAGCAGAAGCTTGCCATCGAAGGTCCGCAATTCCGCAATAACGTCAGATGCTAATCGCTCGTCAAAGATTTCCAAGCGGCTTGGCGAAACGCCAGAATAGTCCTTGAGATTTCTCAGCGACATCGTTTCCCTCCTCAGGCAGTAAGGGTCAGAGTTGATCATGACGATCGGCTCTTCTCTAAGATTGATCCAGAGAATCTTTTTGACATTGACCAGAACCGTTCGTACCCTCTCCAGTATAGGGCGTACGGAATCGGCATGTGACGAACCTAAAGCGAACAAATTGGAAGATGGAATGTGTCGGAAGCCGACAGCGCCTGTGATGTGTTCGCTGGAGATGGCCGCATCCGTCTGCCATTGATCCGATTTGAGCAGTGTCCCTGCTCGCAAGATGATCCCGCTTCGATTTGCGATGGTGTATTGCGACCACTCGTCGCCAAGCACACGGTTCTCGTACTGGTCCACCTCTCCTTTGGGCTTGCTCTCTTTGCCTTTGATGTCGAGAACGTGCTGATGCGGAAGAACTACTCTTGACAGCAGCGATAGGTCATTGATGGGGCTGAACACGAATAGTCGACTTCCTCCTCGTCTTCTCAAGGCTCTAATATGGTTCCAGATTTCTGGCCGGTCTAGTAGCCATTCTGAAAATTTCCTGCCGGTTCCTCCCGCATCCTCCTCCTCGATGTAGCTAGCGAACGCGATCAAGAAGAAGTATCGCTCGAGCTGCGAGTCCGGATGAGACAATGCTTGCATGTTTCTGTAAATCGTAACCCAATACTCACCGCTTGCACTGCCCGATCAAGCCAGACAACCCTCGTTTTTTCGTCCACTCCAGAAATGGAATACTGCAGCCTCGCCTCCAAGATGACCTCGCGCAGGTTGATGACCTGATCGCAGTTCTCGATGAGGGTATCCACTAGGCTCTTTCGCTCACGACCTTGATCGATCGAGGAGAGGAGAGACAGGATGACCTGGTAATTTCCCATGTATGCGTTTCTGAGCGATTCAAGGAGTGTAGGATGGGTCACGAGCAGGTCTGTCGCCGTGGCCGCCGTCTTTGCATCAGAAACTAGATTTGCGCAACATCAAAATCAGTTCGAAGGTTTAACAGGCGAGCTCGATAGAGGCTGAGGTGGATCATGTACCGTTTTCCAACGTCTTGCTGATCAGTCTCGTCAGCTTCAGCAACGTCGCACTCTGAGCCTGACTCTGAGCCGCTTGCTTGAAGAACTGATTCGCCTGAAGACCAGGCACAGGCGTAGATATCCCTGATCCGTGTCTCGAAAACGGCTCATCCAGATCTCGCGACATGTACTGTTTCCTCCTAACGATCAGAGCCGCGATCATGGCGTAAGTAGCACGAGTCGCTCCGAGACCGTCGTTGAAGACGAGACAGGTGTTAAGGGGGTCGATTTCTTGAAGGACAGATACGTATGCGTCGAGGTAGTTGTCCTGGAGATGCGCAAGCGATCGCGCTTCAGCTTGATGCCCAACCTGGGCCGTCATCGTACATCCACCTACCTCAATCGGTCTGTCAGCCGAAATGGGCGTCCGGTAATACAGCACAGTCCAGCCCTCGTCTTGCAAACGGTTGAAGGATTCTCTGAGAGTGTAGACGCTACCGGCGTCCACCGAGGTCCAGGTCGGAATCAAGTCCCCGTTTTCAAGCTCGTCATGGGTCAAAATCAGACCTCCGTTCCTGAAGGACGGACAGTCGGGTGGGTATGTTAGCCTTGAGTGCTCCGATTTGAGTTGTACCAAACGGCAGACGAAGACTCACTTTCTCGACTCTCTGAGAATGTCTTCTTTCAGCTTCAATTCGATCTGTTCCAGGTTCTCTGCTCTGTCCGACAAGGTCAGAGTGGTCTTCGCCGCAGCCCAATCACGCAGGACAAAGGGTTTCGTGTTGATCAAGACTGCCAACGCGAACGTCATGAGCCTCAAAAGTCTCGTTCTGAGTCTGAACCCTGCTCACTGATTGGTTCTTCTCGCAGACAAAGCCATACAGCAGAGCTAGGCTTTCGTGGTCTCTCTGTCGGGTCCATCGACCCTCTCCGATCCGCAAATGACCCATTACCGTTCAAGTTGCTATCCCGTCGACCGAGATCGGGCATAGAGATCTCTTCAGGTCGACACCCCAGTAGTGACAGAACTGACTTGACCCCGGACAGGGTCGGCTGGGCAACCCCGTAGACGTTCAGCGACTCTTCGCGTGGGGAACGCCAGTTGGGCGCGTCAGCGAGATGGAAGTCCAGGTCGAGAGCGCGGCCTTTCAAAATTTCGATTCGTTTGTAGCCATAGCAAAGAATGGCGAGAAGACGATTTGGTTAGTCAAGGTTGGGTTGGGGAGCGATGCAAAATCGGTCTTACCTGTGGGGTAGTGATCTGTGCAAGAGCAGGGTCTAGGTTAGCTATTGTTATGAAATAGACCGCCCGGACGGCTTGCCTGTTTTGAGGATGAAACTATACTCTCATCAGGGTTCGGGTGTCTGACTCAGCTTCTCGCAACGGAAAACATGGATATCCAGCTAGCACCGCAGACTTACCCCCTAGCCAAGACTGCCCCGCTACGACGCTTCACGATCCCCCCTAACGACGACGGTTGTATTGATGTCAGATTGAGCGCAACAGCAAGAAGCTCGTTCTGAACTTGCCTTCCTCCTTCTTCAACTTGTCCTTGAATCCTACCGGTTTCTGTTTTCTCGGTACGTTTGACTTGCCGACGACCGCGTCCAACAACGAATTGTGCGGTTGTCGACCTGCCGAGGAGATTGGGGGACTGACGAGACCTTGCATCAGGTTATTTCGCCCTGGTTTAAGACCATCTTTGCCCCCGGACACGATGCGATTCGTAGGTTGTGAGACGTGAGGTCGGGTCGAGCCGGTATGAGATTGTCGACGTGCGGTACCGGAAGGCGGACTGTGACCCAGCGTTTCTACCGAATCGTGTCTCGCAAGACCGGCATCTGCCTTTTTCAAAGCATCTTCTCTTGATCCGTTCGTAGATGCCGAGTGCTCGGCAATTTGATCGAGGTCGAATCCGGAAAGCTTGTCCATCTCGATGTGCGTTGTAGGTTGAGAATGTTGTGTGATCGATTACGCCAGAGATTCAGGTAGGCAGCAAAGTATGGCTGGGCCCGTTCTGCTTATGTACTTGGCTCAGTCGAGCACTACCTTTGTGACTTCTAGCTCGGCCGAGTCTCAAATGGGCTTGGCTTCTCAAAGTGACCGTCAGATGGTGAAAGGAGGTCGCGCAGGTCACAAGCTTTGTTGAAGAGCATATCCCAAACTCGCAACTCGCTCGAAGCACGTTTTGGGAATCGGTGACCCCCGAGATGATCGGGCATGACGAATTGCTTCCGGCAGTAGCTTGGTCATAACGCATAGTCGATTCTTTGGAAGCTTTATTCGTTTCTACGTCGTCGTCGTCTTTCCCCGATGCGAGAAAGTTGTGAGCGATCCTGAGTCATGCAGATGCAAAGGGTAGATCGAACATCTGGTCACATCGTTCTGACGGCTGATCGAAAGCTGGAGATCCAACTGACAATAGTATCATCTGACCAACATCATGCAGTCATTCCAACGACAAGTCGCCCGGACGACGGGCAGATCGCTCCCTCTGGCAAACCGTAATGCAGGTTCGACAATCTCTCGTCGATGCATCTCACAGCAGACCGGACAGGGCGCTCGAGATCGAGCTGCTGTAGGGGTGAGCCAGGACACCAACAATTCTCGTAAGAAGCCCCGTAAATCTAGTCTTGCTGATGGTATATCACATGTCGCCGCTCGCAGCCTTTTACATGGCGAGCAGGAGCCCTGTTCACGGTGACTGGTGTCGGCCTCTACTTTTACTTTGAGAGCGAAAAGGCGAAAGTTCAAGAGCGTAAACGTGAGCCCTTCCACTCGTTGCGATATCCCCCTTCCTCTTGTATCTTTCCTATCTGCAAACATACTGACCATCGATTTTGCTCTAACCTTCGTTTGGCCCTACATCTCTCTAGGACAAGAGACGATGACCAAATCCGTCGGCAAACCCAACATCGGCGGACCTTTCAACCTGATCACACAGGATGGGAAGCCATTCTCGAGCGATGAGCTGTTGGGGAAATGGAGCTTGATATACTTCGGATTCACCAACTGTCCTGATGTAAGTCTCGAAGAGGACGCCCGCCTTGTTCGGCAGATGAAGCTGATTTTACATTTGTCTGTGTGAAAGATCTGTCCGGAAATGCTGGATTCGCTGAGCGAAGTCACCGTCAAAACGGGTAGGTTCGAGTGTCTCGTATACCCATAGCAAGGAAGAGACCAATCTGACTGATGGGTTTCTATGACAGATCAACTCCTCGGAAAAGAATTCATCCAACCCGTCTTCATATCCTGTGACCCCGCACGAGACACGGTAGCCCAGGTCAAGCGTTACGTATCAGGTAAGTGTCGTCAGACCCTGTTCTTGAAAGACTCTTGGAATACCTGCACTTTGGTGGTGCGAGCTTATACTTGTGCTGATATCGTCTCGCCGATAATCAGAATTCCACCCTAGGATGATCGGTTTGACGGGACCGTTCGAGGCTGTCAAACAGGCTTGTAAGGCCTACCGAGTATACTTTTCCACGCCGCCGGATGCCAAGCCCACCGAGGACTATTTGGTAGATCACAGGTGAGTTCTGCAGACCTCGGCAACCCTTTCGATCCACATGGACGACAGCTCACTCTTCGTCCTTTTGTACCCGCTTAGCATCTTCTTCTACCTGATGGACTCGGATGGCCAGTTTGTGGATGCGTTTGGCAAGAACTCGACATCGCCAGAGATCACCGCCAAGGTCATGGATCATGTGGAAAAGTGGAAGGCGGCCGGTCGATCCGTCTAGTCGGAAAGACGAAACGAGATGCGATCGAAGAGGCCGCGCATGGGCAACACGGCAGAATACAACCCTCATGACAGTCCTCATCACTTGTACACATGGAAACACATACTCATCACCGTTGAAGTCGAAACCTTGGCACCGCGTCGACCCAGCCCATGAACAGATGCTGAGAGCGATATGTTATGTGCGGGAAGGCACATTTGTGGGACAGGTCGGAAGTGTGTCATATGCTGGTCATGCCGTGACTTTCTTTATGCGTCGTACGAGATACATGGTATACACTTGTCGTCCTTGACAAGGAGAGGGGTTCCATTTCATCTAGTTGGTCCACTGAACTGTTTTCAGTGTTGTGCTTCAAAGGGGATTGCATCACTTTTCTTCCACCTTGCGCGTCTCATCCGTCTCCACCTCTACCACCTTTTCTTGCAGCTCCAAAGCCGTGCTCAACATCGAATCGAGCGTCTTTTCCTTGTGTTCGTCTTCCGTCAGATTGGAAGTGGAATCCAGCCATTGCTCTAGCTTTTGGTCTAGGTCTTCAAGAGGTGTTCGTAGTACCAACCTGGTCAAAGAAACGTGCGAATTAGCTTCATTGGCACTCTCTGAGGTAGACAGGCAGGCTATGGCTCACAATCCACGTTCACCCAGTATCAAGCGTTTCTCTTCGATCGCAAGCTCTTCTCCGGGTAGGGATCTTCGAAGGTCATTGTCGTCAATTACAATGTCACTGGATGGGTTGCGTGTCAGCATCGGCAGTGTTGCAGCGATTTTGAACGAGCATTCAAAGTCTCACGAGATTCGTTTTGTCAAGCGCCGTTGTAGCCAAAACATCGGGGCGACGGTCCCAAGATCCAGCGCCTTGCACAATCCCTTTACTAGCTCGGGGCTGAGCCCAGCGAGCACCGGCAGTCCGCCCCGCAATCGAGTCGTTGGTGACCCAACATCCTCCTCGGTTCGCGTCTTTCTCAGCTCCTTGCCTACTTCGAGCAAAGCCTCCCGCCTCTTGATCTCCTCTGCCGATTTTATCCGCAAGAACTGCGAAGGCAGGATGGTCGTGCTCGGCAACAACCAGGGTGTATAGAGGACCATGAGCGGGAGGACTTCTTCCAGAGTCATCAGGAAGAAGACAAAGGGAAAGATCTTCCATAGATCGGCCTTGGTACGGGAGACGAATCTCTTTTCCCTCCTCGTCAATTCCCACCCTTCCCGCCTGACTCCCTTTTGCAGAGTCCGCATGTGGGAGTAATTGGCTTTCAGGCACTTGCACCCGGCCCAGTAGAATTTGAAGAGTTGTTTGGTACGCCAATAAAAGACCCTCCATCCGAACCAGGACTTTTTGTCGTACACTTCCTGAGGAACGGGTAGAACGTGGCCTGATGCCTCGGCAGAGAGGAAATCGGCGATGGCTTCCCGAATGACAGATTTGGCGATGGGTGGGTAAGGGGGTACGGATTGATTGAGTGGTGATGGAGCGAGAAAGGGGACCTGGGAGGAAGGTATTGTCGGCCGCACGAGGATATTCGGATCTGGTGGAGGCGCCTCGGAATCTGTCGATATGGTCGTCTCTGTCGAAGCGGTCGATTTGCTCTCTACCTCGGCTCCCGCATCTTTTGACTGTTGGTCAGCCTCTGTTGAGTTTGTCACATTTATGACAGGCTTTGTCTCTGACGTCTCATGTACGGGTTCGTCCTCTTTTCGTCTTAGACCCGGTTGTCCCGTCGCCAGCCCTCTCCATGTCAAACATCCTTGCGGTGCGATCCGTCTCGTTCGTCTCGTGCCGATTGACAGCGAAACGTTATCTCGTGATGTTGAGCTGATGGGCTTCGTATGCCGTATTATTCTTTTGCAGGAGTATGTTGGCGAATTGCTCGGGATCAAGGCAAATTGTCCAGACCGTATCGTTCCCGTAGAACGGCTCAACATCATCAACCCTGCCGACCTGGTTGTCGTCATCGACTTTGCTGAGCTGGTCTCGACCAATTCCTGTTGTCCGAATCTACAGAGCTGAAGCTGATATTCGTCAAATACTAGAACGCTATCTGTTTGGTATTGATGGTGGGTATAAGGAGTGGGAATGGTTGTTATTGCGAATGTCTCCAAGTGATTGCAACCTCGCAAACGGTTGATCGTTCAACTTTTGTTGGGGGGCGGAGATTTGGGACGGGCCGATCCCATTCTCGGCCTCTCGTAAGGGAATTACGTAAGTGATGGCGTCGTCGAATAACGCGTCGGGTGCGATCAAACGTATACGAGCTCACGAGCGAAGGTCATGCCAGATTGACCTCTTCGTCAGCTGCATGACCGAATTCCCCAAAAGTACGAGTCTTGATGGATGTTCGCCCACCAAGTCTGCAATATCGACCAATCACCCTCGCCGATGGCAAACGTTCGACGCGATTTCGCATCCACGCTCGTTCGTCATGCAGCGGATGCGATGACCCAATCATCACCTCGTGGGGGACATCAGCAAAGGAGGTCAGATCATCTCTTGGTCTTTAGGACCAGCTCATGCCGAGACCTGGACACAGCAGCTGAATTTTCCATGATTTCAAGGTATACACCGATGCTGGCATGGTCGATCAACATATCACCCCGGTTCTAGAATCTTTGGGGTTGACCTCGAGTCGCCGTGCCCGCCGCTTCGCTCGAGACGCCTTTCATGTTAGTCAGGCCAGTGGTCCCTCTTCCTACAGTATTAGTGGGATCGACTAGCCTCAACTTACCCGTCAATTGTCCAAAAAAGTATTCTCGTCTTGAGTCCCGATCACGATCAGCATATTCAAGCAGCCTATCTATCAATCGACGGTTGGTTCCTTTGGTTCCTGAATATCGCAGAGTCCCTCGCGATACGCATGCCTAGACGACGAGCAACAGGAAGGAGTTTTTGCGTTCAGGGGAATGCAGGGGCGAACCCTGTCTTGTAGGCCTCGGTGTTGGGTACCTTTCGATCTCTACCCCTGCCAGCTACTACTTGAGCCATCCAAGACTGTTCGTCAAGGATGGAACCTCCGGAGCCTGCTTTTCGACTACAATCTTGTATTCCAGAGAATTCTGAAAATAAGCATCCTCGAGCTAACGATCGTGGTCCTGTCTGAGAGAAACAAGGAACTCATCTATATTATCGTTCTTGAGGTTGAGCTCGCCTGGTTGTTTGCAGATACTATCTAATTCGGCCGACCTTTCCTGTAATCGATCCATCGTATCCGCTGACGAATTCTTCGAAGACTCGATTCTTCCAATGTTTTTACCATGAACCGATTGTTATCTTTCTCTCTGAAAGACAGCCATACAGCCCTTTTGTCCTGGTCACTCTCTCTCGTATGTATATCTTACTGCAAAGACTGGTTCGATGTCACGAGTGTCTAGCCAAAGCCTTTGAGCTCTTCGACGATGCGTTTCAACTTGGTATTCTGGCGTTGAGCCTGTTCTGACGTAACAGGGGGAGGTTGACCTGTACACCTATCGGAATACCCTGCGTGTATTCTTTTTAGATAACTCGACGTCCAGCTACATTGATTCTAAATCAGCCGTTTCTTCTTGTCCTTCCTCGCCTTGGGCGCGCCTGAGCTGGACACATTAGGCGCGTCTGACACGGCTTCGAGCTTGACGCATGTAAGCAGATCCTTGAGGGTCATTGAGGGTCATCGATTCCTTCGTTCTGTTGATGAAAACTTTCATACTTTAGTCTTGAGCAGTACAGTGTATCACGGATACCATCACCTTCAAGAACTAGTGAAGCCAGCGAAGGTGAAACACCTGCATCGTGGGCTTGAAGATCGCTCGTGCGTGAGCTGCGATTTTTATCCGCTTTTCATACCCATTGCCGGCGTTACGATTCCACGAAGTTGACGTCACCAACAGACAGTACGTAGAACTACAAGGCCAGCTACTGCGCTGCCGGTCATTTCGATACCCGGTCCGTGATCGCAGCTTCGACACGCACAGCCGAGGTCGTCACCCTGAAACGAAAAGTCCAGATCGACGTCATTCGCTCCCGGGATGGTTCGGCTTGCATTCGGTCTTGTCCGGACCGACGCGAAGAAACAGGAGGAGGTCGAGGTTGAGTGATCCTACAACTTGTACCTGTGGCCCTGTTTATACTACTATTGTACATGGGCCAGGGGATGATCGTATACCGAAACGCTGATCGAACGCGACTCGGGTCTGAAACTCTGTTAAATGGACTCGGCATGCAAGCTAGGAAGATGAAGACCGAGGTAAAGACCGATCCGGGCAGCGCACGCGGTCTTGAAGGGACAGCGAGGGGTGGATCGTAACAGTCTCTCGGCCATCAATCCTCTCATCAGCTCATCAGATCGAACCTCGATCACAGCAGATAACTAGACAGTACTTGGCCGGCAAGATGGATGAAAGAACTCGGTCTGGACCAGCATATCGGCCGCTGAGTCGAACCGACTCGCCCTGCCATTTTGTCACGGCAGCGAACATGTCAACAACAAATGACATCAACGGTCCATCTTTCTGATCGGATCAAAGATCACGAAACGTGTTCGATTTCGCTACCGAGGTGAAGGGGAGCAGGGGAAGCGATCAAATGTTCTCCACAACAACTCGCCGAGGTCCTTTGGGTCCCTTGATCTCACTGATGGGCTGGATGACCTGATTCGTCGAGCAGCCAATCGCAGCGAAAGCAACCGAGGGGAATCAAGGAGTGATCTCGAGATGTCGGTGGGTCGTATGCACGACGCAAGCGATCCATCACTGACGTCGTTGATCGAGTCCGGGAAGACGGACGGATGACCTGATCAGTCTGGCCTCGATCCATCCGGTTTGACACCGACCATCGGAGCGAATGCACAGCAGGAGGCAAGAGCTCAGCTTGCAAAGCTTGAACGTCTAAAAGGAAGAAGAGGAAAAGGGATCGACAAATTGAATTCTGGAACAAAGGAAATACAAACTCGACAAGATATAGCAAGATACGACTCTCTGCTTCTCTCTCCCTCACGCTCGCTTTCAACTTCTTCTACATCACCTGACACAACACCTCGGCTCTGTGTCCCAAAGTCCCTTTCGTTTTGTTTACTCGACGCAACCTGGATCCACAACAATCCACCATCCTTACCTTTCTTGTCGACAAGACGATCGTCCTCTTCTCGTACCCTCGGCCAATCACTCGAGGCTGCCAAGTCTCTCGACGACAACGGACCGGCTTTGCCGAGGCTGTGTCGACAGGACGGAAGCTGCAACTGGCGTGCTAGGTTCGATCCCATCGAAGTAAGTTCGTCTCCGAGCGATATCATACTTGTAGCCTCGTAGTCGACGGGGGCATCGAGCTGATGACCTCAGCCTCTTCTCTCGATTCACAGGAGAAGAGCACAGGCAACACACATACACATCGGGTGATAGCTGGTCATCAAAGATCATCAAGCGGATCCTCTGCAGGTCCGGTCGAGTCACCTGGCCTCTCTCGTCCGGGGTGTCCCATCCTCGCTTTGCCCTTCCTTAGAATCCAATCCTTCTCCGCCGACAGTCTTCAGCAAGACCCTGCCGGATCCTCCCTCTTTCCGGTTACCTGATTCTCGCCTGCACGCTCAACCTCTCTTGCGCCTGACTCTCTCTTCCTCTTGATCGACGATCGACACAGCAACGACATCGCGTTCAACCTCGCCGTGCCTGCATAGCATCGAGCCAGACTTGCAGGTCGAGGTCGAGGACATCTCTCAAAGAGGTAGCCGGCAACCGTACCTTCAAGGGCTCGGTCAACGTGTTCTAGGCGCCGGCGGGGTTCGGAGGGTAAATCGTAGATCATCCATTCGACCTGTGCCCTGGAAGAGAACGTCAACCAGGAAGAAGACGAGTAGGAAAAGGCGTGCCGAGTCAGACGAGAGAGGAATCGTTGGGATTGGGTTTAGTGGCGAAAGTCGAGAGGATATAAAGGCGGGCGATGCAGATCGAGGTTCTTGTGAGTACACGGGGCGAGTGTAAGGGATGCCATAGTATGTAACATGTCTTCTGCTGAACATAACCATAATACACCAATTCTTGCACAGTCTTGTGCAACAGTTATACCATACCAATCAAGATACTCGCCTAAGACAATCGTCGACCATCCAACTCGATGCCGTCTTCCTTCTTTCACCATACCCCTAGTGTGACTATGGAGAAGCTACGGGGATCAGACGAGTCACATCCCACCCCGACCTCTCCTCGTCAGCCGCATGCCAACCACTTCTCCGGCAAGACACTCCGATCGCTGTTTACAACCAAACGTTCAGACAACCCCAGGTCCCCCTCGGTGGCCACGTCTTCGATATTTTCTTCGGGAAATGGGACCGTCCGGAGCGGGGCGGCCGATGCCAAGGGGACGACGAATGGACGGATGAGGGACAAGTTGAACATGGGGACGAGCAGGAGGAGGTCGGATTTGTCCGGGACGGTCAATGGTGCCGAGCGACAACAAGACGTGACGATGAGCAGAGTCAATCCCGTGCCTACCACAGGGAGTCGGTTGATGCAGGGGACGATCGCTTCGAGGTCAAGAGCGGCACAGTCGATGCCTCCTCCATCGTCCACGTCGGTCCCGGCTGCGTCGCATGGGACAGTCAGGTTTCCTGGGCAGCAGGGTGGGCTGGACGAGCGAGTGGTTTCTCCCACTTCGACCGAGGAGAACGAGGTCAAGCCGCCCAGCTTGCCGGTAGTACCGACGACCACTCGCAAAAAGAAGCATTCCCTCTCGCTCTTCCTGAGTTCCACCAAGGCTCGGGCCAGCTTGTCGAGCACAGGATCAGCTGCCGGGACGGAGACGTCGAAACGCTCTGCGACCGCAGAGATCTCAAAGTCGAAAGACACTGTCAAAGCTCGTGTGACCAGTGATCCCGTTGGAGGAGCGAAATATATGGCATCCGATATGAAACGCTCGCAAGCCACTGTGAAAGGTCCGACGTCGGGAAAGGATACGGTCATTGCGAGGGGGAAGGAGACAGCCAAGTCTGATAATCGAGTGGTTCAGAACGATCGGAACGGACAGGCCACGGTCAGGGCGATCACAGAGAGACCTTCCGGATTTAGGCCAAGGAAGGAGAAGGATGCTGCCCCGGAAGTGACCTCGCACGCTGTCACTTCGAGCCGGACGACCTCGGCGACCGCTTCGCGGGTCCATTCACCGAACCCCTCTCACGACCGTCCTGCAGCTCCGAGGACCCAGAATGAAGCCACGAACGGACAAGAGGGTGATCATTTTGTTCTCAGACTTGCGGTGACATACCTCACCAAGACGGTCTTGCCGGAGATCCGATCAAGCCGGCGTGAATCACACAACGGGCGTAACAGCACGAGTCAAATCCCGTCAAATCCCGCACACGGTTATAGGAAGGACTTGATTGAAAAGCTGAGGCCCTTGGAACGTATGGAAAGGTCTTGGGGTATCGATTGGATGCTTAGGGGCAAGGAAGGGTTCAAGGTCAGCTCTCGGACGAGGGAGAAGGAGCGGGATACATTCAGACAAGCTATAGGGGACGGCTCCCTGCTACTATTGTGAGCGATATTTTCGTTGGGCACATAGCGCAGGCGTCATTGACCCAGACGCTTTCACTTTGCAGCCTGACGGATAGATCTACGACCGATGGCATTCGAACGGCCAAGCTTCGATTAGACGCTGTTGTAGCAGCTTGCCGAGCGCTACACCTGTTACTCGACGAGAACATCAACCTGGAAGACATTGTTATCATGGACGGCATACAGGTCTACACGGCTGCTACTCTGGTCGTAGCACTAGCTAGATTCGCAGGACCGCGAGCAAAGCAAGGTGGCTCCGGTGATGATACTGACGATATACGGAGTCGTTCGCCTTCGCCTGTTCGACGGGACACCGCTCATCATTCGGAAACGGGACAGGGAACAAGGCACCGTCCAGAACCGGTGGCAATTGTTAAGGTTCATGAAGAAACCCCTTCTAAACGTCTATCCGGCTCAAGCGATCGTCAGTCGCTCAGACGCATATCTGAATCGCAAAGAATGGCTATTCGTATGCCGGCGGGCAACTACTACGCCTCGAATCCTATGCACTCTAAGTTGGATACTGTATTGTCCATGACTCCGGGAGAGGGCGGCTTTACTCCAGCGTTAGCAACCTCGGACGCAATTGAGGGCTACTTTTCGAATAGGCATTCCGATGCCCGACCTGCATCGCCTTCAAAACCGATACTCAAATCATCTATACCGGCTAGCGACGAGGAGGGGAAAAGCGCTTCGCTGACCGAGTCATCGGTACCCTTTCGGTTTCATAGTCGTGACCCGACGCCAAGCCTGATCAGTGGAACTACGGACCGTACCAGTATGGCGTTGAGCGATCCACCCGAGAGGGCAACACGGTCGATAAGTTTCGCTTCTCACGATGGCGAAACCAAGAGGCAAATCAAAAACGCAATCTATGGCCACGTGGATATCGCAAACGGCCAGAGTGATCGTCAAACTCCTTTCGAAGATCCGATGACACCAGTCTCGGTCTCCGCTGCACGGTTCCGCCCCAGAGTCCAGCGCGGCGTGACTATTGCGAGCAGTATCTCTAGCATGGATGGCATCGACCGGCCTCCCTCTAGACGAAACAGCGAGATCAAACCCGGACGTCCCCAATACATACCTCGTCGACATACAACTCAAGCTCCAAACCTAAGGACTCCTCCTCGGCAAGGAGATCTGCCAGGCCACAGGCATCCCAGTATCACTAGAAAGGCGAGTGGTTCTCAGGGCCAACCATACTCTCCTCCAGCCACTCCCCGTCGCGCAATGTCACCGAGCTTTTCAGACAGCCCCTGGATGCCATCCAGTCGGCGAACGTCTTTCACATCCGCTACCAGTCAGAGTCCCGCCGGTCGGGACTCTTTCAAACCGCTTGTGGTTGTGAAGGATATTGAAGGACGGGTGCAAACATACGTAAGGCCTCTCTTTATGGCTGACCTGTCGATAATGCAGACATTGATTGTGGCGTTTCATTCTAGCAACTGGGAAATTGCATAGGGAAAGGTCAGTTCGGTATCGTCTACCGGGCACTCAACCTAGCCAATGGACAATTTGTGGCTGTCAAACGGATTACCTTGGAAAACCTGGACGAGGACATTGAACAGATTATGAAAGAAGTCGAGGTTTTGAAGCGACTCAAGCATCCTAGCATCGTCCGTTACTTGGGTATGACCCGAGATGACAAATACCTGGACATCATCCTCGAGTATGTGCGAGGTGGTTCCGATTAATCAGAGATCTGGACGCTCACGAACTGAATCTCGTAGATACGTGGAAGGAGGGTCCTTGGCGAACGCTTCGCGCTCTTTCGGAAAATTCAGCGAGCACCTCGTCGCTTGCTATGCCGCCAAGATGCTAGAAGGTTTGCATTACCTTCACGGCGAAGACGTAGTGCATTGCGACTTGAAAGCTGCCAACATTCTCATCACCAAGAAGGCGGACGTCCGCTTGACGGATTTTGGTGTCTCGCTGAATCTCCGTGCAGTGGAGAATCAAAAGGATGATAACGTTGTCGGCACTCCCAACTGGGGTAAGCGGCTTGTCCCGATTACCGTCAACGTGCGAGGCACTAATTCTGCTTCACTTCAGTCGCACCGGAAATCATATCCCTTCAAGGCGCATCTACAGCATCTGACATATGGTCCCTAGGATGCACCATAGTCGAATTACTCGAAGGCAAGCCTCCTTGGTCCGAATTGGATTCCAATATGGCCGTACTCTTCAAGATCGTGGAAGAGGAATGGCCCATCCCTTCGTACTATTCTGAAGAGCTCAAAAGTTTCCTCGGCCTGTGCTTCAAGAAGAATCCTTCGGAAAGACCTACCGCGGAGACACTCTTCGACCACGACTGGATACGAAACGAGATCGGTCTTGATCCGGTAAGCTGAAACCATTTGAGAATACGAAGGGTAGTATCACTGACCGGAGCGCAACTTGATCACACAGCGCTTGCGTAATCATGACAGTATACCATTCCTTCGCCGCATTTCTGGGGATGCTGTTAGGCTGCAGCAGCTGAGATTCGATGCCGGGCCTCCCACTGCATTTTCCCATCTCCGCGATGCATCATCCCCCGTCGATGATAGTTTTCGAGACTGGAAAGTCGACAAGCGACGACCTGGCCTTTCGGAATACGCTTATGCATCTCCTTCTCGGCCGGACCTGCGCTCGAATCCCGGTTCGTCGTTTTCTGTTCGAAGCGACGACACGGACCCCGGGCAAGCTCGACCCGCCGACTTAATCGAGGCGGAACGTCAAAGAGCTCTGAACAAGTTGACGAATGGCCACCACAGCACGTCATCGAATCTCCCCGCCGTCACTCCAATTCTGCAAGTCCATTATCCTACCCGAGCTAAGGAGCGCCTGGAGCGCCTGCGGGAAAGTGACGGGCGACGGGGCAGTGCCGAAACCGATTCCACCACGAGACCCAGTCCCGCTTCGCGCGAACATGTCAAACCAAACGACAATATACGGGAGCACGATGGCACGATCCGACAGAGCTCATCACACTCAGGACCACAAACGTCAGCATTGCCATCTATAATCAAACATCAGAGCGCTGAGCGACCACGTTATGACCAAGGCCACTTACCCGAGGACAAGACAGACACGAAAGGCGACTACTGTACCATTTCATAGATCCGCTGACACCAGTCTCGGTCTCCGCCCCAGAGTGCAGCGCGGCGTAGTGGAGGTAGATGGTATATCGATGTATTACATGTCAAGCACTGAATTTCCCCAAGGTAATAGCGTTCGAAGCTAAGCCTCCTACTCCCGGAACCGCCTGCACCAGTCCCTGGAGATAGGCTAGACTGGTCTCCTCCTCCTTGCTCCCGTCCTAGTTTAATCAAAGGAATCACCCATACAGTTAGGGGGAATGAATTAAGTAGGGAGACCAGGGAAGTGACTTGCCAGATTCTTATGGATCACCACCCACACAAAGAACAGTTCATGCTGTTGAGCAAAGGACAAAGTAGTGGCAGTGGCAGTGGCATCGCGGAAAACATCCTCCAGAAACCGCAGCAAAAGCAGGTGATTTGGGGAGTCCATCAAGACCCGTACGAGCTCAGTGTGATCGAGCCGTTCATATGCGTCCTTAAGCTTGTCGAGGGGATGCGGCATCTGACAGTGCGATGGAGGGTAGTGCTGAGGCTGAGGCTGAGGTTGTGCTAGCGGTTGCGACGGAGGGTAGTGCTGAAGCTGAGGCTGAGGTTCTGCTAGCGGTTGCGACGGAGGGTAGTGCTGAGGCTGAGGCTGTGGTTGCGGTTGCGATGGATGATAGTGCTGAGGCTGAGGCTGAGGTTGTGCTAGCGGTTGCGACGGAGGGTAGTGCTGAGGCTGAGGCTGAGGTTGTGCTAGCGGTTGCGACGGAGGGTAGTGCTGAGGCTGAGGCTGAGGCTGAGGTTGTGGTTGACCATAGCTCGGATACAGCATCTGAAGGTGGGGTTGCGGCAGATGATAGCCTGGATACAGCATTGGTGGCTGTGGCGGGCAATGGCCTGAATACGGCGTCTGAAGGTGGGGTTGCGGCAGATGATAGCCTGGATACAGCATTGGTGGCTGTGGCGGGCAATGGCCTGAATACGGCGTCTGAAGGTGGGGTTGCGGCAGATGATAGCCTGTATACGGCATTTGATAGTGGGGTTGCGGCGCAGGGTAGAACGGCTGGGCGGGTGGAAAGGCATTTTGTGGAAAAAACCCGAACCCGTTGGGTTGTTCGGCGGCCATCCAACCACCTCGTCCTTCAGAAGGACCTGGCGGTCGACCTGCCAGGCCATTCCATTGATCGTTCATTGGATTCATCGCGCCCTGACCCTGATCGCCTACGGGCCGCAGCAAGCTGGTCTCCCGCCAGGTCGTTGAAGCCGCGTGAACAACAGATCAGGAACTCAGGAGCGACGTCTAGACATACCAGGTGTATGCATGGGACAGATAATTGCCGCCACCTGACAAGTGGGAGGAGCTACGATCTTTATGACGTAGACTAGCTGTTAGCAGCACGGGAAGCGAGCTCGTGTGAGCTTATACGCTTCCTTGGTGTCAAACATGGCTCATACCTGTTGTGTATTTGTCGTGCAACTTCTGATAGATGTCAGATGTAGCTAAGGCTCGTAACTTGTAGAGTACTCTATATCTCGCAGTGGTGACCGGGCAGTATACGGGCAGCGTACAGCGTATTCAAGCTTTCGTGTTCAAGGTCGCCCTCAGCTTGTCGAACTAAGCTTCTCGAAACACAGTCGGGCAGTTTGCTTCCGCCTCCCTATTTTCGCTCCCGTCACTTCAACTGGGTCACATAAAACCGTCATCGGCATATCCCTCGATACCCACCGTTGTTTACCTCCCCTGACATCTGGGATACAAGCTTCACAGGACTGATAACCTCTTCGTGCGTTCCGCAAACACTAATCAACCCCCTCCAAACCCCTTCAAGAAGTAAGCACGTCGTCGGTCATTGCGGTTGCGCGGTGGCATACCAAGCTCATTATACCGTTGTATCGTCGACACAGGCCAACCAACCATGTCAGGCCGGTCCCTCCGATCTCAAACTAAAGGAAATCCGCTTGGTGTCATCATGGAGAGACTCGGCAACCCAAAAACGGCACATAGAGCAAGGGCTATGCGAGTAGTCACTTCGTTATTGTCGTCGACCCCTTCCGACGTCGACTTCAGCGGCCAGCTTGAGACGATGGCGTTCGACGAGCGTATGAGCCAGGTCGAAAATTGGATCGCCTTGATCAAGGGAATCCAATCCTCGACGCCTTCGATCCAGGCGATCGAATCCTCGACTTCGACTCCAACAAATGCCTTTACGGAACGCGAGACAGCCATCGTTACCCTCTTCAACAAGGTCCTAGACCTGCTCGCAGCCGCCCGTAACCACATGTCCAAGGAGGTTTTGGTTTTGGCACCGGTGGCACCAGATTTCGAGACTTTGGCAGCTTTGGAGGTGTTTGCTGCGGTCCTCGGGTCCGAGTTGGTCGCCACAGCCAATCAATTGGCAGCGACTGGAACCTTCCCCATTCGAGCGGAAAGTTCAGGGGATCGTTACTCTCTTGAGACGTTCAAGGCTTTGGTTCGATGGGCGAAGTTCCAAGACCGTCCTCCTAATCTGACATCAATGTCAACTGTCGCGCCACAGCAGCTACACCTCTATATCGACACAGTCATAAGAAGACGACCAGATAACACCGATTCGTGAGTCAGGCATTCGCTTGCCGTTCAACTCCCATCGACTGACTCGACTCGGCTTGTTCTCCCAATTGTCCAGGAAGGTAGCGGCCACCCTCCGCGATGTATCCGAGTCCCTCTACACCGCATGCTTCAAGCGATACGCACTCGCCTCAGGGTTGACCGTGCTCGCGGCGCAGCGTCTACTCAGCCGCATCATACAGGGAGAGGGCGTCGACGACTGCGCGCAGGACAGTCTCGAAACCCTATTCGTCGCCGGAGCGGCAGCGAGCAAGTCATCATCGAAGACTGCCCGTTGGACCTTGCTCCCGGTCGAAACGCCGGGCTCCAAAGAGGAGCTCGACTTTCCTTCTCGCGCGGCTCACGAGCAGCGGGAAGCGAATACCGCCCAGAAGGGCAAGGTCGGTTACGAGGTGGAAGACGCTCGGGGTGGGTATTCGATATTTCTACGCACTACTGGCGGGCCGGTCGATATTCGTCACGACCAGCGGGCCGGTCAATCGGATCAATACCCCCAGGTACGAATACGATCATCTTCTCGTATTCCGTGCTCACCTTTGATCCTTTGAACGCTGATTTCCGTGATCACACTCCTTTTTTGAAAGATCCTCTCCGCCCATGCTATCGACCATGCCGCACAGCTCTGGCTTGAGGATCTCTGCAGAACGACCGGGGTCGTCAGCAGGACAATCGGTCTGGGTACTTCGCAAGACGAAATCGAAGCTCTTAGAAGCTGGTTAGCCGCGACGAGAAAGGTACCTGTCGCGGCTACCCATCAAACCTTGACTGCGGATGTGAATCGTGCATCCAGTCCCAGTCCGTCGAGTCTGACCAGCTCGGCGGACAGTTGCGCTGACCGATACCGAACGGAAAGTCCTGATGGGTCGTCATCGCTTACCTCCTTGGGTAGTAGCTTGGCTGACCTCAGCGAGGCCGAAGAGTACGCCAACCGTGGCACGTCGGACATTAGTCAGACACCCGAACACACTCCACGCGGCGCTGTACACGAGAAGCTTGTCTCCCATCCTGTCGTCAAGCCTGTTACGGGCCAAGTTTCAGATGGGGATCGCGATCTTGATACCGCATATGTTGCAAAGAGTGTCGACGATATTCGCCGCGAGTGGAACTTGGGAAAGCAGCCCGACCTGAGCGACGAGGATGTGAGGCAGTATCTGATCGGGAAAACGGGTGACATCGCCGCAGACGGAATCCATGGGTTGATCGACGGGTTGGCACAGGGGATCTGCACGTCGCGGGACCCCCCTATCCATCCTCAGCGAATTCGTGCTGGTCTGTCCACGATCAGAGGACCGTTCAACCTCGATGAATGCATCACGCTCGATGTCAGGCGACTTGTCAAGTACCTCTACGCCCACATCTGTCTCGATACCCAAGGAGTGGAGGCCGCACTGCCCGACGAAGTCGGAGATCCTGTTGTCCCACTCTCTTCTCACACCGAAAGCGCGCGCATTGCCTATGACCTGCGTCGGTATTTGTACCGGATTCAAGTGCATATCGTCTCGCACAGTCACCCGCACCTCGCGGGTGACATCGGCTGGACGTTTGAGCCTATCGGCGAAACCGACCTGGTAGTACGCGGTACCAGCCCGAGCGCGAACTCACCCTTGGCCTTCCGGTTTCTGATGGATCACGAGGCATTTGTCGACATCGATGCTGCACCGCGGATGCCGACAACCGAGAGAGGTTGGAAGGAAAAGATGGTGGTTGGTCTCGCCGAGCTGTCGGACTTAGGCTGTCATACGTCATTGATGAAGGCGTATAAGGCTCAGATCCGGTCGTTGGGTAGCGATCCGGAGAGCCTGCCCGACTGGAATTTCATAGCGGACCCGAAAGCCGTCCGTTATCGGATGTCGTCGTATAGCAAACGTATAGACGGCACTGCAAAAATATATCGGGGAGAAGGAGAAATGACGCTGGTCATTAAGGAGGAAGAGACTCCCTACCGATTCCTTGGGATCGTGCTGGACAGTCTGTTCGGGCGGCAACACCCCGTTGAATACATACAGAGTGTCGAGAAACCGCAGGTCCAGGACAACGGGCGAGTCTACCAGGTTCAGGATGGTACCGCCTTGTATCACATTTCGTTGAATGTGTAGCGCGATCTTTAGACGTCAATTTTACTATCCGTGTACTAGCTTCTTTCGCCTATGTGACACTCGCGGCGCCGTCGATATTGTTGTGAATTGTATAAATTGTGGAGCTTAGACTCCCAGAGAAATTGAATCTTGTTTGGTTAGAGTCCCGGAGGACCAAGTGCGCAGGTTGTCTCATAGGGTTGCGCCTGCGACCAACTGGCTATCATACGTCTATTTTCGCCGTGTCATTGCGGGCAAGAACGGGAAGAGTGGCTGGCACTTTGATTGGAAGACAGGTCAGGCGGTCGCGGAGCCTGCTGTCTGGGAGGAATGGTTGTCTTCGCTAGTAAGTCACGGTCTCTTTCCAATTTCGTCCGATTTCGGAAGATTGATTTGCTGGCTTCAGGGCGACGAATGTGCCCCTTATGAGAAGTGCCGCGAACCTTGGCACCTGTTCGAACTATGGGATAAGTATCGAAGGGGAAGAGGCGCGACTCGCGAGACTGTGAAGAAGCCGGGTACTCGCCCTTCAAAGGTCGGCAGAGTTACACAGGTCAGCGAAGAAGAGGATAGTTCAGGGGAAGAGTATGAGAACCCTTCCCAAACCCCTGAGAAATCTACTGGCAGTTGCAAAAGATCATTAGCCTCCAGTACCCCGCAGAGTCAAGCTAGCCGCAGGAAACGAAGACATCGAGAATCACTTCGCGAACAGCAATCTCGAGACCAAAAGTCCTCACTGAAGAGATGGTACGACTGATACAAAACAGTCGCCCTCTATAAGGCTTGCTGGCAAGCCTGAATAGTAGTAACACACGGGACTAGAAGGTATGGGTAGGGTAATGACTGTAATAACGGATGTCTAACTACTACAAGGTGCTAGTTAGACATCTACAAACACATCCCCTAATAGGTCTCCGAGAGGGTCTCCAAGAGGGTCTCCGAACGGACCTCCGTAGGAGGTGAAAACCTACATCCCGCGTGTGTACGGCATGCGTACCGCGGATGCCTATAATACCCTCCCTCAGTGGGCAAGAAAGCGGCGAAATTATTATCTCAGGACAAAGTCCGATGGGGATTAACCGCCAGCGATGACTTCCAGATCACCAACTCCATGATGGAAAATCCTGCTCGATGCGAGTTCTATCTTGGGATGTCGCCGGTAGACCGACAGCGATGGTCGTTTGGCTACATCAGAATCGATAGAGAGCCTCCATCTGAATGTGAAACACGAACGCGATAACCGAAAATGTCGTACGATAAAGGTACGGCGTCGAGAGGCGAAAACGTAAAGCTGTGAAATAAGATCCTTCTTGATTGCTTGCTGATTATTCTACCACGGTCAGTCTGCAATGGAAAAGAAGGGAATCGTCCTGACGGGGGTGGGGGTCTATATACGTGTCTAGCGTACGCTCACGCCAGTGCGACCGAGTAAAATACCGGAAGAGGTATATACTCCGCGCCGTGCGTCTACCGCTTCTCCTCTGCCTGTATGCCTTGACCTATACACGTGCCTCCCGCTTCCCATCGATAGATGAAACCTTCTGTATCCTCCGTCGGCTGCCGCTCAGTAATCCGGCGTGACCAACAGCGGCGAAGGCGAAGGCGAGGTAGTCAAAGAGCGAACCGCGGATGTAGGAAGTAGTCAACCGTCGGGGCCAATCAATCCATGTCTCCACAGCGGCTGGGTAGAAGCGCAGAAGGGGGAATTTGAGTCCGTTTCCGTACGCTTCGGTGCAAGTATTTAGCCTTTTGTTAGGCGTCGAGAAGGCTCCGGGGAAGACCGGCTCGAAGTACACCTGTGAGGACATATCTGGGAGTAGTGTAGACCGTAGGCTAGGGTATATAGATGCAATAGCAGATGAGAAACTACAACTACTACAAAAGATGAGAAAGTAGTAGTATATGATATGCTCCTTGAACAACTCCGGCGGAGTTGCTACGAGTCGTCCCCGCGTACGCGCGCGCCGCTATAACACCTTTTATAACATAGCGTACATGTTATGAGACGCTTGAGTACCTTGTGGAATTCAAGCGCCCATATTACATCTCTTCGATATTCGACTGTCTTTACAAGAGAATAGGTCACTTTCCTGACGGTTAGCCACTCTTACATACTCTCATTCACAGTGAAGTACTCCTCGGTGCATAAACACGTCTCTCGTTCACGCGGCTAGCCCTCCCATGACAGAGCGGCATCGGCTTGAGAGGGAGATGGGATGTGACTGGAGAGATCATTGAGCTTTTAGTGGAGTTGCTTGAGCAACTGCAGATATTCCTCCTCTGTCTTATCCAAGTGCGGTGTAAGCAATGCTAGCGTACTTCTTTCCACTTGCAAGCAATCAACTTTGGCTTGAGCTTCTTGTAACTGGCGACTCATCGTTTTGTTGCTCACGTCGAATCCATTTGGCAGTCTGGATGAGAGAGTTGTACCTGTTCTGAGGTCAGTTGGCACGGGATTTTCCTGTGTGACAAGGCCATCGAGGTTTGTGATGTGAGTTTCCGGCCCGGCGGTAATATCTTTGTTGTGCTGGGTTGGCTTGATGATGTCCCTCTTTTCCTCCTCCGCCTCTTCTGTCTCCTCGGCTTTCTCCTCTTCCACCTACGAGGGGTGTCACGGGAGGGTGCGACGGGGAGGCTAGAGTATGTAGAGGCGGGACCGGTAGCGGGCTATTTGGGGCGTTTCGGCACTATAGCAGCGGTTTTGTTGTGACTTAGGTCAAGATATGCAAGATAACGGTATGATGGACTTTGATATCGTCGCCGAGAACCAACATTGCGTCAATAATTGATCATCACATTGACACACCATAGCTGTAAGCGGTAAATTTACTGATAGCGCGTGCGATTTAGGTCGATTTCGGCCCTGCTAAAGCGTGTCGCATTGTGAGGAACATAAGATGAGGAATCGATACAACTGAAAGGATCCGAATACGCGGCCTCTAGTCCCCCCCCAGTATGAGTTCGACGAGCTGCTGCCGGGCGTCTGAGAGAGAAGAGGTACCACAGCCGGGGCCCCAACCTTGTATATGCTCGATCGCCTCTACCGATGACATCAACGGTATCGCTTTTATCAATGAGCGAATCGTTTGAAGGACGAACACCCCGCAGGAAACGGCGTCTGTCTGCTGCGGAGTGACCATGTTGATGTATCCGGTAGGCAGCATGGCCGTCGGGAAGCCAAGAGCGATCATGCGTCGGCGCAGATTTGCGAGGAATTCGACGTGTTTGCCACAGCCTAATTAATGCGATAAATTGCATCAGCGCAGAGCTAAGGGGTATAGCGGGCGAGCGATCGCAATCCATGAGCGCAGGGGTGAGGGATAAAGCGGGCGAGCGATAGCCATCGCAATCCCAACTCCCAACTCACCTTGGGCGCTGTCGAATATCAGCCAGTCGGACGGTCTCCTAGCGATTCGCACGATCAGCCAATAGTGACCTATGACCGCGTTGTCGGGGCCTCCGTCCTGAACTACTGGCAGGAACCACATCGCTTTGGTGGAGACGAGTTCGTACAGTCCAGCGACCTATAACATATCAAGTTGTTAATGGAGAGGCCAAGGCCAAAGCAAAGAAGCATGAACCAAGACTGACCGGCATCTTGAACTGCGGGCCTAGGCTGTTGGAATCGAGTATGCCCTGCATTGTAAAGAAGAGTGGGGCACACCAGACCTGGACCTGGCTGCCGATGGTGGTGTCGGCACTGTATATGAAACGGATCTTTCAGCCCGTGATGTTATTGCAGTATGCCGATATGGAAATATCTCACTCCGTTTGTATAGCGGAACACGCAGCATCCACAATGAAATTGCTCAGCGGACCGCTTCTGAGCGTCATCATGTCCTTCTCTTCGTACGACGGCTTCCACAGCGCGGAGACCGAGTTGCAAGCGGGGGAAGGGGAGGTTGCCCTGGTCTTCCGAGGTTCACGAGCTCGCAGGCCGGACGGCAGGTCTGCTTCTCGACGTTTGAGGTTGAGGCTGGGTGATTGAGGCGGTGCAATCCGGCGATCCTTTGAGGGCAGTGCGTCGAGGGGAGGAGGTTTGCATCCCACCCGGATGGAACGGTGAGACTGGGCCAACAGCGATTCGAACTCGTTGCTGGCGATTCTGCGAGCGCCGACTTCGTGATGCTTGCGCATGAACCATCGGACCTTCTCGATCACGGTCGAGGTGATATCGGCCATCACCTCGATGGTGGTGGCGCGGTCTGCCAAGATGATTAGGAACCTGTAAGATGTTCCTTCGGCTATGTAGACCTGACCGCACCATTCCCAAAGCAAGAACAGGGTGTCTGCATGCTCTTGCTCGTGTTTGTATTGCGAAATGGTGAGGAAGGCGACGTCGAGGCTTTCGGGACGTGCGGGCTGCAGATACCGAGCTCGAGAGATAGGAAGCCGTTCCATTGTCGCTGAATCACTAATATTGAGGTTTTGAATGAGATGTTGCGCACGAAGCAGTGATATCCGAGGTGATCATACGCTGAGAGAGAGAGATAGATGACGACGACGATGGACTAGCGGACTAGGTACATGATGTGGCTGTGCGAGAGGTAGTCGTCTGGATATCTGGTTGTAGGCGTAGCATGCGACGCGTAATTAAGGGTGTGTTCGCGAATACGCGTCGAGCTGACTTGTCATGTGTCAGAGAATTGACGTAAGGATGCGTTCGCGACGGAAAACTCGCTGGAGACGAGACAAAACCTGCCGGGGACGAGACAACGTAATTCAACGTAATATGACGTAAGAATATTGGCAATGTCCGACGTCTGTTTGAAATTGAGAGCTATACTCGGGTGACCCCACCGTAACGATACGACGTACATCAACACATCATAAACACTGCTTCTACACGAGAAGTGTTTGTACGAGGTGTACAGCCCTTACAATCAAACGTAGTATAAACCCACATCATCTTTAGTATGGACGCCCTACTCGCTCAATTACATGCCCAAGGCGTGGTGGAATCACCCTTCGCGGAAGAAGAATGGAAGCTTCCAGTCGTTAATACCCCGATCAATGATCTCTCGCCGTCTTCCCCCTTCGATTTCCCTCTATACGATCCAATTCCTTTGCCCGACGAGGAAGAGGAGGCGGAACTCGACATCGAATGTATTCCCTCTCCCCTAGCCGCCGTCCAAGACCTTTATCAACTTGCCGATGAGATTACCGACATAAACCTCCCTCCCGACCTTCCCGACCAACCTCCAAGCGATGACTTCCATGTTCGGCTCCCCCCTATCAGCCCCACCTTTACCCTTACTGCTCTCATCGACGCTGTCAATCTGCATGGCAAACAGAATGGCTATGCTGTACGCAAGGGTAGTACAGCTAAAGACAGGAAAGGCGAAGTTGCCTATGTGTATCTCGTATGCCCGTACAGTGGGGTTTATAAACCGTCTCATGCCTACTTAACTGAAATCGGGCCTATGACGAACCGCCGACCCACCACCAAACGTCGAGGTTGTGAATTTAAGTTATATGCCAAACTATCAAAAGGAATGTGGTCGATCATGGCTAAAGAACTACGTCACAACCATCCTCGCGACCCTTCAGCACGCTCTCAACATATCCATCGAAAACCGACTGCAGCTGAAACCGTCGCTGTTCTAGCTGCGTTTGATGCAGGAATCAATAGCAATAGGATTCTTGCTTCACTTCGAGAAACTGCTAAACGCAAAAATCGGGAAACTCTTGTGTCGGAACAAGAGATCTACACCATGCGATCTCGATACTATCGTATAGGAGGGGGAGGTCGTACGCGGACCGACACCTTGATCCAAGAACTGAAAAATTCAGGGTCACATCACGCCGCCAAGTTCGGACAGTTTGGTGAACTCACACACCTACTTATTACCGATCCGATGGCACTCGCGCTGGGCAAACACTATGGGGAAGTTCTCTATATCGACTGTACCTATCGTACCAACAAATTCAAGCTGCCTCTCTTCCATGTGGTGGCAGCAACCGGGGCGAATTGTTCTTTTACAATTGCCTTCGGATATTTAGCCAGGGAACAAGAAGACGATTATCTTTGGGCGATGCATAACCTCAGAGATTTACTACGTATCGTTCCGGTGAAAACATTCGTCACCGATAATGATAAGGCTCTTCGAAACGCTATCGACCGTGTCTATCCAGAGACGACAAAATTGCTCTGCATCTGGCATATCAACAAGAACATCGTGTCTCGTAAGAAGGGAATAGCCGAGGAGGATTGGAACAAGATGCTTGCCCATTGGTATCGCATTGTACGAGCTCCCACGCTCACTGAATTCGAGGAGGTGCTCACCTCCTTTGCAATGGAGTGGACCTATCGCGACGATACAGAGGCTGCATGTACCTACATGATGACACTGTTCAACGACGCCGAATACTTCTGTGCTTATGCCACGAGGGGAAAATTCCACCTGAATGCAACAGCCACGAGTGTCGTCGAAGGATCACATGCAGCTCTCAAACGTTCTTTGAACGCTCGAGCTAGTGATCTGTACCATGTCACCAACAATGTGCTACGATATATGACAGCTGGTCAATACCGTATCTTTACCAAACACGCACACGAACAAGGGCGAGGATGGGTGGAACTTCCGCCTAGTCTAGCACTGGTGGGTTCAATATTCTTTTGTAAACGCCGTAACGTTGTGGTGACAGGATTTATCGGCCCCGACGGTCGTCTACTTCCTACATCCGCGGTTCGCTCTCGACTACCTCGACCTCGCCGCTGTTGGTCACGGTGGATTACTAGACGGCAGCCGACGGTGGATTAGAAGGTTTCATCGAACGACGGGAGACGGGATACACGTGTATAGGTCGAGGCGTACGGGCAGAGGAGAAGCGGAAGACGCACGGCCCGGAGTATAGATCGTTCCGGTACTTTACTCGGTCGCGCTGGCGTAAGCGTACGCTAGACACGTATATAGGTCCCCCACCTCCCTATTCGATTCCCCTCTTTCTATCGCCGTTTCGCCGTTGTAAAAAAAAAAAAAAAAAAAAAAAAAAGCAAGCAGTAGAGAGACCAGTAGTAGACGTTTATTCATAGCTTTTATCCTACATTTCACCTTCGGTATACACCTACCGTTCGACCTCGCTGATTCGCCGCTTCGCGTTTCACGATCACTCCCCATCACTCGCTTAGACGACGGATCTATAGCTGGCTTCCGGACAAGGTTAAGTAGATCGGCGTCAGAGTACGGCCCTTGCTAGCTTACCACCCCGAGAGGTTTCGAGTTTATACGACTTCGACGTATCGCGATTGATCGGAGATATCCCATCTACCTTTGTACATCACGTGACCGGAGTCACGTGACTTTTACACGACTTTACCTACCACCCCACCCCCTATAGTCTACCGGGAACAGCACTTGCCTACCTGGACATCCCTTACCACTCCTAGGCTTAGCAACCCTACCTACCTACCCTACCGCCAACTCAGACGAGTTGTTGTTTGACGTCGTCATCGACGTTTGATTCCGAAGACCGGGATTAGCACCACAACGTCTTATGATAGTGGGTCCTTATGCCCATGCTCGTGCCAGCATGGTCCAGCACAAACCACTCGACAGGTGCAAAGATGTTTGGGAAGAGGATATCGACACGGGCGAGATGTTCAAACTCCCTGGGCTATGTCTCTATACGCAAAGCACAGGCTTACCCTGCAAGCACGTGTTTGATAGTCTCATACGCGGAGTTAGAGTACAGCCTATCAAACTACACGAGATACACAGCCATTGGCATCTGGTACACGAAAAACAGCTGGTAGAAGAGGCTCAAGCGATCGGGCATTATATTCCCCGTATCGTTACGAGGGAAACAGGCGAATTGGAACTAAGAACGAGGGCAAACATCGCTCCCCCAATCGTCAATCGATACATCCCTGTTGATCGAGATGCTCTACCACCGAGAGGAGAAGATGATCCAACCATTCTCGATCCCATGAAGGCGGTACACGTGGGAAAAGAGAAAAAGAAAAAGAAGAATGCTGTCGCGCCGAGCTATCGACAGTCGCATGGCTTGGCTGAAACGCTAGCTCGTGTCGATCCACCGGCTGCTGTCGATACCCCTGTTGCCAAGACAGGCAGAGCCTATTCTCGTCACGAGAACATCATCAATCAAGAACGGGCTCGGACTTCGAGCGCACCTACCACTACGGATAGAGCTCCAGTCTCGTGCAGTGTGTGTGGGGGGCCACATAACTATCGTTCACCCAAGTGCAAGCAAGGCCTTGCAATCGTGCAGGCTGAGGTATTAGCAGGATCTGCTCGTTGAGCAGCATCGCAACAATCGAACAACGGTAGAGCGATGAGCACCCTTTCCATTGAAAGAACTCCAGGAACCGATGTTCTCGAAAGGCAGGGGGACCTGAGCGTTGGTGTGATGCTCGCTCCATCAACTCAGCCTCGACGACAAGGATGATTGATGAGCCAAACTCCAATTAAAACCCTCCCCGTAACGATACGGCGTATGGAAAAAAGTCAAAGGACCTTTTGATCGTTTCAACATGCCTTTGAGAGTTTAGCGCGCGTCGGATAAAGCCGCTTGTTCTGTGGATCGTTCTTTATGTCGCGTATTCCTCTGTTAGATATGCCAGAATTAGATTTGAGTTTGAACAATGTCTCATACGACCACCGTCGTCAAGACGATGTGTTTCAACCCCTCCATGCTGGAATCTGGTTGGCCGAGTCATGACATCACCATCGTACGACACGTCGACAGGTTTTCTTCGCCTAACAAAACAAAAAACATATAACTCGACAGCTCATCTACGATTCCAGGAGATCCCCCTTTCACTTCAATTCACCTTTATTCACCTACTCTTCAATTCGGGACTCGTACTCGGACTTGGAATAAGTGGGATTCGTTCTCTTGTTTACTTTTGTGAGTCCTCTCGTATCGATACGGCGTACAAAGGACTCTCAACTGATCATTGTTGTTCTTCATCGCCAGCAAACTCATTTTGTTAGTACCGCGTTCGACTGTCTTTATACTCAATCTGATCATCGATGCTATGTTTTACAGTGCAACCATGCCGGACCTCGACTCCGATGAAGAACTCCAGGTGGTCTCAAAGGCGGATAAGGCCCTCTTGAACGCCCAGCATCAGATTCAGGCTCAGAACGAAGAGCTGTGAGTCTATAGCTTTTTCTCGTTGTTGCTATACGTCTTGTCGCTGATAGGGATCGATATGTCTAGCGCAAAACTCTTTCGTCTCGAATACCTCCTCGAATGGCCGGAAAACCTGCCCCATCCCGGTCTTAAAGGTCACCCGACCGGCTTCGTCTCGTTCGAGGATTGGATCGATCAATATGTCGCGGCCAACAACGAGGCCCAACGTATCGCCAAGGGGGGAAGGAAGGGAATCGATCATTCCCCCTCCAAGAAGACTCGCAGGCAGATCGTGTCGAAGGTCGACGGCGCCGAAATTCCCTACCTTCCTAACGACAACACCAAGCCGGTCATGCGTCTCAACACTGGGGCGTACGTCGCCTGTCTTCAGATCAAGGTCGACAAAGGCGGGGTGAAGAACGACAAGGCCGGGTGGAGGGACGACCAGATGAGTGAGTAATGTGTTCATTCACGTCGTATCGTTACGGTGCTTATCTTATTCGTATTTTTCTTTCGTTCAGTCGCCAAGATCATCGTCGACGAGGAGGAACGCGCGGTTCTTCCTATCTTCCCGCCCGTGGACTTGCTGATGGGGTGGTTGAGGCCTAACCGATCCGGGAAGGTCAACATCAAGCCGATCAACGGCTGGTTGGTGAGTCGTTCGATTACATCGTTGTTCATCGATGTTAGCTTACGATTTGACTTTACATCTAGGATCAATGGCGCGGTGGATGGCAGGTCGCCTGCCTCGGTTGTTACCAAAGGGTGATCGAGAAGAACGAGCCCCCTTCTTACATCGATGAGAACCAGCTCGTCATCAGCAACCCCGGTATCGATCCCGACAACATCCACCGCCCCTTCGTCCACTGTGTCAAGTACGGCCCCGTCTTCCTCTGCCGAAAGAACCTTGGGTCGCCCGACGAACGCACTTGCGGCCAATGCAAGGACAAGAAGGCCGTCTGCCACGCTCGGGACCCTCGTGTCGGGGACATCGCCAACGACCCTACCGCTCATCCGATGAAGAGGATCGACGCCGTCCTCGAGACGATCTTTTCCCAAGGTCAAATGACCAAGGAGGCTCGACAAGGACACGTCCTGCTCATTCGTGAGCAGTTGAAGGCCGGTCTCTGTCACGCGGCTCGTGGTCACGACGGGAACCACCCTTTCGTCTCCCACACGGAGCACATCACCGGTTCCGACGACGAGAACTGACCGGCGTAACGATACGGCAGGGTCGACAGGAGTAAGATCCTGATTTTTAAATTCCAGAACTGCTCTCAACCGGTTCGATTATCTTTGGGTTTTTCAAAGATTCTTAATTTCGATAGACAACGGGGGGGGTGAAATTCCCCCCCCTTACGTTGTATTTATACTGGGGGAGGTGGAATTCCTCCCCATTCGGCGTGTTTGTTCATATCAATTGATATGTCGCTGATAAACTGGTCTTCGACACCTCGTAACGATACGACGGTCTACATAGAGTTTCGTACAAGAGGGAGTCGGTAGTCTACATGCTTGGTAGACATCACGTGATACGCTTACGTCACCCTCGCGGCAAGCCACCCTTACGCAATATTACGTTGTCTCATCCCCGACAGGTTTTGTCTCGTCTCCAGCGAGTTTTCCTTCGCGACGTCGAGATGTGTCTATAATACGTCTAGAACAGGCCCAAAGTGGTAAGCGGCGACTCTGTTACGCCGACGCTAGTAATACGCTGGGGATTTGTATCCTCGCTGCACGTGGTCTTTCGATCGATTATAGTCGCCGAGAATTGACGCTCGAGACCGGATTTTTTGCGTCTACAATTGCGGTTTGGGTAACCCAGGGCCGGCTAGTGTTTTGCTAGGGGAGTTGGGGTTTGTAGAACCACGACGCTGAACACGAATCGTACTTACAAACCGTCAAATATCGCGAATATCCCCAAAATTTCACCCAAACGACCCTATACCAGCGCTACGATGTACCCGGACGTTATTGCTAGTGACTCACAGCAAAGAGAGGTCTCTCGACACCCAGGAGAAGGTAGCCGGCAACCAGTGGCGAGTGGAACAACGTCGTTTGACCATATATCGGTAGTCGAGGTGATGTCGCTCGAAAACCCCCCTTTGATGGCGTTGGAAGGTTACGAGGTGACGCAGGTTGCTAAGGGAGGTCCTACTGGTGCCGTAAAGTCCGAGGGAGGTCGTAAGAACGCTCAGTGGACGTTAGCGGATGATCGTTTGATGTTAGAACTGCTTACGGAGGAACAACGTCGAGGTCGACGAGCCGATAACGGTTTCAAACGTGGTATGTGGGCGACTGTCGCCGCTGAGGTGAACAAGATACGCAGTAAGGGTGGGGAGAAGGACGAGAAGTCAGCTACGTTCCGTTTCAACAAGGTACAACACCCACAACGGTAGTTGGATGGCTAAGGTTTAGGGATGTAACATATGATAATTCTTCTTGGGAAAAGAAGAGAAGACATGAGAGAAAGTACAATGACATCCGTAGGGCCTGTCTTGTATACTATTTAGGTAGCGACATGTGTTGTTCTGAGATAGTGATAGGTGTCAAGACAATATTGACAGGTGTCTGTACAACGATGATAGGTGTCGGAATAGTGTTGGTCCATAACGGTTGTAGGTTGTAGGTTGTACGGTGTGACTGGCATGTTGTGACTGGTATGTTGTGTGGAGGCCGAGTTTGGGTCGGTCTGTAACATTGGGTTGCGACCTCTCCGCAACACGTCTTGAAGATGTTGTAACAAGTCAGATAGGCGTGTATTGAATGTGATATCGGAACTTGACCTTTTACTATTACAGAGCGTCCTCTATCGAATACGGTCAAGTTCCTCTAACTATTTATATATAGACGAGACTGATAAACACTGAAGAATCCTAAAAACAAAAGAATGCTGAGAGATGGCAAAACCGGAAAGTCGAGATGGCAAACAAGTGAATCCTGTCGAGCGTGGCCGGATTCGGTTAAAGAGGTGAGTTTGAGTTCCATCTGTTCCTAAGGCCGTCGAGTAGGGTTGTCGGGATTCAAACAAGGTTGTAGAGGTCCCTCGAGGTCCTTGTACCTGTTTGTGATGTGTGTCGAGAGTGTCTTGTTGTTTCGGTGAATGGTGGGAGCGACCGAATCTGCTCCGAGGGAACCGGGTTCGTCTCGTCGAGCCGGACTTAGGTGTATGCTGATGTCTGTGCAATGAGCCCGTGTCCCAGTTGGTCGACTCACGTGATTTTCCCGTAACAGATTGGCCGCTCACGCTGTCGGACTTCATAAGTTCGCGCGTTTTTAGGTGTCAATGACAAACTAGACATACATATTGATGTGACTAATTTTGAGGGTGAAACTAGAGGTCCCCATGATGTTGTACATGCTATCTACAACGTTGTAGTAGTGTTTCACCGTTGTCTACATCATCTAGAATGTCAATTGAAATCATGTGGATAGGTGAAGTTGAATCTTACGTGTTTACGTCAATCAGGGCGGGAGCGAGAAAAAACAGTCTACCATTGACCCCGTCCTTGGGCCTTCCTTGCAGTTCCAAATTTGTCAGCCAGTCACCAGTAAAACGTAGAATTTGGTGGGAACGGTCAAGAATAGTCAAAGTGCTAGTAAACAGGCCCTAACGAGCTAACGACCTATATTTCCGGGGAGCGCGCAGTGTCAGGAATCGACCGTGTCCCCATTCCGTTCTCGTAGTGTTCATCTTCGCTCTTAGCGCGCCGAGCATCATCATCCGGGTACGCGTCGCCCTGCTGTTTTTTCTCGGAACGGGTTGCCCTTTGAACAACAACAACCACAACAACAACGGTGCTCAAAAACCAGACGGCCCGTCTGCAGCCAAGGGACGACCCGCCCGCTTCGACGATGTTATAACTTCAGCGCTGCAGCATTGAAATCCTGGAGGATGACCTGGACGCTCTACACTAGGAGGACGAGGGATACCCATCAGGCGGTCCAGGGATGCCATTCGACAAGTGAGCTTACACCATATCTGTCGTGTGTCCCGAGCCGCATTTCCTGCTGTCCGAACCCCTCTTTCTATCACCCTCCTTTTTCGTTTTGCGTCTTTTCGCCTCTCTTCTTTCCCTTTTCGCTTTGTCTCTGCTCTCTCTCTTTTTCCTCTCCTTTTTCGTTCTGTGTCTTCTCTCCTCTTTTTCTCTCGTCTTTGGTTCTGTGTCTTCTCTCCTCTCTTTCTCTCGTCTTTCGTTCTATGTCTTTTCTCTCCTCTTTTTCTCTCCTCTTTTTCTCTCCTCTTTTTCTCTCCTCTTTTTCTCTCCTCTTTTTCTCTCCTTCTTCGTTCTGTATCTTTACTCCTCTCTTCTGTCTTTCTCGTTCTGCGTCTCTTCTCCTCTCTTTCCTTTCTGCTTTCTTCCGTTCTCCGTCTTTTCTTTGCACGACCGCGTCTTCTACCTTTCCTCCTGCCGACGCTTTTTTGACTTCCTCTTGGTCCTCGCTCTTGGTCTCGTTCTCAGCGGGAGGCACTTTCGCCGGCATGTGCTCAGTCGCGACACTCGCCATACCCGTATTTGCTAACCGAGTATCGTGCGTTGCTCGACAGTGATTTCCAGTCCGCTCGTTCTACTGAACTGCGACAACGCTTACGCTATACCAGTATGGCGAGCGAAACCGCTGCACCTTGAGGGATGCCTGGCAATGACCGTCATCCACCTCGCAGGCCTGAGGTGTCATCGTTCACCGCGCTGTTGATCTCGACGTGAGTGATACAGGGCCCTGATACCCACATGTCAATTATCCCATGCGCGAACTGACCTCTATCCTCTATCCTCATATGACTTGTCACTAGCACTGATGGTGAATCTAGGCCTATATGCGTGTCACTTGTCAGATATCGGATGCACCAAGTGAGTGGCTGTTTCGCCGTTCACACATGTGCCGCCCCTACATCTCCTTACACCGCAAGGCATCACCCAGACTCGATCCGTCTTCGCTGTGTTCCCATGATCCCCCTCCATAAACCTGGGGTCTCCGATGCTCACTATTTCTGCCGTCTCCGTCGTCTCAGCACCAGCTTTGTTCCCGCCGGTGGCTGTAATTCCTGGCTGAATTCCCAGGCCCCGGCGAAGTATTACTCCGCCTTGGTATCCACACTCCCGCCTTCATCCTCGATGCCCGCTCTCCCGTATCCGCTGCCAATCAATACACTTCGCTCATCTGGAAGCAAGACTGCGACAGTCTGGGCTGACGAGCGATGTCCCAGCTTTCGGACGTTATGCCGCTCTTCTCGAACGTCACCGTAAGCCAACTTCCTAACGTTCCAGTCACCTGTTTCAGCTCGCATATATCTTCGTTTTTAATATTCTCCCCCATAACAAAGCGATGGTACAACGAATCATCAGGGCGGTCCTCCGAAGATCAGGTTTCACAGCCCTCACCCGCTTACCCAGCTAAGTTGAAGCGCGAGACCAACAAGGTATCTATTCGATCGGCTCCCAGAGGACCTTTTGGAACGACCTCCGATCTTGTCTCCGTCCCGTCCCAAGGCTTATTGAGAGTCTTATTGAGAGTGAATCCGCGGAGCGATTGCTACCTTCGTAGGATATGAATGCTGACACGAGGGCAGACGGGATCTTGCGGGCTGGATCTCGGGACAGCCCTCCCGGAACGAGGTCCGAGAAGGCTCATCACGAGTCCGACGGAGAGCTACGATCCCGGCGGCGCTCCCAAGGATCCCGTAGACGGACCCTGACACAAGCCGCAATCCGCGGGACACCTCCTCAGGAGGTCGGGAATCGTAGGCAGGTGCAGCAAGATCCGGAGCTGTGACCACGAGCCCATCGAGTGGCGAGCCTATTACCACGGAGGATCTCGGATCAGCAGTTATCGCGCTTGAATGTGTCGCCGGAACTACGAAAAGCATGTTTCGGGGCGTACATGATGGTATTGCACCAGCGGTGTCTGCGAGACTCGCTCCGAAGCTCAAGGGAGATCAACGGTGGAGTTCAAAATGCGAGTGAGTCGTCGCTCCCAAATCCTATCAAGATGATCTAGCGATCTGACGTCGAGACTGGTGGAATCCCAGGCTGGGCCGCTCGTGGTATTCTCGGAGCAAAGGTAAGGGTGAACCCTTCTGTCGATGGACGATGACGATACTAACGGTTGGTATTGTCAGGCGGAGAGACATCCTGCTTCAGGGAGACCGACTCGGCATCCGAGCCGGTGCTCAACGTAGATAGCACTCCTAGGCCAAATCGTGGACGTGTCAAGCTAAAGTCGCCCAGTTCTGTAAGTGCGATCCGGTCTACGTTCCTCAATGGTCCGCCCGACGCGCTGATGCTGTATCGTTCTGTAGATCTCCGACCCCGCTCGATATGGAGGATATCGGATTCTGCTTGACTCCCCACAGCAAGGCTCGCAAGCTTGATCCTCACTGACATACAAGTCGGACTCTACCCTACCAGGAGCTCTGGCAGAAAAGGTCCCGCCTGGCCTGGGATGGTAGGGTCTACAACTAGCTCCACAACGCAAACGGGCGGAAGGTGGGTTCGAAGTCCGGTAACGATCAGGATAGATAATAAGATGAGCTTCGCCCGAAGGGTCATACACTCGACTGTCAATCGAAGTCGCTATTCATAGGATTGGTGATCGGGGAGTACATGACCCGCCAAAACGCATGCGTATCTCCCATCGATCCACCGAAGAGTTGAGGGGGTTTTCGCCATGAACTTTGCACCGGCGCTTACGGCCGCAGCGAATGCAGATCAAGCTGGCTTCGAGTCTATTATCCTTCACAGCTCGTCGAACTAGAAGTACACGAGAGCAGTAACTAGACGCTCATGTAGACGACACAGTCGTGGCTTGACGACAACTGGTCATAGATCGCTATCGAATCGCATTCATCGCCCCACTTCCCGCCTGATCACTACATTCTCGCCGATTTTACACAGTAGTAATACAACCCAAGCCCTGCGCACACGGTGGTCTCTGCCACAGGACGTACCAGCCCTTGCCGCCCTGCCAGAGTGTGTCCGGGGGCGCATTGCCCTTGACAACCCATCCCGGATCGATGAACCGATCACCCCCTATCGAGACGGATCAAACTTCCTCAAAGACGTGGTCGATGAGTGGACGGGTGATCTCCATTGTCGACGATCAGTTCATGGTTGCCGGCTGGGTCTGCCGACAAGAGCCTGTAATCAGCCGAGTTTCGGCTTGATGACTCCTCTCCATTTGATGATGCTCACCGCATAGCTTTCCTTCATTCCTCGTCCCAACCTGCCCGGCCTCCATCATTTCCTTTTTCTCACGGTAACGCTCGCGAGACCGTACTCGCTTGGCTTCCAGCTGAGCCAGACGTTTCTGGGACTGACCTGCCGGGTCGTTTGTCGATTCGGGAGGTCGAGAGCGGCGCTTCCCCTTTTGTTCTGCCAGGTCCGTGGCTCGAGCTTGCAGAAATTGAATGGTATTTCGCAGCTGCTCAACCTCCCCTGCCGTGCGACCGAGATCCGAAGCCTTGCTCAGCGCTGTCTCAGCCGCTTTCAGATGTCTGGCGACGTCTCGACGCTCTTTCAGCCGTGCTTTGATGCGGCACCGATTGGCTCGACCTTTTTCCGATGTCTCGTACTTTTGAGATGTCTGTCGTTTGGCTAGAGTGGAGCGGAAGTCGGCTGGGCCACCAGTATGATTCTCGGCGTGGTTGTTGTCGTTGGCACCCGTCGACTTGTTGCCGCTCAAGTCTGAGGGATCTGAGTGAAGCGATAGACGGGGATCAGGCGGATCGTCGGAGGTGACGCAGTTCATAGAGTTGTGAGAGTCGAGCTTCAAGAAGGGTGGCACAAGAGTGAATACAACGTTTAAGATAGGGCACTGGCGGCTGTTGGTAGCTCTAGCTCGTGCTTGTAGCCATACTTCGTTGTTGTCCGACCACGATACGACCTGTCTGCTCTAGCTGCTCTAGATCAGAGGCTCCTCGAACATGCGCGTCGACCGTGCTCACTTTTCTGTCACCGATCAGGACCTTCGAGCGGTACTGATCTCGATTTTCTGTCAAAAGTCAGGACATAAATCCGGTACGGATCTGCTCATATGCCGGCCTCCGGTAACTACCCGCTCCGTCATCATGTCTAAGACCAAGAACTCCGACTCTAGAATCCGCAAACTGTCCGCCACCTCGAACACAGGCTTGGATGAGCAGCGTCACCCCAAAGCTCTCAAGGTCACTCATGATCCGCAACTTGACGCAGCGGTTCGACAAGAGCTATTGGCGGGAGCATACGATCTCGATTCGGACACCAAGCGAGAGATCTTGAGTACCCTCGATCTCCGACTTGACACGTTGGTACGACAACAGGTCCTCTCGGGCGTTTTCAACCTCTCTCCGGCAGCCGAGAGGGAGATCATCCGTACCCTGGATCTCCGAGCCATCGCTCGGTGCGACTGTTCTCCACAGCTCCCTAAACGTCTGGAGGTCCTGCAAGCAGAGGTCCAGCAGTTTGACAGCGCTAGGGCCAGTCTAGACATCACCGCGGCAAGGCTGCGCCGTCAGCTACCCACCGGGCACGTCCAAGCCGAGTACAACGATACCGATCTACATGTCCAAGCCGAGTACAACGATACCGATCTACATGTCCAAGCCCAGTACAACGATACCGATGTACTGCGAAAACCAGGAGCGTGTGAACCTGCTACGGTGCCGTTGAGTCCGGACGCCCGGTATCTCAAGGAGGCGATTCAAAACCCTTGCCTTAACCCTAGACAAATCAAGGGTACTAGTAAGCGTCTTAGATGGATCCACATACCGTGGCCGTATGGTCCCAAACCGCTGCCATTACACCGTACTCTGCAGCCATGGGATTGGCATTTGGAGATTGCGTTGGCTCGGGGCTTCGCGCGTTTGGATCCCGCAGCGAGAAAAAAAACCAGATCGGCTGGAATCATATTGAAACGGCGGTTTGACACCAAAAAACCTGGTTATCGTACCACTTTCAGTTTCCCAATCCCTCAAACCGACCAAGATTTCGAGGTTTTCGCCCGCTGGCTGATCGAGGTGTTACCACCGCAAGTAGCGGCATACAAGGGAACCACTGCGGAACAACTGATCTCGCAAATAACGGCCACCTGTCCTCTCGTTCGCTTCCCAGTGTGGTGGACTAAGTTATCGCTGGTGAGTCTACAGCCTAGACGTCCGCTATTCTGAGGAATTCGTTGGCTGACAGTGTTGTGCCTCAAATTAAAACATGATGACATTATTATAGGCTCGTCGTTTGGGGTCACATTTCATGAGGTGGCTGCCCCAACGCTTGCGACGTATCCTCAAGAAGCGAGGGAACGACAAGGCCAAGGTTGGACCGGCGCACGACGAGTCAATCGAGGCAGACGACGAGTCAATCGACGAGGCAGACGAGGAGGCAGACGAGGAGGCAGACGGGGGATCAAAGGAGGGGTCAGACGAACTGGAGACAATACGCCGGAAAGAGTGGTACCGGCAAGAGTGGTTAGGCAATCATCTGCCTCGATTGGAGAACCTTGCAAACACAGGCGCCCCCCTGCTCAGCGATTACAGCGGCTGCGTCTTGGTTCCGACGGTCAAACAGCCCTGCGATGCGACGGTGGCTGGGGGACCTAAGAACTATGCCCAATGTCCAAGTGACCACCGCTACTGCACGCACTTGGGGGGACTAGTCTCCCTCGAGCATATCGATCTCGTCGTGCCTGGCGACCCCAAGTTCCCCGATTATCCGGTCTATCTCGACGGGCCTGGCAATATCGCGTTCATCCATCCTCACGAGAATATGCTCCGAGGCGAGTGGCCAAAATCAGTGTTAGCACTCAATATGATGAATATCGCCGACTCAGATCACTCGAGCCTTGCGCATCAACGTTGGGAAACGGCTAGGAACATACTGAGCCAGTAGGTCCATTTTCCTCACCGTCTCACGTGCCAAGCCACGTGCGCTGAGCTGACGATTCCCGTCGGACAGTGATTTCATACCCACCGTTAGAATGGAACGTCTGAAGATGTCTGTGGCGGAAGTCCGATATGCGGCCGAAGTGGACAGCAAGATTTGCGACTTGTTGGGGATAAGATTCGGCCCGGTTGGTGCTTCACTCCACTCCTGCGCTCGCGTATATCTTGGCAGCGAGGACCTCGCCGTTGCCGGCGAGCCTCCCGGCTTTGAACATACGCGTGAGATCGTGCTCCCGCCCAGGGCCACTGAGGACGAGAGGCGAATAATCAGGGAGCTCAGCCAGCGCTTCGTCGAATATGCTGCGACCAAGTACCGCCTCAATTACAAGCTTAATGGGGACGGTATTGTACCTCTCTCCGGGACGACTGACCTGGTACCTCTCTCCGGGACGACTGACCTGGACCCCAGTTCATCAGTCAATGGTATAGACGGGATCATCTATTGGAGCACGAAAATGTCGATGTACGGTGACCTCGACAAGAAAAAAGGTAAAAGGAGAACCGACAAGGAATGGCATGAACTCCTCCGCCAACCGTATCCCCGGGCGGCGCGAATATCTTGGGCAGGACCGTATATGGAAGGACTTCATAGAGATGCCCATACGAAAGCCAGCAAAAATCCGGCTGGGCCCGAAATGAAGGAGGTATGGGTGAGCGACATGAGGTTCGACAGCATCTGGTTCGATCTCTCGCGACGGGGTCCTTTCAGTCCGCAGCTTGCGCGCCTAGATCACTCGCGCCCTCATGTTTCCGGCTTCTCGTCGCCGATGGAAACCATCGATGACCTCATCTCACACTGGGACCCAGAAAAAGGGAACCTCGGATTAAGTGCGACCTGTATCAATCGGTTAGAAGGGCATTCCACCTCCTTCCCTGCCTTCCCTCCAACCCTTTCCCGGACTAGGGAAATAGCGCTTTACTGGAAGGGGACGAACAAGCTCGCAGCGACCGACCAGGCGCAGTTCGACAGCGTCGCAGCTTTCTTGCGGACCATCAGACGGAGGGATGTCATTATACGTTGAATAGTGATAGAGCCAGAAGATGTGTGCTATTTAAAATGAATGATGGTTTGAACACGAATAGTGCAATTGCCAGAGTTAATGTTGCGATAGCAAAGCTATGCACGTTTGTTAGTGAAGCAGTAGTTGTTACTGCTGTTTCTTGGTCTTGGTCTGCTGGAGCAGCGTCGAAGTGGATAACTCGTACAATTCGTAGGTAGTACGCTGCACTAATAACACTTACAACAATTGCCACAATTGACATGAAGTAGTAACCACTGTGAGTTGCTGAGTAAAGAACCATTTGTTTTGCAAAGACATCGTCTACCAGGATCTAGGCATGAATAAAGCTAAGATTCTGCTGGAGTTGGTCTAGCGGAACGAGTTTGAGGTCGGTTCGGGATCACCATAAATATATGAACTCTCGATTCAATACAAGTTCATCCTTGGCTCATCGCCCTTCTGCGAGTCTTGGGCTCATCTACCATTCTGGCAATAGTCTCCCGGTTGTGTGTGTCCCGCTGCCTGCTGATGTCTATCAGATGCAAAAGATGATTCCAGTGCTGATGAGGAAAAAAAAAGACGTTGGCTGGCGAGCTTGGCCTAAATCGGGACCGTGTCGCTTACCGGAACCCCATTTGCATTGCTCTCCCTAGCGCTCAGCCCATCCTGCAGCCCGATGATATCAGCCGGGATATCATCGTCGCTAAACTGTTCGATCCCATAGACGCAGCCGGCCGCATGGAGCTCCAACGCCCTGAGCTGGTCACCTACGGGCCTGTATCCGCACAAGCTACATCGCAGCGCGGCAGCGTGTGTTTTGGGTGTGCTTGGCGAGTTCAAGAGAGGACGATTTAAGAACAGACCGAGCGTCCTTGGGTCGTGGATCAGCCATTGCGTTGTGGCGGTGATGAAGGGCTTCCCGATGTCCTTTGCCTGCCGCTCCAGATACCGCCACTGCATAATCTTGTACATATCGCTTTCCCCCACATGCCCCATGTGCCCTCCTCTTCCCAGATAGGCTCCATCGCGGTTCGGATTCACAGTACCTCCCGAAGAATGGGCGTCGCGATAGCGTCCGGGATCTTCTGCCTTCACGTGTTTGACGGTCTGACCGGTAGAGACGCATTCAACCGCCTGCCGCCGACAGGTCGAATATGGTGCCGATTCGCAGCTGCACTGCACGGTCAATCGTCGTGGTTTGAGCGTATCAGCATTGGTCGTCGGTTGAGCGCTGAATTGACTTTGGATTTCCCGACGTACGGGCGTGTTCCTTTTACAGGTTGTGAGATGGAGGCAGAGATTAGCTTCATGATACCCGGATCTCCCAGGAGTTGGATGTCACACCCACTTCGTCTTGCAATGCTGTCCTCGAACCAAATGACGTGCAATAGCGTCAGTCTCCATGCAGATCTTTTTGTGCGCACGATTCCACTACCAACTCACGAGACAATTCCAGTTTTGTTTTTTCGGTCTGGCTCCTGCTTGCGGAACCACGTCCGGCATTTTGACCGGAGTGAATGCTGTTTCTCACCGGTGAAGAAGCTAGACAGTGGGAAGTGATACCGAATTCGGAGAGTCACCAGATCTCTACGAATGATAGTGTGGTAGCAAACATTGAATCGCGTTAAACGCTCCCTTTTTCCGAACCGTTCGGAAGCGGATCCGTCGTGAGACTTGACATATAATGAGTTTCCCTCGATTGTGGCCTCCAGTATGAGGGGTAACATAAGACGGCAGGAAGCGAGCTAAGTTCCGGCTACAGCTGCGATGTGCAATCAATCACACTTGTCAAAAGCAGCGCCGTACTTCCCGGTCAGAATCTTGGTGATCTACAGAGAAGCCCAATTGGATACGGGGACCTTGGCGAGAAGCACACACATTTGCGTACCTCTTCACAGAGAACAGAGTATTGAGCATCAGGGTCATTGGCCTCCAGAGGGGATTCGGTGTCTGGCCTCCATTTCATGTTCTTGTCAGGGTGGTAGCAGGCAATGGACTTGAGTAAATCGATTTTTGTCATAGATCGATCCCTTCCGCAGGGATCCTCCACCTTGAGTGCTTCGGCAAGATCATAAGATCCCGCTGTCCTTGGTTTATACTCTGCGTGTTGAAAAATGTACTGTATTTACAAGGTTTAGCCTTCTGCCGGATCGTTCATCCAATTGAGAAGCAGAACTTACAAAGGTTCGATCATAACGCATACACGAGACCCTATGGCCGAATTTGTATCCCTACTGCTGTATCCCTCCAACACGATCTTCCTACTACCTTGTGCGACATGCGTCATTTGGGTCGTTGTGAAGCGGTAATGATCGTAATGCATCGAAAGTGCAACAGGAATACAAAGCGGTGACTATTATGCGGCCAGGCAATTACTGAAAAACTATAGAAGCGCCCAAAGGAGAAAGGACAGAAAGTGATTTACGTATGATCCCAGAGTACGGATGAACCCCGAAAAAGTGGTCGTCAGAGGTGCGTCAAAGAAGATGAGGGGGTGGATGGTTCGGTTGATCCGAGCCCTAAGATTTGCCAAAGAACTTCTTGAACCGCGTCTTTTCCTGGCTCGAGGGCTGTTTGAACTTGGAGGTGAGGATTGCCCAACTCGATTGAGTGGCCGCCTGATTCTGGTAGAACGACTTGTTGGGGCTGACCAGATCATTCGTAGTGGCAGGGAGTTCCAGATTGTTATGAGTGGGGGAAGGAGCGAAGAAGACGCTCGCGACGTCGAGCTCGAATGTCTTTCCCTTGACAAAGAACGGCGAGCTTTGAGGGAATTGCGTCGCCGTAAGAGGGGTGACGGGCATCGAGCCGGACTCTGACATCGTCGGAGATGCCAATGAAGATATGCTCGAACACAAGCTGTCTCGAGACGACTCGTCATCCATAAGCGAGCTTGAACTCGAATCGCTGCTTTCTCGCGATGACGTGCGAGCGTGGTGACTTTCAGCCCTTCTGTCGTAGACCATTTCACTTTCCAGAGTTGGGGTAACGGGCAAGGATCCCGTGCGCTCAGGAATGACAGGAGATGGGATCGTTGCCGGGACGTCAACGACGGGTTCGGCCCGCGCTACGGCATTCAGGTAAGAGGGAACGGCCTTGCGCGGCAGTCTCTTGGGAAGGCTTGAAGAAGGAGCAGAGGAACGTCGAGGAGTGGAAGGTCCGGCCTGAGTGATAGCCTGGGTATAGATCCGTTCCGTCGATTCTCTGAGGGCCATGAGCTCGGCCAAGTTGGAGGGTCCGAGAGCGGCATGGCCCTCGGGTGGGCTCATGTATGACGAAATGAGGTCCTCGTAGGAGTCGTGGTAGCTGACGAACTCGTCATCCGAACTATCCTCGTCGTCCTGGCCGTCGTCGTTGGCCTCAGCATCCAGCTCTTCCCTCTCGACGAGAACGGAAGAGGGACCCGCAATGGCCGGTTGGCGCTGCGGTACGGGCTCAAAGTAGGTGGCCGTGGTTCCCTTGCCGACCTTGAACAAGCGCGAGACAGGTTGGGACTTTAGACCCTTTCTCGCTGCGAAACGGTGCGACGCTGGGATGGGCGCGGTCCGTTCAACGACTGCAGCCATATTGATGCCCAAGCCGATAGGGCCGCTGGGTTTGGTAGGAGAGGGGGTCGGAGGAAGGAGCGATCGGCCAAAGCCGGAAAAGTTGGGAGTGGACGCGTTCTTCAGGTTGAAGAACGACTTCTTTTCGGGAACCTTGCGAGATTGATGGGCGGAAGGGCTAGGAGTGGGAGGAGAAGTAGTGGTAGGCGAAGAAGAGGTAGTCGAGGTCGGTGACGGGTTCATAAGCTCAGGTGCGTCGAAGGAAGACCGGCGGATCCGTTCAGCTCGACGATTCTTTTGGTTCGAGAAGCCAAAGACGACGTCTGCACAACCACGAGCTCTGGAATCAGCTCCAAACTCAGCGAGATTCAGAGGTGGGATGCTGGACGGACCTGAGGAAGGGATGTTGGTACGCATAATTTGCTTGGTGGGGGTTACGGGTAGAGACATCTTGGTTGCAGATGGGCGAACGTCTTTGAGTTGGGTTGACGGGAGATGATTGATAGGGCGGTGAGATGGGAGAGAGGTCGAGATGACAGGGAGTGGATGAGGTGGAGAGGGTGAAGAGGACGGACTAGGACTAGGGGGGATGTCGCCAATGTCGAATCGAGATGGTTGCTTGGAGTAGAGACGATGGACCGGGTCCCAGCAGACGATGCGGGAGGGAAAGATTTCCGGTTGTCTACCTATGTATACTCGATAGCTAACACCAGTTCGACGCGATGTTTGCTATCCCGCCCGGTGATCGGTCGAGGTGCATGCACAATGATCGAAACTTGTCACCTCCTAACACCGTGAGCGATCGCGTATGACGAGAGGGCCTTGGGGGTTGTAATCAACACCCGCTGGTGAAACAGCAGCTCGACCCGCATCGACTAGAGTCGTCACAACGCAGAGGTTCGCCCAAAGAGACCGGGCAGGGAAGATGCAGAGTGACGCTGTTGGCTGCTGCCACTGCACGTCTCCCGTCCTTCGACGTCGGCCTTTGGCGCGCGGGACGAACGGTACGGGTGAAAAAAAGTTGGGAGTTGTGCTCGGCACTGGGATCTTCGCTAGCTCGGGGAATTAGTCCGAGTGATCTGAGACAACAAGACGTGTCACACTGCTGCTGCTCCTCCCCCTTCTGCTGCTGTGATGTCTCGCTTGGATTTTCCGGGAAGCGGGCGGTTCACGGTGATCAGGTCCGAGGGGGGCGCAGGAAGGCAGAGAAGCGGTTGATCCCGCGAGCCGAAGGACGATCGGTTGCGATGGGTGGGCACTAGGGACGGGTGACGAAACAGGAGACGCGTCGGAACGCTCGAGAATTCGGCGGGGCCAGTTACCAGTCGACAACTTCCGCCGTGCACTTGGTCGATAGCTTGTATGCGGTCTCAATCCCGCTCATGTAGATGCGGCGATGGTCCTTCTCGGCTCCAACCCCTGCAACTTCCAGGTGGACACGGCGAGCGGTGACATCCGCTCGAGAGAACAAAGGGCTCTTTTCATTTATGAGTGTCTTCCATAGATGCCGATGGCAGAGCAGAACAGAGCGCGCTCTGGCCGGTTACAAAATGGGAGAAATCTTCGATCACACCCGGGCGCGTCGGGCGCGAGGGTATGTGTAGCTTGTCTGGATTGAATGCTGGTTGAACACGGGAAAGTCGAGTCCTCGTGATATGTCGGTACCTCCTCGTAATTCTTCGAGGTAGATACGCTTGATGTGGAACGGCGTCCCGTTTTTGGCTTCTCCTATTGATACACTGATGTTGGACCAGTCTCGTGCAGTCATCTCCCTTGTCGTCTTTGTTCGTCAAACCTTTCATCACAGCTTCGTCTCTCAGATCTCTCATTTGGGCGGAAGCGTCGGCTCTACTCTTGCATGAGGAAACGCCACAACGCTTCCGTATCCTTGTAATCGTGGTGGATCAGGGATACTAACCACGATTCTTCGCTGATCTGCTGCAAAAGTTGGCGAGAGGCCGAGCGAAGCGGGTAGAGGCGGGACCATTCAGTCCATATCTCGAATGCTTCCTCCTGCATCGTTCGGAGACGCAGATACAAGCAGTCAGCGAGCATTCCATCGCATGCGGGGCCCAGCAATAAATCAAATTCACCTTCCATGCCAAGAACGAGATCTCTTCAATGATTGTCGATTGCACAATTTCTTGTCCCGGGAATACAGCCCAGGTGACCGCGTTCATTCCCGGAGCCGGTACATTGGTAATGAAATCGCCCTAAGGTCATAGACACCTGTTAGTGACGCACTTGATAATCTTTTTACCCCAAGGCAAATGACTAGCTAACCTTCTTGTTGCCAGCGTAACAGCTGATCCTTCCGTGTGGCTCTTTGTTGACCCTCTCGAACAGGCGATCGGCTTCTTCCTTGTTCCTCACAAAGAACTCGACGAAACTCTTCTGGAAGACGTAACCACCTTTGGGGCCGAATCCGTGAATTGGATCTTCACTCTTGGCAGCGTCCACTGCGGGTTGAGATCCGACAGTCCACCAGCCCTTTGCAGCGGAATTGAGCGTGATGAGGTGCTCCAGGATAGAAGCCGACTCGGGCGATATGGGGAGATCGCAGAAGGGTGTGGTAGGTGCGGCAGGGTCACTCCGAAGGTATCGTGTGAACAACAATGACAAGGACTCGTAATCGACAGGGGTCCCCCACTCCTTTAGAGCTTGTGCAGGCTGATACCAGACTAACCAGGTCAGCGAGATCTCATACAGACAATATCAACCTTACTTACGGTGATCTTGATACCATTTCCCCATCCGTCAATCTCTCCGTAGGCGGGACTTCGCACATCGGTGAAACGACCGTTAGGGAACTCGTCCCAGCTATCTTCCTGAGTTGTAGGAGCTCCGCTAGCACCGGTCCCGTTCTCATTCTGACGTCGGGGCTTGGGAACCAACCCGTCTGTCCCGGAATCCCCGTGTGATTCTCCATCCGCGCTTGGTCCACCGCGCTTGTGCTTCATACCGTACTCGGCCAAGTGCGAAGCGTCGGATGGAGAGATGCTCAACGCCTGGAGTTGTTGGGATGGCGAAGTTGAAGCATCGGCAGCCCCATGCAATGGAGCCATCGTATGTCCCTGCTCTATAGCACGGTTACGTGCCTGCCTGGCGTGGTCGCTCTTGTGGTCAAGGGTCCAGCGCAAGTTTTCCAGGATTCGTCGCACCGACTTTTCCAGGTTGAGAGTGCAGAAATGTACCCCACTGATGCCCACACCGGCCGCAATGATCTTGTTGATCATGCTGGTTGATAGTTCGATTCCGTAACGTTTCACGGCAGCGTCATCTGCCTATTGTAGATGATCAGATCAATACGCGGATGCCTTAGAGGCTCATTGTACATCCGCTCACCTTGATCGAATCCAGATCGCTCAACACATGTTCAGGTACCGGACATTTACAGAGGTTGGTTAGACGCCTGAACGAAGCGTAATTCTGAATAGGCATGATCCCAGGGATGATTGGTACGTCGATGCCTATATCAACGCCGATAATTAGCACGAGTCTCCCTCTGGCCGGTTCAGAAACACGAACCTGCCGCTCGAACTCTCTTGACCCATTCGACGAATCCATCAACATCGTAGAACAGCTGAGTGATGATGAAGTGAGCGCCAGCGTGGACCTTTTGTGCCAGAAAGTGAATGTCCGATTCGGGAGTATCCGAGTCAACGTGCGGGGTAGGATAACCTGCGAAGATGAGGTTCCATGATCAGCCTCTTTTCCCGCTTATACAAGGAGGGATCTCTGGACGTACCTGCCACTCCCACACAGAACCATCCTTTCCACTCCCGATCGATGTATCGTACGAGATCCTCGGCGAACTCGAACTCTTGCTCTTCCTCCTCCGGTTCGAGGCCTTCCATATCCTGTCCTCCGAGAAGCGATGTGTCAGGACCAGGTGCAGGACGATACTCCTCTTTTCTAGGGGGGTCTGATATCGATCAAGGTGCGGATCTCGATCAGCTTCATTTATCCGAGACTTGTGATATGAGCGAGTCTTACCGCCTCGCAATGCCAGGATGTTTTGCACACCCAACTCTTTGCATTTCTGTATATGATGGAACCTAAGTTCAGGAGATTAAGTATATGGAGTAGACTATGCTCACTTTCAGTGCCTCATCGACCATCTTCTTGCCCATGTTTGTACACGTAAGATGCAAGATGATCTGCAGTTTGCCTCGAGCGAGCTCCAATTTGGCAATCTCGGCGGCCAGTTCCAGACTCCTCGTAGCGGTACTTCCACCAGCACCCCATGTTACACTAACAGCGATTGGAGGAGACAGTGGTGCCGACGTCAATCGCTGGATACGGTCGAGCAAGTTGGCGAGACCTTCGGGGGTGCGGGGCGGGAAGAATTCAAAGGTGTGATAAGGCTCGCCTGCACGAGCCTGTATGGCGTCGGTCAATCGCATCATCGTGGTCGGAGAGTTTAGTTTTCTGAACCGGCTGGATGACTTGTCCGCTCGCACAACGATTGAATGCAAGGCTTTGGCGAGTAGCGAGTAGCTAGAGTGAGAGATAGGAGACCCGAATGAAAGCACGATCGCACCCCCGCCGGTATCGCTTCGTGTCGGCTGGAGTAGATCGATTACGTAATCGCAGAGTGTTTTCGGGTCCAACTCCGGGCGAGCAGCGGCTTGACCTTGAGAATTGATCAAGATAGATCAAGGAATCGAGTTTTCATTCCTACTTTGCGCTCTGCAGAAGAGTTCATCTTCCCACAAGCTGGCCACAGCTACGATACGCCAGAGTTAATAGTCAACACAGATCATATCACGATGACGGCGCTCGAAAACACCAACATGCCGAAGCTCAAGCTCGTTGCCAAGGGCAAGGTCAGGGACATTTACGCCTTGCCCGATGAGGCAGACTCGGACAAGCTGCTGTTCGTTGCAACAGACAGGATCAGCGCCTTTGACATCATTATGGACAACGTGAGGATTCGAGGCAGGCGGATTCGTGAGCAAGATCATCAGGCTACTAATGCGAATTGATCGCAATACAGGGTATCCCGAACAAGGGTTCTCTCTTGACCACCCTCTCCCTTTTCTGGTTCGACAAGCTTTCCAAGATTCTGCCTCATCATGTGCTTGCGCCAGCACCTTCAACATGCTGGAACGAAGAAGGAGACCGAAATAAGGCGGATGAGGCATGGCAGAGCTTCCCGAGAAGTCTGGACGAATATCGAGATCAACTCGAAGGGAGGAGCATGATCGTTCGCAAGTGCGAGGTGATCAAGGTGGAGGCTATCGTCAGAGGTTACATCACTGGTAAGCTGGCCTCACACGCTCATTTCGAAATGATCGCTCATCCCTTCCTGCACTCTAGGGTCCGCCTGGAACGAATACAAAAAGTCTCAGACCGTCCACGGGATCCCTATGCCCGCCGGTTTGAAGGAATCCGACAAGTTCCCCCAGCCAATCTTCACTCCTTCGACCAAGGCTGACCAAGGCGAGCATGACGAGAACATCCACCCTGACAAGGGCAAGTAGCTTGATCACTGCTTTTGACCTCGATTGGAACATCGGCTGACAGCTTTTCTGAATACGCGATGCAGTCAAGGATATCTGTGGAGAAGAATTGGCTGCTGAAGTCAGCCGGGTTGCCGTCGAACTCTACAGTCAGTATCTCGTCGAATAGCACTATTCATCACCCCACCGAGTCTGACAGCTATCCTCTTTTCGACCTACAGCCGAAGCTGCGACGCACGCCGAAGCTCGAGGAGTCATCCTTGCGGATACCAAGTTCGAATTCGGACTGCTACCAGCAACCTCAGAATCTCAATCGCTCTCATCGAGACTCATCCTGATTGACGAGGTCCTGACCCCCGATTCGTCCCGATACTGGGCAGCCGATACCTATGCGACCGGACGAGGTCAGGACTCCTTCGACAAGCAATACGTTCGAGACTGGCTCATTAGCGAGAACAAGAAGAACGTCGAGAACGTCAGACTGCCGGAAGAGGTTGTCAAGAAGACGGAGCAGAAGTACAGGGAAGCTAAAGAGAGGATCATGGGGCAAGGGAAGTGGGCATGATGTGTATTCGGTTGTACAGCAGTAATTCGACAGAATTCGAATATGATGACGGGAGGATATTTCGAAATTTTGCTTCCGGGACCGAGAGGGCGAACCTCGAGGCTGTCGACCAGCTATCAGCTACAGATTCGAATGCTTCCATGTACAAGTGATGAACGAATTGAAACGAATCACATCGACAGACCCTGTCAGTTGGCAGACTCTTGCATTGTAAATACAGCTTTCGGTATGACATAATGGATTGGCCCGCATCGACCACCGATATCGGTGTGGTCGAACGGCAGAACCGGCACAAGGGTCGGCAGAAGACTCGACGTATCGCTCGATACGACAAGTCGGCCGGTCTCGTGAGGGAACAACGAGAAGTCAAGAGCAGAAGGCCTTACATCCTAGCGGGGCCTATCCTGGACTATGGAGCTGATGGACCCGCCACCTTGGGAAAAGTCAACGCCTCGGTCGATGCGAGCAGGAAGGGAAAGGAGAGGGAACGGTGGGAATGGAAATATGCAACGGCTGAGAGGGACGAGGAGCGTGAGTCAAGGCATATCTCGATCAGGTTAGGCTCAGGACCTGGTGGTGAACTTGACCGCTTCTGTCAGGCTACAAGTTTCGAGCCGATACGCCTTCCAGGCTATTTCCGCCGACCTGGAAATCGTCTGCTACTCCTCTTCAACCTGTGAGACATGCGATGCTCGGTCAAGCCATCGAGAAGAATAGCTTATCGGATGTCATCTTATTCGATGCCTTCCCGCAGGAACCTGCATCGGAGGATATAGCCGCATCGAATGCCGCACGGGCTGCAGAAGTGGTCCGCAAACAAGAAATCGCCGAAGCTATGGCTGGTCTAGAGGGAATGGCGGGTATCGATAGCGCTCTCTTGGAGACTCTGTTTGATGAAACGCCCCTGCAAGCTAGTCGGCCCCAGAACCGACCGGAAGACCAAGAGGACACCCACGTACTGCCTGTCGGGGTGGGTAATCGTCTCGCGCACGAAGTAGAAGGACAGGTCGAAACAGAAGATCAAAAGGATTTGGGCAACCCGAATAAGCTGGCAGTCTTGTCTTTCGCCGGTTCGCGTGCGGAACTGGATCCGGTCTACTTTCTGGCCTTTCCTTCTGGCGAAGATAGACGTAGCCTCAGTGAGTCTCCGAGCGTCCTTTCCGCCTGAATGCTTGAGCCTGACAATAAGTCCACTACAGATATCTCGCCTTTCAGGAAAGCCCGGAACCGAGCAGGAAAGATGGATATGGCTTTTTGTCCGACAGCAGCGCCGTGCATGGTCTTTCCAAGCCCAATACTGCAAATCTCGGTCTCTTGTGCTCATGCAGCTCGGACTTGTAAGTCGTGCTGCGCGTCGCCTTTTTACTCGAGTGGCTACCTGATCATCCCGTCACTTCCCAGCCGCTAGAAACACAGTTTACCTAGCGATACGCCTCGAGATGTTTACATATATCGTCTCGGTCGACGTCGTCTTGGATCTGCAAATCTTCAGGTCCAGCACCCTTCGAAGTCGGCTATTCCCGTTGGGTATGTCTCCGGTTCAAGTTCGAGAGGTTGACAGGATCGACCTGGCGAGGACGAAAGGTGCCAGACATATGGACGTCGCCATGCATCCGACCAAAAGAAGGGAGTGTGTGATCGTGGATGACACCGGGAAGCTTTGGCGGTGGAGGATGGTCACCAACCGAACTTTCGCCGAGGTCAGCACATATGGCAAAGTGTGAGTGCGTTGACATCATCAAGCTTTGTATCTCGGGCGTTGTTAAACCAGCCCTGACGATCCTGCTATTAGCTCCAAATTCGGAAGGTCCCGGGTTAAAAGCGATGAAAGCTTCTATCGGTTAGCTTGGCATGAGTGGGAGCGCAATCTGATCGTGATCACCTCCAAAACGGTCGAAATTGTGGACACAGCGGTCAGCGAAGAATGCACCCGCACGTTTTCTCCCTTCTGACTAACTTCTGTCTAACTGCAGACCGGAGCGAGCCGCCGAGTGATCGATTTCGTGAACTCTTCTACAAGAATTCTTGATCTTTATTCCAACTTCGACCTGGACCAGGCGACTTATGCAGCCATCTTGACGACCGAAACCATCGTTTGGTTCGACCCCGCGCACGACGGCCGGATCATGCTATCCTGGAAGCATTATTTGCCGAAATCCGACAGCCTTCGCTTGCTGGTCGTGCCGTCAGCCAAACGTGAGCTCTTCGGGGCCTCCGTTATCGCGACGATGCTAGACTAACGCGTCGATACTTCTGCAACTACAGGAATGACTGTAGCTGTTCTGTCGTTGAAGCGTGGCATACTCACAGCCTTTCCGGTTGAGGAGTCAGGATCTATCTTGAGGATCTTGGTTCAGCCTTACGACATACTCGCTTCCGCTTGCCTCGAAGCGGGCCAAGCCCTGGACAACGCTGCTCTAGTGAGCCTGATGCGTGGCTCTCGTGTCACGTGGCATCTTCTATCCATGACCGAAACTGGGGAAGTCGCAGGAGCTGGTTTCATGTTGAATGAAGAAGCCCACCGCGGGTTTAATTCTTCGTTCGAGAGCAAATGGTCTGGCGCTGTTGGAAAACTGGACCCTACGTCTGACGCCGTGGAGCATGTTCACCACCCGATGAAGGACCTAGAAGATGATATACCAACCAAAGAGAGGGATATGCAACGGTTCTGGAATTGTGAGTACGAATATGCCCTGTCGTGCTTGCCTTGTAGCTCAACCGCGTGGCGGGTTTCAGCTTTAACGACACGGGCACAGGCAGAACGGGGAAGACCACTGCGAACTGACGAGATGAGACGCCTTGTCATGGATCAGGAAGAGCTGTATGGCATGGGAATACTCACAGGGTGAGCCTATCACAACGACTCGGCACAGGCATTCGATTGCTGATTCATCGTATAGTCTGGACGTTGCGGCTATGGTTAATGACGACGAGGAGAAAGACGTGTTGATCGGTTCGCCGTACCTCAGAGGCTACGACCTGGAGGCCGCCGATCAGGCGCATAGGCTGCAAGAGGAGCTGGATCGTTTCTCCGAATCTAAATTGGCTAGGAAGATACAAACCTTGTCGTCTCCGGTTCGAACGAGCCAGACCGTACCTCAGTCCGACCCTTCGATTGAGGTATCTCCAAATGGGCAAGATGGCGCAGTGGACGAACCCGCTTTCGCAAGGCTTGCAGCTAGACGCCTCGCGATAGACCTCCAGCTCAGCAGGACGGCCATACCGACAGATGACAGGCTGTCGATACAATCTATCATGGCAGAAGGGTTGGTTGTGCATGATCTGCCACAAGAAATGGCGTCCGGACCCAAGGGCCCAGAATTGAACTACCTGCGTAGGAAGCCAAAACTACAATCGAGGACAGAGGATACGCGGATGAAAGAAAACAAGGCTGCAACGATGACAGCTCTTCTGGCCCAGTGGGGCATAGGGACCGATCCTACAGGATATGCCTGGCCGGGTATTACTTCGCACATAACTGGTACGAGGGTAGTAGTGGAACCGAAAGTTGCGGCGCCACCCCCAGAGCGTCTGCAGCCCGTCCGGCCTTTCGCACCAGAGATGCAGACCCAGCCGATATTCGAAAGTAGGAGGCGGGATCCTCTCATGAGCAGTCAAAGTCAAGGGGCCGACGAGATGGCTTCTACGCAGATGCTACCCGGCCCTTTCGCAAACCGAAACACCGTGTCTTTCCGGCGGGGAGGGGCAAAGAAGCGGACGATCGGATTCTAGGCCTCATCGGGAACAACTTTGCGCAAGAGCAGAACGATTTGATTGTCTGCGTCAAACCACTGTATCCTCGACCTTGTTCATGAGCTTGTCAATCTGTAGATGTCGCTCCTTCTCATGCCGATGGCATAGCTTGATAAACCACCCTTCTTGGAACGACCAAGTAAAACTGGTCATACACTTGATGTTGAAAAGCACTTACCATTCGTTCATTTCGACCATAAGAAACGTGGCATTTATTGCCCACGACGCGACTCCTGATCGATCGATTACGAGAATGTAGCAGGACCTCCACGGATCCCTTCCACAGAGTGGGTCTACTGGAAATGCAATTGTTTAATATCTATATATTTTATTATTCAAGCTAGACTTTATCCACGGCCATAGGACCCTGAAAGCACCGCATCCCGTCCGATCTGCGCAGTTAACCAGGGTGCCGCCTAGTTAGTACCACGGTGGGGGACCACGCGGGAATCCTAGGTGCTGTGGTTTTTGCGATGTTTTTGCCACTTTTGACCCCACAACCAACTCATGATGTGAATCATGCATGCAGAGAGAGAAATGCCGTCACGCCCAGAGCAAGAAGATATACGAGTTACTGTATGTACGTCGATGATCGATGTACCAGTTGTCGCCTGGATCGCCTGGGATATCCGGCGTTTTAGCTGAAATTCGCCAAATGAGCCGTGGGGCGTCGCACGCGCCTGCGACAGCATATCATGAGCGATAATTGTTCGAAATCAGCTGATGATGATCTGAGTGCGAGAGCACAAGATATATACTCCAACCAGTCGTATGGACACGAACAGCATCCCCCTGACCCGCAACTCCCGCGGCTCCGCATACGTTACGGACCTAAACCCATGGTGCTCGCTTGCCGGGCTTCCTTTGATTGAAGCATATTAATCCGGCTTGACATGTGTGCTCGTCAAATTCACGGGCCTGAGAAACGCTGTTAAACACCTTGTCATCTCGTAGGATCTGACGTCAACCGGACAGAGCCTACCTCAGCAACTTGTAATCATCCGTCGGTCAGATCAGATTGAGCCTGCATGGATGTTTCGTGTCTTTTGTTTGAGGGATGTTTCCGACTTCGCTAAGCTGATACCACTAGAGACCTCATAATATAGTAGTACGATCCCCTACTCAGACTCATCAGGCGGCGTCGGAGACTAGGCTGTTTGAGCGGTTCTGTGACACCTGAAGCGGCTGATCGGTAGTTCGCTAGTAGGCATCGCCAGTCCGGCTACCTGCCAGCGCTTAGGATTGGACGGTCTAGACATTCTCAAATCTGAGAGGGAGTCGGAGACCGTATCTAATTTGCTGTCTGCTAGCAGTCTAGACCATAGGAGAAAGCGCTTGTCGGGGTCAACTTCGCCGTCGCTTCGTTGATGAAACGCGCGTGCTGCGACGCGGTGATGGTTCCGCCATGCGGCGTACCATGGGACATTGGCCCTTGGGATGAAGAGCAGCCTGACTCAGGAACACAGCAGTGTAGCAACTGCTGGGACATCTCGTATGACCATCCAGAAAGTGAAGCGCTTGTTCAGGATCGCATTCATTGACGATCGTCGATCCGCACAACCTCGCTGTCATTGCCCATTGAGGGTCGAACCTCTACCTCCTCATTGTGAGCGCGCAATGAGCGCGGGGAAACAGGTATAGAACTGACGACATCCGGCACTTCAAGTCCTGGTACAGTGAGTACGTACAGTCACGCGAACGAGAATAATAAAAAAAAGCAATTGGCCAATATGATCAACAGAAGGAGTCTCGCTTTTGAAGCCCGATCGGAGGACGCCGAGTGAAATAAGCCGATGACGAATGACGAATGCTCCCGAGGCCAAGCGAACCTTTTGACTCTTAAAGACTGCGAACCATCCCACCTACGTAGCAAGTCTTCGCTGCGGAGTCCTTCGACCACAAGGTACGAACAGTGTCGTGAAAGATTAGCACAAGGGTGGCTTCAAGATGTATAGGTGTGCTAGCTACACCATCGACCCAGACATAATCGAATATACCGACTGTCAACAGCATTAGGGACTGTCAGACGACTAGAATTTCTCGCGGACCTTGTTCCGCAGTTCGCTCTCAACCGAGATACTCTGGAGAGGGCGACGAAGGTCCTGCTCACCTTCGACTTGGTCAAAGGTCTGAGGCCTGGAATCTTAGCCTAGAGTGTCTTGGTGTAACATCATGGAACAGGCGGATCGCCAACCACGAAGATCTGCCTTAGCTCACAGCTATGGCGAACATCGACCGGTACCTCAAATCGAGTCCTACTGGTGGGATCTGACAGACCCAATCAGTCAGCCTGCCGACAAGTCAATAGCAGAGCAATCAGCACCAAAGCAGTCAAACTCAGCAGTCGGACAGGTCCCTTCGCCAAAGCGTAGACGTTCAGGTGGTAGCGGGCGATCCAGCAAAGATCAGAGCAACGACGATGAGAGCGAGAGCGACTTTGGCGGCGCTTTGAACAAGGAACAGAGCGAGAAAAGGAAGAAACGAGATCTGCGTCGCGGATCATCACGCATAGTCACGGATGCCATCACTTACAAGAAGGTCCGAATCAAGAATACGGATGCCGACATCGACGAGGCGTATGATCCTCAGCGGTCTCGAGGGACCGGTACGCTCACCAGAGCGTTTCCACCGATCGAGTGGGACAGGGCGATCGACGGCTTCAGGCGGAGATTATTGCGATATGCGGCACTGGGATTAGTACCTGCCCTGATATTGCCCGGATGGTTCGGGTTCTGGACAGGCACCTGTGTGACACTCGTCTGGGTAGGCGCACTGGCATTCCACTTTAACCGAGTCGGCACTTCGGAATGGTTGGACCATAAGTGGGATCTAGAGCGACGGCGAGCGCAAGGTCACGTACATGAGCAACACATCGCCAAGCAGACGACGGGGAAGACTGGGACCAAGAACGATTCTCGAAAGCTAGAGACAGTCGGCGGTGCGGAAGCTGGGATTCAGGACAAGCGTGAAAGCGTCGAGTGGATGAATACGCTCTTGGGAGGTCTTTGGCCCATCATCGATCCGAAGCGTGCGTAAATATTCGTCATGGTCTTCATCGCAAGCGACATCCGTTGACTCCTGGACCATCTTGCAGTATTCGTGTCGGTCGTCGACTTATTGGAGGACATCATGCAGGCGTCGATCCCATCCTTCATCCAAACTGTTCGTATCGCCGATCTGTCTCAGGGCAATCATCCGATACGGATCATATCGATAAGAACGCTGCCCGAGAACGAGAAGCCGGGAGACGAATCTGCGAATCAGACGGACACATCAGCAGACCCAAAGGAACAGCCTCAGAGCAAATCGGAGGAGGGTTTGTTTTCTGGACTGAAGAAAGATACTTCGGACCCGTTTGTCAGAGGCAAGAGTCTTGGCCCAGGTGAAGGAGATTCTGCAGAGAAATCCGAGGAAGAGGATCAGCAGAAACAGACGGAGGAGCTCGGGAAATTTGTGAATCTCGAGGTCGCCTTCGCCTACCGTTCGCTGCCTGTGCAAGGCAGGAAAGTATACTCGAAAGCCAAGAATGCACATCTTATCATTCATTTCGGTCTTGGACTGCCGGGGATCTTTGGTGGAGCTTTTCGTAAGTAAGGACCGAACAAGTCGTCCTTCTGGATGGCTATTTACGTGCAATCATCTGCTTAGCCGTCTGGGTGGAATTGCGAGGTATCGTTGGAACCATGCGGATCCGAGTGGAACTCGTCTCAGAGTAGGTAGTCATTTCTTGATGCCTGAAGCAGTGGCTTACAGTAGCCACCTTTCCTGTATAGACCTCCCTTTGTCAAGCACGCAACCATATCGTTCATGGGGTTACCAAAAGTCGAGATCTCGGCCATCCCGATGATCGACTTGCCAGTAAAGCTGAACGCCATGAACATCCCTGGCCTCTCAACCTTCATAAGTAACAGCATTAACACTGCGATAGATGAATACGGCAAGTCTCCTAGTAGCCTCGTCGCGTGCGTTATCGTCTGCTGAAATATCACTACGGCATGTACCAGTCGCACCCAAGAGCTTGACCGTAGATCTCGGCCAGCTTCTTGTCGGTGACGATATCAAGAAGGGTCAGTACCACATCCTTGATGACTGCAAGCGTTCTCTAGAAGTCTTGTCCGCTTGCAACAGATACTCTCGCGCTCGGAGCTATCGCCATCACCATTCACTCAGCCCAGGTTAAAGGGTCTGACCTCGGTGGAAAGTCTGATCCGTATGTTACCGTGTCTTACGCCAAATACAGCAAGCCATTGTTCTCGACGCGAATCATCCTCGGCGAAACGGAACCGACTTGGAGAGCGACTGCTGTTGTGCTGGTCAAAGCGGACGCTTTCAAAGTGAATGAGAGGTTGGCGCTGCGTAAGTTCAAGGCTTCGAGCGCTTTCAAGTCTTTATGCTAATTTCCGTTTCCCCATGCCCGCAGAGATCTGGGACAGGTATGCTACGTGACTACGCTTGGGCGCCTGCGGACGGAACTGACACGATGACATCCACAGTGATAGAATCAGCAGTGACGATGAGTTGGGCAGAGTCGAGGTCGATCTTTTCGGTAAATCCACGACGAAGTGTTGGCGACCATCTCCAACAGGTCAATTTATTGAGCCCGATACCCACAGATCTGTACAGGAACCGAGGTAAAATGATGTACCGCCAATCGTACGTGATGACGGATGTGGCCTTTTCTGTCGACCCCAGCTGATGTCATCATTGACAGGGCGCTGCACCACTCTGTTAGGGGTAAAAATATACCAGGGGAGATTTGTTACTCTGTTGGCTATTTCCCTAAGGTGCTACCGACAGAGGATGCCGATGGGCACAGTCCAAAGGATACCGATCTGCCCAAAGACTTTCAGGATAAAGAAGAAATGCAGGGCGATCATCGTCCGAAAACTATGGACGCAGAAGAGGACAGAATTATCGCCATGCTGCCCTCGGACGACTATCCCAGTGGAATCCTTTCGATACGTGAGCGCACGGACTCTCCTTATCAATCATGCCTTCGCCTTTGCTGATTGTCCATCGCGACCTGACTGAATGCTCACAGAGGTACACGAAGCTTTCGACCTCGTTCGTCAATACATAGGACCAACTAAGGGGGGAGATCGGAGTCAAAAAGGTCGGTTCAGTCACCCCAAGGGGACAGAGGATGCAACCCGTGAGGAGGGAGAGTGAGTCGCATCCCAGAGGCATCGCATCCGGCGGAGTCTATCTTATTCTAGCAAATGTCGCAGCGACCTTCCGTCTGCTTATTTCCGGATTCGGGTCAACGACGAGACAACATATCAATCACGAGTGAAGCCGATCCAGAGTCAACCGTTCTTTCAGGCTGGTCAAGAACGGTTTCTCCGCGATTGGCGCACCACTCTTATTCAGATCATCGTGCGAGATTCTCGTGTGCGAGAGTCTGACCCGATGCTGGGTATGCTGCATCTTAATGTGAGTGTACTCAGTGCTCTGACAGGCATACATCAGCTTATGAGTTGGTCTACAGTTGCGGGATGTATTCGAAGGCGGTTCACAGGTCACGAAGATATATCCTCTCGAGGGGGGAATCGGTCATGGTCGCATCAGGGTGTCATTGCTGTTTAGGTAGGTCTCGGTCGAGGACTAAGACAGCGGCCATTCCTGATGCTTTTAGTTTTAGGCCGCTGGACCTCAAGCTGCCCCGAAGTTTGCTTGGATGGGAGATAGCTTCTGCCATTATCAAAGGTTCCATCCATGTTGAAGCGGATGCCGCACATCGGTCAAAGCTGTCTCATTGCTCCCTCCACCTACGGACATCTCATGGCTCGCACACACTACGTCATCGCGACCACTCCAATCGCGAAGCTGGTAGTGACAGTGTTGAGTGGAGAAACGAGAGGCTTTCCCTGCCAGTGAAAAAGCGCTTCGCGAGTCCGCTCGTCATGTCATTCAAGAGCAACGGCTTGGATTTGAAGGGCGGGATCGTCGCTATGGGGGTCTTGTGGATGATGACTGTGCCGGACAGCGAGAGGATCTTGATCAACATGCCTAGTAAGCGCACTCGTCTCCGAGACTGAATTTCGCGTCCAGTTGACACGCCTGTACATTGATCATAGTATATGAGGCCAAAGATTACAACAGGCTGGAACAAAACTTCTGGACCTACAGCGAGGATCTCAAGGAGGATATACCTGATGCCAAGCATTACGCGCACGATCCTTCGTCTCTACCGGATCCGGAATCTTTTGGACTGAAACGCATCGGAACGGTCCACTTCGAGCTGTTGGTCTTGCCCGGCATCTCATCCACGCATCGGCGCATGTTCAAGAAAGAGCCTAGAGGCCGGATCATCATCGAGGGTTTCGACAATGCTGTCCGGGCGGGGTTGAGGGAAGATTTCGAGTCTCAGTCGCAGGTCGAGATGGAAGACGAGAATTATCCTCTGAACGAGCATAATGAGTCGGGCGCCACCAGGAAGGTTCGAGCGCCTGCTAATCGGCGTGAAGGGCTAGACTCGCGGATCGATGAGGAAGACGAGGACGATGTTTGGGGCGACGAGGAGACTGACGCAAGCGCTGCGACCTATTCTGACGAGGTGGTCGGACGTAACGATTCGATCGGTTCAAGGCGGCCGAGACGTATGGCAAGTCATTCGACAAACGGAACTTCCAACTCGAAGGGGCTGAGAGACAAGTATCGCGACTGGAAAGAAGCGCGGGTCAGTGGCAGATACTATCTTATCCTGGAGCGGGCCAACGCTTACGTCATTTCTCAACAGACTGATCTGCATTCACGACACCGGGGGATGGCTCAGGTCAAGGCGTACAGATCGGTGAAATGGGTCAAGGATTGTGAGTCGGAGTGTGGTCCGAGGGCCAGCATACGATTGGCTCATTGGCTTTCGCGACCTGATCTGTTAGCGGCCAAGGCGGGTCTAGTAAAGGCCAAGTACAAGTTCGAGGTGGGCAGCTTGATCGAACTTGAACAACTCCTGCTCTATAGGCTGATTTCGGCTCCCTGATGCCTATTGACAGATGCATGAGCGCAATCCCGACATCGAGGTTAGTCTTCGTCCGCCGCCTCAAATTTGCGCCCTCTGCCTGCTGACAAGAGATACTTGCAGAGTGAAGTCTAGTTGGCGATCGGGAACACGAGACTCGCTTGTGTGGATCGTGACATTCATTATAGTCCATACCGCTGTATCCACCTATCAGTATAATTTTGCCCGATTGTGGCTCGTTTCACTTCTTTCACAGTCGTAACGTCGTAATCGATGCCGAGAGCAGCAGATCGCTGAAAGGGGCTAGAGAGAGAGGGCGGCAGAGAGGTGAGACTTGTCGCGTGCCACCGTCCCTTAGTAGATCGGATTCGCTAGCGTGTGTTTGTTTGTTTTTGCTCCAAAGCTAGCTAGGCTAGCACCACCGATGACAACCAAAACAATCATCCAGCCAGCTCTCAGTCTCACCCGCAAAGCTGGGTTGCCTGGTACACTCATATCATCTCGACAACGACATCGAGCTACAACGGCTGCGACCCACACAGCGAGGCCATCCTCATGGACTAAGTTTCGCCGGTCAAACACAGTTCACAACCGTCCGTCCTAGTCAGCATCGGACAGGCAAAAGCACGACTGGGCGTTTGTTGTTGTTGTGGTGAATCTTGCGTTTCGGACCAGTCGATCGATCGACGACATCCTCACTAGCTATCACAGCATGCCAGATACGAACAGCTAACATTGATATTGCTCATGCTGTAGAATCATTGATAACCACCCCTTCGTATAATGTCTGGAACAGGGGTAATATACAAGGTGTGGAAGCGACCTACGTAGCCGAAAGCTCGACGAGGATGCTTATCAATGACTTTTTGCCCACTCTTCCTCTCTTCATGAGCAGCTAAAGACGCCCACCAAACGACAAAACAACCCCACCGTCCTACGAACCCCGGTATTTACTCCCAAGACCCCTTTGACCTTTACCCCGGCTTCTGCGGTACGGACAAGCGCGAGCATGGGTGCAAACAACTCGGAAGATAGGTCTTCTCCGCTCCTCACAGTAACCAATGGCAACAATGCGCTGGATCCGAGTCTCGATCTCATGGGAGGTGTAGAATCTGATTCCATCCAGCTGATGGCAGAGCCTGATGGTCCTTCCGATTTGTCACCGTCCGCGATCCACCAACTCGCTCTCCAAACCCCACATCCACCCATAGATGCAGGTGAAGACGGACAGGATGCGCTACTATTCGAGCCAGCGATGTTGGAAGGAGAGGTCGGCGCGGCTCGGGTGCTCGACTTTGACAATGTCAAGGAGGAGGAAGGGAGGGAAGGCATGGTGGACGGTGCTCTGCTCGACGAGTTTGGCGGATCGCAGGACACGGATATCGGAGACTATGGCTTGGGCGCAGCATTTGACATTTCGTCGTCGAACAGCCCACCACCTTCAGACCTCGTCTCATGGTATGTATCTTGCTCGATTTCAGTTCCAGGTTGCGACGCTAATGCCCAAAGGATCTATATCTGCCGCACAGGCTTCGCCATGTTTACGATCACGTAGAGGGCCCTTACGACGAATTCACCCCACGTGTCTTTCGAGAAGACCTGTATGCCCACATGGCTCGGGATCTCCCACCCTCTGCGACCCTGCCGTCAAAGGACCAAGTGGCCAGCCTGGTACTGGAAGCTTTCCCCAGTGCCAAGTGGCAATCCCACGTCGATCATGGCCCAAATCATGTCATTCTCGGCTTGCAAGCACGAAGGAGCAGCAACGTGCGGTCCTTGGCTCAGGGTTCAAGGCATCGTTACTCGAACTCGTGCAACCTCGCCGATCTCGCCAACATCGCGGCGTACGCCCATCGCGAGATGACTCAGTCAACTGAAGCTCGGGAGTCTTATTCTCCTACCGAATCTCAGATCATGTCACCGACGACACCGGCTGCTGGATCGGGGCCTTTTGGGACCCCAGGCCGTCGCTCGGCGTTGGACGAACTCGCCGCGGCCGCAGCTCTAAGCGAACGCAGTCCGATGGCAAAAGGCCGAAAGATTAGTTATGGGGATGAGCAGGATGGAGGCAAGACGAAGCGTCGGCGAAACAATGCCGGCAAGGGCGTGATGGTGTACCCGGAGGCTGGCTCGAGTCGAGATGGATGGAACGGTGACGAGGTAGAAGGCGATGTAGCTACCTCGAGCAGCAGACCAACAGGGAGGAAAAAGGCACCTCGTCCCAAACAGACCAAAACCAACGGCAGCGCACATCCCGGTGACAGGAGTGGATCCGTCTCGAGCGATGCATCACCGCCATCGATGATGTCACACCTCGTATCCTCATCCGCAAATCACTCCAGTGAGCCCAAAGCGGGAGACTCGTCACGGACCGTGCGTGGGCCGAGCTCTAGCGGAGGTGGGAACTCGAGTCGTGCCAAACAGCCGGCGGGCAAGGGCAAGAAGAGCATCTACACCAACCTCGCTGTACCGAGCAGCACTGATCCCAACGTCAAGTATTACAAACCCAATTTCACATACCACGAGCTGATCACGCACGAAATCAAGCGGAGCTTTGAAGGCCGTCTACAACTCAGTGAGATTTATCGCCGGATCTCGGAGCGATATCCGTACTTCAAGCTCGGCGAACCGGGATGGCAGAACAGTATCCGGCATAACCTGTCATTAAAGTGAGTGTCGCTGTCAGAAACGGTCAAGATTACGGCTGATCGTGGTCCCTTTGTGCGTGTATAGGAAATGCTTTGTGAGAGTGGACAGGCCGACGGATGCACCTGCAGACAAGTCGGGCAAGGGAGGATGGTGGACCTATGTCGCTCAAGGGGATCCAGATGGCCGTGGGGGTCGAAAGGGAATGTCTGGCAAGGGTACGGGGGAATACCGCAAAGGACAGACGCCTAGCGATATTGCCTCCCGGTCCGGCTCACCAGAGGAAGGGGTAGGAAGCCGATCCGACGGTATGGCGTTTGAAGGTCAGGATGCGATGTCGGCGTTGACCGGTGGAGCGTATGCGGGCAACGGGGTGGCCGGTCCCGGTCAGGACGGAGCGGCAAGATCTGACGGATCTTATGCGGATCAAGCTCAGACTCTGGCCATGGCCGCACACGTATTGAATGGGTATCATCCAGAACAGCACCCACAACATTTACATCAACAAAACATGCAAGGCGGATCTCGACATTGACCGAGGTTATCGAGTAGCGGAAAGGCAAAGACGGCGTGGTAGCGAGGGTTGCGGTGAAAGCAGTAGATGCGTCGGGTTCTTCCTTGGTATTAATACGACACCATACTTGTATATAACGCACTGAAAAGATTACCAGTAGTCGAATCGTGAAGACCACCCCCGATGCGAGTCCCTCCCCCCGACAAGCAAGTTTGAAACGCGTCGCGTCAGTACGAGATTGCGACGTGATGGATGGATGGAGATTTTGGTCAATTGCGAGGAAATCACTCCTGCCAGATCGTGATTAGGTCACTAGATGCAAGCAAGATGCAGCTGTCGTTCCTCCGTGTCGTAGATATCATCCTCACCTAGTCGCTCTGCTGTGATTCGAGATAGTTCAAAGTCCGGAGCAGCTCCCTTTCCCTCCCTTTCGATCTCATATCGCCATTGCCATTGGATATCGCGCATCGTAAGAGATAGGGGCAGTCAGACAATCACCCAGCTAGACCTACGCCACCGACTTTCGACAATTCGACGATTGGGTCTCGACCTCAGACACCATCTTCTTGCTTCCCGCACACTATCCGCTGCCAGAGCCCTCGAGCCGACCAAACTCTGGCACTCCCTTTAACGCTGACCCTGGAACAATGGGTCAAGCTCAAGCGGCTCCGGGCATGCGAGCTCCCGGTCCATCATCAAGTGCTAATGTCGCACAGACTCAACCCCCCGCTCAACCTCTCGCTGGACCATCTGATCAATCGGGCACTGCTCCCAAGACCATGGCGAGAATGAGGCATACGGGACCGAAGCAGTCTCCTCGGGCTGGCTTTCTGCCTGATGGCCGGGAATTGTACTTGAGGAAACCTCATTCCAGACGAGCCTGGGAGCCGATCAAGGATCATACGTGCGAGTCGTGTGGTGGAATGTACCCTCGTACTCCGTTTGAATGGGAGGAAATGTCGACCGAGCCGGATGGAAGGAGGATCATGGCACTGAAGAAGGTGAGTACCGTCGTGATATGATGAGATTGCTCGATTTTGTTTGCCTGTTGTCGGTTACGACCCCCCCCCCGTTTGCAACAACGCGACGACCTCGAAACCTTGACGACATCGTTTTTCTCCCCTTCTTCTCATCATCACATTCCACACTTTGCTGATTCATCGTTGAAAACACCTTTGCTGCCCAAACAAATATATACCACACCTTCTAGCGGTGCCAAGCGTGCGCATTCCCTGGATTGACTCACAAAGTCAAGGTAGATACGCTCAAAGCAACTGTGAGCAGGCTATGTTCAGGACTTTTGATCCGCCACGATCGATACTGAACCGAATCTGCTGTGTAAATAGGAGCGTTTCGTTCGTTCCCTGCATCCCGACTTTGAAATCTCACCGACGCTACTGCTCAAGGATTCGCCAGAAGCGATGCGGGAGTTTACCGGTGCCGCTGCAACAGGTTTCAGCTCGAACGTTCCAGCGGCCGGAGCATCTCCGCCAAAGGCTGCTGCTGTACAGAAACCACCGCCTGTCGCAGCCAAACTGAATCTACAACCCGTATCTTCGACTCAGGTAAGCAGTTTCTTCTATCGCGGAGACAGGGACGGTCATCAGCTGATCATGATCGCTCATCGTCTATTGTGTTCGCGATGACTGCAGCCTTTCCCGAAATCTTTTGCGAATCGACTACCCTCGGTCCATCATGCTCCACCTCATCCAGTCTCGAACCCGTCATTCACTTCAAATATGGGGCAACAACAACCTATGCCTCGATCCACCGCTACTCCTCACCCCATGATGCCCCAAACAACTTCTTCCAACATGGCCACGAGCGGCCCAACCACGGCACGACCGACTCTCCCTGCCAACAGGGACGTCAGGCCCACAACTGCAACCCAACCCAAACCGCCAGCCCAACAGACACAGCAAGTGTCAAGCCGGCCGTCTATACCTGGACCTACCTCGACCTCCAGCCGTGCTACCGATGTCACAGCTCCAGGCTCCGGCCAACGAGCTTCTCAAGCGGGCCCGATCAGAACCAAGTCCACCGCCCCACCTGCTCCGTCTCCCGTCGCAGCGTCCCGACCTGGTGCCACTGGTCAGCGAACGAGTAGTCAAGCACACGAAATGCTCGATGCATTGAGACGGGCTTTCCATAAGAACCCGAATCCTAGCCCGGAAATGCTCGACATGCTCGCGGCGACTTTCAATATCCATGACGAAAGGGTCGTGCCACAGCTGTTCGAGAGCTGGAGACGAAGCGGGATCCATCTGCGCGACAGCTCGGGGGGCACATCGACGCCTGAGGGCAAAGCTTCCAAGTCGTCTCGCAGCGGCCGACGGGATTTTGAGGAGGGGTCCGTGGAACTGAACGCCCAGAGGACCCCCGACTTGACGTTCAACCCCCAGGCAGAGCAGTCGATTGAGACGCAGGAAGAGGCAAGAAATGAGCAGATCGAGCTGTTTGATCAGATAGTCAAGCTGGCTCAGAATGGAGCTGTCGAGCAGAAGAATCACTCGGGACATGAAGAAGGCCGATTAGAGGGTGTCGAGGAAGCACCTACCGCGGTCGCACTCGAGCAAGGAGGAGCAGCAATCAGCTTCGCCGAGGAGCAGCAAGCTGTGTTAGAACCCAATGGCCTATTGAGCGATTTCGACTCGACTGCCGCTATGCGAGTCGGTACAGTGAACATGCAGACTCAGACTGACACTCATCGGCAACCTACCCTACACTCCATCGAGCACGATGTCGCCAAGCATGATGACACTCAAGGCAGAAGCGATGTCGATCAACCGAAACAGATGCCAACGGGTAACTTGCAAATCATCATCCCTGGCATGGAAGCCGAACCTACCGACCAACCTCAGCTAGCGCCAGCCACTCCTCCGTCTACCGTCGATATTGTTCGAGGCGAGACTTACGGTGCGACGGACGATGTACCGCCTAGCGGCCTCGCGGTGGACGCGATCTTGTCTGCAGTCCGTCCTATCGAAGCTGTACCTGATGCCAAGCCAGCATTGCCATCGCCGCCTATCACAGCAGACGCAGTCGAGAGACTCGTTGCACCTCTGCCTTCCAGAGCCACCGGCCCGCCTCAGAACGCGCCCCGACTGACGGCTCCGCCCGTCATCCTGGACATCAAACCGCACGAAGTCAAGCACTTCTCAGAACCCATGATGCAACAAGCATACGAGATCTATACAGCACCAGAACCACATCGATTGGGGAATTGGTTGAGAGCTACGTACAAGTATGTTTGCCGCTACTGAATGCCTCGCCTAGTAAAGGTCCTGACCCGCCTACCCGTAAATCTTTACTGTACAGACCGAGCACTGAGAAGTACAGCGTCTTGCAAAGGGATATTTACACGGAATACAAGAGCTTGTTCGACGGGTCCCCGGTCGGCTGCTGGAGTGGATCTCAGGTGGTCAAACTTTGCCGAGAGATCTGGCCTGACACGGCTTTGGGGAGACGACTTGATAACCCTTCCGAGTTTAGGATATGGGGAATATACCGCGTCAGAATCTTGCCGCAATCGCCTTGGGAGTTACTTTACAGCGGTCAGCTCAAAGCCGAACTGTTCAAACTCGACGAGGCAAAGCCTACCGAGCAGTTCAAGTCCGAGACACTTGTCGCGCGAATGGGCGCTCCTCTCGAATCGATGGCATCTATCTTGTCGACTGCCAGACTGGATCAGACCAAGATCTCTACCCTCTCAGCAATAGCCAACAAGAGCGATCTGGATACTTTCACGCAAAAGCTTCTGCGAGAGCGTAATACGTCGCTATGGGAGGTCAGTTGCGTTGCCTCATCAATGTTATGCTTAGGTACTGATGTTGTCCTCTTGTCCTGGTAGCCGATGCACAAGTTTGAAGCCTCCCTTGTGTCTCACTTGAAATTCAGTAAGCAAAACTGGCGCTTGCAAACATGCGTTACGATATTGATCCATCCACTTGTTCCGATGGCAATCCACGTAGGCAAAATCCGAGAGGCCCCTCTCTTCGAGGTCGTCCCCAAAGAGAAACGACCGAAACCTTCGGTCAAGCGAGAGGTTGAGAGGGTTCAGCGCGAAATTGACAAGACGAGGCAGCCGGCGGCGTTTGTGACTCCGAACGAGATCGGCCGGGGCGACGGCTCTCAATATAGGCCTTTTGTCTTGGAGTCGCAGGATCGGACAGAGGGAAAACACTACCCGTCTTTCCCTTCGGCAACTCCGTCTCAGTTTTACCAGCCGTACCAGGCGGAATCGAGCCGACAGCCTGCAGGATCGAACGGATCATACCCAGCTGCTACCACACCAGCTCAAGCCGTCTTTGCGAACCAGCAGCTTTCGCATTACGGTCTTTCGCCACATCAACAACATCAACAACAACAACAGCAACAACCACAGCCCGCTCCACCTCCGCAGCATATCCAGTCGCAATGGTATGAGAATACCTACGAGCCGCCTGTCAACGTGCCCAACTCGTTTCTCTTTCCCAAAACGAAAAAGCCCAAGTATCTTCCTCCATCCCGACCTCAGCCGCCCGCCATCCAAACGCAGGCCCAGCTGACTGCTCAACATCAGTCTTACCACCAAGCTCGACACCCACAATCACAACCGCAAGCTCAGCCTCAACGGCGACAGATCCAGCCGCGACCTATGCCGGAGTACGATCCTTACGACCCCCTGAACGCGAATCCTCCTCCGTTCCCGCAACTTCGACAGTCGTAGGACCGCCCATCCCCCTTCAAGTTCTAAACTGTCTTGCCAAGAATACGCATTTCCATGTAATACTAGTAGCGACTACCGGTCGCGACACCGAGTGTCTACCAAGATGGCCCCCGATGATGATGACGATCACCATCATACAGCCTAGCTATCTCTGTCCTTTGTTAAACCTTTGATGGTCCGTGTCTTCGAGCTGGACGACGGAAGCATATGATTGGCTGTCGGCATTGGCAATCGATCCTCGTAGGCTCGGGGATCGCTCGGGGGCAAGACGCCATCCCGTGTGTTCGCCATCGGCCCACGAGATGGCGCAATCGAGACGGAATCACATCCAACAGCAGCGAGAGCACGAGCAGCGCGGCTCCGTTTCACAAAGGCAAAAGAAGAGATCTCGCTCGCCAGCCACGCTGCCTGTCCGTTCCCCAGATCGCCCTCTGCCCGCGAGGACCGGAGCACCTCGCGGGGGAACGAGGAGGTCGGCCGAAGTGAATTCGCGTTGGCACCCTTCGGCGGGATCCGATGGGTGGTTGCGTGGTTGGTCATGGCGGTCACGACATCTTGACAACAGATTTCGACATTGGCCATCGATTTCCAAAGCAACGGACGATCGCATCTTCTGGGCTGACCTAGCACGAATTGATGACGTTTGATAGTAGCTGCAGTCAATGAGGATGTATATAACATCGAGACGTGTGTTGCCAGAAATCAGAGAGGTCCCCGTTGCTTTTGATACGGCATCAACAATCACTCAATCAATCCACCACCCGATTGTTCCTGCCCTCGGTCATTGGAAAGATTCGCACAACGGCACACGAGCGATCACGACGATAATCCCGGAATCGTAAAACGTGTCACACGATCCACTCTCGACAGCGAGGAAAAAAGAAGAAAAGACAGCACGCCGGCCAACTCATAACAATTGGACATCGAAGTATCTAGAAGCAAGGTCACCACCATATCTGGTCTCTCTTTCTGAATAATCCGCCTTCGACTACGATTTGCACAAGTCGAACATCGCATTATCACTCGCGTCCACGCTCTAAGCGCATCAGATCGCCACCCCAAATCAAGAAGACATCACTCCGTCTCTCACTACCTCGAACAATGTCTGTCACCCCGCCTCCCTCCTACCCTCAGCTGCACCCCGACCTGGGTCAGACTGCAGGCCGCGACAGGAAGACTGCTCTCGAGACTACCCCTCAGGACCTGAGCACCGCGCTCGATGAAGCTCAGGCAGAGGCCATCGGCTTGCCCAAGAAAAAGATCCACCAGGTCGAACAGCCTCAGATGGTCAACGTCTTCGTGAGTACACGGCTCGAGCGACGTGACCATCTTCATGTGCTGACCAGATAATCGGATGCCTTCATTCGCATAGAACTACACGGGAGCCGTGTTTGGTGAGGACGAGGAGTATGAACATACCGAATTTCTTGTAGGTCTCGGTTACACTGCTTTTAGTCATTAGGCGCAACCCGGCTGATCACGGCACCTCCCCCCTCAGCCTTCGTTCCCCGAGATCACCTTCCCCCCTCTGGAAGAACAACCTTTTACCGATCGAGCCTTCTTTGCCAACCCGCAAAAGACCCGACTGTACCGAGAGGTCGAGGCTCAGGGAGGCAAGGTTCAGTTCATGAATCCCAACATCGGCGCCGAGTTTACGGGAGTCAGCTTGACCAAGCTGAGTGATGAGGCTCGGGATGATCTGGCCTTGCTGCTCGCCGAGCGTGGCGTGGTCGGTGAGTCGTCGTTATCCGCGCGTAAGAGCTACTCTGGCGCATGGAACTGACGCTAGCATTGGTTTCTGTTTGACGCATCCGTAGTCTTCAGGAAGCAGGACGACATGACAATCGAATCCCAGACCGATCTTGGGAAGCACTGGGGCCCTCTTCATATCCACTCGACCACCGGTGTTCCCCGCCGAGCTGGTCTCGAGCACGTTCACGTCGTCTACGCTGACAAGGGCGCGCTCCCGGACAGGACGGCGTTCGCCCCCATCGAGCTGTACCACTCGGACGTGACGTTCGAGATCCAGCCTCCTGGTCCCACCATCCTCCGACTGATCACTGCTCCTGATTGTGGTGGTGATACCTTGTTCACCTCCGGAGCCGCCGTCTACGCATCCTTGTCGCCGTTCTACCAACAGTACCTCGACAACCTGTACGCGGTACACTCTGGCAAGGAGCAAAGCAAGGGAGCTCAGAGCGCCGGTCAACACATCAGGAGGCCGGCCATCGAGAATGCCCATCCGGTCGTCCGAGTCAACGTGAGTTCGATGGCCCAGGTACCAAGAATCGGAAACGAGCCTATACTGACAGACGGCTCGCCTTGCGTTTCAGCCCGTCACCGGTGTCAAGAGCATCTTCGTGAACCCTGGTTTCACTCGACGTATTCTCGGAGTCTCCAAGGCCGAGAGCGACAATACTCTCAGCTTTTTGTACTCGCAATTCGCTCAAACGCCGGAATACACTGCCCGCGTCAAGTGGGAAGTCAACGACGTTGCCATCTGGCACAACGGTCTCGTGAACCACAGCGCCAGCTTTGATTTCTGTGAGTCCCCGACTTGCGTTGTACTAGAGTCAAGCATGAGCTGACTCTTGGAAACGATATCCAGGGCCTCAACGACGACACGCTCTTCGTGTCACGCCTCACGCCGAGAGGCCCATGTCCGTGGCAGAGTACGAGACCAAGTACGACAAAAAGGCGATCGACAGCGACACCGTCAAGTACAGGGCTCTCGGGATGGAGAAGCCCAAGTACAACGTTACCCTGAACAGGAAGGAGCGTGGCTTCAAGGACTAATTGGATCGCGCGTTACCTCGCCAGGACTCCACTTTCTCCCATCCTCCTATCCCTTCCCTTTAACGAACCCCTTGACGATACGTACGGTCGATTGCCCGTCCTCTTAATGCTCTTGTTCCGAACCCTTGTACTCGACTTGTTTGTAGCACCCAGGTCTTGCCCTTTTGCAATATGGCCGTCAAGAGCGCCAACCATATATCCATCCAATGACCATCAATATCGTATGCATGATCTTGCTGAGTTGCAGATGCGAGAAGGACGAAAAGCCAATGCCGAACGAAGAAGTACAGTAGTACCCTAGTTGTGAAGGCGGGGGGGTGAATCGCTCTTTGTTTACGTTTTTGCGCTTTCCCCCTTCGCCGCCCACGCGAAACCCGCTGCTGCTGGCCCTGTCGCTGGGTCATCGACCTTTTGGAGGTCGTCGATATCAAGGACCCTTCCACGTTGCCCCTTCCTAGTCACACTTAGACTGTAAAATAAACCCTTTGCACAGTCCGGAAATCACGCTCGAATTATGCCCCGCGAAATCATCTCTGTATCGGTCGGCCAATGTGGCAACCAGGTCGGTCTCGACATCTTGCCGCATTCAGCTTTTGTTGTTGGCGATTTGCTGATCAATGATCCCTTCCACTGACGATGGAGAACAGCTCGGTCAAGCTTTCTGGGAGCAGATCCTCAAGGTGAGCGCTTCCGAACATACCTGAGACTCGCAAGAACAGCACTGAACGATGTGGCCGTCCACAGGAACACGGCTTGGACGAGTCGGGAAAGTACATCCAGGGAAGCGGTGACGAGGATCAACAACTCAAGAGGCTCTCGGTCTACTTCCAGGAGGTCGGAGGTAGCCAGAACAAATATGTGCCTCGATCGATTCAAGCGGATTTAGAGCCTGCCGTGATCAACAGGATCAAGGCCGGTAGACTGTCCAAGTTGTTCAGGCCGGACACCTTCATCCACGTGAGTTGACCAGTACTCAATTTTCTATGTAGTATTGCATTGACTAACAAGTCCGCTCCTTTTCCTCATATAGGCCCAATCTGGTGCTGGAAACAACGCAAGTGGTCTCGTATCGGACAATGAACAATCGACATGCTAATCCTTCCTCTGCCCATCAGTTTGCAAAAGGATTTTACACTGAGGGTTAGTGGGAAGCCCTTGCGACCGGGATGATGTCTTTCAGCTGACGTATCTCTTCGACAAACAGGAGCCGAGTTGGTAGATGAGGTGCTAGACAACATCCGTCAGCAGACGGAGAACACCGACAGCCTGCAAGGTTTCCAATTACTTCACTCGCTCGGTGGTGGTACCGGTTCGGGTCTCGGAGCCTTGCTGTTGAGCAAGATTCGTGAAGAGTACCCTGACCGAATGATGGCAACGTTCTCGATCATCCCTAGTCCCAAGGTCTCGGACACTGTGGTTGAGCCTTACAACACCTTGCTGGCTACTCACAACCTGGTAGAAAACTCTGATATCACTTGTTGTCTCGACGTGAGTTTTACTACAGTTTCGGATGAGAAACCAAACAAACCTGACGGACTCACTGCATCATCAGAACGAAGCCCTCTACGATATCTGCACCAACCTGATGAAGGTCAAGGTACCGACCCACGAAGATCTGAACAACGTGATTGCTAAAGTCATGGCTGGTTTCACCAGTAAGTCCGAACATTGGACTAGAATCGAACCGGCCAGCCTGCTAATCGATAGGCTGATCTGTCAACAGCGACCTTGCGATTCCCCGGAGTGCTCAACTCTGACCTACGAAAATTGGCCGTCAACATGGTACCTTTCCCGCGACTGCACTTTTTCGCTGTCGGCTACGCTCCTCTCGTAGCAACTCAATCGCGAGCCTACCAAGTCAGTGCTAGAACCGGATCCCTATCGTCTCTGCACAGATACTCAACTTCCAGAGTCTACTCACAAAACAGGCCTCGAACGTACAAGAGCTCAACGCTCAACTCTTTGACCGTCGATCATGGTTGGTGGCTGCAGACCCCAAGATGGGCAAGTACTTGACGACGAGTATCGCCTACCGAGGGAAGCTCAGCATGCGAGACAGTACGTCTGCCCGCAGCAATAATGGGTTCAATGTGACGGGCATTGGCTGATCGAGTTTGTGTACAGTCGAAAACTCGTCGATGGAGTACCACGAAAAGCACAGCGGGTCGTTCGTCCCTTGGGTGGGCATTCTTTTTTTGTACGATGATCATGCTGTATGGAAGCTGACCATTGTTTCTAACCGTCAGATCCCTGGCAACACCCAGACCACCCTTTGTCAGGTACCTCCTATCGGTACTCCCGCTTCGGCTACTCTGGTAGCCAACTCGACCAGTATCTCGGAGGTATTCAAGCGAAACCATGCGCAATTCGTGTCGATGTTCAGGCGAAAGGCGTGAGTACCAGTATTGGCAAGTCTCCGAAATAGCCTAGATCTAACGGAATGATTACCCAGTTTCTTGCACGGTTACACCAACGAGGGAATGGACGAAATGTAAGTTCAAGCAACTTTTTCGTTGAGCGATGCAAGATTCGAGCTCACGAGTTTGTTGGTTTCACAGGGAGTTCACCGAGGCCGAGTCCAACTTGGCCGACCTGGTCAACGAGTACGAGCAGTATGCCAGTAAGTCATGCTCGAGCTTAGACTGCGGCCTTCTAGCAGAAGCTAACTGCTGTCCGAGTAGGCGCCGAGATCGATGACGACGAATACATGGAGGAAGGCGGCGAGGTGAGTCGAATTGGGACCATGTCTTTCGACACAAGAGATCCTGACAAACGCTTTATCCCTCGCAGGAACATTACGAGGAATAACAGGAATAGGAACAAGGTCAAAATACCCAAATCTAACTTGTAGAAAGCGTGTTGCCCCTTACACCCCCGATCCAACCCGTTCACGGGATAGCTTCTTGACTCTACCTCTCTTTCTCTTTCTTTTCGGTTTCTTTTCCGGGCGTATGCGCCATTACCCCCTTTTCGTGGATCCTACCTAGGAAATGCTTGGCGTAGAGCACTATCGCATTATCGGATAATACCAGTCTTGTCCATGCCGTCCTTGTTGTCAAGGGCCTCGACTACAGCGATTGCTTTCCCGGTGGCACTTCATAGCAAAGTAGTTCTGTACTTGTTCAACGTTGGACCAATATCGCTCAGAGCTGAGACTCGACGCGTCGCTGCAGACTCGTTTGTAGGAGGGGATCCTCATATCCGATCCAAGAGTTAGAAAAAGTCAGACGTCTCGATCGATCGCAAGGTGAACTCTCTGAAATCAGGCAACATTCGTCACCTTCTGGACTCGTATTTCAGGGCCATGTTCAAACAAGCCGCTCGACCAGGCTTGGCCGTAACAGCCGAGACGCTCTCGCCAGCAGCTGCACGACTCAGAGGATGTTCTTGCCGTACAGGCACCCGTGAGTCATGGACGCATCGCTTGCCTCAGCTATATACATATGATCAGCTCACTGAGAACATGCGTCTCCAGGTCTCCGAGTCCATTCTATTCACTCGACGGCTCGAGTATCGGCGGTACCCAGATCAGATCACGATGCTCGAAGCGAGTACTTCGGAGCTGGAGGAGCAGATCTTCGAGGAACCATGAAGTACCGGAGGTATAGGGAATCGAGGGATTTGGTCATGGCCGCAGAAATGAGGGAGGACGATGGACGTTCGGTCATGGCCAAGAACAACTTGCCGGGCCTGCTCGAAGGCTTTCAAGGCATGGCCAAGTCGGGACGGAAACCTTCGCGAGAAGCCTACCTAGCTCTTTTGGGAGCGGCTGCCGATTATTCTACGGAGCGATGTTTCACGGACACAGCTCCGAGCGCCAGTCAACTGATCGGCGACTCAGAGGCGGGCTCTGACTTTCTGGAAGAGCAAGGCGAGACGGGGCTCGGCTGGCAGCTCGCATGGTGTACATGGCAGGACGCTCGGCTGGGAGACGTCGATCTCGGTATCGAGGGCCTAGACCTTCTCATCAAGGTCAGCTTAGATTGCGAGATTCATCTGCAGTACGATAGCTGATTCAGAAATGATCGTACAGGCCGCCAACCCGCATCCTCAACTTCTGCCATCCCTCTTGCACTATGCGCTCGACACCCCTTCTATCGCTTCCAACCTGACGACCGAGACGTATGGCGCCCTTTTGCGAGAACCCATCAGGGCGGCCAACATCGATCACCTTACGTTGCTGCTGTACGAGATCAGGGCCAGGGGGACTGAGCTTCCCGTCGGTCGTGCGGGTCAGATCATCTCGATCGCAGCGGAACATGGCCTCGTCAGGCTGTCACTCGATCTGGCCAGGCACGAGGAGGGCGAGTATGGAAGCGATCTCGAGACGCAAGTCTGGGTGGACATTTTGAGAACGAGTGCGGATCGCTACTTTGTGAGTTGGCGTGGTGTCGCTCCAATGATGGTTTGCGTTTCGACGGGTTCTGACACGATCTTCGCATTTGTTTAGATCGACGGTGTCGAGGCTGCATGGGACAGGGTCGTTCGAACTGGTGAATTCGATCCGGACGAGGGTCTCTGTACCATCGTGATCGGCGTCGCCGGGCGACACAATCGACCCGACCTCGCCACGAGCGTGATGGAGAACCTGGGTCGGCAGGGGATCGTGCCGAAAGAGTACCACTTCCCGCCACTACTCGAGGCGCTCTGTGGGAGCGGTCGGGTCTCGGATGCGATGGAGGTTTTGACGGCCATGAGGAGCAGTGGATTCCACGCCGACCTCGTCGCGGCCGAGCCGATCGTGGGCGCGTTGAGCAAGTCGGCGGACGACGTGGACAAGGGGTTCTACGGGTTACAAGCTTTGCGTACGACGGGCAAGCAGGTCGATGTTGCCGCGTTCAACGCCGTGTTGAAGGCCGCCGAGACGTTGGGAGACGCGAACCGAGCGATGGTCATTTACCGTCAAGCTGAAGGTCTCGGCGTCGTCCCGAATCTCGAGACGTACCACGTCTTGCTATCTGCTTGCGCCTCGGCTGGGGCGGTCCCGCAAGCCGAGTACCTGCTCGGTGACATGGAAAAGCGTGGGGACGGGGTGGCGGACGGGGTGACGACGACGTCGTTGAGTTCGTCCTTCGATGCGACGACCTATGCGCTCCTGGTCGACCTCTACCTGACGGGGAGCGACTATGAAAAGGCGTTCGAGTACCTCGAGGTGATGAAGGCCAAGGGGATCCGACCTCCCTTGTCGGTCTACGAGGGTCTGGTGAAAAAGTGCGTGGCCGAGGCGGACTCGCGGAGTCAGCCGTTGTTGCAAGAGATGCAGGCTGGGCAGTACAAGCCGAGCGCGACGTTGATCGAGTATGTCAGACGGGTGGCTGGAGCGGGATCCAGAAGGCCGGAAGGAGAAGAGGGAGGTGGGCATGAGAAGAAGCCGAGACGAATCGAACCGTCATCGGGTTCGAGGAGGTTTTCACGGATGTTTCTCAGTAGTAGCGAGTCCTCAGCGAAGGGGGAGGCTAGGAAGGCACAGAAGTCGACCGAAGGGTCAGCCGAGTAGCCGGTAGAAGTAGCCCGAGCATTTACCATGTGTAACCGGAATCTGTCGTGTCGATGACAAGTTGCATTAATCACCCGATGTCGAGGTTGTCGGAATGCGATTGTGAAACGACGAGGGATGATACCGCCTGTTCGCGTAGCTCGTAGGAAGTAAATCCCGGTCTCTCTCTCGAGATCGATGACGCACCCTACACGCACGCACGTCTCTCCCTGGGCTCCCTGTGCCGCGCGCAGCTGACTGACTGCCTCTCTCTCTCTCTTTGTTCCACGGCATCCTGCGCTGGGTTGCGATCCAACGTTACCCACACCCACACTCATGCTCATGCACCCTTACCCACCTCGAACCAACTAACTAATCGATCAACTACCACCGATCAGTAGTAGTAGAGTTTCACCATCCACGATCCCCACCCACCACACCTCTACACCACCCACTACCACCTGATCGTTACCCTCTTTGCTTTCACGACACTACAGGATCGCCATCTCACCTACCATCGCTACTCCTCTACGATCCCTAGCCCGACGGATTCTACTAGTACTCGGTCGTCAACGTGAGCAGAGAGTTGCATCATTCACTGCATTCAAGTCGTCTCGTCTATTCGCCACGGCACGACGTCGTGTTTGCCTGCCCTGGTGTTTCTCTCGGTACATGTCGGAATGCTAACCTTTGCCTACCTACCTTGCTCGCCCTTTGTCTCGTTTCATCGCTTCGGACGATCCATCGTGTCAAAATGATACAGCGGGATCACTCTTCACAGCACAAAACTTGCTCCCCTTTCTCTCACATCCGACTTCTGCGACTGGCATCGTCCTTTACTACCGCCGATTCCAAACGATCCCTTTGGCATCGTCCCGCTATCGACCGAACAAGGCATGACGACAGAGGCAAAAGCAGACACCAGCTCAGCAACCGCCTCGACCTCGACTCCCAAGCCGAGCGCTCAATCGACGACGACCAGCACCACTACCGCTGCCACCCCGGCATCATCGTCTAAACCCGAGACCAACGGTCAGCCTACCGCAGCCAACGCCAGGAAACTCTCTCAGCGTCGTCCACGAGGACCTGCCAGGAGCGGATCGCAAAAGCAGAGCACCAACGCCCAATCAGAGGCTAGTGAGGCCACCAAGATCGATACCCCGGAGGATCCTGCCAACACCAAGAAACCCTCGAGGAACGCCAACAACAGGCGGAAAAACCCGGCCGTGAACAAGCCTACGTCGAACGAAAAGGACAGCGCAGCAGCCGAGACACAAGCAGCAGCGACAGAAGTAGCTACCAAGCCGCAAGTTTCGACCGAACCCGCTCAAACCAAGCAGACCCAGACCAACAAGCCTCGCAACGGAGACGTCAGGCGACAGCAGTCTCGACGCAACTCGAACAAGTCTAGCTTGACCGTACCCAACACGCTCTCCGCCAACGCCTCGAGCGCTGGAAGTTCCGTAGGCGAGTCTACCAAGTCTGCCAATACAAACGGCCGGAACAACAGGAAGCGAGGTCCGAACCAGAACAAGGGCGAGAAAACAGCAGCTCAACCGTCAACCGCTACCAACGGCAACGCCGACAACACCACCAACAACACCAACAAGCTACAAGCCATCGTCTCGCCACCTCGAAACGCCATGGATATCGCGAAAAGCACACCCAGGAACCCGAACAGGGGCAGGGAAGCTGGATTGGGAACGGTGACCAGCCTTCAACAAAAGATCGACGAGCTCAAGACTTTGCCCCCGGCTCCCGTCAACACGACCGGCATCTCAAGGAGGACGAGCTTGACATTGGGTCACGACATGGCCTCGAGCTCGCCTCTCGCCATTCCCGGATCCGGACAGGACACGTCATCGGCCACCCGATCTTCATTCTCGAGCGGAAGCCAGGGTCGACTCAAGGCCGACGCGCCCGTCTTTCAGCCTTCCAATTCGCCAGTCTCTCCCAGCGCTGTCATCAGTCCTGGTCTCGAAGCTGGTGCGGCCCAACGGGGACAGCGACAGCCATCGGGATCGTCGAACCGGTTGAGCTTTAGCGGATCTCGAAGGCCGAGCAACCCGGTCGACCAATCTGCCGGAGGGGATGCCATCGACGGTCGACAGAACGAGTGAGTCGGGCCGCGCCCGTAGCAAGCTTTACCTGTTTCTTATTGATTTTCGCTTCCCCTTTATAGCAACTCGGCTCAATACACCCACTCGCAGCAGCCCTCTCTCCAGCTATTGCAGCAACTGCAACGTCAAAGCCAGCCCCAACCGGGTTCGGTGCCGCCCAGGTTTGCCAACCAGCGAATGTCGGTCCGTGGAATGCCCGTCTACGAGGAGGAAGCCGTCGATGACAGGAACGAGTTGCCATCCCCTCCTGCGAACCATCCTCAATTGGCTCCCGGGTTCCAGTTCGGAGCGTCGCGCAGACAGCCGAGCACTGGCAACCAAGCTCATGCTGGGCTTGATGACGCTCTCGCTGCCATGACCATTGGTGGAGGGTTCGACATGGGCGGTTTGCAAGGCCAGCAGGCAGGCTTTGGTCTTCCCACTACGAGCGGTGGCGGCGGGGCCGCATCCGGCATCAATGCCAACGTGCTCGCCGGCATTGCCGCTCGAGCCAATCAACGACACCAAGCGGAATACAACCCGGTCCTCGAGCAACAACTCATGCTGCAGAAGCAGATCGAGCTGTTGCAAGAACAGCAGCGAGCGTTGTTGCAGCAAAACACGCTCCTCCAGCAGAGTCTCGGCAATCCCAATCTCTCTGCGTTGAGCCAAGCTCTTCTCGCGCAGACTGCTCAGCAGTCTCAATATCAAAACGACGATCAGAGCCGTCTGTTGCAGGAACAGTACATCAAGGTGCTGACTGCGCAGAGTCTGGCGCAGAGCCAGCAACTCGCGATGCAACAAGCTCAGCAGCAGCCCATGGCTCAGCCTCAACAACAACCGGCTCTCAGCCACCAACGAGACCAGAGTCGCGCTTCCAAATCGGGGCTGAACGACTTTGTGCTGCCTAACATGGGCCAAAGCGTCCCTCGACCCTCGAGCACGTCCAACGATGGACCCCCTCGCACGCGTCAGATGAGCGACATGGGACCGCCTGCAGCTGCTCTCGCCGGTCACCGTCGTCGCAACAGCATCCAAGCCCATCGACCTCAGAATTCTATCATTGGGTCCTTTGGAGGGTTTGTCGCTGACGTTCCCGACGACGCCGTCATGGCTCATCACCGAGCCAACAGTCGCAGCGTCGCCAACGGAGATTGGCGCAACGCCGGACCGAACAAGGAAGCGGTCCTCGACTTGGCTTCCGCTCAGGCTCAACTCCAGATGTTATCCAACTTCCGATCCAACCAGATCGGTGGAGGAGGCCATTCCAAGATGGCTTCGTTCAGCTTCCCCAACATGCTGCCCAATCTCATGATGGCCAGTACGATGGGTCCGGCCACCCAGTCGATCGTCCAGCAACAGCAAGCTTTCCAGATGCAGCTCCAGCAGCATCAAGGTCCAGGACCTCAGCGAAAGTCGCTCTTTGCGCCTTACCTGCCGCAGGGCTCTCTCCCGGCTCTTCTCGCTGCCGGCAAGCTTGTCGTCGGTGTGCTTCGAGTCAACAAGCGGAACAGATCTGACGCTTACGTAGCTACCGATGTGTTGGATGCCGACATCTACATTTGCGGTTCCAAGGATCGAAACCGTGCGTTGGAAGGAGATATCGTCGCCGTCGAATTGCTCGATGTGGACGAGGTCTGGGGGTCCAAGAAGGAAAAGGAAGAAAAGAAGCGAAAGAAGGAAGAGAATTCCGCCTACGATCAAGGCATCAACAAGGCCAACGCCCGAAAGAATGACAAGAAGAAGGACGACGTCGAAGTCGAAGGTCAGGGTATGGTTCTGTTCGACGATGAAGAGGTTACCGATGAGCAAAGGCCCACGTATGCCGGTCACGTCGTTGCCGTCGTCGAGCGAATGACTGGACAGCTCTTTTCCGGTCAGCTGGGCGTCCTTCGACCTTCGTCTGCTGCGACCAAGGAGAAGCAGGACGCCGAACGTCGAGAGCGAGGAGGTGACGACGCCGAAGTCGAGAACCACTCTCGAAAGAACAACGACCGTCCCAAGATCGTCTGGTTCAAGCCGACCGACAAGCGAGTGCCGTTGATCGCTATTCCCACGGAACAAGCTCCGAAAGACTTCATCGACAAACCCGATGCCTACGCAGACAGACTGTTTGTTGCCACTATCAAGCGATGGCCGATCACCTCACTGCATCCTTTCGGAGCGCTGGTCGACGAACTGGGATCCATCGGAGATCTCGAGACCGAAACTGCTGCATTGTTGAAAGACTGCAACTTCCCTACCGAGGAGTTCCAGGAAGCTACCATGAGGTGCCTACCTCCTGTACCCTGGTCCATCCCGGAGAGAGAGTACGAAGTCCGACGTGACATGCGCGAGGAACGAGTGTTCACCATCGATCCGGCTACCGCCAAGGACCTTGATGACGCTCTTTCGATCAAGAAGAAGGAGGACGGTACTTACGAAGTTGGAGTTCACATCGCCGATGTTTCGCACTTTGTTCGACCGAACACTGCCCTGGATAGGGATGCTCGCAAACGTGCGACTAGCGTCTACCTGGTCCAGCGAGCGGTACCCATGCTTCCGCCTTTGCTCTCTGAGCAGCTCTGCAGTCTCGTTCCGGGAGTTGAACGGTTGACGTTCTCGGTATTCTTCAACCTCGACAAGGATGGCAACGTGATTAGCAAGGAATTTGCCAAGACGATCATCAAGTCGTGTGCGAAGCTTGCTTACGACGATGCTCAAAGGGTACTCGACGGCGGCAAACTCGACAAGGAAGTCGAAGAGGGCCATGACGTCTCCGCTATCGAGGAAGACATCAAGGCGCTCAACGATATCGCTGGCAAGATTCGAGATCGACGATTCAAGGACGGTGCCCTCAAGATCGATCAACCCAAATTGGCATTCGTATTGGATGAATCTGGCAAGCCTCGAGACGTTCGCCCTTACGTTCGCAAGGCTTCGAACGATTTGATCGAGGAGGTGAGTCTGATCTGCGATCCGGCGGTAGACTCGCTATTCTTATTTTACCTTGCCTACAGTACATGCTTCTGGCGAACATGGCGGTTGCGGCTGTGATCGCTAACGGCCTGCCCGAGCAAGCGCTCCTGCGACGTCACGAGGCACCTATCAATCGACGGGTCGAAGCTTTCATCGATCGAGCGAAGCGTCTCGGCTTCGAATTTGCGGGTGTCGGGTCGAGCGAGATGCAAGCTGGTTTCGAGAACGTGGAAGACTTCGGTGACAAGCTCTGTCTCCAGATCTTGGCCACTCGGGCTATGACTAGGTGAGCCTCACTTCCTGTCCTCGTCATCTTGTCATCATGCGCTGAAAGTTACTCGGTGTTGTATAGGGCGAAATACTTCTGCGCTGGAATGCTCGACATTGCCAAATATGGCCACTTTGCCCTGAACGCGCCCGTTTACACTCACTTTACCGTAAGACCTGTTTCACCGGAACATTCTCGGTAAGCCCTAAGCTGAAATATATCTCCTGTCATTCTAGAGTCCTATTCGTCGATATGTAAGCTCTAAGCACTCTCAGGTTGTTTGCAAACTAGACACTTATCCCTTTTTTGACAGGCGGACATTCTGGTCCATCGAATGCTCGAAGCATCGATCAACAGTGGTACGTAGAACGATTCATGCAGGAATACCCCTGGACCGCAACTTACTTGAACTTGTCGACACGCAGACGTTCCCGAAGCCAAATTCGTCATGGACCGCGATCAAGTCGCAAAGTGCGCTCAACACTGCAACGCCAAGCGGGATGCTGCCAAGATTGCCCAAGAGCAATCAGACCACCTTCACTTGTGCTACCTCATCGACGATCTCACAAAGAAGTATGGACCTGTTGTTCGAGATGCGAAGATTGTGGGCGTACTAGACAGCGCTTTCGACGTGGTTGTGGTATGTGATCAAGTTTTCGAACGCATCAGGAGAACAATACTGATCTTTTACGCCCTATCCGCAGCCTGAATTCCGAATCGAGAAGCGCGTGCACGCCGACAAGATGCCGCTCCTGAATCACGTTTATGACGAGCACAAACGAAACCTCTCGTAGGTCTTACAACTTGGCACACTGCCCATCACCTAGCTTCGTGATTGGTCTGACAAACCTTGCTTTTCCGTAGGCTTTACTGGGACACGAAAGACGTTCTCTCGTACCTTGCTGCCGAGACCGATGACGAATACATCAAGAAGGTGCTCGCTCAGGGCAAAGCTCGCACTGCTACTGACGAGGATGCCAAAGCTTCCATCCAGGGCTCCAAATCGGTCAACAAGGAGCCTCTCAAGTTTGAGAACGTGAAGACTACTCCTGGAGGTCATCGTATCCAGGTCATCGAGGAGTTGCAGACCGTTCCGGTAAGCTTAACCACCAGGCCAGGCTAGGTACTCGGGCTCATCGAGTTCACAATACAGGTCATGATCGTTGCCGACGTTACCAAGTCGCCACCCGTGATCCAATGTTTGGCTGTCTCGCCTTTCGCTTCAGGCCAGGAATAGGCACACACTGCTTCATAGCATGCGCTGTTCGCATAATGTCTCTGTTTGTGTAATGTATCATTGATGACTCGTGCAAATGTTTGACTATATACATCGATTGTGTCTCCGAGATTGGCGATAGTTTCATGATGATACAGTGGAAGTGGCCTAACCGTAAAGATACTCAAAGAACGGCGTCTTGCCCCGCCTCTGCGACACGTGATCGTTGTCCAGCTTGGCCCGTCGCTCCGGGAAAAGATTGATATGTAGCGGAATGTCAAATTCGCTAGTGAACGGTGCGGCTGAATCGCTTGTGCGAGATGAGGAAGTCTCGTTTGCGGCCAGGATCATCGAATCGAGCAGACTGCTTGTCGACTCTGCATAGCCCTCTTCATCGGAAGCTTCGCCGTCATCGTCACGTGACCGTTGTTCCCCGATTAACTTGCTCTCGGACCGACGCTTTCGGCGCAGAGTAGAGGGCGGCGCATGTGCGACTTCAGCCGGTACCAAGGTGGTGTCACCCTCCGCCTCGGAGTCCAGGTCACTCTGCGCATCGAGTCTGTCTGCCTCTGACAGGAATGCGGCACGTCGCGCTGCCGACCTGGCTTGACCCCCTGAACTACCGCATTCGGTCTCGGTGTCACTGTCCGCAAGTCCAGAACTGGCCGTTTCCGAATCTGATGTGGTAGCGAAGCCGGCTTCGCTACCGGTTGTAAAGTCGGTATCCAATTCACTGTTGTCGGGTGTCAACAATTGAAGGCGGGTCGAGAGGGCTGGCGTGGAGAGAGCCGCAGGCTGAAGGATATGGGTGATACGGTATAACGGCGACCAGTTGTAAGCTGCTCCGGGATCGTCGTGATTTGTGGGTGTAGGTGGAAGTGTCTGACCTGCGTGAAGGATCTGAGATTAGTCAATAGCGAGATTTGTCCGGGCTACATCGACTTACTGAAACTGATTAGCCCATAGTACCTCACCAGGAGGTGGACTATTAACCTTTCCCAGCCGTCTGCAATAGCCCATACCAGATGACCCGGTGCCCTGACTACCTCGATGATTGCTTGGCGCTGCGCGTTCATGTCATACGGGCCGCTCATAGACGACGTGTATAACGAGGTCAACAAGCTAGACAACGAGTGTGGCGAAGATGCGGGATGCAATGAGAAAGGGCGTGGCAGCCGTCTCGCAGTAGAGGTTGACGAGCCTGCCAGTAGTTCCTGCTGTTGCGCCTGGGATACCGTCTCTGCCAGGGGGACCTGGGAGCCGGAAGCTGTTTGCGAAGTCTTGACGTTGACCAGGGTTGGGTCGATGATTCGGGGTTGTCCAAACCCGTCGATATCCTGAATCTGAATCCCCTGAAGCGTCGCCGCGATCTCGTCGTCTCCCAGCTCGCAGCCACTCCAACCTCGCAGCTCCTTCTCTACGATCTTGACGACCACCTCGGCTCGTCTGCCTCGTTTCCTAAGCATGCTACGGACTCCCTTCAGACTGAGCGTATATTTGCCAGCTTCGGTGGAAACTGGTTCCGATACGGGGGCAGCCGGCGAAGGTACAGAGGCTGTACGGATAGCGGCAGCGGCTGGAGACCGGGATGAAGGATGAGTGAACGTGGATGTGTATCGGGGAGCGGGCGGCATCAGGTCGATTCGGGAGGGGAGAGCCGCGTGTGGATTATGAGCAAGCATTGCTGAGATTTATGAAGCGATCAAGTGAGATTTGGCCTCCGATGTCGAATGAAGCTTCGAGCTTACCATTTTCCCTACGCCTCTCTCGACGCTTTCCAACCTTGCCGACCTTGTCATCTTGCCGCTTTCGAGCTTGAGCGAGGGCATGTTCTCGCTGTTGGAGGAGGTAAGAGTCTCGAGTCGCTTGCTCTTTCGACTTGGGGTTCACCAAGATCGAGGGAATGTATAGGCTAAGCGATCGATCAGGCTCATATATCAGTCTCCGGCTTCCAGCTGAAGGAGACGGTGATGGGGCACGGTGATGACGTACCGTGACGTCTCGGTCGGCAAGGGGCCGGTAGCATAGGTGGTCATGTTGAGAGGTTTCGATAGAGACGTGTGGTTTCAATGTCACTTTGAATTCGACGTTAAAGAGACTTGCCAAATCAGCCAGGTCGAGGTGGTATCGAAGCTGTATCCAGCTATAGTATCTAGCAAGTGAGTCCCTCGGCCCGTCCATCTCTCTCGGCGATCGCCACCAAACAACCCGCGTCGTCTCGGTCGATCGGGCAAAAAGCGCGATCCGATCGACCAGCAGCTAGCAAGTGATATAGAATGCAGTCGTTACCTATGAAAGCAATACAACTATATACTTGGAGATGGCAAAGACATGCTGGACACGTAAAAGATCGGCTAGGGTGGTCCTGGATCGTAAAGGATCGTCGTTGGAAATATACATGCAGCGGTCGACCTGTGCTCTTCTAGAACTTGTAGTTCAAGCGCTGGTCAGGCTCGACTTGGCCGTTCAGGGTCGACTATCGGGCCTCCATCTCCCGTGAACCTGACGATCCACAGTCGTACGAATCCAAGGGGGCAGTCTGCCTCTGATTCGTCCAAGACGCGATCTCGCACTCAAGCGCATCGATAAGAGCGTCGCCTTTTCCGCCTTCGATATCTCGTTGTCCTTCGTAAAACTTGCTTCTGATGGCGTAAACGTCGGCCAGGATATCCTTCAAAAGACTGCCAATCGGCTCTTCAGCAACCTGTCGAGGGATCCACCGGCCACAGTCATCCCTCGTCTTGTACAAGGGGGTATAGACGTGTAGAGTCGAATAGATTATCTTCAGGTCGGAATCGGTTATTGGCATGTCGTGATCGATCCCATGACCCGGTCGGCTGAGGAAGTCGGGGATCAAATCGTGGTCAAATGGAGAAATGTCTAATCCTGTGTCAGACCCGATAGAGACTCGGGTCGAGCTAGCTGGTGTTTCGCCTTGCTCCCCATCCCCTTCCTCTTCCTCCTTCTCTTCGTCCGTCTCCGATTCTCGTCCGACCACGGCTGACTCCATCGTGGCCAGAAAGTGGCTGTGTTTGCTCGTAGCGGGATAAGCGGCGGTCGATAAATCGTACCGGCTCAGCTTTGAGAGGTTCGGGACGACGATCTCTTGGATTCCAAACAAGCTGTTGGTGCGTGTCGCTCCAGTACAGCCCGCGGCTTCGTTGTAAGCGTTTGCATTCTGGTTCCAGTCGTCGGACCCGATTGGGACGTCGACTGCGGGTTCCTCGAGATATCCGTCGTAAAGAGTGTGCTCGCTTCCCTCCATCAGGCTTAATCTGATAGCCTCTTGCATGCACTCGCTGTCCGTCTTGTTCAGACCTCGCTGATCCATAGCGACGCCGAACGAAAAGCGCTGGTAGGTATCCTCATCCTCGATCTCGTCGACATCCTGGTCAGTATCGATGACGCTCGCCGATTTCTTCTGCTTCGAGTATTCGGAACGACCGGTAGTAGAACTCGAATCGGATATGGATTCGTCTCCATTAAAATCTCCGCTAGTCTCGCGTTCGTCCTCGACCAAAGCGGCGCTCTTCCAATACGCCCGGCAGTGATCGTTGGAAAAGACTGGAGAGCCGCCAGAACGACAGGACGATTCGTTCCAAGGTGGTCCGAATCTTTCGTCCGGACTCATCCCGACAGGTATGTACCCGCTTGAGTGGACATCCAGGTCCTGGAAATCGGTTTCATCCTGGCCGTAGTAATCGCACGCTGGAAGCTTGAGATTCCCGTCGCCAGCCGACGCGACCGGGAGACCGTCACATCTTTCGGCCTCTTGCAAGGTGGTAGCATCGGAACCGAACGACTCGGTATCACTGGCTGCTTCCGGGGTGGCGCAGATTCTTCGAAACTTTGCGGCTCGTGGGGAGCAATCGGGTGATGGAGGTGGATAAGATTTATAGGTTGCGTGATGATGATTTTCGCTTTGGAGGACCAGGTCGGCGGAATGATGATCGTCGGATACTTCTGGATGTTGGAAACATCGATGTTAGATGGAACTTGCGGATACCAATATTTGCCATTCGCTTACCATGTGGTTCGTTTTGATCGTTCATCACGACCCCCGGATCCTCCGCCTCCAAGATGTGATCGGTGCGCGTTTGGACTTTCTGAATGAGAAATTCTTCTTGTCGGAATTCATCCAACGTAGAGCCTATTTGAGACGGGAAGGGAGCGTCATCGATTTTGCGCTGCTTAGAGGCCCTGGTCGAGGACGGTTTGTCGTGATAGAAATCTTCATATGCGGGGATAGTTTGCTGAATCTTGGCCGACGTTCCGATGTTGGTCTTTTCCATCAACGGTTGTCCCGGTAATGGGGGACGCTTAAAGCCAGCTCCGATAGAAGTGAATGTTCTACACTTCTGAGCGGACGTGCGCATACTGTTATGAAGACGAGGAAGGGGACGCGAACGTGAATCAGCCTCGAGATCCTCGCGGTAAATCAAGGTGAAACGCGCGAAAGAATGCTTGCCTTGAGCGGTGCGTGTCTTTCGGCATCCTTGATGACGATGACGCTGGCGTTGCTCAGGATGACAATGGTAGAATACTGAGGCCAGCCGCTAATCGATCACGATGGAGTTGGTAAACGTCGAGATGGAGAATTGACGAGAGATCAATCTGGTTGTATGAATATGTTGAGAGATGAGAGATGGTTGATGGGAGATGGGTGATGAGACGGGGGATGATCGGTCATGTCCGAGGGGGAAGGGCGGGGGGAGGGGCGACGTGTATACAAATCGATGATCAGCACATACATCACTAGCAGCTAGCAAACGTCATACCCCCCCCCCCCCGCTCTCTCATTCATCATCTCATAGATCTTAGATCTCATCCCCCCGTCTCTGGACATCGAGCATAGAGACAACAACAGCAATCTAACTAGTGACCTGCCACCCCGTTCTCATCATCATGCCACCGATCCCGCCACAATCCAGATGGCATTGTTACGCCGTATGTACTACCAAGCATTTCGCCTCGAGGGATACCTGCTCATTATTCGTTGACCTCTGCTTCTCGCTCCCAGTGCAACAGCTACTTTGCAGAACCCGTCAGGAACAGCGAAGAGGATCTTCCACTCTGCCCCAACTGTACATCGGACGTCGTCGTGGATGTGAGTCGTAGCCTCGCAACGCAGGGCCTCCCATCAACGGTTGGATCTCCAGCGTATCGAGCTGACATGATGCGATCTCGTTACTTGCCCTTGCTTGCCTCAGCGGGACACGGCGGAAAGCGAAGATGGATGGCAAACGGACGGATCTGCCGACCGAGAGCTAGAGAATCCTCCTTCTCCCGGATCAGGGCCTGTGTTTCCAGGCGGATCGAGCTTTTTCAATCCACCGAGCATGGTCAACAACCGACCGACCGAACCCAGACCAACGGCATCTCGAACTACCGCCACCAACCCATCGGTCGGTGGTGGTTGGATGGACATGATAGGAAGCGTGCTCGGAATGACGGGGACCGGAGAGGGAGACGAGGGTCGGAGCGGACAGGGCACCTCTACCGGTGGACCTGCCATTCGAACGTTCCGCTTTGGGACCCCGGGAGGTGGTGGGACGGTCGCGGGGGGATCCATCTCTTTCGGCGGGCCGTCACGACTCGCTCGAGGTCCAGACGGTCGCTTCCCGCTCATGGGATCTCCAGATGAAGAGCGATCGAATCTGGACAACGACGGCCGACCGCCCGATCGAGGCGCTAATCGCAATCGCAACGATCCTGCTCGTCAGGAAGCAGATGATCTTGGGGACATTCTCACGGGTCTAATGGGCGGCGGATCTATGCATCGAGTCGGTGGACGTGGAGACGGTCCGGCAGTCTTCACCAACGCCCGCCCCGCAGGGATGACCCCGAATCGACCGGACACTCTCGAGGGCATGCTCCAGGCAATGATGCTCCACATGATGCACCCCCAAGACGATGAAGTGCCCTGGTTCATGCAAGGAGCAGGACTAGGGGGAGGCGATCGAGGTAGACTGGGCGACTATGTGTACACACAAGGTTAGCGAGATCTCTCTCACAACACATACTATCCGCTGACTTTACCATCCTATATCGTAACGCATCCGAAAAGAGGGTTTCGATGAGATCATGGAGAGTATGTTGGAGGCTGCGGCTCAACACAACCACCCACCGCCGGCGAGCGAGACTGTCATCGAGGGGCTTCCCCGGTTACGGTTGGACCAGGAAACTCTGGGTGGGTTCGAAGATGGCCCGCTACGAGCGACCATGTCGTTGACATAGCGAGATGTGATGGGGCCTGTCGCACCGAAATAGATTCGATCCAACAAACCAACTCGTCGTGCAACATCTGCTTTGACGACTTTCAGCTGGACGAAGAAGTCGTCAAGATCCCTTGCAAGTAAGTCTGTAGATGTTCAGCTGCCGCTTGCTGTCAGGTTTCACGTCCCTGATCGCTTTGCCACAGGCATCTATTCCATACGCCGTGTCTCGTACCTTGGCTCAAGCAGAATGGAACTTGTCCAGTTTGGTGAGTCAAGCGGCTCGTGAAAGATCTCTTGCGTGAACATACGTTGATATATACCTTGCTCCCCGCTTGTAGTCGTTTCTCACTTGTGCCTGATGCCGAAGCCCGACAATCTGCGTCTTCGTCCGATAGGACCGGTGGAGCGCCACCGACTGGATCGGTGAACCCATTTGCGGCCGTTCTCAGCGGATTGTCTGGGCTCTTGCAAACGCAGAGGGCGCCTGTGGCTTCGACTTCCGAACAACCCGCATCGACCCAGGATACGCAACCTCGGGATCTACCTCAGGTTGACGAGAGCAGTCAAGGCGAGGGACCCGCATCGGCAACCGCACTGCCACTTGTCACCGTTGAATCAGATACGACGATGGCATCACCAACCGCGCAGTCGGGTCGAGAAGTCGAGTCCACGCCGCAAACGCCTGCGCCTGCGCCCTATGCCAGCGCGATTCCTTCAGATTACCGTGAAACCATGCGTCGACGGGAACAAGACATGCGCGAGAGGCGTGCTCAGAGCCGGGATCAACCAGATCATGAATAGGAAGGGGCGACATGTGCAGTGAGAAAGTCTTCGATCCTAGTCGATGAGCCTGAGAAGAGGGCATATACACCAGTCACACTATTCATCAACTCTTCTGCCTCTAGCGATATACGAATGAGCAGATGGAAGCGGATTGTAAAGCGTTTTGATCGCAGACGGCGCCCTGCCATTACCGTTGCGATACATGATATACCCTTTCTGATCTTGGAACGACGATTCGCCGATGCTCATGTATTCCTAGATGTCCAACGCTCAAGACAAAAAGGGTGCAGGTGGAAGAACAATAAGCGACTTGACGCGACGATCATCAGGATCGTGACGTCCGGGAAGCCTGATCGAAAACGCACTACATAAGCAGCTTGTTGCTTCTTTCATACCAATATATATGATAATACTATGGGCTAAAATCGTTGACAACAGCCGATCACCGCGACCAAGTCACACGATATATTCAACCTAAGAGCTATCCATCATGGGAGAGCCATCAGAAGAAGCGACCGTCAAGCATGAGCCCACCGGGAAGTCGACACCTCGCAAGCGATCAAACGCTGCCAACGACCATGATAGCGGTTCTCCTCAGAAGAAGGCCAAAGGGAATCCAGATGGGGAGAGAAAGACGGGGGCTTGGTCGAAAGCAGAGGACAAGCTTCTGTCGGTATAACCTGGATCGTTCGCGCCGCTTATCTACCTGACGCCCGATATCAGTTTCGAGCAGGTTTGGCAGAAGGCAACAGGAGTCAATTGGAACCAGGTTTCCGACCGAATCGAAGGTCGGGATTATCTAGTCAGTCTCGCTGTTGTTTCTGTCGTGGCGCTGCAATATCATTCTGAAGAGATCGCCGCTTTGCCCTTCACAAGAGCTGTCGCAACAGGTCGAAGCAATTGGCCAAGAATCTCGAAAAGTTCTTTGCGGAATAAGTCGCCGTGACCCGCAAGATTGGAAATGGCTCGTAGATTTACAGGGTGTTCTGCTTTTGTATACAACTCGTGACATTTTGGGCCAATGTCTCTTCACTCGTCATCTATAGGCTGTTCTTCTTCCAGCATCCGTACAAGTTTGACATGAATATCCGTAGACTCGTCACCTCGCAGAACATCCGACAAGAAGGTCGTTTCGACTTGCATTTGTATCTGTGATCGCAATGTGGATTCCACACCGGTCAGCAATGTACGCATCTACGTTTTGTAGCCCATGCCTAAAATGACGGCAACAGACATGACTTACCATCTCAAGACAACCCCTTATCACGCCACAATAGATGTTGCTGAACCATAGCCCTTCCTCCTGCCCACCGACTTCGCCGGTCGCCCATTTCGTCCTGGTCGGCCCGGCCTGCGGCTTTCCTTTTGTACCCATGGCGTCTTTCGGCAATTCTGCGAACTCTGCCAGTGGATTCTCGTCAAAAGTCAAAATGAATTCAGTCGGCCCTTTTGCCCCGGCAGAGCTCGGCGTGGATTGCGTGTTGTTTTGGGGAAAGGAAATGGTAGGCGTGATGTTCAGAAAGGATTTGAATCCGACCTGTTCAAGATTTAGGGCCTCAGTTGGATTCTGGGGAGACGAATCGCGACGTCTTCGGCTCACTTTGGAGACTACTTCGGCGGTCTCGCGGATATCAGCGCAACGTGGCATCGAAGTCCGTGCCAGGAAATCCTCTATGAGACGGGTGCCAATGTTATAGCCCCTGAATACGATGAAGCAGCCGTTGAGCAGTCAAGCTATTGGTATAAGTGGCTTTGGGATGGGCTGCTTGAAACATTGAATGCTTACATCTTGTCCAGTTGCTTGTTGACCTCTCCATAATCTTCGTAATCCTTGATGAGCTGGACGACCAGAGCTCCATAGGTCAAACTGAAGAGCTCGGCATTCTGGAAGTGAAAGCGTCAGGTCCGGGTCCGATTTCCCGAGTTCCCTCTGAGCGTGATCTAATGGAACCGGACCACTCACGACCTTCTCTGTGCGGTTCTTCCACTGGTCTTCCTGTGCAAGGGAAACACATCGTCTGATTGGTTCAGCAAGCATAACATATATGTCTGATGAGCGCAAACGTACCCCGAGTGCCTTGTAGTGTTTCGCATTAGCAGCTGCTACAGACATCTTGTTGTAAGCGGCAAGAAATTCTGAATAGCTATAGCTATATAGCTATGTCAAATGCATACGGTTTGGTTAGGAATGACCCCGTTTATCGTCTTGTGTCTGGCGATACAGGTGTGAGATCAAGCAAGTACTTGCCCGCATGACGAAACCCGGCGGAGACCTGAGCTGAGCGAAAACGCATAAATCGCCCTTCTGTCAACAACCCCCGTCGCCATTTTGTCTCTATGCGTTTTCATCGTCATTGATCTACTCAAAAGTTGACGGACAGAGCCGATCATATCTTCTCTCTCCAACTTTGTAACTATGCGAGATGTAAATCTCAAATTCACATTCGCCTACAAGCAACCCCCAACCCACCTAATCGAGACATACTTACCACCAGACGATCCATTCACACCTGGCGACCGAACAGACCTGCACAGCATGTCGAGACCTGAAGAAATCGCCCCTCCGGAGATCGTAAGTCTTGATCAAGTCTCCAGGTGATGCTCGCTGTCTGATATTAATCGATTACATCGCGATGCATCTACTTGCAGTTTTATGGTGATATCGAGGCCAAAAAATATACCGCCAAGTAGGTCCATCCTCGCTATCCGAGGTCGATCGCAACTGGGTGCGCTGGTTGACCGTTCGCGATCCGCCCTTACAGTACCCGCATCCAAAACATTCAATCTGAAATGACAGACCGGGCTCTGGAGCTACTCGCGTTGGGAGACGATGAGGCAAAGTTCCTGCTGGACATTGGTTGCGGTTCTGGATTGAGCGGCGAGATTCTTGACGAGGACGGTCACTACTGGGTCGGTGTGGACGTCTCGCCTAGCATGCTCGAAGTCGCGGTGGAAAGGGAAGTCGAGGGGGACCTCTTCCTCCAAGACATTGGCCAAGGATTCGGCTTTCGACCGGGTACCTTTGACGGCGCTATCAGGCAAGTTGGTAAAAGCATTCGACATGTTGTGACCGAAGGCGATGCTGACCACTCGAGCCTTTGCGTCGATCAGCATTTCAGTCTTGCAATGGCTCCTAAACGCGGACTCGGCCGCTCATTCCCCTGCTCAACGAATCACTCGCTTCTTCACTACACTGCACGGATGTCTTCGAAATCCGTCGCGTGCGGTCTTCCAATTTTATCCGTCTTCTGACGACCAGGTACACATGTTGACGACGTGTGCGCAACGAGCCGGTTTCGGAGGAGGTGTGGTCGTGGACTACCCCAATTCGACCAAGAAGCGAAAGATGTACCTGTGTCTTATGGTAGGACACCAGGAGGTACCTTCTGGACTGACAGAAGGAGGGATGGAGGTGGACGACGGTTCGAGCTCAAAAGTCAAGAACGAAAAACGTCGCAAGGCCAGGGCGATGGCAAGCAAGAAGATGAAGGGCAAGAAAGCACTCGGATCTGTCGACAAGGATTGGATCTTGAAGAAGAAGGAGCTTTACCGGCAGAGGAAAGGTGTGGAACAGGTTCCTCGGGATTCAAAGGCAAGCCCATAAATACATTGGCGTATCGGTCTCCCTTCACCGCTCACCATTTGGTTGTGGATTTATAGTTTACGGGAAGGAAGCGAAAGACTCGCTTCTAGAATTCAGTCAAGGGACATTCTCCTGTCGCATCGATGTTCTCGGACTCGACCGTGTTATCTGATCTGTTGTATCGCCATCGAAAGCAACCGTCGACCTTACGTTATGCCTCCAGGTCGTCTCCTTCTACAAAAGCCCCGCCAGTCCATTCGCCTTCCCAATCTATCATGACGTTTTTTATCTCCGACACGTCCGGAACAGATGGATTGTCGCTATGTGCCTGTGCTTCGAGGGGGGGCGGGTAAGAGTCTCGATCTGCGCGCTCTTCAATGTGGTGCGGGGCATCTTCCAAGTTCACATGGAGTGTCAGTCCCGCTCGCCTCGGCGATCGTTGATCGTCGACCAATGCGGCTTCGAGCGTCGTGGGATATGGTATACTCCGCGCTCGATTTGACACATCGGACTGCGTCGGCACCTCGCTTCGCTCGCCGTGCTTCTCGCTATCCGGTACGAATTCGCGACTGCCATAATCCGATGTGAGCGCAAAACCGCTCGAGAACTGGGTAGTATCGCTCTCGATTCTCCCGTTAGTCGATTCGGAATGTAACTGGTCCACCCCTGCCCGACGCGGATTGAGGCCCAGCTGTTCGTGTTGTTCAAGAGGAAGTGTCCGCTTTGCAAATCGACGTAGACCTCGCAAGCGCTGCATCAGATCCAATCGATCCACTTGTTCGCGGCGCAGATACAGGACAGCTGTAGATTCATCGGGATGAATAACGTCTCATCTCGCTTAAAATGGGTGAATGCTCACTTTGCTGAAGCACCACGCTCTCGCTGCGCGGCCCCTGTCTCCCGTCTGTCACTTCGCTCCCTGGCTGTCTGACAAGAGGGAATATTGATCGAACACCGGGGCGTATCGGTCTTCCTTGGTCGTCGTATTGTTGGTGATGTGGATAGGATCTATTAGCTTTGCGGTCGTCGTTGCCGTCCCCGATGCCTCCAGGACTAAGACTGCTGCCTTTCGATTGACCACCACGGCGTGAAGAAGCTGTCCGTGACTCAGTGGTCTGTGCGGACGTCTGTCCATTATGCTCGTCGTTCCTAATGGTACGGGACCCACCACCTCCCGGCCCGCTACCACCTCTGCCTTTGCCCTCCTTCAAATCGGCATCGCGGAGAGCCGGAATGACACGGTACAAAGCTTCGTATCCCGATTTGATTGCGGCTCGGCGTTTTTGTTCGGCTGTAATGTGTAGTCGTTTCTTGGTCGCTATATCAGCGGGAGACTGACGCTTGGAAGCGATGCCGTGCGGCGAAGCTTCAAGCTGCGCTTGATCGCTATCTTCCATCGGCCAGACGTCCAATCCCAGAGCCGCATCTCCCGTGAATATCAGACTGCCACCGGTATGCTCGTCTGTCGCTTTCCCTTTGCTTTTCGTCTTCTTGGCTCGGCCAGATGTGAGCTTTCTCTTCTTGGAAGTTCGGTATGAATCCTCTTGACGCAGCGGCAGTGACCCGGTCACCACAGCATCCGCCTGTCCAGCTCGACCGTACGAGTATGTCCCATATCCGAGCACTTCCTCGCCCACGCCTTGAATACTGCCAGCTTGCGGCTCATAGTGATCGGCCTCTTGCCGTTCCCTCTCTGCTAGCTCGATAGCCTGAGCAGCAAAGGCGGCGTGAATCATCGCGGACCCATCGAAAAAGGTGTCATGATTGTGATCATGTTCATCGTTATCCATTTGTGAATAACCCTGATGGGGTTCGGTATCCATCGCGTGGGACGCATATCTGGCTGTGACTGTCGAGTCGAGCTGAGAATGTTGGTCGAGGGAATCATTTATCGGGTGGCCAGCTTCGGTTAACGGATCGCCGTGACCATCGCCGTCGGACATGGCCAAGATGAGATAATTCTAGTGCCCGATACACCGCACCGCAGATCCAGAGTTGTAGTACATGCTGATGAGATTATCAGATTATTGTTCTGCATACTTTGAGCGGTGTGTCTTTACTCGTAGCAGGGGAGTGACGATATATTGTCCTGGAAGCCGAGTCAGTCACGTGACAAGTCATGTCAATGAAGATTTACGTAACCCCCCCCCCTCCCTTGTGTCCCCTACCACGGTTTCAGAGTCAGCGCGCACGATGACCCTTCTCGTTTCACCTGGGCGACCGAGTAGCACGCATCCTATATAGAACGATTCGCCGCTTCAAGGATGACTAACACTCCGCTATACAGCAATCACTCCGACTGCCGTATCCCTCTCTTCATCATCTTCATCATCAATCAGACTGATATGAACTATCCCTTCCCTTATCACGGCCAAGCAGCGATGCGAGCCCAGCCTTACGCCCAGTATCCTTATCCTTATCCTTATCCCTATCCGTACCCACAGTGGCCTCAGCAGTACCCTATCCCAGGCACATCCTCCATATCCGCTTCGAGTAGCTATCTTGCTTCCCGATGGCATGCCGCATTCTCGCCTAATCTCATCATCCTGGTGATCATGGCCGGCGTAATTGGGTGGTGGCAGTTTGGTAGCGCGTTTCTAGGAAACGAGAGATCAAGAAAGTGAGCCCAGCGGGGGCATGATCTACCCCAAGCTACTCCTTCTGACCAGGTGGTTTCCTTCGTCATCGGCAGGGAATACATAACAGCTGGAGTTCAGGCAGGGGCTGTTCTGCTCCTCCTCAGTGTTGCCGTCAACACGCTGGGCGCCAGCTCGGCTATCACTCAGTTGGAACTCAGCTATCAACATATGTTGATTGCTTTGCTTGTGTAGGTCCTCTGCGCGTACTTGATCATGGGGACAAGTCTGATAATCGCCGAGCTTTCGATGATCCATCCAGATGTTCGTTGCTCTGGAATTACGTCGCTTCCGTGGCCAAAGGCAATGGCAAAGCTACCGACGGAGAAGATGATACCGCAAGCAAGGCCTCGAGCTCTAAATCGTCCTCAAGTCGACCGTCATCGTCATCATCAAGATCCAGTTCAAGCGCGGCAAAAGAATCGTCTAGATCATCGTCCCGACCAGATACATCTTCCAGTAGCTCCTCCAAGAGGCCATCCTCCAGTTCCGCCGATCCCCTCAAAGCTTCAAGCGCCTCCAGCGCCGATCTCTCGAAATCGTCAAGCTCGAGTTCGAGCAGATCGAGCAAATCGAAGGATACTAGCAGCGAATCCAAAGAAGAGGAGCGCGATCCATGGGAGAAATCCCATCCTTCGGCACATCTCACTTCGGGCGAAACAGACCGCCCAAGGCTGTGGCCATTCCCGATCGGATTCGACAAACCTCGCCCTTCGGGGCAGCATAAGCTCTGGTGGGAGAGTGGCATCCCCCACGTTGTGGGAACTATCGACGGTGGAGCCAAGAGATCGGGGGTGGAGACCATTCCGACCCCTTCTTCCTCAGACTCGGCTGCAGGCGCAGATAGCACCTCAAGCTCCGTCGGAAAGACGGGATCGACCCTGTCGGGCAAATCGATCGATGACCCTGGCCCTGTCCCGAGAGCACCCGGTAGTGAACCCACGGTAGGGGCTTCCACTCCGTCAGTGACCCGCCCGGATGCTACGCTTGCATCTGATTCTGCGGATGCTGCAAGAAGACGCGAGAAGTTGAAGGCGAGATATATGCAAATGAAGAAGGACCCGAACGCAGACCCGGATGAGTTGCGCAAGCTCAAAAAAACGTTATTGGAAAGTCCTTCATCCTCAGCGGGTCTGGACAAGACCAGGAGCATTCCGTCGAATCCAGGCGACGCTATCGAACCCGTGCAGGAAAAGGTTGATCTGCTGATGGCCCAATATATGAAGCTCAAGGGAGATCCCGATTCTGATCCTGTCGAAATGAAGCGCTTGAAGGGCGAACTAGAGCAATTGAAAGGAGCGAGCCAAGGGCAAGGCTCGTCGTCGAAAGGTTCACAGCAAGATGCTGATTCTCGACCGGCTCTCGGCAATGAAAGCAAATCCAAAGCCGGAGCTGTTGATGTTCCGGTACCCGAAGAGGATGGCAGTGATGAGCGGCGGCAGCGTTTGAAAGCACTTTACCTCAAGATGAAGGCCGATCCCAATGCCGATCCCAAGAAGCTAGAGAAGCTGAAGGCTGAAATACTCAGTTCCAGTTCGAAAGCGAAGGAACCGAAATCTGTAGCGTTTGATGTGAAGGAGGTGAGTCAAGAGAGCTCTTGTCCTGCGATACATCCCTCTGATGAGGTACTCGAATCAGGGACGAGGAGATCCAGGAAACGGACCATCTGCTCCGGTTTCGCATGGAGCGAGCGGATCATCTGGAACCGCTTCCGCATCAACTCCGCCTAACTTCAAGGGGTCTGATCCTGCGTGAGCTCGTGTCAAAACGCTTGCGCCGGTCGACTTAAGTTTACGCTTTTGCTCTGAATGAATCAGCGCCGAAGCTCTACTTCGTAAGAAGTTGCGCCAACTCAAGATGGCCATAGCATGCGTGGCAGTCGCTATTTGTACACGACCGCTCTTGATTGGTAGCTTCTTGAGTGCGAGCTGATAGGTATCCCATGGTTTTACAGTGAACTTGCCTGTAGGAATACTGTGCGGCATAGGGTTTGCAATTTACATGCTGGAGGATATGTTGGACCCTGGATCCGACGCATCGGAAAGCGTCATTCCTCCCGCATCGGGAGGAGAAGGTCCACCTAAAGCCGAGTCCACATCGGCCTCTCGCTCCAGTGACAGCAAGAAATCGTCATCCTCCGGGTCTTCGTCTGCTTCGAGGCGAGTGCTCTCAGAAACCGAGAAAGCATCGCTGCCTACATCCACCGGAAAGAGCAAGGACAAGGACAACACGGAAAGGTTGCCCGTAAGTCCGGCCGGCGCCGCAATCACCGGGAGCAAGTACAGCTGACTTGTTTGACGCGTCAATCTTTTCCCCTCTCCCGCAGCCTGTGTCGATGATGTACATGTCGACTCCGAATCCCAAAACTCCCCATGTGTGGAACGGTCCCGATTTTCCGCTTGCAGTTCAAGGTACATCGTCGGCGCTGGTCAGTTCAGTGTACACCCCATGAGGATTGCGATAGCATTATATTTTGTGATCACCCGGGTCATTTCAAGCCACGTTGTGCTGTTGACATCCCGTTAATCGGATTTCCGGACAGTACCGGGCGTACGCAGAGACCGCCAGCAGGGCATCTCGTCGAACCCTCTGAAATTCCATTTGGAAGTCCTTCAGCTGATTTTGCCTACAGTCAGCAGATTGATCTCGCAACTTACAAGCACACAAGACAGAGAACCCCGAACGAGGCGATCATAAGCAATGTAGCTGCGGCGTGCAAGTCGACCACCTGGGGGATCGCTCTCGTGAAAATGCCGCTCGCCACGATGGTGGCGATGGTAAGCATACCCGGCCGCCAGCGTAGGCTTGTCCGACTTCCTATGCTCCTATCCGTTAAGTCCGCAGCGTGTTTTCCTGCGAAAATGATCCGACAGATCATCTGCAGAGTGTTCGCATACACCAGGGAAATTTCCGGAGTGATCCATTCGACCGGCACCCTCGGCAGCGAGGATACGTCGCCTTTGCGGATTTGGCGAATAACAGCTAATGTGCCGCCGAAAATCAGTGAGCAGCCGGCCATGACTCCACTTTGCCGAGCAACTTTATGCGTGTCTGTCGTTGCGGAAAAGAATGCTTCGAGGATTCCGTTGACCGACATGATGGGCAGATACAGAGTCATGTAAGCGACCAATGTCGATGGCGCCGAAGTTTGCAGATAGCGTGGCGGAAGGAGATATGGCATCAAGATCGAGCCGACGGGCGGAACGAAGGCGGCAGTGACTAGCGGCAAAGCAAAAGAGACGTGCAGGATGTTGGCCAAGACTTGGTATGGCTGAACATCCTCCCAACGAATCGCTTGTCTGTCGGGCTTGATAGTCCTAGAAAAGTACAGCCGAGCTGATTCTTCAAGTGGCTGGAAGACAATCCGTACAATAAGTGAAGCTAACGACAGCCGTAAGCAAAGGAGGTTAATCCACGATCACATGGCCGATATGCAGCACATTGAACTTGCCGTAATTTGTCGCCAAAGCGTATCCTGCCTGATCTTCTAGCGGACTGGTCCAGCCTACCACAGCCCGGTCTGCTTCGGTCAGACAATGCTTGAATAGGGATTGACCGCTCAAGGCGCCAAGCAAGCGCAGTTGCGACTTTTCGAAGAGTGTACTTGACGTTTTCCTTCTGCTGAGTTGGGAGAAGGTGCTTAGGTCCCCTGATCCGGTGATAGAAATGCTTTCAGGTGCTCACTTGAACAAGGCCCACGGTACGGTTCTGACCATTGTTATGAATTGCGATAAGACCTCGCTGACAACATTGTACCCCACTGCTCTCATCCAAGCTCCGATAAGGACTACAGAGTAGGCGATCTGGCCCAGGCCAAACCCGAGGAGTGCGTGTTCATCGCTAGTACCAAATTGCTTGGTTATGTATAAGCAGGCGAAGGTCACTACCGCCCGAACAACGACGCTTGTCCCTTCAATTCGAGCGCGGATAGACGAGGAATCCCGGCCGGGAAGGGTGAACAATCCGATCTGCGTGCCCAGCATAAAGGGTTCTGTAGCCAACTCGATTATTGTAGCAAAGAGGTATCCGCAGAGCGAAGGCATGTAGCATGATTGAGATGTAGTCTCGTGTGGTAGGAGCGATAAGTAGGCCGGTATCACGGTGAAGACCACGAGCAGGCCCAATGCCGGTGCGATAAGCGTCATGTTGAGGACACGGCTGCGGGTGCCCGTAGCCTCGGGGCTCGTTCCCTTGGCCTTCTCGTCATCGTCCGTAACGCGGGTCCTCAGCACAACACCTCGGACCGCCTCCCTGCCAAGAAAGAGGATTGTGTCCCGGATGAGATCAAATTGGATCGCGGCTGTACCATATACGGTTGGTGACGCGATCCGAATAAGAGATTGGTTGAGGCCAAAGCTAGCGAGACGCGAGACTAGTTGGAGACCTATAAGGGAGCGCAACGTTCCAACATAGTATTGGATGGAACTCATTCTGCCGAAGGTATGTCTGACCCAGAGACCTTCTCGGCCAAAGTAGTAACGAGGTGATCTAGTGATGCAGATATAGGGAGGTCATAATCCGAGAGGAGGTTCGCGTGACTCACCGAATCCCGATCAATCACGTGATCCTCTCGGCAATCGTTAGGCGCAGACGCTTGCAAACGATGAATGGCATCGCGAAAAGAATAATAGGAAACTCACGGCACAGATCGCACAGATGTATATGAGTTCCTCGATCTTGCAGGTACTACCTCTTGTAAGTAGATTTTATCATATCAGGAGTCAGAGGTGACCAAACTCACACAGCACTGTGCTCTTGTGAAGCACTTCTTTGCTGCAAGACCACGACATCATAGGCCAAATCATCTCAAGAGGTATCTCTGCCTTGTCAAGGTCCCCTTTGACATCTTCACCTATTGTACACTGCACAGCATATCTACAGGCTTTTGGCTTTTGTTTGAGGAAACATCATCCATTGTCTATTTGAGCCATTAGTTGGTGTCAAGCCTGTGAAACCCCCCCAAAGGACCTGAGCAGAATGGCAGGATGTAAGCATGAGGCATGGGTTGTGTGGACATCTGTTGTGTGATAATGGATGTGAAAACATTACAAGGTACTAGATCTACAATGTAGCAACAATCCTAAAAAGTACCCTTGCCAAAGATTAACTGTAGACGTTGCATATAGCGTGTCCAATGCGTCACATGACAGCTACAACATTTGGGTCCTCCTGATTGAAGTTTTCTACTTCACATAGGAGCACTGATCACATCAAAAGTAATATACACTGACATATGACATTAATATTAGCAGGTGCAGGCAGCAAAGAGGCAGTCAGGCAGGAGAGCGATGATGTTGCATGCTGACTATGTTCAAGTGTGACCAGGCAGGAAAGACTGATTGCCGATGTAGGTCTAGCCAAAGCGCTGGAAGTGGATCCATCAATGTCAATACCAAATCCTTACATGGACTAAGAGACCCCTGGACCTCTCGTTAGTCCCATCAGAAGCTTGTTGCCCGTATATGACAGTTGCAGATGTATTTAAGAGGTCATATAGCCCACTTTGCTGACAAGTCAATTTTGTTGGAAACAGGCATGTGATGATATTCATCAGGACATGGAAGCACTCTCAACCACAAAGTAGATAACAGGAAGCAGGAAACAAACAGGAAGCAAAGTGGATTCAAACAGGATGCAAATGATTGCAAAAAGCAAGCAAAAGCACGGAACATGCTAGAAGGAATGGATTCGTAACACATTATCCAACATCAATGATTGTCAAACATCAACAAATCTTGGCTATTGTAATTCAACAATTCTTGATTGTCAAACACCAAGCCTCAATGATTCTCAATCACCAAACACCAATTTCATTTGACTTTGCCACTATTTGCCCATTCCCAAACAGATATATGTAGGAGACCATTTAGGTTCAATTTCTCTTTCCCCTCTCATATATGACTGTACTTATCAACAAGCAACATCGATTCATCTTCACAAGAAGATAAGATCAGCACTAGTCCCACACTATTACTATCGCCTAGGTACATCGGTGACCAATCCTTGATGAAACGAGTTGTCATTTCACAAAAGCTAATATTGGAAGAACAACGGAACTTCATATAATGGGGTTGATTGGATGGCTGTCAACAAGCGGATGTGAACTTACCCTACCCTTGCAGTAATTATGGGGGACAACATTCTGCCAAGCCGATTAATTGACATCTGGGTTGTGTTTGACAGGTTTACCCTAGCTCATGGAAGTACAGTATATGGTGTCAATGTGTTAATTTCACAGGAGACAATGTTGTTGAAGAGATGTAGTGAACTGATACCGTAACTCTGTTAGAAATAGGTGTGTGATGATCAGTTATCAGCACATGAAGGCAACCTCAACCACAAACTAATTATCAAGAAGCACAAGGGCAATTGTGTTTTAGATCTTGCAACTTGCCACTGGGAAAGCAAGCCGCAAAATGCAAGCCACAAATTGCAAATTGCAAACTGCAGACTGTAGTGTGTTTGCCACCATTGCCAATATCTGCCCCTTCCAAGGAGAGTATATATAGCAGGCCATTTGGGTCAATTTCTCTTTTCCCTCTCATGTACTACTTTACTTTTATGCACGCAATCAGATACATAGTCATTCACACAAGAGATAGCAACAGTCAACATCATCAAAGGAACAGCTACACCACCAGCTTAGGCTGTTATCACAACAAACACGGGACATCAAATCCGCAATGGATTGTTAAATTCAGTAACTGGGAACATTGGAATTGGTTCTTGTCAGGATCACAACTTGAGCTTATGGCTTGGATATCCACAACCTCTGCGGATCTCTTATTGCAGAGGGTATACCCATCTGAGGTGGTAATCAGGACATTGCCTTGAATTTGCACAAGGGAGGAATGATGGGGCTGTTCTGCTGGCTCAAGTCCCAAAGCTTTTGCATGATCACCGATTTCATCCCAAGGTATACGATACTTCAACATGAGTGTATGGAGACTCTACAATATACTCGCTTCCATCCTTGTTTCGCCGGACGAACCTGTGCACCTTCTGGGTTTGACGCGCTGAGAGCAGCATGAGCAGCATGAGCAGCATTGGATGTAAATAGATCATATGGCCGCAATGCTGACATACCCTCAGGAGTTGGAGTTGGGCGTGGCTCTGAACTAGGCCCAGTGGATCGATCATCTGATCGATCAATCTCGATCGTTGACACCGGATCCGGGAATACTGCCCCGCTCGATCGTCCGATCGGTTGACATCGGATTCGGGATACTGCCCGTTCCAATGGGCTGCTCACTGACACTACTGCCCCGGTGCGACCTAAGTTGTTTGCTGAACCGGATCGACGGGGTCGGAAATTCCGCTCTTGGATGTTTTGTAGCGGCAGTGGCAGAGATTTCCGAACGGAGCGGACTTGTCGACCAAGCCTTCTGCATCGCCACAAGCAGCGGGAGCGTCAAGGAAGCCTTGCCCAGAGACATCGGCAACCCGTTTGTGGAGACTCGCTTCGCTTTCTCTAGAGCCGTTGACAAAGATCTTGTCCCAAGCCGTAGACAAGATCTTGCGCAGAGGCCTTGCCTTCTAAAGCTGTAAGGATGTTGTTTAGCTGAGGCAGAGTTGGCAGACCAAATTCAGGAAAAGCTGATGGCTCGGCGTTGCCCTTCCTCTTTGCTGCCTTGCCCTTGATTTTCTTTCTGGGAGACAACTCTGTAACTCTATTCATCGTGTCTTGTAGCGTGAGCAAAGGTGCCAAATGGTGGAGAACAGACAGTATGTATTGACTGGGAACCTTTCCTTAGCCTAGATGTCTATGCCATTGCCGTCCCCATTTCTCTGCTATGTCGCCCTCTCTGACCGTATGCCTTGCTTCGTCCCACCTTTGATGACTTTTATTGAGTTCCTTGAAGAGATTGCTGTCTGCCTCCTTTATGTATTCCTTGGTGGTGGATCTCTTCTTCAGAGACCAGTTGTAGAGCTCGTTCCGTAGTATATGATGAAGAGCCCCTTGACAAACGAGATCGGCAAGGAGGTTTAGGGTATCTTGCCGGTCATGGTTCCCCCCATTGGCAATACAGACTTGGTAGTCTGCCAGACTGGCAGTGGCAGGAGTGTCGGTTTGCATGATGGCAGGAGTGTCGGCCTGCGTGATCTCAATCAGATTCCTTAAGATTTCGCACTCAAATTTTGCGAGAATCATACTCAAACTCTGTGGGATTTTGTGCTCAAGTTCCTTGAGACTTCAAGATGTGACACTTATGATAACAACAATGCTTTCTCGCAGTACTTGAGGATCTTGTTGATAGACGAAATGACCGACGGTGGACAAGATGAATGATGATCAACGAGCTGGCAAGCTACAGTACAAGATGTGAGGTGAATACGTGAGACAAGCAAGAAATGGCACAAAAACTCTCAGGTTTTCGGCAGGAATGGCACAAAAACTCCCAGGATCTTGTTTTGTGCCATTTCTCGCTCGTGTTTTGCCGCGCAACAAGGCCATCAAGACCGACAAGACAAACGTCAAACAAGTTCTTGGTCTCAAGCGTTCTTTTCATTCAGAATCTCTCGATTCACAACCAACATCATTGGTCAGACATCATGCCTCCAAAGAAGCCGCCCTTGCAGGCCGACCCAGCAGCCGTCGCAAAAGGCTTGAAAGATGGGTACGACTGGTTTGAGGCCAACTTTGCGTAGCCCTCCGCTTTTCCCCAAGACCTGGACCTGCCAGCATCCACCGCTGTTACCCATATTCCCATCTCCAAGACCGCAATTGGCAAGTATGAGGACAAGGACGAGGTCGTTGATTTGGACATCTTGAGCAATTTGATCAAGACCGAGGACATCGACCCGCTGGAAACAACAACGGGGGATTTGGAGGATGTAGTTGTAATCAGAGTCAAGGATGGGGAATTAGAGGATGTGGACGTGATTGGAGTCAAGGACCTCTCGGAATCCAATTTCAAAGCCAAGATCAAGGCGCTGAACCACGATGCTGTGCAGTGGTTGAAACAGTCCAAGACAAGCGAGGAGGGGTGCAAAATGGCGAAGAAGGCATATCCTACTGTGTGCAGACTCATGGCCAACCACCCGGCTTTTGACATCAATGAGGGTAGGTTGATATAGTGGGTCGTTCTTGTGTTGTGCTACGTGCTAACTCGACATTCAATTCAGACGACATGCTTGTCAAGGCCGCCACATTCCACTCATCGTTCCTGGAAGCGCTCCTCCTTGTTGACTGTCACCAAAAACTTGTCCCGTGCAAAAGGGTATAGCTTTGTAAGAGGTGCAATTAGCGGGGCTGAAGAAATGTCCATTTATATGAGCAACTCCATGCAGTCGCTTTCTTGCTGAACCCAAGATTTGGACAAGCCTACAGTGATCTAGATCTGAACACGTACTTGACATCAACCTTGTTGCTGGTTTGCGGGATCGAAGCGAAGGGAGGGCCAGGAATCTACACGTTCTCGTGGGCTAAGGTTCCCAAGAATTACAGTGGTAAATTGGTCCATCCTCGAAAGAGGCTAGATGAACATTGGCCGGGAGCAGCGTCGACTGGCATCAATCGCTACATTGGCTATGCCAAAGAGACCTGGCCTGTTGCTACATGGAAAACCGCCGTCATCTTGGTGTTCCCTCTGGACTGCCCTCAGGGAATCCTCAGCGCTATTGAGACTTTGGTCATCAGTATATTTGCGCTTGCCTGTATCCTCATTTTCAAGCTAAACTTTCTGGTCCTGCAAAAGCTGTTCACGGGTCCAATCTCCCACCATCGCCAGCTTAGCTCAACATCGTCGATTGACTCCGCCTGATCCGCAGTCCCATGTCCAATGTTCAACTAGCTCAATTCTGTCAGTTCGTATTAGGCTTGCCTGCAAGCCTGGAATAGTATCACACGGGACTAGAAGGTAGGGGCAAGGTAATGAATCTAATGATGAATGTAGTACAAGGGTACTACACTACAGTCACTACATAGGGGGTGTTCTAGATATACCCCGTACAGGAACTCACATCGGAGGTCCCTGTAAAAATATCCAACACAGCCATTTGGTACGCGTACCGCGGATACTATAACAGAAAGCATCTCTATAAATGACTCTGGCAGAGCAATTGGTAAGTGGACAGAATGATTGTAATCATGCCACCTGTTGGCAATGCCAGCCAAGACACCCCCTGGATAGGCTCTAGGTCCACAAGGAGCTGAGCAGTGATTGCCAGCGAATCACAGTGCCTGTAAGTGATGATCAGTCGTTATTCTCTGTGATGCTTCAACATCATGAACAGTGATACATGCATGCAACAGTGGGGAATCCAGTTGTTACTTCACGCCACCCCTTGCATGAGGTCTGTCAATAGTGTTGGCACTATAGACAACTGTTGTCGTGTTCTGAAGTGATAAGTAGATCCACTAAGATTGGTCACTTGATGTACCTAGGCAGTAATGATGGTGCGTTACTAGTGCTGATCTTGTCTTGATATCGTTACGGACGTCCTCGAAAATCATCTAAGACGTTGCTTCCGTATGTTTACTTCCATCATGACTACATGGCAAGTCACAGGTTTCTAGATGCAAGCAAAGTCAGATCACATGACTACAATGTCTCTTGGTCTTTCTTGAGTCCGGCATGAAGTTGCAGCACTGTACCAACAATTGTGAGTTTGTTGGTGATAGTGTAACCTCTCCTAATATGTCTCCCAAAGGTAGGCTAACGTATAGGTGTATGTCAAATGTAATATTTGCGCTTGAACCGTATAGAAGTACAACGGACTTGCACAACTTCTCTACAATTTTCACTTTGTTATATACTAGCTACATACTTGCCTCCTCCATATCAAATCCGCAATTGTTTATAAATCGACTCCGCTAGAATTTGTGCTTGCTTGTTTTGTTCCTCAAACAAAAGGCTGTCGGTTGTTGGTTGTTTGTTCAGGCAAACGATCAGGATTTGTCTCCCAAGGATGTGTCCGTCCTGTGTTGTCTTTGAGCGGAGTTGCTGAGTGTTGTCCAAACTGACGCGGTTGCCTAGATGCACAACAACCCATGCTGCCGTTTGATCACCCCCTGTGACAGTTATGAAGATGTATCAATTTTGCTCGTATAAAAGTAGACTAGTACATGAGAGGAGAAAGACAATTCAATATAATAGACCTTATGCAAGGTTGTTGACAACTGTGAACGGTTAGTGACAGTTGTTTGACAGTTTTCAATAATGTTGTCACACGGACACACACGGGACATTAACAGTCGTCAATAGTCCTTACATAAGCATGTTGCAGGTTCTTGACATTTACCAACAGTCCTTACGTAGGCGTGTTGCAAATTGTCAATAGTTGTTGATAATTCTAATCGATAGTTGTAGTTGATAGTTGTAGACAACTATCAAATACATTGACCCATGTTGATTATATGGCTTCTTTGTTGCATGTGCTGCATATACTTGCTTGACGATTTTAGATCATCAATCACACAACAACAGCATTATAGTGACTGTTACCTGGCCGAAAGAATAGGTACCACCTGTGTACAGATCATAGGTAAGCAGTGAAAGCGTTCAACTACCAATTGTTGTGCTGATTTCCAGTTGATTTTTTTGTACATGCAAACAAGATGGATGGTGGAAATCAATGCAAAGACATGCTCAGGAAGAATACTATACGTGGAGATATCAGGGAGGAGGACTAACAGTCTGCGCTGGGCTAGGCTTAGGGTAATGGCGTAACGATTGATGAAGTATATACATACCACAGACCTGTTATGACGAGCACCTCTAGGAGATGTAAAACAAGACCCCAGCGGAGATGTTGAGAGGTGTCTCTGAGGGGACTCCTGAGGGGGTCTCCCATGGGAGTGGCGACATATCATGTGATGGCTATGACAGGAGAAGGATCTTGAGTGGAAGGGGGCGGGAGCGCTGGTAATTTGCCAGGCAAATCATTGTTCCAGGCAGCAGCATTCAGCTTGACAGACATGCAAACGGAAGCAGCAGCATCAAGCTCGACCAACACACCATAGGAAGCCTTGTCTACCAACAAGCAGCCGACTCCATTGCTGATTAAAGCCCAATCTGGTTTATCTGCAATTGACACGCATCCTGCTGCTGCCTTGTCAACTAAGGTTTACCCAATTGTTTGACGGGGTTCACATCACTGCTTCTTGATCGAGATTGATCCTACTGCCTTGTCAACAGAGCTCTGGGATTGATAATGGGATAGAGGATGTACGCAGGTGGTTGGCCAATCTATGAGTCAAATATCAATCGGTGTCTATGTAATTTGGGGAAAAAAAGTTACAAGTATCAGAACTATGTTGATATTGATCCAACTTGCTGATCTCGAATGCCAGAGAACAGAGGAAATGTCTGAGGGCGGCCCAGTCGGCTCGCTTCTTAGCAATTTGCCTCTTTCTCAACCTCAAGTGCATCGATGTCATCATCCAACATCTGGATCACGATCTGCCTGTTGATGGGCGGCTTCGAGGGCTTTGAGGGCTTCAAGGGACTGGCCTTGAGCAATCTAAACATCAAATATCAGTCCAGCCGCTTGCTTGTACGGCAATGGCGATAGCTAGCTTACTTCTTGATGTCCTTGTTGACTTCAACGGCGGTATCAGGGGTAGGACTCGACGCCAGCTTCAAAGGAGCAGTGATCGATGACGGTCCCGGGTAAGATGGCATACCGTGCAAGGGGACAAAGACCTCCTGCGACAAAGGCAGCAGCAACGACGGCTTGGGCCTGATGTAGCGCTGCAGCTCCGACGGGGCGAAGCTGATTCTCGGAGGGAGAGACGGGGAGAAGCTGATGCTCGGAGGGAGTTTCTTTGACTCAGGCAGATCGGCCACATGGCTGTTCTTGCTCTGTTCTCGCTTCCTGGGCTGCCAGTGATCAGTTCCGTCGGCAGGGCCTCCCAGTCAAAGTTTGGGTATGATGGTGCCTTAGAGCTAGAGGTGGTAGTCCCAATACTGATGTGACCCGCGACTCAAAATGCTGAAGCCAGTCGGCTCATGAATCCGAGGGCAAGTGGAGGTGGCAACATGCCCAAGATCTCCTCCTTGGTGTATTGTCCGATGAGTTTTTTGGGCGCATTGGCAGGGATGATTCGAGTGATTTCGTTCTCAATGGTGAACAGATGGCTCTTGAATGTGTCGTCAAGGTTGAAACGAGCGGCAGAGATCTGCAGCATCAACGTCCGCCTGTGAATCATGATAGATGTATCGGATTTGATAGCCACTCTTGTCCAGAGTCTGTCCGACCTTGGTCGGCCATGTTGTGAAGTAACAACTAGATCCACCAAGATTGGTTACTTGATGTACCTAGGCAATAGTAATGGTGTGTTACTAGTGCTGATCTTGTCTTGTTGTGAAGATGAATCAATGGTGCTTGCATAAAAGTAAAGTGGTACATGAGAGGGGAAAGAGGAATCAGACCCAAATGGTCTGTTATATATGCTATTCTGATGAGCATGTCCCCTAGTAGACTTGCGACTAGAGCAGTCGCCTTTTTCCAATTGCGACTCTGGGCGCATATTGCGTCTCCAGTCACGTATTTGTGACTCCAGTCACAAATGACATCACCAATATGCGACACTAGTCGCATAAGTGTGACTCCAGTCACATAAGTGCGTCTCCAGTCACAACATGTGATCCTGGTCACATGCTGACCCTTTGTGCTTGAGATCGCACCTTTGAGCATCACCTATGATGTCATAGCATGCCAATCTTCAACAGGCCAGGGCTGTACAGTGAGATTCGCACGTAGACGGAACACCTTGTTAGCAATTTGCTAGACAGTGCGTTCCCTTCCAACGTGAATGTACCTCCAATTTTTTCTGCAACCTCCGTTGCCTTCTTGTCCGTTGCCTTCTTGAATTTGACGACAAAGTCGATTTGCCAGTGATCCGGTAAGAAATTGTCAAACCTCTTGAATTTGCCAAGCAAGGGTCTTTGCAAGTTGGCGTAGTTCTTGTCACAGTCATGACCTTCCAAAAGGACATAACCCTTGCTCATTGTCTGGAATACCATACCTGCAAGACGAGAGAAGATATCATGCATATGAGCCACCTCCCAATGGTGGATTCCGTCCATTCAACATGAACACAAACCGGCGATCTTGAGCTTGGTTTCTCCCTGAGTAAACTTATGCAGGTTGTTCATTGCTCCGGTTACCGAGATCTTCATTTGCTCTGGGGTATTAAAGCCCGCCTGCAAGGAGTAGTTTTTGACCGGCTCGCACAATTCGAGGTCGCGGATTCCTAGAGAATCGTCTTCCGCCTTGAAGGCATTGGAGCAGTGGGAAGTAGCCGGAGTAGCAGGAGTGGACATGGTGTATTGTTACGGCGGAAGTTGCTAATTGAGATAGGTCCTAAGTCGCAAGGCGTAGGGTGCTTAAAGGTAGATCGCAGGTAGTCGGGAGAACGTTGCAAGTTCGCTTAGATGAAGCGGGTTTGGATAAGGGATACAAAGCCAGAGATATATGGATAAGGAAGGTGATCACTCGGTGTGAGGTACCGGATTCGGTCTAAGGTAAAACGATGAAGCGTAGATACTTAGCAACGTCCTTGAGTTTGTAACCTCTCCGCAGCACAACATGTCTCAAAGATGTTGTAACAAGTCAGAATCCCGTAATGAATGTGATATCGGGACTTGACCTATTACTATTACAGAGCGTCCTCTATCGAATTCGGTCAAGTTCCTCTAGCTATTTATACGGAGACGAGTAAGGAGATGAGGCTGGCGAACACTGAAAAGACCCCCAAGAGAAAAGAATGGCAAGAGATGGCGAAACTGGAAGAGCGAGATGGCGAACAGACGAATCATGTCGAGAGCAACCGAATTTGGTAGAGGAGGCAAGTTTGACTTCTCATTTGTCCCTAGGTATGTTGAGTAAGATTGTCAAGGTCCTGAGTAAGGTTGTCGTGTACCTCGAGGTCCCTGTACCTGTTTGTGATATGTATCGGGGAGGTATTGTTGTTTTTGGTGAATGGTAGGGCGACCGAATCTGCTCTAAGGGAATCGGGTTTGCCTTGTCGAGCCGGACTTAGGTATATACTGATGTCCGTAGAACGAGCCCGTGTGCCGGTAGTCGACCTCACGTGATGATCCCGTAAAATGTATGTATGTGTATGTACGTACGTGTATGAATACGGTTGTGATATCGGCTCACAAGGTCGGTGTTATACAATCGTCTTCTCTCGAACGTCTTTGGAGACCCCCTTGGAGACCTTACCAAAGACCCATCAAATATCTTTGCCTATGTTTAGCTAGTACACTGTAGTAGTTGGACGTCCTTCATTACAGTCATTACCCTACCCGTAACTTCTTGTCCTGTGTGTTCCTATTGAAGTTTACTGGCAAATCTTATGCCCACAAATAAGCGTCTTGAGCCGCTCTCCCTCTCTTCTGGGTTTGCTAGCTGATATGCAATCATGTCTTGGGCAGCAGATCAGAATTGGAGGGGAGTGCTAAACGGCCAAACTCTCTCCAACATGCAATCTGATCGGACGTTCAGCTGCACCTGGTGGTCTGTGTGCAAGAGCTGAAAATGCATTGCTGAAGTTGTCCATATGGAGTATGCTACAGACCGAAATCATCAAACATGAGGTGATCCAGGTGTTGCAATTGGCAGATCAGCATCTAGCATTCCTCTTCATCTCAGACATGCTCACCCATACCATATCTTGGAGCATGGACCGGATAATCCCTACAGCATGCGTCACATTGAGACTTAGGCACACACAATGTCAACTCAGAATTGGCCGCAACGGGATTGATCGCAAAAGGCTAGCATCCTATCTGGCCGTTGCAAGATTGCGGCTGCTGGATTGACGTGGAAGGAGCCAGAGATCGAGGCCGGTTAAATCATCAAGGTTGTCATGAGCGAAATTCTTGTTTTTGTCAGCACGCAGCAGGGTTATCAGGATGACGATCCGGTTCCACAATGATCCTTTATCATTGGACCTGGAGCTAAACCTGAAATGTACTTGGTCAAGCCTACCATGTTTCATCAGCAGACGTTTCCCAACTATCTTCCATGGAGTGAGTACCTTGATTTGTGGCTTGTCCAGATCCCTTAAGCTCCTGCTGATCTTAGGGTAAACAGTTGGGTAAAGGGCGGTGCCAACAGTATGATCCAGCTACATGCATACTACATGGTTGTCACTCTTACATACAAAAAGTGGACGGAAGCATTGTGGAACAGGTCCAGCCACTACCTGCATAATCTCCTGTAACAGTTGAGTCATTCCTGCAAGTGCAAGATGAAGAGGTGCAATTGTCCAGGCAGCTGATGATGAGCTTGCTGAGGAAGGTCAAATCCAACAAGGAGGGTGATGGGCATATGTATAACAGATAATCATGATACATGACTAAATGATTATATATATCAAAAGGATCAGTGTTGTCAAAGTGCCCTTGGTTCCCTGGAAGTCTAACCAAGCGAGACAGACCAGACAATATCGGCGGCGCCGCAGGTGTCGTCGGTGCAGACACAGGCAAACCAGCGGAAGTTACACTACCGTACAAAGACCACCTATCTCATAGGTGAAAGAAGCTGGTGTGTCTATAATTATGTTGATATCTTTTTTGTGTTCTATTGCAATGATGACTCAAATTACATATGATTTCACATACAAACAATCCCTGATCAGCCTCAAAAGTGGAGGACACATTGATGTATGGTTGATGATGAATCTACCGCTTTCAAACTTATAAGAGATTAGCACTTGCAAATCCCATCAAGCTTTGCCCCATCAACCGTGGCTCACCTCAGATCATCAGCCACTCCAACAAGGCAGTTTATTTTGAGCCTTTGACCCTGCAAAAGTAGTATATTGTGGTCAGACACTGTCATCTCCAACTGCCTAATAATCATTGGCCTTGATATTGACCTTGAGCGTACCTTCTTTCCCTCTCCACAATTTCTCTTCTCCTAAATAACAAACACTGCCAGGAGACTAGGCAGTTCCATCACAAAGGACGGCGCTGATATCAAGAGGGATCGGCTAATGACAAGTGGGAAAGGCAGAGAATAGTAAGAGCCTGACAGGCAGCAGTGAGTGCAAATGGATATCAAAGGTGGTCATCCATGATACTCATTGTGTTGCTCTTGTTGGCACAGAAAACAGGTCAAGCCTAAGAACTGGGCTGGGTCATTGCACAGATTTGTCAAGACAGATTCTGATAGAGGCTACTTTTGCATGTATCACATCAACATTAGATCCACCGCTACAGACCAGCCATGTATGATCAGCGTTGCAAGTTTGAACTGCCCATTCAGTGGGAAAATCACCACATCTGTTGTAATATCGGCCTAAGCTGATGGTGTAGCTATTCATTTGCTAGTCTTTGTTGCAGATTGGCGTGGTATGACATCACAGGTGATGACATCATCAAAGGTGCAATCTCAATCACAAAGCCTCATTCTGTAGAATGTACAATGCACATTGTACTTTGTGCAATCTACCCTGTAGATTGCACAGGTTTCAAGGGTTTGTGAAGACATGGAGGCAATCAACAGAATGATATATATAGAAGGCCACTTTGACCTTACTCCCGTTCCCCTTCTTATGTGCTATTTTAGTTTTATGCAAGTAACCAGATCAAATAGTCATTCACACAAGGGATAGCATTGAGCAATACTATCATGTTGTGAAGTAACAACTAGATCCACCAAGGTTGGTTACTTGATGTACCTAGGCAATAGTAATGGTGTGTTACTAGTGCTGATCTTGTCTTGTTGTGAAGATGAATCAATGTTGCTTGCATAAAAGTAAAGTAGTACATGAGAGGGGAAAGAGAAATCAGACCCAAATGGCCAGCTATATATACTTTTCTGGGAAGGGGCAAATGGAGGCAAAAGGCTGCGGTTTGCGGTTTGCGGTTTGCGGTTTGCGGTTTGCGGTTTGCGGTTTGCGGTTTGCGGTTTGCAGTTTGCGGTTTGCGGATTGCGGTTTGCGGATTGCGGTTTGCGGATTGCGGTTTGCGGTTTGCGGTTTGCCAATTGCAAATTGCCCTTTTGCTTCCTGCTGTTTACTTTGTGGTTGAGATTGCTTCCATGTGCTGATGTCCAATCATCACATGCCTATTTCCAACACTCCCTCTCAAGCTCAAGCTCAAAGTCCTCCTAGTGTAAAGGCACTCTGACTTGGCTGTTTTTGTGTAACTTCATTTTCTTGTTGAAACCATGTCCAAGTCCCAAAGACCAAGTCCTCATCCTGGAGTGAGCCGCATCCTGAAAAGGATGGAGTACCTTTTCGACTTCCAAGATGGTTTGCACCAATCCTTGCTGAGGCTGATCCTTTCCTCCTAAGATTGCGTGCTGATAGTGGATCCTCTCATTCCATCACTCTAGATGAATGAGCTGGCAGTTGTGCTTGTGTTTGATATCCTTCAGTGGCTTGGTAAGCATGTCTGCTGCCTGATCCTGGGTTCCAACATGGTGGATGGTGATGTGACCATTGTCCACCATCTCCCTGATGTAGTGATACCTGATGTCAATATGCTTTGACCTCTTGTGATGAGCTGGATTGCCTGCCAATGCCAGAGCTCCTTGGTTGTCACAGTAAAGCTGAGTTGGCTTGTTCTTGTTGATGAAGCCCAACTCCTGTAGCATCCTGTTGAGCCAGATGGCTTCCTTGGCAGCCTCTGCCAAAGCCATATACTCTGCTTCACAGGTAGATGTTGCCACTGTGCTTTGCCTGATAGAGGTCCATGAGACTGCTGATCCTAGTAGCTTGAAGCAGTATCCTGTAGTGCTTCTCCTTGTCTCCATGTCTCCTGCATAGTCTGCATCACAGTATCCAATGAGGCTGTGTTGATTGCCTTCTGTGTTGTTGTCCAGTTGACCAAGGGTAAGGACCTTGTCAATGGTGCCTTTCAAGTATGCCAAAGTCCTTTTGGCTGCCTTGAGGTGCTGTTCAGATGGGTTCCTGCTGAACCTGCTGAGGTAGCCAACAGCAAAGACAATGTCTGGTCTTGCTGACATGGCACTCCACATCAAGGATCCAACTATTTGTTGATAGAGTGTCTTCCTCTGCTTGTCCTCCTTGATGGTGTCTTCTTGCCTCTTCATCACAGCATCATAGAGTGGTGTGGTGACTGTCTTGGCATCCTGCATGCCAAACCTGTCCAGCACCCTCTGTATATAGCCTTCTTGGCTGAGTGAGATGGTCCTGCTCGGTCTGTGTCTCTCCAGCTTGAGTCCAAGGATGTAGGTAGCTGTTCCTATATCTGACCATTTCCACTTGTCCTTCAATGCATCCCTGATGCCATTGATAATGCTCATCTCTTGAGCAGCAATCAGGACATCATCCACATAGAGTAGT